ACAGCGCGCTCCATCTGACGCATAATATAATGATTGAACTCGATGTGAATTAAAAAACACGTATATTTCTAGTTCTTCTCGCACGTCGCAGAGTGCAAGATTGAACAAGTGTTGACTGTCCTTGAGTTTTAAGTACTTAACAAAAGTTTTATTTGTATAAATATGAATGGAGAAAGATATATTTGCTTCTAGTTTATTTTTATTTACAATCAATGACTAAATGTGTGTATATATATATATATATATATCATTGACAGATCTCGTACGTCAGAGGATGTTTTCTCGGCAATGTCTATTTGTTCAAACAAGTGGGGAAAAAAGACAATCGCATGAGCTCGATTCACAGTTTGTAATGCAAAAGCTCATGAAATTCGAATCTCGCGCGCAAATGAAGTGCGAATTTTACAGGTCATTTCCATTAACAAGTTTAGAACAATCAAACATAAATAGCTAAGCATGCACATCATGAACAGAACGATCAAGTTTTTGTTCAAGTTTCATTACGACGAACAAAGCCTTCGGGTAAATATAAAGGTTGGTAACTAGACAGAGTTGATTGCCACGCATGCACACATAGAAATGTACGTTCACTCACATATGCCCGTCATTTGTGGGGTCCTTTTTTTCTTCTTCTTTGTAAGAAGATTTATATTCAAAAAGAAAAACTTCTGAACGACGACTTGCTAGCTTGTTTAATCTGTCAAAGCTACTTTCTATTGACATCACAAGTATATATATATATACATATATTTATAGTAAATGAGAGAAGGAAAAAAGAAAAATTTTCGCGCGACTATTTGTCAGTAATGCAAGGCATATGACAATCATAGAAGTATTAACTAAATTACCCGCATACAAGTCGCGTCTGACAGAAAAAGTTAAGTCGAAAGTTAATTGAATCAGACATATATCGATATTTATATACAAAGAAAAGAAAAAGGCAAGAGATGATTTTCTTTCTTATATGAATTGAAAAAAAAAGTAATTTCAACCGATTGAATCCGAGCTGGAACAAGTTACATATATGATTAACTATCAATAAATCATTTCTGATGACTTGAAAAGACATTCTTTCTGTGACAGGAGCTTGTTATGTTAACAATTCGTCATCAAGAGAGTGGGAGACAGAGAGAGAGAACATCTTGTTGATGATGTCGAGTTTTGTGACGACAAGGCAAACGAATTTCGAAAGGGAACCGTGAAGATAGTTAGTTAATTGTATCAATAGCGAACACTGGTAGTTTGCATAAGGTCTTTGCCACTATTGCGCGTACCCTTTACTGGTATGAGAATGTTCGATATGGCAGTCCGATTTACATGGAATATTAAGGTTAGAGCGAGAAAAAAGGTCATCGTTGCTTTCTGACAACTCCAATATGGTATTCTATTTATGCTGTCAGGTTAATGTGGATGTAGACAATTGAGATACGCCATATTTCATTGATCTTGGTGAGAGAGGAAAAGTTTTCGCTCTCTCTTAAGAAGAGATTTTGCTCGAAAGTAAAATAGAAACCTTAATCATACGATAGAGAAGTTGTTAGGACAAAAGAGATTTACTTTGCTGTAAAGTTTCATATTAGTAGAATAACATCGTGTGGGAAATTCAAGGAGAGAGAAGAGAAAGAACGAGCAGTTTGAATAAAAAGTTCATCAATAACTCGAAGCAGTCAGGCGCAAATAGCCTGCCAGATACAAGACGCCATGTTCGAACATATTGGACAAAAGCTGTTAGAGAATTCTATTTGATTCCTTCTGATTTCAGATTTACTTAACTAAACAGCTACCTGAAAGCACATCGAAACAAATTCCTTTGTTGCTAAGCCATGTTAATCATCAGAAAGCGATTAGAATATAAAGCACTAATCGAGCGATGTGAATGTCGTTTCTTGTTAGAACAAAGATAAAAGCCGAAGCATGAATGACCGGCGATCTTCGTTTTTTCTTCTACTTGATTTTCAATTTTGCTCTATCCGCTATACCTGTGGATAGAGAAGAAGGCGGGAAAAGAATTTTTACCTTACAATGTGTCTGATGTCAACACGTAGAAAGGGTATTAGATTAATAGAAAAAAAAACCGGAAGTTTCTCTTGAAAGATTTTGCACATGGTTGATTTGGATAGAAGTTTTTTCAAGGATAATTAAAATAGGAGTGAATGAAACATATCCGAAAGAATTTAGTTGATAATTATGAAAGTGCCATGAACAAATAAAGAAACGTCATCTGAACCGAGCGCTCGCCTTTCAACTATGTTAATAATAGAGATCATTTGAAATGATTTATTTAGAAACCAATTGAAATAAAAGCGAAGATAGAAAGAAAAACCGTTCGACTTATACCTTGCCTAACCGCACGATAATTGTCAATTCATGCCCGGTACTTTATTCGGTTTAATGAAATTATATTGCCTTTCATTCTCTTTTGTATCGAAGAATTGACACAGAAATAATTTGTCTGAAAAAGAAGCTCGACACCTCGAGTTCTGCATGTATAGTCGACCATTATGTAGATTATCTTGTTAATTCCCTCCTCCCACTTCTTCTTTTCCCCATCCTATCTCTTTTTCTTTTTCTCTTTTTCGAATAAAAGACTATATAAAAGAGCTTTCATCCCGTGTCAATCGAATTGTTGGTTACTTACTCTTTGTATACAGGACCATCGATGGTAAAAGTGAATTATTGCGAGATGCATGTCGAAATCGATATGCATCAAGTCAAAGGAAAGTTAGTTGAAAAATATGATGATAATAGGGGTTGATGACGACAATTGTGTATTATATATATATATATATACGTATATAAGATTGTGATGACGATGATGAAATAGTAATAGTAGGAGAAGGAAGAGAAGGAGAAGGAGGCGAGGACGAAGACGAAGAGACTATGATGATAGTAGTAGGACTTGTTTGAATTGTTGATTGCTCAATTTCGTATTGGTGCGTATTTCCTGTTGTTGAAGTCTCGTTCTCGTGTTAGTAGTCGATCGATGATGATGTTGGCGGCATCGGTTTTTCTCATCGTCGTCGCTCTCAATCATCTGTGCAGTCGGTCTGCGGTTGTTATTATGATTTGTTGTTTGAAAGATAGAGCGAGACAAAGACCCAGCAAAAAAAGAAAGAATAGAAAGAAAGAAAGAAATTGTTGAAAGAAGGAAAAAGAAAGAGAGAAAAGAAAGTGTGTGTGGTTATCCCATGGAAAGTGGTAGTCGAAGAACAAGCGACAAGATGAGCTTCTTTTCTATCACATACGATAATTCATATACGAAAGTATAAACATTTTTCTATCTTATATTCTCTCTTTCTTTTTGATACTACCTTTATGTTGACGATGGAGAAAAGAAAAGAGAAAATCATGACAATGAAGACCACAGATAACATCACTTTCTTCCTTCTGGCATTTGAGTCATTGTTCTTTTTGATTCTCTATCAGCCATTATCAAACAAGCAGAAACAAAAAAAGCAAGGAAATCATGTCTTCTTTTGTTCCCTCTTTGTTATCATCGCTTTAGTTAATTGTTTACTAAAATCCTCAGCTCTTCCTTCTTGACTTTTCTGACCAAACACCCATTGATTGCGTGATGAAATCTATTCCCTCTTTGCCTGTCCCCCTTTCCTCTCTCTCTCTCTCTCTCTCTCTCTCACATTTTCATCATAGTATCACGCAACAGAAGGCTTTGTTCTAATGATCGTCCTGCCTTTTTCCTTGGCTTTTTCTTTTGCTCTTATATACTTTCTCAATCCTCATTATATCTTGTACTCTCGTTGTTTCTCGTCATCGAATTGAGACGGATGATGACGACGGAAAACAACAATCACTCATCCAACGCGATCATCTGAACAAGACTCGTACATGTACGTTGTCGCTAAGTGGATTCTTTCAACGGCAACTGCTAGAAACGAGTAGAGAAAGAAAGAAACTACTAATAAAAAGAAAACAGATCAATATTGTTAGCGAGGAAAGAAATGATTTCACTATTCATACATTAATATTAAAATCTAATAACCCTTTTCTTTTGTATTCATCTGGAAAAAGGAAAAAATAGCGAAGGTGATGATGATGATTATCGTTATTTGCCATACTTTTGATTAATCGAGCTTATTCGAACGAACAAATATCATTCAGAACAGTATTATCAACAAATGCATCAATTAAGTGCCTACAAAGGAAACTGATCAGCATCAGTACGATAAGCAAAATCGTTTGTACATAGAAAATCAGCGAGGATTCGTCCGTATCTTATAGATATTTGAAATTGCGGAGTTTTCCTACTTCTAACTTCAAAATATAGCCGATTTCTCTCGTCTATTCAATCATATGGCGAAGAGAGAGAGAGAGATGATCGCTCCTGATATTTTCTTCTCATTATTCACTTAGATCTCTCCTCGACAGAAAATTACTAATTCTCAACAAATTTTTTGTTTAAATCTACAATTATCTTTATTTTCATAGCCTTTCTTTATCTAATAATAATCTGTTATCTCTATTATCATATACATGTAGACTCTATTTGAGAATATGAAAGATCAACATACCTCCCGGATCATTATGCTCTCTCAGACAAAAGCAATAAGTGATATTATTCCTTTTACTAACCATTCATTATATATATATATATATATATCAGCCTAGATATGCTTGTTCAGTAATGTACAATCAATTGAAAATGTCAACAACAAAATGTTTTCTACTGCCGTTCTCTATCTCTTTCTCTTTCTACGTCGATGCATGCATATATCTACTCTTTCTTCTTCTTGCTATATACCCAAATGTACAAAGAACATAAGTTATCAGGATAAGAGCGGAAGCCCATCAGGGTGCTAGCTACCGAAAGGACAGTACATCAGATGATCATCTACAACATTACACGCATCATTTCTACCGAGAGTGCATGGATTATTTCCGATGCATCATATATGGTTACATGAATGTGTATTTTTAAACAATATGCTAGTTTGGAATATCGAATACAAAAACACCGGTATTTACAGAAAAAGAAAAATATATCAGTTCGGTTGTTGTGATAGTAGCTGTTTTCGAGCTTGTTGTCGTTTTTCAAACCATAGCATTCCATCATTATGATTGTCGTCTTCTTCACTTTCTGAATCTGATGATTGGATTGACTTTGAAGATGGATTAATTTGATTAGTTGATAGTTGTTCATCTTGAGCTTTCGCTTGTTGAGGAGCATTGGAATTACGCAAATCAATGTAAATTGTTTTGCGCTGAAAGGAAATTAAGATAACTTAATTAGCAGGCAAGTTTTATTTACAAGGACTACAAGGTTTATCCATAATTTATTTAAAACGACCTGATCACTCTCGAAAATGAAGCATTTTCTCATCTAACCCTTCAATGTACTGAGTATCTTAGAAATAATGAAGCAGGTCAATTTGTGTTAGAGAGTCTTACTTCAGATTGAGGAATTCTAATTCGTTTTCCATGACGATCGATGTTTTCATGCGATGCTGCGTATATCGCTGATTCGATGTCTTCGAATGAATCGACTTCTTTTGTTGAACGAGATTGTTCAGCTGAATTGAATTTGTTTGCTTGTTGGGCAAGACGTTCGAGAATTTGCCGGTCATCGCGGCTCTTTGAAGTTGTTTGTTGTTGAGATGATGGATGATGATTCACTATGGATGACAAAGACAAAAAAATTCAAATTAAAGTAAAGAAATATATCCATAATCTTATGTTCTACTTGGTCGCGGACGATGAAATGTTTGTGTCAGTGTAGTATGCTCAGGGTGGCTCGTTGAAGAGGGCAACTTATCAAAATCAATTGTATTGAAGATGTCCATCGATAGAAATGATGGCTTTGGTGGTGAAGCTTGATTTTCCACCGAATCGTCAACAGTATTAGGAGAAACGCACATTTGGAATTCAACGGTTGGTGGTTGTTGAGGTGTCTCAACCCTTGGCTGTGCAATTGTAAATTGAATGGGATGGTTGTTTGACAATGATTCCAGAAGAGCATCGGTATTGTCAAGGAGATTCGAATCGAGAATCTGTAAATACAAATATAACGCCAATGTTTCCATGACCGTAGCATTACCTCTTCGTTTATATGAACTACAGGAATATCGTTGTCATTTTCATCGTCGTCATTATCGTCAAAGTTGACGCTTGGCAATTGAGATTGAACTTCTGAAAAGATTCGTTGAATTTGTGCTGAAGTGTTCGCTGGACCAGCTAACGGCTTCTCGTTTTTCGCAGGCGACATTGCTACTCTCTACGCAATTGCGTCGATTCGGTACTCACATGAACTTTGAATGTAAATATGAAGAATTATATCATCAATTTTTTGCTCTCGCCATTTTCAATGCATGAACTATAGTAGTGACCACAAAACATGCACGAAATGCTAAAAGGAGTCTTTTCCTTATATATGCAAGTATTAACTGATTAGTATTTGTTGTTTATTAATTCACATTCAATTGATCTCGTTAAAAAAAAGTCTTTGGCCATGTGAGGTCACTAGTTGTCGTACTTCAGCAATAGAATTCTTGCTAAACCATGAGACTGAAGTACTACTCGTATGGAGATAGTTCGTTGTGTAATAGGGAAATGTGCAGAGATTGCGATGACATAAGACTAATTAACAAGTGTGACAATGATCATTCATTTTCTAATCGATGTAATTAGTATATTTACATCCTTCAAATGACAATACACCGCTCAGTTACAACACATCGATCTTTTTTAAGTCTTTGCCTGGAGGTATTCGATTTTCATAGCGAAAGTGAACGTGTCAAACATCATACAAATATGCAAGCGATGACCTCGTTAGACGAAAATGTACTTTATCTTTATTCCATGATGAAAAATAGCTTCGCATATTCGTTTTTCTTTCTCTTCTTGTATGCTATATCGTATTTGTAGTATTTCTTCACACTCTTGAAGGACACTATGTGATTCATTGGTAATACGTATGTGAATTGATTTCTTCTGTCAATAGAAAATTTATTTGTCGTTCTAATGGGAACAAGATAAGTATCTGGGAATAGGTCCTTTCTTTATTATCGACTCATCTGAAAGAGAATAGATAAAAGAAAAACGAAGTCATGATGAATTTTTCCAGATGCATCTCGGTTGGATTGATTACGGAGTACTGGTCTTACTTTTAAGTTTGTGATTCGAGACTAAAGATATGTATTGATGTGTTCTATGGGAGATTTGTACAGGTTTGTCGGTGTGCATTGGCGTTTACCAAGGATGTTTTCGGTCCAAACAATTGACAACACACGAATTTTTAATTGCTGATGGAAGTATGAAGGTAACTAGATGTCAGGATGCATTCATTAACTTGCTTTCTCTTGAGATTTTACCAACCGCGATGAGTTTATTAGCAAGTCTTATGTCCGCAGCAACCCTACTGGGAATTCCTTCAGAAATTTATTCATATGGAACCATGTACCTCTACTGGGGCAAGTCGATCAAGGCCAAAAAACAAGCATGTTCATTGTTGTTCTTATATAGTCTTTGCCTATTTCGTTGGAACGTATCTAACTGCGAATTTATTCATTCCGTTATTTCGTCAAATAGGAAATTTAAGTATCTATGCAGTATGTAGACAAAGATTTCATTGATTTTGTATGATATGTTTTACATATGCTTCTTTTTTCTCTTTAGTATCTTGAACATCGTTTCTCTTTAACAATCCGCATTGTAGTCACTCTGACGTATATATTTGTTACCGTAACGGATTTGTAGATAGATAAAGCTTTTGCTAACGCCGAGAAAAATTACGTGATTTAGATATTCTACATAGCTATCGTCTTATACGGGCCAAGTTTAGCATTGAGTCAGGTAACTGGTTTACATATTTGGCTAGCAGTCGGCTCATGTGGATTGATTTGCACGATATATACAAGTATTGTAAGTATAGAATTTGCTAGTGTGCAATGCGTCGAATGAGTTCGATTGTTTAAGGGCGGAATGAAAGCCGTTATATGGACCGATGTTACTCAGACAATTATGATGTTTCTTGGTGTCATTTTATCGATGATTATTGGTAGGGAAAATCTGATTGTTGTTTAAAATGAATTTCTTTGACCGATAGGTTTTCGCAATAGTGGAGGAATTAGTAATGTATTTAAGACTGTAGCTGACGGCAATCGAATACAATTATCAACGTATGTATTTGAAATGCCGAACTACTTTTCATGCATAAAAGAACAATTAGAATATCAATTGATCCATCTATTCGATATACTATCTGGAGCATTATTATTGGCGGCAGTTTAAATGCCACCGCTGTGTACTCATGTTTACAAACACAAGCACAACGTTATCTTTGTGTGAAAAGCACACGAGCAGCACAAAAGTATGTATTCTCATTTTATGAAAGAGACCGATGTTATACATCTATTGCATATTGAAGAGTAGCATGGGTTAATTTGGTCATGTGCATAATAATGATGTTACTGTGTGTATCAGTAGGATGTCTTCTGTATGCGAAGTACAGTGAATGTGATCCTCTTCGAGCAAGATTGATTTCAAAGCCTGATCAAGTAAATCGATTGAGGAAAGTGTTGAATGAATACGAGGTTTGAGTTCGTAGTTGTATCCGTTATTTGTAATTGAAACTCTGGGTCGATTTCCTGGTTTGACTGGTTTGTTTATCGCATCGGTATTGAGCGCTTCATTGAGTACAATATCCAGTGGAGTGAATAGCGTCGTTACAGTGTTTCTAGAAGATATTTATAAACGTGTGGTAAAAACAAATCCTATGTCTGATCGAAAACAAGCATTGGTTTCGAAACTATTGTGTAAATATCATTCATTTGCCTATCATGATATGATCTATTATCGGTAATTTATTTCGTTTAGCACTTTTTATCGGTTTGCTCATAGTCTTCCTCGCATTTGCTGCGTCTCGTTTAGGTGATAATATTATCGTGGTAATGCTCAAAATAGTTCTATCGCATTTTCCTCGATTCTTTAATCTTTTTTAGATAGTTTTTCAAATTTCGGGCTCGTTCGCAGCACCAATCTTGGGCGTTTTCCTCGTCGGATTATTTCTACCACGAGTGAAAAGTCGAGTATAATTCTTTTGTGATGAATTCTCACGCTAAGCTATCCGATGATCTGTATCCATATTTAGAGTGTGTTGATTGCTTTTGTTTGCTGTTTAATTTTCCAGGCCTGGGTGCTTCTCGGTGCAACTCTAACTGTTAAACCACGAGTAGGAGAAGGTGGCCGATTGCCAATATCCGTTGACAAATGTGTGTCAAAGATCAATATTAGCCAATCAATGGCAACAGAACAAAGGTAATTTACTTTCATTCATGAAATTAGTCAATAGTATTTGATTATTTATGTAGCCCAAATATTTTCACGCCACTCTACTCGATCTCTGTTATGTGGTATTCGTTCAATGGCGTAATTATTGTTATTCTCCTAGGTTTATTAGGATCGTTCGTTTTCGGTAGGATTTCGGAGATGGTCGAATAGTAAAATTCTCGATTCTTTTTTTGCGCATCTAGATGCCAAGGATACGAAGATAGTAGACAAATCGTTATTGAGATCGTGGAACGATTTATTTGTCTGTTTCCGGAAAGATGAAGTATTTACCTGCACTGACGAATATTAATTAATTAAATTCTTACTCTTGATTAATTTAGGAATTGACAACATTGCAAGCAAATGAAATCGAAATGGACACTATAGAAAAAGAGCCAATGTTCTAGATGAGATAGAATTTCGCTGTCAACAATTTTTTTGTATAGCCAAAACATCTGGCACTATTTAACACATTTAAGAATCTTCGATTGATCGGATGTATTAATTTACTAATATATATTCCTTACAGATTCAAATGAAAACACATGTTCAAGTGTAAACATTCAAGAGGTCAACTCCTTTCCAACGTTGTAACGTATTCGTTTTTCTCGCCGAATCCATCTCGTCAGATAAGACCATCGTTGATCGATGATTCATTTGCTTGATTTGCGTATGAATATCGATCGAACTGGTATATTGCTTACTGGTGTTGATTGTTGTTGATCTCGATTCCATATGAAAATCTTCGTTGTCATCGAAATTGAGTGAATCACAGCTAACATTAAATAAAGAAAGATTTGACTGAGCTGTTTGCATGAATAACAAACAGCCATCTGTGTCATAGATCAGATGTTCTTCATAATGATTGGGAATATTAGTCATCGATGCAAATATTGATAATTGACTGTGTAAATTCTGTTTAAAAAAAATGAAAATTCAGTATGAAATTTGTCACCAGCAGAAAAGTATTCAGTACCTGTGACAACAAATGGTCTTTATAAGACAATTCTAAATCACAAGAGAAGAAACCATTGTACAACTAATGTTCGTTAGTTATTCGCACTTACTTTTTTTCAAAAACTCTGGTAAATGTTGATAAACAACATGCATGATTCGTGATGTCTCCATGATCAAATGAAACGCGTTTCTATTCTTTCAATCGATCAATTTCTCTTTCTCTTATTTTTATTTGCACATTCTAGCCAATCAGCTAGTAATTGAACGCTGAAAAATGATCTGTCTCGATGCTGGTCATGGCACATTCTCGCAGCAGGATAACATCGATCATCAACGTTTGAATTTTCTCATTTCCGCCTTATCAAAATGCGAAGAGAGAGAGAATACGAACAAGTAGAATGAAAGAAAGGTCATTTATTACATCTGTTCGAAAATTAGATGTGTGAATGAAATCACAAATCAAAGGCGTTCGTTGATAGGTGCTGATTACAAACAGATAGAAAAAGCAAAACATTTCCTAATGACCAACCATTGTTTCGATTTGATCCGTTGCATCAAATTGATCTGCATAGGAATGTTTGAGAAAGTATTCATTAAGCCATTGTTTTAATGGATCACAGAGAACCATGCAGATAACAAGTGGAAGAAAGATACAACGAAAATTGTAAACGAACAGCATTGTTTGAAGATAGTTTATTTGTGTCTGTGTGTTGTCGTAGTCGCTATAATCGAAACTCATATGTAAAAGTCGTAAAACTAATTCAAATAGAAGAACACTTGACGCAAGTGACAAATAAAACTTTGTGTTCACACTCAAGGATCCTAATGATGAACGTTGTCGAGCACGAGGTAAATAGCATTCAGATATCAACATCCATACGAAAACCAGAGCAATTAGTGCGAATATGACGTATTCGAACCGATATTGTATAATGTAGAAGGAGATGATTTCTCCATAAGTTCCAATATTCATTAGACGATAACAATATTGAAATGTTAGGATACTTTCGGACGAGTTGTAATTACTACTGTCTGCAATGCGACCAGATGTTGCATTATTGCTCGATGAAGTGTTTTCAACAAATTTTATCACTTCATACAGACGAACGGAAAGTACTGAGCAAATAGTCAAAATGATCGAGAGAAGGAATATTCTTCGGAAGAGTGAATGATGTCGATTCGTTGGAAATATTGTTTTCGTTAGACATTTCGTAAAAATTCGCTCGATACTAAACAATAATGTTAAATAAAGCCCGAATGGTTTGGCAAATGTAGAGATGTAAACAAGAAAACGACACATATGAATGGATAAATTCGGTTCACCTGAACCAGAAAGCATGTACGGTTGAATCAGAGTACAACACATATTTGCTAGGCACACTAAACAGATCATCAAAAACAGCTCGGTGCGTTTGCTTTGAACTGATGATGGGGCGAGTATAAATAAGATTGGCAGTATGAAAGACACCATGACTCCAATACACCATGTTTGAAAATAGTTACGAAAGAAAATAATGGAATTCAATCGATCGATTAAGCTATAACCGGAATGGTAGGCTTTCTAGAAAGACAATTAATTAATTAAGAAAAGAATGAGTTCTATGGCTTTTGTGCACTTACTGCTGCAATCCAATCCATGATGAATAGATAGGTACTTTTCAACGTTGCGTTTGTAAATGAAAGAATAGATAAAAAACTTGATGATTATTTTAATTGAAAAGAAACTTGAGAAAGCTATGTGAAAAAGAAAGCTTGTCTACTGTTTGTTATGTAATGAATCGGACGAAGTTAAAAGTGCTTTTGAGAGCACGTTCACTTTCGTAATTGTAGAACTAAATAACATGTTTATTAATATGAATGTAAAATAAGAAATCGTGTACAAGAAAGAAAGTTCTTTTTTTGTTTTCTTTTTCAGAATGAGGTAACGATAGTAGATTGTACTGGATCGGTAGGAGATATTTGTGGTTTTTCGTCTTGCACTTTTTTCTTTTTCCGTTTTTCCCTGATATAAATAATCACGTAACATATCATCGAGATTGTTAGCACACATAGAAGAATAGCATGCGCATATTTAATACGGATTCGAGGAGTGTAAACATAGGCGATAACGTAGCCAAGTGATTCCCATAGGCGAAAATTTGAAAATGCCGATTCATGTTCAGTAAACAAAACTCCATAGGCTGCATTGGCTGAACATCGCGAAAAAAGTAAGTTATGATAGTGCAAATCTCAAATTTCTTTACTTTGCGTTTGCCAACATCCGTCTGCAATACCCCAGAAGCCAGCGAGAACGAAAAGTACCCACAGTTGATTCTCGTGTGGTGTCCAAAGAAGCATTGTTATAATCAACGCGTAGCTTATAACAGCAGCAAGCGCCAGACAGTACACACGATCGAGACGTTTCGCAATATGACCAAAGCTGAAACTACTGACTGCATTACATACGCCGAAAACTATCATGACAAGGCCAACATATTTGATTCCAGCAGCACAAGTTATAAAACCCTAAAATATCAAAATAAAACGAGGATTTACTCGAGGAAATGGATTATGAGACTTTTGTAAATTGAGCAACGATATAAGTTTGTTCAAAACCCGACCACAAAGTGAATGGTATTAGTAAAATTTGATTGACATGTTTTAAATGTTTAAATGTCGAAGCCATATGACGAACTGAATTCTTTAATGACGCTTTGACTCCACCTAACATTCGTAAAATTTATAATTTTCTATCAATTCATTCACCAGTGGATGACTCAAATAGTAACTCACCTTTCGAATCCGTTTTAGTCCGTCTCTGATCAAGCAGAAAAGCGACAAGGAGAATACTAGCTACTGCCAAGCCGATATAAATATAGCAAAGTGTAAAAACCTGCAACAATCAAACGTACAAAAACAACATCACTCTTTTGCTTGCTCAGAAAAACTTAGATGAGTTCATACCAATTTTCTGGGTACAGGAGTGCTTTCAGCACCATGAAACTCTTTTTCTAAGAATTCTGCTCCACATTGATATCCATTTTCTGTCAAATTTGTGATGTTCGTCCAATTATTCGGCACAGATCTTTGAACGGCATCATTGTTTGCTTCTTCATTTTGAACGGAAGGTTTTGTCGTAGGCTGCAATACTAGGTAACTGATAAGATTACCCCATATTTGACCTTGTCACGAACGAAATCAAAGCAAAGATACATGACTCATGTGGTCATATTTTTTATCCTACTTGTTTGAAAACAAGCAAAGAATATACCGAAAAATTGTGTCACACCGGTCGCCGGTTCTCTTCCTTTCAATTCAGCATTGAGCATACCGATCTGTGTTACATACGAACCTTCCGATGTCCACATTGGTGCACCAGCAAGACCTAAAAAAACTGACGCCGGATACATCAACGCTGGTACAGCATGTAAATTCGCTGCAATGAATGCCAAATAACCAAATTGGCATATGACAATTGTCCATTTCATTCCGAAAATGCTCATCTAATGAACAACTTGTTCGGAAAGATACACAAAAATTCAATGATAGTTACCATTGGATGAGGTAATAATGCCGAAGAAAATATAAGAAACGCATAAATTATAGCCATCGAGTTCATTCCAACATCGCCTTCAACGTTTAAACTCGACTGTAAGTTTGATATTCCTATTGCAATGATCGTACAAGGCACAAAAGGTAGATCTTTTTTCTCTTCAACTAATTAATTACCTTGAAATGCAGTGAATAAAAGCACCCATGCTAAACAAATGACGAACAGATTCTTCCATATACGCCATTGCTTTACCGGCGGGGGTGGATCATCTTCTTTCTCGATTTCTTTAGCCCTAAAATATCAAGAGAAAAATGCGAATGTATACTTCCATTTGCTTGTAAGATTACTCTTTTGGGGCATCATTATTCAAATAAACAGGTTCAGTAGCAATGTTCGGATCTACCATTAATGGTCAATGTCGTTCGTTTCTTTTGAATATCTAATCGCACGTCTCACTTTTTCAATTGCAAATGAAAAGAAGAGAACAGAATTTCTCTACGAATGTTATATATGGATTAACAAACCATTTTAATAAACGATGAAATCAAGCAGTGATTAGACACACATATATATGAATACGTTCGTTGGTTTTATTTACTATTGATATGTTTACGTAGTGAATGGCCATGATTTCATGGACATGAGATAAATGATTCATAACTGTTATTATCACCAGTTTGGTTGTCTGTTGTATTTACAATTGTATTGACAAGATTAGGTGTGAGAACGTTCGTGTTTTGTCACTTGTTTGTTTTCTTCTGACTGGATTAAGGAAACGAACGAAAATGCGAAAGATATTTCGTCTCGAAATTCATTTGAACACATGCGAGTTTTCAATTGATATGCTTTGGATGACAAACAAATAATAATCCTTTTTAAAACAAGATTAACAACAAGATATTGATATATCACACGTACAGCATCTGAGAAAGAGACCAGACATGTAATTTTTCAGCCAATACAAACAAATGCAATAAACAGTCAGAAGATCTCTTACATCTTCGTGATGTTTTCGTAATCAAGCTAATCAAGATAGAATCGTATTTTGTATTGAAAAAGATGAACTTATCATCATTTTTAAGTTTATATTTTTAGATGAGGTTCGCGTAAGTGCAGAGATTTTATCCAACATTTTCGACATGCCGATCTTTTGATAAATGATTGAATTTGGGCTATTATTCTTCTCTGTCGATCGATGTAATTCGATACTAATAAGGAGAAAACACTACAGGAACGTCGTATATATTTTCTTGTTATCAGAAAAAAGCACACAGTCTCAATGTACGATTGACGCATGTAGAATATAATACGCCTTCTTTGATTTGCGTGCATTTGATATAAGACAACGAACAGTTCTCAGTTGTTTATATAACTTTAAAGTAAGTCAGTTGATTCTCGAATCATCTCTGAAGAAATTTTATTTTGACATTGACTTTTTTCGTTTTTGTTTTGTTTTATTAAAAAACGAAGAAACTCATATTTCTTCAGCAGACTAATTTGATTTCATATTTGTGAAACGTAATACGAACAAACCAGAGGAGATGCTTCATAGAAGAAGTCAGTTGAAAATGTTTGCTTGACAAAAATAGGTCGTAATTACCTAATATCTGATATCTATCACGTTGGTATGACAATCCTATCAATCATATAATTCATTAGAATTGACAGATCAGATGCTTTGCTTCTTCGTTAATACATGTACATTGGCGGATCATCGAACTCACCTCTCACGGTTTTGTATCAATAGATACTATCGCATGAATATATAATTTTAACCAAGGTCGACTATTAAGCATGTAAACACAACTTTCTTCTCCATACTTAGTCTATTACTAAATACTCTTATACATGTTTTGTCATTTCCGCATCAACGTTTGTCCTTGCGGATCGTTCTCTCAATTAGTCATCCGCAAAACGACTTATCCTTTACCTTCAGTCTTTCGCTTCCCTGCGGAAATTTTCATTAGAAAGTTCGAGGATCAAACATGAATATAGATTTCTGCAAATGAAATGAGGAGCGATGTTGCCATTCGAAGAGAGAATTCCTCGGGAAGCTTTCGTATATATATAAACATGCTTATTTTCAAATGGAACTCTTTTCACTAATCGAATAGTTGTTGGTTTGTTTGAAGAACAGAAAGCGTTTTTTGCGGCATGTGATTTAGTTAACAAAAAAGCAAAAAACAAGCTTTTCAAGTGCTTTCTATTGATCGAACATGCTCCGAGATCTATTTATATGTATACGTGTATCTGTGAGTCATGTGATAGAAAGGTTAATATTTATACATAAAATATACCAGTGTAAACAAAAGCCATGTCATTTCTCTCGTTTTTTTTCTTCTCCTAGCTTGACAGCATACGAACGAATTCTTTAACTGAAGGCAAGCACAGATCTGTAAGTATCAGAAACTCGTTCTCAATGACTTTATGTTGCATTCTAGATATTCAGACATGTCGCGAGAAAATGTGAGTTTCAGTAAGCAAGTTTCTCAATTCTTGACAAAATTCTTTTGGCATTTTAACAACGGAACACCGAGCTTTGTATATCAGAGTTCTGATCATCCAAAATCATCCATCAAAACGCGTAGCCATCCATCTACTCTGTCAACTTCCTCCCAACAAAACACGTCGATACGTGTTCATCACCAGACACGTCTTCGAGCGCCTACATTATCGTCTATTCAAGAAGAATAAATTTCCAACTAAATCAAACAGTACAATGTAAATACGTGCACAATTGACAAAAACAACAAGAACAGCAGCAGTCTTTCGATGACGTACATTTTAATGACAGAAAAAGAACATTGACACTCTAGTCGTAGTTTTCTCATTTCCGCTGATTAACTGTAAATACACAAAGCGTTTTGGTTTTTCCATTTGAAATAAAAGTTCACTATTTATTGGCTTATGTAAAAAAGATGCACATGCTATTATGTTCTTGTTGTCTCATCTCTATTCACAATACGATATTTAAGATGAGAGTATCGAGCACTTTTTCGAATAGAATCTTTTATTTTGAATTATGAGCCTTATTGCAGAGCTTGGGCGAGTACATTTATTGGCGAGACGTATAGAAAGAAATCAAAAATATATATATACGTATATAGAAATGGAAAGCAAGTATGAATTTATTCATTATATCATAGTTCGAGAAGAGAGTGTCCGAAATCGATTGGTCTATTGATCATAGCCGGGTGCTTGATTTGGGACTAAATCAATTTTGGTTTTATTATCATGTTGATCAGCATCAAGCCAACGTTGAATAGGAAAATAAGTTGTCGTATTCAATGTTTCATTTGTCACTGACAGATCGTCGACATACCACCCTTGCGATTTGTCACCTGTATGCCACAATGTTGCACCTTTGATTCGGCCGATAGCTGGCAGAAATTGTGTGAATATATCGGTGTTTCCGTTTTCAAATAGATCTTTGTTTGTTTGAGAACATTGTAAATGAATGGAATCTGTACGGCCCTTTTCACCCTGTAAAATAAGATAGACATTGGCATCAGTACCGGCACCTCGGATGGAAGATGCCTTTTTACCATCAGCACCGGTTTTGATTGCTATCTTGTACTTTTCTTTTCCACGTAAATCTCCATCCGAACAGTTCGGTTTTGGTACGCAGTGAAATGCTAAGAATTCATACAGATTTGGATCACTTTTTGCCCGTCGGACGAAATCCTTCTTTGAAATTTCATTCTTTTCATCGAAACCTAAACGTTTCATAACCCATTCAATTGTCTGCTGACGTTTGTCCATTTCATCGCGATCATCAGGTGTATCTCGTGTCTCGATCAAATTCAAAATCGCCATCAGCGCGTTTTGCAATTCTTTCCGTGTTAAATTCGCGTCCGCTTGATTCCGATTATAAGCTTTAAAAGCAAGTTCAAGCTTAGCCTTTTCATCTGTACCTTGACTAACAGTAACAACACGAAGGAATTCACGAAAATTCAACGCTTGATCACGATCATCATCAAATGCTGTGAATAACATCTGAGCATATGTATCCGCGTTTCGCGCTCGAGGATAGTATGAACGATATAAATTGATGTAACGATCTCTCGAGATGCCACCTGTTGGACATTCTTGTATAAACCGTTTGTGCCAATCTTGAATCGATAACTTACTTAGACCAGTTTCTTCAGCAAGTTGATTCAATTCTTTGGGAGTTAAGGACGACATTTCTTACAGTTAAATAGAATACAAATGAAAATCTTTTTCGGTCTCCTCTTTCTCTGCCATTTCTCTCTCTCTCCTCCTTTTCTTCTTTCAATTTTCTATAGAGAACTCGACGGATGTAAAGAAAAGAAGAAAGAAAGCACTATGAAGAGTCGACGTATTCATTATCGTCATTTGATATTAGAAAAGAGAGAATTCTTGATTTAACAAAAGAATGAGCATGTGAAAGAACCACGAAGAAAAACTATGCTGTCGTTATAGCTACGTTCTCAATGTGTATTTGTGTATTTGATTGAGTCAAACTAAATCAAATTGTTTTCTTCTACTGTCAAATATAGCTCAAACAGAGAAACAACTTTCTCGGTGCACTTTTCTCACAGATATCGTTTAAATAATGAGAAATCATTCATGCACAATTCATTTCACTTAAAAACGCGATTTCACATATATTTCCACCGAGAAAAAGAAGCTTTCCAAGCAGACGAACAGTATATATGTACTTTTGCATAGGTGTTCAAATGTTTTGCTAAAACAAAGTAATTTAAGAATATTAGCTTTAGACAAGAGTCAATATTCAGTTAAAATTTAGTCTAAGATGACAGAGGAAGTTCTATTTCTTTCATTTCATGAAAGAAATGTTTCGTGATTCGGTTAAATATTAAATATGATCGTGAGTGTCATGCATAATTAATCTTTTCTGTAAGGATAGATCTATGATTTACAGAAACGTGAAAGTGATTTTATTAAATCGATTCGCTTGGGTACTATTTCCAGTGTAAAGACGCATTTTCTTCTTTTCAAAAGAAAATTTCAGTTTATCAGGAAAGATAGCCTGACAAACAGGGTTTCTCGATCTGAATAGTGCATGATATGCCTGCGCATTTTCTCATCAAAGATTAACTTCAGAAAACATAAGAAGATTTCGTCTTTCAATATCATCTGAGATCGCCTTCTCGGATAATCTTCTAGAACATGCTTTCATATGCATGGGTTTTTTTGACTTAGCAAAGAAGTGATAGACTGCGGTGCTGATTTACCAAACATGATTCATATCAATGTTTCCGATTCGAGAAGAGAAAATTCATACAAACAGAACAGAACGAATAAACGTACTGGTTATCATACAGTGCAGTGCAGTGCACGCATTTTCTTTTGTGTACCACGTAGAGGACGCTATTGTCTTTTTGATTTCGACCTGCACGTGGCGATCATCGATTCATTTATTCATTAAAAAAACCATTCTGCTACAACGTCTATACGGTTTATTTTCGACTATTCTTACTCATTTCAAACATGACGACACGTAAATATGAACTTTTGATCTTTGGAATGCAAATTAGGAATGGAATCATTTTTTAGAAGTAACCTCACCGCCGTATGCCCGTATGGTTGGCAATAGATTTGATGTATCAGCTTATTGCCAAGAACAACTAGTTGTTGCACTTGATCATTTGACGAGCGTGAAATTTGCACTCTTTGCTTTGATTCGTCCAGCATTGAAGATTGCTGCACGATCGTTGTTTATTGAAAATGAATCCATTACTGTTTCAAATATCTTATCGCATTTAAATTCCGAAGCCCCAATTGCGTCTCCGCCACCTGAAGCTCAACCACAACGACCAAAACGCTCATTTGTTCAACGTATAATACACTTTTTTACTGTTGGCATCCCCTTAGCAATTTTTGTCGGTATCATCGCTGGCATTCTTCACTTTATCAAAACTGTCTCGAGCGATCTCGTTACTGTTCTTAGTCTTGGATCGAAACTATATTCTATGAGTCAGGAAGATGTTAAATTCTACAAAGGTTTGTTTCACACTTAAAATCTCCTCATCCTTTCACGTTTTTGTCTTTTTGCTTAGACAATCCACAGCTGATTCCGCCACGTAATGTCGCTATCGATGGAGTGATTAATACCGGTTTGAATTTTTACACACGTCGACTAATTTATCGAAAATTGGGAATGTTCGCATTTATTACCAAACCATTCATGTCGTTTATCGAATCGTTGCTAACAAAACGGGTGATTAGATTTTGCGATCGAGTAGATGATATTCGAAATCGTTATAATAATCGATCAACTGCTCCATCAGCACCACCACCACCACCGTATTATAGCGGAAAATCAGATGGTGCTAAATTTGATTAAATCAAACGAATTGAGACTTTTTTTGCTACTTATATTAAACTCGCAATTCGATGTATTCATTTTCGTTTGTCTACTTTACTGTTTGTAAAACATTTTGAAAATATAAACTTTTGATTCGCCACATGTGTTGATACTCGATTTCAGGAAGTTTCCGAATTTCTAGCAAGCAAATATGTGATTTCATGTTTTTGTGATGATTATAAGTTCGTAGTTAGCATAATTTGGCAAAAAATTAGGAGAACAAGGTAGAATTTAGTCGACCGTCATGTTTGGAGCTGAATAACAGTTCTTTGTTATTGGTTAACATTATAACCAATCTTAAAATGGTGCGAAACAACGAACTATCTTCTATTCTTTTTCTTGATGTGAACAATCATATTTCATGTAAAATCATTCGAGATCAGCTAAACTATGCAACCCGCAGGTAGAGTATCTCTTCGCAAAATTTCATTCAGATTTTCTCTGTTTGTTCCATTAGCCATGATCAACGTTAGTAAAGTTGCTCCGTTTAAACCCAATGGAGCAAATTACATCGATGAAGATACAGTGATGAATACTGAGCAGGTACAATTCAATGGAATGATAACATAAACACATGATGACGTTTTCTTTTTCTATTATTTATTTTAAAAAAAAGGAACTATGGTCAATAAGTTCGACAAGTAATCGTCAAGGTGACGAAGAAGTTTATGCTCGAGGATCACACATTATATGGACATATCCGCTTCGAGACGTTCAGTGCCCATCTTATATGGAATTCACTACTGATACGATTCCGAAAAAGGTAAACTATGGCAAAGCCTGAAGATGATAATGGTAGACTTCGTTTGGATGTTTTTAGTTGTTATGGGCAAAGTTTGATCAATGTTCAATGTCTTGTAAATGACGATGAAAACACCGTTATTTTTCTATTAAATTTTTTTGTAATAATTCAGGTGAACATGGTGGCACAGAATTTCCAGTGATTATCGAACAGAACTATTTGACGGTTCTTGGCATGGATACTGGTTATACGAAAGTTGCTCTCCCTTTTTCGGTAAACCCATTACATACTGAATCCTCGTTCATTCATTTTGACGAATATTTTGTATGTTTTCTAAAGGTATCTAAAGCCTGGCCATTTCAAAATGGTTTAACTATCGAGCGACAATCGTAACTATCACTCGAAAAATTCGTTCTTCAATTGTAAGCATTGTACCTATTTAGAAATGATCATTATTTACCAAATTTATTCTCGCTTTCACATCCATTGGACGAAGTCAAACCTATTATATCTCGATATCATGGTGAATGGTTCTACAGTTCAGATAAACACATGTATACAACGGCAGGTTTAGCTATGGATGAACAACTTATCTTACGGTACGATGAAATCGATCGTGTTCATAGCTTATGGTTGTTAAGAAAATGTACCGATGAAGTAAATCACCTATCTCTCTCTTTCAATGCCTGTCTATTCCTATTGAATATGAAAGGATCGTCATCAAGCTACCAACATGACATTACCGACAATGAACGAAAGTCATCTAGGACAAGGAATGAATCCACATCAGACTATACTTAATCAGCCGAATGTATCATTAGCACAAATTTCGATGATGAACAATACTCTACCAAGACGTTCAAGTATTCTAGCAACAACTCTGCCAGGAGCCCCGAGTAGTGCGATTGGTGCAGCTTCATCGCCAAATCCAAATCATCTACTAACGAATCCAAGAAGATTAGCATCGATGGCAGTTATTTCGTATGATTTCTTTTTATTCATCGAAAATCGTCTTTGCAAGTATTTGAAACTTTTGCTGTAGACGATCACCATTATCGGACTCAATTAATCGTGGTACATCACGTTTGCCGCCACCGTCGCAATTTCTATCTTCAACCACGGCAGCTACGCCATTCTCCTGTTCAACACTAACAATAGGCAACGGTGGCGGAACGACGCATCTATCGCATTTTCCAACCACGGCTTTGATCGATCGAATGGGTACCAACGGTAGTTTCATGGCTACACTCAATGCCGATTGTGCTGCTCATTCCAATTCTATACCCGATCCTCTCTCTCCAGATTATTGTGTAGAATTCATTTGGTCAGATACATCTTACACTTCACTAGCAAAGTACGGTGGAGAAAAGGAAAGTTCTCTTGTATATCTCGATTTTGTTCATTGCAGAGATCCTGAACAATGTGCGACAAAGTTTTTTGGTGTTAGAGATTTGTCAGATCATCGGTGGGTCGCATTTTTACTACCACATGTTAGACAATTAAGGTACATTTCGATTAACTACACAATCAACTTGATAAACTTATTGCTTCTAGACTTGTTCTACTGGAGAAAACAACACTTGGAACGGTCAACACCGGTGTAAACAAAGTTGAAACAATCAACGCAAGGGATGCTGTTTTTGTTGCAGTGTGTAGTTTTATCAACAGATTATTCTTTCGTAACTGATCAGGTTGTTTTTTAGTCCTTGAAATTTCTTGTTGTACTCGATTTATCACGATCAATTCTCCTATATTCCGGTGCATCGAAGGTAAATTGCTCATTCATAGTTCTACGAGTAACAACAACAACAACCAATTTACTAACACTTGTAGATCGCTAAAGTACTTCTACATGAAGAAACAGGTCCACTGTCGTCGAATTCTTTTCTTCGTTATACGCCTTACCAACGTGTTCGAACATCGAGTCGACCAACAAGCTTCCATCGTACACCATTACCATTAGTATGTTTTTTGAAATTCATCATGTTTGAAAAATCAGTACTCTTTTTCGAAGAAATTTCCTTCTTCACCTGTATCGTGCGCGTTAACATCAGTTGCTCAAGCACCTCAGTCATTCATTTGCGATGAAAGTATCAATGATCTTCATCCAATAACAATTTCTCAGATTCAAACACCGGGCGGTTCGGGAAATACAGGCAACTTCCTATCAACCACACGCTATGAAACGCTCGATGATGTTCGAAGTCGATTATTCAATCTCAAATTACAAAATAATCGTTATTATACCGTCGAATTACCGAATATTTGTCACACGCCATTGTGTAAACATTTCTTCGAAAGTTCTTCTTCTTATTTTTCTCAATTTCTTTCACTTCAGGCTCAGCGGCATTGAAAGCTGTTTGTTCGTGCGTACCACGTGAAGTCTTCAACCAGTTTATAGCCATATTTTATTCGTCTAATATCGACCCTATTCATGAACATTCACCAACTGAATGGTATACATTTGTTAAAACTCTACTAACATTGATCGGTTACGATTTACGTAAATGTTCATATATCAAACGGTTAGAATCGAAATCATCAGCTCCAACACCTCCGCAAACAGCGAAAAAAACCAAAATCGATATCAACGATACCGATGAAGATTGGCCATTTATGTTAAACGAAATCCGTCGTATTGAGCCGAATTTATTCAAATTATTCAAAAAAGATGACATAACATTACAATTACTCGACAAGACGCCTGATTTATCACATGATGAACATGATGATGGCTTAGCAAATCTTCCGATTATTCCAACCAACGTCGATTGTCTGTCAGATGATGAAAACGACGAAAATGCTGCTCGCGAATGGACACATAATATCAGTAGTACAAGTAGTACATCATTACTGATCGATCAAGGTGATACATCTACGGGCAGCATGGAACATCCATCACCAGCGATCATATCAAATATATTTCCACAACCAAGACACAAAGCAGTATCATCGACACCAACATTGACACACATCGATAGAAATGATAAGCCAAAACAACAGAGAATCAGTCGATATACAACAATCAATTCGAATGATCCACTCTATGCTCACGCCGGACAAATTCTTTGTGCTTTACATGTTGTTTATGAAGTAAGATAGGATGAAGAATGTGATTGAAAAAGATATATATATGTTGATATTGTGTCTAGGATTTGACACTGAATCATACCAAGGATTGTACGCCATTACTGGAACTTTTATACCTTTTAGCTTGGTAACAATTTATTTTCTTTATCAAAGATATTTTATGCATTTAGTTTTCAGTGATTTCGATTTACATGAATATCGTCATTATTATTTGGCAGAAAACTGGAAAATATCTAAACGTGTTCGTAAAACTCATCAATTATCTCCAAGTATTCATCTAACATCTTCCTAATATCATGATTATAATATTTCTCTAATTCAGTTGCCTCGAATTTATTCATGCCAAGATTGTTCGACCAGACTCCGCCGAGTTACTTAAAATGGATTCGACTTTTTCTATCTCGATCAGATAATTTTAGTCAATTAACACCGTTTCCGTATATTGCATCAGTCACAAATCGAATCGTACTCTGTACCAAAGTAAAACCTTAATAATAATAATAATAATAATACATCTAACATTCAAATCGAACATCTTTTTTCAGCTCCTCGCAACTTATCTATATCCAGGAATGTCCAATGTACATTTGAATTATTTATGTAATATTGCTGCGAATAGTAGTGGTAAACTTTGATTTTCGTATAGAAGTAGTGTTTTTCTATGTTGTACTTCAGATGGCACGTCACCCGCTCCGATGCTGTTCGCGTCAATCAATACCATTAAAAACGACATCGTATCTCGTCATCAGCAAATTATTGATGCCTTTCTAACCGATGGTAAACTAAGTTGAACTAATCAATTGTTATTTTTCTGGTGTTACAATAGATTCGACAGCAACGGAATTCGATAGTTTACCATTGTGTGTCCATGCTGTTCTATACGAAGCCATTAGTCATGTAGCATTACAACCTAAATTTGATTTACCGAGAAAAACATACGAATTTCTCGGCCGACAAGAATTAATCTATCATGATCCGAAATTATTCGACAAAAACTTTCATCCGGGTCTCATTTCACTTCGAAGCCTAGAATTAATTCGAGTATATGGAAAAGATTATCACAATGACAAAACTCGTCTCGTCGAGAGCGAAGTAAGATGATGCGCAGAAATACACGATAGATATATCAAACGACTGGTTCTAGGTATTAAAATTACGTTTTCCTGAAGATTTACGTGTACAAACCGTTGTTGAATGTCTTCAGTCATCGACACCAGTGATGATTGATATCGCACAACGACCTAATGTAACTGAACAGGAAGTTATGGAGAATAATGAACGGTACTTATACAGTGTTGCACAAAGAACAATGTCACTACCACTTGGAAGGTTTGCATGTCAAAACAGGAGAATGTCGTAAAATAAAGCTGACTATTTTAGGGGTGCATTAACCTTAGGAACTGTCTATGCATCACCACATGATGCTTTTATTATACCAGAATTGAACCTGAAAGGGCGAGTTCCTTCTTCGTATGTATTTCAAGAGTAGATTTCCTTTTTTCATTTTCTATATCGCTCTTCTAGTACTGTTATTGTCAATATGACCCATATCGAGGTGCCTCAGAATATTACACACTGGCCATTGTTCCATAATGGTGTTGCAGCATCATTAGCAATCAATCAACATGCTTGCGATATGGGCGATAATTGGATACGCTCACAAATTTTGAAAAATAATGATATTACTAATGAACAAGCAGGCTTTCTATATGGTTTGGGTTTAATTGGTCACTTTAAAAATCTTCCAAAATCGTTAATCTATTCCCTATTACAAAAAGCGAATGAACTGACAATGATGGCTTCCTTACTTGGCATTTGTGTTTCAAAGTAAGGACGATACCAATCGAATTCTCTGATGACGATTTACTTATTCTTTTTCAAATCTAGTTATAAATCCATGAGTTTAACATTAACAAGTTTATTAACAATTTATATCAAAAGCATGTTACCACAAACATTGTTCGAATGGGAAGTACCATTTGGCGTTCAAATCTGTGGTATTATGGGTCTTGGTTTACTCTATGCCGGCAGTGGTGATCGATACATATCGGATATCCTGTTAGCTGAGATCGGCAAATTACCCGTCAGGTACAGATTTCATTACTTGGAAAATATTGATATTCATTCGTTTATTTGCAGCACGGGTGAAAAAGAAATGGTTATTCTTGAACGCGAAGCATATGCATTTACATCTGGCATTTCACTTGGCACGGTTTTATTTAAGGTAGACAGCCATTTGACCGATTATACTCGTGTACGAAACCCTTGTTATCTAGAAAGGATTGAACAACATCAATTCCAAAGAAGATTTTTTCACCAGTGCTCTTCTCAGTTATATTATTGGTAAAGAACGTGTATATTCATTCGGGTCACTTCGCACACATATTCAAGTACATGAATATGGTTCAATGAATGCAAATATTACGGCAACAGGCGCAATGATTGCACTTGGTTTGACTTACTTCAATACCAAAAATAAGTACGTTCGCGTGAGAAATCGATGTTCGATTTGTAGAGTTCGCATCTACATATGATTATTGGCTATAACTTATTTAGGGATATTGCTGAATGGTTCACGCCAGATGATATTATGCGCTTGATCGAATTAATTCGACCAGATCTTCTTCTTTTACGAGTGTGTTGAGACAAATTTCAATATTTGACCATAGTTTTCATCTTTCATAGACTGTTGTGTACAATTTAATATCTTGGGAAAGTATTGACAATACTTCTGAATGGATCGACAAACAAATTCCGACAGTTTTAACTAAGAATGCGTTCCGAAGCAAAATATCGATCAATACCTATGATGCGGAGTCGATCACTCAAGCCTATTGTTATCTGGTTTCAGGTGTGTGCTTTAGTTTAGCACTGAAATACGCAGGTACATGGAATGAACAAACAGCGAACATAATTGTAAATTGCTTCGAATGTGATTCGATTGACAAATGTTACACTTTCATTGTAGAGAGCATATTTCAAACAATTTCAAGTCTATATCGATCGTCCAGCTGATTACATTGATAATGATCCTGATAGTTATGCTCCGGATAGTGCAACTCTGGAATTTGTCATCTCGACGCTTGTACTTTCACTAGCAATGGTAATATGCGACCCATCTCGTAGTTTCATGTACACAATATTTCATACTACAGGTGATGGCTGGTAGTGGTGATTTACAATTGCTGAATCTCTTACGAACTTTACAAACACGTGTAGGGCCCGATCGAACACACGTTACATTTGGCTCACATGTTGCTGTTAGTATGGCTTTAGGTCTCTTACTCCTTGGTGGTGGACGGTATGCTTTCGTCTGGCTCATGTGACTGATCCATTCGATGTTTTCTATTTTACTAGATATGGCTTACGAAATGATGATGACGCGATACCTATTCTTCTCGCTGCATTTTATCCTCATTTTCCCATGAATAGTAATGATAATCGGTATGTAAATACTTTCTTTTGCAAGCATTTCATGTTACGTTGTTCTTAGATTTCATCTTCAAATCTTCCGTCATTTGTATGTTATGGTTTGTGAATCACGTCTAATGATTACTAAAGATGTAACCAGTCAACAAGTCTGTTCTGTTAACGGACAATTATGGATCAATGAAAATAATCAAATTCTCGTGAAAACTTTCCGTACACCGTGTTTCTTACCGAACTTTATTTCTATAAAACGCTTAGAAATCAATGACAATGACTATTGGCCAATTGTTTACGAAACCGATGAAGAAATCCAACGTTTAAAACAAATGTTAAGCCGGGACGGTCTCTTCTATGTACAAAAATCTTCGATTTTATCGTCATTGATGCTCAAGAAAACATCATCATCGCTTGTTCAACTTCTCTCAAATAATGAATCATCATTACGAACATGGTTTCATGCATTACAACTCTATTCTGGCATACAACGCATCATCGCTGAACCAATTAACAATCGTCATGTAAAAGAAATGCACTCTCTGATCGCTTTTTACGAAAAATATACATCTATTCGCAAAGTGACGACTTCAAATGATACCGATGATGTGATTCTCCGAACACAATTCACGAATATACTTTTCAAAAATATCACAAGTAAAAATCTTGTCCCGAAGGGTGACAGCGACTTGTTCTGTATATGAATTTTCTTATAGAAATGAAAGCTGATTTACTTGCCGCTTTGAAAAATCAAAACGATTCAAGAAGATTTGGTTTATTATTACCGATTCGTGAATGGTTACCGGGTTTGAACGAAGAGAATCTATTATCTCTTCTCGGTAAGAAAAAATTTATTCAACAAACAAAACAATTGCCTTTCCTCTTGTGATTATGTCTTTAGATACGACAAGCCCAGCGAAATTAATTCGCTACGCTGTTAATCTTGGACTCGACTGCGAGTTGGCACTTTATCTACTGAACGGAACTGCGTAAATGAAATTTCTGTATGTGATATATATTTTTTTTTCTTTCATCTGCTACACAATAGGTAAAAACGTTGAAACTTTAATGTATTTTTCCTCTCTCTTATCAGAAATAAAAAATTTATAAATCTTAGAAGAAGAAAAAGACCTGTTGAACATTTCGGGTACATCGACTACAATTAACAACAGGAAATAATCTGTTTCTTTCAACAACATGTATCAACACTATGTAGAAAATTTTCAATTAAAAATAAGAATGATGCATTAATAATAGATTTTAGTAATGTAAAATTTTTATATAATCAAGAATTGAGACTACTTTCCAGGAGAAAAAACATGTTTTAGTCGAACAGAACTTTAGTTATTCTTGAACTGATTAATCAAGGTAGAGATACGCTCAAGATTGCTCTATTTACGACTTACGTATTGCCAACAGCGTGAAATGTCAGACCCAATTGTTTTGATCAGGTAAACCATTGTGCATCGTGTCATTCACAGAGAGAAATTACTGAAAATGTGTGCTCAACCTATCTGCTCTATTTCTACACATACTTAATAACATAATACAAGAAGTTGTTACTCGGCTGATTGAAGGTATATTTGGGACTATATTAGAATGTTCACAGTCTTCAATTTAATAAATACAAAGACATTGTAAAGCATCTCTGTAATGATAATTTTGAAGTTATATTTTCAGTGAATATTAGCATATAAATGAGATGACCTTGATTTACCTTCACCCCCTCTGCGCGTGAGAACTATGACTTTTTTTTGTATAAATTCACAATAGTTGTTCTCGAACATTTGCTTCCTGATTAAATAAGGCGAGTAATCACGATTCAAGACTTCAAAAGAACGTGTCTACAACACAAAACGGAACTGTTAATCGATAGCTGTTGAACTTGGCATATGTCACAGTGTAAACTATACCATCTTTTCCGATAGTATTATGATGAAACAGAAAAGGATTATTCGCGGTCGATGCAAAAACTCCAAATCGACCGACTTCTCTACTTTTTTTTTGTTATTACTAACTCAATACAGCGTATTATTACACCCTTCTCTTCGTTTTATTCAAATAATGAGTATAATCATTTTGACATATGCATCGTCGAATAAATCACTCCGCAAAAGCTATAGACAAGATGTTTGTCAATCAGTCAAGCACATCGATAACAACTACACGCTGAATCACCAATCTTGCCATAGCGATAAATGTTCCTTTTTTTTCTCTTGCTCGTTTTGTTTTACCTAATCAAGAAAAAAAAAATCGAGAATAGGTACCTTTGTGAGCTTCGTATAAACCATTGAAGCGATGAACGACCACATTCACGTGCACCAAAGTCGTTAGGTACAGATCGTGTAGCAAAGAGAGAACATAGGAAAGGTAATTTATCATTATATTCTGTATCTTTTCTGTAAGCATTCACGTGTACACTGTATTTATTGCTCATTCATCTTTACCATTCCAGGTACGGCTCTAATTTTTCCTCATTTCATCGAGATGAAATTTATAGGTTATCTGTCGACCGAAGTTCCATTAGTAGATCTCTAATAAATCATCGGCAGATGTTGAGTAGTAATAAACGATGAAGAGTCCAGATTAAAAACAAGACTGTTTATAAAAGAAAGGCGATGTGAGAAAATGTCTTTCAGAATATTTTGTTTGATGAATGAAAATGACAAGCAGAAACTTTGCTATGTATCATCTATTTTATATTCACACGATTGCTATTGTTTTAGCAAAGAAAAACTGCAAGTTTGTCAATGAAAATACTGAATGTAATTTGAATGTAAATGAGAAGAAGAGAATTTGTTTTCTTACAGCGCAATACGTGACAATTCTCTGAGATACCAGTCGAGATTAATACGATAGTCTGCCAATTTTTCGAAATTAAATTTCTTTATTGCGTAAAATAACTTCTATTCCTATATTACTAGAATCTAGATACTTGTATTTGTGCTTCTCTTCTCTTCTTGTGAAATTGTTTCGCTATTCTGTCACTTTTTTCTCTTGCCGTCTTCAGACAAACCCAAATTTTAACGAGCAGAGACATACGTGTTCTTTTACATTTAATCATTTTGTTGAAGGTTCTGTGAGTACATTTTGAAAACGCGTCATAAAATATGTTTTGCATCTCACATAGGATTCGTTCGACTTTTAACGAATCAACATCGCTAACTATCTGTTCACCTACATCCCATCCTCTCACGTCTCATCAGTAATCCAATAAACACTCATTACCGCTAAATTCAAATCCATTGATTAATTAATACTACTAACGGTTTATTTGTGAATTTCTTTAGATCTCTATGAGTTGTTGTTTTATTACATTTGATCTGTTCTAGTTACTATTACCTTCCAAATCACCTTTGATGAAAATGTCATCCAAAGATCAAGCCTGGTTTGAATTTCTAGTTGAATCACCGACAAAATCAGTTAAAGATGAAGCCTATGATCATGACATGATCAACACGATGTCTCCATTAACTGATGATATTGATTATATGATAATCGATTCTGAACTTAATCCAATACATTCTCGAAAACATCATTCGGACGAAAAGGCTGCAGTAAAGAAATCGAGGAAGAAAAGACTTACAACGAATCGTAAGTTATCCGTTTTCCTTAATTGAGTATCAATTCTTAGAAAATTAGTTTACTCATTGAACTGGGCATACATGTCGTGTCTACAAAAGAAAGCCTGATGTTTTAGTTGACATAGTTCAATATAGTTTTATTCATTTTTTGCCAGTGTCTTTGATTAGATACGTTCTTTAAAGTACTTTTTTCCATGTTCTTTTGTCAACTGACAAAATCCAAATGTTTTTTCTTCATACTTCTTTCTGGCCTCGTGTATATCCTTCGCCATTACGATTGCTTTTATTACCTTCACCAAACTTGTTACAGCCTCGATAGATGCCGAAGCAAAGGACAAGATGACTTGCCATGCACGCCCTTGTCGGGCTACTCACGAGAAAAGCAAAACGAGCGAAAATGTTGTCAGGCAGACCAACTCTCTTTCTTTCCTTCTCTCTCTCTCTCTTTCTGTTCTGTGTTGTTCTATGTCGACGTAGTCGTCCTTCTTTTTCATGCTAAATAATAGCGATGTGCTACTCGTGCCTGCGCGCTCACACAACCCCCTTACGTTTTTTTTTCTTTCGTCGTTTCTTGACACTCAATCATCGGTGCAATGAGCATCGACAACAACCAGTAGTTTTTTCCTTGTTATGACTGACTTGTTTTTCTTTCTCTTTTTTTTCATACAGTTAATAAGTAAATGTAAGACACAAAGCAAGACTTGTTTTCGGTACACATTTATATATTCCGGCATGAACTATTGATTGAATCGTACAAAGAAGAAATGTACGGATGCAGATGTATGTTCATTCGTTCTATTTCACCAGAGGTCATGTAGCCCCTGACCTGATAGAACATACATGGCGAGATAAAGAAAAGAAAAGAATAGAATATATTCATTGATATTTTTGTGTTCAAATAAGAGATGCGAGATTCGAGTGTGAAAATATGATGAATGGAATATATTTATTGCGTTTCCCTGCTAGATTTCGAACAAAATTTTGAATCTTTATTATTTTACTGGTAGAAGTACGATTTGCAAGAAGGGCAAATAGAAAAAAAAAGTCGAGAACAGCCTGTGCTCCTATAAAAGAATAGAAAGAAAAAATATACAACGTAATAGACGACTCTCTATAGCTTCATGTTTCTTTTTCTCTCGTTTTTTTTTCTTCTCTCAAGTTTTTTGTGCTTTCTTTTTCTATTATCGGTCTACATCATACAAATATATTTTGATCTTAGATTATATACTCTTCATCTATTTCTTGTTCTCTCTATCTGACAACAAGTATTATGTTCAATAGCTAGATATGTTAATGATGGCAGCCATAGGGAATCCACTAGCAAATTTCGATCATCGTTCAACATCTTCACCTAACCAAACAACAACTCAAATTAAACAGCAACCGTTTAGTCCTCCACCTTTTCATCAGTTGACGAATAGCTTTTTCAATCATCACCATCATCATCTTCATCAACAGCAACGTTCGACCCCGTCGCCGGACCATGAACGAATCTCACCCCGGTCAAATACTCACGCTGAAAGTTCTTCAACTCCTAATCTGAGTGTGCCGCCAACACTTGGTGCAGGTCGGTAGACATACATAAAAGATAGACAGATAATCAGTTAAGAAGCAAAATAACGAATGTTATTGCGCAGCTTATTTTATTTTACTAAATTAGACGCTTGAATGATTCGAATGCTTTTAGACAATGTCACGTTGATATAGGTAGTTTCTCTGAATAATATATGATTTCAAATCGCGTTAATTAAATAAGAATATGTTATTATATAGTTCTTATTCAAAGAAGAACTATTTACTTCTTGTCAAGATAAACTCACTGAGTAATTGTTATAAAATGCAAAAATAAGACTTTTTTGCACGTCTTGTCCTCAAAGACTGCCAGCGATTATTAGATAAAAGTTCGTAAGGAAAGGAGATGAATAATGTTATTTAATTATTTATAAAGAAAATATGCTCTAGAGATCAAAAGCTTTGTATCAGGAAAATCTTAATAAATAAGTTTTGCCTTTCTTTTCTTTAGCGTCAATGACTTCTGAGGATAAACGTCGTTGCGTAAGTAGTTCGAAACGACTGTCGAGTCTAGCAAAATTTTATGTCAATGTTATGTAGGCGGTGTGCAGTGATATTGCTTCCGGTTATCATTATGGTGTTTGGAGTTGCGAGGGTAAATAATTTTATTGAAAATTGCTATTTCGTTGACATTGCCGGTTAATTCTTCAGGATGTAAGGCATTTTTCAAACGAAGTATTCAAGGTACGAATGAGTACATTTGTCCTGCAACAAATACTTGTACGATTGATAAACATCGTCGAAAAAGTTGTCAGGCGTGCCGTTTGAGACGTTGCTATGAAGTCGGAATGACCAAAGGCACGACCCGACGAGAGCGCAAGTATCGTAAGAAGGCCGTGTCTGTCTGTAAAATCACATCGACGTCATCGAATTCTAACGCTATGAATAATCCATCCGCTCATAATCATGATTCTGGATTGCCGATGGCAACTAATATGTCAGGAACACCGACATCGGGGACACCATCGATATCTCAAATGAATAACGCAGATTTCTCATCCACACAATTATCAACAAATAAAGTAAGTGGAATGAAATTTGTCTGCAACAGAATAGACAGTAATCGTTTTGTTCCATAGACAACTACAGATTCTACGCGGATATCGATCACATCGGCAGAATTCATCAATACGCTGTCTCTAGCGTCACGATTGAATTTACCAGCAAAAGTTGACTTAAGTCGCCCATTGACTGATCAGTATTTTCTTCAATTACTCGCAAAAATCTTCGATCAAGAACTTGTTGTGTTGATCAACTGGGCTAAGGCAATGCCAGGTACTTCTACGCTCATTTCACTTCAAACGCCATTTTCATCCTCAACTGCTTTCAGGTTACACGGAAAGTTTAACTCTTGATCAACAAGTGACGATTATCGAGCAGAGTTGGCTAGACACACTAATTCTCGACGTAATCGAACGCTCTCTCGAGCGTAGTGATGACACACTTCATTTTGCGCCTGACTTTATCATTTCACGGTAATCATCGTTGTTTCTGATCGAATCAATTCGTCACCTGTTCGATAATTTAGGAATCGTGATCTATCTAGTCCAGGCCTCGGTGCAATTTGCACAAGCTTATTCAATATTCTTCAAGCATTTAAAGATCCACGAACGACGCACGAAGAGTTTATTGCATTAAAGGCAACTATTCTGATTAACTCAATTCCAGCTACAATTACAACAACGAAATCATTTCGTCTCCTCACCAATCAAATCTATCAAGCAATACAATACACATGTGATTCGAATCCAAGTGTGTACCATGATAATTACATTCGTCATTTCACATTATTATTACAATTGCCACATATAAAAATTCTAAGTCTCAAGCTCATACGATTGTTCGTCGAGATGCGAACTAATGACTTGTTACCGCAAGCTGATCTTCTATTAGAGATGCTTGATGCACAAGACTCACTTGACTTGAATAATAGTTTTCTATCAATGAATACTGATATCAATAGTCTAGCATCGGATATAAATCCAAACTTGCCTACAAATAATAACAATATGGAAAATACGACTGCGTCAGCAACGATTAACAATTCTACTATTCAACCAAACAATTACCAAGCCACTGGCGGCAATTTCAATCCGAGGCAAGAAACAGTCGATCAAGCTCAGAATGTCAATGATTTAAACAGTAAGTGCGGATAGAAAACAGCAAAAGTGAAGTATTTGTTGTTGATTCAATGAAAGTTGATAATGAAATTTGCCTTTGTCTTCAGGTCAAATGAATTATCGATCGACGTCATCACCAATGTTATATCCAAATGCATCATCTGAGAAACGTTCACCCGCCACTCAATCTCTTCCCTACTACAAACATTCTAATTCTGAAACACTTTCCAATTCAACGCCACAAAATCTGCATTTTCAAATGAATAATCTATCGTATTAATGCTCAAATTTCATGTATATTGCCCGTAAGACATGTGCCATAGATAGATTTGCTTTGAAACACAAAAATATTCTATTTTTTTCGTTAAATCAAATTTATCAAATGAAACTTTGCAACAGTATTTGTAATATTTGCTCACACGAAACGAACGTACATAGAAGAAACTATTCCCCACTTATATCCTCATTCTTCATGCTCAACAATCGATGTCAAAACTCCATTAATACCATTCGTTTTTGCACGAATAAACACAAAAAGAAGACAACGAGTCATTTCTGTGTTTTCTCTCGCTCTCTCATATGTTGTGGAATATTGTTCAAAGAAAAAAATTTCTGTGTTGATGTTTGATGTATCTTAACCCGGTTGAACACCATCTCGGTATTGTTTTCTTCTTTGTTCTTTGTTTAACTGTTTACATTCTTGTTTTTTATTTTTTTTCCTTTGTCTATTTCTTCTTTTCGTTTGTGATTCTGTTAAATACACGTGATGTATGTTGAGCAGACAGATCAATTCAGCACCGCTGTCACCTCATTTATTGATTGACTCAACTGTTTGAAACGCATTTACAATGAGTTTTCTCGAGTGAAAACCATTTGTTTAATGCATGTCATCAACTAAAAAGCAAGTTCATGACAGACATATTTGCTTCCTCAGCTGAATTAACAAATAAATGTAAACAGGTCTTTGTTAAAAACGTCGATGCCTTTTTATTCAAGTGAAAACATTTTTAGATCAATCTAAAAATGACAGTTAGGTGCAAACGGGCGAGTTTGTTCACCAGTTTGCTATTGAACTTGACATTGATTTTCACAGCCGAATAAAAACAAATATATAATCGATTGAATTAACCTGTATGCATACACGAAATAAGAAGCAGATTCTTCTAATGTGGAATCTTTCAAGAAAGAAATATAATTGTACATAAATGTCTAACAATTTCCCTGCCCTTGCACTTGACAGGCACTGATTAAATCAACGAACGTCTGCGAACAGATAAGTACACATCCGTTGTGTTTTTTGCCTATGTCTTTCAATAGTAGCCATCAGACATTCTGCCTGTTATTAATATCTTTCCATTTCTACATACGCCTACCAACAGAGCCAGTGGAGAAATCAATCAATGACTACATTATTACTCTGTTTATTCAGTTCTATTCGTATTTGACTTGTTTCTCTGTTGATATAGAACACTTGACATAGGAAAATGTTGACAAGAGTTTTCTTTTGCTTCTACTTGATTCAATCAACCGTACAAATAAATGGCAATAATCATTATCGAGCAGATTTAACCGGTAGTTTGTGTTGATCTTTGTTATAAACGAAAACAATTGTTTTATGTTTTAGTACTTTTCAATTTACTCGATATTCCACATTTAATTGAACATGGATGGGTTCCTGTACTGGAAACGTCGAACGCAATATTGACAGAGAATCTGTTACCGACACTTGATATTATCAGTACGAACATTACAGAAATAACAGACATTGCAATTCGAACACCGCTAACACCGCAACATCGAAAGGCAACTTTTGTTTACATCAAGGCCAATTCAAAACCGACCGATACTTTTCGTGAGCAAATAATCCTTTCTTTGTTGTTGAATCAGTTATATCCTTCGTGTAGAATTTAATTTTCCGGATGAATTCATTCTTCTGATTAAGTATCGTTCAGTAACAGATTCATCGGGTACAATATGTTCCTTACTGGATGATCGCGCATTTATTACCTTGGAGATCCACATTAGTACAAATGTAACAATAATCTATCATTCTAAAGAGAGCAGTGAACAATTTACCTTTGACCATCCAACATTGGTAGCTAACGATGGATTGTAAGTAGAGTGATATGAAAGAATGTATTTTGTTTGGATTGGATGCATTTGATTGTAGGTGGCACGAGTTGAGTTTGGCTTTCGGGAGTCATTCGGTGAAACTGCAAGTTGATAATCAAATTCAAGAGGATATAAGCGTTCCATTAAACATACATCCTACTTCAGTGAACTTTAATTTAACAGGTGTCATCTTCCTCGGAGCAGATGTTAATGGCAACAATCAAAAGGACTCTTTGTTTCAGGTAAAATGACCAGATTATCCTAATGTTTGTTGGGTGCCATGAGGAAAAACTCGTTAATTAAATCTACAGGATATATTCATGAGTTTTTGGCATTGAGTGAAGCAGCTTTGCCGTGGTTAAGATATTTTCTTCTATCGTCGATAATTGCAACATACGAAACAATATGTGGCATATTTCATCTGTTGAGACCATTGCAAGAAAGGACGAAATAGCATAAAATCATTGTGTTGTTTCTTCGAAACATTGAAATGGTACAAATATGAGTTGTAGGACGCAATTTGATTAGAAAAAAAGCTTGCAAAATGTTTAAAAAGGAACTGGAATGTTGATGATTTGTTTTGATCTACTTAGGGCGATATCAAGGATGTTCTAGTCATGGGTTCCAAATTAAAAAATACTAGCAATCTAACAACGAATGACATGCTAGAACTCGAGGGTGAACCTCCGTTATTGCACCAACAGTTCCCAAACAAGGACTGGACAAATCCTTTAGTAAATAGTTGAACTGACAAGATGAACACTATTTCATTTAAATTCTATGTATTGCAGTCAGTTTCACATGAATACTCGGCTGAGCATGTAGAACGATTCGAAGAAGGGCCAGCAGGACCAGTCGGTAAACCAGGTAGACCTGGTCTTGATGGTCCAGTTGGCGCGCCCGGTGCTCCTGGACATATTATTGTCATTCCTGTACGTATTAATGTCTTGATTTTGACTCAGAATTCTGTTGATATACGTATATTAGTCACCGATTCATGATGAACACGACCCGCAAGCTTTTATGCATGCAATTCAAGGAATGATCAATGCATATGTAGTGAGTACTATGGATAATTTAATTAAAATATCGATGTATAATCGATGATTCGAATTAGCATATTCTAACAGGCCAACCAGGTGCTCCAGGACGGCCAGGGTTACCTGGTGATATGGTAAAATACCGATATATTTCCTTAAGATTAATTTATTATGAGTACCTTTCAGGGACGGCCAGGTTCGAGAGGTGCGAGAGGCGAACTTGGTGAACGTAAGTTTGATTAATCAATTTAAAATAAACCAATCATATTTTTATTCGTCCTTCAATGATTTAGCTGGATCACAAGGACCTTCAGGTGCGCCAGGACCTATTGGACCTCGCGGACCACCAGGACCACAGGTTTGATCTAACATTTGTATGATATTTCACATATAGATTTACTTTTTGTTAATATTTCTAGGGTTCTCGTGGTTATAGAGGATTACGTTAGTAGAATACAACAACGAAGAAACTGTATATCAGTATATTCATACTTTTTAGGTGGTTACCAAGGTGCTCCTGGTCAGAAGGGTGAACAAGTGAGTAAAATAGTGGCTGCTCGTTTGTTACATCATGAATTGATGCATTTTAAAGGGACTACGTGGCCTGCCAGGATTACAAGGTGAAAAGGGAGATCAGGTATATTATCTCTTATGAATGGCAAGAAAGTATATTAATTCTATAACGCTTGTAGGGTGAGACAGGGCCTATCGGCGAACAGTGAGTTACAACGATTTTGTAATCAGGAAATGAAAACTAATGTTTCGTATAGGGGACCTCTCGGGCCAATAGGACTTAAAGTAAGTCTTATGTTTTGAATAAATTCATTAATTTATATTTTGAAGGGTGACAAAGGTGAGATGGGACCAGAAGGATTACAAGGTAAGTGACAATTCTACGTTTTCCTGACACTAATAGTATTATTGAAATACGTTTCGTAGGAGAAACAGGCCCACGCGGTCCGCCTGGTCCCAAGGGTATCACTGGTCGAACTGGTTTGACCGGCCAAAAAGTTTGTATTTTATATTTATTTGAAAGATTGAATCACTCTTTTTCTATTTTAGGGAGCCCAAGGACCACGCGGCTCTAAGGGAGAGAAAGGAGACAGAGGTGAAAAGGTATCGTATATCGACGAATGAGTATTGAAACAAACCTTTCCACTTAACGTCCTTCAGGGAAATATGGGCTGGCGCGGTCGTATTGGTCCTATTGGATTTACTGGTTGGTAATACATGTTATTCTTCAGATGTGGAAATAAACAAAACTTTTCTTATAGGTGCACAAGGCATACCAGGAGCTATTGGACGAAAAGGAAGACAGGGCGTTCGAGGATTGACGGTAACATTTGAGAATATTTTCCCTACATTATTTGATGATACGAAACAAATTGCTTTTGCTTTCTTTTCAAGGGATCTGTCGGTCCACAGGGACTGCAAGGTTTAGTTGGTCAGAAAGGTGATCGTGGTATAGTAAGTGTGCTTTTGCCACATATTATAATTTTGTAATGCTTATCTTACCTTCTAGACTGGACCAAAGTAATTATTATTACTGGGATTGGAAGCTAACATAACCCAGCATCATTGTTTCTAGAGGAGATCAAGGCATTACTGGACCAATTGTAAATAATTATACTCCTTTCTCTCTCTCTCCCATAGATTTGATTCCGTTCTATTTAATATTATTTAGGGTACTAAAGGCATTACTGGTGATCGTGGAATACCGGGTGAAAGGTTTGCGTGTATGGATAAGCTTTCTAAGTTTTGATAAATTCAATTTTTCTTTCCAGAGGTGATAAGGGTTTCAAAGGTAAACAAGGTCCTAAAGGTACCATTGGCATCACTGGTGATAAAGGCGACAAAGGTGATACAGGACCACAAGGGTATTCTGATAATAAACTTTGAGATTTGAGAAAACGTTTCTGGTTTGCATTCTGTAGGCCACTGGGTTTGGTCGGAGATGTTGGTCCAATAGGTTTGACTGGGGCTCAGGGATTCAAAGGAGACAAGGTTATTTATCCTTTAAAGCCGTTCAATTTTATCCATCGTATATTTGTTTACTTACTTTCGACAGGGAGAAATTGGTTCGACTGGTGATATTGGTGTCACTGGAATGCAAGGATTACGGGTTGGACCTATTTTTTTGTTTTTTGTAATACGTATCAACACTGGACTTGTTTCGCGTTAGGGTCCAATTGGTCTCACAGGTCCTATCGGATTCACCGGTCCAAAAGGTTACAAAGGTGAAGTAGGTGAAAAAGGTGAAAAAGGAAATCGAGGAGAAAAGGGTATACAAGTACGTATCAAGTCAAACATTCAAAAATATTAAATCACAATCATTGTTACGTTCTATAGGGTCCCCAGGGAATCGTCGGTCCACAAGGTATTCAGGGAAAAGTAGGTCCTGTAGGACCAAAGGGCGATCAAGGTAAAACGGTTTGATAGTAAGCTGAAGTTAGGCAATATACTTTATCTATACATTAGGTGAAAAAGGAGAAAAGGGAATTATTGGACCGCAAGGTCTACAAGTAAGCATTTTTATTCATCGTCATATAGTAGACAGAGAGAGCTGTTTCTTGAGGGTGAACAAGGCCTCATTGGATTAACTGGTGACAAGGGCAATCAGGGTGTCGTTGGTCCTGTTGGCGCAAAAGGTTCATAATGATATAATATTGTAAAATGAAACATGACAAGAAATAACAAAGGCTATTTTCTTTAGGTAATCAAGGTGAAAAGGGCAATCAGGTAAAATACTTAGGAAGATTTTTATTGATCAGAAATCGATACATCTCTTGGAACAGGGACCAAAAGGTGATCAGGGTATCGTTGGCCCAATGGGAATCAAAGGAGAAAAGGTTGTATGGTTCGGATACATCGTATGTTGAATGAATGTCAATTTCATCGTAGGGCATTCAAGGTCCCGTTGGCCCCATTGGAGTGAATGGTCCTCAGGGAGAAAAAGGTAAAGGTTTACCATAGAAAACTTTTCTCTATATGTAAAAACCTTTTAATTATTATTAGGAGACAAAGGTGATACAGGATCAAAGGGAATTCAGGGCAGAGTCGGTCCACAAGTAAATTTTAATTCGATGATTTAATTTCTACAACTAATCGCGTGTGTTAAATAAATAGGGATTCAAAGGTGACGTTGGTCAGAAGGGAGATATCGGACCGATTGGACCTAAAGGCGGTACTGTCGCATCATAGTTTGGCAAAAATCATAGCGTTGCATTTCTTTTTTCGATAGACAAAGGAAACATCGGAGTAATAGGGCCACAAGGTCCAAAAGGTGATCTTGTAAGTTCCTCAATTGTTGACATTTGCAAGAGTTGCATATATTTTTCATTCATTAGGGTCCAATTGGAATTATTGGTCCCGTAGGACCTATTGGATTGATTGGACCCAAAGGTGATCAAGGTGTGAAAGGAGAAAAAGGAGATGTTGGTATTCAGGGTGAAAAAGTATGCATTGAATACATAGATCGAGTTATAAGATCGATTAGTTTGTGCTTGTAGGGAGAAAAAGGTATTGAAGGTAAACAAGGTCCTATCGGACAGACAGGTGAAAAGGGAAACATGGGCGACGTAGGTTGAGTAAATGCGCTTACTGATAAATCTGTTGATAGTGTTCTTCGCTAGATTGGAGAAATTGGTCCAAAAGGTGAAAAAGGTAAACTGATTCGTCACTGAATAGATCTTTTGCAATTTGTGATGATCGTTTGATTTTTCAGGAGATAAAGGAAATCAGGGAGTTCAAGGTCCTATAGGACCACAAGGACCAGAAGGCATTCAAGTAAGTAAACAGTATTGATTTGTCTATATTTCATTATGAAAAGTGAAATCTTCCATGATCAACTTCGTTTTAGGGTCCGCAAGGTATAAAAGGATCGCCTGGTCTACAAGGACCACAAGGTGAACAAGGAATCGAAGGTCCAATTGGAAATGTAGGACCCAAAGGAGATACAGGCCCTGTGGTGAGTTCACATGCGATCATGATCCTCTGTTTCGTTAGCTAACTAACGAATGAAGAGAAATACACCATTTCACAAATTGCTGCCTAATGAATAATATTTTCCTGTATCTTCAGGGCGATCAAGGAGTCCAAGGTCAAAGTAGGTGATTTGTAAAACTTCCAGAGCAAATGGACAAAATATTTCCGTATCTGTAGAGGGTGAAATTGGTCCAAGAGGTCTGAAAGGACAACACGGTGATGCAGGACCACCAGGTCCACACGGTACGTAACTTTTCTAGGAGCATAGGCCGTCGTTTTTAACATTTATTATCGCTGATTAAGGTGAAAGAGGTCCAAAGGGTGAACGAGGACCGCGCGGAGATCCCGTAAGTTCGGCCTCACCTAGTAGTCTACCGTACAAGTATCAATTGATTTGCCTAGGGAGATCCAGGTGATAGAGGACCACAAGTAAGTGAAATTAGATTTGATCAAACTAGTTATATAAATATTTGTATCAAAGGGAGCAGCAGGAACGAATGGTCAGCCTGGAAGGTAAGAACGTCTTCCGAAGAATGACTTACACTATGTGTCTTTCTTCAGCATTGGACCACCTGGACCACAAGTAACAATCTAGATTGTTGATGAGATCATTTTTTTCATAAATAAATATATTATTTATATTTAAGGGTGTTATCGGTGTACAAGGACCGAAAGGTAAATATCTTATACTTGAAACAACATATACATGTCAGTCATTGAAGGTACGGATGGACCACGAGGAATCAAAGGCGAAAAAGGTTCACCAGTATGTATAGATCAATCTAGACAATTGAACTCACGTTCATCTAATTCACTATCTCGTTCTAGGGTCCACCAGGTCCACCGGTATATTGAAATAAATAAGAAGTGGGATTTCGGTGTGATTTCTTCTATACTTAGGGTCCACCTGGTGAAACGATTTTACCAAGCGAATTAGGTTCATTCGATCCTCAAACTGAAAAAGTTGAATGGCCTAGTCCGAGATTTCGTCGTTCAATTTCCCAATTAGAAAACAATGTGCTCATGCAACCAATTGGAATACAACTCATTCACATCCTCGACAACATGGCAAATCAGTTAGAACAAATCGAATCACCAATGGGTCTTCGCCGTGAAACACCGTTTCAATCGTGTCTTGACCTTCCAAATCGATCATTGACAGGTAGTCAGAATTCTTACCACATCAGATCGTTCGTACACTATTGTTACCATTAAGGAAAATACTGGATCGACCCAAATCACGGCAGTCCAATAGATGCGATTCAAGTCGACTGTGTTGTAGAAAATGGAAAGAAAAAGACATGCATACAACCACATGATCCCCAAGCTAAACAAGTACAGAATACACGGATACTTTCAACTTGTATAATATTGGCAATTACGTATGAGTTTGAAAAGGAATAGAATAGAATAGAACGTGACGAGCTGTAAAGATGTCGTCAGAATGAGAATTGAATAGATGAATATATACCCATAGTACAAAAATAACTTCATACAAAACGTTTTTCGGTAGAGAGCTTCACTATAAATGGTAATATTTTAGGTTGATTATGGACCACCGTCTCAATTGAGATTCTTACGAATACTTTACAATCAAATCGAACAAAACTTCACCTGTGAATGTAATCAGGAAATTCGTCCAAATACTACACTTATTTCTCTCGATGATGTTCACTACGATATTAGTCAAATACCGAATGTTGTTGTACATAATGAATGTCAGGTAGAGACTGCTATGTAAAATCGAGGGAAAATCATTATTTTCGGCTTTCTTACATACTAGAATCATCATCGCCATCAAGGATCGATCAAATACATTATTAATACAACTGGCAGACATCTGTTGCCGATTATTGATATACTGTCGTATATGAAAAATCTTCGTGTTAGTCAAGTGTGTTTTTTCTAATTGATTGATGTGCATTCCGATGGTGAGAATCAGTAGAAATAAGAAATCCTTTTCTTTTCTCTCTATCAAATAAAATGACCAAATCAAAATAAATCTGTCAACGATTCAAAGCATGATCAGTGCTAGGTTTACACAGATTATCTAGTACATGTATCATACGACCCGAATCTGATATTGATTAGACACCATTTCTGGTATATTATAGAAAACTTGAAGATGAATATCGAAAGCAACACATACAGATGATGATCGTTTGTTTACTGTACAAAGATTAATACTAACGATGACTTCTAATAATAATATCGTATTTCAATTAAATAATCTATTAGTAGTATATGCTATGGAGCTTTCCATCCAATATGGAATGAATCAATCGTTTATTTGCGATTATCTTAATGTTAACCAGGCGTACTTTTTCAAATGGAAGTATTTGAATCGTTTCGACGTGTGTTGAACGATTTTCGGAGGATGTCTCATTGGATTATTTGATTATTGCCGTAGATAGAGGCAGATCTTTTCTTTTCTTTTCTTCATTTAGCTCTGGAAGTGCAACGCGCGTAGACGGACGACAATTCTATCAAAACAATGCTTTCTCTCTCATTCATGTTTGGAAGAACTTTGGAAAGTTTGATGACTTTTATAGAATAGTTAATCCATTCTATTTCTCTTACAAATCAATCTTGTCAACAGTAATTTATTCATCAATCCGTTCTTTCTTTTGTTCTGTATGAGTAAATTGAGTTTGTAGTTCATTCTTTAGGAAATAATTCCGAGAAAAGCCCACTAAATACTATCGTTCTATTGGTCTTATCCAATATTTTGTCGGTGTCCGATTTCTCTTCCTTGTTATTGTTTTTCGCGACGTCATCGAGCAGAAAATCATTGTTGCGTTATTTTACAAAATCACCATTGTTAATATCGACAATATCTAGTTTGACAAAACTTACGCATCGATCAAGTAGGAAAACAGCGCGTAAATACACGCATTAGAATTCCACAATATTCTTTTTCTGATTCTCATTTGTTTGATTTAATGAAACACATGAATTCGCTATTAGGATCAGAATGTTGCTTCTCTTCTCTCACAAGCGATTATTGCCTCTCACTTATATTCATTAGTTAGAATGTTTTTATCGTCATCGTTTTATCACAGTGCATATGAACAAGGAGAAGAGGAAAAAAGAGAGAGGCGTAAAGATCAATACCACTCTGCTCGCGCGTCTTCATCTTCTTGCATCTGCAATCTGTGTTGACGCGTGATCAATTATCGTTTTGCTGTTTTCCGCTTGCGTCTATTCCGTGGCAAGTGTCTCTAGTTTTCTCTCATTTCTTTTTTTTTCCTCGGTTACAAACAAATAAGTCACATAAATAAAGTTTACTAGCACTCATCATCATGTCGGCATCGATAGGACATCCAACGTAAGTGAATGCATATCTTGATCTCCGAGAAGAAAAAGAAGAAAAGAACGAGAACGAAGAGAAAAAAAATGGATCTGTCTGTTGTTATGAAAGGAAATGGCTTTTATTCCAATTTACCTAAACATGTCTCATCTTCCTGTTATTCTTTTTTTTCTGAATTCTTTTCCTTTAACCCCTCTTTTTGATATAGATTATGTCGAAAGAATCTTCTGGCTAACCAACAGATACGTCATTTGAATTAGTGGGATGACGTCTCATCAAGATTCGATTTCAATTGTTGTTTCGACAGATCAATCAAATACACAACAGCGTTTGTCAGCAATATGCAAACGACTTTTCGAAATTCTCACTCACTACGATAGTAAGACTTTGATATTTATCGATATTGTTCGAAAACTAATAGTTCTTAATCAAATACGCTTAGAAGACATGACAAATCCGGATTTTCCTTTATCTCTCTCTTTCTAAATATGGGATCAGTTAGAGCATGCATGTGATTTGGCATATGTACATGTAATCGTATTATACATTTCATTTGGACATCGAGCTGTAGTCTTCCCTAAGACATCATCGGACAGGGAAGAGTTTTTGCTTAGAAAAATCTGATTAAATATGAAACACTCATTAACTTGAGAAAACTTACAAAAACATCTTATACGGAAACGAACTTAGAAAGTTCAGAAATCAAGCAAAAGTCTTTTTTTGCTAGAATATAATTAGATAAGAACTCTTTCTCAAACAATAACTCAAAAAAATATAATCAGGAGTCAATAGATAAAATCTCCTTCATGTTCTTTTCTTTCTCTTTGTAGCTCCAAAAGTCGTACGTTTCGAATCCAAATGGATCGCAGGCTTATCTTTATTTGTTAAATTGTCTCTCGCTCTTAGTTGTATATATTTGATGTGTCAACGAAGTTCATATCAAATATTTGATCGTTCACCTATATCCGCTGTGACAATCAAAGTTAAACCATCGTCGAATTGTTCAAGTGATCCAAAGATAATGAGACATTTCCCCGATTACAACTGCTCACAGTCGACCTATGATGTAAACGATTTCATTGTACCTCCCACGGAAAACTCCGCTGTGACAATCACCACTCGCGTAGTCGAATTTGGCCATATTCTACAAAATTGTGATATAGCAAAGACACGAACTAATCAAACGAACTTTCTACGACCTTATACAAAACTCTTGCACGAGTGTTATGGCAAAGCACGTTGTATTTTACCTCCTTCCTATCGTTCCATTTGGGAAAACAATACTATCGTTCGTAAACCACAACTATGTTGGTTCAAGTTACCCAAAGTACATGTCAAGCGTAATTATCAAGCACTCGATTACGTTCTATTTATAAAACATTATGTTGAATTTCCTCAACTTAATCTCGTGCGTAACAATCTCATGCAAGGTGCTTCAGAGAACTATACGCAAACATGTGAATATGATCCAGATGATCATCCACTTTGTCCAAAATTTCGCATTTTGAAGATCTTGCAATTGATCGAAGTTGATCCGAAGGAATATGAGTCAATGCTTTATTACGGTTCATTGATTGAAATTAAAATCAGTTGGAAATGCGATCTTGATAAACCGCGGAGATTTTGTGAACCCAAGTACCAATTTGAACGTTTAGATCACAAGCCTTACGACGCGAATCCGTATCAGCCGGGTTCGACTTTTCTTACCGCAAAACATTTTTTCGGACCAAACGATCGAAGACTACATCGAATTCATACACATATTTACAATCTACATATCGTCGTATCTGTTACAGGTGAAGTGGGAAAATTTGATCTTTTTCAAGCTACCACAAGTATCGGTTCATTTCTTGGAATTTTTGGTGCAGGAACAATTGTGTGCGATCTCATAGCAGCATTCTTTACGAATTTTAAAACGATTAAATACGATGGTTGATTATTCCAGGAAATAAAAAAAGAAATTTGTTTTTCTCAGGAACACACAAGACAATTCTTCCAGGTTATTTATTTATACACAGAAAAGACAAAAAAGAACTATTTGGTTAACAAGGATGAATAGATCGCTGAGAGTGCTTGTTGGAAATCTACATTGTTTTGATAGGAGATAAGCTCACTGGATGATTGAAGTTTTTCACGGGATGGAATTAGATTATATTTCTCAAGATTCTCCTCTGAAAAAAAAAGAAAAGAAAGCTGCCGAAGAGAGCTCAACAGGTAAGCTACTTACGTTTGATGTAGTCAAATAATTGACTGAAAAGTGTCTTGGCATTACATGATAATGGATCGACTGAGTTTCCTATCGGTTTGAGAGGATCGAGGAGAAGTGCTTGAGCGAAGATGAATAAACGCAATTGATCAAAGTCGGGATTTGTCTAGAAGCAAAGGTCATTACAACAATTAGTTCGATATTTCTATGTACACTTCGAGATTTAGCATGGAAAATGTCACATAAGAGTCTTAATTGGATAAGATGAAAAGTCTCAGCAACTTTTGTTTCACACAAATTGAATTTTCTATCAGAAAAGAGTGAATTTGACATTTCATGACTTTTGAAGCCTCTCTTTGATATTAGTTATTCACAGTCCAGATTAAAAGCTCCTGTCAGTTGCATTTTCTTCTGCTGTCAAACGCAAGAATAAAAAGTAACATTAAATTGTTTACCTCCATTTGGGAGAGAATTTTCAGTGCGCTACAATACCGTTGTAACAGTGATTGCGAAGTGTTTTTCTTCAAGACCAAATTCTAAAGGGACGCGGTTCGATTTATCTTTTGAAAAACTAAAACATTCGATTCAAACTTTAATCATGTCTTTTGCACTGATTAACGGCTGTCTCAAGCGTTCGTTCTCATCCAACTAAAATGCAAAGAAGTTATTCATCGTCAAGTCATATTCATCACATTGGTTACATTCGATAACAAATCTAGCCGTTGTTGACAGAGATTTTCTTCGTTCTCAATGAAATTCAAACGTAGTTTAATTGCTTCAGGATTTCGAACTTCATTATGACTGCTTGCTAACAATGCGAATTTACTGATGGCTAAGAGAGTCTATTCAAACAAAATCTTGCAATCATGATAATTGATAGAAATGAGCTTACTTGGCGTTTGCCAATAGTTTCGCCAACTTGTTGTAACGTTGATAATGAAGCCTAAATGAGAATGTTCAGTGTATTATACAGTTCAGTGCATTAACGTCAAATTGTTTTTACATTCTCGTATTCACGTTTTTTTATATCAACCATCCATTCATATTCCGGCTTGGATTTAAGATAACGCTGAACAGCTTTCAAATCGAAGTATTCCTCTTGAAATAGAACAGACACCGCAGATTTAGATCGGAGATATTCATCGAATATAACCATAAACTAAAGAATCACGAGCAATGAAACCAAACGAAGAAAGCTTGCTTTTTACTTTGTCTCTAAATTGTTCGATGTATGTTCGTAATTGTTCGACGTCTTTCAATTCATCACATATTTCAATCAGTGCTAAATAATCTTCGAATTCTTCTGCTAATTGTTTTCCTTTTGGATATTCGTTTAGTTTAACTACAAAGATAATAGATGAGGAGAACAATTCAAAGTAAAACTTGAAATAGTATGTCTTTACTGAAGACTTTTATCAACGCTGATCGCGTTTGTTTGTAGTTAACCCATGGTCGTTGTTCAGTATCATTATTTAAATCACTGTCCGAGTACAGATCACACATATACAAGCGATACTCATCAAGAATACGATAGACAAGTCGGGATATCATCGTTAGTAAACGTTCCCGAACTTCGCGTGATTCGCATAATTCCAATGCTTGTTCAAAATGTTGAGTACACTAAAACAAAGCAATTTCCTTTCGTTTCCTTCGAGAACAAGATTCCTTACATGAATGATAAATAGATCGTTAAGATTTTGTTCGTATAAAATCCATGGTTGACAAATGATCGATTGAGTATAGTTTTCATCGTCAATGGGATTCGATGAGATGACTGATTCTTGTTCGTGTTCTTGTCTGTATTTCAGTATACTATCGAATGCGATCAATAATAAACGCGTCGCTTCTTCATAGGACTGAATTTCGATTGTGCGACTTGTTTCAATAACACCAAGGACTATTGTTGTCAATACTTCAGCTATATGGGAGATCTAAATGAGTAACAAAATTCTTTTTTCCATATTTCGAAATCGTCCTTGAAATAAATACTTGATTCTGTCGAGATGTCGAACGGTATGCTGCTTGTAAATAGAGCGATTGTCTAGAAAGAGATGCAAAATGGAGAATATCGAGATGTTAATGAATGGAAATAAAACAAACTGGCTAGCTTGAGCGAATGCTTTAGCACATTCTAATTTTTCACCGAATTGTTGTAAAATTTGTTTTGTATGATAGATTCCATTGTTAAAGTGTGCGACATGAAGCTAAGCAAAGAAACCCGAAATTGTTCATTTCTAGCTCGACTTGTTTTCTTACTTTGTTCCAAACACCAATTAGTTTAAGAAATGAAAAGTAATAATTGTAAATATCTCCTTTCTTCCCTAATTGTCTGGTTAAATCGTTTGTTTCTAAACAAACACAAAACGTCACATGGTCATTTCGGAAGCGTTGTGTCTAACCTTGTAACGATGGATCATCGATGATGAACATACCAAATTGTACAATGATATCATCTAGCTGATTGGTATCAATTGTGGTTAGAAAACGTCGAAATAATTCCACAGCACCACCCTATTCTCAAAAGTTCTCTACGACAACACTTTAGTAAACCATATACTTACTGGATCATTTCGAAGTAGAAATGCATGGAATGAATCAATCATCGGTTTGTACGGATCGTTCGTTGTTGTTTTCGTAAGCAGACTAAACAAAAAAGCAATTCAATGCATCATAAATGCTTATCTCTGTTACTTCGTCATTAAATCTTGACTACGGGGTGTTATTAAACCTTGTACATGACAAAACAGTAGTAGACGTTGAGTGCACAAACCACTGCCTAATATCGTCTCATTTAGATTGGAGAAACTTGCTCTAAGTAGCACAGAATAATCGGGACCTGTGTAGATAAAAGCGTCTTTTTTCGTATGAACTAAAATTGCTGGTTGATTTGGTACAGCGAATATTCGTACACGTGGTTTAACGATAATTTCATCTAACTGAAAATATAGATTTGATAGTGAATGAAGAGAAACAGATTTTGATAGAACTCACTCGTATGTTAAGATGGTTGGCAAGAAATATCATCGAGACGAGTTGAACACCTGCATGATTCAATGAGAACACACCTAACCAAAGGAAGAATTGATGAGGACAACGTATGCGAAGTTGATTTTACCTAACATCAAGCGGTAATCATGGATGCTATGATGGATAGCCAGAACATAGATTGTTTCTCTGAAAAAAAAGGTATAACTTTTATATTTATACATCAGTTCCATCGTTTATCTCATACTGTGTCACACTCAATGAGATGCACGAAACGTTTCGATCGTGCTCATTGGATTTCTAAATGTAAAATGCATTTGCATTCCTACTAGAATATAACATTTGTCTACACACTTGATCTTTGCTTGCTTCGTTAGCAAATATAACTTGAAGATCCATTGAATGTACCAGCTAATCACAAAACCAAACAGATGATTTATTGATAAGATAGAAAGATCCTCACCTGAATATCATTTTCTGCCAAGTACCAAAAATATAAATGTTTGTCAGTTAAAGAAACTAAATCGACATTCATCGTGCTTGTTGACGGCGTCGAAGTGTCAGATTTCAATGAATGCAAGCAACGAAGAATTTCATTATCTTTCATTTGACGACTGGTGCCAAACAACATCGATTTGAGACCGAAACCAATCGATGAGAGTAAAGACGAAGATGTTGGTCGAATATACGCCTGAGACATTTTTTGTAAATGACATTCAAAAAAGTCATCATTGTGTTCATTCAACTCACTTTATTACACAAAGCATTGCATGGGACAGTATACAATCTTCCTGAATACGAACCGCACACGCAGATATCATCCTAGAAAAGGGATAAGATTTTCGATATCGATTGAATTGAAAATTATTACTTTGAAATGACATAAATACTCAATCTGGTCAAATTCAAGTTTAACATCATAATAATCATTCGGACGAACAATAGTACGCCAAAAGCGAGCATAACCATCACAAGTAATAACTAAACACGAACAAGAATCATTGTCATCTGCATTGATGGAAAATAATTCCATGAGATTCGCTTGTTGACCAAGTGCACATTCCGGTAGTTTGAGTTCTTGATGAATTACAGCATCCTGGAAATGTCAAGAAGCAAATGAAATTATCGTTGTGAACACATGAGATACTCACAGTGATACGATTTGAACCAGAAGCAAGCCAGACATAAGCGATTTGTCCAGAGACAAGCCAGCAATAGCCGTTCCGTGAGAAACGAGCACTCAGTGAGGATATATCTACGAGAAAAGAAAAAACAACGAATTGTTTGCAAGTATTCTTCTTCGTCCAACCTGTTGTATGATTAAGCGCTCCACGAACAGATGCTGGTAGTTTCGATGAATATTGTTCAAATGGTGAATTAGCTGACGCTGATGACAATTGAAAACCAGCTGATATCATCGATCGTTGTCGAGATCTACGGATTATGTTTCATAGAATAGGACAAAAGTTTTCTTCATTTGAATCTTACCGATCGCTTAAGAATGACGAATCATTTATGGATACATTCATGTTTGTGTCTATCTGAAAATCAAAAATATACTTTTATTTTTATTCTCAGTTTAGATAAAAGCATAGTATCGGTGGCATCAACAAACGTTCGGGGAAAGAGAGAGAGAGAGAGAGAGAGAGAGAGAGAGAGAGAGAAAGAGAAGTGGAGATGCCTCTACACGTGCAGGCACATCTGATCTCTGCATTCAACTAAACTAGAAAAATCGACAGTGTACATATATGATATCGAAAAAACGAAAAAAAGGAGCAAACAGAAAGACTTAGAGAAGGAATATTGTTAACGCGGTGATATTCTTTCTGTTCTCTATCTTTTCTATGTGGTATATATACCGATATCGATAGGACACGCTAGCAACACATGTGTCGACACACCCGTACAAAAAATGCATTGTATGTGCATGTTTGTTTGTGGCAGAAATAAACCGAAGTCATTCTCGTGAAGAAAGCAGCTAACATATTAGTGCCATGATCTACTCTTCTTTTCATTTTTTTCACCAAAAGAAAGGATAATTACTGGGACTATTAACTCACTCTTAATAGGAAAGAGTGGTTTATTTCTCATCTGGAACGGAAAGAGATAGAAAGAGCAAAAGTATCACTTCACTAACAAATCTGTTGTAGAATGGCGATCCCTATGATAGAAGAATTTTTTTATTTTCTTAGTAGAAAAAAAAAAAAGTTTCAAATTGTTTGTTTTCGAATAGCATCATAAACCATACGAAAATCTCCCATTAGACTAAACGTCGGATAGATGAATGTTGCCGGTTTGTTGTGTTCATAAAAGAAATGACCGATCCAAGCAAAACTGTATCCTAATAACAGAGGTAAAAAAACTTTTTTGTACGATCGTGTAATCAATTTTCCACCGATCAGATAGACTATGAAAAACACACCGACTTCACCTAAACCATTCGACAAATGACGAAAGAATGGCATAACGGAATACGCAGATAAACCACCAGCTAAAATTGGAAACAGGAGCGCTGGATTGACTAACATGTACAAAATGAATAAGCTTGTACCAACATAATGCCATAATCGAGTTGTTTGTTGGCTATGTTCACGAAGATAATGTGGATAAAACTGTTCAAATGTTTCGTAAGGTTTTTTCGACGATATGGTGTTGGAGAGATATTCGTTTAATGGTGGTGAAGAACGCATTTGAACGACAACACTTGCCAGAACAATCATAAGCGTACAAAATAGACCACCCGGTAGTAACGAATGACTTTTTCGTACATTGGAGCGTGTTTCACCAGCCATAATTGATCTAAAAAGCAAATCCTTTAGTTTCTTTTTTATGACTTTTTGTAAAATTAAGTCGTTTTAGAAAGAATTTTATGAGACTACTCTTTAAGATCTATATCGTTCTCTTTTAGCTTTTCTGATAATGAAAAACCTGATGATATCTTATCTTCGAGCAAAAACAAAGCTCATGTAAAATTTCAGATGTTTCAAATAATACTGAGCAAAACTGAATCCACCAATCCATGTACTGTATCTTATAAATACCTAACGAAGGAAACAAATTTCAACAGGTGTCGTTCGTAATCATTTGGGCTGACCGAACTTCGACAGTAAGGACTTTCGCCAGGCACGATATGATTTGAATTTATGGTGAAGAATTCCAACAATAATTCTAGTTAGTAATGCTGCATTGTGTTTTGATCATTTTTCCAGAAACCATTTTAGATAATTATTGAAAATGTCGGTTACAACACATACTATACTGCTTTGCAATTTGAAACTACGAGAAGAATAATATGGTTCCAACTCAAGTTTTCACGAAGAAAAAGGCCGATCTCGACCATGAAAGTAATAATATTAATTGAACTCTCAAAACGATTGATATACAAAGAATATCAGTGCATTTAGTTGAGGGTGTGCACTGTATAGGTTTTTCAAGAGCGAGGGTGAACAATTTTACCATTGGAATCGGTAGAGCACATTGTGTCTTACTTGGAGCGTATATGTGAATGAATAGATTCGTAAATAACTCGAAATGAGCGAAAAGATATTTTACGTATTAAAATAATAAGGTGGCAGTTTGATAATCAGTTCAATATGCGCATTTAGTTCAGATAAAATCCTTGATGAACTAAAACGATCTTTAATTAAGAAAAAGCTGACTTTATTGGAAAATTATAGAATTGAGGGATAGAAAATGTTACCCGAACTTCACCAACAAGACTTTCGCTCATAGACAAAATTTTAGAAAATCTCAGTTATATGTGCCGCGCATTATCTTTTTATGATTGAATAGGGACAATCAATTACAAGTTCTATTTTCTCACACTTAATCTAAAAATGAATTTTTATGCATTGCATAACATTCGCGTATCACAAAATGCGAAGGAATATCAATCAAAAGTCAGGTAAGTATGGAAAAAAATGTTTAGGCTGGTGAACATCGATTTCCACGACCATGTCGTTTTGTCGGTATTTTGGTTTGACGATAAATATCACAAGCAAGTGGACTTTCTAGTAGAGCTCGGATAAATAAGCCGCCCATCACTGGTCGTGCACGAAAACCGAGAACATGACCGTTTGCTGCATCGTAAAAATCACTAAGCGGTACACGATCTGGTGATTCATTTGCGAATTTATATAATTTATCAAAGATGGCATTCTTTTGTCCTTCATTATCATTGAATGCAGCGATCCATGATGTCCAATCCCCTTTGGTTAAATTCGAACGCGAATCAAGCGGAATACCAAAATCAAGCATTTTTGTCATGTAATAACTTGATTCTAGCTTAGCAGTATCTGCCGGAAATAGATTTAATGATAGAATTGATTGATAAATAAGATTGTATTTTTGTGACCAAGTATTGGGTAAGTTATATTGAAGACGATAGTTATTGTTATCACGTGCTGCTTTCAACCAGTAGTTTGCTGGTTAATAAAAACAAAACAGAAAATGAATTGAAATGAAAATTTGATGCTTATTTTCGTGACATACCGTGATCTTGCGCTTGAGCCATGTAGACACTTGCACGCTGAGCTTGACCAGAAGCGTTGAGAAGAAGTGAGTAAGCACCTAAGCCTAAGATACCTTTCAGCGCTAAATTACAATTGTGTGGTGATGGTCCTTCCTAGAACAAAGCGGTCATTGGCATTTTTCGACGGAAGAGGAGATTAAGTTCACATACAAAATCGTCAGTGCAAAGCTGATTTCCCGGATCAGGTAGTGTACTATTGAGATATTGAGCCCAGATTTCCATAACATTCCAATAGGGTGCAAGGAAGTCAGTTATTGCCAATTTTTGAACAATACCAGCCAACATTAATAGCATATTAGCTGATTCCTCCATAGGCATTTGTTCTTGTTCTTCCGAAAGAATATCACAAACTGACCAAGTACCTCTAAATGAAAGAGGCATACTTTCAAATCGGGAACAAAATCCGATTTAACTCACAAATGATGAGGTGCCCATGCAAGATTATAATGAATATCTGTTTCATTATTAGCATAGGCAAGTACTGGTAACAGAACATCGCGCAGCATTTCTGGATGTAGCCAAAGAAAGAATGGCGACGACGGGAAAATAACATCGACTGTACTAACATCACCATCCGATGAAATCTCCTTCATATACAGTTGTGAACGATTTTGCTTGGCTGACCATGTTCGTGATAATGCGCCTGTGATTTGTCGTGTTACTAGCGAACCAAGTATTGCATAGTGATCACCACCAATATTTCCCAATAGTGTTATTAACATCTCATTCGAATCGGTAATATCTTGCATGTTAGATTGATAGTAGGATATCGCTTCGTTGATTAGTAAAGTTACATTATTATCAAATTCCGCACGCCAACAAGGTACTTGCCATTCTTCGAAATAGAGCATTGAGTAGAGATCATCATAGAGAAAAATTAAATAATTTGATACTGTTTGCGAGGTGACCTGATCGAAGTTAATAATAAATGCAGATGCGGGTGATTGGTCGTTGGCATGACGTGGTTTGCGCGTATCATCTGTGGGCATTGTTTGATGATTTGCAAATGCTTGACGAAGGTCATCGCCAAAACCTTGATAACCACTGAATGAACTTCTCTGTGGGCTGATTAAATGTGCATATCCCCAATTATTTCGTGTTGCATCGCCCCGAATACCGAATGGAATCTGATTAAATGCATTCATGGTCAAAACGGTTATGTCGCTATCGACTCGACTCCAGAAGACTTTTTCATCTTTATCGTTCACACCCACCATAGGACCTTCTTCGAAATAAATCCGAACACTGTGGGTTTTACCATCTAATGAGCGAAGATTGAATGTAATGTAAGTGAATGGATCTTCAATGGATGTCGGTTGACTAAATGTTAAGATTAATTCTACTGTATTTGTTGGAGTTGAAAGAGTGTAAATAGTACGCCACGGTTGAACTACTAATTTGTTTTGAACCATCGGTTGAACACTTGATGGGAGTGTGCCAAGAAAACGATAAACTTCAGAATTGTCGACATCGATTAAACCGTGAAAAGGAAGTGGTGAACCACTCCAATGAACAGTATCTGAAGCAGTAAGATTGTCCGAAGATGACCAAACTAGAGAAAGAGAGAAAACGACCATAGAATGAAAGGATTTGTAAGTATTCAAAGCACTTGGGAATTTTCATTTGAAAGATCCCGTAAATTCTTTTCGCTTCTCAGTTTTTCATCGATATACGTGCTCTTGCGGCATCTGTTTTTATTCGTTTCTTATCACTCATTCATTCGAGACAAAAATAGAATGGTCTATTGGATGAAAGCCAATATCGTCTAGTTATTCACATTTATGCGTATCTATTTAATGTACTAAATTAACGTACAACGGCTTATTCACTATCTTATTCTTTCAGCGAAGAGGTATGGTCATACGTCTAAACGTTGTTTTTCTTTTTCTATCCTTTCGAATGACTCACCCGATATATGAGGACTGAAGACGATTAATGGTACAGCCGGAGGACGAAAATCACCAGGATCACCCTCGACTTTCGCTAATACGAGTACAACAAGTAAAAACAAAACTGTTTGTTGCATGATACTACCGTAAAGAAATCCTAGACGATATGCTATCTAAAAGAAATAAACATATCCTTTTTATTCACAAAATGATAATAATAGTAATAATGATACAAGAAACGAAAAGAGAAGAAAAACTATCTAAATAATATTTTTTTTACAATCTTGCGTTTCAAAAGGTGTCACTTGACTCTTGTCTTTCATTTTTCCCTCTTTTATATAGATCACAGTTGTTTTATCTATTCATGTTTAATCAAATAATTGGTATGAAAATTTCTAACAAAAATAAAACGAATACTTTTCGACTCACATTTGTTGTTTTTCTTTTGTATGTACTGCAGACCAACCCGAACTTTTACCGACAAATCAATTACTTCAAGGACATTTGAATTCGTCAGTCTACTTGACAAACAATGTTTGGAAGATCGCGTTCTCGCCATGTTCAAAATATTTAGCTATACCTAAGCAAGATATCTACGGTGAAAATTGTGTTTTAATTGTTAAGTGTTCAAATTGGAATGCAAAGGATATTCATACGACGGATTTGAGTGTATGTCAACGTTTTACTTGCATATCAGGGATATGGTCATTAGCGTTCGGACAACGAAAAACAGAAGAAAGTATTTCATGTCAGCCGATTCTGCTTGATCCAAATAATTTATTATTACCAAAAACACGGCGTGAACTACTAAACCGACGTCGTTCCAGTTTATCAGTTGTTAATCGACGCCATGATTTTACAAAGGATTTATTTCTCGCTGCTGGTTTGGCTGATGGCAAAATTAACATTTGGAATATCGATACAGGAGAATTAACATTAATACTTAAAGATCATCAATCGACAGTATGTGGATTAGATTTTACATCATGTACGATGCAACTGGCAACATGCTCGCATGATACAACCATTAAACTCTGGGACTTACTTGATGATGGTAAGCTATTTACATTGTGAAGTATCCAGCTAATCTCAGAAATAGAAGACCAAAGATTTTCTTCTTACCTTGATGATCAATAATGAACTTGTTTGTGAAACCGTGTTCGGTTTTGTTTACTTCTATTTCTATTTCAAGAGAGAAAGTTCACCAGTCAAAAACCATTTCATATTCTAATAGTGACATCTTTTGGTTTTATCTTGCAGGAAATATGTATAAAACATTGAATGAATGGACTCACGTTATTAACGCAGTTAAATGGTCACCCGACGAAACACTTCTATGTGCTGTGGGTCCCTATGAACTGGTTATCTTATATGATACAGTGACCTGGGCAGAATTACATAAATTCGAAGGACATTTACACAGCGTGATCGACTGTGCATTTTCATCGGACAGGTAAATTTCGTATTAGATCCAATGAAATAAACTTCTGCGTATTTAGTGCTCTTTTAGCAACCGCTTCATACGATACACAAGTTATCCTATGGTCGACAGTAACCGGCGAGATACTGAAAACTTTTGCGCATAAAATACCTATGCCATTGAAAATCTACGCTGGTGGTGATAATGGTGCATTCGTACGATCTGTTGTTATAACCAAGTATAATCACAATATCATTACTGCTTGTGATGACAAGTATGAATCGAATTCAGATCGACATATCGATATTCATATGAGTTATTTTTCTATTCTAGTAAAATTCGTTGGTTTTCCTTAGCATTGAATGACCAATCACGAATGATCTATGAACGAACAGAAACGAATGTTCTCTGCGTTGCAATGACAGTAGATGGACATACAATGGCAGTTAGCAATCGTAATGGTGAAGTACATCTGCTCTCGACTCTTTCAACAACAGGAACTTGTCATCCACCACTACTAAAATATTTCTGTCGATTACTTATCAATGCAACGTTGGGAACAAAACGAAAAGAAGTTTTTAGTTTACCCTTATCACAACATTTGATTAAATATCTTATTTATCAAGATATTAAAACAAAATGAACGATACTGTATTTTCGCTTTTCATCTGTCTCTCATTTTCTTCTTCTACTTCTTCTTCATGTACATAATTCTACCACGGAATTCTGTTTATTTTTGCATCTTTTTTCTATTCATACGATAGAAAAATATAAAAAGAAAAGACATCAGTTTTCTAAGAATCCGTTGTCAGCACCCTTAACGTTGTTTCGTGTCGTGATATGATAAATACTTTACGTCCTTGTCGACATGAAAGTACACAAGCAAATACATAAGTAACAATCGATGCTAGAAGTAATCCATAAGCGAAACGGTACAAGATAGGGTCACAATAATCAGTTGCGAACGGAAATTCATATTGAACTTTGTTCCAAACTTTCAAGATCCAAACACTACCAACGATTGACCAAGCACAAAGAAAAAGCACGAAACAGATCTCAACGAGAAAAACAGCCAGAAGAGTAATAGCGACTGGCAACGGCGGAGATCGAGCATTTTTGGCACGCAATCGTGACGCAACAAATAATGTAAATAGAATGAAAATAATACCTAATAAAATTATCGACAATCCGGTAATACCAGCGACGAGCAGGTACTGCGGTATATGCGAATTTACTGGACATTCATGGAAATAACGACAGCCAAGCATAAGTTGGAAAACTAAATGTTCATTGTAGGACATAAAAATATATAGAAAGAATTAGATAACGACGTACTTGGAACAATAGATGTGAAACCAACGATAATGAGCACAAAGGTGGATTCACACAGAGCAGCTTTTAGTGATGATTTGACGTGTTTAATAGACAATGGCAATTTACTACTTTCTATTGGTTTTAGTTTTGACAATTCGTTGTAAACTGCAGGATTTTCGTCTATTTCTTTTGGAGTTGTTGTATCTATATTCGAAATTGGCTCTCCAATCGATACTGATTTAGGGACGACAGTAATATCTGAATCTGGCCGTTTGTCTTTATCATTCTCAGCTATAAGATCAGTAGTGGGAATACCAGTAGCAGCAGCAGCAACTGTCGTCATTTTCTCGTGTAGTTTACGAAACGGACCACTTACAATCACAAACAAAACGAAGACTATGGACTGAAATTTTCGTTCTGTAAAATAATCAAACAGATTTCGCCTTACTACAAACAGACGCCAACAGGATTTTTTCTTTTTCGTCATTGTACAATGTGAAGGTCACTTTTTGCTTGCTCTCATCTGTGAAGCAGTAGAATTTTTGTAATAGAATTTCTAACTGATCAAACCTTCAATTCTTCTCTTACGGCGAAACATTTTTCTCATTCATTATGTGTCAAGGTATGATAAATAATCCAAGAAGTTTTTGTGCATTGAAACTTAGATTTTTATTTTACTGAAATTTTTATTACAAATCAGAATCATCATAGTTGATCAGATTACTTTTATCATTCGAATCATGATGTTTTAAAAGTTGAAGGAGAATGCTGTATGATTTAAGTAAGATTTCTCGTTCTCGTTCTAATTTGTCAATGTATTGTTGAAGTTCATCGATGATCATGGATTCCGACTTAATAGTCGAATGAAATGTATGAATTGATCGGAGATCGAGTGAATTTGTCGGACGGTGTGCAACAGTCGGTGATAGAGCCGGTAAATCACTAGCCAGAATTACATGTAAACGATCGATGCGATCCAATAGATCTTGGGTTGGTGACAAAGACATATCATACAGTTAAATGACGAAAAGGAAAGACAGAAAGAAAAAGAACGAAGAGAATATTTAAGACGAATTGATATTCTCTTCGAAATAGATTCCAGTCGAGAAATACATAGACGGAGTAATTTAGACAGATTCAGCCATATATTTTGTGCCTCGCACATGTTAATTGGATGTTTGATAACTACTAATAATAGAGAAAGAAGTACTTCGAGAAAAAGATATTTATAAGACAGCGAATTGTAGACTGTGAATAGTGAAAAGATGCTAATCTTGTGAGACATATAATAAAAGCACATTCACAAATTGTTCAGGTGAATTGTCACTGATTAGATCAGATTCTTGCTAAAAACTCCTAATCTAATTAATAAAACATACGAGATCAGGTAGAGAATGCCATAGCAATGGTATTCACGCAAATCAGGTCCAATTCAATCTGGTTATTTTTAAATAGAAGAGACATTCGAACAATATTCGAGCCTTCTCAATATATAATTATGTTCTGAATACGTTTCGTAAGTATCAATCTTCTCGAATACTCTGCTTATTAAGATGTGTCATTAATGAAGAGACAAGTTCCAGCCCATCTTTCCTTATATAATCATCGTCCGAATGAAGGTGCTTAACATTAATCGGCATACTGACAGATGACAAATGAATACTATCTATATTCATTAATGTTACTCGATAAATTTCTGTCATCGTGTTACAATCTTATCGAAACGGAACAGATTTGACTCGTTGACTTTATGACTTTTACTTCAAATATGAACAGATAAAAATAAGCGTACACTAAATAGTTTGCAAACGATTGATGTTCATACGGAACTGTTTTTTGTTTCAAAAGCGATTATATACAATGAGTTGCTGACTTCACGTCCACGTGCGCATTAATTTTTCCACCATTAACTGTTGAACAAATGTATCTAATTGCGAATTGTATTGGCTTTTATCCAGTTTATGACAAATTGCATTACGACGAAAGAATTTGCCACGTTGACACTGTGCAAAGAGGTTCATTTGTTCGACAGAACATTCATCTGTTGGATCAGTTTGAAATTCCAACGAATCGGATAGATTTTGACATCGTGCACTAACTAAATAATCATCTGGACCAGGTAAAGCATTGATGAGACAAGATGGAATTGTATCATAGACCTGTTCGAAATCTGGCCAAACAAATTCATTAAGTGGATCATCGGTTGATGAGGAAAAGGATTCATAATTACCAAAACGAACTATCCGACGTTCCGATGGACTATTTTGAACATCCACACTTCGTGTTCGACTCTCTTTGGTCAGTAATAAACGGCGTTTAAACCTTGAACATAAATCTTTGATTCGCTTGTTGTGTGTTGCCGTTGGCGATGCAGGTAGTGAAAATTGCGTTTCAGGTTCATCGTGCGATAACGCTTTGACTGATTTCGTTAATTTCGTTTGACCGGGATAATGATGACAACTGTGCAGATCGTCAGCATCGCCCTGATACGAATGATGATTTCGATGTTCACGTATCGAACGGAGTTGGTGAGCACGTCGCGGCAATGTTACCGATGCCATTGAAGATTTATGATACACTTATCAACAGAAATAAATCAGAAAAGAAATCTCATCTATTCTTGTACTTGTCGATCTTTCAGCAATCGAAAAGGAATAAGCCAATGAATGTCAAAGATGATGGAGACAAGGATTTGTTGTTTAGATCAAGTTGATGAGCTTGTTTTTATATCTAGATGTAACGTGCTTGTTTGTGCGAGGATTTCTGACGAAATTAAATTAATGTAGACCATTATCATGACCCTCTCTGTTCTTTTCCTCTTCTCTTCTCCTCTCTTCTCTTTTCCACTTATGCTCTTCATATGTCACTTACTAATATATATTTTCCTCCTGTCATTTTGCGAAACACGGATTTTCTAATAGGTTTCTTTTGCGTTGTATCCAATGAACACGTCACGAGATATTCAGAACATGAACAGCAAAACATCAATTATCGATTTGCACCCAGAGTTAGATAAGCGCATCTGTCGATGAGTAAAAATGTCATCGGAAAGTCAGATAGGTTTGTATTGTATTCATTAAATGAGATAATGCTCTCGATTTTTAACAAAAATAGAAATCAAACAATGATAGGAAAGCAAACGTGTATACAAAAAAGAATCTATTAACTGTTTATTGCTGATGTTGGCAATGTAGATTCGTCACTTTCATTGGCAACGTCTGTTGGGATAGTCTCATTACTGTTGGTAGCTAGCGAATGAACATGATTGGCACTACGGGTATACGGATGAACACCATTCATAAGATAATAACCAATACCAAGAGCTAAATGAAAATAGATTTGAATGATGGGAGGAAGGAGAAATAGAATATTTTAGATTTACCGATAACTGCCGAGAAAAGAAAACCAGCAAAATCATTCATTATCATGAGCATTAATATGTAACTCAATGTGGTTTGAGCTAAACGTACTAGTGTACGCAGAAGATGAAGAAAAAATCTGAACAGAACAGTAGAAGTAGAATTTTACCAAAAATCGAACTAATATAACTTACCGTCGTTTGCGTATCGTTTTCGGTGATAAGTTGCGTGAAATCGGATTCGATGGATCATTCTTTCCAGTAACTGAATAATGTCTCAGATAAAGATCGATTCCCCGGCTTAATTCGATTAAGAATGCAAAAGCCATACAAGTAACAATCGATCCAAAACAATCTAATTAAAATAAATCGCATAGTCAAATGCCTCATCATGAAATTCCAATTCACCTCCGAATGATACAATATTTAAATTATTGATCATGAAATTGTTTTGATAACATTTAAATGTAAATGTCATCGTTTCGCTATTCGAATAGCAACTATCTAGAACGTTTTCAAGAATTTTCATATATTCAAATAAAAAGCAAACAAGCAAAGTATTTACAATGCATCTATGTTGTTTTTCTTCTGCTTCGTCTTCTTCTTCTTCTCACTAGTACATCGAAGAACGAATCGAAAATTTCGTTGATGTTTTGATGACTACGTGAAAAACTAGAGCACTGGTTCCTTTTTTATGTACCAACGAGAAGATTATGTTGTATATGTCATTCTAAACCTTTTCGTTTCGAAGCGGGGATGAAATGATTATATTTTGAAGGATGTCATGCTTCAACAAATGATACTTCCTCTCAGTTTTAATTTGATGATCTCCGATATGATTAGAAGTGTGAAAATTCTCGACGAAGAGAGTTATCGGTGATGATACATTGAAGAAAACAACTAACTCCGAACAATAACACGAGCACTCTCGCCAATAGGCATATTTTTACGTGATTTTCCTACTATAATTATAGTGAAAGGAAGATATGGATGTCCTGGAACAGGAATTCGATAGTTTAACAAGCGCATATCATGACACAGTGCTCTAATAAATTATACAAAATTGCGAACAAGAGTTCTCATCTGATTCTACTCAGACATTACACATTATTATGTGTTACTGATCAGTTAGATTGTCTCTCGTACTAATCTATCTGAAGAAGAGATATGTGAATGAGTAAAACAAGTCGTTTTTCTTTTATGTACGACTACAAATGAATTCTATTAAAGAAAAACAACAAAGCTAGATGATTATTCATTTAGGTCCATGCAAAACATAAAAGTCAATGTGAAAAAGGAACAGAAAAATAGCTGTTTGTTTACAGAATTGATTGGAAGTAGAAGAGAAGTCAGAATGAGATTTGAATAGATATACAGATGAAATTGGCTACCGAAATATATACAACCGTGGGATACTTCTTTTCAAGAATTCGGGTTAACTGCAAGTGAATAGGCATCTTTGTTCATTCCGAGTTTGGATCGATGCGCCGTCTGCTCGGCAAACGGATCGTCATCGAATAATTCATCGATATTGAGATCCATGTCGAGTTCGTCGTCATCATCGTTATCGACGATATCGCCGGATGGAAGTTCATTAATTGCAAGTGGCGGTAGAGATGAAATCGAAGAAGATGAACCTGGTGTTGTTGGCGAAGTCGAATTGGCTTTTGAATCTGCTGTTTTGTTAACAAATCGTACGATTCCTGGCTGGACTGAATCATGATCTGTTGCACGAGATGATAAACAAATTGTTGGTACAATTGGTTTCGAACGTTTCTTCATTTGAGAATTGCCAGTTGATGTCGAAGAGCGCTTTCGATTCTATATAAACATAAGAAGTTTTCTTCTCAAATACTTGGCAATAGAAATGTTTTCATACTGAATCTTTTGTCGCTGATGAATGAACTCGTTGATGTTGACTAGACACTTGTGAGATTTTAATCTTATTTAAACATTGTTTGTCATTAGTAATCTTTCTCATCTCATCATTTCTTGCGCGCATGTAGATCTTCATCTTATCTAACTTTTGTTTCAATTTGCCTAATAAAATTTTGATCTGTCGACTTTCCTCGGAGTTAACATTCTCATAGATTTGTTTGTATTCCTCTTCCAAACCTTTAATTTCACTTTTGGTTGTCATGAAGTCAATTTGTAGACTAACACGACGTTCATGTTTTTTCAAAGCATCTAACTGTTGTTTAAGCTTCACACGTTCGGATTTGAATGTCTTCTTTTCATGTTCACTATGACTATTGCACGTTAACCGTTGTTCATATTCTTCGATTTGTTTATTAACATTGGAGATTTTCTTCGATGTCGTCTGTGTTTCTTTCTGTAACGAAACAAGTATTGACGACGGATTTCGATGATCCGACAGAACTGGATACGGAAGTTTCAATGTTGAATCTTTGCGAGTATTGGAAGACAACAATGAGTTTGAGTGAAGTGAGCTTGCTAAAGATTCCGATTTGATTTTGTTCGATGGAGAAAGAGTTTCATAGTTCGAATATAATTCGTTGAGGTTTGCATTGCTAGTTGACAATTGATCAGTGACAGTTAGAAGATCTGATGTCATTCTGTGAAATTGTTCATTATCATTCAAGATTTTTTCGTCGCGAAACAAACATACCTGATGAGTTCGACGAGAAGAAAAAGATCATTAGATTACATCCCTCATGGCTGATTTACATCTGAAAAACAAAGAAATAAAGTGGACAATACACATACATAGATACAAAAAAAAAACCGAAGAAATCTATTTGTTAACAAAAGAAAACAGATATATCAAGGTTACGATAACAAAAAGAAACATTATATCAATCAAGGCGTTGATAATCCGTAAAGTATTAAACTAAGCGTCGATGTTGAAGTGGCATTATGTTTCGAAAACGACGGAAACACACGTTCAACTCCAACGGATCGTTTACTTGGCTTTCCCAGATGTGTGCATCGATTAAAACTTGGCAATATTAGAGATTCCATCGTCGATTTTTTGTTATTAATACTCGATGATTGCGCTCCTCGTGATTGAGCCGGTGTTGGTCGTTCCCATCGTTCATAGTTTTTATTATTGCCATTCCTATTGCCATTTGGTATGTCACTTGAATCTTCGTCAAACGAGAAATTATTCATATCATCATCTGAATCGCCATTGAATGATTGATTGTCGCCTTCATCATCATCGTCATCGTCATCATGTTCACTTCCACTTAATTTCAATAATGCATTGATATCTTGATGTGTTAACGATTCGACAATCTTTTTTCCTATGGATATATCACGAGGTGTTGGCGGCGTCGGTGGAGTCGTCGAAAGATCATTCAAACCACGATTTGAACGATGTTCGGCATTGGAATTATGGTTAGCATCGAGGAAGAATTTTTGTAGTAGACCCATGGGTGTTTGAGGTTCGGACGATGACGGGGGAACTCCACCGTTCAAGTTCGCAAGAATATCAACGAGATTAGGCCGCGATGATGAACTACCAGCTGCCGCACTATGTAAGACATTGAATGGATTGGCAGCTTTAGCAGCTAAATATTCTTGTTGCTGTTGTAAGATAAGTGCTGTTTCATAATCCATCATTTCGTCATCGAATTGAAATTCTAAAGAAATACGTTAATTTAGTTTCATTTCCATTTGAGCACTCAATGCTGTGAAATGCAAAGCCTGTCCTTACCACTAACTTGGTCTTCAGATACACCTAATTTCTTGTGTGCTTCAGCTGTTAATGCGCGTAAAATTGGATTGGATTTTTTCAAAAAACTAAATTGTAATTGCATGGCTACATGTCGTCTCCATGCTTCTTCATGATCAACAGTTGTTGCTTCATTTTCGTTACTAATTTGTTGAGTTGCCTGTGCATTGCTGGTTTTCTTCTTGTGTCGATTTCTTTTGGCTTTTCTTCGTCTTCTGTTAAACTTTGCCGAAACAGCTTGACTTCGCTCGGGATTTATTGTCGGTTGGTTATCTTTGTCATCGTCATCATCACCATCATTGTTATTGTTAACATTCTTTTGAATATCTTTATCGGGGACGTCTTTAGTAGAACTGGATTCAGCTGTTTGAGATGCTGAAGGATTAGGCGCATTGATCAGATTAGTAAGACGAGTTTTAATGGCATCAAGAGTAGCAGATGATGAGGAACTGGATGGTATCGGCAAAGGTGGCAATTTATTACTGTCGGGGACAGCATGTGGTTCACTGGCGGACAGAGAAACAGGCACCTGAGGTTCAGCTGTGGCCGTTGGTGCTGGTTGATCATCATCATCCGAATCAGAAGATTCGAAAACAATCTTTTTTCCGGTAACTCGATGTAGATCCAATGGTGGTAGTTGAAACTCGCGTGGTTGTGTCCTTTTCGGTGATGGTGGAAGCGGTATTGCTGCAGGCAAAATGTCGATTTGATCAGTTAGAAATGTGTTATTGTGATAATCACGGTTAGCTAATCTCATAGAACGTTGAAGTTTACGAAATTCCTAAATTCAAACCAATTTGGTTCGAACGAAAAGGTTATGCAACTCTTCTGTTAAAAAAACATACCTGAACTAAAACATGAAATTGTTTCTTATTTTGTTCTTTTTCGCGTTGTGTTTTGGTCTTCATTCGTTTTAACTTTTCAATACGAATTCGTAAATTAATATATTCAATTTGTTTTTTCAAACGTTCGTATTTCACCGGGCCAGTTTGTTGGTCATACAATGGGTTGTTCTTACTAGCTTCCAACTGACGTAATTGATTTTTTAATTCACGATTGATAATTTCAACATCACGTTTATCTTTTATGACTGGATATGGAATATTCTCATTGTAGAAGGAAATTTTTGGATTGATAACATCTTCTACTTCCTCGTCGAACTTGTCTTCGAATGTCTTCGGTTCATGAAGAGAAAGGTTGGATAAACCGATCTGGTTCGACGTTGATGCTAAGATCGATGATGGAGGAGGTGAAGAGGATGGTGATGGCGATGGCGAAGGTGAGAAAGAGAGGTCTTCCGTAAGATCACGATACGATGTGGTTTGTCGAGACAAAAGTAAATCACGAGCTTTCGAATCACCAGTTTCATCCAAAGCATCCAGATCATGATATGGTTTTTCATTGGATTGTCTAAAAGAAAAACAAAAGATACTATGATGGAATTAGTGAGCTCATTACGTTGAATCTTTCGATGAGGATCTTGAACGACTCGATGAACTGTACGATCTTGATCTTTCACGCGGTGGTGGAATAATTCGAGTTCCAGGTTCAGTATCCGTTTTCGTGGGTGTTGCTTTTCTGATTGTCTTCACTGGAACTTTCAAAGTTATTTCACGTTCGGGTGTTGGACTACGACTCAATCGTGCTTTTAAATTTGTTAACCGAGTTTGTACGGCAATCCATTTTTCACGTAGATTCTTTACTTCTACTAGTAAACGCTTTTTTGTATCGATATCTGCTTGAGGTTTGGCTTTGAGTTCATCACGTAACTCAAGCAAACGCTTTCCGATTGCTTTTCGTTTGCTTTCAAGTGCAAAAAAAGCTTCTTTTGGTGTTAATGTTGCAAGATTGCTATCTGATTCTTCATCGACTTGTTCATCCTCTTCATCCTCAGATGATGTTGTCGACGAACTTGATGTAGTTTCATCTTCATCATTGGAACTAGATAAATTTTCTTGATCTTCATTGTTAGCCATATCGATGTTGAAGAGAAAATAAAGATGAAGAAACTTTATTCGGAAACTGACATCTGATCTTTTTTCTATTCGATACAAAGAACAACCAATCACAACGCAGAACAGAGGGCAGGCTTTACTTATGTCCTCCCTTTCAAACGATGAACCAATTTACTGATCAGTTAGGTACACGAGATCGTAATATAAACAATATTTCAAATGACGAGGTTATCATTAGAGGTAGATCAGATATTTCGATAGAAGATGGTACTGTCTATGAAATTGAGATGTTTTATCATTGATAATACGAAACAATAGTGTAGATGATAACAAAAATCTTCTTTTCACAGATAGCGTACTGATAGAATATTCAAGAACGCGAAGGAGTCAACAAACGCTTTTGTACAATCAACAAGAAAGAACATAATCTTCGAGAAAATTTTTATAATAAGTCGAAGAGTTCATCCTAGTGGCAAGAGTTTTTCCCTTCGTATCCATTTCTTATAACTATCCCCTGAGAAAATTGAAAAAAAAACCTACGTAGCTAAATATAGCCGATAATACTTGCTAAGTAACCCTTTGTTTGTTTTTCTTGATATGCATTCCATAATATTAGATATTTCGGTACATAACTATTTTTGCGTTGTTAGTTAGGGGATGGTTGGTCTTTTCTTCTTTCCTTTGTTTTATCGAAAAAAGAAAACAATAGTCAATGTTATATGACACGTGCCGGCTTTGTTATTAAACATGGAGAAAAAGTACGCAGCGAAAAGAGAAAAGCGGACAATTCTTTCGCAATTATCCAGTACTTACATACGAAAAGAACACAAGAGAGAAGACGACAGAGTATCGAGTACGATTACGAAGTATCTCTCATCAATGTTTGGCAAAAAGAGAGAACAATAATAGAGTTACACGAAGTGAAGATACCAGGGTAGAAATATATATTGACGTATTCGCTTGTGTTACACAGTACGATAATATATATGTAATATACACCATGCTAACTTCCCTTACCTATTCATTACTTAAACGTTGGATATTCATGGCGCTCTGCTCGCGTAACATAACTCTTATAACAAACAACACACACAGTCATGCGCGTCCATTCGACGAAATTCTTTTTACATTCGATACATCGAGTACCTCAATGCCAATCAAAGATGATCGTAATCTTCTTCAACCGAATCCATTCGACAAATTTTTAACTTGAACATTCGTACTTCTGACCATTCATGGTTATTGAATACAATATTTACTTACTCGATGATAATGTAATACATTTACTTATCTACGTCGAATTGGACGACAACAAAGGTCGATATATACATCGATGGTACACGCATTGCAACTGATCAGAAAGACATTCTTAATACTATATAAATTTTTATTTTGTTTGAAAGTACATAAAATAAAAAGAAAGGAAAAATCACATCAAACGACACTACATTTCGACTGTTTGATCCAATTTGCTTGTTGACAACGAAAGATCAGATGAATATCATCAATAAGATACGTATTATTCCGATACAAATCCTTTCCGTGCAAAACACGACAATAACTCGACGCTGCATAGTCAATCAGAAAGCGTTTCATATACGAACTAGCACTCATAAACGGCCATAGGTATTCATCGAGAAAGATGTTCTTTTCCGTGAGAAAATTCGATCGTAAGAGTAAATAAACAATAGACTCATCATCTGAGAGATGTTTCTTCGTATTGTTCGCATCTGGTTCATCATCATAAGATTTCAATGAACAGTCAATGTGGTAGGGATTTGTTTCAGTAGCTAAGCGAAGAATTTTCAAAAGAAGTTTACTGACATGGTATTCAATTGAAATGTTCGATTGATAAAGAAAAGCAAAAGGCAGATATAAGGTATGATTCGATGGATAATAACTTGGTTCGATATAGTATGAACGTTGATGTTCATCGGGGGATATAGATGATAGATATTGAACATACTCCAGATATGATGAAGATATGTTAGATAGAAAATAATCATTCGGGATCGAATAATGACCAATACGGATTACAATTTGGTTTAATTGATTTCGAATGAGATTCTTTTCATTGATATATAAATTATCCGATTGTTCAGTTAACAATCGAAAACGATCGATAATGTTGTCAATCAAGACTTTCGTTGTATTGACAATAGTCTAAACAAAGATAGAAACCATGCGCTTCATTCTTCTGTATTTTCGTGAAATCAATCGACAGGTAATAACCCATCACGTTTTGCTTACGTCAATCCAGAAACTATATCTAGAACATTCTCTCTCTCTGTATGGGGACGCCTTAAAACAATAGGATTTATACTAGATAATACTTTGAATACAATGACTATTTATAAGCATACTACGTTATATAATTTCTCGCTGATCTGTAGTTCGTCAAAAGTAATGTTAGGTATTCCTTTGATGCTGTGACCACGAAAACGCATGTCGAATGTTTATAAAAGATTAAACGATATCAGGTCAGTAACTTTTGCGCATATTTCATTTGACAAAAGAAAACCTTATCTGAGGACAAAAAATGGGTGAGGTCTTACATCAATATTCATTGATTATATGTATACTGCTTCTGTTCTATGAATATTGATCGTGGCATTTTAACTTTTTGATCATCTGATTATATATGCGAACTTATTCAAGATGGAATAAATTTAGTTTCGTATACGAAAACGGCTTGTGAATTCGCAAGAGAAATTACCTGATTGTGATCATTGACTACTTGATTCAAAAGCGACGGATGATAACAATTCAAAATGTCAAAACAACTCTGGATGCGACATGATAAATTGGGATAATTTGTTGCATATGTATAACTACTCGATGAATTATCTGGATTAAGACGAAGATTATCGTTATTCTGAATATACGGTTGGTAATACGGATAGATCAGTTTTCTGTATTGATCAAAAAAGGCAAAGTTAGCTAATGTGTCAATTGATGCTGTTTTTAATAAACGTTCGTATAACATAAATAGAAATGGCCAATCATTGGAGAGAAAACTATCTGTTGTTTGACTGAAAAGATCGAGATTAATCATTGATGCTAACTCAGAAGATTTGATTCTTCGATCTAACAATTGATCGAGAAGATGAATGGTACAGGACTGCTCGCCGTAGTTTGTACGAGTAATATTTTCGATCGTTTTCAAGTCATCTGTAAGACTTTGAAGATGTTCGACTAGTGTATGATTGTCGGTAATTTTGTCTATGACTCGAATTTGTTTATCGATAGATTCAGGTTTAAAATTATGTAAACGCGTTTGAAGGAAATGATTTAAGAGTTTGATTAGATTTTCACGACCGTTGGTAGAATTAGAAACTAAGGATGGTAGACATTGGTGATAATTTGAAAATGTTAGGATTCGTCGAGTAATTAGCGAGTCTTGATGATACTCTTGTTCATAGGAATTGATCAGATTATTTTCTTCGGATAGAAATGTTCGATAGTCATCGTCGAATTGTGTTAAATATTTGAATGCTGTTTGGTTGATACTCGTCATATTGGAGAAGAGTGAAAGGATCGACGGTAATTGACGATGATTTGTACGGACAATGGTCGAGGTATTGGGTGCTGAGGAAAGCACGGTGAAGAATGGATTTGGAAAATGAAAGATTGATACCGACGAAGTTAGATTGGTTGAATTTGTTTGATTGAAAACAGTTAAATATGATTTATATGGTTCTTTCTCACTTAAGTTAGTAAAGTAATTTTCAAGTTCATTGAGTAATATTTCTGGAGATTGTGTTTCACATAATTGATATAAATGATAAACGGATGTTATACGATTATCTATATAAATAGAGAATATATTCGTAAAATTCTTCTCTTTAAAAGCATCGTACCCTGCGTTGTTAGAGATTGATTATCCAATTTGCTCATAAGTTTTGCATGAAGTTCATGTCTTACACTAGTCCATTTATGTTCATTATCATCTACGTCATTGATTACATCCACATGTTTCTTCGGTGTCAATTTGTCACAAACAAATTCATAGAAATATTCACATGGATCTATGTTCGTATTAACAAAGTCAGGTAGTTGTCGTTTTATGGCTATTGGATAACAATCAATGCAGTTCGTTGCATTCGACGTCGAAATAGGACTAGCACTATCTAGATGATAAATAATTGCAGCGGCAAAGATAGCGACAATGGCAAGACATAGTCCGAAAAGAATGACCGGAATACAACAACGATTTGTTGATGTCTCAGGCATGATTGGATTGTAGAGATAGATATAAGTTTGTTTTGGTTCACGTCGGCAACACCGTGGTTGCCGACTTATCCATGTGCAACAGTGAGACATTTTAGTTGAATTCGATCGAAATGCTAAAAGATAGATCAAGTGATTTGTTGTTATTCTGTTTTTTCTCATCTAAGAACAACTTACATGCAGATCGATCGACATTGTTTTTGTTGATGATTTGATAAATGAGTCTGGCAAAAGTCTGTCATTGTCATATTAATATCACGCCGATAATAATGATAATGAGTGGCGACGACGAAAAAGAAAACCTTCAAAGAAATAATCAACTATTAGATATGATGTTTTCCTCTCGAACACATAGACATCATCAAGCCGCGAGGGTACAATGAATTAATGAAACGTGCATATGTATGCGTGCACATCCACACACCATCCTTTTCCGATTATTCTAGTTCGCACTCCTCATTTGCCAATACTAATCGGCTACAGCCCTTCATCTATGTACAGGACACGTCAGTGAGTTCCTAATTCTGAACAGGATATGCTATTCTACATGCGAGTGAACGCTGGAAGAGAAACTGATCGGCGCAATCAAATTCATGTGCATGTTTGCCTATGCATTGTCCATAATTATTTGACATGTCCACGAGTGACTTCTGCTCTAGAATGACCGTTTATTAGTTCATTTCATATTCAAATAATAACAGATAGAAGATCTAAGTCAACAAATATGAGAAGAATCGGAAGTTGATTACTCATATTCAAAACATGTCATTCCTCAGATTTCATCAAAGTTACTTGTGTGAAACTTGTTTTCTTCTTCTTGCCCTCTCTCTCTCTCTCTATGTGTGTGTGTAAATAGATGGTTTGTATGCAATAGCCCGAAGACAATGTTACTTACTCTTAGTCTTCAATTATCCATTAGGTGGGCGGAGAGAATGAAAAAGAAAATAGGGCACGGTACCATCAAACGATTAAACAGTCTCTCATGTTCTAGTCTGATCTTCTCCTTCTGTTCATGTCACTATCCATTGTAACTGGAGATGCTAAGAAAAGGTTGAGTGNCTTAGATGAATAGACGCCTTATGCTGTTCTGCGACGGCAATATGTCATAATACAAAGATATAGAAGTCAACCGAAAGGCAAGGTGAGAAAGTCGTCAAAATAACTATTGGTCCTTTGATTTCAACTGAAGTTATTATTACTTCAAACACTATACAAAATCAGAAGCAACGGACTAGATGAGAATTGAAAAATTCTAGACAATGCATGAGGCTATTTTCTCAACAAACTCATTTCGTAATCATCTACAAGAACGCATTTCCTGTAGGAGAAAAATGAGCGAGTTTATTCATATGTACATAAAACGTCTTAATAAGAATCGAGGTACTTTTTCTCTTTCATCATCGAACAAACGAACGAATGAACGACGATTTCAGTTCCTAACCAGCAACTTCGACGATGAAAACATCATGTTGACAAAAAAAAAATGCAGAAGGAGACTTGTCATTGATCTATTTACATAATGGCTCATCGTAATACTCGCGGGAGAACAGACGACAAGTCGATTTTTCTTTTCGCTCTGAACAGCTGAACGGACAAAGAACCATATGAAAACTTCCGGTTATCACCATTAATGAGAACTTTTTTCTTTATATCAAATCATGCATATAGTACTCAGTTCTGCAATTTAATGCTGAGAAAAAGAAAGATGATTAAGATATGAATTATAGAAGACTTTTCTATTGAAATAATGACATCACGATTTGACGTAAAAATCTTCTGTTTTAATATTTCTTCAAGTCGTTAATCATATTCGACTGCTTCTATTTTCTCTTCTTGTACATCAATTATTCTATTGTGAAGAACAAGAGGATAGGAAACAGTAATCTTTTTAGTTCGATTGTCCGACAAAATGAACTCTTTAAGATTGTTTCAAGGCAATGATCAGTTTACCATCGTAATCAACTTAAAAAACGAGATTAGTCGAGCACAAGCTCTTTCTTTCATTCATCAAACGACCTTAAAACATCGAAAGACAAATTCCCATAAGGTCATACGTATATAATTTATCTCGACTGACAAAACCCAGGCACTAATTAAATGTGAAGAGTTCTTTTCTTTTGCAATAAAGAACTGAACAATGCACCTTTACAAAGAATTATGTAAGATTCGATTATTACTTTTTGATTTTCAAGCGTGATTATCTCTTGATTGTTTTAGCAGAAGGATATTCTTTTGATGAACGAAGAAAAATGATCTATAATATATCAGTAGGTACAACAAACGTTTGATAAGACTAATCGAACATGATCGATGGATGTAAAGTGATCTAACAGATCGACAATTATGTCCAATGAAAAAACGATGTGTTCGTTGGAAAGTGAGCAAGTCCGTTAGATCAAATTATCTTGTTGACAAGATTAATGAAAGGTTAATTCATCGAGATTTATTAACAATCTAAATATGAAACTTCTAAAATAACATGCCGGTGGAAAAGACTGATGTCTGGGAGATATCAATCTAACGGTTAATTATTCGCTATAGGAGTAAACAAAACAATTTCTTCAACATGCCGATCAAGATTTGAAATATTGTGTTGACCCAGTTTCAAATCGAGTATATAATCAGACTGCAGCTTTTGTCTAATCTAATTTACTATCGTATTCATTAATACGCTTTTGTTTGATTGATTTAATACAATTCCCAGTTGAATTGTACAACAGAAGACATGGAATGTATGTTTTAATTAGGACTGATCTTCGTGTTAAGTTATTTATGGAAGATTATGTAATAGATTTTTTTCTCTATTACCTTGATCAATATGCACTTTTGACATTACTGCATGTTGTTGTTAATATTGAAACATTACAATCGACGAAGAAATACAAGGGATCATAAAATTGATTATATGACGCTAATGAACGAATGGGTTTAGTTTGAATGTCAATTTTTACTCACAGTTGAATTGTACAACAAAATTGAGTAGTGAATGACGAAACATAATGAATATGAGAGTGTTCTCTAACCGATATCGAATTCATTTCGAGAAAAAAGTTCATTTTCACTTTGAAACCACGATGAATGAGGAAATCAGCAAGAGTTATAGCGATATAGAGAAGAAACTAGAAGGGTTATATCTTAATTCAATCCGTTAGATGAAAATTCGTTTTGTCTTGATTAGACACAAATTAATATAATTTATTTCGACAAAAGAAAAACACAAATATATTCACAACAACTCCAAATCTTGTCTATTCAACGCTTGTAACGTCTGACAACATCGTCTATAGAGTTCCCGCGCAACTAATTCTCGCTCCGCGTCGTTAGCCCCTGGATACGTATGTAGTTGTGGAAATAACAAAATCTTTTTCAAAGTTTTGATTTGTCCGAACTTTTGTAAAAGGAAATCGAATTCATAATTGTAATACGGGATGATCGATTTGAACGATAGCAAGGAAATTTTCGTATGACTTTTTTCTTTGATATAATAATCTGCCAGTTGTCCAATCGTGGATGCTTGTAATGAACAATACCCAATCGATAAGGTAGTCAAGTCGGGACAGCGTGGAATAATCTGTAAGATGATATTTGCACATGTTCGTGTGCCGAAGTTATTCATACTGAGATTGAGTTCATTCAAATGCCGTAAACTGCGCATTGATAATAAAAATTCGAGATCTTTCGATACTAAACGACAGTCTTGTAAATTGAGGTATTCAAGTGGTTGAACAAGACCGCTAAAGAGGATTCGTATATAGGATTGTAAGTATGAGTAGGAAAGATCAAGTTTTCGGAGATAAATTAGACGACGAAGTAAATGATTGAAATCCGAACATAGATTCATCAACACATGTGGACTTGTATAACTAAATGAATACGAAAATTCTTACTAGTCAGTCTATTGTTAACAATCTCCCTACTCACCGGTGTGGGTACAGGTTGAGTACACGCTGCAAACACAAAACGCGTAAATTTCGTAGATTAGTTAAACCTCGTACGAGTAGTTTCAATTCATTTTCGGTTGTTTCCATGTTTGCATCACTCAAATGCAGATGGGTAATGTTCTATCGAATGAAACGATCAAAATCATCCGGTTACAATGATCAACAAGCAAATTACTTACATCCATTTGAGTTAAAGTCAAGATCAGATTGATATCAAATAATGTTTGAGGTGAAAGAATTTGTCGAACATAGTTACTTATCCATAGTTTACGAAAATGAAATTCGAATGGTGTTATATGTTGCAATTCAAGTCCAAGAAGTGTATCTTCATTGATAATCTGACAATCCAATATAATTTTGATTGACTCTAGAATAACGATGACAATAGAGTTCGGAATTCGAACACCTGGATCATTATCAATGTTTATACATGCTGAAATCAAAGGACAGGGAAGAGTTGACATGCAATGTCACCGAAGACGAAGGTTAATCACAGCAAGATATATTTATTCTACCAAAATTAGTTTCATGTGTGATGGATTTATCGTAGTATTGGTAAACATGGTTGAATCCTTCGATGTACTTTTCCAATGTACTCTTTTCGATAGCTAAATTGCGAAATCAAATGATAAGAACAACAACGAAACTTTGGATTCGTCGACTTACACATTCGTTTTTGTAACAAATGTCGTCGATGTGGGGCTGTCCATAGTAATGGTAAACGAAAGAGTTCTTTGGTCATCTGAATACCTATCAAACAAAAGAAAGTTCTTGTATAATACAAAACCTATTCGCATTATATTTCCTCGTACTTGTTGAACATCGATGAAAATCAACAATTTGTAAACGTGATATATCTTTGCGTTTATTGACCAAGCCCATCACAATATAATCCAACAGAGTTGACCCATCCGGTAATTTTCTCTCGAGAAATTGCGCGATGAAATATTTTTCATCATCTTGTTGTTGACAATTCAAATACGGCAACAACGAAGATAATGGTAGAATACGATAGATTTCCAGATGAACCAACGGCCAATAAGCTATAAGGATTTCAATGATTTGATATTCATTCATAAAGATCGCCTCTTGTGCTATCGAATAGAATATATTCGCTGGTGTTGATGAACGAATATGTTCGTGCTGAAGACAATGATGTAAATATTTCTCATTGATAATCAGCTTTCGGATGCACAATGAACGAAGACGTCTAAAAGGAAATAGTTAGATGTTTATAGATTTATTTTCGAAGTTTATCAATCGTATCCGCGAGAAAAATATAATCTTCGATTCGATTATAAATTTGGGTTGCAATACGAACATAAAGTTCGTTATTAGCCCATAAAATGATAGAAATGAGTTTATGTTTTTGAATCAAATCGTGAATGAGACGAAGAGCATCTTCATTCGTCTTCTGATAATCCGCTAAATCAGGCAATTTAACCATTTTCAAGTACGGTGCATGCATATCACTCGGAAAAAGATCATTTCCTTGTGTATTCCATCGTTGCTCGAGAAGTTCTTTGGCTTGTTGACTTATAGTTGAATTGTATTGATGAATACGATCGAATCCTCCGGCGTATTGATCAGCAAATTCGATTGCTTTGGGTAAAGTTAAGTGTGCACTATCATCCCGTGTACCTTGGTGAAAGAATCGCAGATGAAAAAGTGTCATCAGACTTAATTCCAAAGTCGATGGTCGATAACCCCATGATGTGTTAGCTGGTTGAAGTTGATTTGCAACGGTAATATCTCGAACAAAGAGAAATGAACAACCTCGAGCTGCATACATCCATTTGTGAAACGTGCCGATATAGTAATCACATTTGAGTTTGCGTAATGATAGATCTGGAGCGACCTGACCAGGTCCGTGTGCCCCGTCAACCAATACTGGAATATCATAGGAATGTAACAGGTCAGTCAACTCATCGATAGGAAAAAGCATTCCTGTCGAGCTAGTAATATGGTCGATGACAGCGAGACGAATGTTTTCCACGTCACCTTTGTTTAATTCGTCTTGAAATTGTTTAATAAACTCTTCTTTAGTTTTAATAGGTAGCTTAATTTTCACGGTTCTTATTTTCCAATTATACTGACGAGCAACCTCGTCAATTGTAAAAAGAACTGAACCATAGTTTAAATTCGTACAAAGAATTGTACCACCTGGCAATGGTTTTATTAATGGTAACGATTTGATAATAGCATTAGCACCGACGGTGGCATTGTCAACAATAGCGATCTGCTCGAAATCACAATCGAGTCGACGCGCTGCAGCACGTACACTGTCAACATAATACGTATATTTCGACAAACGAAACCATAGGTCAGGATTTCGTTCTTGTTCCAAACGTAAACGTTGCAATTCTTCGTAAACGATACGAGGACATGGTCCATAACTGCCATGATTGACATAAACTAGATTTGGATCGAGTAGATAATGTTCACGGTGTGTCTGTTCACCAAATTCAATGTGAGTCATGCTTTATCGGGAACAAAAAGAACGAATCCTAGCAATGTAGTTCTATCTGTAATATAAGGTTTAGCTGTGTAGAAAGGAGATGGGTTTGCATTCAGTTTAAAAGAGAAAGCAGATGCACAAACAAATGACACGACAATATTTTATCTCACCTCGGAGATTTTAATAGTGGATTCTGTGTATTTGTTTTTGGTTGTGGTGAAATAGAATAATAAAAATGTCGTTCGAATCGAACTGTTGGTATTCGTCGATAGATTTGATTAGTTCGATCGAACATCGGATTATTAGGAAATGTACCCAGCATACTAAGTTTTTTTCTGAATGAATAATCTAAAACATGAATGTAGACACACACATATGTATATATACGACGATATAGACAAAAGTATAGATATTCGCATGACCTAGATATTGTGCGCGTGCGAAACATGCCCTGTCATATGCAACAACATGCATTAGTACGATGACGAGAAAGAAAATGCAGATAAATAATCATTGGTCATATGGATTAGAAGGGAGAAAAGGATTGCTGAAGAAAGTAACGAGGAATAATTATAGCAGAAATGTAAATACAAAGAACCGATAAAAAATATGGTCTTGTCGACTTCTTTCTCCTCCTTTCGAGCTGATATACGAGATATTGATTCGATAGTTCTCAACGCATGCGAGCATTAGAAGAAGCAAAACGTCGGCTGACTATGGTTGATATTTAGAAACACATGATGATAATAAAGAATAGGCTAACGAATGTTTATTCAAAACAACTATTCATATACGTAGAAAACTTAGAAAGGAAACTCTTCTGATTGAGTCATGTTTCTCATAGAATACATCTGTTAATTGAATAGAAATTCAAGAAAGACAATAACGTATTGTGGATTTGGTTTTTTTTCTTTTATTAATGAAACAAAAACAGGAGAAATATCAGTTCTTTTTCCTAAGTAGCATGAAGTTGTTCATCCGTTAATGTTAAATCATCTAGATTTGTTAGTTTTTGATCTTGTATAGTTTGCAATATTGTCATGAGAAGCGACGGAGTGCGATCTTTTTCTTCACGTAGTTCTGGATAGTAATCTCGATAATCATATGTTCGGAATGGAACTTCATATGGCATCAAACCAAAATCATAAGCTTTACGCAAAGCGACACGAAGATTTCGTAATTGAGCTTGACATATCGATGTTTTTATCACAGGTTCGATTTCGCCAGTGTGATCATTGACGAATTGTTTCAAAAGTTTTACATTCCGATAATCGAGCAAAAGATATTCATCTCGACATATCGGACATGGATTTCCACGAACGTAAAGACCTTCTTCGGCACAGAAGTCACGTGTATAATGAGGAAGACGTTGGTTTGTTCGATTCCGAACGTAATTTTTCCATACAGGATCTTTGCCATAAACAGTTTTATAAGCGTCACTTTCCATGTAGCGAAGGGATGTTTCAATATCTGTGACTTTATATGGCGTGCCTTTCAATGAGGTTTTCGTTTTATTGTGTGCCAATTGAGCTGACTGGGCTGTTGGCGCAGCCGGTTCAGCAGGTGTTTCTGGAGCGGCTGGTTTCGCGGCATGATGAGTTGATGATATGGACAGATAAGCACGATGTGCGTTAATTAACGAATGAAATCGTAGCGATAAAAATCGTGATGATAGCATCTTCAATGAGAGGAAAAAAACGATTTTAATTATCGGAATTTGATGCACCACAAATGTCTATCGAATGATATTGATATTTGATTCAATTTTATAATATTCACTACAACTACACTGCATCAATAATAATAATCAGTAGTACTTGCTTTTGATTGGATGATTTCTGCGACCTTTTCGAAAATATGTACTGCGATGTCGTTACTGGAAAGACAATAATATCCTTTTTTTTCCTTGTAGATCAATCCTGCTCTTTGTATTGGAAAATTTGAAATAATTTTTCTTTAATTTGTAATAATATTGATCAACATCAAAGCTAATCAAATGACTATGGCAACAAAAGAAACAAACCAACCGTGTAAGCAATCAGTCATGCACGTTACCAGCGCTTGCTCAATTGAATAGAACGAGAGAGAGAGAAGACAATAGTGTAAAACTATTCACTTATTAGTTTTCACTGGTTGTGTCATCTCTAAATCAAACAGACATTTTCTTTCATTATGTCAACACATACAGAGCGAAGACGATCATTAATCAAAAATGAAAAAAGACATTGGTCTTAACTATTCTACGACGCAATAAAGTGATCATGTTTGATATTGATCTAATCCGATCTGACCGTTCAGATCGTTATATTGATAATGATAAATCAAAATCTACTAGATGATAACATTCATTACACATCAACATTATACGAATAACATATTCGACTAGTTCGTTCACATACGTAGTTATACAAATCATGGATGATTACGTAAATCAGATGCATTGCATTCTACGCGAAATGTTATTCATTGTGAACATTTGAATTTTCTCACAGTATCAAATAGAATCATTTTCTTCTACTATTGCAGATATCTTAAATCAGCCACATGTAGTGTTTGTATCTTGTGAATGAAAACGTTATAGTCATATTAGATAACGATATTGTAGATCGATGTGTTACGCTAGCATCCGTAACTGATTTCTAACTTAATTGCTTTGGTCGCCGAGGACACACGTATTTTTTCTAGGCGAAGAAGGCATGAATTGATAGATGTGTGACACTCTCGATAAACGTTGGTGTGGTGATCGATGAAGTAATAGCATATGTATGAAATCAAACGATTATATATTCGATTAAAGAAATACATGTTGTTTTCGTATAGGACAGATCAACAGATGAGATTGACGAGATTAGAAAGGATATGTTATAATGAGAACGAAGATCTCAACTAGATTTGCACTTAAAAAATGAAAACTATCGGCGAATAATATTCTTTTGTAGACATTTTCAAATTGTATACGAAGCTCTAGAATGCTTCAGTAGACAGTGAAGATTTGAATATATGTGAAAGATCGTTCTTATGATTTCTTCTGTTCTCACAGTGAAAGAATAATTTATTTCGTGTATTGTAAATTCAGTTGATGTTTTCTCAATCGATGTATTCAAGTACTTGACTTGCAAATTTCAACCGACGATATCAAGTGTCTTTCATCTAAGCACACAAATTCAGTCAATAACTATAAACGTATCAATATTATTAACAATTAGACATTCAAAATCATCACTAATATTATTGATCGTCGATCCTATTTGACTTATTCATTTCTCTACATCATTTTCGCATTTTGTCATTACCAAGTTGAATCTTTAGCTCGAAGAGAACATCGAACAATTCTTGCACTCAAAGATAGAAATTGCTTTTCGTCACAAACATTAGAATTATTTACAAACTGTTCAATACCTTGGTACAATAATAAGAAAACAGACCTATTCCTGACGAATTCTCGAGAAGAATCGAACATGTTTCGCTGTTCGAAGTTTCAAACTTGATTGCATTACAAGGCCGTAAACACTACATTTTGCAATGTTTACGTTTCTCATAATATGCAATTTTCTTTGCATTATTAATAATTGGAATAACTAATGTTCGAGTTGTTTCAGCATCTCACATGGAAATTCAATTCAATTCATCGATTAAAATGGTTAACTATTAATCGCATCGATATAAACTGTATTCCTGATCATTCGAGAGCTTAGCTTGCCCTTAAATAAGTCGAAGTCTCCGTCGATACCTATACGTAAGAAGTATACGAGACATACGATTAATCTTTAAGATATATATTTGATATATCACAATTTCTTCTGCATTGCCAGCCAGTTCGGTAGTCACACACCATTGTGCTGTTTCGAGAGACTCAACTCATGAGGTCTCATTATACCTTTTGTATGCGCACGTGGCGTTCGTTTCTGATTGGCTGCTTTAAAATACCCTTTTTAATGGATATTTTGTCGTGTCGTCGTTGAGAGATGGTCTTCCTTTTTTTTCGTTCTGATATACATATTCTGTCTTTTTTTTTCTTTTTCAATGTATTGATGTTCTTTTTCTCCATTCAAACAGATTGGTTATTTACTTTTTTTTGTTAATCATATACCTAATGGCGACGAGTGTCAGTGTCTTTTGTTGGGCGACGATTGAAACCATTTAAAAACGGTTTTGTTTTATAAATTATTGTAGATGAGGCTGTGCAAGGCATTGGTTCACTATTTTTTATTTCTTTTCCTCTCTCTATCCGTTTTCCAATGTTACGGTCATGAACATCACACACACGTCGATTCAGTAACGACGAAATATTCACAGCCAGCGGCTAATATCGACCCTATAAACAATAATATAGGTAAGATTGAAATCATCTTTCTGTTTCCAATACATTGATTGTTTCGTTTTAGAAACCACAAATGTTCATAAACATACTGACGAAGACCATCATCACGACACAATTGACGCTCGTTTAAGGGCGAAACATAGTTTAAGACAATCCGTTCATCAGCATACTGATGACGATAAACATGAAAATGAGGAAGATTGTAAGGACATTTTCTATTCTTTCTGTCAACACGAATGAAAACAAAACACTCTCTTTCTGTTTTCCATAGATATCAATCGATTGAATTCAGCACTAGAAGACAATTATAAACACGAACATCAATTTCAATATGCCGTCCCACCTGTTGTAGATCTTGTTAACAACACACAATTAGAAAATCAAACAAGTGAAGATATTCAAAAACCACTGCAAACACATAATGATACAACATCCCCTTCATCTACATCTACGCCGACACCACTAGAGCAAAAACAACATACCACCGATACATTACCACCTATCGATGAATCAAAAATAATCGTTAATCAAAAGTTAGACGAGATCCTCGATTCAAAAGTACCGCTTGATCAAGCTATCCCATCGTTACAAGTAGATACAAATGAACAAAAATCAACCGACACTCGTCAAGAAAATATTGTAAAAGAAGACGTTCTATTCATCCATACAGAAACATTATCAACAACGTTGTCATCTCTCCAACATGACGATACATCGAAATCGACTTCGACTACTATTTCACCTATACCAGTACAGGAACCACCGACTACCGATACAGTTCGAAACGATACACCATCAAATGACAGTCAGTTGGAAACGAAATCATCGACTCCAACACAGTTGCAAGCAGAAGAAGTTAAATCCGAGACAACACCCAATGTTAATGTATCCGATACAGTCGTGCGTGACAATACACCACAATCGGATTCAATGGGACAACAAGTATCGGATAAAATAGGGAATGTCAGTTCGACCGACGAAAATACCACACCTATTACACCAATAAAACTGAATGAAGAACAGCAAAAGCCTGATGAGGCAGTTCGAAGCACAATCGAGCAATTGCAAAAGACACCTCAATCTGACGAAACCGAAAAGAAATCAGATGAGAGCTCAGCAGCACATACAGAGCAGCCTACTATTGTTCAATCATCAACTCCCCCTACGCCACCACCATCACCACCATCGTCGACGACAAGAGTGTTACGTTCGTCAACGGCTAGACTGGGTGCCAAACTACAAAACCGTCAACGTCACGCACATGGACATGGTCATATACACGGTCATGATCATGGGCATGATCATAGTCATTCACACCAAGAACCATCGAAAGCCAAACAAGAACCAGAAGTTGAAACTGTTACAACAACAGGTAATGATTTTATAGTACATCTTTTATTCTTTCAAGTTTTTAATAGCTTTTCTAGAGAAAACGACTACTGAGGCAACAGTTTCATCTACTGCAACACCGATCGCTGAGCAACCTGTCGAAACATCAGCATCGAAACATAACCTTGAACCAAGTGAAGAACTATCCCCTGCTGTTCACACTGACAACGAAACCAAAGAGCAACTCAAGGAAGCATCCGAAGCACAAACCACGAACGACACAGATACACAAACTAACGATACTGTTGACATTCAACCCAACGATGAATCACAAGTCGACAATGTAACTGATATTCAAGATCATGATCAAGTTCTAGAATCATTGAATGTCGATGATTTACCCCGTCAAGTACATGTTCATGATTCAAAGATTATTTACAAAGAACTGAAAGAAGAATTGCTGAAAACTGATCAGCTCTCACACGACCAAGAGCTTGAAAGCAATAACACTGCATCATCATTTCTAGCAAACGAGCATAGTCCACATTTACCCCGAACATTGGACAACGAAGAACTTTCGACAACAACTGCGAAAACGATCGAAGCTACAACCGAACGAACTCCAATTCATACACACATAGATTCTAACGTAAGATTCGGGAAGCAAGAGGCGTTTTTCTTTTATTTTCTGTTTTTCTCCAGGTTGACGATGTAAACAATTCTTCTATGCTAAAATCGAATTATACTGACACGTTATTACCAATTGAGCATCGACAAGTTTGTTGGCGTTTACCGAAACCATTCGAATCTAGTGTGGTATTAGTTGAAAACCAAGCATTGCGTTTCACCAATCTAGTAAACCGATTTCCTCCTTGCCTATCCAGCATTTCAATGATTTCTTTCTTCTTTCAGCTACCTGAATACATTCAAGCGATATTTTTGGGTCCTACGGTTGATCGAGAAAGACTCATGAACACAGTTTGGTTTGGTTCGATCTGTTCCATCTGCTTTTTCTTAAGTTTCATTTTTCTCTCCGTGGGTGCTAAACGTTTGAAACAAAGCAAAGATATAAAAGAAGTTCGTGCTCGTTGTCAACAATTACAACAATATAACAATCAATTAGAACTCGAACGTGCTACATTCGAAAAACAAAATCAAAAGTATGAAGCAAATTCACATATCATTCATCTTATTCTTTTCTGTATATTGATTAGATTATCGGATGAAATCGATGAAATGAAAACCCTTCCTATTCGTGATGCCGACGAAGAAATTTTCGATCTGCGTGATAAATACGAACGCCTTTATGCTGAATTTGAACGTATAGGCTCAGATTACAATCTGGCTTTGAAAGATATTGATTACAAACAAAGCCTAATCCAAAAACATGATTTCGATATGCAAAAACAGGCAGAAACTGCAGCACATTTAAATAATGAAGTGAGTAAACCATCAACGCTGTTGTCTTAGTCAAGTATATTCAAATGAGAAAGAAGACAGTCAGTTCTAACAATAAGAAAAGCATCTGTTACGAGAATTTTCTTTCCAATACGATCATTGTATATTCATATATTCAGCTTCAATGATAAACAGATGTTTGAGTAGATTTCATTCAACATTATTAAAACTCTTCCCTTGACCCGTATCTCTTGTGATAAAGCTTCGATTTCCTTGAACATGTACGTGATTCATTGTCGAAAAGAAAATTTATTTGAGACATGCATCGTTGCTTGTCATGCGTAAAATCATTCATACAATTTTCCAATCAAAATAGGTATGACTTTCAATATGTGAATGATATGATGTGGACCAATCTTATCGATTCTGAATTTCAAGGTCGAAATATCCCTCTGATTACCGAAGAATTTCTCTATTTTCCGCATTAAATCCAATGAGAGAAAAGTCGATTTGTGTTGGTGAAGACATACGTCATGTTGTATGCTTTAGATTCTCCGACAAAAACAAGAACTAGAAAAGGAACGTGAAACTATTGCGCGATTACAATCCAATGATCTTTCATTAGAACGTTTCGAAACATTACAGCAAACTATCCTTGATCAGAAAGCAGAGATCTCCCAATTGAAACAAGCGAAACTTGCTCAAATTGATGAATTGGAAATAGTTCAAAAACAAGCGAAACAACTAGATCTTGATAACAATCAATTAACCATCAAAATGAAACAACTCAAAGATTTACTTCAGCAACAAGAGGAAACTATCAATCGTATCAATAGTAAAGCATACAATGGTAATGATGACGACGAAAAGGAATACAACAATAGCGAGAACGGCAATGCTGACGATGATTATGACGAAGAAAAAACAAGAGGCAAGATCTCGTAATGATAACTTTGTTTCGACAACTGTTTTCTAAAATAGGTCACCTAAGCAAAACCAAATCACTCGAACAGACTTCCGATGAGAGTCAACGAGAACTTCTGTCAAAAATTGATGATGACGTCGAAAAAGCGAATCAACATCTACGTGATCTTCATTGTGAAATTGACGAAAAAACTCGTCGTATTAAAGAACTTGATTTGTTACTCAATCAAGAACGAGATCGTTGTCGAGAATTGGAAACAAAACTTAAAGTTGTTCTTGAACTACGAGAACGCGATGCTCATCTACATATCCGTCAACTTGGACAAACCGATGCTGAACTAAGAAAAGCACGAAATGATACCGAACGTGTGCGCATTCTACAACAACAATTACAATTGAAAGAGTACGAATTAACTTGTTTTTGTTTTCGTCTTCATTTCCTTTTCCTTTTCCAGACAACAACTAGAAGATGTACGAAAAGTGCTCAATACTGAACAGACGAAATTCACTGAAGAATGCAGTAAACTACAACATGAAATACATGAGAAATGGATGGAAGTGAAGAGATTAACACGAGAATTGGATGGAGCGAAGAAAGAATGTGAAAGTCTTCGAAGACAGTATGCATTGATTCCTCTTGTGCCAAATGATTTTAATAGTTCTTTGTATAGAATCAGTAAATACGGAAACAGTGATCGTTCCTCACTGGAAAAGACCATGCATAAACCAGTGCCACAACATATGAATACTAGTGCTGGTCAGTATTTTCTTTGATGAAATTTTGTTTATATGTGTGTAAATTGTAGGTCGAGCATCGAGCGATCCAGAAACGAATGGAAGCTCTCCACCACCACCAATTCCGTATCAGCAAGGAGACAAGTATATTAATTTAATTTTGCATTACGCAATGATGAAATTTTCATATTTATGAATAGTTTCCGACCGATTGACAACGAACGCAATGATTCGGGTGCTGCTAGTCCATCAGAAATGTTCAGAATGCGTATATTTTCTTGTTGTGATCATTTTCAAAAAAGCACAGTGTTTGTTTTTCAGGCCCACCACTATTCGGTTTGCCTCGTCCACCATTCTACCCACCACCATTCTTACCTCCACCACCTAATCCATTCATGATGGGTGCGCGATTTCCCATGCCGATCGGAGCTCCACATGGAATGATATCACCTATACCGCATCTGATAACAAATGGCAGTGGTGGTAGTGATGCAAATAGTTTTGAAATCGTTGATTCTACGAATATCACCCCGAATTCTATCAGCTATGATACACAACTAAACGGATCGGCTGTCTCACCACCACCCGATGGTATGATATTCCTATGGAAGTATATTGGGCAAAATGAGAACAATATGTTATATATTTTAGGCGAACAACAAGCAACGACAAAAGTTAAGAAACCGAAAAAATCTCTAAAGAAAAAATCTAAAACCTCGAGTGCAACAGTAGCGCCTGCCGCGAAAGAGGACGTATGACGCTATTAAAAGAATTGTTGTTTGTTTGTTTTTCCTTGTGAAACTGTTTTACGATACTTGAACATTCGTCATCTGACCTTTCTCTCTCTCTCTATTCAAGTTTCTTTGTTGAACATAATTGTTATTTATATTTGCCGTATTTCTATTTCACTTGGGGTGTTACATGTCTACATAGAGGAATGATACTAAATCATTCTTCTTATTATTTATGTGTGTGTGTGTATGCTAATCGAAAGAAGAAATCAAATGTGACAAGAGATAGATATTCTATTCTTTTTCCGTATCTGTGCGTGCGTGTGTATTTATTCGATTCTTTCAAATCTATGTACACCTCTCGTCATATTTTTAGTTGTTGTTATTGTTACTGTCAAACGTGAATACTGTTATTTCGTTGTTGATGTTACTTGCCAATGGTGAGTGTGCTCTTGTCTTAACAGTCAATATTTTTTCCTTTTTTCTCTCTTTCTTTCTATCTCTTTCTCTCTTCTTTTGCCTAATTGCTCACATGCACACTTATAGAGAAATAATATGCTGACAAAAACAGAATTTCGTGAAATTGTGGAGTAGATCTGACATACAAGGATATACAAATCGATGTTTAATTGAGACGAAAGTATTTTATTCGTTCGAAAAGTTGAATGCTTTCTAATCTTTGTGAAGTCTTTTTGCACTCAAATTGCGTGTAATAATCTTGAATATTTCGGGACTCTTTGATCTATTATCCGTGGCAGTGACAGAACGAGATCGAGTGACAGAAGGAAGAGAGTTCAGATAATCATCGATGTTTTTTAAATTCGGATTTGAACGTCGAATTGGTGAACTGAGTAGGATTGACTCATCTTTATTTGATTCTCTTGTGCGTGGCTTGCGTATGGTTGGTATTTCTGCATCAGTCATAAAGGTCGTTAATGTTGGCTCCGGAACATCAAGTGTTTTCCCTAGGAATGTCGTTTTCGTTGTATTCAAGTCAACGTTTCTTGCGTGATCTCTCTTATACACAGTTTTGACTTGTGTTTTAATCTCCTCAATATCACCTGTCAGTGGACAATCAGCATCCGCATCACCTAACCAAGCTGCCACTGAAAACCCTTCCGTTGCCGAGCCACAATTCATAAAATGACATTTAGCGCCTAATGTTTGATTCAAACCACGAATAATTGCTTGATATGATTTATCATTCTTTTTCGGACTTGTATCTATTCCATCGGAAAATATATAAAGATCAATATATAAATACGGTTGCCGTTCGAACATTTGATACACTTCGTTTAACACCGTATAAAAATACGTATCAACTGACCGTGGACTTAGTTCGATTGCGTCGATACGCTTTAGATTAGCGGAATCAGCAATTTCACTCGCATTGCATAGAGGGATAACGGCAGGCTTTGTTAGTTTTTTGTCAAACGTAGTCAGAATGGCTTGATCCACTGGACCGGCCGCAGCAGCTATTTCTTTTAGTAACTGCTTGATAGCTTCTTTGGTTTGAAAGATGCGTGATAAAGTTGATTTCTTATCAATTGTAATCGTTTTCAAAAGATTGAACGTCATGGATGATGTGATATCTACGAGAATATATGTTAAACGTGCACCATTGAAATTCTGCCGAAACAGGGCAACTGCTCGCCAGTCAAATCGATAGTCATGACACGCTTTCGAACACTTTGGACATCGAAATTCTGGCACACGTGTGTCTTCCTTTTTCATTTCTGCTTCGGAATGCTTTTGTTGATCGGAATACGATACTAATTCGTTCAATGCACTCTGAGTAATTGGACAAAAACATGAAAGAATATAAAAACTACGTTCTACAACAGAAAAAACACATTGTTAATGACTAATTAAAAAAAAATAATCTAACCTGCAGGATTTTGCAATGCAGCTGAACCTGATCGAGGTGAAACCAGTAAATCATTCGTGTAACACTTTAAAATAATGAGAAATAGATCGATATGCAATATTCTGGTTTTCACGTACCTCTGGTTTTGGCAGTAGTGGCACAACACAATCGGGTGTCCACATCGAACTAGTCGAATGTGCTGATACATGTTTCGTATTTGACCAAAGTATGGTTATCGTCGGAATTGTCGAAGTGTTGGTTTGAACATCCAATGGAGAATATATTCTGTTGAGTCGTTTACGAAGATCGTCACTGCCACCGGGTACATTGGGATAGACAGAACGAATTCGCATATTGATGATATTTGAAAGACTATGTAGACAGAGTGTTAAAACAGCATTGGGACTTTTCATCTGAAGAAAAAAATACAAAATGCTGTCAAGTGGAATCGACATAGGAAATGATACGAACTGGTTGGTCCTCTCGAAGTTGTTCTAATACGAAATGTTTCCACGTTTCACCCCATTGTAAACAAGAATGTAAATCAGGATCTGTTGTCTGATATATTTCAGCGTTGAGTGCCATGTCAATAATGTTTCGGACGCGTAGTTCTCGCGCACCGTCATCGATATCTAATCGACAAAGAAGTGCAATGGTGTTGTAGAGGTAGTTACTCTTAGATGCATCTGTTTTTACTGGATGATGCTTTTGGAGGACATTATTATCCTCAGATATGACGTAATGCCGAAGGTAGTGAAGTGCTACACGGTCGGTATCATGTTCGTCAACATCAAATGTAGAAAAAGGCGTAATAAATAATGGATAGTTTTTCATAACCTTGTTGAATTGAACACATTTGTCTTTTATTGCATCGAAATCTTTTTGAGTGGAGTAGATGTCTAGTAAGGTAAGTAGAATTTTTGAAAATATATCAGATCGACTAAGTTGTTTGCAAGTGGTGCACAATATCGCATGGGCGTGGGGTGCATAAGCATCGCTATCACAAAGTTGGCACTTCATTGTTATTGTGACGATTTACGAACTAGTTGTTATTTTATAGTAAAAGCAAATTCAGAAACAAAGAATCATCGTGCGCTAAACAAATATATCTGAGTCAGATAATATCGTGGTGTGATAAAATGTTTTCATTTTCTTATCAAACAAAAGAAATCTAACACAGTTTTATTATTCATGGTGACTTGTTGTTTCAACAGTATACACACGTTTCAAAGAATATAGACTAAGAGATATATAATTGCGCATAGAACGCGAAATACCTAGATTAATTCAAACTGTAACCCAATTGATCAGTTATGATAATCTTGTTTTCATGTAATAACAAACGGATTTCACGCAAACGATAGTGTTGAATCAATGCTGATTCACAATTGAACTTTCGATTTATCTTTAAGTGATTATTGGATTAAGAGTGCTCTTTAGACTCGTATCGAGAATCCCGTTGTTTCACCTATCACATAATAACACTGCCGAATGGTGTAAAGTATTTTTCAAATACCATTTCTTATCTAAAAACTATAGACGAGCAAAAGAAGTCGAATAGATTAACATTTTAAAGTTGATGAGAGAGAGATGCAATGTGGTCTTAAATAATCAGTTTTTACTCCTTGAACGTCACATCTCTTACACAAAGTACACTGCTTCGTCATTCTGAAACCAATCTTTCCTACTAAATCACATAAATATATATACAGTACAAAATTCATTCACTTCACATATTATCTATTGTAGAGCCTGAAGATAATCATCGTACGGTGGTAGCTCGAATGTATAATCATTTTCTCTGATGAATACATGAGAGCGAAAAAGCTTTCAGTCATGTTCTTTTTCATTCCTTATCGAACGCATAGCAATGTATTCATTCCATTTAAATCGTCGTATTCTAGACATTCACACTGTGATCGATTTCGTCGTCGCACTTGTACGACTCAGTAGTAATAGAAGTTTATGATTACGTTTCTTTTCAATGAATCGACAGTGTATTTTTCAAATGACATCGTAACGAACATGAACAACGTCGATTCGCTTTTCAAATAGTAGAAACTTCTATTCATCGTCGCCAATCGCTCTGTCACGTGTTTCACACTCCAACTATTACATGATTTTATGGGCAGATAGAGAAATGAAGGTAAATTACTATTGGATTACACATCGCCTTCGAACGGAACTAGTATTCACTTGTCATAAAGTTACGCAATGAAAGATATTCGTGTGAGAATTCACGATCATGCACAGATATCATTTTTCTTACGACTAAAAACATTCACTAATGATTAGTCAACCGATTTTTAATAGTTTATTTTAGATGTTTGTTACTGCACCAATAGCGAGTATTACTGTCACATTAATTCTCTATCTTTTACAAGGCGTTGTTCTTGGTTTATCAACTTCCATTCCTGTGTATCTGAAAAGAGCCGGTGCTAGTTGGAAACAGCAAGGTCATTACAGTCTCGCACATTATCCATTCAGTATAAAACTAATCTGGGCGCCAGTCATCGATGTTTTCTACATTCAACGTCTCGGACGTCGACAAACATGGCTATTACCTGTACAGGCATGTCTCGGCGTTGCTTTGATCGCGCTTTCCTTTTATATTGAATCATTTATTGATGGATTGCAAGTTATTCTGTTAACAATATTAGTCTTCATTGTGCTTTTTTTCACTGCCACTCAAGACATATGCGTGGATGGATGGGCGTTAAATCTTTTTGCTTCAACAAATGTTGTTTGGCAATCAACATCGCAGACTATTGGACAAACGTTTGGTCGTTTTCTTGGCTCATCATTCTTATTAACATTTCGATCAGCTAATTTTACCAATGAATATATTCGTCAACCATTATCAATTCCTCCTGCTGATACCGGATTGTTCACTTTGGCACAATTCGTGCGTTTTTGGGGTATTGCTTTTCTCGTTGTAACATGTATTGTTGCCTTTGTTTATCGACAACGACCATCCAATGAGAATAATAATGACATTGGTCCAAGATTGAAGTTATTTGAAATATATTTATCAATTCTGAAAATCCTGAGAAAGAAATGTATGTTGGAACTGGCATTCATACTGTTGGTTTCTCCTTTTGGTTATGCCGCAACTTACTTCCTGACAAATCTTGCTTTAATTAAGTAAGGCAATATCGATCGATCGTGTTCGACATAAGTTCTGTGCGTTTTGTGTCTTTAGTAATGGTATGTCTGAGGCAACTCTTGGTCTGATTACAATGCCAATCATATTCGTCAAAATTCTCGTGCCATTAATTCTTTCTCAAACTCATCGACCTTTGATCTGGTTCACACGATTATATCCACCTCGGTTAATCATTTCAGTGGTCATCGGTGTCTATGTTTTCTTTACTCCTCAGTTAATCAAATATCCTCGTGTTTTCTATTCAGTTTTAATTACATTATTCATTATCAACGAAACCATTATCTATTTACAACTTGTTGCTCGAGTTGGTTTTTATGCACAAGTGAGCGACCCTCGTATTGGTGGAACGTACATGACATTAGTAAGTACACTTGGAAATATTGGACAAACAGTATCGAATAGTGCTGTAACGTACGCAGCCGATTGGTTACCGAAACAACATTCCTATTCGATTGAAGTTGCCGCTTGTACGATCATTGGTATTATCTTTTTGTTAATGACATGGCGCATGATGCATCGATTACAACAAATACCAAGTCATAAATGGTATCTAACGCAGGAAAACGGTAGACCAGTGGAAACGAATACACAGGAATTATTAGCAACGAGAGGAACAGAGAAAATATAATTTATACAGTCTATTGTTATGCTTTTTTGTATATTTTACAGGTAAATTCTAATGATAATTGTTTGATGTAATGCTTAACGATGTGAATAGATTCTTTCTAATGTTAAACTCATATAACAAATATCTTCTATTTGCTCTGAATCACCTCAATATGATAATTGCTTATGTGATAAGAGGTTAACGTGTGAGAGATAAATAGATACCTTTTTCATTCTGTCTCTATTCCTTCGAGTACATACATTCATACATTTCCCTAAATTTGCCAGAAACAAGAATTCATTTGAATTTTGAATAAAATATGATTGATAATACATTCACCGTATTTCTTTTATCTTATATTTCGATACTGACGATATTCATCGTCAATTTTCGAATTAGTCAACATTATAATATACCATATTTGTTTTATTTGACGGTACTTATTAGTTTAATCAGTGTAATTTACATACCATCAGTCTTAGCATCGGAATCAACACATAATTTTCAAATTAAACTTTTCGTTGGTGCATTGAATATTCAATTTACGATGAAATTTCTTGAACTAGTATTTTGTTTTTCGTGGGAATATATACGAGAAATGCCATGGAAATTTGCATTCATATATTTGAATAGTTTCCCACAAATGCCCGAATCAAAGGAGAAGTTTTCGTTGGCAATGAATCCGATCATACGTCGACAAAATATCCAACTGATCCTACGAGGTATCTGTCAATTCATTATTATTCAAATATTTCTCTATTTCATATCATCGGAATGGCTCTCCGCGCCTTCGTCATCATTACCTCCAGTCATTCGTTATCTTCGACATGGTTTATTTAGCGTTTTACTTTACTTAGCAATTGATGCGATGACTGGTGTTGGATTTGGTACCTACGGTTTTCTATTTAACATTCAAATGAAACCAATCTTTCCAGCATTTCCTTTTGCTTCTACCAGCCTTCGCCAGTTTTGGTCTCGTCGATGGAATCGATTGATTCAAACATCTCTACATCTTCTCTCCTTTGTTATCATTCCAAATCTACTTGCTAGATTTATCTCGTTGAATAATATAGCAAAGAGTTTTCTCGCGTTTACAATATCCGGTTTTATACATGAATATGTTCTGTGGTTTGCAACTGGTATCTGGTCAGGACGATATATGATTTTTTTCTGGATACATTTTCTGCTGATTCTATTGGAAATTCAGATGAAATTTCCGATGGAACCCAGTACATTCCATGGAAAAGCTCTCGGATGGTTATGGACGGCTGGAATCACGTGGATTACTACACCACTCTTTTTTGATCCAATGATCAATTCGACTAACATTACTAATGTAAAATAAACCCCGAAGTAATGTGAATAAACGTAGTTTTATGTACTTGTTTTATGTTAAATAGTTAAAAGATTGAAGCTAGCAGCACTGTGTCAGTTGGTTGATTTTCAGGCGTCCGCCCATACTTTTCTATGTACTTTTCTGATGAGAACGAGAAACATCTGTAAAAGTCGCCTGTTAGCAAAATATCTTTTCTGATTTGACTTTTATCTGTAAAGAGAACACGAAACATGTATGTTGAAAACGACTGGGTTGTATAAAATTAAAGATGCCTTGTTTCTCAATAGAAATAGATCTTAACTACTCCTGACTTTTCATCTGTTTCACATTCTCACGCCGTGCCCATTAATCAAAATATATCATGTTATACGAATGCGCAGTTGCAGCGTCTGTTCTTAGCCTCAGTTTTTGAGAAATGTTTCTCCAAATCGGTTTGCTTTTGAGCGGTCTGTTAGTGTCGTATCATGCTAATGTAATACCGACGCAAGAAGATCGTGAGAATGTTCCTAACTTATTTAACTTACCAGGAATATCAGCTAACAATCGAACTGATATTGAGATAGTAGAAGGTGATATTGCTTTCCCTGCACATGCAGATCGAACAGCATTTATTCAAGCTCCAAAATGGCCTAATGGTATTGTACCGATTGAATTCGACGGAGCATTCACCAACGATCAGAAAAATGTGATCATCGGAGCCATGACAACCATCAGTCAGAACACAAATGATTGCATTCGGTTCGTATGGCGTAATAATAATCCAGCTTGGTTGCGAATTCATTCTGGCCAAGGGTATGGCGCACGCAACTATTCTCTTTTCACGAACAACAAAGTTTTGAAATATCTAGATGTTGGTCACACATGGGAAAAACAGTTAGCTCTGGAGCACAAGATCTTTCTCTCCAAATCCCTGCCTGTGTTCACCATTCCGTAGCCTTACACGAATTATTACATGCACTTGGTTTTGCTCATGAACAGACACGTCCTGATCGCGATACGTACGTGCGTGTTTACTATGAAAATATCCAAGCTGGTTAGAGAAAATCATCATGAGATATATATCCTATATATTTAAATAATGATTTTTTGACAGGTCATGAACATAATTTCGATAAATTTACTTCGTCACAAGTGAATACATTCAATCAAGCATATGATTATGGTAACAGTTGAATGCGAGATGTTGTCTTCAATAGGAAGTATTTGAATCTTTCAGGTTCAATTATGCACTATCGAAATGATGCTTTCTCAACTAATGGTCGCCCTACAATCAGACCCATTCTTGCTGGATATGAAAACTGGGAAACTTACATGGGTCGTGGAGATAAGATGAGTGCTCAAGATATTCAAAAGCTCAAAGCTTATTATGGGTGTTCATAAAATCAGATTTGACCTGCTTGTAGTTTCCTTGTGAACAATAAACAATCAGAAGAAAAGAACTTTTTTTGTTGTTTTTCTCGTTTTATTTTCAAAGCAAAAGTAAATCGATGTACAAGTCGGAGAATAGTACAACATTCGAGTATTCAAGTTAAACTAAGTATGAATCGTTGGTGGATGTTGCTGATAATAACCATTCGTATTGTTGTTTGCATCATAAAGATATGGTGGCCAGAATCCATTCATTGCACCATAGTCGAAATGCATCGAATTCGATCGAAGGAAATCATTTGCTGGATATGATGCTATTGTTGACATCATCGTTGCCGATGACGATGATGACGAGGTGAGAGATGGTGGTGAAGACTGTTCATAGATATTAGGTGATGATTTGATCATTGCTTGATTTGTTGTAGTCACGTCAACGTCTTTACTTTCGCATGCGGGTGCTAAAGATTGTGTTGCGTGTAAAGATGAATCATTGTTGTTGGTTGATGTTGAACTTGTCTCATCATCCGAGTAGACTTCTTCACCATTGCAATTGATACCATTATCATTGGAAGAACGCGTCCGGTTGCCTTGACGATTGGATTTCTTTTCTTTCGAACGTTTATTCTAATTAAGAGAGAAAAAGCGAAGTTAATGATGAGTAGATTGATAAAGAAGATTTCGTTGAAACTTACTTGAAACCATATTTTGACCTAGAGAAATGAAAACAAAAATAAAAACGAATTAATTCATTTAATCAAATCTGAACACAAATAACAAAATAGCCATAACTTCTATCTCGCATCACTCATCGATTTAGTCAAGCATTTCATCTCTACATAGATAGTTTTTTCATGTGTGTATCTCTATCGACTATATTTTGTGTGAAGGGCGTATCGGTCATCATGTATTGTCCTTGTCCCATCAATGTACAACGTATATGTATGTATGGGAGGCAAAGGGAGGAGAGATGTCACACATAGATCTTACAATCGAATATACCCGCAGGGTTCATACTGACCATCACATCAATATGCATCTTTTTACCTGTCCGTATTCTTTCACAATGTGTATTTGTAATAACAGGTTGTCTTGTGAGCATAAAGCGAGAAGAAAAAAAGGGAACAAAGCATCAATGCGTGCGTGATTTGGATATAAAGAGAAAAATGTCTTTGTATTTAAAAAAGGAACGCCCATTGTACCGTTTCTTACCTACTGTGATAGATATATAGAGATCACTGAAGTAGTCTTGCGAAAAAATTAAACACGGAAATCTCACTTGATTGATTTTTGTTTTCGTTTTGCTTTTGAATAGGAGCAAAAAGAAGAAGAAAAACGCATCTAATTGATTTTCAGATAAAGTGTCGAAATGCTTTGACTTCAAAAATCGTCTACACATGAATGAATACGATCTTATTTCGTAGTATCCACAGTGGGCGTTGCCGTTTCAGATAAGAACTTTTCTCTCGCTCTTTTTCGGCTTCAAAAATGCCGACCATTTGCCCTCGTCTTTCGATTGTTCACGCAATGTTGAGCTCCCCGCTGATGCGTCTTTGAATTTCTATATACATACAATTTGAGTTTGCCGATAATGCATCCCGCCTTCTCCTTCTCTCTCTTTTTCGTCTTATTTGTCGTGACTCGTTTTCTGCAATGCAACTATCAGTACACATCGTTGCGCAAGTTAGTCATAAAATCAATGACATTTTTCATGTTATTCCTCTTTTTCCCGCACGAAGGACATACATATTTGCCCAAAGATGGACATCATGAATGATGATCTTCAATTCATCATTTTTTTCTACATCGAAATGTTAAAGGGAAAATAGACAATAAAATATGTCATGCTTAAGGCGATACATGTGACCTTCAACGTGTCAAATCAACAGATATAAAACTCACCTGAGTTTGTGTTAAAGCAAGCATTGCTGCTAATTCGGCTCGCTCAGGCAATGCTAAATATTGTGTACGATGGAAACGTTTATTGAGTGCTTGTAATTGTAGTGGATTGTAAATTGTTCGTGGTTTACGAACTTTCTTGCCCTTAGCAGTCAACTTAGGCAATGGAAGTGCGGATTGTTGCTGTTGTTGTGCGGATGGTGGTGGAAGACTTTCGTTAGTGTTGATTGCAGCCAAATTGATCGATTTTTCTATTCAAATATTAAAATGAAAAGATCAAGAACATAAATAATGTCGTGTTTTTCTTCTCTCGCCGACATTCTGATCAAGCGAGATAAGCAAAAATGCTTCTTTCTCTAAGATCGATGATTATCTATCGATCTTAGACGATAGATCAAGAAATCAATTAAAAGGGTTTTTCTTTCTTATTTAAGATCGATTGAATTGAATTCGAAAAGATCCTCTCTGTTTCGAACGCGTTCTCATTTTATCTTCTGAGTTAAAATCAATCCCAATCATATCTCTTTTCTTCTTCTGTTATCAGTGTTCATACGGATAATACTTTAACACTTCATCGCTGACGATAATTTTCTTTGACACACATTCAGATATGTGCACAGTCGGAAATCATCTTGATTACTTACCTTCTAATGGATTAATGCCACTTTCTTCAGGTGAATAGAACGGTTTTATCGGAGCTGATGGTGATGATTGTGGAAGCGAGAGATTATTTGTTGGAACATAGACAGGACTCATCGTTACATTGACATTCATATTCAAACCATGCATAGCAAATGTTGGATAACCAGTTGGTGATGATTGAAGTTTATCATTTGAAAAATGTGTTGATGAAAACATATGTTGATGTTGATGATAATGAGGTGGTGGTGACGAAGAACTACCAAGATTGGTTATATTTGAAGACGAAGACGACGTCGAAGGATTATATGGAGGAAAATCCGGATATGGATTATTCGATGGAGAGTAATGGTTTGGAAACATTTCGTTGCGTGTAACGTTCGTGTGTGTGTGTCTGTTTGTGAGAATGCACAATTTGTCTCTAGTCACAAAATAGTGAGATGGTGGACCATATTTTTTTTCATTTCAAATTTTCTCTCTCTCTCTCTCCTTTTCTTTTTCGTTTCTATTGTGATCTCAGTAGGCGGTTGACGTCAATGATTGGTCTAAGCGAGATATGTATAAACGAAAAGAGAACGAACGAAAAAAGGAACATTGTGAAAAGTTCTCGTTCGCTTTTTTCCTTATTGCTGTTTGAAGAAGATGTCCCCTGTGCCGATGATTGGCGAGACAGAAATGAAACGATCCAACAGATATAATTTGACATGCTTGATGGCGTCAAAACAAGGAAAAGATGAACAGGAGCATTGCTCGAGATGACAATTGAACTGTGTCTTTACCTAAGAGATAACTGTCATCATAGAAAATATCGAGCTCGCACAAGGACGATGAGACTATTCACAATTACAATTCGTGCGATTTTTCCATTTGCACTTGGTAGGTGGTTGATGTCTATACATTTATTTGGTTGACAACATTGGTGATGCCGATCGAAATAAAATCTCGTGGAAACTTTCTTTTCATTGACTAAAAAATCCGACCTATCTAGTTTCTTCAAGTTCATCACCTATCCACAGCATTACATGAATTCGATGATGATAATAGCATCATCAAAATTTCACAGCTTGTTCATCATCCACTCAAATCATTCATGCTTTATTGACTTGCTTCCTTATTACATATGCAATACTGATAAATGCCCACTCATCATCGACATATTCCTACATATCACTAGCACTTCATTTGCTGTACATGCTAACTGTTCTAGCGTACGTACATGGAAATGTTTAGTGTGCTAAACTTATGTAATAGATCTTCGAAATGGTGTGATTTCATTCCAGCGAGAGAGAGAGAAACTTCATGTTGTAATGTTCCCATCATTGATCGGAAAGAAAAGTGTTGCATTCCTTTTGCTGTCTTGTAACAATCTAATTGAACAAATATCGATTGTATTCATTGAATATACGCATGGTTCATCTTTCTCCTGGTGAGCGCGTGAATGAATCGTGTCGTTAATTTTCCCATAGACTTTTCTCTCCTTGCCATAGATATATACTTTTAATTCCATATGTATTTACGACTACCGTAAGAAATCCAAGTCTACATAGAACATTCTATTATCTTCTACATAATTCGACAATAGAGGTATTTTCGTTTGAGTTCATGTCATTATCGTATGTGTTTATTTATTAATTATGCTACTTGTCCTTGCCTTTATTTGACATACTCAAATCGTTCATTCATTTCACACATGGAAATTATCGATAATCATGTTGATGATTTCGATTTATGTGATGATGGTGAGGTTGACGGTGATATGCTTTTCAACTGTCCATCAGAAATCTAATTCTGTATGACAAACCATGAATATTCAGTTGTCATCGGCGCTTTGAAAACGTGTTTCGATCATACCAGTATGACTTTATTATAAAAAAAAAGGAAATATCATGAAACAGTGAAAAGAAGAAGAAATATTATTCTTTTTCTTATTTACAACCAAAATAGGCGCACACAAACACACACTCATACATACTGTTATTGAATAGCAGAAAATAAAGCAATCACCAACCACCGGCACGTCGACGGCCAGTTGGTTTATCAGCTGGTTTCGTATCTTCATCGTCTTTCTTCTTTTCAGTTTCTTCGGATTTCTTCTCTTCAGTAGTCTCTTCTTTCTTATCCGAATCATCCCAACCGCGTCGGCGTCGAGATGAGGCAGTCGAAGCTTCTTCTTTCTTCTCTTCAGCTTTCGTTGTCTCCTCTGCTTTCTTATCATCTTCATCCCAACCACGTCGACGTCTCGATGTTGTTGTGGAACTTTCTTCCTTTTTGTCTTTCTCCTCTTTGTCTTTGTTTTCGTCAGTTTTTGTTGCTTCTTCAGCTTTCTTGTCCTCTTCGTCCCAACCACGGCGTCTTCGGGATGAAGCTGTCGAAGTTTCCTCTTTTTTCTCTTCAGTTTTCGTTGCTTCTTCAGCTTTCTTGTCCTCCTCATCCCAACCGCGGCGTCTTCGGGATGCGGCTGTCGAAGTCTCCTCCTTTTTCTCTTCAGTTTTCGTTGTTTCTTCAGCTTTTTTATCTTCTTCATCCCAACCACGACGACGACGTGACGAAGTTGTTTCCGCTTTCTTTTCTGAAAATGATGAAAATCGCCTAAGCAAGTTTGTATTATGTGCCAAAATGTATGTTCATACCTGTTTTCGATTCACTTTCATTTTCCTTTGCATCGGATTTTTTACGTTCCGACGCTTTATCTTCGCTTTTCGTATCGCTAGCATCGGATTTCTTTCTTGTGGATTTGTCATCTTCTTTATCATCCGTGTCCCAACCACGCGATCGACGACTAGGTTTCTTTTCTAAAGCGAAAGATCGATCTAAGTCATAGAGAAACATGTATTCTATTCGACAAACCTGCTGGTTTTGTTTCTTCATCCTTGGCGGTTTCTGAAAGAGTATATTAATTTAATGAAATACTTCAAAGTCTAATTTTTGTACCTTCATCTGCTGCTTTTGTTGTTTCTGATTTCTTCTCTTCGTCATCATTTGTATCCCAACCTCGACGTCGTCGACCTGCTGCTGGTTTTTCTTTAGATTCTTCACTAACCGAAGCTTTCTTGGTTTTCGTTTCTTCGGCAGGTTTTTCCTCTTCTTCGTCTTTTTCTTTTTCAGCCTTCTCTTCTTCCTCTTCTTTCTCTTCTTCTAAAATGAAAACAGTACAGATACAGAAAAATCAAACCTGTATGGATTTACCTGCAGGCTTTTCTTCATTATCTTCGTCTTCTTGAGCTTTTTCTTCTTTCTCTTCCTCGTCTTCATCAGGCTTCTCCTCCTTCTCTCCTTCTTCCTCATCAGCTTTGGTTTCTTCTAAAACCGAAATTATTCATCAGTATTGTAAATCAAACGATTTCTCACCAGTTTCCTCTTCGTTTTCTTCTTTGACTTTCTCTTCTTCATCACCTTCAGCTTCTTCTATAATACAATCAAAATAAAAATCATCGAAAATAGAAAGCGAGCATTTACCTTTAGTACTTTCATCACCTTCTTCCTTGTTTTCCTCATCTTCATCGCCAGTTTTTTCTTCTTTTTCGCCGTCTTCAGTCTCTTCACCTTCTTCGCCTTCTTTCGTCTCACCTTCTTCATCTTCTTTGTTCTCTTCAGCTTCCTCTTCCTTCGTTTCGTTTTGGCTACTTTTTTCCATGGCATCGAATTCTTCCTGTGTAATTTGCTTCAAAAACAGTTGCAATTTTTCATGTTCGATAGCTTGTAGAAAGTCCAGATAATCGCCACAGCATTCGTCTTCTTTAAAAATTTGCGGTAACATAATTTTACCATCTTCTGTTTTCTTTCCACTTTCAATGACAAAATCTCGGTCTTCTTCGTGCTCTGGCGCAGCGACATCAATTGCTTCGTATTCGTATTTCCATGAGCTTAACACTGCAAAGACATGAATTTGTCGTTTACGTATATCACGACGACCGGTTGATGAAATAAAAAAGACACGAAGAACCATTTTGGGGATCTCTTTTGTTTATCAGAATACTTGAAATGAATGTAGCACAAAAGAAAACAATTGATCAACAGTCAATCATTGAGAAAAACATCACATTGTACGTATATTGTTGGCGTTTGCTTGTGTATTGCTGTAGGATGAGTGGTAAAATAAATGGATGGAAAGAAAAAAAAAAGAAAGGAAACAGGAAAAAAACAGTAGACACAAGAGATACCAAGTTTGTACCGTTCTGAGAATAGTGGGTGTCGATTTTTTGCCCTTCTTGTTCTTTTTCCTTCTTCTGAATGATATTTATTACCCAATGGATAGAATACAACCATCGTTGTCTTCTTATTCTTGTCTTCTATGTCGTCATCTTAAATCAACAGCTCTAGTTTTCCATAAGAGGAAACCGTCGCCATACAATACTCATGGTCTTCGAACGGGTCGGATGGCTGTACATATTTCTATGCATATGTGCGCACTTGTTGTCACTCTGTACATCTCTTTAGAACAAATGAATTTATCTAAATGACGAATGGACAATTGTGTTATTCGGAGATGTTGTTGAAAAATAACTACGTAACATATCATTATATTTAATATAGTGCTAGCAGTACGTACACTGCTTGAATGGAGAAGGAGAGAAAGGGGCAATTGTATCCTCAATGGAAAACTTATCCCACTGAGTTCTGTTTTGGAAAAGCTACATCGAATTGTAGTCGATGACTCAACAATAATAAACATATGATTTCAAGAGTATACGCCGAACAATATAGAATAATAATTGAAGAAATGACATTGAGTCAAGTGGCAAAGCATTCTGCTTCATTATTGCGCTATCAATACAGTTTTGATATCGAAACAATAATAATCTAGCGTCCAACTTTATCTTTTGCGAAGAATATAGGATCTAGTCTCCCAAACGAAATACTTTGGAATGAAAATCTCATCCTACATGCTTGTTGGTCTGGAATGTCTATTGTTGAAGTCATTGTTCGAGTAGTAGTTGTATTTTCACTTCTAATTGTTCACAAAAAAATTACGTAAACATTTATTCTTATGTAAGAACCTTTATTTCCAGTGTTTCATTATTATACAGATTTATCTGTGTACTGACGAAACGAATATATAAATAATCCAAGCAACTATGTGCAGATGGCGTTATAATCCGATTGTCGAAAATTTTTTCTAGAGAAAAATTCTCATATGATGCACTGTCAGTCAATCACTTTATGAATATGACGTTCATTCATTTATTTAAAAGAAAAACATACTCGGTGATACGAATGAGAAAAAATAACATTACAATTGAAATTCTATTCCCATTTTAATACAAATCTTTACTCATTATTGTAATTGATCTCATCATGCAGAATGCCGCTGCATCGAGCACTGGAGCAGACAATTTGGCTGTTCTTATAGACATGGGCTTTTCTCAAGAACAAGCCAAAGCAGTAAGAGACAAATCTTTCGTTTTTTTAACTCCTGAGAAAAACACACCCTTATCCATTTAGGCTTTACAGCGTGTAGAAAATTTAGAAGATGCCATTGCATTCTTACTTAATGATCAAGTCCAACCGTCTCCACCACCATCATCTCCAGGTGTTTCCCAAGTAATAATCTCGAATAATTTCTATTGGATTGTCACCAAGATTTTCTCTTAGGGTGATACAAGTGAAGATGAAGTGTCTTATGCTACGAATCCTCGTAGCATGCAATTCATCATCAATACAAGTCATCCACATTTGTCATTTTCAGCTTGCTTATTAAATATTGCCCAAGCATCATTCGATCTCTACGATCAAATAATGCAACATCGTTCACAGTTGCTGTCATTCAAATCCTGGCATCATCATGGTGAATCCAAACAATTATTTGAATGTGCAAATGGAAATCAATTACGAGAATTAAATTCGCAGCTAGAAATGACCATAGATGCGAATCAAATCTGTACAGCATTGACATATGATTCGAAATACAATGAACCAGTATGCTTAGCTATCTTTGGCATTGCAACATATCTTGAACAGTATACATCTCAATTCAAACGCTTACGATTATGTCCATCGAAATTTTTCATCCATGATGATGGTGATGAAGACGAAGATGACACGAATAACGATCATCAGAATAACAAGAAGACTACTACGGAAAACAAAACTAGGAACAGTGCAGAAAGCCAGTAATGATTGTCTTGTTGAAGAATTGTATATTGTTCGTGTAGATATTTATATTGGCAATATTATTCATTTATATATACATTTTGACAGTTCGGGTTTTCTTTTTTATCATGTCTATCTTGCTGAATAATATATATATTCATGAATCGAATGATTATTTGAGAAAGAAACAAGTCGTTAAACCGTATAAATGGTTTATTATTTGTTCAGGAAAACTATTTCAGTACGAAATAGCAACGACATCTATCGAATGTCTACCAACCATCAGGAATAAAAGCTAAGGTCATCTATAATTATTCATCATGCTCGAATGTTATGAGTTAAGTTAGGTAAACTATAGACTACCCCAACTTGTTTAGTTTACATTTGTGGTAAAAGTCTTTGCTTTATAAGAAAAAGTCGTTACCTTTTTTTTTTAGATCAAATGCTTTTCGGACGATCATCTGATAACAAACCAGCTGCACCCACTACGCCTGCAGCTCCGAGTTTCGAAGATCAACTACCCACCGTAATTTGAATGAAATTTCTGTTTTTTTTCTCTTAATTTTCGTATATTTCAAATTTAGTTACGCGAATTTCTTCGTGAATACAATCGTATAGCTGAAGTCTGTTTTAACGATTGTATTAACGATTTCACAGGTCGAACAACAACAGCATCTGAAGTATGTTATTCAACCTTTTCCTATGTGTTTATCGCTCGTTGTTTTCATGTGCTTAGAATTCATGTGTCAATTTTTGTTTGGAAAAATTCCTCAAAGTAACACAACGTATTTCTCAACGTTTTCAAGAACAGCAAATGTTAATGAATGAAAATCAGGTCGTTGCCGGAAAGGCAAAAGGTCTTTTTCAATAAATATTTGTCTTTATTGAATTACGTTTCATACGTGATGACGACAATGATAAACTTGAATTCGTTGACTGATCGATCGATCGCGATTCTTTCAAAATTTCTTCCAAGAAAAAGAGCACAATAAGAATAGATGCAATCAAAAACTAGAAGTCATTACGTGAACCTGCATCATCACCATAGCGGAGAACGCTAGATAGCGTCTCATGATCCTATCGATACTACTGAGTACAGTTTGATTATATCGATGAATATTAACTTACCTCGTCATCTGCCATATGTTTCACTGTTTTGGATATGATATCAAATACATATTGAAGACGTTCAATGAAAGGAACGGGTGGTTCAGTAAGAATCTAAATGTACGGAATCGTGGTGACGGTCATCGTGAAAAACATCTACTTGAGTGCCCAGATGTTTACAGAGAGCTTTAGATAGCACCATAACAAAGTCATTAATATGACGTACAATGCGATTTTGTTCTTCGATGGAATCATTTGTATAAAGTACTTCTAATTTTTGACGCTGTTCATTCATGGTATTCAAGATTTGATGTCGACTAGTCAAGATGAGAGAAGACTATATCGTATTTACCGGTTAAATCAACTTACATATCATTTTTACAATCGATGGACATTTCGATTAGTTTCAAAAGCTTGTCTGTTCGATTGATCTGTTGAGTAATTTGCTCTTTTTCTTCGATCATTCGATTTGTCATCGTTAACACTAAAATCGAAAACATTATTATCTGTACGGATGATTTGTTTTCCTAATCCAGACTGGCGACCGTTTTGGACGATGTTTCACTAGCCATACTCTTCAATTGTTTCGAATGCTACGCAAACAATTGAAGAATGAAACCTATTCATTCGAAAATCCATTCTTTACATCGATATCGATCGGTAGTCCAGCCATGATAATATTGTAGAATTGATCGTACATGCAGCGGATTTGGATAATTTCATCACTATCCATAAAGTTTGAGTTTTGTTGTTCAATATTTTGTTGCGGATCGCCTGTACTAGTTAATCTTCGCGAATCGAATACTGTTGTCATATTGTTCGTGGCTATAAACAACCGAATCACTTAGTAAAAGTACGAACTAGAAATCTATTCACATATCATTTGAGCCTGGTATTGTTCTTCCAATTGTTCAGTAATGGAAGTCATGGCTTGCTCGTGAATAACACGTCGTTGCCGACTCTATATAAACATAAAATCTTTATGATTTCCTGTGACGTAAAAACGAACTTGGATTTCTGTTTGAGCTAATAGCTGTTGATAGATTTTCTATCAGAAGTAGCACGTAATTTAGTAACGACTATCAAAATATGTCTAGGCAATCCTACCAAACGGCGTTTATTTTCAGCAACGATATCCGTAAATTCTTTCTTAAGAATGATTCTCTGGTCAAATTTCTGTCCAATATCTTTTTGCATGTTTGGCAGTTCCTTTCGTAATAGATCCAAATCCTACTATGGAACGTATTGTATACTGAAAGGTTCAATTGTATCTCCAATTTGAAAATTACACATTGCAAGTATTGTTTACAAGTATTCAATGTTTTATTCATTAAATTAACGCTCGTCAAACTATCTTGCTTTTCCCAAATACGACGTAAAGTCATTTTTGTATTCTAAACTTTGTATTCCAGTTCTAGAGGAAAGCTTGCAATGATTTTACTTCAGTTTGTTTCGACGGTGGTGAAATCAAACGATCATTTTTCGTATTAGTACAATTTTCATCTTGCAGAGATTCGAGACGATGAAGTAAACATTTTTCGATCAATAATAGCTGATCATGCTGATGAACAAGTTGAGTTTCTTTCTCGCTAACATATTTTATGCCTTCCTATGATCAGATTTTAATACGTCAAGCAATGCTGTGAATCTTACGACAATACTAATGTCTTTTCCAAACGAATTAATCTGTACCTGAAGCGGCAATAATAATAGCAATTCTCAGAAGAAATACCGGACAACCTTTTCAGACGTTTTTAGGTTTTTACGTAAATCATTATTCTTTGTCTCCATATCATGTCGTTCGCCTTTGATTTTTGTCAGTCGATCAGTTTGATCACCCAACAAGCAATACTCGACATTTTCTTCGAATGACAATGATTTTTATCCATTTTAAATGCATACTAGTCTGTCTACTTAGCCATCGAACACGATTTCGAAGATCGTACACTCGGTCGACAACGCTCTTTAACGGTTTTTCTACATGGTTATCACATCTGAAAGCGAAGAAAATGAACACGATGGATGTGGAATCTCGTCAATACCCAAGACGTGGCATGATCAACAAAAAGTAAAAGAAAATGAAAGATGTCTTTTCGATTTTCAGTCGTTTCTATGGTATTTCACTCGAAGATTTTCGTACTTTCTATTAGTATAAAACACGCTATTCATGCAGTATTAACTATTTATATCGTAACGGAGATCACCATTGGGTTACGATGGATGTCTTAGTTTGTACTATGATCAGTTTTTGTTGAGAAATACACAAAACTCTCCCTCACTTTTCCAACGAACATCGATTTCAAGTATTGATATGTGTCACGATATCAGATATATATTGCATTCTTTCTTGGCGCTACCTATTCGTATCGTCTACTTGACAACGCTATTTTCATTTATTTCTATTTTATTTGTGTTTGTTTTCAAAATTTTCGACGATAATAGACTCATATTTATCAATTTAAAATGCCACCAAAACGATCCCGAGCAGTAAGGAGCATTCTAATGTTTCACTCGATATAAAATGTCGTTTCTATAGAATAACTTTTCAGAAGAAGCCAGTCGTACATTAAAAACAGGTTTTGAGCGTGATATATTGCTCGTAGAAAACTTCACTTGTTTTTTTATTATTATAGCTTCTAACAAAGCTGATTATGTTGGGCAAAGTATTAGACGAGAAACGAAGAAAAGTTCGTCGATGAATTTCTTCGTTTCTAAATACATTTGAAGTATTTAGCCGGTGATAAAATTGAATACACAGCAAAACAAGCTAAAAACGCGGTCGCTGACGCGGCCAGTACGACAAAGAAGAAAGTCAACCGAGGTGCTGAAAGCATTCGGGCTGATATTGGTAGAAGTAAGCAATTTTGTGTTTATTATGTTGATAATGCTTCATTTTTGCCTTTTAGAAACCGGAAAGGCGAAAGCAGCAGCCAAAGATGTTACTAAGAAAGCAAAAAATGTGACTGATAGTAAATATTCCATCTTTCTATATGCATCAAATAAATCGATTGGTGATCTAGGAGCTAAAAGTGCAGCAAGGTCAACAAGAAAAGCTACGGATAATGCATATAAAGGAACGAAAAGAGCTGCGAGAAAAGGTGAATACACATCCTACTTATACAAGAAATGACTTTCTCATCTGATTTTTGTGAGTCTATTGTATTTGATATTCTTATTGCAGCTGCAGATAGTATGAAAAATACGGCGAATAGTCTGACATCTAAAACAAATGAATTCGCGCAAAAAGCCGCCAAGCCAGCTGGTCAAGCAGCAGAAAATGCATCGCACGGACTATCGGATATCAAAAAATCGATCGAAGGACTTTGCAAATAAAATCAATCGACTTGAAATCAAACATTCGAACCTTGAATTTTCGAGTCTAGTCGTTAATGATTTTGTTTTGTATGATCAATCTTCAAACAGACTCTTGTGTCTATTACTAAAATAAACATGATTTCAGTTGATAAATTCTTTAAATTCGTACATATAGACTCTCCACTTTCATGTGAAATGGGACGTAAAACGAACGGATATTATTCTAACCTTCCTGATAATTATTTACATAAAACCTTGGTAACTATATTAGAGAAAAAGCAATACATTGAATAATTTCTTTCAATTACTGTATCATTAGATGGGCACTATGTTTACACTATGTTATGCATCATCTCTGAGTAGTTTCGCATCAATTTAATGCATGATAATTAGCAAAACATATTTTCAAATTTCATTCATTCGATTAGGTTATTAATGATCGAGTATTAGTCATAAATCATGATAGCAATTCTTTTTATTGATCTCGAAGAGAAGGAATTAACATAGAAAAATGTCATATGGAACGAATCTCATGTGTACATTGACATTTGACGAGTAAATCGCACTGTTCTATATTAGTAATGAGATCCTATGACGACATTGAAAAACGACAATCCAATATCGTACGTTTACTTGCCAGAGGATTCGGTATTCCCGATAACAAACAAGTAGTTAGTTTACATCAGTTTTCTTTTTTTAGAGCCCGAACAAGAAATTGTTTTTCTTGTTAGTCTGTCATAGACATCAAATCAAAGCTATTGACATGGACACATGTGCTATATTTACCGAACACTTTGTAGTATACACTCCATCCAATTAAACCATTTGTCAGCGTTCTTTTTTATTACAAGCAAATCTCTAGACAGAAGTAAATCTCACATTCTAATAAAGACAAAATATAGGTACTGATAACAAACGTTTTTATCAAATCGAGTGCTATTGTTGATTCAATTTAGTACATTTTATTTCATTGACTATAATTTACTGTCGAAAAGTCAGCAATTATCGATTATTTCGATGATGCGTGTATAATATTTATAATGTCGTCGTACTTTCTTTTGCCAATAGGATCTTAATCATAATAATACGGAGAAGAAGAACAGACTAGCAATCGCTATCTCAGTACTATCATCAACAACAGTCTTTGTTCTATGCATGAGTACAAATCTTCTTTCGTCAGCAAATTACCAAAATAGGCATTAACCTATAGATAATTCTCTTTAAATAAAGGATCTTTTGCATATATCACGAATATATCAAAAGCAATTGTTCTCTCACTAATAATGTTAAAGCTGATATTAATGAATAGCAATGGATGCATGATTAGTTCAACGACTTTTTCCTCGACGATCGACCCACCCAGTGATTGACACCTGATTAGCTCAACTAATCTTTTTCTCCTTTCAATCTTCTATCCTATTGTTGATTCGTACAGTAGTTGAACGTATATTCTCATCATCTTCTTCTCTCTTTTCCTTCATATATAATTGACCTTTGTTCGTCCTTCTCCTACACGCATACTCTTTCGCTTTTCATTGTTCACTATCGTTCTATTTACACATTGTCATTGTCAAAGATCGGACTAACACAACGGGCGGTATGCATACTTTTCTTTTTCGAAGTTTTTTTATTACTAGATGCGATCCGATATTAATAGAGTACTACCCATTATCAAGGTAAATAGCTCTAATACAAATGAATCAATAGGTGACAATGATTCTATTATATTCAATATCAAATAGATATAATTTTCTCGTTCTCTTTTCATTGAATAAACACCTTGTCGATTTCCTTATTTTCAAGGAAGATTATTCTCTCAGATAATGTTATCGAGACATATTTATCTCGTCAAAAATAGTACAACATCAATCGCCTAACTTCTCAATCTAATCTGTCCATCGATATAAGTGTCAATTTCTTCTTTCTTTCCTCTATCCATCAATTCTCATCTTCTCCTTTCTTCTTCTGCTTTTTTTTGTAAGTATGAAGTGTGCGTGTGTGTCCACATTATTTCTTTTTTTTTTTTCATTCTTTTTCATGCCGCTTCAACCAACAGACTGCTTAGTAAAATGTACAGTTAGTTGATGGTTATGTGCTATTGAGCTGATTTGACATGTGTCCATGGGACGACGGATAGTTTGAGTGAAATGACCTTGCCTCGATATTTCTACTATGGCGAGGTCAAGTTATGAGCATTCGTGCAAAGGAACAACTAGATAAAGATAAACGAGAATTGATGGATGGTTAAGGCTGAATTTCTTCTTCTTCGTCTTCTTTTTCCATTATCGTTCTCGATGAGCAACCTTGAACCAATTAGCAACTGAGTAACTTTCCTTTTCTCTTCGAACACGAAGAATCTTGTATCGTTCTCCATAGAAAAGTAGAACACACATACATCGCTCCTACTTTCCAATGACTTTCATATTACACAATGAAGAGAGAAAAACTTTACACAATAGTAATTGATACTCAATTTGACAAGAAAGAAATTGAACGAGAACATTAAGCTACATGCATACATATATAAGTGCGCGTCTTAGCGACAAAAAGGTAGGTTTTCATTCATACTCAACAACACACCTCGTCAACTACTAGTATGAGTCGATCATTTTCATAATCGGCAAGAATGAACAATAAGTCATCACTCTTTTGATGATCTGCATAAATGTAAAAAAGAAGGGTAGAAGATAAGATGGTGAGACAAAATGCACTAATTACAGACAATGTTTTCGGCTAAAGAAACATGCACTGCTGGTTAGTATAGCGTCGCATGCGCGCACACACACACATATATACACATTTCATTTTGCAGTCCTTGTGCTATTGGAAGAACAGCAAATGATAGGGGAAAAGGAGAGAAAAAAGTAGGAATAGGAATGTTTGTCAGCCAAACAACGTACAGACATTTGTCTCTTCCCTACTACCGGTATACAAAGGAAACAGAGAGATAGATAGAACGCGATCGGGAGCTGCATTCTCTACTGTTGGAATACAGAGATAAACACGCACAGAGTATTGTCGCTGTCATTGTCATCGGTAGCATTGTCTATATAGATAGATATATATAAAGAGCAACAACAAAAGTACTGCCAGAATAACAATCGTATATAGTATGAGAGAGTAGGTAAATGGTAGTAGTTTACAAATCACGAGATAGACAATCTAAATCCTTTTTCCTTCATGGCCAAGCTGAGCTCTTCTTTTACTCGTTGCTAAGATGAATGGAGAGATAAACGAGGGCTAGTGTATATGGCAAACATCAATTACATAATGAAAGAGATATATAAAGCCGGACTACTTTCTTCTTCTTATTCATCATCATCATCATCATCATCATCTACTTCTTCTTTTGTCGTCATATGCTATTCGTCTATCGATGATATGTCAACAATGTGGACACGAAAAAGAGAGGGAGGATTAGTACAAAGAAAGTGGCTATTTTTATCGAGAGTGTATGTTTGCGGTCAGTCATTAGGATGCTTCCATTGTTATCTCGTGACATGCAACATTTTCTTTTTTTCTTCTTCTTCCGACTGTCCCTGACAGATCGCCTCAAGTCTTTATATTTAATATAATCGCCCCTACTTTTCTTTTAGTTGACATTTCACTCTTACCTTTTCTCTCCTTCTCGCAGCTCGTTTTTTAACTTTTTTATTGCGCAAGTCCAATTACAAGATGACGAGGTAGACAATCGCAATGACAGAGAAAAAGGAGCCGAGAAAGAATGAAGTGCTTGCAGTAGTAGTAGTAGTAGTAGTTACGAGTAGCAATACAATGGCATTAATGGCGCGGAAGAGCAAGCTATCGTCATTATCGTACGTCTTGATAGCTTTCAAGAGAAAGTGATTAGAGCTGGCCAGTCTCAAAAGGTTTCAAATAATATTATTCTTGACTTTACTGTTATTTCGCTTCTTACATCAACGATAAACGTATATAACTGTAGTCTAGACTATATATACATATACACTAAACCTTCGACGAGTATATTCAATCATATGGGGGGAGGGGGGTACTATGGTCCAATCTGCATACATAATACTAGCTACGAACGAACTTTTTCGTTCTTTCGTCGTCTTTTTCTCCTCATCATTTGTTCATTGAACTATATGCACTTGTATGTACATTGTCGAGCCGATTGACATTCAAGTGCGCGAGAGAGAGAGAGAATTTCGCTCCTACTTGTCCGATCATTTTTTTTCTCTTCTCTCTTTCTGTTTCCTACATACACATCTGTGCCAGTATATGTACGTCCTAGAATAGAACATTTTCTCTTTTTTTCAGTCATGGCCAATGTCTAGTAATCGACGAATATGAGTATATTGCTCAAATGGAAGAATAAACTCCAGGATCCTTCGTTATACGAAGTAAATTCGAATTTTATTCGATTATATTGAGATGTATTTCCTTTGCTAGACGAAGATCCGTGAATTCGATGAACGTGTGTCACATCTCAAAGACGAGAATGTCGAATTGCACAAACGCATTGATCAGCTTGAGGCTTTGGTAAATAATATATATTATAAAAATATATTCCATCTGTGTTTCATATAACTTTTTTTTCTTCTCCTTCTTCTATCTATCAATTACTAATAGTGCACAACAAGTGTCGACACTCAACAAACACGTTCCCTCCAAGAACATATCCGTCAGCTTGAACAAGAAAATGGACGATTATTTGTCGAAAATCAATGTCAACGACAAGAATATGAAAGTTTTCTAGATCAATTAACGACGATGGTTTTAAGAACGGCAATCATGCATGAGGTAAGCGAAAAACGCCAAGAATGATAATGGTCAAACTTTTGCGTAATGATGTCTACCGTTTGCAAAGGTCAGTATCAATCCCATCAAAGCATGCATTGTTTGATAAAAACAAAGGAGAAAATCTGCGGCTAATTAGATCGAAAAAGACTTTGATTTCATAATCTGCCTTTTGGTCATTTCCCATCTTTACTATCACTGCCAAAACAATATGCAGAGCGGCATATGTCCTATAACAATTATTCCTCTCTTTCTTCGCCCGTCTTCGTTCTTTTCTCCCTTCTTCTTCGTCATCATCTTTCTTGTTGCTGATAGTTAATGGTGTGCGGTCAGCAATCATGAGTAGTAGTTACTCTTTCCATTGAAGAGAAAACGGATGAACAACGAAAGCAGATGTGACAGAGTAGGAATAGAATAAGAAAAAAAGAAGAAATCACCGGACATTGCTTCTTCTTCATTTCAACATTTTCATTTGTCTTATGAAAATGGTCAGTCGACTGACGACAACATCGCCATCTGAGACATTCATTGTAAGTAAAACCATCTTTACGGTTGCTTGAGTTTTACTAATCGATAGAAGGTGATTCAATGTTGACAGTGAAAAGAAAAGAAATGCTAAATTTCATTAACACGAATTGAAAGACATATTTCTCGATGGCATCCTTCGCGATGCTTCAATGATCATTCCACTTGAAAAAGAAATGTCTGTCTGTCTAGCTTTTCTTGTCAGTTGATTTCCGTCCATAAACTACACTCTGTCAACGGGTCAACATACGGCTCAGATTACCGTCTGTATCTCGACAGGTCACAGCATCTTTTCTTTGAATAAATAATCAGGCGTAGCACATCACAACTGATGGTCAAATTCAATGTTCAATTTCCTTCCGGGGATTTCACTCATTTTTATTCTCCTATCATCAATTTACCTTCTCTAATAACCTTCATTCTTGATGATGATGGACTGTATAGCGAAAGTACACATACACACAGCTCAGAGCATACATACAAAAGTGACACACGCATCTAATATTGTATTTAAGTGAGAAGGGTCGAATGAATATATACATTTTATGATGTAACTCTTTCATTCATTTTACACACGTGCATAAAGTGATGCATCTATACAAAAGTAGAAAAATGAATACAAAAGAGCAACTATTATTTGATGATCTTATCTGTTGATGACAAGGAAATATTTATTTATTTATTTAGAATATTCGCAAAGAATGTGCATCAATATATCATGTTATCGAACGACTATCAACATTAACTGCTGATGCGATTGAAGACGACCAGCGAAATCAAGTAATATTTAACAAATTGTATGCGAGAAAAGATGCCGAACCGTTCGTTTGACTTCATAGATTGAACATCGAATCAAACATATCAGAAGTCTCTCATGGGAAAATTTCAATCCACCATCTTGTGAACTGATTTCGAATTGTCAATATTTATCTCCTTCTCCAAATATAACTGCTGAATTTATTCGACATCTCTATCAAAATCGATCATCTCTATCCCCATCATCTTCATCGTCATCATCATGTTCATCAACAACAACTCATTGTTCATTTTCTACATCGGGTAGTTGGACACTCGATCTGGTAAGTCAATCTTCACGTTATTTGGATAGAAACTTTCGAGCCAAAATGTTTTATTAACATAAATGACATCCGTCCGTTTTCTTTACTGACATTATTTATGATGTAACTTCATCATTTCGAACAAACATTAGTTTAATAGATACTTTCTATTGCTTCGGGTCAAATTCATCTTCAACGGAAATAAGAATAATTGTCTCGTTTCTTCCGAAATAAAAAAAGAGAAACTAGCCAATGTAGCGATCGAATAAATGAAACTTGTTTTTTTTGTGTTTTTCCTAGCCATTGTACAATCAAAATACAAGTGTTCAATTACCTTTACTATCCATTACCAACGAAGCGATAGGTAGAAAGTTTTTTTTTCGAAATTCATGATAATCGTAACTTGGAGAATCGTTACTTTTCTTCTAGAATCCCCAGTGGAACAAAAAGACGAACCAGAACAAGAGCAACGCGTTCTTCAACGTTCCGAAACATTCGTAATTACAAAAATACCAGAAAAAGAGACACAAGAGGAAGCAGAAGTACCATCGTCAGCTTTGCTTTCTAATGTCAAAACGATGACAACGAACGAGCGCACTTCAAATTCCAATGTTCAGCGTTGTTCATTAACACGAGCAATGCCTTCCTCAACAGCACCAGCTGTAATACGTCCCTCACGATTACCATCACGTTGTTCAAACAATCGTCCACTAGCGAACGCAACTAACACTTCAAATAATAAAACGCTTCCATTAAACAATAATAATAATAATAATAATAATAATAATAATAATAATCGCTCTCTTTCGGTTAAGAAAGCTTCGAAATTACCCATTCGGACAACGACATCGTTAACAAAACAAGTAGTACCCGTGAAAAAAGCCATCAATGTTCAGACATCTGTTGCAGCAAAGACAAAGAAAGATTCGACAGTTCCATCTTCTCGAGCTGTTGCATCAGCGAATACAACAACGGCAAAGAAGACTATTCGACCGCCACCGACATCGAAACCATCTCTTGTACAAACTTCTTCGACCAAATATCGATCACGTTCAATAACCACAGCTACTATGAATCCGCCGGGTTCAACAGTAATAAGTAAACGCACGCGCACAACACCACCCGTGGTAAAGAAAAGCACCGTAGAGCCAATTGCACCTACGAAGAAATTCAATAAATCGACGGAAGAGAAATCATTGTGTACCATCGAACAAATGAACTCAACGTCGAGTGAATCCAGTATTGAAGAAAATCAGCGACAAAATAAATTATTAGCGATCGTTCAAGATGAAGGATATTCCACTTGGTCGTCATCCGATGTCAAGGATGAAATCATCTTGGCCAATGTAGCGAAAAGTGACACAAACGAAAGGCGACGAAGTACTGGACTTGTTAAAAGTTGGCTTGACACAACAAACGAACGATGTTCAAGGAAACCGGTGAAAGAAGGTTAGGATCCATACGAGCATTCTTTGATCTATCTTCCTTGTTCTCGATGTTTTAGTGGAGATTGATAAATTGGAAGAATTCACTCGAGAGTTATCCGATGGTTCATCAATTCTTTGTCCATTTGTACGTAATCGTTGTTCGAATGGTATTATCATTCCACTCGCTTCGACAACACTAACATCAACAGTATCACCGCCATTACCATCGCCATCGAATCCACTCGACAAAGATATCTCAATTGATAGTCTCGAAGCTGTTGCTGCGTCTCCTAAGATGTCTCAACAAAAAGTACTAGCTTCCAAATCATCACTCTCATCATCCTCGTCATCATCGTCATCGACATTTTCTCGTTCTGAAACATTCGAAAAAATTCTAATTAATCATTCATTACCTGTTATCATTGACGATCTTGCTGATTCAACTGATTCCACATGTTCAGATGTGAATCCACTATTCAACATGTCAGAATACATTGAGGATAATTTCCTTGATCATGACCACAACTCTCCCGATCATTCTTCTTCGTTACAACCGCTATCGACTAGTAAAACCGAAATTGTCAAACCCGAAAAACGTCTCATGTTTCCTGGTTTATTCAATCGTTTGATTTTTCTTCGCCGTGTTCTCTCAGATTCTGATCTTCAACAAAAACTATGCTGTATAGCAGACGATGAAGTACAATTTCATGTGTATCATTCAAATATCATTCAGGAACATTCGATCGAACTGAATTTAATGAATACATATGGTTCAGATTCGGAATTACACGTCTGGTCACATGACTGTGCTGAACAACGAAGATTCGTTAATGAACGACAGCAACAACTCTTAATGACAGCAAAAGAGTCGACAGCGAAACTATCGCACATTGAACGAATGGTAAAAGTCAACAAATTTTTTTGTTTCAGATTGATTGTCGTCTCCTTTTCAATTTTAGATACGAATGAATTTTGATGATAGCGGAGCAGATGAAACGAACACCTTCGAATTAAATAGCGAAGAATATGATCAACAATTAGCTGTAGAACGACAGACATTGCTTCAACAGATCTACGAATATCCTTGGTTGTTACAAGATGATGATATCGACCAAGTGCCCGTTTGTACATCACCAAATAGTGAACAACCGTTATTATCGCCCTCACCTGATTTAGTTGTTCCATCACATAATCCAGATTTCTATCAATTATGTGCATTAACAAATAGTAGTTCATTTGCAACATCTTTTGGTACAAATTCTAGACATACAACACCACCCATAGCTTCATCTGTTTTATAAGAGACTAGCGGGCGTACCCGCTGCAAAATAAGAAATATCTATGTCGAATGCCTGACGTGTTGAAAAGCTGCAGCAAATAGAAAAATCAATAGACTCCAAGATTGTATGCTGGCGGTCCTAATTTTTCCCGCCGTGCATCGCACAAAACGACAACTTCAATTATAGCTCTTTATGCAAAAGAGTTACCGAAGCTGATTTCTGCCTCAGAACTTATTCAAATTTCCTCTCTCTCTCTCTCTCTCTCTCTCTAATATTCATTCTACACTCCAGCTATTCATTCATCGACCTCTTTCTCACTATCACGTCACTTCATACCTTATATCCTTCGAATTCGCCCACCCTCGACATTTATCTTCATTTTTTGAGATCCTGTAACGCTATTGGTGAGTTTCGCAGATTATCTGTAGCATTCACCGAACTATTATAGGCGTAGAGATCACGTGGATTGTTGTCTTTGAGCACTCAGACGGTCTTCGCTACCGACCCGCTGCAATTTTTCACATCTCGCAATCCAATTGGTTAGCGTCCAAGGTTGCTTGTAGCATGCACAGGCAGAACACGTGGATTGATGTCTATGTGCGCTCAGACGGCCTTCGGCCGCCTTCGCTACCGACCCGCTGCAATTTTTCACATCTCGCAATCCTATTGGTCAGCTTCGCAGGTTGCTTGTAGCATGTATAGGACTCCCATGCGCACGTAGAACACGTGGATTGTTGTCTATGAGCGCTCAGACGGCCTTCGGCCGCCTTCGCTATTAATTTCCTCAATTTGGGAAATCTCGCAATCCTATTGGTCCGTTTCATATATTGCCTGCAGCAAACGGCTGGCTCCTTTGTTCTCGGGGAAAAGTAGATGTCGACCTTCCTCTGGGTCTCAGGAAGCATTGTGGAAAGTTCCACGCCGATAGCTGCTACAGGGACTGAATGCATAGCGAACAGACAGACAGACAGACAGACAGACAAACTTTCTTCTTTATATATATAGATTTCTTTTTTTTTTGCCTTTTTTCTCATTGAGTGTGTACAATGCTTTCGTTTTCTTTTAATAAAAAAAAATTAACAGAAGGATATATGCGACGCGTGTTCAGTTACGATTTGCGTAGCGCTTGTCTCAATCGGGGTGGATCGATCCATGTCGGTCCTTTGAAATCGAGATATTTCTCCTCTTCCTCATCAAGTTTTGGGGGCGAGAGGACTGACATATGAGTACCTTCTACATGAAGGTTCGCCGTTGGAGAAACAATAGTCTGCAAGACCAGAAAAGAGAGAAATTCATTACAACGAAGACATAAGACATACCGATTCATCATCGATTGTTGCTAATCGTGGTGTATTTTTATCCAATTCATCTGAAATACAGTTTTGCAGAGATCTCTGATTGAAAGAACAAAGTAAAAACATACTTATTAATTGTTCGAATGTTTTCTCGCCTGTATCACTGCGTATTGTTAATTGTCCTAAATCCACTGCCAGCAAAGCATTGTTGCCGATATCCTTTGCGATATCATCCGCGAATAAATCTGTTACAAATGTGTTTCTGCAGAAAACATTCAAGAGACATTTTTATATTAGTTCGAGCGTTATTACTTGAAAGCAGTTGTATCAGCAACATGTGCGACATTCAATTTTTCGCTAATAACAAGATTTGTTTGTTCCAATGCTCGCACTTGTTCTTCCAGTTGTGTCACATGTTGTTCTTGTAAAGTGAGCTGTTAAATCAAAACCATTCTTGTGATTAGAAGAAAAAAAACAGAAGAGGAAGTTCTTCGGCTTACTTCATGTGTCATGTATTGATTTTCACTTAACATTTTTTTCGTAAATTGATCGAGACCTAATGCCACTCGTTCGGTCGCTGCACGAGTCTTTTGATTAATTTTGTTCTGTGCCGTTTGGGTCAATGTTATTCGTTCTTCATTTGTACTTTCTGATAAGTATGCTAAAGAATATACTCATAAGTAGAGACGGATCATTTTAGAAGAGCCATAATCAAATACTTGTGAGCACTTCATAATTTTCTGTCATGTTGGCGAGCTCGCGTTTTAATGAATCGATTGCGCGTTGTTCTTCAATTCGTGTGACATCACGATATTTGATACATTGCCTGATTAAACTTCGGACTTTGAATATCTCGACTTCCACTCGAAGCATTTGCTCATGAATTTCTTCAAATCAAACAGAAATATTCATTTTTAATTAAAACTCAAAATTTACTTCGTAACTCTGCTTCTTGTTCGGCAGCTGCATTCATCTTTTCATGTACAGCGGCGTGAACCTTCACACGCAAAGAGGAGACGCTCAGGCTAAAAGCAATTCTACAAAGGAAAAACTCACTTCTTCTCTGCCGATTTTCGGATACGTAACATTTTCTTTGTCGAATTGCAACGCATTGGTGACAAGTCTTTTCATAGACTCAGCACATTCTTCGCGTAGATGCGCATCACGTCCTGACAAAGCTTGATTTTCTTCTTCAAGTTGATATGCACGAAAACGCCACTCTTCCAATTCTTTGTCAATCACAGTAATTCTTAAAACATAAATAGATAACTAAAGATATGAACAGATTTTGAACGAATTCAACAAACTTGTATTCCAGTAAAGCTTCGTAGACATTGTCGCCTCCTTTCTTCTTCTTCTTACCACCTTTTTTCTTCTTCTTTTCAGCCATGACTACTCTTTCTGTCTTTTAGCTTGACAAGATGGTGATTGAAGTTTTTTGTTGTTCGTTCAGGTGAAGAAAAAGAGAAGGGAGAAAAAAAACAACGACGTTGCTTAATGTCGCGTGCACAAATGTTAAAAATGCAGACATGCCGCGACGTCAAATCCAAGGCAATTCCTCCTTGAACAACAATGATGTGGCGCTAAAGTCTAGTGTATACGGTGATGAAATTAACAAGATTTCAATTGTCAAAGTACAATATTGAGAGTACATATTGACTGATCAGTAATTTAGCTCTCTATTTCATCTTGAAACTATTGACAGACATCATTCATTTAATACCTTAGTCTCGATCGAGATTACCATGTTTCTTTTCTTCTTCATACTGTATCTCCGAGCATCAGCCGCTCTGTTAGTTTCTACACAAATTCGTGTGTCCACTCGAAACATCACATGCCAGAATGGGTCATCGGCAGGGAACTTGATATTCAATTGTGAAGCATGTCTTGTTATCGCACGTAATTACGATATTCGAACAACGCTCTCTATCACGGGAGCGGGGCCAACGGGTTTTACTTATGCATGCTTGCAAGTAAATCAAATCGAAGCTTATCACGAGAATCTCGTTCGAGAATGCAACGATTTTCCTGTAGGTACTTTGAATGGCTATGATGATTTCTGTGTTGCTTCTCCCTTCAACAAACTACGCGGTTCGTATCGGGCATGTTTATGTAGCACGAATGCATGTAATTTAAACTATTCGGAATGTGTTCAACGTACGAAACCGTACTGGGATCAAAAGCCGCCAACATTCAGTAATAGCATTAGATCATTAACTGATCGAGTGAAATGTTATCGGCCGTATGAAGATTATCGACCACAACCATATTCTAGTCTAACAGCGTTGTGCGCAACAAATGATTTAGAATGTAAAAATTTCCTATTTGATCATGGTGTGGCATGTGTGATTAGTGTGGATCGAACAAATCAAATTACACGGCAGACTTTATCACCGTCAATTTATTCGGCACAATTAATGAAATTTAAAATGACACTTTGCAAATCTTTTACATGGACATCTAAGAGCATTTATTTTACTCAATGTCAATATGATGAAACAATATGTATGTGTGCTGTCGATGGATGTGACATAGATCTAGAAACATGTCGAACAAGCAACGCGATACATACTTATATTGGGCATTATTCGTTTTCTTATTTTCTTTTACTTATACTAAATATTTACTATTAAAACAAGAGAAGAATAGATTACATTTTCTACTCATTTAAGTACGATAACAATCAGAGGTGCCGTAGATTTCAGGATTTATGTCTGTATTTATATACAAAAAATCAAAACAAACCATATAATAAATGTTATGTATGAAACTTGACAGTTTATAGACAAGAGCAATCATTCGTACTAAGATATTTATGAACTTTTCGCAGTATTGCTAGCCGTTGGTGCTTTTTTCTCTCCTGTAGATTTCGTTGCTGACTTTTTCGATGAACTCGTTTCACCTTGAGATGCTGATATGGGGAGACCTTCACCTTTCTTTGGTAGTAACATCTAAAACGTAAATTCCGTAGATCATGGAAGTATTAGTCATTGATTGACTCACTTGTTGAATATTGGGTAAAACACCACCTTGCGCAATAGTTACTCCGGCTAACAGTTTGTTTAATTCTTCATCGTTACGGATAGCCAATTGAAGATGACGTGGAATGATGCGCGTCTTCTTATTGTCACGAGCAGCATTACCAGCTAATTCCAAAATTTCAGCAGAAAGATATTCGAGAACCTAGACCAATCAAACTTCGAATCTTATCGTTTGTCAATATTTGACTTACGGCAGCTAAATAAACTGGAGCGCCTGCACCGACACGTTCAGCAAAGTTCCCTCGACGAAGTAAACGGTGAATACGACCCTACACACATCAATGAAAATTATACCAGAAACTAGACATTACTCGATACGTACAACTGGAAATTGAAGGCCAGCTCGTGATGAGCGTGTTTTGGCCTTTGCACGAGCTTTACCACTACCAGATGCTTTACCACGGCCTGACATAGTTTTACGAAATGTATGTGAAAATAAAGTTTCTATTTCGTTCCTCATTATATAGTGTCCCACTAACGTACAACTTTCTCGAGTGTGATTGGTCGATATTCACCAATCGTACACTTGTTATTGCACCATGAAGAAATCGACTAATGAAATACAATCCAGCAAACGTCAACCATTGCGTTCTTTTGCTTTTTACCGTTCTGTAACCAATCATTGTTTAACAAATGTGTCTATAAAAGGAGCACCTCTTGCCAGCAATTGCATTTCATTTCAATTTCATCGAAATAACATGGCTCCTCCAACACTCAAAACACCAAGCAAAGGCTCGAAGAAGATGATTAGCAAACAGTCGAAAGTGACTAGCAAAACGAGCGCTAGCAGCGATAAAAAGACTAACAAACGTAAACGTAAGTTGGAATGCACATATTCGATCGAAGGATTTTTAGCATATTGAAAAATTTTCTTTAGGAAAAGAAACATACTCAATCTATATCTACAAAGTTTTGAAACAGGTAATACATTGTGGTCCATAAAAATTGAAATAATCGTTGTCGTTTACTTAGGTTCATCCTGATACAGGTATTTCTAGCAAGGCAATGTCTATAATGAATAGTTTTGTTAATGATATTTTTGGTAAGTTATAAACATGAAAACAACAAAGAAATGATTCATCGTTTGTGGTTTAGAACGTATTGCGGCTGAAGCTTCACGTTTAGCTCAATATAACAAACGCCAAACAATTTCGTCACGTGAAATTCAAACTGCTGTTCGACTTTTATTACCTGGTGAACTTGCCAAACACGCCGTTTCAGAAGGCACAAAGGCTGTTACGTAAGTTCATTCGTTCTCGTCTGCTTTATTCATTCGATTCTGTGTTTTTAGAAAATACACCAGTCAAAAGTGAACAATCAAGTAGATATTGACATAGAACATCCCGTTTCTCCTTATTGCTTATTTCATTTGAAATTGTACTTATGTTTTCGTGATGATTTGCTCTTGTATATCAAATAAATATTGTGAAACCTATGTTCATTTTCTTACTGTTCGCAATGAAAAGAAAATTATGTAGTTAGTCGCCTATAACTAATATGCTTTTTCAATTTATTTCATGTGTTAGTGTTTAGTGTCTCAAGTGAACTGAAAATACAGAATAAAAGAGATTAAAATTTGAAGACATTTTTCTCGGTAAAGCCAAGCTTTTTAAGAAGACCGGTTAGTTCACCCTAAAATAAGCAGATTGTATACGTTAATAAACGTGAAACAGTCGTAACTTTGTTCTGTAAAAAACGTACCTGTTTATAATCTTTGGTTTTCTCTCCACTGAGTAATTTCATGAATCCAGGTGGACCACAAACCATAATCAATAAACTCTCATCATCTTGCTTAGCTGGTATCGGTAATAATCGTTTCAACATATCAGGTGTGATGTAGCTAAATAACAGGTACACTCCATGGAGCATAGTATGCGATGAAGTTCACTTACCCAACTTCGCCTTTCCATGCTTTTTTAGCATTCTTATCTGCAAGTTTATCAACTGTGTAGTGAACCTTGAAACGATCTGGATATTTCTGAGCAAGTTTATCGATATCTTCTTTGAGAAGAATATCGTCGATGGTTGTATTTGCAAATAGAAGTGTAACTTTGGTTTTGTCATCCGGATTAAAGAGAACTTCCTCGATCATTTGAATCTAATAGAATAGCGTATATTATTAACTGATTTCAAATCTGACGACAACTTGCCATTGGTGTAATGCCAGTACCACCAGCAATCAAACCAAGTTGTTGAAACTTATTTGGCTCATATGGATATTTTGGAACTAAAATACAAATAATTCAAACAATGATGTTCTCGATAAATATCTGAAGAATTACTAGGTCCTTTGATTTCAATTGAGTCACCCTTTTTCATTTCATGAACGTGTTTACTCATGACACCTTGGGGATAATTTTTAATAACAAATTCTAATTGACCAATTGTATTGGGTCGTGAAATAGGTGTGTAAGGTCGAACCTCATCTTTTCCATTAACATTTGCTTTAAGCATAACGCATGAAGCAGTTTTGCCATTATATTTTGCTTTCGGATCATCAAATGCAAATGTAAATACATTTGTATTATGATTATACTTTTTTATATCTGCTAATTTAAACTTGCGAAATGCGTTTGGATCTAAGGCATCAGGTGCTGCTGCTGCTTTCGATTGATCGCCTGACGGTTTCGTTTCAAGTACCATTTTTTGACCCGGTCCAAACTTGAGTAAGTAAGCAGCACCGGCAACGGCTAAGCCAGTGCCTACCCATATCCATTTTCGTGACGCACGAGCGACTGCTGACATAACAGCGCGATTATTTGGTTACAATTACAATGACGAAAATAAAGCGATGTGGTATAGGACATGACAAGGCAAAATTTTTGGTATGCTGAGCGTTCTTTCCAATCAAATGAAAACGAAGTAGAATAATTAGTGACATCTTTACCATGGAAATGTAAGAGATGGTTAACATATGCGATTAATTTTGACAACGAAAGGAAGATGTGCATGTATAAGACACTTTCTAAATCAGTCGAATTATACTAACAACCCATTCAGTCAAGACACATTAAACACGATGACTATTGAATTATCTTTTGCTTCGGAAAAAGAATTTAGTGTTTCAGCTAATGCTTTTCTTCAACTGTTACAATTGATACAGTATAGAATTAGATCCGTGTATGTATGAAATACTACTATACTAATCAAAAATTCATTATAATCAAAATGAATAATATTACAATAGAAGAAAAATCAGTTCGTTGATGTGAATTCATCCAGCCATTTTAGAGATGCGTTACTTGAATCTAGAGAAGACGCGTAGAGATTATAGGAGACCGCATCGGTTTTCCTTACCGTTATATTCCAAACCGATGTAGTCTTGATAAAACGGTGCAATAAGGCTAGAGAGAAAATATCGATGATTAACTTCACCATTTTCACTCATAGGACAGTCACGATTTGGCGTTTGTGAAATTTGAACGTGTCCAACGAACGGAGTTAATTCCTTACGATGAGAAAATATGAATTGTGTTTGAAAACTAATCAGAATTCATTTCGAATACTTTGACTCTTTCAGTTAAGTTTCCATGTAATCGTTGAAGATGGAATGAATCCAACATGATTTTCAGATTATTGCTGTTAGATGACTGAACAATACTCATTGCTGTCGAATACGATTGTAAATAGTAGTTCGATCGTGTTGAAAGTGGCTCAATCAGACATAAAATACGATGTGGTTGAAAGAACTGAGCTGCTTGGTGTACAAGATCGATGATCCTTGCTCTTAACTCCGTATGAAAATAAATGTAAAATCTTTAGTGTGAGAAATTCTTACCGATCCGAATCATCCTTTGCTTCTGTCATCACTAGATGCACTTTACTGACGTTGAACATTTTAGCATAATCAAGTGTACGATCAAGAACTATCTTTTTGTATTCGTTGAATGATGGAATCTCATTTGTTTGATCATAAAGTGGTAAACTATTGATTAATATCCATTTCAACGATCTGTCTTTCGCCATCACCTCTTTCCATGTATCAGTAGATACCTCATACGGATTTTGACATTCAATAGCGTCAAATCGATAGTCTTTTCTACGGATGCGAGATTCATAAAACAAGAATGAAACTATTTGGATTTGTAAATGATTACCGTTGTCCAACATGAATATACCGTTCGGTTAGTCTGGGTATATCATTGAATAAAGTTGATAGATTTGCACAAAAACGCATGGAATTTCTACAAAATTCAACGGATGTTAAAGAAAGTAAGAACGATCTGTTTTGCTCTGTTTTTGTTTTATTTCCGTTGAGGAAAAGGAATTATTCTATACAAATCAAGTCATTAGGACACGAATGAAACATAGATTTCATGTATTCGATGAAACAATCGTCGACGCATGGTCTACAAAGAAGAGTTATAAGTAAGAGAGAAAATTTCGAAAACGAAATTAACTTTACCAATAAATTCTTTCACACATTTTCGTTCTTCTTCGGTACGAAGAGATATTGTTCCACCGATAGCTTCATTTTGAAGCAAAGGTAAAAATAATTGTACAAACGATGGCTCATAAGGAGGACCAATCATTTCCAAAACCTTGACACATAAAATGTTAACTCAACAAAAGCAATGATTTCAGTAATTTACTTCGAATACAAAATGACGAATCAGCGATACATCTGTGTCTTGTTGTTCCCAACGTTTTTTTATATATTCTAATATTGGATGCACAAACGAACAACTGAGCATGTGAACCATACGATCAAGAATCGTCTTTTTGAATTCCAACTAGCATAAAACAACAAGATTTAAGCATCATATGAAAGAATTTTTCGTTGAAGGTTACTCACATGAATAAGTATATCAAGTTCGGCAAATGTTGCTTCGAAAACACGAACTAATAATTCAAACGCTTTTTGGTGTAGTAAGAAATGCAAACTGACAATCTAATTAAAAGAAATAGTCGGTTATTACAAGTCATAAGGTTTCCTCGGCACAAGCATACTTCATCGATAATAATGAGATGAACTGGTGTTGTACCTTGATCAAGTTTAAAATAGCTTTGATCAAATATACGAAATTCAATCCAACGAAGAACACACGCCGCAACAATTGGAAATCTATACAGTTAACTTAAGTGCTTGTCAGGTCTTTCGAGAAGAAATCATACCGAAGACATTTATAGAGCTCATTCAAGTCGCTGATAAGGTCAACCGTCGATTTTGAACTAATGCATATTTCATGTGCTTTCTCAAGCGCTATAGTTGTTTGTGATAATTCTTCTTTACTATTGATTGTACTCTTTCGAGAACTCTATAAAAAAGACGCAACAATCAGCTTTGATTGACGAAGAAACTTACTTTCTTGTTCGTTTCAGCAACACTACAAGCATATGCGAGAAGAGCGATATATTTGGGTCGATGTTCTGGATTTAGTGTGGAATCTGGGTCAAATAATTGGGTGATTAATAATTCTAGAAGAAAAAGAATATAAAAAGATGTTTCGACGGAAAAGGAGAAGTTTTTACCTATGAAGGCCGGCTTTCGGATAAGGTCAACTGGTGGCGCATCGTTGGATTGATAGATTTTGTAGAGCTATTTGCAGAAATAGTGTTTTTTAAGTAAATGAAATCATCGAGACTGCCTACAGTAGTTATATCAGCTGGATTTAATACTTTTTTCGACAACATTGTACAGAGTGGTTGATAGGCTTTCGGATAAGCAGTTGTACCATCAAATGTTAAAGTAATATCTGTTACGTTATGGCCTCTGAACAATGAAACAAAAAATATGAATATGTTGAGAGTTGAATGCAACAAGAAAGGAATGGTTTACTTTGCTTTGGCATGTAGTTCGATTTCTTCTGAAATTCGTCGAACAATCATCGATTTTGCATCGTTTGCCAATGACGCGAGAACACTTTGTGCATATAAATAAGTGTGTTCACTATGACAAGCCAATTGCTATGGAAAAAGTGACATTTTTCTAATCTTATTCGACGTATTATGCTTCTTACCACAAGTTCTTGAATGTTTCGTTGCCAATCGTCAGGTTCACTATCGATAGTACGTTGGATAGTGGTCATCAAGACTTTGGTGAAGACTTCGACTTGTTGTGCAGCTACAGGTACACTTGTGATTTCATCTTCATGACCAGAATCGACCAAAAGCTATAGAGTGAAGGACGCCATTATCAATGAAAACCTCGTTTCCAATCGACTTTGTTACTTTAATGGTAAAGTTCAACATTAAACAATTAGGATATTCTTCTGCTAATTTGTAAATCATCGAACGCCAATTCATATGTTCAGTCATGTCAGTTAGCCAGGATGGAACCTATTCAAGAGAAAAAAATTGTCTTCAGTTTGACGAGAAAATCAAAGTATACATACTCCTCCGGCTTCGAAAATACTATCTGCTTTTTTAGGTTCGAAATGCTTCTCGATTAATGTTTGTAAATGTTGTACAATCATATTGACAACATCGGCTGGTTCAACTCCTGTTAGAATCAGCCAATCAGCCATCAACGTGGCTGTTTGCGCGATAGCCATATAGTTTTCTGACAATAATTCGATGACCTGATCAGGCGCACCTCCATGACGAAAATAACTGAAAAAAAGAAAAAACACAATTATGCGTACAGAAGCAAATCTCTTACTCCTTAATGGTATCAAAAACTTTGGATTCCATAATGAAATCTGTCGATGAGAATAATTGTACGCATTGTTTTTGAACTTGCTCATCTTCATTTTCGGCATCCATTTCTAACTTTCAATCGAATCTGAAAAACACAGAAAAAAAAACGAAGCATGCTTTTTTTTTGTAAGGTGCAATTCAAGAAAACAAAATAGAATTAATTAAAGAAACCCGTAAAAATTGTTTCGACCGGAATAGGTTCTTTTAAATAGACGAAACAATGTCCATCACCGAAATATTTCATAACCATCTGTTCATTATCACTGTCCAGCACTCGAGTATTTCTTTGAAGACTATCACTTTCTTTTCGAATCATGTCGATCATATCTTGACCGGTTTGAACTGCGCTGACACCTGGCCCAACGCCACATGTCAAATGAGCTCGTGAAAGAAAACCAAATGTTGGATGAAGAAATGACATTTCTTCACTTTCATTGGATGGAGTAACTTTATCAACTAAAAGCACATCATCATCAGCTACGGATCGAACCATAGGTGATGTATCATAATCATCATCAGTTGTTGTAATCTTTGATTTGTTATTACGACGAGGCCCACGATTTTGTTGCTGCTGCTGCTGTTTTTTATTACCGTAACCTCGGGCATTATCATTTCTAGCTGTTGGAGTTGAATTTTTCGTTACAGTCTCATTATCATCTTGGTCCCATAGCGACCAAACATTGCGATCAGTAAAAAGAAGACGAGCACCTGAAATCCATAGACTTGTATGAAGAAAGGTGATCATCGCAATACTTGCCTAATGTACGTGGCGTAATAGCAAAACCAACAATATAACCAGAACACATTTTCCCTAGTAAATGTGAAACCAAACGGTTTCCAGCATATTTTGAATATTCATTTCGAGTTTGATCTGTTGTCTTTCCAATGAATTTGACAGTGCAATGAAGAATCTTCGGCTGTACAGTCATATTCGATCGATGTAGCAGATTATTCACATGTATGTCTATACGAAAGCAAATAATTAAAAAACAAATCTTCATTCTCTACTCTTTACTTTTCGAACGGCTAACTTTTTCAAGATCATTTCGTAGCTGTGGAAACATTTGTAGAGCTTGGTGATAATAACCGTATGCTTGCTGGAGAACATAATTCGATTGTTCTTGATTAAGAAACAGACCGAAATAGAATGGAATCAGCGGAGTATACTGACGTAGACGCCCTTCGATAACATCTGCTGGTACTTGATGTGTATTTCGAACTATTCAACAAAAAAACCCAGATCCTTCAAAATCAATCGAGGAATCCTTCGTCTTAACTAACTATTCAGAATATTAGCATCACGTTTCCAATTCGTTCGTGGTTCAACAATAATCACAATATAACCATAAGTGGACGCTTTTTGAAAATATGGTCTACATTCATCCATTCGGATGTTTGTATTATCAATAATCACAGCTAAGACATTATTTCTACAAGAACATCACATGTGTACAATCAGAAGAGACAATTTCTTTTCAGTTTTATACTTGCAAGCATCTTCTGCATGTTCCTGACATACGCGATGTGCTTCGCCAATTTTATCCCGATTGAAATTATACACACCTTGACTATCAAGGAAATAATTATCTGCCGAACAAATCACAAACGATTGCGAATATATTCTTTTGAGAATATTCACCAGGGTGGATTTACCTGAGCAACAAAAGATAAATAAACAAATAACTTTAACATTTCATATACCCGATCCAGGCAATCCTCGCATTAGGAACATTACCTAGCAGACAAAGAAGAAGGTTTGAGAGGAGAATGAGTTTTGGCATGTATCAAAAAGCGTACCTTCGTTTTCCGAAGGTGAGCAATGGTATTCGGACATTTTATAAATGGATGAGATAGGGAATATAAGTCATCTAACTGTTGAATATCAAGTATTCGAATTGAGGTTGAGGATTTCTAAAATTTTCAAGATATGTAATCATCGCATCGATGAACAACTTCGAACTTACAGTAGTTGACGTCGTACTTTGCATGAAAAACGATGGAACAATCCAATCAAACATCTAAAAATCGAATGATAACAAATGTCAATAGAAATTTCTATCAAATCTAGTGCGGAAGTAGATACGCTGTTTAAAAAACCACATTTTCGAAAACTAAACTTCTATTACGATTTGTTTGCATTACTATCATCATTCATCCCTTTGGAAATCTCATGAACAGCATCGATAAACCATTTAACATTGTCAACAGACATATCCGGATAGATTCCGTGGCCTAAGTTAGCGATGTATTGTTTCGTGCCGAACACTTGTAGCATTTCACGAACCGATTTTTCTAAGTTGTCTTTTGATGAGTAAAGTGCACATGGATCGAGGTTACCTTGAAGAACTAGTTTTGAATTTTCATTTCTTAACGATTTTATGCATGCAGATGTTATAGTCCAGTCTAAGCTGATCACGTCAAATAAACCGGTCGATGATAGATCTTGAAGACCGTAGTGTGCGTCCTTAGCGAAGACAATAAATGGGACGGAAGCGATTTGCCGTTTGGAAAGTTCATCACGAACACCTTTTGCAATCTGAGACAGATATGGTAAAGAGAAGCGATTGAATAAATCCGGTGTTAAACAAGCACAGTGCGATTCAAATAATTGAACAAGTTGAGCACCAGCAGCGATCTGTTCGACAAGGTGATCAATGATAAACTTAGCGAGAATACCAAGAAGATCATGTGATTCTTTTTCATAACTATATAACCATCGTTTCGCTTTAGACATCGTCGAACTGGCCTTTCCTTCGATCATGTACGACATCAATGTCCATGGAGCACCACTAAATCCGATCAATGGACATTGTCCATCGAGGGTACGTCTCGTTAATGTAATAGCTTCGTAGACATATTTCAATTCAACGCTAGCTTGTCGTGTACGATCAAGTTTTGTATTGATATCATCGGGCGTTTTTAGCGGTTGAGGAAAGCAAGGACCTTCGTTTGCAATCATTTCCACTTGCATGCCAAGTGCCTGAGGTATAACAAGAATATCACTGAAAATAATTGCAGCATCGAGATCAAATCGACGAACAGGTTGAAGTGTAACTTCACATGCAAGTGACGGTGTACGACACACTTCAAAAAATGAATGTTGAGCACTAACTGCTTTGTACTCCGGTAAGTAACGGCCAGCTTGTCGCATTATCCAAATAGGAACACGCTCGACGGATTCACCACGACATACACGAAGAATGAGATCATTCTTTAATGAAGGAAAATCATTCGATGACATTACTGTTTGATAGATCTAAAATATTCTTTCGCTAAAAAATAATTGATTTGACTGATTTCTCTTGATTGACGAAATTACTAGTCATATGATGCACTGATGAAATCCTACTCAACGTCGATGATAATAACATACGCAAACTTTTCAACTAGAATAAGTCAAATTTGAAAGCGAAATTTACAACTGTTTGACAAGAGATATTCAACGATTCTCTCACTACTTTGTTACAACCGATCATTGAAATATAAATCCGTATTACAATTGGAAAAAATGAATCCCAATATCTTAACTTTTCAACGTTACAAATGAAATGAGCATTAACACCTATACTTTTTGTAAGATATGCATCATATTGGACGCCACTGTCAATGTTTGATATACTCGGTAAGTGGCGTTGTCCTTTGGACTGTAAGTTACCGCCATCTGTCACAAATGCACTCTAATCAAAAGAAAATCATTGGTAAGAGAAATATCAGCGTTCTTTTCTTTCTTTTTTCATCGTATGATATTTTTCTGTCTGTTTCTTCTCGTCCTCCTTTTCTCCTCTCCCCTGTTCGCGCTCGGCTTTTTCCTTTTTATTCTTTTTTGGCCTTTTTATTTTTCTTCTTTTTCTCTTCTTCGACTGGTTGCTGTCGACGTCGTCCGTCGTTGTCCTTGTTTCACTACCTCCCGTATTCTTCTTTCTCTCTTTCTATTTCTTCGTTTCTCTCGTTTGTTCGAGCACACACATATACACTTATTTCGACGACAACGCCCGTTGCGATCACTTCTTTTCTGTCTTTTTTTCTATATGCTTAACGCTTAGAGAATAGAGAAGAAAAACGAACGAGAGAAGGGAAGAACGAGAGCGATAGAGTAGGCAAAGGAAAAAATCACTACTTCTTTCAACCGAACAGCACCCAGTGCGAAAATGTTTGCTGATAGTTTGTTTCTGTCTTTTGACAATGTCGTTCTCTACTTTCTCCTCTTTCTTCTCCTATTTAAAATGTTAGAGTATTAGAAAAGAGAACACAAGACGTGTTTTGTCCATCCTCCTTTTTTCCTGTTCTTTCTCTTCTGTTTTAGATAACTCATCATATAAATATATGTAATAGAAGACATAATTTATTTCTCTTTTCGTTTGATCCTAAATTCCTTTTTTTCATATACTTCGCTTTTGGAGACTCATCTCGTTGGTAGTCTCATCAATCAGAGTAAGAGAGAAGGGGCTTCATGACGAAAAAGTCTGAACAGAATACCATCCAGTCGGGTGGCAGTGTTAATGTCACTCCAATATCGATACCGACTTCAACAAGTACCACGACATCAAGTGGTATTGTTATTGTTCAACAGCAACCTATCAGTGAACAACAACATTTCTTATTGCCCACAGCAAACAATGTAGCACCGATGATTATCACTACACCTTTAGGTAGAGAAGATTTTTTACAAACTTTCAACAGTCAGAGAATTTCATTTTCTAACTTAGCTGTTCCTTCCATGATTACCCAACAACAACTACCGACAACAACGATTGTCCAACCACAAACAGTAGCAGCTGCTACCAGTACTTCAACGACACTTGCTGCACCTTCAGCTGCTACGACTCCCGTTGCCAACAATACAACAGTTCAAAATAAAGCAACGAAATCGCCGGGCCAAGATCGACTTGTTTGTAGCTTGTGCAACAAAGTCTATCGGTCATCTGCTGGTCTTCGATATCACAAGAGAAAACGCCATCGAGGTATGAGAGAGGAAAACTTGAGTCTATATTCATATCTTATGTTCAGATGAAGGTATGCTTAAACCAACTCAACTGCATCGAGTACGGTGTCTTGAAAATGGGTGTGCTTATCAAATGTTGGCCATATCTGATCTGAGAAATCACCTAGCTAATCATCATCTCAAAACGGATTACAAAACAACGGAAGAAAAGAAATTCAATTCGTTTGCTGGTAAGATTTTTTTGCTGGCCGTAACATTCTTTGGAAGACTTTGAGTAATCTACACCATAGTTACCGAAAAACTTGATCACTCGATTTTCTTCAAAGAAAAGTTCAGATCATACTTTAGGGTAGACATGATATTTTATTTTGTTCTTTCCTTGAACAACTTGATCAACTTGCCATAGTTGAGATCGTATAGAAAATCGATCGTCGTTAACTTCAGTGCGGGAAAACAAATGTCAACAAGATTTTGATGACATTCAATGTTTATTCGCTGCAGGATATTCAACGAATTCTTCTCTAGATTGATTGATTTAGCGATTTCAATTATATGAAGTCTATATGCATAATATCTATTTCTATCTATTTGATTTTATTTTTAGAATTTACTGAATGGAAATCATCATTCGAACAAAGTAGTGGCTCGAAATATGTGAAGAATTGCGGCTCCAAAGGCAAATCTGAGAATCAAACAACTGAATATTATTATTGCAATCGAACAGGACCATGTAAATATTTACTTGTGCTTCGAGAGAAGACTTCAAACACTGTTTTCTTCATCTAGATAAACAAAGTCGGCAAGGATGGCGTCGAAACTCCAAAACTACTGATTCACTTCGTTGCGGAATTCATTGTACTTCCTCGATGAAAGTTGACATCAGTCGTAATGATCAAGTATCCGTACAGTATTATCCTGCCCATTATGGTCATACAGCCGAACCACCATTACAAGCTCCTTCATCGTCCTCAACTACAAATACGGTTCTACCGACAACTAATGGTGAATTAGTTGAACAGTCATCTGTGCAACAACAAACTATTCCGCCCATTCAAACAGTCGTACAAGCAGCTGTTCAACAACAAATACAAACAACGACGACAGATCACTGTGTTAGACTTCATCATCAACATCATACGCAAACATCGAGTATTATTATCAATATTGCGCCAGTAAGTTACTTACCTTATGTATGAACGAATGGGATGGAAATAGAAAGAGAAAGAGGAAGATAGACCAAGAGAAAAGAATTAAATATTTCATTGTTAGACATATCAAACTGACTAATATCGTTTTTTTTTCCAGGTGAATACAACAATTATCAAATGCGTGTGATAAACACGTCTATGTGCGTGTGTACTTGTGTATTTTATAAATGCGCAAAGAAAAAGACTGATTTTCCTTTCTTCTCTTCTCCATCTAAATTATTCTAGCCTGAAGATCATCGAATCAACTCAACTCCAAGATTCCAAAAGAAAAAGGATTCGTTGTGTTTTTATTATTTTTTAAAAAAAATTATTCATCGATTTAAGCAGATGATCAAATTCATTTTTATTTCGATGAATAGTCTATAACAGTGACTAGGCAAAAAGAGTATTGAAATAGACGAACGAGAGTTAGATACAGAAAGGAAAACTGAAAGTTTTTTTGTGCACGTTTTTTTTGTACAGTGGCTTTTTTGTGCTCTCTACATACACATCTAACATCCGGTCTCTCTTTCTTTCTTTCTTTCCTTTTTTCTCTCTCAATAAGATACACAAGCACAAATACGCATGTACACGTGTTCTTTCTATGCGAAACATATGATGAAATAGGAGCCTCGTCATTTTCATTTTGTTTTTTTTTACTGTTGATAAACTCTTTCTCTGTTTTTGGCTTGTATCTTTCTTTCTTTCTCTTTTTTGTGTATCTCATTCTTCTATTTGTGGCCTTTTGTTTTTGTCTTCTACACAAGTCGAGAAACTAGCTAGCAGTACACTTACTTGTGTTTTGCTTTGGTTTTTTTTTGTAGAGATGCCTTTGTTTTTTCTTCTTCCAAGACATTTTGTTTGTTCGTTTTGTTCGTTTGTTTCTTTCCGTTTATTCATAACTTTTTTTTCCTTTTTTTATTTCGAATACAACCAAAAAAGAGAAAAAAAGAAACTTTGCATGGGTAAATCAGTTTTATTGACACAATCTTCAAATAAGATTTCCTTGATAGCTCTTTGATTAAGAAAAAAAAGAGAAAACTAGATTATATATCAAAGAAATCGAAACCATGTGTGTGATTATTTTCTTTTGTTTTTAGATTTTTCTTTCTCCTCTTCTCTTTCTTCTCTTCTTTTTTCTTTTCTGTTCTTTCCTCTCAAAAGTATGACAAAAAAAGGCTTGACGGGAGCCTCATCGCCGTCGGAGACCTATGATAATGGTGGGCCTGCCGCCGGTCGTTTCGTTTGTTCAATGTGTGCCAAAGTCTATCGATCGGGTGCTGGATTACGTTATCACAAGAAGAAACGACATCGAGGTAGGTCAGTCTTATCTAGTGAAAATCAAGCCGAGGGATAATTTCTGAAATAAATCAAGTATTGTTATATTAATTATGCCTATTTTTTTTCCGTCGGGGAAGGCGTGGTCGAACCAACTGCACTTCATCGAGTCAAGTGTCAAGAACCTGGTTGTACATATCAAATGTTAGCTATCTCTGATCTTCGGTATGCTTAAAATCAGATTTGAAAGCAAGTTATCGATTCTTTTTTGTCTTCTTAGGAATCATCTGTCAAATCATCATCAAAAACCAGAATATAAGTGCACAGAAGAAAAGAAATTCACCAGTCATGCAGGTAAATGAATGAAAACTTGATTTTTCTGGTTTTTATCGTCGTTCTCATTGTCAAACAGATTTCACTGAATGGAAATCATCATTTGAAAGTCTAACTGGTTCGAAGTATGTGAAAAACTGTGGTGCAAAGGGCAAATCGGACAATCAAACCACAGAATATTATTACTGTAATCGTACAGGACCATGTAAGTAATCCCGTTCTGTCTTTTGGAAATCCGCAACAAGTTTGTATGATTTTTTAGTTAGTCAGGGTTTACGCCGAAATAAAGCTCAGGGTTCATTACGCGGTGGTATACATTGTACATCATCAATGAAAGTTGAAATACAGAATGACGAACATATTACTGTACAATATTATCCTGCTCATTATGGACATTCAAACTTATCGGGCTCCGATGATTTCCATTTGTCTGAGAATAGTATGACTATGGGAGGCGTGAATGGTAATTCATCGTCTATGATTAGCAATGGCCATCAGCAGCAACAAGAACACGCACAACATGCTTCCAATCACTATTCGTCGCAAGGTGGTGATTGTTCATCATCGTCATCGCCTGGTTCGGCATCAACAAGTCCATCAGGCGGTTCAAATTCGAATTCAAATTATCCACTATCGTCATCAATAATGCAACCTACAGATCGTCAGTCTGTAACTACATCGAATATATCGATAAAAAACAATAATATGACTAATACTAATATTTCTCATAATCCTATTTCGTTACAAAACCAAATGTCGCATTGTATCATAATATCACCCTCGTTTGTTGTTGAAGAAACATTACCGTCACATTCCACTCAACATTCAGCACCGGTGCTTGCTGTTCAACAACAGCCGCAACAACAACAACAACAACAAACTAATCAACATCTACCATCGACGAGTGCCAATGCTACTTCCACAACAAACTTACCAGCCAAAAAGGACAAATGTGTATCGGATATAATGCACGAAGCTTTTCAAATTCTTTCCTATTGGCCATTAGATCACCATCACGGTCTGGTGACTGCCGAGAATGACTATCAAATACCTCATTCTCATGTTAACATGGACGAACATCTTATGTTCTAATATTGTTTTTTCTCCTTTTTATTTCGTAGTTTTCTCTTTTTTTGGCGCATCCCATTCAATGTGATCAAATAACATGTCTTTTGTTCTTGTTATTGAACACATTTAAAAAAAAGAAACAGTGCTTGTTCTCCGATCAACATTGAACAAAAAACTCTTTTGTTTTTGGACATATATACATATCTACAATCATTTGTTTGTTCTTTTTTCACTTCATTTCTTTTCCTACTTCCTGTCATTCATTCCTTTTCTGATGAATTGTTTGTGTTTCTTTTTTCCCGCAAATATCTCTTGTTCTTTCCTGTGGTTGTTGCACGTACACGGATAACTCGGATGATTATTTTGCACATGCAAATGAAAAAACGAATTAGATCTTTGTTTGGTTTTTCTTCTCTCTGCTTTTTCTTTTTTTTCTTTCTTTCTTTCTACATTTCATTATCATCATTGTTGAGAAAACAAATTCCAACATTTATTTAATCAAACAATTACATTAGAAAGATTTTCAAATGTTGATAATGATTTTTTTTTATATTAATGTATCTTAAGAATGGCATGAATAAAAGTAAATGTTAAAGATCATTCCTTTGCAGATGCTATCACAGTATAAAATTCGAGATCGTCATTGTTCAATGATTTGTTTACGATTACTGACAAGTACAAAAGATACTTCTCAGAGCGATCAACAATTGACCAGTAATTTGTGTCGAGAATATGGTCGTCGAATGAAAACTCATCTTAATCGTGCTGAGAATGATCGAGTATTGAGTTTATTCGATGAACTTATTCAGAAGCATCAAATCAAACCAACTTATATGAATTATCTACTTGCGATGCAAGCAATCACCGGTTCAAAACAGAGGATAGAAGCAGATCGATTGCATGATCTCGTAGAACAAGATGATTCGATTAGGAATGGAACTCAGATGCAAAGAGGACTTGTTTATATGTATGCTGTCGCTCTCGGCGATGTTTCCCATGCAGAGAAACTTGTAGCGGCCATGCCTAAACCAACTCATATCAGTATATTCGCTACTCTTATGACTGTAAGCAGTCTTTTCTGAGTATGACAGGAAAAGAAATCAATATTGATGATTGTTAGGGATACATTCGTCATGGCACGCCTGAAAAAGCTGTAGAATTATTCACTAAAATTGAAAACGACGGACAATTAACACATGATCGATTTTCTTACACTGGTACATATCATTCTATGATAAATGAACTTATTCGTACAATATTTTCATTTAGCAATGATCAATGCATGTTCGAAATTAGGCGATTATGCTCGAGGGAAAGAAATCATCGATCGAATTCTCGCAAATAACGATCCACATTTGCTACAGAACGCAAATCTTATTACTACGATGATTGATATGCTCGTAAAGTTGTTTCCTCGAAGAGTTTCATTTTCGTGAGGAACTTTGTTTCTAAGGGTAAAGCTGGAAGTCATCTTCAACAATGTATTCAATTATTTAACTCTATTCAATTGGAAAAACGCACGGCATCTCTTTACAACGCGATGATGAAAGCATATAACAAATCAGCTGTGCCAAAGGAAACCTTGGCATTATTCGAACAAAGAATTAGTGAAGAATCTTATAAACCTGATCGCATTCATTTTCTTCTTGTATTCAATGCGTGTAAGTTCGAAACAAATTAACTGTTAATAAAGTCTTCGCCAACTATTCAGGTGCAAAAATTGGACGCGTATGTTTGAAAGATGCACACAAATACTATCAACGAATGCTGGACGATTTGCGTTCATGCGCGCGAAATCCTCGTTGCCGAAACGCTGCTATTGACATGTACGTAAATCGATTCTTGACGTGATCGGAGATGTGACGCAAGTTCATTATAGGTTTGGCAAGTGTGCAGATCTTCAAATGGCTAGGAGCATTTTCGAAACAAATCAAGATTTAAACGATATTGTCTCATGGGGAACAATTGTAAGTTTAAATTTCTATTTCAAGAGCTGGATCGAAGTTTTCGACATGAAATTTGTTTTAGCTCAATACTTATGCTCTGCATGCCAATGGACGACAAGTACTTCATATGTTTGAGCGCATGCAAATGGAAACAGAGATCAAACCGAATGCACAGATCTATTCCACAGTAGATTTCGTTTTTCAGTTCAGATAGAAATCGACATCATTATTGATTGTGTTGTTTCTAGGTGCTCAATGCTTGTTCGCATTCAGGTTTACTTGATGAAGCGAAGAAAATATTTTCCCAATGTAAAATCGAATTACCTGAACTTTGGAAATATATTACAATCGTAACGAAAATAGAAACAAAGATATTTTTCTCTCTAAGTAGCATTTAGATTGATGCACTAGCTCGAGCTGATCGATTCGACGAAGTAACACATTTAGTAAACATTACTCGTTTTCTTTACATTTATATTCTTAGGCATTAAAAATGATTGACAAATACGAATTAACAAACCCCCCGTCGATGACAATGTACATGTCCATATTGAGCTGTGCACGTCGCTGCGGTCTTGTATCAGTTGCTGAAACTATAGTTCGTCGTCTGGAGGATTTGAATACGTTTCGATCGGAAGATTTGAAAGTTGCCTACGTAATGCTTGGTATACTTTTGTTTGTTAGGTATCTGTTTGTTTTTCGTCATTGGATCTTTTCTCTAGCTAATCTTTACAATGCTCAAGGTCGTCGAGAAGATGCTTTCAAGATTCGACAGTTAATGCGAGACAAGCAAACGAAGAAAATGCCTGGTTTGACGTGGATTGAGATCGATGGAATTTTACATGAGTTCTATTCGAATGAGTAAACTTCTAATTCTATGTTTCAACTATGTTTTAACCACTAATGCGTCCATTTAGTCGTCGTCATCGCCAAACTGATGAAATCTATAACGAAGTGGCTCGTATTGATGATGAATTAGAAAAAGACGGACATATGGTAGATAACAATTCCGTGCCTAGTGGTAGTGTACATAGTGGTAATAAAAAAGATAAATTTCATTTGGTGGCAACGGAGATTGCTCTGTTTAGAAAAGCTAGCCATTGCTCTAGCATTAATTTCAACATCTTCTGGAAGTTCACTTGTGCTTACAAAGAACCTACGCATATGTCCAGATTGTCATGAAATGTTAAAACGTCTATCGAAATTACGCAATCGAAAAATTGTTTTCAGTAAGGAAACTGACAGCTTTCTTTTTGAAACAATACGTTGTCAGGTTATGACGAAGAGTTAACAAACAATGTTCTTTTTTCTTAGGAGATTCATTTCGATACCACGAATTCGCTGATGGCCAATGTTCATGCGGCGATTTTCTCTGACCAATCTCTTTTGATGAACTTTTCAATTTATGAAACACACAAAAGCAATCGGTGTTACAAACAAAGCATCCAAAAATAAAACCTTTTTATGAGACATTCGTTTGCGCTGTAATATCTGTCAATCAAGATCACTTGATAAAACTTTCGATTGTTTTTTCATCCAACATTGCTAATGTATATTTCTCGAAGGAAAAATTTGAAGTTTGATTACTTGTATACGCCTACCATATTAATCTTTGAGAGTTCTTGTGCAATGTCTTTATTTTCTTCGCGGCCGAAAAGAAAAAGAAGTAATATCGTCTCTGGTGCGAAGCACGTGTCTTTTCATTTTCCAAGCAGAGGTGAAGCAATTGTTTAGTGGGTAAATTGGCAACTAATGGCGGACAAGAACCATCCTCAAAAAGATCGTCCAGTAAAATTAAATAGATGAACAGCTGTGAGTCTCTTTTTAATTTATGATCATTGTTTAGAGATTTGTATACGATCACTCGCCGTCTGGAGCTTTACCACCGAATGTAATGGGAACTGAATCGTCAAAATACACAGTCTTGGTTAAACATATTCCTGCACAGGTGAGTCGGCAGACAATTATTGATTTTGCCAGTCGATTTGGAACATTACGCGCTGAACCTTACATTACTCAGAGCACAGGTACACTTTCAAGTAATAGTATTAGCTCATGTTCATTAACTCTGTACTTTAGAAAAACTACGAAAACTTGCTTGCCTTACTTTTACAGAACAGGCCGCTGTTGAACGTTGCATGAATGGCGATCGTCAAAGTTACAATCTCAACGGTTATCCGATCTCTGTACAACGATATCTTCCTGTTGGTCTGACGTTCACGGAAAGCTATCGTTTGCTTCTTAGTTTCATCGAAAATAGTTCGAATGTAGTGCTGAGCGAAGATGATATACGCTCTTATTTTGAGACAAATTATGGAAAGGTGAAAGCATTTGCTTGGACGTCGGAACACACGGCAATGATAGATTTTGAAGAGTAAGTTTCAATAGTCATGTTGCTCTAAGAGTGTTGCCTTTTCCAGTTATGATGCTGTCGATCGAGCCGTGTTAAATTCAATTATACATCCGATCATTGGAGTAAAGATTCGCTTGGAAAAAGTCAAATCTTCGTTTGTACGAGCAGCATGTAAGTAGAATCATACATAGTTGAGATCAAATGTTTTCCACCACCGTTGGATACAATCTCTGTAGATCTACAGCCGATTGCCGATGGTTCAAGATATTGTGTTCATGTACGAAACATTCCTTCTCATGTAAGTGGTGAACGATTGGCAACAACATTTAACAGCAATGTTTGGGACGTTCTTATTCGCAAAGGAAGATTTCTTGAAAGAGATCCTATGGAAGCATGGATCTTGAACATTCCGACGATGTCCGAAGCTGAACAATTAGCGTCGTCTGTCACTGATATTGACGAAGTCGAAATTCGATGTGAAGCAGTAAGAGAGCCGATAAATGAATGGACTCTATGCAGTGGAAATCGTGATGGTTGGTGTAAGCATGACAGAGAATGCATCTATCGGCACATAACTTGTGTATCTGGAGACGAATGTAAAAATGAAGAATGTCCATTCAGTCATTCGAAACAACGAAAAATCATTCCCGTGCCAAGGTACAGGCCAGCAGGGTATGTAGTCGATTATTGCCAGGATGATACATAATTACATGAATATTGTGTGCCAATAGACCAGTTGAACAGCAATATCGGATAAAAATCGATGGGATACCGTACAATATGACACCAACGGAATTAGTCGTGGAATTGAAAAAACAACCTCCTAGTTTAGTTAAATTTATCGAAGCTCCTGAGGTACCGAAAGGTTCGATTACTCGTCATTTCTACGTCACTCGACAAGCAGCTGAGAAACTCGCTCGAACACGTGTTTTCCAATGGCATAACTATCCAATTCGAGACAGTTACGTTGTCAAATGTCAACTGGAGTATGATCGAATAACGACAACAGACCATTTGTCGGCTGCAACCGAAGCCGACATACAAACGAACAATCAACGATTGAGATCCGTGTTTGCACGTCAGTATTTATACACGAACTGTTTCGTCAATTTTTATTAATTCATATATTCTTCTGTATAGCATTGTCACCTGGCCCAAAGGAAATCAATGGTATGCCATCGAAATGGGCATGGACTAATCGTCTGTTAAGCAATGAAACCAGTCGTGTCTATCTAGTTTATTCATCGGAACCCACAGACGATCGTTTAGGTGCAATGAAATTATTTCGTCCTGCAAATGATCTTGACTTAAAACGAGCGAAACGAGAGTTACTGGCTTTGAAAGCATTAGAAAATGCTATAACATCGTTAAATAAATCAGTTGTTGTACACGTCTATCAAAGTAACGTACTTGATGCGACGCGCAAAAATGGTCAACCATTGTGGATAATAACTCAAATTACATCCGAATTAACCTTGGAAGATTTTGTTAATCGATACAAATCACAAGTGACTTTTGAAAATATTTTGAACATAACATGTCAATTACTTGAACTTATTCAGCAGTGTCACAAACATCGCATTATTCATCGAAATTTACAACCAAGAAATATCTTAGTCGAACTCAATCGAGATCGAGCATCGTCTGAATCGATTAAACTCGCACTGATCGATTTCAGTGTAGCTTGGTTCGACCACCAACAAAAATCGACTGATGATCAAGATGATATAAGAATAATTGAACAAACTATTGAAGAACATACCAGTCGCACTGGAAACAATATGTACAATATTCTACAGCGTCTGCTGACGGCACGCACAGCAGAACAACGCCGTGATTCATCAATCGATTCACTTAGTATTTGTTACATCCTATTCTGGCTGTTGACCGAAGAATGGCCTGATTGTGTAGACTACGCTAGTTTTCCACATCGCAACGATGACAAACAACAAAAGATTCATGAAAAACTAGGTAAAGTTATCATCTACATACTTTAAATTTTCTAATCCATTTGAGTTTGTTAAAAATAATATAGGTGAATTCCAAAATGCTGGTCATATTCGGCAACAAATTATGCACGTATTTGACCGTTCGTTTGATCCATCTGGCAAGAAGTGGTCCGTCGATGAATTGTGGACTCATGTGAATGAAATTCACAAGTCTACGGTGGACTTTGAAATAGCTCATTTACATGATTTATTTCCATTAATTTCAAACACTACCTCATTAGCAAAAGTTGATCAATATGCTCGATTTGTAACTTTAATAGCTTTTATTAAACAAAAATTTATTCAGCAGTATTCTTCGTGTGTCAAATGGTCCACTAGTGGTAATAAGTGGTCGAACAAAAATAAAGACATAGAAGTCAAGAATACGGATGAACTCACTTATGACTATCAAGACCGTCATTGCTCAACGTCAATTATCTGTTTAGTACAATTCGATCTTGAACCTGCTACCTTTTCGATAGGCAGCATGGACAGTATGGGAACAATGGATTTGAAAATACTTTGTAACGTGGAGAAAGGAACAGATGATATGGATGTCAGCATGTACTTCGATTTGGCGGTTAAAAGACTCGTTAGAGATAAACTGAAACAAAATTATTCATTACCGTAGTCAAATATTTTCTATCCAAAATAGACTGAAATAGAGCTCACGCCGTCAAATAGTCTCGATCTCTTCTATAAAACAGATTCGCTTGGATTTATCAAGTGGAACGAAAGAAACGAGAAATAAACTTACAAACCGATTAATCATTCTTCTTTGTGTACGATACATAACAGGAGGGCTAGTAGTATGGCTCCTCAAGAAAGTTCCCTTAAAGTCATGTTCATGTTAACTAGAGCTATACAAATAAACAAAGTATCAGTGATTTTTTAGATAATGATGAACATATTGAAAGTGATTAAGTTGACAGTATTCCATGTCGTATTTTTCATTCTTTTTATTGCATTACCTTTTTTTTTTCGACATCGCTCCATTAGAATTGTTACGATGGTTGTCTGCATAAAAGGACGCTTAGCATTGTGGTGAAATCGTTATCGTACTTTGTGTCATAAATATTTGCACTTGCTAGTGTCACTATCAGTTATTCTGAACTGCTTGATTTACCAAAAATTCTTTTTAACAAGATATTGAAAAAAGGTATTACTGTGCTTTCCAGTCTCTATTTAGTACTCATGTGAATAGATTACCATGAGGAAAATAGTGGTCTGATTGATTGAAAACTAAAGAGTTGATAGAAAACATTAATTTTTTTATAAACTTGTTCTTCCTGTTTATTGTGATCTTTTTTAAAAGTAACATGTTCTCTGATTACATCACACCGATTGATACTAGGCAACGCAGATTTCATTGGTGTGGTTTTATTCGCGCTACTAAGTGAAACTTAAAAAACACGTTAAGTTCGTCGAGGAGAACTTTCAATGCGCCTCTTTGACCTTGTTAAGCATGGCCGTCAGATGAAATATTAGCTCTCAATTATCTATATCGTCTTTCAGCACAGCACGAATCAATGTGAAGATACGTGCAGAATTTGTTGTTAACTTCGACAATATCGTTACCACAGAAAACTTCTTTGAACATTCGATGCACGCTTAGATCAAAATTCACAATGCTTATTCGACTGAAACAAGTTCGAAATTTTGATGATTGTACGCGTACTCGATAATTCATAGCAATATCTAATGAACCATTTCGAAAAACTACTCGACTAAATAATATTATGATGATACATTTTCAATCTAATTAATTTTCGTTGCCTGTTGTACTAATTGGATATCAAGATGATAACATATTTTCCGATGAGGAAACACGATGATCAAGTTCTTTTCGTTCTATTTGAAAGTTTTTCTATTGAGATAAGAATAAAGATTGCACTTTTGGCGTGTTCGATTAATAAGTCCATTAATTTTTAACGAAATTTCTTTTAGATAGTTCGTCTGAACTTCAGACAAAACAATCGATTTGTTAATTAAAACTTGATCGAAACAATAACAGGTGCACCACCTGTTTCTGTCAATCAATGATCAACAATTCTTGAAAAATACAACGAATGCAACCGACACAATTAGTCATCATTCAAGTGTCAAGAACGTTTGCTTCTTGTCTGTTCGTTACATTTTCTTTCTCTCCCTCACCCTCGCTGCTCTCTCTTTCCAGAGATTGCTTTAAGTACTACTGCAGAACTGAATTGTATGTTTGCACAGCAACAACACACAAACAATAAAGAAAAAGTTTCGTCTCTCAAAAAACTACTGTTTTGAAAATAGAAAAACGATTAATTGATCTCCTATCAACGTTTGTGCATATATACATACGCATAGATACAGTCAAGCCCAATGCAAATATTAGAATCTAAAGTACTCAATGCCATACAGCGAGCACAATACAAGCAATTGGCATTATACATTCGTCATAGATATAAACTGAATTTCGTCACCGAAGATGGGCGAAATGGTTTATTTTATGCACTGGATATAGCTGATGCTCATCAACGTCAGAAAATGATCAAATTTTGTTTAGATCATGGAATTGACCCATTGCAGAAAGAAACGAGCAGTGGTTTCACACCTTTACACGAAGCGATATCTCGACAACAAGTGGAATCAGTTCAACTTTTACTTGCTAATGTTAGTGGAGAAATTAACTGGCGTGAATTCGATACCCAAGGTCGAACAATTTTACATCTAGCGGTTGAAGCGAATAGTGTTCCTATACTTGATGCCTTACTTAATGTGATGAATCACTATGGAGTATCAGTTGATATTCCCGATAGGAATGGTTTAACACCATACCTATTAGCAATCAAACTTCATTTACGTGACATGGTTCAAATACTTTTAAGAAAAGGGCATGCAAGTCGACGACAATGCGACTTACCTACCCATCGTAGTGCAAACGATTGGGAAATTGCAGGCATTGAAGATCATTCACTACTCGTTCGTGATAAACTCCAACACGAGATCAACAATGCGATGAACGAAGGAAAAATCAGCAAAGCTAGACAACTGAAACAGATTTATGACACACAATTAATTCCATCTAAAGCTGAATCAATCCCACGCCGAAGTACTTTCTTATCCCCATCAATAACGTCTGGCTTGAATGTGAAATCGCGAACGTCCATCAGTGAAATGATCGATCAATTGCCGGAAGGTGACATACCTGATTCTTATGTAAAAAGTGAACAAGCTTCTCAAACATTTCATTTAACACAAAATCCATCCGGTACACTATCTGCCTCATCACTTCTGCCTTCAATATCGACAACACGACGGTACCGACCAACACTAACTGTCAACGCACTTGTGGATTTATTTCAGGTAGTCCAGTAAACGATATAACTCGAGTTGTTCTCTTATATAAAGAAAAACAAAGAAAAAAAAGCAGACTGATTTTTGATTTACTTTTCCCCTTCCATTGTTATCCTTGCTATTCAATTGAAAACAAACAAACACACACCCTAGTGTTTTCGTTACCCCTCTCCTCTCATTCTAACGATTTTATTTCTCACAGGTAGCTGCCGAACAGTGTGCTCCAGCTTATCGCCCATCGCATAAAACTATTATGAACAAAGCATTGGAGCAGCAGGCACGTCAAAAACAATTGTCTCAAACTCATCGTAGTACACTTGCAACGCTGAACGAAGTTTCGCATCCATCATCTACGCTCGGGTATCGGCGTTCTGTGCATATTTCAAAACGTTAATAAACGAGTTATTTAAATGATGAATATGTGAAAGGATAATCTTTTATTTATAAAACTATCATCCAAAAAACTGATACCATCCAAAATGGATTTGTCGAGGTTGTTCAAGCATTCTTTGCCAGACAGATTCATAACGTGTGAATTCACCAAAAAGAAACGTTCCACAGGATATGATCGATTGCTTATTCATATGCAATTGATGTATAACAAGTTCGAAATGTACATAAATCGATTGAATATCGTTTTGAGGAATATTTTGGGTGATGATTTCATTGATTTCGTGTAAACTATTGTTTGTAGCTGATGTTCCGTTGAATGTTGGAGAAGAAAGCTTTTTATGAAAAAATCGATGACCCTGATGAAAGAACGTGGTCATCAGACGAGCATCTAGGATAAAGTGCATTTGAACTTTGATCTTCAAGAAAGAGAACCTTACCGATCTTTTCATCCTGGTTTGTTTTGAACAGATAACGTAATTTACCAACTTTAATTGTGAACCTCTCTGCTGTTGGCAAGTAACTAATACCAAGATAGATTTCTCCAAATGTAATCTGTTTAGAGGAAATTTGGTCAATATCAAGAGTAGTTTAATGTTTGCTATACCTGAGGAAGATCTTTAAATACGATAGGTTTTTCAAGTGGTTCGGTCAACGACGAATTCACATCAATGACAGATTCAAACATTATATCTTGGGCACCAGAACGATCGATACAGAAAAGCAAAAATCGTAGGCACGATGATTTTGCAATGTCTTTGTTGAATTCAAATGATAAATATTCATTATATGTTAATTTATCATCTGGTGTCCGCGGTAATTTTCTAGACAAAAAATATAGATAGCTGAGCATCTCATCGATCAAGATATATCTTACCTAGTCGTTTTTTCTTGTTGATTTTTCCACGTATTCAATTGTAAATTTGAACGATGTTTACTTTGTATCGCATAAAACTTTCTCAATAGTTTATTGTTTAGTAATTGGACATGAATAAAATATTCAGCTTGCTCATCGAATGCCGGATGCGCACAGATATTCTCACCATTGATCACATGAACCATTAGCACATTTTTCATAGGATCAAACTTTAGCTCAGTATGGATCTTTGCAAATGGGGGACATAAATAACCATTTGATGATTGCGTACCATTCGTAAATAAAGGACCGTCCTAGAAAAGACAATCTCAGCTGCTAATTTAAATGTTCATGCGTAAATATTTACATGATGTGTCTGAACACTTTCACTTTCCGATGCAGTTCCATACGATGATTGTCTGCTTGATCTTGAGAGTTGACGTTTTGTTGGTTTATTCGAAGCAATGACATTACTAGTTCGAACAGCAGATTCGTAACTTGGCAATTCAGAGAATACTAATGTCTTCTCCATGCATGGCCCATTGCCTATATCAAACAAATACTAAAAATTATTTTAACCACCATAAACACGTACTGAATTTTGTCTTTGAGCCATACTGTCGTCGTAAACGAGACCGCCAATGTATAAGATATAGCAGTATACAACCAACAAAAGATAGGAATGTAACAACAAGAACAACAATCAATGTTCGTTCATAGAATGTAAATGCTCGATGCCATGGCACAACTCGGCTCAGTTGATCAACATAATCCTCATTATCAACATTACTACTAATCATGCTTACGTTGTTGTTTCATTCGTAAATTTTCATCTGATTCTTGATTATATACTTTCTTCAATACTTCGTTATGTATGTGAAAGTGAGACAGCTGTGTTATATATAAATATCAAACGCGTATTTTTGATAAAAAGCAGGAAAAAACACTGTATGAATTCAGTTTGTTACTACACGAAACGGCTTTCCTCTTTCGTTATATCGAGATCACATCATGTGTTACGAATCCATATTGACTCAAGACGAAGCAATATCCGTTCTCGATGTGTATGTATATAAAAGAGTCTGAGAAGTACGCATTTTGCTTTTCGTTTTCAGACAACTTCGATCGAAGTTGAAGAGGCAAAGAAGAAAAAAAAGAAGTATTTGTTGATCTTATGTTTGACATTGATTCATTATTGAATATACATAGTTAATCGCTATTTAAATACATAGGAAATCTTGATGTAGAAAAAAAACAAATCATCATGCATGCACGCACAGAATTTTTTGTGGATTTTATATACATATGGAGAGCTTGTATTAGTAAGAATGAAAAAGAAAAGATAAAGAAATAATGCAACTAAGTTGAATTTTTTTTTGTGTGACGTCACCGAGAGTTATTCGAGTTTGTCCCTTTTTTTTTTGAATGATTTGATACATTTATATAGAAATTAAGTTTCACGCAATTTTGCTAATCGTTGGCTGAGCTCATCCTAGATACGAAAGATATATTAAAGATGCCATGAAATTAATACTGTGTCTTACTTGTTCTTTGAGAGCGACCGAAGTGCCCATTGCTGGCGCCGCAGGAATATTAAGATTCAATTCAATACCAGCTTCATCAGCCATTTCTTGCATTAGATTAGTAACTTGGTCAACTGGCTGTTGTACACTTGTAGCATTTTGCATGGCATCATCCATAACTTTTGTTTTAACTTCAAGATCTTCGAAATTTTTCTCCAAACTATCCATTAATTTGGATGTTTCAGTTAATGGCATGTTCGCAGTGACCTTCGACATCAGTGACACTGTCTGTTTAAGACTTCCCGCCATCTAAAAATTTCAAATCGTTCAAATGAAATTTCTACAATAGAGAAAAACGATATTTACTTGTCGTTGGGCTGCCGAATTAGCAACACGTGCTTGTACACCATCAACGCGAGCAGCCATTCGTTTACAATTCAATGATTCACTATGGTGCCGTATGGCATTTTCGGCATGAATCTTGGCAGCTTCGATATTGCCTTTCATTAAGGCTTTCTTGACTTTGTCACGTTCGACTTTTTCCTGTTTGTCATGAGTAGCTGCTTGCCGTTCAAGCATTTTTGTCTGCATTTTGAACTGAAACGCCAATTTATCTATGAAAATTAAAGATTAGCATACATTTCATTTCAATATGCACAACATACCCGACATGGTTACAGTTGTTCTTTATTGATTGTAAATTGACAAATCTTATTGATAGAAGAGTAAATCTGAAATAGATGGGCCACATAATTCGTAGAAAAGAAAGATACGAACAAAGTAGAAATTGTTTTGTTTCTACTGACAAGTTGTTTTCGCCTGTTATAATGTCAAAATGATTCATACATTTTTCTTTACTTATAGCATAACGAACAGTTTCTGAACCAGAAACAAGGACTATAAAACGTAACTTCACTTGGATATTAGATGTCGAGATCTAAATAGCGAGTCTCAAACAAACAGCAACTCATTCGAAAAATAGCCGATATGCACATGTAACCAACACTTTCAATATATTTGTCAGTTTATATTCTGACTCATAAATGACGCCGAGCATGATTATGAATCATTCTGAAGAGTTTTTTTCTAGCGTTTACTAATTTTTATCAATGAAAACAAAAAAGTAAAAGAGCTTAGAAATCACCAAATAGATGCAAAATTATGTGGCTTTATATTTTATAGGTGACGCCACTTTATTGTGTGTTCGAAATACACCCCAAGATATTCTATAAATTATTTTAATCTTACGTTTTTTTAGTACTACATCTGAGTAAAAATGTATAGAGAATACTTGTTGACGTCGAAGCTCATTAGGAGCATTGTAAGACGACCATTATGATAGTTGTCGCAAATTGAACTTTGCCTTTCATATAACTATAGTTTTACATTAAGCTATCTATGTGCTGTTTGTTTCTATATTGTTATTACGTTCACTCTCGACTATACAAACGACCGTATATGGGAAAGTCATATAACACCATTTGTAGCCATTCTTCCACCCGCTCACAACAGATCCACCTTGAGAAATTACTGGGTCTCGTAAACTGCAAGATTGATGAATGCTGTTAAATTATTTAATTTATTGATGTGAATCGTTTTTAGAATGTTGTGTACCACCGTTCAATCGGCTTCAAATCAATTTAAGCAAAACTCAGAAGCAGTTGGATTCAAACGATATTGACATGTGCGACTTATAAACATTGCTAGTCATAACGTGACTGGATCATTCCTTTCTTTAGAACATACAGAAAAATAAAAAGATCTATTATCGAATCGATTAAGCGAATTCCATCACGTGATATGCTGAATCTACTTAGAAGACTATGATAAAGCGACTAGTCGCCCTTCGACGACCTTTTCCTTCAAGCACATAGATGTATAGACTTTCTTCAGCAAGAATGTGTGTCCTATTGTGTGGCTAAATCGTGATATCAAGTCTGGTCGAGCACTTGAAAGCAGAAGAATTTGAAAAAAAACATTTAGTTGGTGTACACCTGGCTCTCGTCACTCGTGAAGAGATTTTTTATTACAATTACAGCTGGAGTAATATAGGTGTCATGCTTATCAAGAAATTGAACAAGTTCGTGGGTCTGTGGCTAGTAAAGTGAGTATCAGCACGAGAGTATGGGTAATAACCTACGGGTAAGATCTGATTCTGATAAGACCCAAGTCATTATGACACGGTCGGTTCCGGATGGAAGTTCAAACATAGGTTTCAGCCATTTCCTGTGCAATATCGGCTGGAATCGAGAAGAGCTGTACCGGAGCCGACTCAGATTTCAACGAATCCAGTTGCCAGAATGATTGACCTAGGGATATCTTTTATTGAATTAAAATGCGAATCCAAACGGCGAATTGTAAAGCAAAGTTAGATATTAAACGATATACTGGCTAAATTCCAGACGGAGCAATATAGAAACAAGATGAACGAAATGCAGTAGCAAAAAAAAACGTGGTTATAGAATAGAAAATGAAAGAAGGTTACAAACAAGAGAAAATTTGTATGAGCATAACTTGCTGCTCTTGCAATCGTTTCACACCGCTATTTATTCTTTTCAAGTTGGCAGCGAATGTTTCGCTTATCAAATTGTGTTTTTCCTGCTACTTATTGCTACGATTTCGCCATCTGTATCTTTCTCATCTGGTTTTTCACGTTTCTATTCTTTCTTTTGCCGTTATCTTTCACAAATATCAATGCATAACTCATGCTTAATTGTTCCTATAGCGTCGACACGGTCCGTGGGATAACTATTGCTAATAATAAAAAAGATACAAAAATAACTGATGATCGTGACACTGTTTCTACTAGAGATTATCGTGAGTTTATACAAAGAATTTTTATTCAAGAGACAGTTTATGAAAAACTTCTTTTAAATAGATCTTCGCAGTAAATGTGGAACAATCCTGTTTCTCGAGCTTCGAAATTTGGGTAAAGTAAAATCTGAAACGAATTGTTCTTTATTGAAATAAATCTACCTTTTCTTTTCAGAAAATTTTGCTCAAAATATATTAAAAGAGAACATTCATGTTGCCTATTTTTGAACGACCGCAAAGCGCAGTGGAACACATGGATAACTTCGGCCAATATTCATCAGGTGTCTCCTTCGGTATGAGATGGCCTTTCATTTTTGTTTGATTATGAAAGACTGTTATTCATAGATTCTAAAAAAAGTATTAATGCACGAAATAATATTGACTGTTAAAAAGTATATATTAATGTAGGCCCTTATAACACTTAAGATAATTAACGAATAAATGTTTCATTTTTTGTCTCATACGTGCTCGTTTATTGAATCATATTACAGACAGCAATCCAGTTGACTAGCTCTATTTTCTGCTTATTTTTCGCTAATTGACGTTCATGTGATGGAGCTAAGTTTAATTATCGAGAAAAGAATGTAGTAACTGTGCATTAAATATTGTATAGAATAAATGTAAGTTAAAAGGCGTAGCTGGAACTAGTAGAAATAAATGTGGTTGTGAACACTTTGCGGAGGATGCAATTTTTTTACGAATCCTTCAATATTAATAAACCATTCAGACACTAATCTTTTGCTTGTACTAATATATTTTGTCAATCGCTTATACTACTATTTTAGTGGCATAAATATCTCTATGGAGAATCTAAATCTAAAGAAAAATGGACTAGATTGTACTCATGCATCTAGGCTAGACTTTTCTTCCTGATTCCATAACGCGAATATTTCTGTATATCGAAATCTCGATTATGCTTTGCAGGCACCAATTACGAAAAAGTAACCGCAATCGAGAAGACACTTCATCATTTAATGAATGGAAAATTACAAATTTGCTCCTCTATCTTTGTCTAACCCATGCCCAAATTTCACAAACAGGAAATCGATCGTGCTAGTTTATCAGACTATTTTATACCACTAAAGCGATGTAAGCTATAAGAAGGCGCCATCTGGTAAGAGTAATTAAGTATAGTCGACGTATGAAACATATAACCAATCAGGGCTCTTCGACTACTCTGTTGGCTTATTGGTCTTCGGTTCAGAATTCGACCTGTTCATAATATTTCTCGACTACTGAATCATCGTGTACTAGTCTAAGATTATCCAAAGCATGTAGATCTAATATGAATGCAATACGATTTTGACTATCAGATCGTAACACAGTCGAACATTATATATATTTGTCGAAACTGCATCGAATAGGATATACATATAAAATTTTCAACCTTATTTATTTTGGATTTGTTTATTATAGAAAATAATCATGTCAGAACGTTATGGTTTTTCCTTGACAACCTTTAGTCCATCGGGCAAACTTGTTCAAATTGAATATGCTTTAAACGCTGTCAATGCAGGTTCACCAGCAGTTGGCATTAAAGCCTCGAATGGAGTTGTATTAGCGACGGAGAAAAAAAGTAAATCCTTATTACATGACGATCGTACAATTCATAAGGTCGAGTCCATTTGTAAAAACATGGGCCTTGTCTATAGTGGCATGGGTCCTGATTACAGGTAAGAAAAGATTTCTTTGTCTATTAGAGAATATTCGAAAACATGCTTGTTTGTCTTAGACTACTCGTCCAGAAAGCACGCAAACTAGCACAAGAATACATGCTTGTCTACGAACAAAATGTACCACCAACACAATTAGTTAAACGAGTTGCTGATGTTATGCAAGAATATACTCAATCCGGGTATGTACTTCGTTTTCGCTATCGAAGTGATCACTTGCAAGTCATTCTAGTGGTGTACGTCCTTTTGGTGTATCCTTACTTATCTGTGGTTATGATTACGATGAAGATCGACCATTCTTGTATCAATGTGATCCATCTGTACGCTCTTTATTCGTCACCTTCATGATTTCTCCTACTTTTCCTCTAGGGTTCTTATTTTCCATGGAAAGCAACAGCAATCGGCCGTAATTTTGTGAATGGAAAAACATTTCTCGAAAAACGGTGCGATTCGACATCTTGTCTAGATGTTTTCTAACAAAATGATATTCATATTTAGATATTCTGATCAATTGGCACTTGAAGATGCCGTCCACACTGCGATACTAACATTGAAAGAATCGTTCGAAGGACAAATGACTGAGGATAATATCGAAATTGGTATTTGTGATAAGGAAGGTTTCCGTCGTTTGACACCTGCTGAAGTCAAAGACTATTTAGCACAAATCGGATAAAATTCTTACCTTGACGGATGTCGAAGCAAAACAATTATCTTAAATAACTCAATCGATTTCAATTGATTAACATCCGTTTTTATATTTGTTATGTTTTCTTTTTCGCTCTTCTTTCTTCTGTTGCCATTTCATTATCTTCTCTGCAGACACAGAATAAACACGAACTTCATCTTTTTTTCCAAATTTGACATTGTCTTTATCAATCAATAGGAATGATGCAAATCATATCAACGACACCAAAGCTATATGCCGTGTAAAGCTGTTCTGAGTGAATTAATCATATGCTATGCATGTGCTTTCTTCATGTTTCAGAGATACATGTTTATGAATAAATAATTTGTTGGGGTATTTGTTTTGTTAACATCTAAGCATCGGAAACCGTGATTGTAACCTTCTGTGCCAGTTTCTTTTTGTGTAAAGACAAAGTCACGGAAATAAATTTGAATAAATATTAATATAAGTAATTGTGTTTTAGGCGCGTTGTCAAAAGCGATGCGCAAGATCTGTGATAGTACATGGATAGCAAGTTTCGTCTCGCTAAAATCATCTAATTGAACAAGTTCGAATCAATCTTTTATTTACGAAAGAAAATTATGTAAGTATAACAGATAAGCAAAACAAAGTCAACACAGTTTTACTCAATCGATGGTGTAAATTTCAAACGAGGTGACGGCGGAATAAAATAGTTGTGATTATCACCAGATGGTGAATCTGGTGGTACGATTATATTATTTGTATTAGTTTTCGTTCGGTGGCATGAATAGGTGATATGTGGCGATGTGTGAAGATTTGATGATGAATTATCTGTAATTGCGTTGTTCTGAAGAGAATTTTGACGTGAATTGGGTTTCGATAGAGCATGATTGCGAGATGGAGGAGCAGCACTTTCACCTCGTAGCACCGGCTCAAGAAAAGAAAAATCCATCGGAATAATAATATCAGGCGCTTGGCAATGCACTCGAGTCGAGTTGAAATAATCCGTATTCGGCATTGATTGATGTTGTGTTAGTTTCGGTAAATTAAGATTTTCTAAGTGATTTGTTTGACGTTCATTAGTCGGCTTCAGATTTGGCGAACTGCTTCGATGTCGACGCCGTGACGGTGATCCAGTACGATATAACGAATTATGAACAGGTGGCATGATGGGTGGCTTATCATCGGGCGTTTCGAGCACGATTTGCACGAAGGATTCGACAGGATCATCTACAGCTTTCGTTATTGCTTCGAGAGGAGTTAATAGTTCAAACGGTATAGTCGGTGCGGTGGGCGTACTTGGAATGCGACCGTCATAAATAGTGACAACACGTCGTTGATCATCGAAGGAGACATTTGACAAGGATGATTCGTTCGAATTTGCTGTTGTTGATCGTAGATAGAGTGAACCACTTGTGCCGTTTGGAGCGAGTTGCACACTTGGATCTGGCTGGCCACAGTATGAAGCACGACGAGCTGAACCAATTAAGCATTGAAAAGTTGTTGACGCTGTTCGCATCATTGAACTTGTAGAGTCCAAAAGCATGTTCAATGACGAATTTTTTCGTTTTAGCATGCACGTATCACTGCCTCCGAATTCACTTGGTTGATGGTAATAATTGTAGGGATATGGACGACGTAATGATAGCGGCTGAGGACCGTCGGAAAGACGTCGTTGTTCAGTCTAAATAATTACGAGCATTTATATGTGAAAGCATGATTTTCTTTCCTATAAATAACATATTATTCGAAATGGCTTTAATCCTATATCCCAGGGGAATAAATCTTCGTCAAAAGAACTGTCATCTTACAACAAACCAGTACATGTCTTCCTATTTCATCTCAACTATGTAGAACACCTGAAGAAAAGTTCTAAACTGGCAAAACAGTAATATGTACCTCTAGCCATTCATTTTCGTTTAGATTTCCGCTTTCCCCGATACTCATGAGGCAAGCACAGGAAGCTAACCAAGATTTGGAAAATAGTATCAAAAGAATAATATAATCGACTGATCTTTTACCTTGTTCTGACATGCAAACTTATCTTTTAACAAAGTCTAATGACTACAAATCCTCCTCGCTTCTCGTGTATGCATTTTTTACTATCGTATAATCTGCTCATTATGTTAAAATTTTCTTCTAATGACGCTCAAGAACAAAATGACTAACAGCAAAAAAGAAAAAAAAATCAAATGAGCCTGCGTAACAATGAAGTTCCCTGAGAATCTTTTCAAAGACATACATATCCATGGAAGTAGTGAGTTACAACGATTATCACGCATACGCTTTAACCATCTCATTAAAGTTATTAATATTTCAGTCTGAATAAGTAAAACCTCTTCTCCTTTGACGACCTTAATTATTTGCATACACTCTCTTAAAATAACTGCTTCGGTTTATCCATCACGAACGATCTGATTCTATACACTTTAAGAACAGACATTCCAAATTTAATGTTACTAAGATAAATTCTCTAGCAGATTTAATAGTTTTTCTTTCCTCTCTTTTTACGCCATACCCACACGGAAATGTTAAATTGATTTTGAAAAAAGATTACGCATGCATCCGATATCTTCTGTTGATTTATACATAATCACGTTTTTCTTTCTCTTTGTAAATTGATCGCTTACTTACACTAATTTGATCGAGATCTCCCAGACGATCCGAATAACCAACAAAATTGGCGAATACAGACAATCGTCGCATATCATCCATTCCTGTGCTTTTAGGAAGCGGCAGGAAAAAGATAAGCGAATAAATTACGTACAGTAGTTGTTCAAATGATTATAGACGAAACTGAGATTGCGGATCTAACTATGTGGTTAATTTTACAATTGCTGTGTTTAGTTTCATACAAATATATTGTTTCACAGCATGACTGTCCTCTGTTGTTATAACTGGTGAAGAATCAGAGAAAGTTCATGGCGTAGAAAGAAGAACAAGGATGAGAAACCTAGAAAAAATAGCTCTAATCATTTTTTCTGTTTTCTCTCCTTCTTCCTTCCTTTCTTTCTTTTCCCCTCATTTCTAGTTAGATAATTCCTTCTCTCTCTCTCTCATGTTTCACATCACTTTCGTTTAAATGATAGTTATTAGTGTGTGAAAGCGTCAATTGATGAACGCGTTCTTATAAAACAAACTCAATGTAGGCGATCGTAGTTCTGTTTCCATTGCTCATTGAGAGAAAACATATAATCTTGATGGTTTCTTCGTTCATATCGACCTAACATTATGAAAAACTTTTTCGGCTTTCTCTGTTTGATGAATTAGTCAAACACTGCAAGAGAACAATTAAAAACATGTTGTCATCCGTGCATAAGTGGATGTACCCTTTTAGATTGTGTTTTATAGTTGCTATAACGAGACGTTCTCGAGTTGACAATACAACATAGAAGAAAAAAAGCCATCAGTTGTTGACAATATAAATCGAAATTGTCATATACGCACGTCTAGATCATAACTTACAGTTTCTTAGACCGAATGGATGAAGCTGTTTCTTTTCTTCCGATTTACAGCAATCCAATTATGAGCACGTCCGCAGAACGATGAGCATAAAGAGATATTGTTGTTTTTTCTTGATTCTCTGCACATATATACATATGATTGCCTATGCAAATTAACGATCTGACGCCGTATTCTCCATACGATATAAAAATTCCACGACAATATTTTTCTTTCTTGTTTTAATTAAAAATCTCACAATCATACTGCTGGGTTTTATCTATTCAGCAGTTATGCAAATATCCCGTGATATAAAACAAGATATAGTTCCTTGAATAGTCGACTCCATTTGTCGTCTGACAGTTTATTTTCTGCAATCCATCATATTTCCCCCTCTTTTTTTTATATATGTATTCATCTGGTGCGTTAGATTTCTTTTTCCCTCCTCGATAAAAAAAGAACATTCTGAAAAGAAAAGAACTATTACTAAAATCAATTACACGATATGATGAACGATGACATAGTTGAACTAGATTTTCCGTTTGCTCTAATTTTTTATTCGAATGCTATCATTATCAATTAGATTTACAGGGAGGGGAGAATAAAATAAAAAAAGGACATAGTTAACTAAGTATGACTGTGGCCGAGTAACGCATACTCAACATACAAAGAAAACCTAAGACGTCATCAAAACTAATGTAATAAGAATATAAAATATGCACGTTGGAATTGATTGAGTATATATTGATCTAGTATTCATCAAAACGAGTTACCGACTCGACAAGAGCGTTCGATTGATTTTCTACTTTGATATACAGGTTAGGCGAACCTAAGATTCTTTTAATAGATATATATATATATGAACAATGGAAAAGCTAAGGCTCAAATATATAGAAATGCGTGCTCATCTAAGTAGTGTAGTGTTTCCTTAACAGATCTCTTCTTTCTTTGCCTAACACCTTCCTTTTGTATCCGCCTTCTTCTTTAATTTCCGATGAGATTAAGTGAATTCGACAAAAATGAATGACGTTCAAGCTGTTCAACAGTATTCAACATCATATACTGTACCAAAACGAAAACAACCCTCGACACACTGTCTTCTAATTTGTCAGTCTTCCCACGAGGAATCTTGTTACATACCTGGTTGCTGTGACAAGCTACATTGGGCTCCGATTTGCAATGTGTGTAATAAGATGGTGGAGCAAGTAATTGATCACAGCTATACGACGGATACAGGTATTGACCATCGTACATAGTCGGTGATAAGAATGGTGTGCTCTGATTCGAAAACATTTCTGTTGAATTGAGACTAACAATTGAACGTTAGTCTGGCGGCTGCAGGCTGTTTTGATTTTGTGAGCGACAAATAATGGCTTCTTAAGGATTGTTTAAGCAAAAAAACACGGTGTATTTGAGTTCTCTAGAAAAGAAAAACAAAGAATATGTTATCTTGGTTATGTAGTTAAATGGTCTGATCTTTCTCAAAACACCAGATTGCTATTTTCTACTTTTCTAGATCTTCCTCGCCTTCTTCTTCTTCTTCTTTCTTGAACATATAGATTTTTCTCGCTCTTCTTGCGTTCCTGTAACTAACTTTACATATGATAGATGCTGTTGTTATTGTCGTCATCTTTCTGTTCTACAGTACGAGCAGAAATCGATGTACTTAGTCATTTTATATTAATAGCATTAGATACTATCTCGTTCGAACTGAAACTGATACGGACCGTGGGAGTCGCAAACAAGCGAGTCTCATCTATATCTAATTAATCGTCTAGTAGTTCAAGTCTCCTCGTCATTGCTTATACGATAATTATGAATCGAATTTCAAAAATAACTCCAATTAATCTTACACCAGTGGTAATTTGTTTTTCTTGCATGAAAATACTAGTAATTGTAGTATAGACATTAGAGACAAAAGGTGGGGAAAAGGTCGCAAGTTCTCTTCAACCATGTGCATGAATACTTACTGTTTTTGATAAACTAGTCAATAACACCTCTCAAGTGCTTCGTTATAAGACACATTAGTATTTCATTTATACCTCGAGATGCTTTTCAAATCATTTTTTTCGATATGAATAAGCTCTATGGCACATTTTGACATATGTCCTTTGTGTTCTCTATCTATAGATGATTATGAATTGATGACGAGAAAAAATGAATACCTAGAGTATAACAACAATGTGAAAACGAGGAAAAGATATCCCACGTCATGCAAACGGAAGCAAAAACTACTTCTGTAAATGACAACTGTCGTATTCTCTTACTTCCATCGAAAAGACAGTGTTGTGACATAGAAAATCTGTGTGTATGATTATTGTCCAAGTGATCAGAGTAATTTGCACTGAGGAAAGATTGGAAATAAAGAGATGTTTTCGTTTATTAGTATTTTATTCAATTTTGTCAACTACGAAGAAAATTCAACATAAGAACTATTTAAAAGTTCATATGACTCCTTCTCTCGATACCATTGTCTTAACAGTTCGACTAATGCTTTGAAGTTTGGTCGTTGATTCGGATCAAAAGATAAACATGGACGGATAAAACGGTTGTAAAACTGACTCGAGCATTTCGCTGGTTTACTATGGACATATCCACCGTGTACGAGTGCACGAATCGATGAAAAATCTTTTTCATAAGGATAAGGATCAGCGCCTTTCAACCAAATTTCAATTAAAACGATTCCGAATGACCATACGTCAGATTTAATCGAGTAAACTTTTTGATCGGCAAGAACCTCAGGTGCCGTCCATCGGATAGGCAATCGTTGATAATAAATTTCATTTTGTTGAATCGAATTGTCTTTGCTAATACACATTGATAAACCAAAATCAGCAATCTTCACCGTTCGACCTCCGTTACCTAATAAAATATTCCGACAAGCTAGATCTCGATGTACACGTAATTGCTGTTCAAGAAATGCCATTCCGCGACAGATATCATATGCGAACGAGATGACAAGTTTCTCTTCTGGGACGTCGGCACTATCTTCTAACCAATTTTTTAAATCTCCGTTTTCCATTAGTTCTGTCACGAGTAAGTTTTCGTTCGTTTGAAGATCGTGTGCCACACCGAAGAGAGATACAATATAATTATTTCGTAAGGTTTTCATCGCTTCAATCTCTTGATTATAACTCTTTAAGCTTGAGGTATCTTGTCGTCGTTTGTGTAATTTTTTCACCGCGACAGGTATAGATCGTTTTCCGTTTTGCCAAAGCGCACGCCAAACTTCTCCGAACTCGCCCTTACCTATGTGGCATTGGAATGTTAAATCGCGATGCGGAATATGCCAGAGATCTTCTTCAAATTCGATACGGTGCGGTATCGCATGTGTCAATGGGATAACTTCTCGAACTTTTTCGTTTTGTACAAGTTTTTGGAACGATGGGAAAAACATTTGATTTAACTTTGATTCTTGTACAAAGTAAAAACAACGAGTTTTCGGATGGACACAAATTAAGTAATGCCAATCTTCGGCATTCGTTTGGCTGGATATTTGAGAAATGCTTAATACAAACGAATCCAATTCATTTCGACTTCGACGAATCAGATATGCACCTGGTCTATTGTGTTGAAGTAAACATCGCTGAATAACACCGCGATCGTCACTACCCAAGCGTAGTGGAGTTTCATGATCCAGGAGTAAATGTTTCTGATCGATTGTACATTTCGTATTTGTACGCAAGTGACGAACGTGACAAGCGTCATTATTGGTTCGACTGATGAGCTCGAATTCGTCACCTTCATCACACGTATATTCATCTTTGACGACGAATGGACAACGAGCAACGAACACTGTCTTATACAGTTGTACACTGTTGTCTCTTTTGAAACTCGAATCACTTGACTCAATTATATTTGATGGTAATGGTAACGATTTAACACTTAAATCTGATGAACGGAATTGATTCGTGTCGACGAGTTTATATGACTGCGAATCAGTTGTTAATTCAATGAATAAATCTCGTTTGTTGGCAGTATCGTCATGCAAAACACAACGATCATTCACCATTATTGTGCGTGTCTATCAAACAGATAAAAAAACGAAGTTATTTTTGTTAACCATTGCCGACTCATGTCGAAATTATCTTTCCTATGTCAACATCTCTTCTCTTTGTAGATTACACGTTCGCAAAATGATAAAAACCCCACAAAACTCTTCTTTAAATAGACTTTCACCGTACTTTTTTCGATGTCGTATTATCTTAAAGTATGAGAAGCAATGACTTATGCGCAGATAAACCATTTGTATAGTCATTTTGGGTGAGACATATTTTTCTACGAAGGGAAATTGTCGTCCAAATAGCTGGTCAAATGCAAATTCATGTAGCCTGATGATTTGACCTTGGTTTTTTGCAGGATAATCAATTCAATGAAAAATCTCTGCGAGTCAAGCACACGAACTGAATATTTCTTTTATAATTTTATCAATTGCATTTACTAAGCCGATTAGGATTAACTGTAATTCGCAGTAGTCTGATGAAAATGAAAAATGTCATGACGGAAAATATCATGCAAAACAAAACTTGGAACGAAGATGGAAAACGATGAAATTTTTCTGTAAAGGACTAGGGCAGATCGGTGATGGCGTTTGCATATGATCGAAATCAATGACGATAGTCGTGTGCGTTCGACGTCGACAAATAAGAAAAGCTTATTCAAGCGAATGCCATTGAAATAAATTTCTCTTGTCAACAAACCAAACTTTTTAACCTTTCGGAATTAATTTGCGAATAGTAGAGAACAGGAAAATGAAATGTCTGACTCAGGCTTCACAACTTGAATAGAAAAAAGTGCATATGCAATCATTATAATGACGTGTTTCGAGAGGATATTATATATAATCATAATAATATTTATTTTCTTATTGAAAATATCAGCCCGTTGCTAAATATGTTAAATCACTTTCCAGTACGTAAGTGTTTGTCTTCGTTGCCGAAGGAAAATATCATCTTGAATGATTTATATCAGACATCTAAAGAAAATAGATGATTCTCGCTTTAGTTTTTCCTCGATGGAACTCAATGATAAACTCTGTTTTATTTCTCTCGAAGGACAAAATGACAACAAAAATCAAATGATGTGTATCCCATTAATTCTATTATTGTCTTAATAGATCAAGAAAGATAAATTCACGTTAGGTGCTTAGGACCAAGTCGATTCCGACAGTTTGGCATTTTTTATCAGGCTTTTTTCTTTCTGTCAATTAATCGATATAGCACTTTCTCTTCGGTACTTTCCGATTCTCCGCGAATCAAACGCGATAGGAACGCTAAACACAATAGATCGTACTAAGCAAAAACTAGTCGGCACTACAACACATCTCATCTTCACTGACAAAATGAGCATATACAATAAGGTATTTCATAATTGTTGTATGCTACTTGAATCTTGCTTGACGTTTTTTAACTTATTAAAGTAAGATGGATCCTGTTCGAGATCAGCGAAGCGGAAATTCATTCATGGTATTCTTTTTTTATTTTTTACAGAACATTGGCTTCAGTGCCCACTACTTCTCATTCGATTTCAGTCAAAGCGTAGAAATCCAGATGAAAAGTCGATAGTAGCACCGAGAAATGTCATTTGAAGGAAAACAAGATCGTTTGATCTTTAGGTGTTAGCATGAAAATGATGTCGATTTTCAAAGGTCATTCATTTTCTGTTTACGATCAGTAAACATATCGAGCTTGCCATATAATCAATATATTATAATAATACATCAAAGAATCGTTTTTGTTTTCTTAAACTAAATGAATGAATTTCAGCCATTGAGTAACAAAATATTCTCTCTGCAGAATTAGATTTTGAATTCGTCTTGCAATAAAGATATTTTCTTTGTCGCACCGGTTGGTCTCTATTTTCCTATCTAGTCTTCTTGGTTTTCTTTTACAGCATCATCTGTCGTTTGTTGTGATCCTTATCACATCTCGTGCCATGCTTTTGCAACGAACGTTCAGTTTTCTTTTTTTAACACTTGCATTCAAACAGAATAGCGACAAGCTGTCTCACCTTCGGCACAAATTTTCCTCACTAGACAGTACTGACGGTGATGATGGTGTGCACCGGAGAAAGAGGAAAGGAAAGTTCGAATCCATAGCTGTTACTGCCGTTACCGTCATATATGTGAAAGTAAATTCTATAATTTCCTGAGATGAGTAGAAGAAAAAACAACATGCATGGAAAATAGTATTTATATAAAGCAATTAGTTTAAGAAAATGCATTCGTTATCTGGTAATTATTGTTTATATTTGCCTTTATTTAGTTCAGATTTCGTCGAAAAATGACAAACAAATCTCCACGGCATACTATTTCCTCAAGTACATCGAGTGATGCACCAGACTCGCCAGCATTGAACACTTCAATAGCCAATGAAAATGATACGATTTTAATAGCAAACAGATTCAGTAATATTACTTTGGCAGAGCGTGAAGAGCGCCAGAAAGCACTTGATCGTCTAGAAATTCTTAAGACAGTAAGTACATTTCAACACGGACATCAAATATCTTTTCCATCTACTCTCTTGGGAGAATAATTGAGTGTCGTGAACAGAACTCGTCTGCTGGAAACAGATTCTACTTCATCGGTAATGAAGTTTTGAAGAACTGTTCATTCGGCATGTCGAAGAATTAAATCTGCATTGTTAATCGACGAACTATAAGAAAATTAGTTTTATTTTATTCAATTAGCTCTTGTCAAACAGTAATCACCTGTTTTCATTAGTTAAAATGTATGTTTACCTGGTGTAAATTGACTGCGGGCTTGAAAGATAAAGCGTGGGAAGACAGAAAACTTATTTTTATCAACGTCAATCCTCTTTGAATGATTAGGGAAAATTTTGGTTCGTAATTATAAGTAATGGACGTTGTCAAACTAATTGCGAAAAGCTACTGAGAAACACTAAGACCGATATCTATGATTTTCTCTTTCAAATTCTGATTTTCCTAAAAGAATATCTGAGTTAAACTGTAGATATGTTAGTCCCATTGAGAATGTGTCTCGGAAGAGATTGACCTATTTTCTAGAAGCGAATAACCAATATTGCCTTATTTTAGGTAGGAACCGGCTCCTATGGACGAGTTCTAGTTGCTCAAGATCGTGAATCTTCCGTATACTATGCATTGAAAATCTTTTCAATCACGCATGTCGTTCAATCTCGTCAAGTAAGAGAAAAAGAGCGAATTTTGTCGTATGAATTAACAAAAATATATCTGTCCGCTAGGTCGAACATGTCAAAAGCGAAAAAGAGATTTTATCAGGTATTCATCATCCGTTTATCATTTGTTTACATTGGACACATCATTCGGATCAATTTCTGTACATGCTACTTGATTATGTACCTGGCGGTGAATTGTTTACATACATGAGGAAGAGAGGTACATTCGATTTGAAATCATCATTGTTTTACATAAGTGAAATCACGTTGGCATTTGAATATTTACATTCACTACAAATTGTCTATCGTATGTTCAGCAGTTTGCGTTTTGCAAAAAAAAAACTAAACGACCAGCGTGGTTTTATTATTTAGGTGACTTAAAGCCGGAAAACATTCTTCTTGATGCAGAAGGTCATGTTAAACTTGTCGATTTTGGTGAGTGAAGAACAAGAGGTATTCTTGTAGGAGTAGTCTATTTTTGTCGCATAGGATTCGCAAAGAAGATCTTAAATAAAACCTTCACAACATGCGGTACACCAGATTATCTCAGCCCAGAATTATTCAAAGGCACTGGACATCACAAGAGCACGGATTGGTGGAGTTTAGGTATTCTTCTATTCGAAATGCTCATTGGCTGTAAGTAACCAAACGACGCCTTTGTTTTCATCTTCGGCAGAACTCTGAATTCGATCTGCTCTCACCTTTTAGACACACCATTTAATCCGAATCAAAATGAAATCGAAATTCCTAGTCGCGTCTTGGCTGGTCGAATCTCATGGCCGCGTACTATCGACGATGTAACAAAATCCTTCATTAAGAAGTTATTAATACAAAATGCTGACAAACGTCTTGGTGCTGGTAAGAATGGTTCACGCGAGGTTAAAGAACAAGCAATATTTTCTTCCATCAAATGGGACGATGTATATGCACGAAAACTGAAACCACCTATAGTGCCTCCTCTAGAACATCCAGGTGACACGTCTTGTTTCGATGAATACAAAGAAGATTGGCGCTCGGTACCATTCGCATCGGATAAAGACCTTGATTTATTTGCAGATTTCTAGTCTTCGTTAAAACAATATCGCCTTCTTTTTCTTGTATATGTATGTATATGCAAACACAAATGTACGTAAGGAATAAGCAGAAATACTTGTTTTACAACGAGCTGAGATTTGAGTTCATTTTTTTAACGAAGATTTTTTTGATTTCGTCGGCGTTTGAGCGATCTCTTTCAACCGTTTAACACCATTGGGCGTTTTAGCATACCAGTTCTATAGGATAAGATTTCGTACACGAACTATCAAAATAATTCATTTCATTGTTTTACTTTTATTTTATTTTCTTCATCAATAAAAACCGGCGTGTTCAAGCCAAGTATCGGAATAAAATCCTTTGCTGTACAATCGTTATTCATATATTTAGTTTCCTGTTTTATTCTGAGCACTTTGTAGATAGCTTCGAGAAGTTGTCCAGCTGTATAACCTTTTGAAATCGACGCCAATATACTCAGTTCTACGTCACTGATATTCATATGATTTCGTTCAACTAAAATTTTATAACAAATTTCTATAAAACAAGAAAATGATTCGGGTTGGATAGATAACGATTTCCTTACTACGCCGGGAACCATAGTTGGGTTTCGGAAAGAGAACAATATTTTGATATATTTGAAAAAGAGGTTTTATTCGAGCACGATATGGCTGTGATGAGAGGCCAATGAACATGACTCGCTCACCAGGTTTGATTCGTTTGATAAATCGCTGTATGAGACGCTTGAATCGTTTCGGTTCGTACTGTTTTTCTTGTTGTGTAAGCTTTTTTGCAAAAAGTAGTTCAGTGTCGCGAATCATGCAAAGAACTGGAGGCATTGTCAGTATCAACTATCACCAAAAAGAAATAGAAATAGGATTTTCAAACAAGGACATCAGAGCAGACTCGTTTAATCATTGCGAAGAGTATTTTTAAACCATCAGCTAAAAATAAATGAGACTATGATACAGTTTCTTGCTGCAAGGAGGATGAATTTCACCAGACTGCGTATCGAACAAGCAAGTCAAGCTGAAATTCTCTCAAGGCTTCACTTCCGTACTTGTATTAAAGGATTTCATCAGATTAGCAGGTGACAGATCGAGTAGTAGACCACCTAATTCGTTGCATGTAATATGCACTAGTAATTCCTTTCCACTGCCATATGGTCCAGCCAGAAGTATAGCTTTGTGTGGTGCAAGATTCGAATGCACTTCCTGCGAACCTATCTGCGTAGAATGTATAAGCTAAGCGGAAAAAATCACGTTCATTTTGTTACAAAGTGGGAAAACGATTTGTAAATTAACTAGCTGCTGACAGTCGAGTAACGATGGCATCGGTTCTTTTTGGTTAAAACGTATAGTTTCCGCTGAGTACTGATAATCGCCGATAAAGTCATGTTGATGAACGAGCTCAGTCGGTAGAATGATTTTCGATTCCGCAAGTTCTTCGAAGATTGAATCGAGTGTTCTATTTGTCATTGAAAATTTTCTTTACGACAAATTGATTTGAATCAGCGCTTTCGTTACCGGTTTGAAACTAAATCTTGCCCTTTCTTCTTTCTTCGCCTTCTTTTCTTCTTCTTCTTCTTTTTTGATTTCTTCATTGGCTTATCTTCACTATTATCAATGGCTAATTTCAGATAGACTAATTCATTGCGAAGAATATTATCGACATCGTGCCGTAGTTCTTCTTCCACTGCCGGTCGAAACTCATCCATTAATAACAATCGATCGTACCGTTGTTCACTATTGTAAGATTCATCTCGTTCATAGAAAAGATCTTTGTAAACACCTAATTGATTATTCATCATCGGAACGAATTTTGATGGTTCTAGCATATTCAACTGTGTTTTCTAGATTGAGAATGAAAGAGATCAAATCGAATTGAGAGTGTGAATATCAAAATACTTGTTTAATTGGTTTCTTGTTGGTTCTTTTTACCTGTTTTTTCTTTTCTTTTCGCTTGGGTTTCTTGTTTTTCAATGCTTGTGCTTGCTGTCACAAGATACAAATGAAAAAAAAAGACAAATCGAAAAAGAAGTGATTTCTTCTAGCCAACTTTAGTCACGAATTCTTGAACTTCCGCCAGAGTTAAGTTTTTGAATAGTGTCGCGGATCCGTTGATATCTTCAGATGGATAGATCGGAAATTGTCCATAGAGTTGTCGTGATTCAAGTAACCATTGAATAAGGACATGTTCTAACCGAAATTTCATTTCTGTTTCTTCATATTGGCTCAGTTTCTGTTTGATATGATCTGGTGCTTCGTCTAATTCTTGTTGATATTCTATCTGAATATTTCGTCTGGTTTGATCCCAGTCAGTCGTGCGATGAAAGCTCGAGGGATTTTTTCCAGGTAAAACCTGAATAGAGAACCTTTGATCAATTCAAACAAGAAACCAATGTGAACTCTCGTTCTCCCTCACCATGTCCAACAGTTTGACATGCTCAAGTTTTCTCTGATGAAATCTTTTTTCTGCACTTTTCTGTCGCCATATAGTTTGAATAATTAAACAACTGTCACCGAGATTATTATCATTGATTGCCTTCGTTTCAACTGTTTTCACGTCCTTTTTCATTTGTCGCATGAAGTATGCCTGCACACGTCCTTGTCGAGCACGTTCGTGAGCTTGTATAACACGTACAGCATGAGCTAATGTAATTGCATCAATCTGATCTGACTTTACTGCTATTAATAAAGAGTTTCTTGAAAGATAATCCTTCTTCGATTGTTCCAAACGATTGAGGATTAGTTTGATCATTTGATTTCGTTGTTCAATGGCTCGAAAACGATCCTCTGCGAAATAACGTGGGATTTGAATGCATAAATCATCCTAGAAAATGACGTGGAAAGTAGATCTTCTCTCTAAGTATCTATACCAATGTTTTATTATGATTAAGTGCAATATCTTCAAAATAGGTGTATTCACATCCATCGAACTTCATCATTTCCTGTTTCAGTTCAATCAGTCGTCCAACTAGACCATCGAGTAGAATTTTTAGAATCGAACGCTTTTGCGGATGTAATAGTGTCACGTATACTTCGTCTAGTCTTTTTAATAAATCATTGTACTTAATAAACAAATGACGCACATAGTTATAAGCTTGTCGTTTATTATCAAAACCTTTCGGTGCTGAAATTTCTGAGGTAATTATGCGTGATAATTTTATTTGTGTATTAGACCATAAGAACTGCGTTGTTTTCTGTGACATGGTCTAGATATTAATTATCGAAAAGCGCCAGTTGTCTAGTAGTTCGAACATTGTGTATAATCATTGTGATACTTGCTCATAATTATTTCAGTAAAAGCAGTCGATGGACTACTGAGTCAATAAATACTGATTATGTGATTGTGGCAAGAATAGATTAACGATTCTGATGAATGTGTGAATTGTGTTTGAAAGAATAACTCTGTATTTTTTAATATAGTCTCAATTAAGAGTAGGTCAACAGTATGAATCTAGGGCATGCTAACCGAGGACTCCAGGGAGAGAATAGTACTTTATAGGGTACGCCACTCCATGGTGTTAATCTGGAAGCTTTCGGTTAGTGTCTTTTCCGACCAATCATTTTAATGTTGTTGATTATTCTGTTCTGTTTACATCTGTTGCTCTCGTCATTGCAACTCACGCATTGTCACGATTTTCTTTTCAATTTTGTTCCTATACTAAGTAGGAAAATTAACTGGAAATGTCCATGAAATAATTTCGAGTTTGTGCTCTGTCTTTAGATTGAATAATGAGTTCAGATGAGGTGCCTGGAAATGAGAATGGCGATGATAAACCTCTCGTGCCGATAACCCCGACTCCATCAATGCCATATGATCGAACAGTGTCACAGAATTTACGTTATCTCGACGATGCTCTGACTCACGCTATCGATCAGTTAAATAAATTTAACAGTGAAACCATGTCGGATCTGTCGCTCAAATACGAATTGATACGAAATAATGAAGTAGGTCACTTCAGTTCAGAATATCACAGGAAAAGATCTTGTTCTATTTTCTTTTCATCTAGAGTCGTGTTATTGGTTTTTTTGCTCATCAACTCATGTTAGTACAAATGCAAAATCCGGCCGGACAAAACGGCGGATTTCATAGTGATTATCCCAAACTCAATCGGTTCCTCTCTGTTGTCAATATCAACAAAAAATCCATTGAAGTACAATTCATTAGATCTGCTTCAGACGTCGTTGTATGTTCGCTTTTGATTTTAGTATATTGAACAGCGCATGACATTTGATGATCTTTTGAATGGAAAAGCAGCAGTACGCGAAAAGCTTTTATATGACGCTGGAACGACTGAAGTTGAACGTAAAGACTTTCGCAATGCATTCAATGCACTGAAAGATTGTCTTGGTATGTCTTATCGAGCAGAATTAATTTGTCATACTTATGTCTCTTGTATTCGTAATAGATTACTTTCTTCATGGTGGTACCAACGATCATGGACGTTTCTATTGGCATATAGAAACACCATCAGCACCAGTGATGACGCCTTACGCCTCGCGTCAGCATCGTTTGTCAGATACAGGTAAATTGAAATATATATGACTGAACAGAAATGTGACATTACTCGAGTGTTTTTTAGTACTTTCAGTACCACTCAGTACGGATTCTGAGAGATCGTCGTCCGTGTCTGCGTCTCTATCAACCGAATTCGGAGCTGTCACAAATACAAGCACACCCACGACGACAACAGCCACAGCAAACCATCCAAGACGACACTATCGTAAGATACTGTTTACGTCAATGAACTTTGAAAAAAAGCCCTTGCTAATCTTTTAGCTACACCGCCACCGCCACCTACACGTTCGATACATTTATCCGTCAATGGAAAAAGAAAATGTGAACACCCCAGTAAGAAAAGCTCAGTTGACCCTTCGATATTTGCCAAGTACGATTGCGTCAATGATTTCTAAAAGGCAAATTCTATTTTCTAAGCAGTGTGAATCCGCCACGCACTATGGATTTACAATTACCGGGTGATAGTTCAACATCTCGTCGGAGCTCGTACGGTTCAGATACGGATAGCCGATTGCAATCTGGTAAGCATAAACTAATACCAGCAAGTTAAAAGAATCGTCCTCCGAAATTAGTTTGGAATTCCACGTGAACTCTTTGCTATTATTTATGCATAACTTTAATTAAAGTTGACGGAGATGCATGTTTGGTTCAAAAGCCTGGTAGCGAGACCGCCCTCGCACTCAGAAGATGTCTTGAATATCCAGAATATATGAATAATAAGGCCGCGTGTGCGAGCGCAGAACAGCTGTTTAGATAGATTATATTCGATGATCAATTGAAGAAAATCACTTTTTCTTCTAATAGATGTCGAGTACAGTAGTACTGAAAATGAAATATACAATCTTCCATATCAGCTGGCAAAGCGTAAACTTTCAATAAAAGCCTTCGATAAATACTATTACACGAAAGCACTTTCGAAATTGATCCATCAAAATGCAACAGCGTCGGAATCTGAACAAACTGACGTAAATAATATTCTGCCATTGAACTCATGTAATCACAAACATCATGACAATAAACTTGTCACGAAACTTGCCAAAAATCACTTATGGAATAGACCTGCTTTCAAAGAGGGTTAGCACATATTCCTATCTGCTCGATTGTTCGAATGTTAATGCCTACGTCTCAACTAATGCGTTTACTAATATAACCGTCCCCAGCTATATATCCTTGAACTTCTCACACTTGTTATGTTAATAGGAACGGCAACACCAAAATCACCAACGATACGTTCACCAACTATGTCCGGCTCACCGATGGGTTCCACACATAATAGTGATACAGAAAATGATCCTAAATCACCAGGTAGATCGTATGATTCAAATGTTGATGTTTATTTTCAATGATGAACTATCATTCAATAGATACACCACTTTACAATACACAATCTCCCGTTATTCGTCATCGAATGGCGCATAAAATTCAGCACAAGTTCGTATTTTCACACGAATCAGATTAGTTGTATCTTCTGCTCATGTTCACGCTTTCGCTTCTTGTCAGTCTTATTCTTTGTCATCCTACTAATCTTGGTGATCGTTATTGTACACATAACTCTGCATAGAATTGCTTCTACTAATCTCCAACAACATTTTCATGACATTTTCTTTCTTTCTATCTCGTTCTCAGATGGACTAATCTGATGAAATTATCAACGTGTAATGTATGCACAAAAAAGATCTTCTTTCTCGGTACCAAATGCAACAATTGCAAGTAAGATATATCTATATATCTATGAACAGTATTTGTCCACGTATTCGTCATTGTGTATTGCTTTTTCCTTCTTCTATTTTCTCTGTGCGAAGCGAACTGAGCGAATGATTGCATTAGATCAATAAAGACAATGAGAGTCTTTTGTTGTTATATTATATCCTTCTAGGTTCGCAAAAACGCGGGTTTTCAAGTTTTCATTATGTGATGTCTGCCGAAGACAGCTATTTCGAGGAAAGGCTTGCCTTCATTGCAAGTAAGATGCTCGAAAATGACATTGACAAATGTCAATTAGAATGATAGTCTATGAATTCGAAGAAAAACGCATGATTTAGTTTGTTTGTCGCGGAAAATGATTGCTGTATTTATTTTAATTGAAAATGTTCCTCTACATAATTCATTATTTGTCACTTGGTGTTCTTTTCTAGGTACAAATGCCATAAAGAATGCGTTCAACAAGCTCCCACTAATTGTGGTTTCAGTGAAGGTAAATTCCGCCGTGCCATCGACAACACTGATATTCAAAATGCTTTCGGTATTTAAAGAATAGCTCGAAGCGTTTCTATAATCGTCTTTTCTTTTAGCCAATTCAACTCCACTGACGCGGAAATATCATTTCACTCGTATGTTTCTTTCCTTCAATGTGAATATCATGAATAGTGTTTGTATTCTAGCATCGGATAGTATTAGTCCAACTCCTTCAACTCCAATATCAGCACCCGGTTCTCCTGCGCCACATCCGTCGCTGGCTAGTTATCATTTCAGCGGGACCACATCAAATGGAAGTCCATCGATATGCGTCAGTGAATCTATCTATTGCAGTAAGTTTCATCGATTGAGCGTGTGTGGAGTATAACAGTGACCAAAAGCAAATCCGATTTCTTCATTTTCTTTAGCTCAAAATGATCCTGATAGTTGGGTTGTCATCGAGACCAATACGAAAACAGCATCAGGTACGTGAATGTGACAATATTCATTATTGCTGACCGTATTTCGTTTGATGCTTTTTAGAACTTCCGGAATCTCAGTCCGACAGTGATACGAAGTATATCAATCTATCGCAAATAGTCTCAATCTCTACACTATTCCCATGAATTTATTTTAGTTCAACAGCTCAAACCGATACTGGAACCAATCTGACTGATTCAACGATAACACTATCAAATAGATACTCCTCTCAGTTATCACAAGTAAATCCAATTCTATCATGATGATCGATTAGGAAAACATAGTTTTCTATAGAACGATTCGAAACAATCTGCTAGAGATGATTTTAAATCGAAACTAGCAATTTCATTCGATGATGATGTCGATGGAGATCCAGATAAACGAAGCATGGATGTAAGTTCTCTTTTTCATTTCGTCACCAGCCTGAATATCTAACGGTATATTAGCTACCTACTTCAATCCAAGATTGGGTAATTGGTTTTAATAATATTAAAATGATTGAGGAAGTTCGCCGATCGTCTGGTTCATTGATGAAGTAAGTAATAAGAAAAGGATTTTTTAGTTCGAATCGAAATATTTTATACTCAGAGCACATTGGCATGGTGAGCTCGCTGTCAGACTGATAAAACCAAACCCCAAATCGACCGATGTAGAATTCTTGGAACAATTTAAAAATCAAGTAATTCTCTATACTTTTCTGTTGACATACGCGTATCTATTCATCATCCGTCACATAGATATTCCGCTTACGAAAAGTTCGACATGAACATTTGAATTTGTACACAGGCGTTTGTAGTATGTATCTCTTTTCTCGTGAAGATTTTATAAATATTTATATATTCATTTAGTCGAAAGTCCCAATTTTGCTATTGCTTCAAAGTAAGTGTCCTTTTTTTTCTCAAAGTTTCTTCTCACTGACATCCTTTAGTTGGATTCGTGGTTCAACACTATTCGAAATGATTCATATTCGCAACGATTCCATTCTATTCAGTTTAGCTGTTCAATATGCTGCACAGATAGCTCAAGCTATGAGTTATCTACATGAAAAGTCGATCAATCACATGTCATTACGCACCACTAATATTTTCGTTCAAAATAATCGCGTTGTTCTAACAGATTATGGTTTAGTGCCATTGAGTAAATGTTATCGATACCATGAACAACCAGCAGTGATCGTTCCGCGAGGATTTTTGAGTTATTTAGCCCCTGAAATCATACGAAAACTCGATGCACGAAACGAACAAACGCTTTTACAGCATACACCTCAAACGGATGTTTACGCTTTTGGGTAGGAAAGAAAAAACAACAACCAGTCGGATCTATTGAAATAAAAATGTTTGGTTCTTTTAGAACGGTTTGGTACGAACTTCTATTCCGAGAATTTCCCTATGCAAAACAACCCGCAGAATACATCATCTGGCGAGCAGGAAATTCCTTAAAACAACCATTGAGTAGTGTGCATATTAGTAAAAACGCCAAAGTAAGTCATTACTCTTTTCCTCCGAGTCGCTGAAACGAATACTAATCTTCTCTTGATCATTAGGATATTATCAACCAATGCTGGTCGTTTGTACCAGATGATCGTCCAGATTTTGCCATGTTATGTAAATCTTTGACAAAAATGCCTGGTAAACGTTCATTAGTTCGATCTCCATCCACACCACTTCAGTATCATGGACATCAAACATCGACAAATCCATTTAAATAATCGATTCTCTACGTCTTGTTTGCATTCCTCTTTCTAACAAGCAGGGATTTACAATCAATATTTGATGTGTTATTTTCTTTCTCTCTATGTCATTCTTCGTGTTATCCATAGCAATCCACTCGTAAAAAGAGACAATTGTGACTAATGTGCAATATTACTGTCAATGTTTTCATTTAAATGAACTGATAAAAACAAAATCATTGTATTTTTTTCTAATTCTTGTTGTGAATATAAGTGACAACACATTTACGCCTTCGTTTTTCTCGATAGTCATGTGTGTGTGTGTGTATGTCCTCATCATAATATCAAAAGGAAGAAGAAACTACGGAGCAGCTGTGTTTGTATACACGTTTGAAACTCGAATTGAAAAAGAATATTTGTGCAAATTTTCTTTTCAGCCATCGTTTTCTTTTCGCGCCTTATTATGTTTGAACAGTTGTTATTCATCTGAATGTCTTTTTAACACATGAGTATAACTCGTACTGCTTTTGGTCTTTGTACAAAAGTTAGATAGTGTCATTGTTTTCTTGCTTGTTTAATTCAATAAATATATAAGACAAATACACAAAAATCATGGGTTCATGATGTAATAATAAAAACAAATGCACAACAGAATAAATAAACAAGTTTTAGAGTCGGTGCACTTCGGGATAAACGACTTTTCCAGATGCTTCACTAGATAGATCTGTTGATTGACTATGCGAAGGATGAGAAAACACATTCATTGAGATTGGATGAGTGGCAAGCTCGTCATCTGCCGGTCGGAAAACACGTTCAAAGACGAATTCTTTAAATCGTTTCGCGTAAAAGTCAGCTTCAACGATTGAGCGATCGTTAACCGCCTCACGATTCTCTACTGTTTGATATTGCCGTTGCATCACTTTGCAAATATCGAATCTAGCATCGAAAGATAGACAGCGTAGAGGTGTAGAGGGCAAAATGCAGAACTTACGTTTGCAATAAATCAATAATACCGAAGAATAAAAGAAGACGTTCACCGTTTTCATTCACTGCTGGAATACCTCTGAAAGAAGAAGACGTGCATCGTGAAATCTTCGAGAATGCAACTTACCCATATTCTTTGGAATTCTCTGTATCGTATGTAGATATTTCTTTGAAACCAAGACCTAATGTTTCAATGGGTTTCTTAAATTTTAATACTAGTTTAGGTTTTTCTTCTTTATGTTTCGTATCATGTTGATCGATTTGTTGTGTCATGCCAATCAAGAATGTATCACGAACCGATCCCAACAGAGATTCGACTGGACCAACACGTGTCGGTTTGACCTGATTATCAATATTATGTACAGCTATTGAACGGAAAAACAAAGGAGTTAATGCTGAAATTCTGTACGATGAGCTTACCAAGTAATAAGGAATAATCCATAATATTTAACTTTTCTAAGAAGTTAACATCACGTGTGAGAACTTCTCTTAGGTGAAAGTAAACACTTTTGGGTAACTTGAATCCTTGTGGGTGAATTTCACGGAAATCATTATCTTTGAATGTAGCCGATGACTTCATTTTTTCCGTTGCATTTGCATCACGTCCATAGGATGAACCTTTTAGATCATATTTCTCATGGATTTCAAGGTTTGGTGGAATGAAATTTGAGAAGATCGCAAATCGTAAAGTAAACGAATCGACCGTTATTCCACGATCTGGGGATATGTATGGGATGTAACCAAAACTACCGAATAATTTGGCTATGAATGTCCCCGGTGTCCGTTTGACATAGTCTAAGTAGCTGTTTAGAAACTTCTGTTGAATGAATTTGGCGTCGTAATCCCGAACGGTTTTGATTAGAAATGTTGAATCCGACGTGAGATAGAGAAGTGAACCAGAATTCGATGGATTAACAATTTCCTTTAATTCATTCTGACAGATATGACTTTTTAATGTTGCTGGATCAATGCCGTAAATATGCATTAGCTCATAAAATATAGGAAGTCCGTACGCTTCGATATCAAAATCAGGTAATGAATGAATCGGTGTTCCAGTACCACCTTTTGCCGGAAACTTCTCTCGTTGAACATATTCTGATGACATATGAGCTCTGTTCGATTGACAGTCAAAGAAATGTCCAATACCTAAGTGCAGATAGTGTTCTTCTTCTAAAAGAAAAGACGTGTTTCACATACCAATCTGAAGTGCATGTCGAATATGTTCACTCTGAACAGCACCTGATGAAATCAATGTTTGCAGTAATTTTTGTTTTGCCAACGCTCCCGTTGTGTCACTCATGTTGGTGATATGTTCTTGAATGGATGACACTAACGCACTCCCTTTCTCTTTGACAATTCCTATGATATTATCGGCCATTGAGCTTCGTTGTTAATCAATAAATAATACTTTATCAATTGGATTCTTGTCTGAAATACATATAGGATGTCAAAGTTAAAAATAACGTCAAACCGACATGTTAATTAGGACAAAAAAAATCATTGATATTCATGTAATCTTAAACAATATCAACAGAACGACAAGCTATCGTGTTTCATAAATACCATAAAAAGAAGGTCGCGGTCATCGAGTTTACAGTTATTTATACATCAGCTGATAGTGAAATGGAATCTGCATGTTTTAATTATGCAATCGAATATTATCGAATGTGTCCTTTCACCCAAACAAAAAATATTCATTTGATTATTGTACTCACTCTCTTCTTTCTTATTAATGGTGATTAGAGGGGAGAATATCCTCATGGCGGAGGCATTGCTTAGTTAACGAAAGATGTCATGGCTACCATTGTCTGAAAAAGTCAAGGGATAGAACAGATCAGAATACGGGTAACCTAGAGATGAGTGGAAATGAAGCGACACGGTTTTTCGATACGTCCGGTTGTTTAAATCTGCAACGTCCAACAACCGGAACGCCAATTATATCGTCATCATCATCGTACAGACGCTATGAACGTCGACGACCTGTTAGCAGCTCAATAGTGAACCGCGGTCAATTGAAAATTGATCTCTATAATTTTGACCATATTGATTATGCTGATTCGAAATATGTTCTAACGAGTCCACGTTCACTTGAAGCCTGTTCTCGGTTAAATATAAAGGTAAGGAAAATGAACAAGTCAATCGAAGTTGTGCATCTGCATCGATGTATACAATTACATTTGTAGCCTATAACATTGCTCCCAAAACGATTGGCTGATATACAAGATGATATTGGCTCCGAGAAAGTTCGTCTTTCAACATTATCAAACGTACGAGATCAAATGGAGGTCGATCGATTAGGTTTGAAGAGTGTTTAGTTCTGCTCGAATTGTGTTGTCTTTTGCAGCTAAATTGCAACGCTGTCGGGAAGAACGCGAAAAAATTATTCGAGAAGAAACACTTGCACATGCTTCAAGATCGCGAACAGTAGATCCGCGTAAGAATTCTTTTAAGTCTGATCTCCTCCACTCATCATCATTCGATTTCTTAAGAACCCACACATGTGCATGAAACTTCAATACGCCGACGGTAATTAATAAGCGTTTTTAAACATTCATTATCATGGCAACATTTTGTTCTTTGATAGGCCATATTCTGAAACACGATTCAATCCATCGAGTTCCCTTGTTCAAGGTCTTCATGAACCAACCACAATTAGTAGTGTCCCAACACATTCTCACTCAAGCACAGGAATAAGATATCCAGAATATGAAGTGAATGCCGATCTTCCTCCAAGACCAACATCGGCAACTCGTTCTACCGTCTCAAACTCGATTCTGAAGTCTTCAAGTGCTCGATGGCCACCTCCAGTGCCTTCACCCTATTATCAAAATGGTGATCGCGATGACCAGTACGATCCTCGAGCTTCGACTTCAGCCCATTTCGTCGACGATGTTCGCCGTTTGGTACGTTTATTGTATTGCCATATACAACCAATCATTCTTGTCTTTTAGAACAAAAGTCTCCAGCGTATGAGTACATCCGATACTGTATCAAAGCAACATAACAACGATCGATATATGTTCGCATTCTTTGTTGCTATTTTGATTATACTTAGTTGAAATGCATTCTTCGTCTAGGAATGGTTTGGAAAATGTCAAAGAGATCATCGAGCGACGCGCAGCACGTTCAGCAGTACGAGATGATCCTGAGGTGGCCGCTTTTGAAAAGAAACAATATGAAATTTTACTCGGACAGTATGTGAATATAATCATTCACTGGATCTTACTGAATGATTTGCGTTTTCAGTTATGATCATGAATTGAAAATTCAAAAGGCAAGAGAGAATGCTCGTCGAGCGGAAACGGAAAAAGAAATCGAACGATATTCATCGTTATTACACGACCTTTCGGTAATAGACTTGCGATATATGAAAGTCAGAGTCGAAATTCTACGTTTCTATAGGATCAAACAATGGCTGATGAGCGTCGACAAACTGAACTTCGTCGCAAAGTCGATAAACTTCGTCATACTCGGCACCTGTATGAAACTTTACAAGCAAAGAATTACGAACAGTATAAAATACCATTTGATACAAACATTTTTACTTCCGGTTATGTGTTTTTAGACAATTACTTGATTTACAAAAGCGTCGATACGAATTAGGTAATGATCTTAGACAAAAAGATCAACGAACCAGACACTTCATCAAAGATAAACAAGAGGCGATGGATTTAGTAAGTCGTTTTAACTTTTCTCGTTTGAATCTTCTTCTCTTTTCTGTTTTAGTCTCGCTCGTTGGCGAAATCATCTCAAGATCTTCGAGAATATCTTCGTGAAACGAATGAAACCTTTGACGATCGAGCGAAGAAGGCAGAATTAACCAGCAGTGTTCTAGTTAAAAAAGCGAATAAAGCGCCTGCTAATCGTCGACATTTACAATCATCATTACGAACATAGAGACATACTTTTCATTCAATCATCTTTTTTTGTTTGTTTGCACTCACGAAACAGTATGTATAACACAACAAGTGAATTTTTCTATCTATAGCAATCTCTGCTCTAAAACGAAGTCGTTCATAGCTAGAGGAACATTTCTATTCTTGTTGAATAACTTTCTTTTTGTTTGTTTTCTCCATTTCTATGTGTGTAGTTCAGTCGCGTGTGAGTTATGATGTTCTTTTTTTTAATACCATATGTTGTAGCGAAGACAAACTTAGGAATAACTTTGATGGATGCTAATGTTCTAACAGTTTTTTTCTTCCTTTTTAATCTAGGAAATTCCACACTGTCGAATTTTGTAATCTTTGATAGAAATAAAAGAGAACGAGGCTGACTCGATGTTTTGTGAATTGAATGAAGATGATGGTGAGGAGGGAAAGGTCGACATCTATGGAAAATGATCTACGACGTTAATATTTGACCAATAGATTTACTTCGTTTTTGTCATTCAGTCAGACACAGTTACGCTCACTCATCTTTCCACACTTTCTGATAAATAAAAATCAACTGCGCATATACTTCGATCAATTGAGACAATGGAAGAGACCTACCCCAAATTATTCGATTGTCCCGACTACCTTCGCGGAAAGTACTGCCATGCTTTGTGTAACTATCGACATCAAACAGTAGAAGAAAAAGAAGCAAGTAGGTTTTAACCAGATTCTTCTTGCTGTTGAGTTGAGATTCATTTCGTTTATTCATTAGTCGAACGCTATCGAGAATCATTCTCAATGAAGCTAAATTCAAAGCAGTCCAAACGATTTGGCCCAGTACGTGCGATTTGAATATCGTCAAAATTCGTTGATTTCCTTTTGTTATGCGTAGGTTTACATTATCGCTGGACCCGAACGTTCTGGTACGTTTTGAAATCTTTATTTACTTCTAAGAATGTAGGATCGTTTTTCTTTCAAAGGAACATCGTGGCTGTTCAACGCTGTGCGATTACTGCTCATCCACGAGGAATCCGCATTTGGTCCTGGTGATAGTTATCGTTTGAATCATATTACCAAGAATGATCTCGAAACGCGTTTAATTGAAGCATGTGGTCGACCATTGGTTGTTCGTACCATGCGTATACCCGATTCCGATTGGGCAGAAGGTCTCGATCGCTCCGGCCATGGATACAAGGTATTTGTGGCTCATCGAGATTTACGCGATGTCATCGACGATTGTTTAACTATCGGTATCTTAGAAGAAATGGAATTTCTGGAAATAGCATACCTCTCTCTGGCATATACATTTAGGTTGGATGAAGCATGATCTTGGTGTGATACTTTCCAGACTGAAAGCATACATGACTGCATACGAATATTGGCGTGCTATGGCTAAAGGTGATTTTCGTTACGAGAGTATACATAGTGAACCTGTCGAACAAATCAAACATCTGGCACGTCTGATTGGTATTGAAAGTACTCATGCGGAGCATATTGCGTCGGAAATCAATTCGTTGAGACCAGGCCAAGCTGTTGGGCCTGATCAAGTGTATGTAGATGCATTCATTAAAGATAAATTTGATTTGAGATCGTATTTTAGAACGAAGATGTGGCCAGCACAGCGAGTTATTGAAGCATCGCGTGCCAATGGTGATGATGAACCGGAAAAAAAGACGGACGAAAATGGGAATGATGCCAGCACAGTCGTTGTTGTACCCGAACAAGCGAAGCTATTAGAAAGTGAACGAAAGAAAATTCGTGACGCTCACAGCGATTATCACGATCGTTACGGCTATGTTTGAATTGAATCTCTACTAAAACCAACAACTGTGCAAGCCAGATATGAGTATTCTCAGCGATCTCAGAATAACATGATTCAATGACAACTTTGTATAAAAATATTATATATATATATATATATTACATATTCTTTTTTTCTGTTATTGCATTTTATGGTCAGGTAGATAATCTCGCAATGTTGTTTATATACTTTATTTGTAAAAACAACGATAGAATACCAACTATAGCAAAGAAGAATATGTTTTCCTTCTCTGATATATTTGCTTTGCTCTCTCCTACAGGCGTTCTGTGAATGCTGTCTGCCTTTATTTGGGTGCATTTCAATATGATTTCAATAATCTCCCCTCTTCCTCTAGTTGACGGGCAAGCGTATAAACGTATGTTTTGCACCAGTACGGCGCAATTTTTGAGAGGAAGAGATAAATGAAAACGTAGTCTATTTATGCATACATCTCTACCATAAGAAATCATCACAGATTTCTTCGAGATTCCTCTTTTGACCATCATCCAATTAGTTTGAATTTCTTTCACAAAATAATACTAGACAATTTCGATATCAATCAAAAATATTTTCTAGATGGTTCACTAATAAATTCACTTTACCACGCATTGCTGAATTTCGTAGATTCATAAACAAGTCAAATATCGAAGGATACACTGTACATTTTGTTGAATTGAGAAAACTATTTACATACTGACAAATTCCGTACACATTCAAGCCATGCACAAAGATATATCATCCTTATCTTTTGTTATTATATCCACTGTCATTCCATTACCGTGCACTATCTTTTCGGCTCATACATTCATTTTACCTGCTGATTGGTATGGCTACCTGGTTACCCACATACCAGACGTTGACTACAGTAATTTATATGGATGCTACTTTGAAACAATTGCTCACGTCCGACTACTTTTTTATAGGTGCAAGAGTTTCGGAAAGCGGTAAATAACCATTTCTCTAGTAAGAATTCTCGTTTGCAGTTGTTTTCACGAATATTTAACATTTGTTTCCTTAGAGCAAATCAATGAAGGTCAAGAGTATGATGCACGTGACATAAAACGTTTTGACGATGTCGATGATTACGCCCGCATGTTCATCCAACATTTGCAGTATGGTAAAACATTCGATGAACAGAAAGCATTTCGTATTTTTCATGAAACAATGACATGGCGAAAACAAAACAAAGTTTACGGTATGAATAAATCTCTACTTCGTTTAAAATACATATTTCTTTTGTAGATATTTCAACTGATCTATTTCCAGCGAACTACTTCGATCGACATGCTATCTATTTTCAAAATCATGATATGAATAACATACCATTATGTAAGTCTGAGATATGACGACGTTGTTCTAGGTAATCTTCTTCCGAAATTCTGCGTAGTACATTATGTTATTCGCGTCTTCCACAAAGGACAAGAAGATAACGAAGCAGTGAAACGTTTCATTACGTATAACTTCGAAGAACATATACGAACTCATCCTGGTCAACGTATTGTTATTCTATTCGATTTACGAGAAACAGGTCTTAGCCATCTAGTTCGTATAGCATATCTTACACTGTCCTAACAATATCGCATTTGTTTCAAACATAGGATTATGATCTCATCAAGTTTGTTGTAAATAGTTTAATGCACTACTATCCTGGTTTACTCGGTAAGTGTATCTTCTTGTTTTACTCATGTTCTATCGTATATATCGATGATGGTTTTAGCATATATGCTTGTTTATAAACAACCGTTTATTCTACAAGGTGAGACAAATACTGTTTGCACAGTAAATACGAGCCGATCCGTGGAAAATTTATTTTAGCGGCATGGAAGCTGATCAAAACATGGTTACCAACTGAAACACAGAATTCAGTGAAATTCGTCGATGAAAAAACGATAGGTCAATATATATCGATCGATCAACTGCCGAAAGACATGGGTGGTACTGCAAATGAGACATCTTAGAACATCCCACTATTTTGATTTAACTCGAGCTTTTTTAAAAGTTTCGTTTGATTGGGCGATAAATGACCTAAATTTTTTGCGTTTTAGATATATGATGAGCTATGTCAAGTCGAACAATAAATAGGAATTCTTATTTGTACTTATAATTTGCTGTGATGCGCAAGATTCGATTGCGTTAAGAAGTGGAAAAGAGTTTTCGAGAGTATAGTGTTACTTCTACCGAGTAAGTTCTCTGCAAGAGACATATAATCGTTTCGCTGTATTCATCAACCTTCACCATGAATACATTTTCTTCCGTTTTTTCTTTGTTAAACCCGATCAAAGCCGAGATAAATACTAATTTCGAGCTTCTTTTCGAAAATGCTATTAGAATAATCTGTAGAGCATCGGAATACCAGAGATTTCCCATGAGAGTGCCAAGTTTGCATACTTACTGATCACTATGGCGAAGAAGATGAATACTAATCTGCTCGACTCTATTAACCTAAAATGTAAAGAAGATCTGTTCTATCTATTTCTGTTCGAACGTGTGAACTTCCATTTTCTTTATCTTTCGCAAAATTCTAAGGATTTCGACTGCCGTTACACTGTTTGTTGTGAAAAGAGAAATTCTGAGTGTCATTAACGCTCTCAAAGAAAAAAATCTTTCTTCGAGTGTAAAACCAATATTGTGAAGAGCCGGAGAAGATTTGCGCAACGGATGTTCGATATAATTGAAAGGAAAAGCATATTTATCTATCTTATTATTTCAGATTATCCACAAAACAAGCCTTGTTTTTGTAAATTGTAAAAAAGATAAATTTTTATCGTATGTCTTATCTTGTTTTTAGTATAACACATCTCACTGTTATTTTTTACATTTTACTTCGCTCATGGCGTCATCGATTCCCACATTTCAACACTTGATATCAGTAAAAATCAATGGTTCATCTCGTTTCTATCAATTAATCTTTGCATCTGTTCACAGGTTAATCGATTCCGAGAATTAGTAAATAAACATTTCGAAAGTAGCTCGCTTCATTTTCCATTAGTATAAAAAAGTTCGGTGTTTGTCTTTCTCTCTCTCTCTCAACTAGAGCAAATTGATGAAGGTCAATTATATGATCCACGTGATCTCCAACGTTTCAATGAAATCGATGAGTACACAATGATGTTCATTCGTCATGGCCAGTTCGGAGCAACTTTTGATGAAGATCGAGCCATGAGCGTGTTTAACGCTTCGCTGAGTTGGAGAAAAGAGCACCATGTTTATGGTAAAGAAACCTGGAAATAGAACTAATATTGTCTTTCATCATCGTGTAAATAATATTTCTCTTCGTTCTTCTATAGACATCTCACCAGAGGAGTTTCCTGCCAATTATTTTGATCGCAATGCAATCTATTTTAAAAATCATGACATGAACAACAACCCTCTACGTAAAACAAAATGATCGATTTTTCTTGTTAGACTCTATTGATCGTTGCCTATTTCTAGTTCACTTTGTTGTGCGAACATTTAACAAAGGTCAAGAGGATAACGAAGCAGTCAAACGCTTTATCACATATAATTTCGAAAGACACATACGTCGTCACCCTGGCCAAACCATTGTGATTCTATTTGATATGAGTGAAACTGGTCTTAAACATTTAGTTCGTAGTGTATTTAAACTGATGCATTCGATTGCGATCTTATACTCGTAGGATTATGATTTGGTGAAATTTGTCATTGGCTGTGGACAAATTTATTATCCCGGTTTATTAGGTATGCTTAGATATCGTCTTTAATCCTTCTCTTTATATACCATGCATTGCAGCCTATATGCTTATCTTCAAAATGCCATTTATCTTGACAGGTAAATATTTTGCTGTCCTCTAGTCGAGCAAAAACTCGAAGTTAATTGATAGCGGCGTGGAAAATAATTCGTTCCTGGCTGCCTACTGAAGCAGAACAATTTATTAAATTCGTTGATGCTAAGTCAATCACGCAGTACGTGCCAACTGATCAATTGTCAACATCGATGGGCGGTACTGTAAGTGAAGAAGAAAATTGATTCAATTACAGATATACATACTATAACGAGCGATGTTATCTGTTTTCATCTGATACAGATATGTCAGTTTGTATGCTTGAATAGATAACATGTGAGATTCTCACTAACTTCGATAGAAAGCTATTATTTCTATTTCCGGCTTTTTAATTTTCTATGTGTCCTAATCGCATTCTTTTGCAACATGAGATATAGACTAATGCCAGAAAGATTGGCGATACACACGTGTTACGACCGTTCGTGGAAATATAAACGTTGTTGTTATTCTATTTCTTTGTTCTTCATCTTCTTTTTTTCTGTTCTATTTTTGCCGGCCTTACTATATACGTCATCGTTTTTCATTTCTCTCTCGCTCTCGTTTCTCGTTCTGCTATTTTTTATATTAGAATCGAGCATATAAGCACACACACACACACACATATATAAAAACGAGTGAACCTTGTTACTCTCTTTTTCTCAGTATGAACGACAAGTCTACGACCAGTATTGGCAAAAACGACGAAGAGAACGACAATGAAAGAACGATGTCGACTATCGCAAAAACAGTAGCAGGAACAACAACAGCAACAAAAGTTTTTCAGATTATTCAATAACGACTAACAACGTTCTCTAGTGTCTTATCTATTTAACCATGTCACACAAAACTCTCAATCTTAATGATGTATGTGAATAGGAAACGAAGATGTTCGACTGAACCGATAAAAATAGCGTTGTCTTTTCTTTCTATTCATTAATTTTTCTCGTATGTTCCTATAAATATTTAAATGAGATTTTTTATCAAAGTAATCGAACAGCAATAGACTACTTAGATTGTAGCTACGCAGGAAACAATAAATGATGTGACAAATTAGCTGATTGATAATCATTTCTTTTTCGTATAGGATGCTACAAATTACGTTCATATTCATGACCCAATCAACGACGCTGTAGAAGACTCAATGAATGCAAATTCGAAGAAAAAAGTAAGTTAATTACTTTTACAGGATATTATATCAGTTGATCAATTCTATTAGGTGACGTTTGCAGATACTGGCTTGCTTGATTTACCCCTTTCATCGGAAACACTCTCGAATACAGTAAATCATCTTCCTAAAGTGGAATTATCACCAATGGAAGATCCATTAACTCCTGAAGAACCGGCTTATTCTCTTATCACAACCGAAGCATCTCTGTCAACTGTTCGAAAAGTAAATATTTAGCAATACATTCTTTTAACAATTGTTTTTCATTAGTCAATTCTACAAAAACCTTCGACAGTTAATGGATTTGTTGGCGAAGAAAAAGTTTTCCATGGACTTGCCATTAGGTTCGCCGATCAAATTCTTTCATTCTCTTTGGGATTCCTAACGAGATAACTATTTAGACCACATGATGAGTTGATTTTCGAAAGAATAGATCCTCCTCCACATGGAACCGCCGATTGTATTCAAACAATAATGTTAACTAATACGGGTGATAAGCTCTTAACGTTCAAAATCAAGACAACCTCACCAGATAAGTTCCGTGTGAAACCCGGATGTAGTCTTCTCCATCCTGGTGAAACAGCAACAATTAACGTTTACTTGTTGAAAGGTTGGCAAAAAAGATCTATGAATAAGAGAGAATATCTAATACCTGTACTCTTTTTAGCTTATTGTACATTATCGAGCGATATCAATAAAGAGAAATTTTTAATTATCTGGACATTGATCAGTCAAGAATTCAAACAAGCACAATTGGTTGAATTCTGGAAGCATGTGTCGAGTTCTGCGCTCTATGAGCATCGGTAAGTGTTCATCTATTCGATTAACATAAACGGGAGTTGATTGTTTTTTATCATATAGATTAAAATGCGCGTTTGAGAATGGTCGCAAGACACCATCTGCTTCAATAATAAAACAGTCCGATGAAATCAGCCCAACACGCTTATCACCTACTTCTCCCGATTCTTCTCTAAGTGAGATGCAGAAAATAGTAATAAAATTGTTTCTTGTTTCATCTTTTTCGATGCGAATAAGTTTCGTTCTAGTTGAAAGAATCCATTACATTGCAGAAAACAACGATGGCTCAAACATCGAGAGATCTCCAACGAATTCAAAATTTACTTTTAATTATCTTTGGACTCTTAATTGTAATTTTACTATGGGACATGTATAAACACTTTTTTTCTTTTTCATCACCCTCATCATCGATCCCACCGCTGTCAAAGCCGGATCTATAAGCAGTGAAAGCTTTTCTAGTCGTGCTCGATTGTAAACGCATGGTGCTAATCTTCGAATAGAAAATAACCAGCTTAGCAGCAATGATGATAGTGAGGGTGATGATTATATATAAAAGCTGAATTTACTAAAAAAGAAAAACAAACTGTTCTATTTTTAAAAACAATCAACACGTTTATCGAAGGCAAGATCATATCCGGTAACAAAGATAATTACTGGATTGGATATATACAAGACAAAAGGTTAGGATAATAATGTGGATATTGATAGGAAATGAAAGATAGTAAACAGTATCTAATTGCTTTTTCAGTACCTATATATCAGCATCGGTTTCGACTTGTCTTATTTATTAAGTTTTCTATTTTCTTCAAACGAACACTTTAGTTGCTAAAAGCGATGTATGACTACATCCGGTTTTGTTTCATTATGTGCGAAGAAATGCATTATTGTGCCGGAAAACTAGTTTTATATCGTGTCGAGCACTATTTTCTTACACTTCGGCTTTAGTTAGCTCGATATTCAACTATATTATTACGCCTAAAAGTAAATATGCATGTCTCACACCAAACACAAAGGCCATTCATATACTCAACTAGTTGACTCGAAATCTCCAAAGTGCCGCGAGAAATTTCCAATATACGAACTAATTATTATAAAAATAGATATGAATGTTAACAAGTTATTCTTCGACGGCAAGAAAAAAACTGCTCGTGAACTCAATTATTAGTTCTAACAGGAATGTCAACAATATTCACATTCATAGACGAACAAAGATCGGAGAATCCTTTCGGGATTCCAAGGAGACGCTTCATTTCCCTCTTAAGCGATCTATAGACTGCTTCGATGGTACTCGAACATCACATAATTGCACAACGAACTGATGAGATATATATATGGAAAATAAAATTAGCATTTCGAAGCAAAAATGCATGAACTAAAAGAATCCTCGATGTATTTGTAACACGATTAATATCTCTTGCGATATGATTGGTGATTTTTCACGATAATTTGATATGTATATGCGAGAATTAGCGTGTTCTGACTACAAATTTCTTGTGTGTGATACATTGAGATTAAGTTTAACTTATACTCAATAGCAAATGAAGAATAATTAATGGTTTTCGAAAGTGACAGTTTGCAGAGTTTTAAAAAAATAACAATCGCTGTAGTAAAATGGTCTTGGGCTGTCATTGCCGAAGAGTGGCTTCTTCTAATGTAATGAACTCGGAGCATCTCTATTAGTTTCGTCACAATTTATTAAACTCAAAGAAAAACCGGTATAAAAAGAAAAAGAAAAGCGATTAAAATGAAAAAAGAAGGGGAAATGCGCAGTTCATTTAACAATGCACATCTAGAAGGACAGGAAGAAGCAGAAGGACATCGTAGTGGTGTTTAACGAAGGTGCATTGTCATGAATTCTTCTTGTGTTTCGTAACCACCCCAAATACCCTTGCGTGTGTTTGGGAAAGCAGGTTTATACTGAATGATCCAGTTAGAGTTGGGTGATGCTGAACGGGATGCTGAACGGGATGTTGAAGGAATCGACGCAGCATCCTGATCGGACGAAATGCTGCTTGTGCGGAGAACTCTATACGAACGTAAAGAAAATAAAGTAGATGACAAATGTGTTTGATTTACTTGGATAAACTATTGATTTCGGCCATTGTGTAAAGGAGAATAAGATAGTTATTCGGAAAGTTCAAGTGAAAAGAAAAGTAGCGAAAAGCAAGCAAATGAATGAATAACAAGCGAAGAGAAAGTCAATTGGTAGAGTAAAGATCAATCTTTAAGAACGGCTTTACCAAGTGATGAGGCAGGTTGCTAGAATGAGAAAGTAAATGAGTGCTGAACTCTCCAGACTTGAGTGAACTCACATTTTTCCAAGTTTTACGAACGGGTTTAGCAGCGCGTTTCGAATTCAACATTCAGTTTGACATAGGAAATATCGAGGAGGATCTAAATCATAACACTGTGGTTTTCTTCTTCACAGTTGCGAACAATACTCACAGAAAAAGTAAGAATAGCTTTGATGAAATGTATGAAGATGTGTAACTGAAGAGATAAAAAATAGGTGCGGTATTATATATGAGTGAGAGCATACACCAGGTAAAAACGGCGCAATTTCTATTAGATAAAAACGATAAGAAAAATTCAAAGTAGTACAGATGGACTTTGATCTTTGAGCATTCAGTGAGAATGTGGTGCGGTTCTACTCTGAAGGGATAGGTACATGAAAGCAAGAGAAATGACATCTGATAACCTTCGTTTGTCGCATGAGTTTACTTTAGCTTTGTAAGCATGAAGTTGATATCTAACAGAAAATTGATAAGGAATGTTTTGAGAAAATAGCGAAAATTCGATGACGAGGATGAAGATGTAAGGTATCTCTCTCTCTCATTTTGACAACAGACTTAGCCAAAAGATATTCTGCTCAGTGTTTAATTAGTGAATAAACAAAGTCTTTGTCATGGATGTTTGAAATCGATTTTGGATGAGTTTATTCATAATTTGATCTTCGTTTTACAAAATAACATAAAAAATACATGAGAAACTATAAATATATATGCATACAAGGAATTAATTGGTCATTGAATCGTCATTCGATTGGAGATACATTCGAGATTGTTGCTGTTCAGCAATGTACTAAGCAAAGAAAGTTTATCTAAACATTTCTCACTGATGGAAACTCAACTTACTCGAAGTGAGTTATCTTTAGTTACGTAAACATGTTCTGGACGTATGCTTCGTACAGTGGATTCATAATATGTTCGTTGCAATTGAATGAATGATCGTAAAAGTGAACTCTGTTCTCGAATTAAATCATCCACAGCTAGTAGGACAGGATTTGTCGTGAGAAGAGATTGAAGAACATTTGGTTCAATAACAGAACGAATCAGTGTTGAAGGACGAGCTTCATTAAGGTCATTCTGATTAATTAGATAGATGGAATGAACTAGAACGACAGTTATAAATAGATTAGAAGAGTAGAAAACAATGCAAATTAACCTTGATTTAGAGACGATTGAAATGGGGCAGAGGTCAAATCAACTTGTACTTCTTGATTTTCGGTGGTTGCTTTTCGTGTCGATTTGTTCGGATCAGATTGTGTCGGCTTTTCTATGCGAACTTTTGTTGGAGTCGGTGCTCGCGGCGTTGAAGTTTCTGTATGTATGGCCGAAGAGAAATCTTCTGAATAAATATCCGCACCGATTTCCTCGGGAATATCGTCCGTTCTGGTATTGTCTTCATCACTGACATCCGATAGAGTGCGATGTGAAGGATGATGTTTAACTGGTGTTGTCGACGGCTTTTTTGTTGCACCCATGGGAGATGTACGTCGTGGTGATTTGGTCGCCACAGCAGGTGTTATCAAAGGTTCATCATTCATCACTAAGTTTGCAAACATATTGTCGGCTACCGATTCGCTAACATGATCACTAAATGGGATGCTATAATCATTTTCGTTTGCAATGTCAATAGCGGTTGAGATAGATTCTGTTTCAGAAGGTATGGCATCATCAATGGGTGACGGTGGCTTTGCTATTTGTACACGTCGTGGAGTTGTCGAACGAGAAGTTCTTGTTGGTGTAGGCGCGCGTTCATCATCACCTAAACGACGGGAAAATGAGTTATTAAACGTAAGATGTTTTTCAGGACTGAGTGGTCTTTACTTTGAACAGTAACCAATTTCTTGGAAAATTGTACAAAATGTTCATTTTCTTTCGGATAATCCTACAACGAAGAGAGAATGTAAGCGTGTTTCATAGTTTGCATATTTTACTTTTGGAGATTTAAGAATGCCTTTTCTTGGCGTTAAGGTTGGCGTCTTTCGACCTTCACTTGATGAACCATCGCCGAGAAAATCGATTGATGAATCATCTTCGGTATCATGTACTAAATGCAAATAACAAATTATAAAGATTTCTAGCAATCCTAACTCCACTGTCGTGTACCTGAAGGTGTTCTTGAGTTTTTCCTATGCTTAGATTTTTTCTTTTCTTGTTCACTATTGTTTGTTTCACTATCCAGATGGAGAAGTTCGGGTACTTCACCATGAGGTGCATTATTTACTGGCTTCTTAAGAAAAGTTTTTCTTCCGGCCGCTAACTTCTTTGAAGTACTTGTTGATGTTGCATCGGAACTCGATTCATCCTCATCTAAGCCTTGATCGAATGTTCCCGGTTCTAGTTCAATACCCTGTGTGTATAGTTGGGTTCGACGAGTAGCACGAGCAAGAAGTGACGACTGACCGAGTAGACCAGAAGATGCTACAGCGGTTGGCGCTTGAAGAGTTTTACTCGCACTTTGCTTTGTTAGCACTCGTGGCGAAGAAACGTCTCGTGGTGAACGTGTCACACTGATTTTTTCTGTCAAGACAGGAACATTCGATGATTTCTTTACAAATCTATTTGCTTCTCGTGGTGTGTTCGTCGAAGTAGTTGTTGCTGTCGAATCCGATTGCTTTTCACTGTAATTGAAGTGCAATGAACTATCATCATCGAATGCACTTTTATTATTTGTTGATCGATGATGACGTCGTTTCGGTTTGGGCGGTGCCTGTCGACTGGACTCTAGTTCCGATGGTTCACTGATGCCATCATGATTTTGAGCGTGAATGTGTAGTTTCTTCAACAAAGAAAAGCACTTTATTTAAAGAAAAAGAAGTTTTCAAGAATCTACTCGATCGAAACGTTGTTGTTCTTCTTCCAGACGCTGTTTGCGTTGGGCCACCCGAGCTGTTAATTCACTTAAAGTTGCCATTTCTCTCCAACTATTTTCTTCGAAAAAAAATGAACAAATATCTTATTAGATTTTTTTCTCTTCGATAAATCACCATGCTCTTCACCGTTACTCCAGGTTGCCATCCTCGACGTTATCAATGAAGTGGCGTCGTAAGCTGATTGGTTCTTTATTAACAAGTGAAATTCTTTTTCAAACTCTAACAGGTTCGTTTCCAATTCCAACAAGAGAGAAAACTTTGGAAAAACCTTTTCAATTGGAACAATTAGATTTCAGTTAAGACTATTTTTAATCATTCGTTCAATTAGTTCACAGGATTAGTTTTTCGCATCCTTCAGTTGTTATCGACATGGGATAGTTTTCCGTTTTTTCTTTCTTTTCCTTCTTCGTTCATTTTTTTCTCCCTTATTTCTCCCATACACCATAATTCCCACTGGAGAGTAAAATGAATGACTGCGAATGAGCAAGAAGAAAACAGCAATAGACAGGTGTCATCTCTTCCTTTCTTTTTTTTTCACCGCTGTAATCCAAAGCAGAAGAGATGTGCTGAGAATATCGCTTCTCCTCATATCTCTATAGGTATAATTAGGAATCAACAAAAGACTCTAGTCATACTCAGTAGCGAAGATTCGTTTGTTTCGGAATTATTTATTTGATTTCAGTTATTAATTTTTATGGATAAGATAAGTCTGTAATCTTTCCTATTTTCTTTCTTTTTTCTTCTCCTTTGCCTTCTTTTCTTCGTTTAAAAGAATTCTGTCGAGGAAAATCTCCGGAGAATTTTAAAAGAAAAAGACGAGCGCTATGCCACTAGCTGTTTCTCTCTTTCTCTCTATGGCTGTCTGTTTGACGTCGTCGGATGGTCACCGGGGAGCACACGTCGTATTGCCTGCCGTAGCTGCATCCCAGGGGAGCTAGTCGACTCTTTTTACGTGTATGTGTGTATATGTGTGCGAAACAGCATGTGGGTAGAGAGAGAGAGAGAGAGAGAGAATGCATAGATCGACGACAACTGCTGTGTTCGGCACCCCTCCGGGAACGATGGACGAGTATGCGCGTATTTATATATAATAAATGGAAGGCAAACCGAGAGAGAGAGAAAGATGCACCGAGAGCATGATTAGAACAAGGAGACGCACTCGTCTTGCCTATCGAGCTGATTGCAGTATCCTATTCTAGAGTAAAGACAAAACTATGTCACGTCGTAAACAGACAAATCCAAGAGCAATAAAACGTGATGGTAAAAGTTTGCATTTTTTTTCGTTCTATTTCATTTCTGTTGCCACTATATATAGTATCTCCAGAGGACGATGGCGACAATTCGGTATTCAATGTGAAAAGTAAGACCAAGTTCAACTGTAGGAATCTTTCTTCAAACATATTTCGTTATCGTTCAGAATTCGCTTCTGAATCTGTTCAATCAGATAGTAGAGACTCAACACAAACAGCCGAAGACGATCAACCAAATCTATCAGTCAAATGTGATAATTGTCAAGAAAGTTTTTTAACTAGTGAACAGTTTAATCATCATCGTATCTATCAATGTTCCTTTCTTACAGGTGAACACCGCTTAACCAATCATGCAATGAGATTTATTTTCTTCATTTAGAAGAAACAAACAGCGATGAAAGTCGTACATCGTCCTACGATGACTATGCTAATCAAGTTGATATAGTAATTGAAATGAAGTCTTTCTTTCATAATCAAAACTCGATTTCCCTTAGATTCCTCACGGAATAAATCAATGTGAAGAATATCCACATCCATGTGCTTATTGTCATAAAGCATTTTCAAATATGGCACTTCTACTTAAACACGAACAAGTGAGAAAAAGCCAAGATAAGCTCTTCTCTTCTCATGCTTTTCGATTGTTAGGTTCATGTAGAATTAATGCCCTTCCGATGTTCGTTTTGCGGTACGTTTTCCCACTGTTTACCTTCGTTTCTAGACGAAACAGCTTAGCTCTTCTTTAGGCAAAGGATTTAAACATCGTCGTAGTCTCAATCGTCATTCGAAGCTACACACGGGTGAACGTAAATTTAAGTGTAACTTGTGCGAAAGTACATTCGCACGTTCAGACCATCTCAAAGCTCATATTCGAACTCATAATAATAACATTCATAATAATAACACTACTCTAGCAACTCATAACAATTCCATAACCATCGATAAGTCTATTAATCTTGATTTCCAATTGAAAATACCTTTGAGCACAGTTCGATCAGAACTTGAAGAACGAAGCATCCCATCCCATTCGAAAACCGATCGAGATGAAAATAAAGCTGAACATTGCCCTTACTGTCCACGTATTTGTCTCGGTGAAGATAGTCTTCGTTCTCATATACAAACTGAACATAATCAAACTCAAGAGCAATTCAAATCTGAAAGTATATCTCCATCGACTACGGATACCTATTGTCATTTGTGTAATGCCAAGTTTAATAATCGAGAGAACTATTATGCGCATATTCGCTGTACACACCCGCCGTTTCAAAAAACGCTCGACCAGTTGAATCTAGTCGAAGTTCCCCTTTCGCAGAAAGCCCATGAAAAATACGAAGATTCAATTATTGACGATTATGCATTAGTCGATCAAACAATTTGGTGTGAAAAATGTAAACGTTCATTCGACTCAATGACCGTCTATTTACAGCATTATTCTTTGCAACATTCGTTACAATTAATAAAATGTCTTCAATGTCAGGATGTTTTCGAAACTATCGAACTTTTCTTCAGCCATATCGAACGAATGCATCCTTCGAAAACCGGTAAGTGACAAAGTTCATCTTCTGATCAAGCAAAAGTGCATCTATTTGTAGTCGAAACGTTTAAATGCAAATTGTGTAATGCGGGTTACAAACAACGCGACGATTTCCTTCATCATGTTCAAACAATTCATAAAACAACGTTGTATTCATGTTCATTGTGTTCTTGTCAATTGAATTCGACGAACGAATTGATTGACCATTTGAAATTTATTCATAAGATCAATCAAAATCTCGATATACATCTCACTTCACGACGTCCATCGTTTAATACTTTGTTTTCCTGTGCTTTCTGTTCGTTAAAGTTTAACTCCAGATTCGATCTCAATCAACACATTTTACAAGAACACAACGATGAACGAAGAATCACCAGCTCAGAATGGCAACAAAACGGGAAAAAACCAGGTAAGATTCAAGTTCTCTGTATAATATATAAATATATCATTGAAAGTCGTCTTATATAGCAACATCCAATTCGTCCGATACTATTTGTCCTCTTTATGAGCCCACACATTCATCCGAATCACTCGTTTCAGAACACAATAAACATTCACATCGATCGCCACCTCTACCACTAGCAAATTCATCTCTTTCGACCTCGTTCAAATGTTCCTACTGTCACGCATTATTTACTTCTCGTACCCAACTCGATCGTCACTCTCGCATCCATATCGCGTCATCGGGCAATAATTTGAAATGTAATATATGTGATCGGTTATTCTCAAGCTTTGATAATCTCTCCGAGCATAAATTATCACACTGTAAAGCAACAACGTCGAATCTTTGTTTACATTGCCATCAAATTCTAAACAATGAAGCAGATTTTCTACGTCATTTAGATGAACATAACAATCACAATCGGCATTTGAGAACGAAAGCAGGTTTATTTACAGCAAACAATGATCATGGTACATTTGCGATGGCATGTATCATTTGTAAGCAATCATTAATTAATAAACATGAAATTAATTTACATGCTAAATTTCACTTGGCAAATATCTCAACGAAAAAACCGGCGATCAAAGATTTATCTACAGTATCTATGGCAATCACCTGTGTTCAGTGTCAACATTCGACAAACAATCATCGAGATTTTCTCGTGGAATTACCATCATTCGATGTCCAGTGCTTTAATTGCATCGAAAAAGATTTGAAATCTCCAGGTAATGAGAGACGGAGAGCGCGCCCGTGCATGTTAAGATAGTTCCGACATTTTGATTTATATCAGTTGAAGAAAATTATTATAATAATCATAATCATAATGATAAGTTGAAAGTAATCTCTGAATAGCCATCTGGAACAGAAAGGAAAGATTTAGAAGTATCAAGGGAATCGCAAGTGAGCTTCGCCTTTTTCTCTACTTTTTTCATCGCTTTGATTTTCTTCTCAATTGACAATAATGAATGAAAATGGGAAATACGCAATTAATTGGTTACTCTCACTTTTATACCATTGCTTCTTTAGATCTAAACATCATCCAAGAAATTGACACAATTGCTACGGTCTTATCTTGTCCAAAATGTCGAAATGACGTGCAATTCGATAGTATCAAAACGTACCAACAGCACTTCACATCCGTTCATCTATCTAAATATTCTGCCGAAGAATACCATTGGTAAAATGTTTCTCTAACCACACAATACCTTCATTTTATCTTTCTCTTTTGCTTCTAGTCTAAAATGTAATAAAATTGTTCCATCACGTGAACACGTTTTTCAACATCAACACAAACGATCCTCATCGTCGTCGTCATCCAGTGGTTTCCTCATCGATAGTATAGATTCGTCAAACTCGTCGCGCTGTTCATCTCCACCTCGTGTACATTACTGCTATTTATGTCGGACGAATTTTGACACGGCTATTAAACTGCACGTGCATCTAATCGAACATCAATATCCCAATCGTGATTATCAATGCACTCTCTGCGAGCAATGTTCGTTTGACGATGCGACACAGTTGTATCATCATATGGTTCAACACGGCACCAAAGTACGATTACATCCATGTCGAGAGTGTGATGTATATTTTATGTTCTCTATGCATCTGATCAACCATCAGTACAGCCATAATGATGAGACAATTCTATCGAAAACGAATGGTAATTCTTCGAAGTCGAATGAAGATGACGAAAGTTCGTGCAAATCAATTGTAACAAGATTATCTGCAAAAGGAACATGTCGTTCAGTGATTGTCAGTTAACTACAACAAAATAAGTCGATTTTTTCCTCTTTTCTTTTATCAATCATTCTATTTTTTACTATGAACAGATGTTTGTTTTCTCGGAAACAGCCCGCTCTTAATCTCTACATCTTTTATTTTGTCACTTTTCTCTCTTATATATTATATACACTGTTGTTTTCGTTTTTTATAAAAAAAGAAAAGAAAAGAAAAAAGATGAATAGATGTCTAAATACAAAACATATTGTATCAGGATTGTTTTCTTGTTTAAGCATAAAATATAATTATGTGACTTTTTCCAAGTATCTGCAACATTCTATTTATCAGCCGGTTTGATATGTCTGTAATAGATAATGGCGATCATCTGTTGTATTTCTAAACGCGGTCAGGCGGTTATCGCGCGAAAGAAATGATGTACACGATAAGAACGATTAATCTATCAATTCAGATTCAAACGGTTCTTATCTATCGTTCTTTCTTTGTTCAAATTTGTTCTCTCGTTTTGATTTCTATGCTATACGAAATGCTCCCCTATGAGTATAAAAAAGGCAAATATTTTGTCTCTCTCATCTATTTCACTTATTACCTAGACTGACTGTGTGACCGTTTTGTTGTAAGGAAAGAAACTTTTCCTGTCGATTAGTTGTTGCTGCTCTTATTGTAATGCCTGAATGTTGTTGCTATCGAAACAATTAGCCATACCAGTTCGTAAAACTTGGAAAAATGTAAGTGCTCGACTTGTGCTTGCATTCATCTTCTATTTCATTTATTTATTCTTCTTTACAGGAACCAGCTTCGTCACTTGGTAAAGCAGTGATCAAAGATTGACCCTCTCCTCTCTAACTCGCTCACTACCTCTTACTCTTGCTTTCACTAATGACTGATACTACTTCGACTTCCAAGTAAAACAGTTGGACTATGTACATATAGATATAATCTTTGCTTCAAATAGACGTCTCAATTCAGACAACGGATCAACAGCCAATTCTGATATGGGCGATTCAAGTGCATCGTCGTCACGATCATTGTCACCAAATTGTGGCTGGATCATCAAATACAAGATTCTTCCGAAAAAGAATGCCGAGTCCAAAGGTGTTTGGGATGGATACGAAACAAAAGAAGAATTCATGACAATGCATCTGCGTTGAATCATTTGTTTCTTTTCTATTCTCATTCAAGATGTTGTGCTTATCCTATGTCATTGTTCGATACTTCGCTTATCAGTTTTGTGTCGCTATCAATATCTAGATTCACTTAATCTCGAATATAGCTTATCAAATAGAAAAGTATGTTGAAGACTACTTATATATACTAGCAAAAAGTGTAATTTGTAATATTTAATCGATGATTGATCGTCGTTACTCTGACAGAGTAGTCAGTAACAACCTCTGCATATGAATGTTCTTTGATAAACAGAAATATGTATTGACGTTATATTCTGATAATATGTAAATGATGCATTGTATTATATCGTTATAATATATGTATTTATGCTTTCAGTCGAGTTGACTGTTCTGTCTGTAATATTCAAATACTTATTCATACATACTTTATAATATTTTGCTTTCGGCATTTGAAAGACTACCTTTTTGTTAGTTCGTTCTTGCAACTATATAAAAAAATATGTCACAAAATTCTGTTTTCATTCGATGTATTATTCGATACTTTTTACTTTTCATTTATAATCGATGGTATCGTATTCGTTATTATTCATCGTTCTGTGCTGCTGCGCGATCCACATTGATGGCCGAAAACGTTTCCACGATATCCGGGAACGTCGTTTTTGGCAGGCAGTAGTGGACAAGCTAAAAAATAAAACAGTGAATAAATTTCACATTGACTTTCGACGTTTCGAACAGGAAGATATGGTTTTATATCCTGACGTTGCTTTTGAATCGTTGAAAAACGATAGTACATGGAACGTGGTGATTCACGGTTGGCGATACGAAAGTAATCATGGAAGAAGTTGGTTGGGTATTACGTTAACGCGATGGGTAGAACGCATTGCAAAGCATTTATTAGATCCAGATGCAATCGTGTATTTGAATGGCTCATTGAATCGAGATCGATTGAAACCATTTTTTGTAGACGATGAATCAAATGATGTCATCGAAATTAAGGTAGGTACAACGACACAGTCACTTCGGACCGACGTGAATGGTCAATTCTATGGAGAACTTCTTCTGACAAATAATCAAATACAATCAATACGACAACAGCAACAGCTGAAAGACAATATTATAACATACGAAGCTACCGGTGACAATCAAGATAAGGCACAAGGTGTTATACGACTTATTGAACCTCGACAAGGTATTTCGGTGATTAGTGATGTTGATGATACAATTAAAATATCTGAAGTTCTGGATAAAGTTCGACTGATTGCTAATACTTTCATTTATCCATTTAAACCTGTCCCCGGTAAAACTAGATTTATTGTCTTTTGAGTATCTACAGCCTTCTTTCATTATTCTACTAGGTATGGCAGATTTGTATCGACAGTGGTATACGGCTAATGCCAATTGTACTTTTCACTATTTGTCCGGTATGCCAGATCAGTTGTATACACTAACTCAAGAGTTTATCTATACAAACAATTTTCCTGATGGATCATTTCATATGAGACATTTTGGATGGGCAGCCGCGTCGCTATTTGATTTTCTTCATTCTGACGCGACATTTACGCACAAGATTAAACATTTACGTTTTTTTCTTTCAAATACAATTCGTGATTATGTATTAGTAGGTGATAGCGGTGAAAAAGATCCAGAAATATATGGAACTATTGCACGGGAATACCCGCAACGGATACGTGCAATCTTTATTCGAGCAATTAAAAATGAAGATTTCAATGATCGACGATTTCTGACTGCTTTCGAAGGGATCCCATCAGAAAAGTGGCAAGTTTTCGATAATCCTCAGCAGTTACCAACGGATTTATCACGATCACCTCGAGCCACAGCGCACTAAAAACAGCTTTTCTCATCAGTGAAATTTGAAAATAAATATTTACTCATCGATTTCTTCATACTTTAAAACAGTAACAAAATCAAGAGAAAATTATTTGTCCAGAGCTTTAGCACTAATCATATTCTCGGTCTATACACGTTTGATAGTAAACAGTATGTTTGAATTTTAACTTTCTTACAACGGCAAAAATGCACGGTATATAACATGTTGTCAAAAAAAAAGAAAAGGTATTCGACGACTTTGGAATCGGTCTGAAACGATAAGACATATGTTGTTGGGGACAAAATCCTCGTACTATTCATTCTCTAAAGTTCGTTCTTTCGTTGACTTGTGTTATCACGACAAACAGAACTGCTTTTTTTAGTAGTGAATATACATTGCGTTGTATGAATGCACTTTCATAATCAGCAATGACAAATCGCCGTAAATATCACTTAGTAAGATACGAGTAAAATGATATTTATCTGAAGCGTTCGACATTTGTTTTATCGATTTCATATAGAAAAGATAACAGCTGTTTATATTGCTCCATTTAACAGGAAAAAAGTTTCTCATTTCAATATAGAATGGTCTCCATATTTTATTTAAAAAATCTTCAACTATATCAACGGTCTGTTTCTTGCAGCTGAAATAAAAAAGACCAGACGAGGATGACGCCATCCTGTCTCTCGATGATTTACTCGGATACCAAGGTCGTAGTGCAAAGTAAGAAGGAGAACAAAGGAAGAAAGATTGTAGTCGAGTCGTGAATCATATTTGAAAAATGACTAAAGAAATGGAATAAAAATAAATGAAAAAGTGTATATATACTAGATAATTGAAAAATCGTTTATCACAACAATGTTACATGATCAAATCAAAGATCCAAGTGGTTTTATTCATTCATGGGTATTCGAGTTTGAATTGGCATTTTTTGACAAACACACATTTAGTCTGATCAAACATTTGATGAAACATTGGTGGTGGTTAAGTCTTGTTTATGCCGTATTTTATATCGTTCTCGTGTTTTTGGGTCGGGCATGGATGTCAAAAAGAAAGGACAAATATGAATTACGAAAACCTCTAGTATTATGGAACACCGGTCTCACCGTTTTCAGTTTGTGGGGTGCTTGTCGATGTATGCCAGAGCTGATTCATGCTTTAACACAACATGGATTTATGTACTCTATATGCAATTGCTCATATATGGAAGGTGTTACCGGATTATGGTAGTGATTATTTCATCGACTTTGATCGATTTAACTATTGACACTATTTAGGGTTTGGTTGTTTATGGCTTCGAAAGTTCCAGAAACAATTGATACACTATTCATTGTTTTGAGACGTCAACAGTTGATTTTTCTTCATTGGTATCACCATGCATCTGTTCTAGTCTATTGTTTCTACAGGTTTGTCATTCGATCCTATGCTTCCTGTCCATCTCGTTTGTTTGTAGTTATGCATTATTTGCATCTACTGGTCGTTGGTTTGTTTCCATGAATTATTGTGTACATACAATTATGTATGGTTATTTTGCTTTACGAGCTGCTCGCATCCATGTGCCTAGTTTTGTTCAAGCCACAATTACTCTTTTACAACTCATCCAAATGGTTCTTGGATGTGTAGTTAATCTAAGTGCATATCATTATAAAACTCAAGGGCATCTTTGCTCAACAGATCTCACCAATATCACCTTGTCTTTAGCTCTCTATGCTTCATATTTTCTTCTGTTTGCACACTTTTTCTATGTGACATATTTAGGAAAGAAGGATATGAAGAAAAAGAGAGAAAAACAGAGTTGACAAATCAAATGTTCTACCCCACATAGTGAAAATCTTATTCAAACATGTGATTATTTTCCGTTTTGTCAGAAATAAAAGTATTTATGTGGGACAAAACAAACTTAATCCTTGGATTGACGCAAATCACTTTCAATCTCTGAATAGAACACATTTCTATTAATATCTATATCGACGAATATACAAAGAAAGTGTAGGCGCAGTCATCCTTGATTGACTTTTTTGTTGTAGTTAGAAAAGCACGTGTATAATTGGATGAGAAATGTAAAATGTCTTGTTGTTCGTCATCTCCGTTCGATCGACTCCCAGCAGAATTGATTTATCATTTATTGGAATATCTTGATATTTCCACAATCTTCATTTCATTTCGTCATGTCTGCAAACGATTCTATACGATCGTGAATTCTCATGATCGTTATCATGTCGATATGAGATTGATATCCAAAAGTGATTTTGATCATTTGTGTCGACTTGTATCACCAGCAAATGTTCTTTCACTTATTCTCAGTGATGATCTCAACACTCCATTTCAAATTCAAACATTTCTATCACGATTTGCATTACAACAATGTTCTCAACTTCACTCGTTAACATTAATCAAAATCAATGAAAGTAATCTGTTTACACTGTTAGTTCATCTCTCCAAATGTACGTTGAAATCGTTAACAATCGAATGCTTTGCATGGGATACATTTAGTCATACAGTTCGCTCACTTCTTTCCTCACTCATTGCCAAGTCCAAACTGGAATATTTACATTTGAATATTTCCTATCGAGATTTGGATACTTTCGCTTGTTCACCATTACCAACCACGTTGAAATGTCTTCATCTTGAACATTGCACGTTTCAAGAGTATTGCATGATACTTCGTCACTCGATTAATCTACAAAAGTTATCGTTAACAAAATGTCTGATGTCTAATCTTGATGGCAGTATGTATCAACCAACGGATGATATTTGTCCAGTTCATTTTCGCACATTATCATTCGGTGCTTGTTTTATTCGTATGAAAGAGCTGTGCCTCTTACTTTCATGTACACCAAGTGTAGAGTATTTGAAAGTGATTATCTGGACGGATTCGTGTGATTCGGTGATCAACGGAAATGAATGGGAAAAGTTTATTAAGAATAAGTTGGTGAATCTGCAGAGATTTGAGTTCTTCTTTGATGATTTGACTCAGGTGACTACGGATTCGTTAGATCTTCAGACATATGTGAAACCATTCGAGACACCATTCTGGCTCGAAAAACATCGCTGGTATGTGACTTGTGATTATGTCAAATCATTAGCAGGTATTCGATTGTATTCACTGCCGATCTGCAATCAAATGTTTATGTTTTATACGAACTCATCCAAAATATCCCTATCTACTTTACCAGCAAGTGAAAAGGATCAAGTTGAAGTAACACAATATGTTAACAATATTAGTTTGAATCTCAATGAAACACTGGAACATGGCGAAGACAATGCATCGGTATTGACTAAGTCCTGATTTGTTGTTTTGCAAACGTTTCTCTTTTGATTTTGTAGAAGAAGCCAAGTGAAAGTGCCTTGTTTCGACGACTCGAGTGTCTTTCAGTGAACTTTGATGGACGACATCCATACACATCATTGTCATCTCTTCGAACACTAATTGATCTTTCATCAGTGGTGCGTTTGACAATTCAACTTCTCGTTCATAACTTTGCACAAAACTCATCGTTGAGTGATTATCTGTCAGCGATACTCAGAGAAGCATCGAACATTCACACACTCAAACTCACTTATATTCATAGCGAAGAGTCGTTGCATAGTACGCAGAGTTTGTGTTCATTGATTCCACATACAGTTCAACATCTACAGATTTCGATAAATAACTTCAAGGAAATGAAGATGATCTTGGAGCAAGTTCCTCAACTGTTTAGTGTGACATTCTATTCGTTAGACATATCAAATTATTGTGAAGATATTGAACAATGGCTGAAAATGAAGAGGTCAAAATCTTTGTGTCGACATGGTTTGCGATGTATCCAGATCTGGCTTGGAAATTGTCATGATCAAGATCAAAGCAGACCCCGGACACGACGTCTTTTTNATAACTTCAAGGAAATGAAGATGATCTTGGAGCAAGTTCCTCAACTGTTTAGTGTGACATTCTATTCGTTAGACATATCAAATTATTGTGAAGATATTGAACAATGGCTGAAAATGAAGAGGTCAAAATCTTTGTGTCGACATGGTTTGCGATGTATCCAGATCTGGCTTGGAAATTGTCATGATCAAGATCAAAGCAGACCCCGGACACGACGTCTTTTTGGTCGATTTCATCGAAGATCACCACCTAGTTAAATCTCGACTATCTTTATCATTCAAATGAAAGTCGGTCTAGCAGTTTTTCGAAAAAAAACGCCTTTGTTCGTCTAACCCATGCCTCTGTCTCTAGCATGCAGCAAATCAGTTGACAAGGCTTGATTGGTGGTGTTTAATTTGCAAAGAACCTTTTCTCAACTCTTGTCAACAAGTAATGCTTTACTTTTGTAGCAAGATAAATTTTTGAACTAAATATCTAGGGCGCATGAAACGGGATGACTAGTGAATTATCTTTCGCTTCTGAAAAAGAATTTAGTGTCTCAGCCAATGTTTTTCTTCAACTATTCCATTTTATAGAGTACAGAATTAGATCCGTGTATGTATAAAATACTCGTATGATCATTAAAAATTGATCATAATCAAAATCAAGAAGATTACAATAGAAGAATATTCAATAGGTTGATGTAAATTCATTCAGCCGTTTTAGCGATGCATTACCACAATCTATAGTTGGAGGACGTCACATTGGTTTGTCACAGTTATATTCTAAACCGATGGAATCTTGATAGAATAGTATAATAAGGTTAAATAGAAAATATCGATGAGTAACTTCACCATTTTCGCTCATAGGACAGTCACGGTTTGGCGTTTGTGAAATTTGAACGTGTCCAACGAACGGAGTTAATTCCTTACGATGAGAAAATATGAATTGTGTTTGAAAACTAATCAGAATTCATTTCGAATACTTTGACTCTTTCAGGTAAGTTTCCATGTAATCGTTGAAGATGGAATGAATCCAACATGATTTTCAGATTATTGCTGTTAGATGACTGAACAATACTCATTGCTGTCGAATACGATTGTAAATAGTAGTTCGATCGTGTTGAAAGTGGCTCAATCAGGCATAAAATACGATGTGGTTGAAAGAACTGAGCTGCTTGGTGTACAAGATCGATGATCCTTGATCTTAACTCCGTATGAAAATAAATGTAAAATCTTTAGTGTGAGAAATTCTTACCGATCCGAATCATCCTTTACTTCTGTCACTACTAAATGCACTTTACTGACGTTGAACAGTTTAGCATAATCAAGTGTACGATCAAGAACTATCTTTTTGTATCCGTTGAATGATGGAATCTCATTTGTTTGATCATAAAGTGGTAAACTATTGATTAATATCCATTTCAACGATCTGTCTTTCACCACCGCCTCTTTCCGTGTATCAGTAGATACCTCATATGGATCTGTAAAAGATTACCGTTCGGTTAGTTTGGATATATCATTGAAAAATGCTTATAGATTTGCACAAAAACGCATGGAATTTCTACGAAATTCAACTGAAGTTAAAGGAAACCCGAAGAAATTCATTTTGACCAAGCGCTCTCTGTTTTTGTTTCTATTTCCGTTGAGGTAAAAGACTTATTCTATACATGTCTAGTCATCAGAACAAAAAGGGAAACAAATTAGAAAAGAAGTGATACAGGTAAAAATTAGACTTTCTTGCCACTCGTTTGAGCGGTTTTGAACCATCAGATGACTTAGTAAATGTTGACATTCAGTTTTAATTGAAAGTATTCAATTAAATATCCGACCTAGTTAAAAGTCATATCTAGTCCTTCTGACACACACGCAAATCTCTCTATTGATTCCTTGGACTAAACTGAATGAGATTTTTCAGACCAACGCGTTACTTTATACATAATAAAATATATAATATGATGGTAGATATTGATAAAAGAAGAATGACTTTTCAATGAATGACTAAATAAATGAAATGGGATATAACGAAAAGTGCCAACGCCTATTGTTAGAAAATGAGTATTTCTCTTCCATTCATCTTTCTGAAAAAACAATGGAACGATGTTTGTGTATATATAAGAGAGATTGTTAGACGAAAGAATTAAACACACATAATGTCGATCAATCATCAGTCCGATCTATTCGATTTACCCGATTTACCCGATGAAATTTTATTAATTATTTTTAACAAACTGCATATGACTGATGTTCTATACTCATTTGTTGGTCTTACTGAGTAGCTCGATCAATTAGTATTCGCCCCGTTTTATATTCGCAACCTTAATATGACATCTATGACAATGAAGTCATTTCATGATCGCATTTTTTCAATAGACAGTCGAGTTCTTGATAGAATTTGTAAAAGTATTTTACCACAAATATCGCATAAAATAAGTGAAATCATTGTTGAACAACATTCAATGACTCCTGTTCTTAATGCCATCAATTATCCCGAACTTTATTCATTAAAACTTGTGGATTTTTCAGAAGAAGTTCTTCTGAACGAATTAACAAGTAAAGTATTTAATACGAATTCATACTGGTTTGTATCTTGTTTTTGCTTTTCAGCTAAAGATAATACGATTTTTCGACAACTTCTCAATCAACAAATTACATGTCTTTCAATTGACATCAAAGATCAGCCAACAGAACCATCTTCTGCAGCACTTTGGCTTATACTGACTTCGACACTGTCATTATGTAAACAATTGAAAGTTAAGTATTGGTCAATTCGATTATCGAACAACGATCTGTACCTTTGACTTCTCATCAACTAATTTCAAATCTTCAACCTTAGCTCAATTGAACATAAATGTGGAAACTTTCAATGATTGTCTTTATCTACTTGATGGACGTTTTCGTTGTTTATCAACGTTAATTGTAAATATAAGTATTATTTCATCGACATCAGAAACTATCGATAATACAGTGAGTATAATTAGCAAGTATTTTCCATCATTTTGTATAGGAAACTTTCTAAATTAAAACATTTTTCGTTGACACCGTATCTGTAACGATAATGATATCGTTCATCTCCTTCTGTTCTTTATTCTCTCACCTCTATATCATACTATCTCCGGGTCATATCTCTCTTTCCTCTTCTCTATATAAGCGCGTGTCTTATTGTGAAAGAGATACATTCTGGTCATGTAGAGTAGTCAATAAACATCGATACCGTGAGAAGCGGTCAGCTACTCAACCAGTTTGTCGTTACAGTATCCACATACATTTTTATACGATGATGTCATTATTCCATTACTCCGATGAATGATAAATCTTGAAGAATTGATATTAGACCTGTCAATAATGAGAAGCAATAAAAACTATGTTGATGGTATTCAATTATATGATGATATACTTATTCATATGCCACAAATGAACAAATTTACTTTCAATCTATACACAAATGTTGATAAGAACAATGTTGGAATTAGTTTCTCCTCTAAGAAAGATGTTCAACGTACTTTCAGAAAAAAAGAATACTATGGACCAGTTACTTCACATATTGAAGTTTTCAACAGTTTAAATGAACGTGTCTGTCATAATTATTCGTTACCTTTTCAATTTCAAAGCAGATGTCACATATATTCACTTATTCCATATCAATTCAAAACTTATCATTTCTTAACTAATTCGTTTCAAGGTGGAATATTTACGAATGTTCAATCTCTAGTGATGTGTGATTGTTGTTCTTTTGAGCACAATTTCTTCCAAATCATTTCTCAAAGTTTCCCGTAATTGAAAAAGTTGCATATCATGAACAAAAAGACAAGCAAAAATCATTACCATTGATCCAATTTTCTTATCTTTATCTTCAAGGTGCTCATGCTGATTATGCTGAACAATTCCTCGTCGATAAATTTTGTCATATGCCTTGTCCACTAAGTCTTCGTATCGACTATGAATCACTCATTCTGATCACAAACAGTTTCACAAATGATGCTACACGTCTCACTTGTAGCAAATTTACCAGTCTTCGCACAGATGAATAGTTTGTACCTCCAAAAAATTTTCATCAATACTTTCCTTTATTGTAAATAGAATATTTGTAAGAGCTCAGCTTGATAATAGTTAATAATGACAGAAGATTGAATAGCTTTTTGATCTTTTCAAATAGATGAAATCAAATGAATGAAGCAAAAGAAGAAAGCTGTTGATTTCGAATCGGAATTGATTGACTAAGCAGATGCTTTGTATTTAGTGAAATCTCGAACGAAAAAGAGAAGCTCTTTTATTTGAAAACAAGTAACGCTCGGAAAATGAGTGAAACCTACGTTTGAACTTCCGACGGCAAGGAAATGGCCGGAAAACGAACCTAACCGGCCGGAGTCGATCGTGCCATAATAACCTGGGCTTCTACAAAAGATTTCAGAACAGGTGAAGAAAAATATCTCCTTTGTAAAGAGCAAGGAACAGGCCCAGGCTCAGCGGATATGACGAAATTCACCCTCAAGTTCGAATTCCCCCGATGTCAGAAACCCTTCGGTCTACTTTGACAATCGATGTTCATAAGTCGTGGCTAGTTAATGAAAAATTAATAATTAATTAAGCAACAATAACCTCAGATTCGCGATCCTCGACCTCGATTACCTTGCAAGAATCACTTTGTCAGGAACATCGTTAAGTTTTCATTGATTTATGATATGCTGTAGTCTGATTGGCTAAGACAAACGAACAATCAAACTTTAACCAGTTTTAACGCGGCTATAACCCTTTCCTGCAGAAAAGGGAACAGCTAGATAATAATGAAACATCCCTCTCATTCAATGTTCCTTGGTCTGATCACTTTACCTTTACGAGAAGTGACATATAAAATGCATACGTCCTGTACTCCTGTCAATTCAATTGTGCCATATCTCCAATATAGTTGAGCAGTCTGCAGTAATGCTGTCTTATTAATAACACACTTTCAGAAACAAATTCCAATCCAACAGAACCTCTCAAAACGCATCGTACCATGCCACCTCTTCCATCAAACACTGCTCTGTTACACCTCCGTAAATAAAGCAATCCCTTCCATTATTCCACATATATTTTCCAACAAAAAAAAGCATTCTCATTGAGGTCCCATCCACTCCTCCCATCAAAACTAATTTTCTATTCCTTCACTACTTCTCACTGTCACCAAAATCGCACACCAAACGATATCGACTAAGATCTCAGTAAAAAAACATCCTTTCTACGAAAAGAGTCACCAAATCCGCCATCAGTTGTTCTCCCATTCCATTCAGCACCAGATCTACACCATATTGACGCTCTAAGAATTCGGCAAATCAGCTATGCAAAATTTTGTTCCAGCAAAGCATCAGTCTTACTGCATTCCTACGCAACGCATCCGCAATGAGTTGTGCTCCTTCAGCACTGATTCCGTTACGGTCGAGATTTAGTGTCGTGACTGTCTGTGGGTGTGAGAGAGACTGAATACTTCGCCTTCCGTGAAATAAAATCGACATTACCGTGTTCGTTCGCAACGCATCCGCAATATATTGTGCTCCTTCATCACCGATTCTGTTACAGCTGAGATCTAGTGTGGTGAGTGTCTGTGGGTGTGAGAGAAACTTAATACTTCACCTTCCGTGAAATGAGATCAATGTTACCGTGTTCGTTAGCAACGCATCCGCAATGTGTTGTGCTCCTTCAGCACCGATTCGGTTACTGCCGAGGTTTAGTGTGGTGAGTGTCTGTAAGTGTGAGAGAGACTGAATACTTCACCTTCCGTGAAATGAGATCAATGTTACCGTGTTCGTTAGCAACGCATCCGCAATGTGTTGTGCTCCTTTATCACCGATTCCGTTATCGTAGAGGTCTAGTGCGCTGAGTGTCTGTGGGTGTGACAGAGACTGAATACTTCACTTTCCGTGAAATGAGATCAATATTACCGTGTTCGTTCGCAACGCACCCGCAATGTGTTCCGCTTCTTTAGCACCGATTCCGTTATGGCCGAGATTTAGCGTGGTGAGTGTCTGTGGGTGTGAGAGAGACTGAATAATTCACCTTCCGTGAAATGAGATCAATATTACTGTATTTGCTCGCAACGCATCCGCAATGTGTTTTGCTCCTTTATCATAGATTCTGTTATAGCTGGTTGAGGTTTAGTGTGGTGAGTGTCTGTGGGTTTGAGAGAGACTGAATAATTCACCTTCCGTGAAATGAGATCGAGATTACCGTGTGCGTTCCCAACGAATCCGCAATGTGTTGTGCTCCTTTATTGCCGATTCCGTTATAGTTGAGGTTTAGTGTGGTGAGTGTCTGTGGGTGTGAGAGAGACTGAATAATTCACTTGCCGTGAAATGAGATCGACATTACCGTGTTCGTTCGCAAGGCATCCGCAATATATTGTGCTCCTTCATCACCGATTTCGTTATGGCCGAGGTTTAGCGTGGTGAGTGTCTGTGGGTGTGAGAGAGACTGAATACTTCACCTTCCGTGAAATGAGATCGACATTACCGTGTTCGTTCGCAACGCATCCGCAATATATTGTGCTCCTTCATCACCGATTTCGTTATGGCCGAGGTTTAGTGTGGTGAGTGTCTGTGGGTTTGAGAGAGACTGAATAATTCACCTTCCGTGAAATGAGATCGACATTACCGTGTGCGTTCCCAACGAATCCGCAATGTGTTGTGCTCTTTTATTGCCGATTCTGTTATAGCTGAGGTTTAGTGTGGTGAGTGTCTAGATTAAAGTAAGATATTATGAAAAGGACAGCTAGGAAATAGAACCTTTTAGGACGCTTCCGACTGTATATGTGTGATATGAAATAATCATTGGTCCGGACGATGTTTAGGAAGCAGTTGGATCTATGTAATAGTTTTTTGGGTGGATGATGATGGTAGTTGTTGCGCTGGAAATGTTGCGTTCAGAGAAGAGCTGCTGTGTTTACAATATAGATACGAGATTACTGCGAGCTGATCGAGTGGAATGAGAAAGATATAGCTATGAGTATTTATTTATTATATTGAGATATCTCTTTTGTAGGCGGCCTCGAATACTATGCAAATATTACTGTTGTGCAAATTAAGAGATGGATTTGAGGTATGCCTGCTTATAAGGAATATTGACATAGGTCTAGCAACTGTTCAGTGCAGCTTGCTTTAGTTGATACACTTTTGGTATCTAGTAGCTAAGGGTGCGAATGGTAACGAATAACTATGTATTTTGCTCGTTCATGATCGTGTATCGATCGAATGTATACTCAATATACATAGAAGAACGACGAGAGAGTGCGGGAGCATTTGATTTCATATGACTTCGTACTGTGATAGTCCCATTCTATGAAATTGGTTGCTGATTATGAAATTACTTTGCCTCTTCCTATGAGGAAATTCACGACATCAAATATCATTAAGCTTATGTGTAGCACAACCGACAAGAGTGGTAAAATGCCAAGCAAACTTACTCGATATCGCTCGTAAGTGCTCAGGATCTGATTGAGCCTTCGACAAACTTTTTGCATTGAACAAAATAGCGTCAGCTCATTTTGATGATCCATAATTCGATAGACAATTTCGACGGGTAATGTGGAAAAAGTGTGCATGTTGTATTTCAATCGTGCAGCAGACCGTACCGACTGGAAGCGATGAAAAATGTTTGACTTTGTTCGTTATGAGTAGTAACTCATGTTGGTGATGTATTTATATATGTTTTTGACGAAAACAAATGACGTGTAATCATTTCAACAGTTACGAATTGTTGGCGTGCGCAGAAAGATGGCGTTATAATATGCATGCTCATTGAATTCTGCTTTGACATTTAAAATAGAAATTTTAAGAATTAAAAGTAGAAAATCTTTTATGCCTTTGACTCCTTTGCAAGTCGATTCGATTTTCTTCAAAAGAAATTGACACCTCTAAATTAATTTTTTTAGCTAAAAAGTAGAGTGGAAGATAAAAAAAAACTCTACAGCTTACATTAGAGACGTATTTTGATTATGTAAGTTTTGTTTTCAAGAACATTAAATGCCACCAAGTCAGATTTCACTGATTACTTTGCACCATTTGACGTCTTTTAGTAAATGAAACAGATGATTGTAATAAGTTTGACGATGTAGTTTCCTGAAAGCTTCATGCAGCATCTCTCAGTGTGTCCGATTCATTTTTCAAATCTTGTTCAAGGATAGACAAAACAAAAAAAGGAAAAATAATTGTGTGTCGACCTGAAAAACCAGTCACATCATCTTTTATTTCTTTTTAAAGTCACAAACTATAAAACTGAGCTACGGTTTACCGTAGGGGTGACGTTAACTTGAACACTTAAAGATAAGTTAATTTGCCACTCCAAAAATATATATCTGTTTCTTGTGTTGAAGGGTGAGTTAGAACATTCGCTCTCTTTTACATAAATAGAATGACAGCTCCTTCATCGAGATTCTCTCACAATTTCTTGTGAATTCATTGTGATGAATTAATCACCCTATGGTATTTTAGTAAATAAGAAAACATGAAAAACCTTCGAAGAAACAAACGTTATCGATTCTCTTGGGAAACAAGGCGTTTAGCTTATTGGAAAAGCTAAGCCGCTTTTTGATATCCCCAAATAGATAGCTTTAAAGACAGTCATGAAATCTACAAGAACGTTGTAATATCTTACTTTAAAACACCTGTAGTTCTGTTAACAGATAACTGCCGATTAGTTTCTTACAATACAATAGCCATGACATACATATGCGAGCATTTACAACGAAGAGCAAAAATAGTACCCGATTTATTATTTGACTGTGGAGGATAGTATTTTATGTAGTGCGTGCTATATGTTATATCGTTCCATAGGATTTTACTCTGTGCTTTATTCTGCAATCAATTATGAAATGAATAGAACTACAGTGTTCTAGTTCTTCAGCATCGGTCTTCTTTTGCTGAAATACATATTGCTCATGTAATTTGCCTGAAAATCTATTTTATTGCTTAATTGATGCGCATTCATATTCTCTCTTACTAGAATTATTTTCCACGATTTGATTCCACTGATAACAACAAGTAACGCTCGTTGTTAGACTCGCTCAGATCTTTGTCGTAGAAATATTGATTTCAGATGTCATAGTTTTAATGCATTATTGTATATATGAACAACAGCTACGTTACTTCAAAGTTCGTTTATGAAGATCGATAATTAACTATTGGATCACCAGAAATTGCCGAGAATATTTCATTCACTATACTTATACACCTGACTATATCCGATATCATATGGTTATACATGGTTTTTTTTCCGAGAATGGGTATCCTTTGTTGCAATTTTTTTTCTAATTCTCAAAAAACTAACATCAGAGTCGATTTCCTAGACCCAAAAACCCTTTGGTCAATTGTTAGAAAAAAAAAATTTGTCTGTAAAAAAGTGGTCCCTTGTCTAAAAAGAATTTGTACAAAAAAATTCGAAGAGCGAGCATCAGATTCGAAGTCTCACCCTGCGGAGATACAAGCAAGCAATTTATGTTTCTAAGACTCTTCTCTACGAAAAAGAGACTATGGTGGTATAGTGGTGTGAGCGGTAGTCAGAGGCCTTAGCGAATAACAATTTTCAACTTCAAAGCTGGACACTACATACCACTATATCCTTATGTGATTACAACCTTATAGCGCTAGTACCACTAATACCGCTAACACCACTAACATTGCATCCTTATACTGCTAGAATCGCTATACCACGATATATGTATACCACCATAATGTCGGACTTCTAGGCGGATAGGTTTTTCATACTGATTTTACTATCAATTATTTTTTATTTTAAATCTATTGAGCGGCAAAATCATATTCCCCAGCTTATGCCACCGTCAGTGCTGTATATTGATTTTTTTATCTGTTCCAACTTTTCTGCATTTGATACGGTCGGTATAAATATTTTTATCGGTGTGAAGCTAGCACCATCAAACTAAGGATTTTCTGAAAACGAACTCCAGTCGATAAAACCGAGAATATTCGATGCAGAATTTAATTCTGAGTCCAATGATGCCACTTTCATTCACGGGGAAAATTCGGTACGGAGCTTACCTTGATTCTTATTTTTTCGCATATATATACAAATATTTTTTTTTAATTCGAAAAACTTTTTTCCGAACGTTTTCCCGTGAATTAAAATGTCACCATTCGAATCAGAATTGAATTCTGCATCGAGCAGAATAGGTTCTATCGACGGGAATTCATTTTCACAAATTTCTTAGTTTGATGTTGCTAGCTTCACACCGATTAATTTGTCTCGGATTTATTGATACTTTGAAGATCCACCTTCTTTTGTCGTCTATCCCTTTATCCACAAGTCAGACGACTACCATCTAAAAATATATATTCTTACGTTTAAATACAGGATAGCAACGTTGCAAATCTAATTCACGTATCGGTATAGATCATACTTGAATTTCGAGCATACCCAATCGCTTACCGAGCAGACGTAATTATGATATCGTATGAAATTCTATTATTAAGAAGAATCATCATTAAACATCCTTCGCTTGTAAAATCAGTATAGCCGGTTGAGTTTTTCTTGAGTTCGTGAAAGTCATGTTCCTTATAAGGACATTCCTGTCATATCATCACGAAGTATTTTCTGATATGAGAAATATTAAAAAAGATGAACAGAAAAGAATAATCGAACTATCTTTTTTTTTTAATCACCTGTGAGCTAGCGGCGAACATAGCAGTATGTGTTTTCTGTTTTAGTCATCGAAGAAAAAAGAGAAGAATAGTAGAATAATCGTTATAGACTACTTGAACTATTTTTGTTAATTAGGTAACAATAATAGCATAAAAACAGACTTTTACTTGAACTAGGATACGATTTGCTAAAGTACTCACCCTCTCGTCAATCAAAATGATTATCGTCACACGCATACATTGAAGTAGCCTTTTCGTATATTGAGCAGAATATGTGAAAATTTGCGATTCATCGATTTTTTATATTTACAACACAGAGTGGAATTTTTTTCTCGAGCGCTCCTCAGGAAAACAGCACAATTCTATCTTGAGCTATCTCTTGATTCTTGTTAAATTTAGATTAGTTTTCAAATATCACATGTGTAAACTGTATGTCAGTTTATGTAAGTTACTTTTTAATATCGCACAAAAATAAATATTCAATTGGGACGTGATTGACATTGTTCACTCACTATTCGAACTCACTTTCAAACGATAATCGCATCTGTTGAGAGTGTTTGATTTTATTTACTTACAAGTTTAGACATGATAGGACAGGAGCTGTTGTACAGATTAATTCAAACTCAATTTTTGACGCTCTTCCAAATAAAACTGATATTGGCTATATTGTTTGAAAGGTTTTTAGCGTTTAATTCACTCAAACGCATAATTTTCTCAAAGATAGAGAAACTTATTTTTCTATTATTTGTCACTTATATATAAAGAGTCAAAATATCTTTAGTTCTAATGAAGTTTCATGCTTTCGTATAGGATCAACTTAATGTCTATTAAACAACAAACTAAGATGATGAAAAAGGTATGTAAACAGGCTGTATTAATGCGAGCGCCTTATCATAATCCACCATGGTTGAGACATGCAGCCAATAGTGTAGAGAAAAAAGAAAAATACCAAGTCAAACATCAAAATCAATGAATAAAAAGAAAAAACTCAAACAGCATCATCAATTGAAAAAGTATGAACAATTGAATAGTATCGCTTTTTTTCACATTAATATTACTTAATCTATTGAAATTATTCGTTTTTAAGCAGAATAAAACAGACAACGAAATGAAATAATCAACCGATGTAATTGCTGTCGGTCGCTGTTTCAGACGACAAATTTGGTCGAAGTTTTACATTAGCGGGAAAGATATATTTTCTCTATAAAATGTTAATATGTACGATATTATTAATGTCTTAGAAATTCTTGCATTCAACTTTTCTGTAACATTTCATACGTTGTAAATAAACATATAATAAATCTCCATATATATTCAACTTACATTTTCGGCAGTTAAATAGAACAATTAATCATATCCGTATTCATAAACCGTAAATCCGTAATATCAAAATCTGTAATGTCAACGTCGACTATTTCATAATGAGTTTCAACACAATAATTACCGCAATAGTAGAATGCGAAACAAACATATGTCACATGACAAACAAAGTGGGCCATTTGTTCTTCTTATATCACTGCACGTCGACATACAATGACAAATAATTGGCCAATGAAAATCTAGACCAGTCTCTGTAATGCATCCCAATAAGCAAATAACGGCATTCGCCCATAAAGCTCACGATTTTACTTCCAGTACAGATCTCTATATTACTTACATCGTCCAGGAGTTATTTTGTTGTGAAAATTGATGTCTTCCGGCAATATCATATGTATCGATCTGTATAGTCGTGAATAAATATCTTTTTCCTTCTTCGATTGGCCTATTCGCTGACCATACCACTAAGAATCAATCGTCTGTACATTCAAATAACTCAGCGCAAACAAATCACACACTGATGCTTTTCTTCGCACATGAATTCATACATTAGGATACCCTTACCTTCGTCTGCATGATATGTGTATCATTTACCTGTTATATTTGATAATCATACAAAAAAATCAATCAACGTCGACTGTCTCGAAGTTCTCTCAGACTATATTCTAAATTACTATCGAGTCATGTATAAATCGATCCTCTCGGACATTAGAACACATTGGGTCCTATATACACAGTCCTTCCATTTCAGACATATAGGAGGTCTCGTCATACAACGAGATCTTATAAACTGTGTTTTATTTGCAACAATTACTAATTGCGAACATAGAAACTTCGAACATCTTTAATTACTTCGTTAGTTGAGTTCCTGATGATCTCAACTTTGATCGCACAGTAGAAAGATCAAAAAGATTTAGATATCCAAGCTGAAAAGCTCAAAACATCAACGAGGGTGAAGATGAGTATGAAAGAAATAACCTACGAACAACAAAGGGATTTACCTGAAAATTTTCCTCATGCAACATGTCTATCGTTGAAAGTTAATACAATTGTCATTTTCAATATGTTGTGTTTACCATGTTTTTCTTCAACATATTGATTAATAGTATTAGTAACATAAACAAAAATGTAAAATATTATTAATAAAAACTAATTATGGCTTTTCCACATGTGTCTTTAGCTTCCATCGCTCTGCAAGTGATTTATTTCACTGTATTCTTGTCGTCCTGCACTACAAAGTGTACATTGGGAACGCCGTATATCGGAACATTCTTCACAAAGAAAAGGCTTAGATACCCATAAACCATTTATCTACTGAACAGTTTTGAACTGCAGAATTATGCATAATATGCGTTTTAAAGATATCTTATATTACTTCTCACAAACTATTTGTTTAACAGAGCGTTGAATATGGGATGCCAGGATCTGGTATTTTGAAAGCTCGTCTCATATCCGATTTAATTCACAAGTTTAAACAGGTAACGTTACATTCGTCTTTCCCGACCTCGATTACCTTTCGGTCAACCCTTACTCGACAACCAAAAAAATCTTATCCCTTAATTAGTAATTAGCTAATTAGCAAATTGAAATTTCGAGAAACTGACACCGGATTCGAAATCCTCGACCTCGTTTACCTCATCAGTGGTCAATCTTTGATGGCTATAGATAAATTTCATTGATTCATAATATGATGCAATCTAATTGGATTATGCAAACAAACAAACTTTATGCATTTTCATCACTGTATTTATGACGCTATAACTCTTTCTTTCAGAAAAGGGAATAAAGGAAGAGAATCAATTTTTATTGGTCTTTAAGAAATGTCGCAATAAAGCCAAATGCACAGGCACAACTAGCCATATCTTTCATGTTTGCCAAATAAAATTTGAACGATTTTGATGTATTGTATACCAACCTAGGTCGATCATTCCGGCGACTGGACCCGTTGAAATCTGAGTCGGATCCGGTACAGCTCTTCTCGATTTCGGCACAGTTTTCGCCGATTCCAGCAGGTTCCTTGCTGCCGGATTCCGGCCGAAATAGCAGGGAAATATCCGATCAGCTTCATCAACGTTTGCAAATAAATCCTTTTTTGTTCCAACGATTACCAATGGTTTGCTCGAAATTTCTTTGTCATTTAATAGGAACTAATTATAAAAGAAAAGATCTGAATCGTGTATAGGATTAAATCAAATGAAGTACAAACCATAATGATTTCTTTAGCTGTAGAAAAACGAATCGGATCAGTTAAGTCGATGAGAAAGATAATTGCATCGTTCATCGGAATCTGTCTCGATAAACGACCATCTACAACAAAAATATAAGATGTGTTATCGTTACATTGTTTTTATCATCACCATGCTGTAAATCGATATTTGTACAAGTGAATTTCATGTTTCCGATTAGCAATTGTTGTGAGCCTATAAATACAAACATTTCATAGGCGAAGAAAACAAGGAGTTATTCCATACCAGCAGAAAAACTGGATGAATATTGATCGAATTTGTTTTCTTTTAATGTATTGAGCAATGTCTTCTGAAGGGAACAGGAAAGTTCATTCCAAAAATGAACAACAGATTTCGTATTTTACTTTTCCTGAATTCGGAAGTCCGAGAATCAAAATGGTCCCGCGTTTATTATTAAGTCCTATGTAAAATAATTGTTTCATGAACGCTCCATTGCATGAAACTTTTTATGAAAACACGGCACTCTTTCGAAAGCACGGCGTCGCGATCGTCAGCTGCCTTTTCAGCTTTTAAACCAGTCAAACGGATTTTTATTCGATGACCTTTCTGCAGCTGCTGTAAACGATTGAGCTCAGTAGTCGTTGCTTGATTTTGTGGCTCTTCTTCAAGCTTTTGGACAACTTTTGATGTTTGATCATATTCATTTTGAAATTTTTTTCCAAGTTTGTCAAGCTGATCAACCTGAAAAAGGATTCTTTGAGCCCGAAAAATGCGAATTTCGTCGGACTGACTTCTCATAATTGGCGCAAGTCAGTGCGGCGAAACTGGTGCTACCATTAAATTTACATCATTCCCGATTGTAGAGAGTAAATGGACAAATTTGTCACCGAACATACTGAACAAAAATGGTGATAGGTTGTCTAGAACAGGAGGAGATTTTAATAAGTGTCGTATTCCGAAGTTATACAGTGGAGTGAATATCAACTAACAAAAGGAGATAAATCATCGTTTATTCAAAAGAAAGAGATATTGTAAGGCATAGAAATACGTAACTACGCAATTCCGAGTGATCGAGGTCAATAGGAACTGTTTGTCTGTGACCTCGATGTGCAAGAGAAAGAGAGGAGCACAATATCACAATCTTCTCCATGCGAGATCTTACATTATTTTCATATTTTCCGGTCGGATAGAGAGGAGCAATTCGAATTACAAAGACCTTTAGTATTATGAAATACTGGTCTTAAGCTTTTCAGTGTTTCGGTTGCTTATCAATGTGTATCAGAGCTGATTTATGTATTCTGTCTATGATTGGTCATATGTCAAAGAGTGTCATCCAATTATGATAATCTGTTCGAATTCAATCGTTCTGATCATTGGTAATATTGAGGATTTCATTGTTTATGACTTCAAAGTTCTAGACATAACTCATCCAAATGGTTCTTGGATGTGTAGTTAATCTAAGTGCATATCATTATAAAACTCAAGGACTTCTTTGCTCAACAGATCTCACCAATATCACCTTGTCTCTAGCTCTCTATGCTTCATATTTTCTTCTGTTTGCACACTTTTTCTATGTGACATATTTAGGAAAGAAGGATATGAAGAAAAAGAGAGAAAAACAGAGTTGACAAATCAAATGTTCTACCCCACATAGTGAAAATCTTATTCAAACATGTGATTATTTTCCGTTTTGTCAGAAATAAAAGTATTTATGTGGGNATACAGTTCAACATCTACAGATTTCGATAAATAACTTCAAGGAAATGAAGATGATCTTGGAGCAAGTTCCTCAACTGTTTAGTGTGACATTCTATTCGTTAGACATATCAAATTATTGTGAAGATATTGAACAATGGCTGAAAATGAAGAGATCAAAATCTTTGTGTCGACATGGTTTGCGATGTATCCAGATCTGGCTTGGAAATTGTCATGATCAAGATCAAAGCAGACCTCGGACACGACGCCTTTTTGGTCGATTTCATCGAAGATCACCACCTAGCTAAATCGCGATTTTCTGTATCATCTCATGAAATAGCACACAGTATTGCGCTTGTCTTTCTGTAGAACACATCGTGAGATGCAATAATTCAAATTTTGAGTGTGTCGACCAACGAATTTCGATGTTTCAGAGGACGCGTTTCCGTCTTCGTTTAACTTAGACGAAGAGGTAAAAATGCATAGCTTTTGCCAAGTCGCAATGACGAAATACAATGTCCTTAGCGGAATATCAGAGCGGCTAGCTTTAATGTACACAGAATGTTCATTCGTCTGGTATAACTTTGATTTATTGAAAAAGAAAACATGTTATCACAAGATTGGCAAGTGATAGGTAGATTATCTTTGCGTTCTGGTTTCTAATAGTTTTTCGGCAGCAGCTTTGCCACCAGTTTTCTTCTTTACTGGTGCCACAGTGTTTGATAATGAGAGATAGAGTTCTAGTAGGAGAATTGTTTCTGTTAATTGAAGTTGAGCGAGATCAATTCTAGTAAAGGAAATGAATGCATTGAAACTCGGTGATAGTTCATACTTGCGGAAAGCAGCATCCAGTTTCTTGATTTGTTCTTTTTCTACTGGCGATAAAATGTCTTCGACTTCGTTGATCTGCTCTTCATCTGCGTTTTGCTCTCGAAGACTGTGAATAATTGCGTCGACTTTATCACGTTTGTCGATCAGTTTTCTATGACGTTCCTTTTCGAAATGACGTCGTTGCATTAAATTAGACATAGTCTATGGGAACACAATATAGGAAAAGAATAATACATTCATCAATTCGTTTACCTTATACGAATGATCAAGTAAGGATAAAACTCCATTGTACAAATTTACACGGAAGAAATAAAATGTTCGAGTTGGATTGAAATCATTTGCTTTTGATAGCTCCTACGTGCAGATATTAGTAAATTCAAGTGACAGATGAAGCTCAATTGTGAAGGTATACCTCTAATGTTAACATTCCATCGATAAACATCGAATACACATATTGTTGTGCTTCTTTTGCATTAATCATTGCCATATCTTCAATCTAAAAGACAAGAGTCGATTCAATGACGTTTAATTCGACGACTTAGTTTACTTGTTTTTGTGATAAACACCCACGTTCTTCTAACATGTTGTAAATTCTGAGTGCATTGGAGCCATATCTTTCTTTCAAGAATGATTGAATATGTGCTTTAGTTAAACCGCGCAGTGCTTTTTGAAAATCTACAATGAACAAACATAATGATTCTAGATCTCATCGAGCACAGCTTATTAACAGTCATGTCCTTACCTACTTCGTATGTTCCTCTTCCATGATCACCAATTTTGATAATACAATTATTCTAAGAGAAGCCTTTGTATAGTTGCACACTTCATGTGTAGTCTTACTTACCACATCATTGGTAATGACATTCATATATTTCTGCAAGGATTCATCATTCAGTTGTAAGCCAGTGCTTGAGATTGTTTTTGCAATCTGTGCGAATAGCGCAACTGGGCAAGAGATTGTCGTTTATAAATAACTTACTTCGATAAATGATATCGGTATCGTTCGTGCAGGGTCCAGTTTGACAGCAGCAAGTCGCAGAATTACTCGAACAATTTTCCCAGCATTCTAATTGGATAGAGAAAAAGTAGTATTGCTCTTATCACATTTATCTATTACTTGATCGATTCGATTTGTAAATGCTTGAATCAGTTCTTCGTCGCGTAGATAAGCAAAAAATCGTTGAAAATTAACTTTCCAAAAGATTTTTTCATCACCGAATATTGGAATGGATGTTTTCACCTTTTTCTGTGCTGGTTCATTGGACTCACACTGTTGACTAGACACCAAATATTTCCAAGCTTCTGGTGTTAATTCTGGTATTTGCGCAGAACTGGCTGTTGTTTCTTCGACAGTTGCGGCCATAAATGGTTTGGTATCATCAGCGACAATACGTTGTAGGAATTGTGCAGACACTAAGGTTTTAAACTTCTCCTTGATCGATTGCAAATTGTGTGTTTCCGGATCTTTGCCAGCTTTGATTAAACGTTCATAAACTTTAACTAGCAATGTACTCATACGTTGTTTGCCATTCAAAAGTAACTCTTCGATGATCAATTCACCATCGAAACTATACAATTGTCTGGCACAATGAATGCATTTTGAATAATGTAATATGTATAGTGTTCGTTTGAGATTTAATGCATAGAGAACACGTTTCGTACTCGCCTCAGCCTGACATTCGACTATATCATGTATTGTTAGTGCGGCTAATGATCGTGCGATGCTTCTGGCAGGAATGTTTAGATCGCGAACGAGAAGAGCAAATGGTAGAGGACCTTTACGACTAAGATACGATGCAATTTCTTTCGAAGTTCCATCGGGAAAAAGATCTTCGAGTAGATCAAAAGCTAGTTGAATATGATGCGTAGTCATATCTAGAATTGAATGAGGATGTTAGAAAAGAATTAAATGCAAGTTTTTCTATAGACCGATGGCATGTTCAAATTCGAATAAAACACAGAACGAAACAAGTAATATAAAAGAAATCGTATGAGTCAAATTTAGTCTTTCTTGCCAGTTGTTTCTTTGAGCAGCTCGAGTTTGCTTTTCTTGCCTGATTGATCATCACGGAATGCCACATAGAGAAAAGCAATTAAAATGATATGAACGACGATGACAGCAACTGATGCTGAATAGATATAACTATTGCTATTGGTCATACTAAAAATACCTTCGAACACATAGTATTTCGAAACAAAGAACGATGTTAACGGTGCAACAGTGAGCATCACTGTGAAGAAAAGCATTTTACGAAAAACATTCCAGATAGCGTTGTCATTTGCTGCCTCTTCTTGTTGAACAAGATCGTTGACAGTTGTAGTCGGTTGAATAACTGTTGTTCGTTGCATCTAGAATAGACATATGCATGCAAAGTTGTCAAAACGAACCACGAGTGTAAACTTCGACTTTTCATCTCTTTTTATTTAGATTCATATACAGAAATGTGCACAAAACTTCTATACAAGAAAGATATTTTAATTTAGTCCAGGTAAGATAATGCCAACATTTTCCATCAGCTTGTTCGTCAATGGATCTGATTTAGCTGTTGATGGATTTGTTGTTGTCACTTCATTTGCAAGACAAGCCATTAGATTGCATGCACATAATGTTCCATCAAAGAGAATGGCAGCAAGATTATCGATAGACGTTGCTGCCGATGTACCACGAGGATTCAGATGACTCAGTTGTCGAACTTTCTCACCCATTTTGGTTAATGATTCACCAAGTAAATAGATTCCAGCAGCGATATCAACAATATCATAGTTCTTAGGCGGCGTAATGACAGTTGGTGGTTTAACAAACGCATTAGGTGGTCGAATTGATGATAGCGATGGTTGTTGTTTCGAATATTGGTTCAACGTTTTCTGTAGAAGTATTGGAGGATGATCATCCGTACCTTTTTTTCGTTTCGCTGGTTTTGCTTGCTTCGGTGTTGTCGCTGATGATTCCACGCTTGTCGAAGCTTTCAAAAGTTCAGCCGTAATTGGATAATGATAGTTCTCTTTTTCAGCTTTTAAACACCAACGTTGACGATCGTGTGCGCTCATTTTTTTCCACGTACGATGAAGACGTTTATCATCGAGTGCCGTTGCCCGATGACGGGCGCGGTATCTCATTGACCACAGACAAAATCCGTCAAACATTTCCCTAGATACAGAGCCAAGCGTTGCTGTGAGTCCAAATGTCCGATCGTGCTCTTGCTTGGTATTGCCTGTTGTCCATTCTTCTTCATCGGTTTCAGCTTCGGATGTCTGTTCTTCTTCAGCATCGAGACCGCGTTCACCTTCATCTTCGTCTTCCGATGTTTGACCTTCATGATCTATACAAGAAAGAAAGAATGATCTGAATGTAGAAAAGAGAATGGAATGTTATTACGAAATTCTTCATCATCACTCAGCCGTTCAGATTGATGAATTTCATCATCATTGTCATCATCGTCACCGTCATTTTCGACTTGGTTATCCGCAGGTGTTTGATTCGAAATTCGTTTCAATTTTGCTAAATGGAAAAAAGACAACAATGACTTTCTTCCGAATGTTTCTTCTGCGGAACAAACTAATGTTGCATACCAGCGGTAGCTTGCTTTGGCGTAGTCGATTTTCGCCCTTGACCAGTGCGCTTCACGGGTGAACTTATTTGTTTTTTTGCTTTGGGTGATCCCGCTGATTTTCTTCCTTTAGTATTAATCGTTCCTGGTAAACCGCCATTTTTGATAGCATCCAAATCAGCTTTGATCGATGATTGTTTCTTTTTAGAGTAGGAGGATGGACGTTTCGCTGGTACTGACGAATGAACCGGTGATGTCGGCGGAGAAATAGTTGCGCCTTGAACAAGTTCTTTGAAGTAAGGTGTGTATTTAATCGTTCGGCCAGATTTTGTCTGTTTGATCTCGCTGAATTGTGAATCATTCAAAGGAATTTTTATTGGACTTGGTTCATCAAATGACAATGTATTGGCTGTTGTTCCAATTAAATGACTAATCACTTTCTTACGAGACGACTGAGATTTCTTCTTCGATGGTGAAACTATTGCCATAGGTATCTCTTCTTCGTGTTGCAATGGTAATGGTGAATCTTGCTCTTCGAAATTCCCTTGATCATCGTCAATTTTTAACCGGGTATCGTCGTCTGATGATTCGTCATCAGATAGATCATTTGTTTCATTAGTGACATTGGTTATAATTGGACTCTCCGATGCATCATGAATGGATTGAGATCGAAAATTGAACTTTAGCTTGATTTTTGGCGTTGCTGTCGGAGGATTCTCCGTTTGCTGTGGCTCTGGTGGAGGCGGAGGTGGTGCTTCTTCGTGGTTATCATTGATTTCTGGAATGTTTTCTTCAGTTTCCATTGATTCGACAGGCGTCTCAGTGGTAGCTGGTGTTTCTGACGATTTGCTTGCTTTCGAACGTCGGCCAGAACGTTTCTCTGCTGCTGAAGGCGATGCCGAATCTGTGACACTTATTTTCGGTTTAAAAAAATAAGCTAAACCAGACATTTCTAAAAGGCAAAGATGGATTAAATAATCGTTTTTCCATTCGAGTTTATTTTCACAAAGAGAGAAAAAAACAAAAATAGTCCGTTAAGGTTAGAGTTTTTTGTTCTTCAGTAACTTATACACATGAACACACAACGAGACAAAACAACAAAAGTACTGATGTTATTTTTGTTCGGTTTTCTTCAATAAGATGTAGAAAATACTGAGATACATGAGCAAATACAATAAAAGATATAAAAAAAACATTTTTCTAAACAGAATGCCAAATAAGAACGGCGATCAGTAGAATTAATGTCAAATACGGTTGTGTTCGATGTGACTTCGACATATCGAGTTGATATTGATCATCAGTATAGTAGGAAGTTGCAGAGGACGAAGAAATAGGTTCATACGGGTAATAATGATGTTTGATATAATAGTGATTTTGTTGTTTATTTTTACGGTTTTTCTCTCGATGACGAGTGTGAAAAGAGTTATGATGGTTGGCAGAACGTGAACGAGCGATGTTCGTATTGAGTTCATCGGATGGATGAAGGTGAACATTCGCGGCGACAACTTTCGATGGAGTAGAAGTTGCTAATTTATGTGAGGGATTACTTTGAGTACCATAGAAAATCAAGGACCAATTGAGAAAAATAACTGAAAGAGAACGACGATGAACGATCAGAGCGATGAAAACACAGAGTAACTTACCATTGTTTTCTACGTCAACTATTTCTAATGTCCACACACCACGAGGTGATTCTCCCCAATTATGTACAGTCATGAACGGCCAACTATTGAATCCATCAGCCGAGTCATCTTCAACTCGTCGACCTAGTAATGTGGAATTTGTACCCATGGGTGAAGTTAAAAAGATTTGCAAGTTTCCTTTAAAAAAAAACAATATTGAATCGAATGCTCTATATTTTCAAGATAAAACCTACCTCGATATTTCACTCTAACAGAGAGTTTCGATTGGACATGTTCAAGGAAGTTAATTTCATTTTCTGTATTCAGACAACCATCGGTGTACATCTGGATAACAACCCGTTCATGTTTTTTGAATGTTCTAAACAACATGTCCATTGCTGGTTGATCCATTTGTTTGTCTTTCTACTCACTTGGCAACAATATTTGGATCAGTTTGATGGCATATATGTTGAGATGGAACTGTTTGCCACTTTTGTGCCTGAGATAGTAGATCAAAAATAAGCGCATGCTTTGAAGAAAAATAACTTCGTACTTTCAAGACGAACTGAGCAGCATCCATCATTCCAAAACCAAATGCATGGCTAACACGTCGGCCGACTCCATTCGTTTTCCAGTCTAGTGCATTTAAGTATCTTGGTTTAGCTGTTTCTACAATTAAATGCTGAACATCTCGCCAAGTTAAATTACGATTAGCTTCAAGTGCTAGAGCAATCATTCCGGCTGCTAATGGTGCCGATGCCGATGTTCCTGAGGAGAAAAACACAAATATCAGATTTCCAAAGATTGAATCTATTTCCTGAATATCTACCTGTATGATTTTCTGTACATTGACTCCGCAGATCTGTTGAGACGACTTGTTTTTCATCCGACGCTCCGCTACTATAAGTTGTAGCCAACGTGGAGGAGCATGCTTCGGAATACCAAGGTATATTGCCATTTTCCGTTGCACTCGAAATAGATACTGTATAAATTGAATTCGTATAGCCATCACAATTGCAATTATCGTCGTCTTTTCCGCCGTTTCCTGATGCCCATACATAAATTGAACCAAGACCTTGCCGACCCTGGAGAAACGATCCATTGTGAGAAAGAAAAAAAGATGCTATCAAGGCAAGTATTTACATATTTGATGCCGTTTTCGAATGCTGCCTGAGCTAATGTAGCTGGTCCATCAACTGTTTTTCCGTCATCGTCCGGACCCCTGAGAATGAACGATTTCGATTGTTGAAATTATCAAAAAATTAAAATTTGAAATATTCTTACCAACTAGCAGAATAAATATCGATAAAATCTGGCCGAAAACTCAATGCCATCGATTCGACTAAATCGGTCACCTCGCCGTCCAAGAGACGAATGCCTGAAATTGATGTAAAACTCGATTAGATTCACGCAAACTTCATTACTATTCAAAACACGATCCGATTTGCTTTGTTTGCCTTTGAAATACAATAATTTCCGACATTTTCCTGATTGAATTATATGCTTCGATCAGACACTAGTCTACTGTCGTTGTCTGAGCGTAGCAAGCTAACTGCTGATTGTTTTTTTTTATTCAAGTACAAGCAAGACAAATTGTCTATCATAGAACCGGCAAACTCACTGATCATTCGTCAAAACAGATTGGAAAAGGAAATTCTCTACTTCCTATTTGTAATCATGTGCGACAAAGATAACAAAGGCTTTGTTCCGCGAACGAAGCAATCGGATTCGATCGGCAGCAGTTCTGTTCGAAGTAGCAGTTAAGCAATTTACCTCCAATTCGTGCATTATAAGCCACCCCAACGCTACAAATATTATTATTTGCTGCCGCAGCTAAACAATTTAATTACTATTTACATAATCCAGCCTTGAATTCTGACTTACCAACTTCCCCAGCACATCTCGTTCCGTGCCTAGAAATAAACAAAAACATTCAAATAGTCTGTGATTAATCATTCGCAAAACTAATCATTCATGCACATATCCAAGATGAAGAAAGATTCATTCGCGTCTTCATACATGCTCAAACATATACAAACAAACTTATCATATTCTGTCAAAGAGTAAACCTCTCTATTTACTTATTATCATTAGTTGCTGTCATTCTCGGTTGTGGATCGCTGTCATTTCCATTGATATCGTAACTAGCACGCGGTTCCTACAAACAATATCAACATTGATTAAGTTTCCTAAACACTGTCTTCTGATTTTCACATTCGTGAAGTGATTTCAAAAAGAAAACACAAGAAAAAAGGAACTTTGTTTCTACTTGTTTTCATTGGTTGGATCGTAACGTGGTTGAGGATCATTGTCATAACCATTGATATCGGTACTTGCTTGCGGTTCCTAGAAATTCGGTTTTGTTTTCAAACATGCAACATGCAAGACACAGCACACCAAACAATTGGTCGACTTACATAGTTTTGAATCAAATCGGGATGATCTTTCTCTATGCCATCGTCAAGGATGGTTACGACAACATCTTTACCAGTAAAACCAAGACGCCAGGCGCCAGATATGTTCATTGCACGACCATGTTCATTCTCATCATGCTATTGACGAGGGCATATGTATGTTATTTCAACGGAGAAGGGATCAAACTTACCATATACCATTGTTTATCCCATTCAGGATCATTGAATGTCGATGAAAGAAATGACTTCATTCGTTGATAATACATCACATTCCGTTTGACTCGTTTTTTCACTTGCTGTTGTTCAGCCCAATCAATCAATGGATCGCTTTGGAGTTCTCTAACAAGTTCGCGATCTGATCCATTCGCTGAACGCTTTCGTCTTCGGCTATTGATTGCTTGACGGAATACGAAGTAATTCTCATTTGGTATAGCCTAAGAGAAGAATCGTTTTTCATCGAAAAATGAACTTTGACAAAAAATATAACATCCACATACTTGTCGTTCGAATTGTAATTGGTATTTCTCTGCTAGTAATCGTGCCGCCTGTTCGCCATCATTCACATGTAAAACGAATTCGTTAGTGAATTTAGTACTATCCAGTTTAACAAACGCGATGTTGATTAAGAGAATTAATCCAACGATAGCAATGATATGACGTGTAACAACAATACGCATGTCCTCGATAATGTCGCCGAACAACTTTCGGCCATATCACATTATATTTTGTCTAGTGGCCACGAGCAGCCTAAGACTTAAATATTTAATGCTTAATATGATTAACAATAGAAGAGATCAATTACTTATCTACAATAGACATATACTTAGCAATTATAATAATCGAATAGGAAGAAGAAGAGAAAAAATGCAAGCATCTTCAATTCCATCACAATTAATTGTCTAGCAATTGATGTCCAAGCATAAAAATTTCTTTTCTTTTCACTTGTCTTTCTCACAATGAACTAGTAGTTCTCTCTGGGGGAATTAACATAACGAGTGAAACAACGAAGAAATTAAATATGACAGGAATACTTTCGAACTGGACAAGGTCATATATCTTCTGAACCTAGTGAGATCTGTCATTAGCCTTATGATTGCAAATAACACTGAGCGATACATCGAGACGTTCGGCACACAGCTGGATAAGTGTCACTGTGATTATATATCGATCGATCACTAAATCTGACAGATTTCTTATTGCTGAATGAAATCACAATGTTTGATGTCTAAATGGATGATACTTATCTTGACTTACTGACCCACACGTTCATGATAATAAAGATGGATCATATATTTTCTTACGTCAGTAAGAAACAGAAAGACCTTCACATGCATACACACACACGCGCACACAGGAAATAGTTACACGGAATCAATCTACTTATCGTTAGTGATTTCATATTTACAGATGGCGGAAAATCAAGTGATGAGCAATTGCACAAAGAAATAGAATCGGCTCGATCAGCTTTCGTCTCCTGGTGTGTTTATACTATTAGTTCGTTCTACCTTGCGTCTATCATTATATTACATGATAATGATGATGATGAACGGCTGCTCTGTCCGCCGTCACGACCACCATCGGAGAGAAAATAAATTCGTTCGCACACAATGCAAATCATTTTCTCAATTGACAAACTTTTACATCATATCTCCGATTAAAAACTAACACTAACACCTAATCTATACTTTTTTCTCATATATAAAATATTAACTGCAAATGAAAGGGTAAGAGAAAAGAATTCTAACACAAAAACTTCGATCACAATAAAAATGTCAATGTGATACACAACACATCAACTATAATTCTCACAACGTGTAATAATCATCGATCGTTGCCTCTCTCGTTGTACTCTGAACCCTCGACATCTGCTACTCGATTTGTCACATATACATACTTGAGAAAGAAAGGGACATGTTTACTTATTCGATTGTATATGTATGCATCTTTTTTTCTTGTTCATTCAAACCAGATTTGTTATGTATACAGCAATGGTTTGATTAGTTCGGTTTTCTTTTCTTCTTCTCTCGATGTCAATTTTCAAAGGATGGAAACATTCAGTTAGACAGTAACTTCCGTTCTATTAATGAGATACACTTGTGTCGACTAGGAAGAGTTTTCTCTTCTTTTGTCAGCGACATTTTGATTGACACTAATTACTTTTTTTTCCGTTTCGTACTCATTGGAACAAGGTGTTCTAGTCTAGTGTCTCTCTCACTCGATCTTTATTTAACTTACCAGAATAACTACGAAAGAAAAATGTCCACATGGAGTAAATGTGTCGAGTTCATCTAGAAGGCATCTCTTTTTTCTCGCGTTCTCTTGTTCTTTCTTTCTTTCTTTCTCTCTCTCTCTCTATTCTCTGGTGTTCATTGTGTCCGATAATGATGTTGGATTAAATACCGATGGAATCGTAGCGTTGGCAGCTGTTCTTGCTCATGAGACGCGATGACAAGTGAAAGGAATGGATAATAGTAATTGATGAATAGAATTCATTCATCTAGAAAAACACACAAATAAACATACTACTTAAATCTTCAAAACGAGAATCATATGCTCGAGGGGAAATCAACTATTAGGAAAAGATCAATCATTGTCGCGAAGAAAGATAGAGAGAATATTTCCAAAGAGATGATTTTCTTATTCATTTATATTCTCATGGGATTGACACGTCAAGACCTTGGTTATGTCGTTCTCATTAACTACATCCGACTTTCATAGCTATTCACATCTCTATATGATGGTGAAAAAGGAAAGAAGAAGAAAGGAGTATGTTCATCGGAGAGAGAAAAGAGAGAACAATTAAACAATTGCGTGACTTCAAATATATGAAGATGATATTCGAATTAAAACTTCATCTTAAGACATATTAAACTCTTCAACAAGGCCATCTACATCTATCATTCTCCTTCTCTACATATTGGAAACATCACAGGGTAGAAACTACTGTTTATATGATGTAATTTTTCTCCTTCTCTCGTCAGATGTATATATCATTTGTTCATCAGATATCAGCATTTATCAAAAGCAGGTTTTTTCGACCAACGATGCATTCCATCTAACTCACATTAATCAGAATTGTACATTGCACTCTCTAGACTTGGTTATTACTAACCTTCAAACCTGGATGGAATTATCTAGGAGGAGAAAAAGCCAGAACTATACATTTATACTCCTTTCTAGAAGTATAATGGTGTTTTTATTCACTGATGCATACAGAAGGTGTAGATTTTCAGTTGGCCTTCGGGTCTAAAAGGAACACAAAAGTTATAATTTGACGACGACTTCCTCTCGCGATACTCGATGGTCCTTATGAAAATATTCAGTCCAACTATTAATGGCAAGTCAAACGTTAATAATATCTGAAGTGGGCCTCCGAAAGATGTGATCTTTAGATAGATGTAATTATACTATGTAGACATGATCATCTATTCAAATATTATTTTTCTATCGATGAAAAAGATCTAAATGACGTCCCCTAAAGTAAAGCAATTAGAATACGCGATGATTCTTCTTATTGACAAAGAAGAAGAAAAATAGAAAAGTTTACACACATGAAACGATTTGAAGTTTCTTAAGTAGACGTTGTTTCTTTAACGTCGAGTTTGAATCACTTACAGACAGACAGACAGACAGACAAACTGAAAATGTCCTGGTAGAATTTCATACACTTCTGTAATTGATAAGACGAAATTTGAAACGAACGGAGATATAATACACAACATCGAACTCGTCATCTGATTGTATATAATCTAAAATCAACGAATTGAAATCAAAATAAACATGTATTCGATCTAGACTCTTCAACAATACTAGCTTTATTGAAAATGGATCTCTTGTTTTCTTTTTTTTGATTAACATCTATCCTATCACTGGTTGTATGCATTTGGCCAATCAAACGGACTTGTCTTAACTTAACTTATAACTGATTCCAACAAAATGAACAATCTCTATCAATAGACTTTCTTCCATTATTTCCCATCAGATTTTTTCTTCTACTATCGTCATTGAAAGGGTTTCATCTAGAAGTTTTATTTGTTGACTATAGATGTCGCTGGAATCCACACCCGTAATGACGTAAAACCATTAATTATCTCTTCCTTCTTTCGTGATATTTTCTTGTGTAAAAAAATACATAGTTACTGTTGATTTTCGACAATAATCAACTGAGACCAAGATAAACAAAAAATAATCATAATAATAATAACAACAGAATATACACACATGCATCGTATTTTCTCGATCGAATACATATATGTATATCAATATATAGACAAGAGACAATGAACAAAGAGATATATCAGACACGTAGAGGATATTTTCACGACGGACACAAGGTATAGTGCGTAATTCGAAGGAGAGAAAATAGAGAAACCAAACTCGAGTATTCAAAGAACGGATTCTGTATTCAGAAAAAAAAGAGAAAGGAAAAAGAACATCGCGCATTGTGAAATCAAGATTTTTATTTTCCCGAGACAGACGAGGATGATATCGTTGATTGAACAGAAGCTTGACTTTGAAACACATTTGATGCTGATTCATTAGTGTTGTCGTTATCTGATGATTCCATAGTTGTTGTAGATGGAGGAAAGTTTGTTGTTTGAATTTGACATCGACTGAGAACAGGCGACGAGTTCTGTTGAACTGCCAATGTGGACGAATCCGGTTGAAGGAAATTAAAGCAAAGTATGGTGTCATCATGTGAACTCGAAACTATTTGAAATTCATCGAATTGCAGACGAAATACGCGACCCGTATGTTCAGTTAAGGTTTTTATACATAGTGATGATGCTTGTGAGCGTGGATCAAGTGCTGCTTGTAAATCCCAGACTTTAATTTTGCCATCATATGCACCTGAAACAATGTGTTTGGAATCGAAGCGAATGCACCGGACTAGTTCGTCGTGTCCTTCGAGAATACGTAAACAAGCACCACATTCGATATCCCAAACCTGAAAGAAGTAGAGAATTGAATTGTTGGTCTTACAAGGAGAAGTTAAACGAATCTTACTCGTATCGTGTTATCTGAAGATCCACTGACAACGATTTTGTCTCGATATTGTAGACAAGCAATACCACGTTTATGTCCAAGAAGTGTACGAACAAATTCACAAGTTGTTGTGTCCTTCAACGAAGAGAACTTAGTCGAGAAAACCGACAACATCTTTCGATTATCCCTACCCAAACTTTGATTGTGCGATCACCACTCGCACTGACAATATATTTATCATCGAAATCGACCACATTGACAGCAGCACGATGTCCAACTAAGACACGGCGTATTGATATATCAGTTGGTGAATTCATTTGCCAAACAGCAATCGAACGATCTTTCGAACATGTCACCATTGTTCCATTGATAAATCGAAGATGAAGAACTGCTTCACAATGATGTAGTAATGTATTCATCAATTCGCCAGTTTTAACATTCCATACTCGCACAGTCGAGTCCGACGAGCCAGTCACGATCACTTTTTCATCATACTGTAAGCATAAAACACTTCCATTATGTCCTGTTAATACTTGAATGCATTCCAGTGACTTCCTATTCCAAATCTTAATTGTGTTATCACGAAGACCACTAATAATCTTTTCATCATCGTATTGTAGACAATAAACGCCTTTGCTGTTTTGTGAACGACATTGAATTTTTTCTAATTGAAAATTTCCTGTTCGCCAATTATTTTCCAATTGTTTGATATCACGAAGAATTTGTGGGTATAACTGACGATAGAAATCATGACGTTTCGGTTTTTCACCATTAATTATCAGTTGACGAAAGAGATATTTCGACCATCCACGGCGGTCAGCTAAGCCGCGCCAAAGTGCGTTCGATAGAAACTTTCGTTCGATGAGTTTTTTCCATAACATACCTAAACACGACCGAAAGCAAACAGAAGATTACTCATAGGAATGTTTCATTCTGTTAGTCTGACCTTCTGATATCACGTGATACCACTCACGACAGACAAGTTCTGTTGATTTCAATGATTGATCATCTAGATATCCGAGAATTTTTTCTGCAACATGCACGAGACCCTGAAACGCAAGTCGGCCGACAAAATCTCTCTTTAACATTGGTAACAGATATGTATTGACTTGGCCATGCTGGTGGCTTTGCATTTGTTTTAGTAAATTCTCCACGAAGCATATTTGTTCATATTCATTCCATGTGGCAAATGTCTGAAGGTATTGTTCATTATTTTGTTCGTAGGTAGGTGTCGAGGATATTTTCGAAGGTGTGATACTGACTGGGATAATATCGTCGGATAACAACGACGAACTATTAGTTGAGAGAAGATTCATGGTCTAGAGTTTATGGGAAAGAATATGAATAAGAAAAAAAAGCGAAAGGAAGAAAAAAATATCAGATGAACATTAACAAATATCTAAAATGAAAGAAAGAAAAAAGTTGATGAGTTATTTTAGTAACAATGATGTAAGAGGAGAACAAGAATCGCGAAGATATGCCTTGATTTGTGTAGTTCAACTCGTACACGTTCGCCTTCTACATGCAGTTGGAAGGGTTAAAATGCAGAGGAGAGAAGAAGAAAAAAAGAGCTCAACACAATCAATATACGTAGTCGTTCTGCATCTTTCGACGACGGGCATCAAACACAAACATCGAACGTCATACTCTCCCTTCTTTTTCTCCCTTCTCTTCAGAGAAAAACAACATTGGTAACTATATAAGAAGGGTAAAAAATGAAGGTATGAAGAGGAGAGAAATGAATGTAGGAGTACTTTTACATGGACGTTAGTGATGACATCATTTGATAGAATAAAAAGAAAAGAAAAGACGAATGAAGAATTTGAAAGGAAAAAAGAATCGAGAAAATATTCATTTTGTTTCTAAGATAAAACAATAGAATATGAAAAGAGAGGATGACAACACGTTATCTTTTTTTTTCTTTCTTTCTTTTGAAATCAAATATTCATCTTTAACAAAAACGTCGTAAATCTATATTTGTACTCGTCGAGAACGTTTTACAAGCACAAAACTGTACACGCTGTTTGGTTGGTACATCAGACTCATGTGAGAACACAAATAGAAAAAAAAACAATCAAGTAAAACTAGAAGGAAAAGACATATTGCTTGTTTAAATATCCACTTGATTATCTAGTAGAAAAGAAAGTCTGTATTAGCAGTAATTTTTCGTCTTCTCCGTTCAATATAAATAAAGCTTTTCTTTAACACATACACACACATAACCGAACAAAGAAAAATATTAAATTTACAAATCTAACAGAGATAAACGCAGGAATATATACATAGAAAATATCTATATACAGAGGATCGATTGAAAGAGTCGGAAAAGCACCGGTAAGGAACGAAATGTTCTTATCCCCGTTAATTAAATAAAACATTTTTCTCTAAGATAGTCGTTGGTAATGGATTACATTCAGTATCCATGAGATGATCATCTTTACCAAAAAATGGCATGGTAGAAGATGATGATGACTGTTCATGGTATCGCTGTTGATTCGATAAATCCGCCATTTGTTGTAAATGTTGACAGTATTCTTGACTTAAACTTGTTGGCTTGTTCGATGAAACTAGATCGGGTGGCGGTAGAGGTTGAGAAAGATTCAAATCTGACGTTAGATCATGTGTGTCGTCGTTATTCATCGTTGATATGTCTTCATTGTCACTGGGAGAATCGGATTTGTACGATGTGATCGAACTAATCGGGACACTTGTTGTATGTTGAAGAATTGGATTCGGACGGCGAGGATTTAAGCGTGATGATTGATGATGCCGAGAACGGCGATGATGTCGATGCTGACGAGGACGCTGCGAAGAAGTTCCGATTGATGATGCACGACTTTCCGTACATTCACAACTAGAGAAAAAATTGAATTAGATAGAGACCTAAAGCGTAAATCTGATTTTGTTTTACTCGTTGACATGATAGCAATATTTATCATTATTATCGTCTGCAAAGAATGACCAGAGAAAGTTCACCGCACGATTGGATGGCGATGGTTCCACTGTACTCGATGACGGACGAAAAACGCCTAGGACTCTAGATCGAAATGAATTTCTAATCAACTGAAGAGTATTCTGAGTTTCCATACTTTTTCGTCATTGTATAAGTCAGATCAATTGGTAATGTGACTGGTAAGGCCATGAATGACCAGACTTTGTAGATTTTTGAATCTGTAAAGTACCGTCGTATAGGATCTTCTTCTTTTTGTCTAGCATCCGCAAAAACTAATGTAAAAAGAAAACTAACTAAAATAAATTCTTACATTTCAGGACAACTTACCAGCAAACAGTGATGTCGGCAATTCTTTCTTTCGTGTCACTTTCTCACAATATGGACTAAATGTTGCTTCGCTACTTGCTACGTTCGATTCTACATCGGAATGACATGATTCCTGATCTGAATATTCATCATTCGTCGATTCTTCTTCAACGTCATCTAATTGTTCGTACATTTGATGAGCGTCGACTGCAATACCACCATTACCCAGCTGTTTTTCATCATCATTAACTGGCTCGGTATAATCTTCGCCAAGGACAGACGATATGGTTGTTTTTGTACTGATATGAGACGAAATAACCATGTCTAAACAAAAAAATATCGATCAACAAAAAGACTGAAGTTTTTATTAGTTACTTCTCGTTTGTAGAAACTTCAAACCATCGATATATCCACGCCAACAAATCTGTTTCAATACTGATAGGTTCGGAGGAAATAAAGCTCGCGTCAGTCGATATAGATTCTCTTGTGTGCATGAAATATCTGTACCTATTGAACACAAAATCCGTACATTATTCGTTCTCGTCAACTATGTTCTTAGTTCTCACCACGAAAATCGACACTGTAAAACGATCCTGATTCATCTCTTGGACAAATATCACTTTCACCAGCAAATGGAGATACTAAGATGGTGCCTTCATCAATGATTGGATTATTATTTGTTAAACCTCCATCCCAATAATACTAGACAGATAAATAAACATGTGTCAGTTCTACTTTGAATCACGTCGACTTACTTCTCCACGAAATTTGTGTGGTATAATACCGGACCAATATGGAACAAAACTTGAACAAATTAACACTTGAATTAGCTCTTCTCGTGTTTGAAAGTGATTGATAACAACATTTTTATTATCTTTCCAGCGTGTCAATGATATGTACAAACGTCCGGAACATAGTTCATGTGCATTCGGTGGTAGAATTCTTCTTAAACCATTTCGAATGATATCAACAATACTGAATGTTGGATGTAGTGGACCTAATGCGCGACTTCGTGCACGTATTGCTATTTCCAGTGCATCACTACACATTTGTCCAAGACAACAGCCGCTCATTGCACAAGCAGCAACGAGTGAACCAGCTGAACATCCAGCCATTTTATTCTCCAGAACTTCAGGTGCATGCTCCTTGAATGCACAAATAACACCAATGTGATAGACACCCAGAAATCCACACCCAGAAAATGATAAATTAATTGGAGAGGACGATTTACAAACCATTCGTTAGAGTAATATAAGAAAAAATAAATCTAAAAGACAAGACTTTTTTTTGTGTCGCTTCATTTTTCGACATCATATGATGTACAAGTGCGCACGTTTATCAAAATTAATCGTCGTCATATTATCTTAAAATTGTCCGAATAGTGTTACTATCAGAATTATTTACTAAGAATTACAAGGGTATTTCGTTTTCTTCTGTAACTGAAGGTGTGTGAATGTGAAAGAGCATATGACCTCCCCGCATCACATGGAATAGGTGTGAGTGCTGATACCTTTGTCCCGAGGATTCTCTAGATAAGAAAAAGTAAAAAAACAAAAGTTCTGTTATCTCGTCAGTAAACAGAATTCGAATGATCTAGAAGGATACTTCTGTTCGATAGTGATTTGTTTTTAAACGAAAAAATAGGAGAAATATTGGAAATTACCGTTCTAGATTAATAACCGACATGTCTACGATGAATCACATGTCACATCTTGTGAAATATATTTAAATAAAACAGAAAAATAACTATGTACACGACTGGAACAGAAGGATGAAAGTAGCAACCAATGAAATAAGAAGATACAACCACCTACATACATACACATACATTTCTCAGCGAAACAGAAAGATGTCATCTGTGTACTTGAATAGATCTCATCAACAATCGGACTGAGAAAAAAAAAACTTCCCATTCTTAAACAGTCTATCTATCTAAGCGTTAAAAAGGGTATCATAGTTCTTAATGTTAGGCTGATCTCCTGAAAAGTTTACAAAATCGTTGTCAGTTACATAATCCTTGTCGAAAGTGAGAATAGGTTGATTTACTTGCGTTGTTTCTTATTATTAGTGTGGATATACACGATTTATGCAACTGATCAGGCCGGAATATGACCAATAACATTTTTTTTGTTACTTATTACTTACCTAAAACGATGTTTCACCTTGATGAAACGAAATAATACAAACATACAGAAACAAAATCCAGTACTGTGATTGTAAAGTTTGATTTGACACAGATATACACTACAATCAAACATGTGTGGATAAACAAGTCGAGAAATAATGTTGATACCTGTCTCGTTGACAATAAATCGTACTCCTTCGAGTTCTATTCGTATTACTTTGAAATTTCAATAAGCTATACGAAATAGTTTACGTCGTTTTTTTTATACCGATGTTTAATATCTCTCGTTTGAGATTCGAATGACATAACACTAAATCATGTCAAGTGAACATTTCATAAATAGTTTTCTGCACATGAAATGTTCGTTAATGTCAAGGTTAAATGTAGTTTATAACTAATCATTTCAATCTTCATATGTGATCAATACACTTGCAAAACTTTTCCTTTTCAATCGGCATTTCTTAAAAGAAAAAGTGTCATATTTTTATGATGGTACCAATAGAATTTTCATCAACCGTGGTAGACCTTTTATGCCTATAAATGTGAAGACAAAAATGTTAACAATCTGTGGATGTGCTATCCTCTCTTTTGTTCTACAATCGGTTCTTTATGTATCTCGTGTCTGTTCTGCAACAGATACGATTGGTACTCTAATAGTTATAAGCATTCGTCAATGTCAGAGACAGGCAACTCTTTCGTCGTTGTTATTACCATGTACAAAGAGAAAAAATAGTGAAACAAATACTTCGATTTATCCACAAAGATATGTGTTCGTCGTATGAATAGTTTACATATCGCGTATGGAGGTGAAGAGAAACAGAAACTTATTCGTTATTGAGCTAAGGCAATGTCGTTGCTTTTCGTCGACTATTGAACGAAAGAGAACTTCTAACCCCTATCGTCATGTGATGGTTATATACCTACAGGACACATATTAACTGTTTTTTTCTCTCTCTCTCTCCTCATCGCTTGTTCTTCCGTTTTCTCTTTCCTTTAATACATTGTATGAGAGAATAAGAGCAATTCGGGCAATGAAAATTTCTTTCACATGTAATATGATCGACTTGTATCTCTGCTGAAATCAGTAATAAGAAAGTTTTTCGTCTAGATATTTGATTTTGACTGCAAGCTTCTTATTCAATGAATATTTATCTTTTTACTTTTAAACATGCTGAAATTATGTTCTCGTGTCTCTTCTATCAAGTATCATTATCAACTACGTGTTAGTTATGAATTACAAATGTATGTTCTCAAATCGTTGAGAGATTTATTATTATTAGCCCTGGAATTTTTCATCGAAAACACCATGGTACAAGTCGTATCAACTCTTCGGCACAATCGTACTCCATTACGTGACCTTGGCTATGAGTTTCTAGTGTATATCAATGCGGATAGAATCGCTTTCTTTAACGATCCAGTTAGTGTAGAACATTTGGCTATTATCTGGGTAATTTTCTGTTTTCTACATGGTACTAAAGGTTTAACCGTTATTCAGAAAGGTGCACGGTGTCTGACTATCGCTCGTTCACTACGCATTTGTATGTTCTCATTAACGCTTCTGCCATCTCCAAAGCCTTGGTGTCGTTTTACTGGTCCTATCAATCCATTCCGAGCGCATGTTGGCGGTATTTGCAATGACTTACTCTACAGTGGACACGTTGTTATCTACACATTGACAGCAATCTCATTTACACTTCTATCTCGAGAATATTCCCTGAAACTCTTACGTTTTAGTCTACGAATTTTCACGTGGTTCTACGTGTTTCAGAGAATTATATGCACAATATTAGAACGACATCATTATTCTATAGATATGGTTCTAGGTTTTATTGTCACAATATTAATATGGCAGTGCAAAGCGTTACACAGGGATCTGCCTAGGGTGCCACACAATTTATTTTTACATTTAAAACAATTGTTTTGCCCAAAAGTTTATTCGATTCTCAAAGAAGTGTAGCATGTGACCAGACACAGCATGATTCACTAGGATTTTTTGAATAATTGATCTACATCACGACGTTCCCAGATCTAAATACAGATATAAATATATATTTTGATTATTAAATAAAGAATGATAAATTATTACTTGTAAATACGATTCGGAGAGTGTGATCATCTGTGGTAAGACATCAATCACGTGTAAATCTTGCAATTCATACCAAATGCCTGAGCCCTAGGCGAAGAAAGAGAAAGAGAATATCGAGTGATGTTTTCACACTTTTAGCAAACCTTATGCAGAACATGAACGCGATAGGTACCTTTTCCTACAAATAGAAATCTTCAATAGACAACAATGGAAGATGCAAATGTAGAACTGACCTGGTTCGCCATCGTGAACAACATTCGAAATCAGATCATAAGTTGTCGATGGACTTTCAGTGAGCGCCGATGGGTCAATACGATGTTCAGGCAACAATTCACGAAGATCCACGTTTCTAGAATAGTTACAAAACGTTTTTTTCTTCCGGCCAGTATCAGCGAAAACAACGTTTTACTCAAGTATTCAAACTACATTTACTCTCGCTAATCTCTTTGTTTCATATAGTCATAAGATTTACTGAAATTTACGAAAAAAGTGTTCTAATTAATTGTGAATATCGGACGCCGAAAACTTTCATTTTTCTCGCTATGATACATACTTAATTGGAAAATTGACAATTGTGGGATTCTTTTCCAAAAAGAATGTGTTCTTCGTAAAACGCTGAAATGAAAACAAGAGCGTTGACAATCAGTTTCACGAATTATATGTCTTACTCGAAAGCATAGAATCAAGTACGGTGGTAGTTTGATGATTTCATAACGTCTGAGAAAGTTATCCTTGTGTGTTTTCAGTTCTTGTGCTGTTTGTCCATCGAATTTGGTTAGAATTTGAAAAAGTGGCACTTGTGGAATGATGCTTTCTTTCAGTTCGTCTCGAAACAGTGGTGGCGGTGGTAAATCAACAGATAAGAACAGATACGGTGTTTCTTCACTTGATTCTTCAGAGAAAAATTCGTAGTCATTCGCATTGTAGATGTTCAATAGGCTTACCTTGGTATTCTTCGGTTGCAAGTAGTTTTCGTTTCTCATCTTCGCCCTAATAGGAAAGAGCAATTTTCAAATTTGAACTTTGCATTTGATACTTACCATATCAACAGGTGGAATTTTTCGTGTGTAAACTCTCATTTTGCCTTGGAAAGCTTTGTAGATAATACTACTATTAGCGCTCTTCGTTCCATTCAACGTCAAGTGAAGACTATTGAGTAGCCATGCAAGAAATTCGACTGGGTCACCTTGCTCCGTGATCTGAAAGCGTTTTTTACTACATTTAACAACTGCTTGTAACATTTCATGTGGCGAAACGTGAGCTTTGAAATTTCTCGGATTCCATAATTTGCGAACTAATTCACCGAAACGTTTGACAAGATTGACCATTATATCACCAGGTGCAACACGTATATCAGCATAATTATCTTCTTGAAGAAAATAATCACGTAGCGGGCCAACATTTATCATCGCCTAAATTTCCAACGAAGAGAAAGAGTTTTCGCGATGAAGAAATAATTTACTTGTAATATAACATTGCAGTAATCATTTGCTTTGATATTATTCAAACCAACGATACCTAAAAGTGTACACTGGATAATGGAAATCAATCATTGAAATGTTCACTTACCAGGTAGATATAGAGTTCCATCATAAGCACGAACCATTTTTTCATTTTTATCTAAATTTTCTATTTGTTCATTTGAATACGTTGGATTCAAGACATACTAAACAGAAAATCCAAATGATATACACATCGAACATGAAACTTTCTCATACTTTAATATCATCTAATGACGAATCGATAATTTCATAGTTATCCGGTAGACAAAAGATTTGTAACGAAAGCAGATTGATAAAAACATGATGTTCTGCTTCTACACTATGTGTATATGCACACGATTTCTGTCCTCGACCTAGAACAAACGAAGGACTTGTATTTACCACTGAAAACATTCGATAAGTAACCTTGAAAGTATTTGCCGCACACTAAACAGGCATAGACGTTGTTATTCAATAGTGTAATTGAACAAAGCTTCTCAAAATCGAAGTCTAACACACTCCTACGATAAAAGTTCAACAACATTATTTTCTCATTCAATAAGCGAAACATACCGATTAATTGTATCTAAGTATGGACAGTTTCGACTACGACTATCCACTACCGTTGGTTCCGCTTTAATACTTGTATGGATCATCTCCCGTAATGTTGTACCAACAACCGGTACACCTACCATATGAAAAAGAGAGGAATGGTGGATTGAACAATGCATAAGATGTGTGCGTACCTTTTTTCTTTTTTGCTACGGGTTGATAGCCAGCATTGTTGACTGATGGACTTGGCTCATAGGCTCGTTTGATACCTTGAATTTGTTTAATATTTTCACTCATCTAGAAATGTTTCATGAGAAGTTTTATTGATTTTTTTTGTTAGTAAAGTTGATAATGTTTTATTGTTGTCTCAGGAATATTGAGCAACAGGCAAATAAGAAGGAGAACAAAAGAAAACGAAAAATAACACTTGAATAATATTAAAAAAGAATTTGTTATGTTTTTTTTTGTGGTAAAACGTATTTCTAGGATTCAATATTCTATAATTATAAGTACAATCCTTCCGGTGTTCCTTGATTCTTTCGATAGAGTACAGTTTCTTTACTCTTGCGAAAGTCTTCGTTAGTGACTTTCATTCGACGTTCACGTAATGCCATCAAACCCGATTCAGTGCAAATAGCCTAAGAAGAAAGATGCTCATAGGACTTGTTCTCTTTCGGAAAGACAAAACAGACTTTGATATCGGCACCACTCAGATCGTCTTTAGCCATGATCAACTCCTCCAGATTAACATCGTCGGCTAATGTCATACGGCCAGTGTGGATTTTGAAAATCATTCGACGAGTTTTTTCGTCCGGTAGCGGAAACTCAATTTTTCGATCGATACGGCCAGGTCGAATCAAGGCAGGATCAAGACTGTCAATTCGATTGGTAGCCATAATGACCTACAAGTATTACGTTTCCTTATTAAGTCATTCCACACAATCGAAACTTTTACCTTTACATCACCACGTGAATCAAATCCATCGAGTTGATTGAGTAGTTCTAACATAGTACGCTGAATTTCTCTTTCACCGCCAGAATTGGAATCATAACTAGATAAATCAAGTTGTGATCAAAACTTTTCTAAGAAAAAACTATAGATAGGTACCGTTTCGTGCCAACAGCATCGATTTCATCGATGAAGACGATGGCCGGTGCATATTCTTCGGCTACTCGGAAAAGTTCTCGAACGAGTTTTGGTCCATCGCCCTAAAAATTTCATCGTCAATAGCTACAAATCTCAAATAAAACAGTTCGTACCAAATATTTTTGAATTAATTCCGAGCCAACAACACGTAAGAATGTCGCCGATGTTTGATTAGCCACGGCTTTGGCTAATAGAGTTTTGCCTACAGCATATCAAACATTCAGATAGACAGTTGCGATTATATAAATTACCTGTTCCAGGTTGTCCATAAAGAATAACGCCTTTTGGAGGCTTTATACCCATTTCTTCATAGTATTCAGGGTGAGTTAATGGTAGTTCTACAGCTTCCTGAAAGTAAATACGAAGTTTAGACAATAGTATGGATATTTCTTTTGAGACTCTTACTTTAATTTCTTGGATTTGGGTTGTCAATCCACCAATATCGGCATACGTCTCTTTGGGAGCTTTTTCTAATTTCATAACTGCAACCATTGGATCGACATCATCGCCTAACACACCAATGACCGCATGGACCTAGAAAGAATTCTAAATTGATGATTATCTTCTTCATGAAGGAGATATTTTACTTTATGATTTAGTAGAACAGTGCATCCTGGTTCAAGTTGATCTTTGTCAACGAAGGACATTATTGTTACGTAATGTTCCGAACCAACGGAAGTGGATACAATGGCATGATTATCATCGATAATCTCTTCTAATGTTCCAACTGCCATAGGTGATCCTCTGAAAAAGCAGAAGCAACGTTTGCTTGACCATTTTAGTTTTTTAATTTTTTTTACATACCGGATGTCATCAACTTTCGAACGTTCTTCCTATAAATAAAACGAAATTTAATGAATAAGGCATATTAGATTTCTCTTACTTCATGACGATCTTCTTGAGGTTTCAAACGCTCTTGATTTTTAATGAATTCTTCTTCGAGCAATAGATAGTCTTTGATACGTTCGAATCGAAGTTGTTTTAGCCGACAACGTGTGTAGGGTAACACTTGAGGTAATTTGTTTGCTGCTTCGGGGCCCTTGGTATTCTTTTTTCGTTTACCTATTCGAGTTGGAATTGGCGGTTCGTATTTCTTTTTCTATAAAAGACTTTTTCAATCAAATGGGAACGGATCTTTCACACTTACTTCTTTGTCACCATCGCCTCGTCTCTGTCCACCTGATCCTTGATTTCCCTAAAGAAAAACGGCGTAGTCGAATCAATAGGACATCTAATTCTCGTACCATCGTTCACGAATATTTCCAAATAATTTATCTGAAGAACAAAGAGGAAAATAGATAATTAACACCGATCATACACAATACTAATATAAATAGAGTTTTTATTTCCTTTTTGAAGTTGAGCTTGTCATGCTAAAGAAGGAACGATCACGCGCACAACACAAATATATGAACACACATAGAGAAAAATTAACGAACGTAGTTTTTAATATTTGCTTTTGTAGACCTATCAAATATATCTGTTGTTCTGCCTATCTAATCAACGTGTGTAGCAGGTGATACATGAGGTATAGCGTGATGCACATGATCACCATTACTAGCAGTTTCATTTGTCACCGACAAACAATCATGACGTGAAGGTCGTCGAGTTTCCATGTCATGCTCAACTGCTTCTTCCCATGACTCGTGTTTGACACCTTCAGCTAAGTGTAGAAGTTTGATATGCACAGCCATGACTTTTTCATTCTTCGGCGGCATTAGCATTTTCTTAAAGGAAACAATGTCGCCTTTTTTCGGTACATAATCATCATCGATACTAAATTGATTAGACAGTGTATACGATGGAGAAAAGAACGATTTCATACTCAGAGACGTGTGCAAAAATCACTTGACTCGGGTTGTCTTTAGGACGAATATAACCATGACCTTTTTCTCGGCAAAATTCTTCAATCGTGCCTTCGTAGGATGGACTTTGTAGCGCCCGCTCACACCTGAATAACAGATCAACGATATATATCGAATTAGAATATATACACAAAGAAGTTATTTGAAACTCACTGAGAAAGTGTTCGTTCTCGTCGTGGAATAATTGGATGTGGCAGATGATCACTCGAACGAGGTGAAAGTGATACGCCAGATGGCGAACGAGACATTGTTGACCGTAGGATAGAAAATATTTAATCTGAAACACACATAAATTAAAATCTATTTACAACAGAGTAGAAGAGATTTTCTATATCGAAGCTATTAGTTTTGTTATTTATGATCAGACATTGAAAATATCACCTATTCAATATGCCTATATGGATCAAACCATTCGTTGAATTCTATGTTAAATTGAAGAAAAACATCCGTTCAAGTTCAACGAAGATCTATTTTATTTATCTGATCAGATTTCTCCATCTTCTGTTGCCGATAGTGACTTTGTTCTTGCTGATACATCGACAGTGGCTTCGTCTTCCATTGCATCTGTACTCTCCGAATCCATTTGGTCTTGCGGTAATAAAGCAGCAAGATATGGCAATGGAGAAGTCGTATTTTTTATTAGAAAATAATCGTTGATATTTGCTCCCTGATTGTTGATAACAGAAATTTTCTCATTGGTCTGTAGTTTGAATTTCACTAAGGATCGCTGCAAGGCTCGACGTTGGTCAGCCAGCAATTGTCGAACGCGCGGATAGTCTTTTCGTAGATCTGCATAGGTTTCGCTAGATATAAATGTATGAGGATCGGGAAATTCTGGAAGAAAATCCGGAATATAAATAGGCCGATGTTTACGCGAAGAATTATCATTTGTCGTATGTGTTACTCGAAATAATTTCGTTGGATGTGTTTCTGTTTGACGATCTGGTGAACGGAGACGATGCTTAATCGGTTGATTACACGTTTGGTGTAACAATGATGATTTGACATTCATCATTTGTAACGAACGTGCAATATCAGCTGGACACGGTTCGGTACGTGATTGAACTTCCGTCAGATTTTTAACGTTGAGTAATAACCGACGAAGTATTGTATTGGATACATCGAGAATTTGATGATAGGCACTAAGTTCAATATTATCAAAGCCATACTCGCGAATGATCAGTGCTAATGAACGTTCGAAAAGAACATCATACGGACTATCAGAGTTTGTATCCATTATTTCAAATAAATAAAATCTATATGAATCAATGAATCTTTATTTGCGAAATAACGACGATAATGAGTAGACAAGAGAGTTAACAGCCAATCAGAATTAATGAAAATTTTTCTTATCTAGCAACTAGTGACATCACGGACGAATTCCTGTGAACTGATATGACACTGATTTATGCGTGAAAACAAGTTCACCCGGATTATTTACATACATCAAATGTAAATGAGGACATTCAACTGTGACTTCTTACAAAATCAGACGATTCTATTTCATTTGATTGATACAAGAAGATTGAAGACATATCGTCTAATATAGCACTTTAGGATGGCATTGCATCGACAACAAACATAGATGACAGTACAAAGATGTTGATGTGTTATTGATTATATCTTAAATAGATTCTATTACTCGGTCATCAACTAGGGAAGAAACTGTGAGATGAGAAGAGATATTTATTTGTAATATGAGTTAACAACATCGAGTTTTTGCTTATCAAATAATGAATATATCACACATGAATTAAATGTTTTGATTTGAATTTTTATTTTGTCTCTTGAAGAAGAGATTGAATCAAACAACTAAAATCGAACTCGAAAGAAATTGCGAATCATCTAGGACTTATTCGACGATTCGATGCATATTGTATCGTGTTTTGATTGTTTACGATGCGATGATTGTGTTTTGTTTGGCGAAAAAACTGATTTCCGCTTTAATGTACCAGACAATGTTGAATCGTTGCTATGAGAAGATGTTTTCTGTAGATGATTATCTGGCTGCGGTGTTAAGACCGTATCTATCGATGATGATTCTTCACTTGTTATTGTCACGGATGGCGATGTTTCTACCGATGATGATTTTTCCGAGAGAACATCGGTTGGTTGTTGAACAAGACCCAACGAATTGAATAGCTGCTTTTCTTTACCAGATGATGTGGCTGTTAGTGATTCGTCAGTGGGGACGAATGAATTGTGCCGAGGAACGATGGGTGAGGGTGAAGATGGAGATGTTCGCTGAGAATTCATAGCGGGGCTGTCCAGATCATAGGGACGAAATAGTTTTGATTTGGGTTTTGGTGGTTGTGATGTTGCCTGTAAAACAAAGACAAATTTGTCTATGGAACATTGCAAAGATTTTTTTACTTCAGATTTCTCGTCAACTTTGCCTTGTATGGGAGCACTATTGAAATGAGATCGATAGATTCATAGATATTATTGTTCGTCCTACCGTCCTATGACGTCAGCTGCTTTCGTATTTGGAAATAGCAATGATGTGGGTAATGGTATTCTAGGCTGTTGTGCAAGTGACTGAAAATATGCAGATGGAGGAAACGGACCGGATGACTGCGGTGCCATGAAACGGTATGGTTCGGAGCCATCGAAACGTCTGTAGATAGAAAAAGAATGACGTATAATCATTCGAATAATGACCATCAATTTCGCTACCTATTCAGAATAGGTAAATTGACATTCAGACTATCAGATCCAGGGTAGTTTCGAAGGTAATTCCGTCGCATATCTTCTCTTCGTTCTACCTAAAGTGGATAACATTTCAAATCTACTGGCAAAAGAAGAGAAAAACAAAATATTTACTTCTTGAACGTATTGTGTATATAATCGTAGAGCTTGTTCAGGTGACATTGAATTATTTACATGCGACATAGGTGGCTGAATGCAATTTGGAGTTCCATTATGATTTGCATCTAAATAAGGGAGAATACAATCGACGATCGAAATCTGACATCGAGCTACATCTAGGAACGTACTAATTTTATTCTTTTCTTCCACGTTTTCAGCTAATCTTTTTAGCGCATCGGCAAAACTGTTTGTCGGTCCCGATTTAAGTCCAGTAAACGGTGGATTTGAAGATGCCGACCAACCGAAGGACATCTGGAAAAGACATTAAATTGTCAGATTATTGCAACTACAATCAGTTGATTGTTCATATATATATTGGTGATATATACGCACTATTCTACGTTAAGATGACATGGCAGACGGATAGGTGTGCTAATGAACTGAAGATATGAATAAGAGATAGAATACCACAATATCGTTAGTCAATCGATAGAGGAGAAACGTAACAAGGGTACCAGAACTAAAACGATGGCTTCCTAATGTGTCTGTATCTATCTCAGAATCTGTTTTTTTTTATACCATAGTACAATATCGAGAAAAAAGACAGAATATAAAAGAAGAGCGAAGAACTACGTGCGTGGTATTGTTCTTTTTCTTAGACATCAAATAATGAGTTTTTAAATTTCGAATTAGAATATTTATACTAGATCATGAAAAGCAGAGCTTGAAGGTCATTTTCCATTTTCATGCAATAAAAGCAAAAATGGATTTGCTTAGAAAGTTCCATATAGGAAACATCTGCGTTACCACAGATCAAACGTGTAATGCAAAAAGTGTGTCGTACGGTTGATTTTTGCCATCTTGTCGATATGTGCTATCACCGATCACACATACTGACCGTACATAGTGTACCGATTAGACGGATAGAAGGTGACAGAGGCAAGAATTGAGAGCAAGGAGAGGAGAGAAAGAGAGCGACTGCAGTCAAAAAGCTAGTTGTGTACATATTGAAGGCGAAAAAAGTGCGAGCCGAGAACCCTAAAATTATTTCAAGACAATCTACACATCATACCTTGACATGGATAGAATCTAAAAGAATTAAAGACGATTGATCTAACGTGCCAATGACAAATGCTTGTTACTTCGATTGAAGCAGTAGTTATTCTATTGAACATACATACTTCTGTTTTCTCTTGAATGAGTATGAAACGGAAATAGCCATCTTCCTCCTTAAAACGCCTTTTCAAGTGTCTTTCTCTATCTTGACGAGAAAACGCAAGTATATGTTCATTGCCGAAACGATTTAACGCATCATCAATATTTCATACACACGTACGCATAGAACTAAAAGAGCGAGAGCAATCAACGCCTCTTCTTTTCCTCTTCGCTTGCTTTTCTTCCGACCCACTCACTCGTTCACTTTACTTTCTTCTACTGTCGCCAATCAATAGATGTTAGAAAAGGCACAGACAGACAGAAGATCGAGATCGAGTAAGTTGATTAAATAAGAAGCAAAGAGAGAAAATTAGTCTGAAAGAAATGATTGAAAGAGAGTATACATTGACTTGCTACAAGTTTGAGGCAATTCGACCGATCATCGAATGACTATATGTGAACTGCGGGATAATGCTATTAGATATTTAAACAATAGTATTGAGCTTGAAAATTTGACATCTGATTGATAGAGAATAAATTAAATTCAAACTAACACTGTCGCGATCATTTAAAGAAAAAACGACACAGACTATGCTGTCATATGATAGACAAAAATCATTTAGTGAACTTTTGTTATCGATGGAAAAAAAAGTCTTGTATTCGTTATGATCAAAACAAGAATATTTTTGTACTTTAGAACATTCTTTCTTAGTCAGCATATTTCAAGGACAAAGAACTGTCGTTGAGAGTTCTCATATTAATTGTTAACACGATTTAACATTGCATGAAGAAGAAACAATCAAATTTCATTGACATTCTTCGACTATTTCCTACCAATGAATAACTATCGTCAAGTGTTTAATACTAAAACTAATGACGATTGCCGACTATCAAGGAGAATGATTGAATTCTCACTCATATGGAGTCGCTTTAAACTTCATCAACATGATGACGGGTCCTTAGCAACGCCCATCTAACGTTGAAAATGGCCGAAAACAAATAATTGCCAGAAATAACAAAAATATTGTTGAATTGTAGTTCTTTTTATTTTTGAGAAAACTTCCGAACATGGCAGATCGTACAAGAGTACCCAACATGCTTGATAGTTTTATGTATTATCAAAAGAATCCAACACCTCCATATCCCGGTAGAAAAATGTTAATCGAATCGATTTCAAATTCGATTTCATCCTAGGTTATGGAGTACCACCCACTTATCTTCCTAATCAAACCAACGGTCAGCCATATATTGCACAAGTTGGACTGGATCCTTGGTAGTTATTCATCCAGTTACACATGTATCATTCTCTTGTTCCTTTTTTTTTCTACAGGCCAGTCAATGTGCCTGCTTGTCCACAAGAATATGAAACACATTTTCCACTCGGTTCGATGCTGAATAATTCGATGTTAGTTTTGTACTTTTGATCGTATTTTCTAGGTACTGATTACTGGTGTACACCGGAATATAAACAAATTCCGCAAAATTTCAATCCAACTGAGCCAACGTTGATCATACGTGAAAATCGTGCGAAACCCGGTGTCAAACTTACCTACACTGACAAAGGAGCGGAAAGTGATCCACGAATATTTCGTGCTGGTTACGGCACATCCTCCGACGTTCCTGCTCGACCATACTACGCTCAGCCATGGTTAATTAGCGAGATTCGCAAGGTTAAACATTAACAATCGATATTTTCAACTAATTCATCAGATTCAGACCTTATTTTTTTCACATAAACAATAACATTAATACATATACACGTAATGACAGACAGACAGACAGAAGAAAGAAAAGCAACTGAGAATGAAATGATCATTTACGTTTAGTATTCTCCTTCGTCTTCACCTTCAGCCGGCGCTGTATCTGCTCCAACTTCTTCGTAGTCTTTTTCTAACATTGCCAAATCTTCACGAGCCTCACTATTTTTTCAGAAATAAACAAATATTTATTCATATGAAATCTCTGCACGTATCAATCTTACCTAAATTCGCCTTCTTCCATACCTTCGCCAACGTAATGATGAACAAATGCTCGTTTAGCATAGAGTAAATCAAACTTATGATCTAGGCGAGCCCATGCTTCTGCAATAGCAGTTGTATTTGCCATCATCTACGAAAGATAATACAAAAATATCAACAAATTTCTCAGAACAAGGTCTACTTACGCAAGCAGCACGTTGAACTTTAGCGAGATCACCGCCGGGTACAACTGTTGGTGGTTGGTAATTGATTCCAATTTTGAAACCTAACACATGCATAGAACAGTGTATTCCAAATATTTTCAAAACTACGTCATACCAGTTGGACACCAATCAACAAATTGAATGTTTCGATTTGCTTTCAATGTTGAAATAGTTGCTATATAGAATTCGAAGATTCGACTGATTGGCGCAACAAAAGAAAGAGCGATTACCATTAATATCTTTTGGGACAACATCACCTCGATAGAGAATGCAACAAGCCATGTATTTTCCTGCAGATTGAACCGTACAATTTCTCATATACTTATCTGTTTTTCTTACCATGCCGTGGGTCACATTTGACTAGTTGATTTCCCGGTTCGAATAAGGCTGATGTGACTTCTGATGTTGTTAACTGTTCATGATAAGCCTTTTCCGCTGATATTATTGGTGCATATGTTGTTAAAGGAAAATGAATACGCGGATATGGAACGAGATTTGTTTGAAATTCTGTTAGATCAACGTTAATTGCGCCATCGAAACGAAGTGAAGCAGTGATCGATGAAATGACTTGTGCCTGAAAAGTGCATTCTTTTGTCAAGCTGATTTCTGTTTCTCCTTTATCTTTTATTTACCATAATTCGATTCACATTTGTGTAAGTTGGCTTTTCCAGATCCAAATTTCGTCGACAGACATCATAAACTGCTTCATTATCGATACAAAAACAACAGTCCGAATTTTCAAAGGTACTATGTGTAACTAAAAAGAACAACAATGGTCTAGAAATTCATCAATAAACTCACCTAGAATGGAATTGTATGGTTCAACAACTGCTGTAGCTATGCGTGGTGCTGGATAAACAGCAAATTCAAGTTTAGATTTTTTCCCATAATCAACAGCCAGTCGTTCGATAAGCAATGAAGTAAAACCTATTCAATTATGTTTAGCATAAGATCAGGTGAGTCGATGATGGTCAACAAACCTGAACCGGTTCCACCACCAAAACTATGAAAGACAAAAAATCCTAACAAGCCAGAGCATTGATCAGCTAGTTTTCGAATTCGATCAAGTACCAAGTCGATGATTTCTTTTCCAACCGTATATCGACCTCGAGCGTAGTTGTTTGCGGCGTCTTCTTTGCCCGATATTAATGTTTCAGGATGAAATAATTGACGATATGTGCCCGTTCGTACTTCATCTACTCTCAAATAGTTAAACACAAAATCAGTTTTCAAAGTCCTGCAACTCGTTCCTACCAATAACTGTCGGTTCGAGATCAATGAAAACCGTACGCGGAACATCTTGAACAACACTCGATTAGTCAGTGAATAGAATTAAATAAACTTACATTTTCCTGCTCCTGTCTCAGCAAAAAATGTCTGAAATGAGTCGTCACCTGATCCCAATGTACAATCTGTTGGCATCTGTCCATCCGGTTGAATCCCATGTTCGAGACAATACAATTCCCAGCAAGCATTGCCGATCTGTACGCCACATTGTCCAATATGAATCGATAGACATTCACGCTGATATCGTATGAATAGAATTGACGTAAAGGANGATTGGATATGCGAGTAACGAATTCGCGTAGATCAGCAAGTTTCTTGCCTTGAATTGTTGATGCTGAACCGGAGAATTTGTCATCGAAATCTTTCCGTAATTGCTTCTGCGCACGAGCACCGTCTTGAAGTACACGACCCACAGTGATCATGTGTAGATAACGTGTATCGGAATACAATTGATCACTGGTTAGCAAGCGCACAGCTACTTTGTCTTGAGTGGTGGCGTCGATCTTTTGTGCTTCGCGAAAATGCTCACTAAATGTTGATGTTGGCACTTCGATCCGATTGAATTGTATGTCTATTAAAGCACAAGATAGAGTCATTTCGATCTCAAATTAATTGTCTTACTGAAAACTTCGTCAAGTAAAGCTTCGTATGTTGCTGGTATCATCATCGGTGTAATCAAATCAGTTGTGCGATCGATTAGAATCATATTTTCTATTTGTGTCGGCACCTTCTTCTCGTTATCAGGCACTTCACGTTGCATTCTCATCATCGTATCGTAACACTGTTTAGCCTTATCACCTTTGACAAACACGTTCGGAATAATTCCATATAATTTCTGAAATGTTATAAGACCATGGGCAAGATTGAATAACGATGTGGTTTCATTATTCAAGTAAATATCACGAAAACAATCATTCGATTCCATTGATAATACGTCGGTATCAATGGGAATGAAATCTAAGTTTAATTCATCGATGATGATATCACCACGAACACCTTGTTCTTTCAGTTTTTCTTCGCAAACACGCGAACGACGTGGTACGAAGATAATTCCATACTGTTTTGGACTTGCACCTTTCGATCTTTGAGCATTTAATTTGTTAAGTTCATCTTTAATCATATTGGCAATGACTTCCATATAAACAACTTTTGGTCGAACAAGAAACAATGTTACCTTATAGTCGGATGTATCATGTTGACGTTCTTTGAATATTCGAATATCGCTCGCGCCCAGATCTCCGATAGCTTGAACGTGTGCAAGTAGATTTTTGATCGAATCATCGATAATCACACATTTGTCTTTAGTGAACTGTTTTGGTAGGTGACTTTTCTCTGTATGAAATAGATTTGTACAACGCTTGATTTCTTGAATGATATATTCACGGAGAATAGTTAAATTGATGCGACCGGTTTTTAAAAATGTGAAGTCTTGTTTGGCAGCTGTTCCTGCTGCGGCTGTTGTTGTCGTTCTTCCTGACATAGGCACAGAAATGATGGCAAAGAAAACAAACAACTAGGACTAATGAAAGTTCATTGAATAGGAAAAGAAAGAAAGAACGATGAGCGCTATGAATTCAATTGTGAGTGCATTGATGGTAGCGCTATGACAATGTCAACCAATAGTAACGAAGACGCTAAATTGTTGTCTATCTATCTACCTCAATCGATGAATCATCGAGATCATAACGAAAAAGAGAGCACTGGAATCTTCAAGCACTCCCAGTTGTACTTATTTTTGAGAAGATTTGCTAAGATTGAATTGTGTAAAATCCTCCTATTGACTATTGTATATACACAAAACATAATTGAAACTAAACATATCTATTGACTATCTACATATGCAAATTTATCTTTTAGATTTGTCATATGATAAAGCAAAGTTCTGAATAAAGCGAACGATGCTACAAGGTACACCAAGTATTGCTGAAGAAGATGAAAATCCTGATCAAGAACAATGCGAGGATGATCGAGCACAATTCAACACTGATAGACGAACAGATACTAGTCTCGTGAAAAATCAGCATGAACATCTACCTCAAATTTCGCCAGCAACAGCTTCGTAAGTGCTGAAGAGAGTATTTTCTCGACAATAACACAATTTGTATCGTTTAGCAGTGGTTTAAGTTCATGGCGTATCCCACGTTTAATATTAAATTTTCTCTCTGTGTCACCTCATATGCTTGCAAGTGCTGAAGAACGACTGTATCAAAGTATTCATCAATCGCATGAATCATTTTCGTTTCATACATGAATAATATGTTTAGACTTGAAGAATAAATACTACGGTGACTATGTACATATTCGGTAAGTGAAACTCATATTACAAGTTCGATAAAGCAACATGAATGAATGTCTCTTAGTGGTGATAATTTAATATGGACAGTTCGAAGTCTGAATTCGCCAGCAGATACAGTTCCGATCGTGCTTATTCATGACTTTGGCTGTGCTTCCGGTATCTGGATACAAAATACTGATTTCTTAAGCGCACGACATCAGCTGTATATGTTTGACATCCTTGGATTTGGTCGTTCCTCACGTCCATGCTTTGATCAAACAAACACAATTAGTGCTGAAACGAAATTTGTCGAATCCATTGAAGATTGGCGTATAGCAGTCGATCTACAAACGAAATTCTACTTAGTTGGTCACGGATTCGGTGCATATCTCGCAACACTTTATACAATGCGATACGGACATTGGATAAAAAAATTGATTCTTCTCGATCCGTGGGGTTTCAATCCAAAACCGGATGAAAGTCAATTAAATCTAAGCACACCGTTATGGATTAAACTGATTGCTTACATTACTCAAACATGGACGTCATTTTCTGCATTCCGCTATCTTGGACCATTGGGTAGACCGAATTTAAAGATATTTTTCTTGTCAACATCGGCTAAATCATTTCTAGGTTTACCATTGTTAAAAGTACTTGCGCCACGTTGGAAGCGTTTAGCACCGATTGATTCTTCATATCAGAAATCCAATGCACTCTATGAATACTTGTATCATGTCAATGTTCAACCAGCAAGGTATGTTCTTTTCTGTACATTTTCGAATATACATCTCTTCATTTCTATCAAGTGGTGATGTAGGCTTCCAAGCATTAGCCTCTTGGTATGGCTGGGCGAAAGATCCAATAGTTCAAGTGGAGCATTCGCGTATCGAAAGTATATCTGACGAAATCTACATTGCATTCATATATGGTTCACGAACCAGTATTGATAATACCGCTGCCCAACAAATCCTTCATCAACGTGGTCCGAATAATACATGTATCAAAGTATGTGAATAACTAAGATTTCTTTGACATTCTGATATCATGTCTTCTTTTTTGTTGTTGTTAGATCATTCATAATGCTGCACATTTCTTTTTCATGGAGAAACCAATTCAATTTCACGAAGTCATGAGCGAAATCTTATCTGATTTGCCCCACTATTTTCGTACATTGGCATCAGTTGATAGAACTATAACCACAACAGTCTTACCCGAATAACAGTCACTGAGTATTTTTATAGTCAGATGCATCATTTTTCCGGTGTGTTTAACATTGTGTGATTTTTCTTTCATATGTTGAGTGTTTGTGTTCAAAACAGTGATAGTTTTTCTCTATTGACATCGGATTTAAAAACTACTTGAACGTTATTTCAGATTTTGAACAATGGCGACAGCTACTGGAATGGCCCAGAATTCAGATAGCGATCTAGCGTCAGCATCGGATGCCATCGATCAAATGATTTCGATGTCGATTGCAAATCATAACCCTGATGTCAATAATCAAAATTCAGATAAAACAATAATAGAACAAACGAATATTACTCGTCAGAATTGCCCTCCAAGGTTAGTGAAAGAACTCGTACTATCGTATAAGATTGCCGATAGCAGCTTATTATGCAACTGTGTTTCTCTTTCGTCGTTTATTCTAGAGTTTCTGTTTAATACATAGGAATATTCATCCACCGGTAGGTTGTGATACAAGAATTTGACAAACCTGTGCACTTATCGAATGAAAAAGAAGAATATAACTAGATTCTGGATTTGACACTGCATGAAATTATCGAAATATGTAGCTGATATGACACATCTCTACTCCGATAGAACAAATTGATTCAACTTCTCCTTTTTTCGAAAATGCTATAGAATTATATTACGTTGTGGTTATGCATTGCTCTTTTGAACTCAAGCAACTATTGAAAATTTATTTCTTTTATCTTTTTAGTCGTTTTCGTACAATTGAATACTTAAAACGACTGACATGGACGAATAGTGGTCCCGAACAGTTAGAACGTGCCGAAATGAAGGTCTTAGAAACATTGAAAAGCCAATTTCAAGGCCGTTCCATTCCTGTATGCAACGGTACACAAAAAATCTGGACTATCTATTCGAATATAACTTCGAAAAATTATCCTCTGGTACTCGTTCATGGTTTTGGTGGTGGTGTTGGCTTATGGAGTTTGAACCTTGATCAGCTATGTAGCGACCGTCCGGTTTACGCTATAGATTTGCCTGGTTTTGCCCATAGTAGTCGCCCAGTGTTTAGTCTTGATCCATTAGAAGCTGAAAAACAATTTGTAGATATGATAGAAGAATGGCGAATCGGAATCGGACTGAATGAACCGTTTATATTACTTGGTCATAGTTTCGGTGGCTTTCTAAGTACCTCATATTCAATACGGTATCCAACATATGTTAAACAATTAGTTTTGGTCGATCCATGGGGTTTTGGATATAAACCACCTAATTGGCAAACGTCGCCCATGCAACGTATTCCACCGTGGTTAAGATCGTTTTCATCCGTGATGATGAAATTTTCTCCATTAGCTGGTCTACGAGCAGCAGGGCCGTTTGGTATGAAATCGCTTTTGTATAATCTCTGTCTTTTGCTAATTTGATTTGAATAGGTATTCGAATCATGAAGTACTTTCGGGCCGATCTGCGAAACAAATTCGAAACACTTTTTGACGACGATCGAATCCTAGTTTATTTATATCATTGTAACGTTCAAATTCCAACGGGTGAAGAAGGCTTTCGAACAATAAGTGATTTACTAGCGTGGGCGAAGCGTGCGTTTTTTTTTCTACGTTCATTCTCTTGCTTCATTAGCACTTTTGTTCTAGGACCTATGCTTGATAGAATCGATGAATTAGATCCACAAATACCCGTGTTTTTTCTCCATGGTGAACAATCATGGATCGATATTGAATCATCCGTCTGCGTACAATCAAAGCGTTCGAATGTCTCTGTCGATATGATTCCACAAGCCGGTCACCACGTAAGAGATGTTATTGAGATACATGGAATACTTATTCTTTTTTTCCACTTCATATAGGTTTATGCTGACGCACCTGTGGAGTTCGATGCGTATTTAAAACGTGTTTTATTTAATAAATAATGAATGACTGTTTCCAATAATTTATTCAAGCTATCGAGAGTACCTATGGCAAGTTTTGTACCATCTCGGTGCTTCTATTTTTACTACTGTGATTGTTTAATATCTTTGAAAATTGAATAAAAATAGACGTGCTTGGAACCAAAATCCTGATATATCAATGAAATAGCGAGAAAAAGAACATACGTTGAAAAGGTGAAAACGGAAATTAGATCACTGAACGTTTCCTTTGTTCCGGTTGTCTTAATGAGAAAAGAACATGATTTCCTTGTTCGATGTGCGCCCCATGAATAAACTCGTTTAAATATTCTTCGTTTATGAACATGTGTATAAATGCAAAACATCGATCAAAGACTTGCATTTTCAACTGTGCCATATGCACATTTTTGTTTTTCGTCTATGTAATCATCTGTAAAGGTGATCAAAAGAATAAAACTATTACTAGAGATTGCTCAACAGTACAGTATCTTATATGTATATACATACTAGTTAACACATGCTAACCGTGTGATTTTTTTGATGAACGATTATAAAAGAACAATATTAGTTTATTTATTTCCTAAACATCATTTTCAATTTCCCTTACTTCTCAGATTGTCAAGTGTCATCATGAATATGAGATAAGTTGGAGTGTTTTCACGACTCACATGTTTAGAAGATTCTTCTCATTATAAAATCATGACAAACTACCCAATGTAATGTTCTTCAACGCCAAGTATGAGTCAAAATGTTTCTCTTTATTGTTATCGATATCAAATCTTAGAAATGATAGCAAAATAGTAGTATTGGAAGAAGACAGAGAAGTATTTTGTAGGGAATCCGCGAAGAACCTTTCGAATCAACAGTAGGCTCTACTGTTAGTGGGGGATGCATAGAGAATCGAATGGCATTAAATACCGATTGTTGATTCAATGCTTTGATGTAGACAGTTTGTCGTCCAGGATTCAGAAGAAAATCTCCAACAGACACCCAGCGTGACACTGTTGTTTGCTGATTGTAGACATATCCATAATCACCATCGGTTTCATTGTACGCGTCCGTAACAGCAACGTTGATTCGTGATGTGGCACCTGAAGTTGAGTTGAGATACGATGGATTCCAGATCGATACTGTATAGACGCCACGTTCGCTTAGGGTTGGATGAATAATGCAGGAAGTATTGAAAGTGATCAACGATTGTCCGAGTGTATCTTTAGGAAGTGAAGATGTATATTTCATCATATCGGACTTACATGTATAGATATCTTCATTATCAGCGGTGAAAATTTGGGTTGCCGACGAAACCAATGAAAACTTTTCAAGAACCATTTCTGTAAAACGACCCAAGATGTAGAAATCACTCGCGGGTCGTTGAAAACCATTACTAAATGCTGATAGAACAATCTCTTTCCCATTCGGTAATATAATGTAGGCGATTTCTTCGACTGTATCATAGGCGTTGCCCACTTTCGAATAGATTCTACTACCAGCTGGTAAACCATTGCCGAACGTTGTGTGTTCACTTTCGAGTGTATGGTAGAGCATGGGTTTCATGTAGTCTAGTTCATTTTTGGGCCGTGTTTGCATCAAGTATAGCATAAATGATGCAGTGCAACATGACTGCAAAAGATTTCGTGAAGATGGACTTCGAAGAAGAACCGTTTCGCTGCCTACAGGTGATTGACCTGAGTTTGTTGGATATGTTTTACTTCGAACAATTTGATTTTCGTATAGATTCAAATCTTTCAATAGACGCTCGGTATATAAACGTTGACTAAGCCAACTCGACCAACGTGTATCATCCGTCGATGTCAAATCATCAATGTTCGTTGTATTCGTTATCGCATCCACAACATAACCTGTATCCAAATTTGATGAAACGATGATCATTGGTCGAACATATCGATCTAGACAATCGACTGTGTAGCCTTGAGTTTTGCACCACTCCATAGCGGAATACATGTACATCAATTTAACTGTCGATGCTGGATAAGCGACGAGAGTTGCATTGACACTCCCTCGTTTCCACGTTCGAGTATTACCATCTCGAATGAGTATCGTAGCAGACAACCGATTGAAAGCACTCGATGGTTGCCGAGCGAGGAATTCATCGCGAATACTTTCGATTCCACTAGCTAATTGCTCGTCATCAACGATTTCAACCGACGGTATTCGATTACACCCACATTCTTCACAATTTATTCTCACAACTAACACCAAACTTACGACTATCATGTAACGAATCATGTTTATGTCTATGCATGTAAAACTGATAAGCTTTTAAACGATAATGATAACCGAGAACAATAAAATGTGATACCGCAAATATTGACTTCATGTCTTTCTAGGGATTTCATATCTTAAAATATTCATCAAAATGACCTATTCTAAAAAAATAAAGTTTTGCCCCAATACATTCGTTAACTATGAGCTTGTTCATTAGTCGCCAAGAATAACAATGATAGACAGCGTGGTATACGCCTACATGCAGCTTTAACATGAGAAAAGAAAAGAAAAGGAAATGTAGGCGATGAAAAAGGAGGAAAATGTCCAATGATTTTGTTGATCTATTAGAAACCATCATGTAAATGTAACTACACAGAGAGAGAGAGAGAGACGGAGAGAGGATGGGAAACTCCTTTTCCTTGGTAAATTTATATAAATATTAAGTCATAATACTTACAATTTCTCCTTTGACAGTAATCTTTAACACAGACAAATCATCTATTCCATTTGATAAACTTCGTATATTAATCAAGTGAGTGAATATCTAACAAAGATTTAACAATGTGCATGATTAGTTGCATTTCAACTACACAAAAAGAGAAATTAGTTAAGAAAGCCTCCTAGATGTGACTTTCCAAGAACATCTTTAGAAGATTTTCGCGAGACTCGTGTAGATCAAACCTTGGAAAGAAGTCGTCAAAACTTCATCAAATCTTCTTTCTTTTTAGTTTTAAAACATGGCACAGTCATCTTTTCTTTCACTTATTGTTTTTACTTATCTTCTTGTTTTGCAACCGTCCACGATCGAATGTCGTCCTCGCACTCAACGAATTCTTATTCACGACCATGAATGGACCGTACCGAACGAGTCGGGCTGGCAAGATGGTCAGTTTCAAACTTGTTTTCTTTCCTGATAGATCATTCTTTCAATTGTTTTAGTTCTGCAAGAGGCGGAATCTATTCGGAATCGGTTGTTAAGCAATTGTGCTACAAGTCGAGAATGTCGATTAGCAGCGGAACAAATACGAAAAGTTTTCTTGAATCACCCTGTTTCTTCGAAGTATTACGATGATACTTCAGATAATGATTCTCCCCAATATGAAACAGCATCGATTTTTAAATGGGGATAACTTGCTATGGCCAAATATGTGATCTCGCAAATTCTTACCAAAAATGTCTGAAAAGAAATCTTTACAAGAGTTTATCTTGCTTATTCGTAATAATAATAATAATAATAAATCTTATCACCGACACAGAATGAAAATGTTTTATACTGGAATTCGAATTTTGTTTTTCTATATATAAATCCTAATTATAATAAAAATTCATCGATTCAAATTAGTTCTCTTACATTCCCAAGCCTAATCAGCTACGAAAAGTTAAGTTTATCTCTTGAGACATTTTATAATTACTCTCATTCACGGGACATCAAGTCATACTAACCTGTTTCATACCTTAAAACGCATTATACACAACGATTACTATATAAACATTATTAATCTTTCCAGCCGCCGATGTTTGAATCCTAATTTTCAAATGCATTTATCATTCTTATATAAAAATTCACCGATTTCCACGCGAGAATTGGATCGCGAGTACAGTACGAACAACGATTTCATATCTTGGCTAATATGAAAACTCATCTATATATAAAACATGTCCAGGATATGAGTAGCTATTGTTGCATAGACAATAGATGAGTTGAGGGGGCGTGAAAGGATTCAATAGAGATTATCAAACCTATTAATGGAGAACATACATATTTCTGCTTGCTGTTTCTGGATGTCAAAAAAATCAGACAACTTGATTATTACAGTTATGATTGTCATATTTGCCTTTCATCAGAACATGTTTGTTTTGCCACAATTATGATTTGGAATAGTAGTCTATTCATTGAATAAATTCTAATCAAAGTCAGGCAATACGAAAAAATACACCGTCATTCAATGTTTGCTTTACTTTTATTCAAACTGAAGAAAGGATCGGCGTCGAGTGGCACAAAAAAAGTTGCTGAGATAATTTGAATAGCCATTGGGTAACAAGAAGACTGCAGAAATCTACGTTTTGTATATGTCATCCATATAAAAAACATTAGGAGTTTTTTATGGAATTTATTATTCATATTTTCTCTCTTCGAAGCATCTAATGAGATTGTATGTAAATATATTCGTTCTTTTTCAAATACGCATAAAAATTCAGTAGTTAACTTCGTCATAAAATAAATCGATCCGAATGGAAAAAATAAGAACGGTCGCATGTATTAAAAGAAGTTTATTTTCTATTTCTTCGCATTTGTCTTGTATTTTTCGTTCCTTTTACTGGTCATGAGTTTTGTTCTAATTATGAAATAATGATACGAATAACCCAATCATTTATCTATCAAAAGGAGAAAAATTTGTTTCTCTTTTTACTTATTGCAGTGATGACAGAACATATATGAAGTAAACGAAAGAATACATTTTATCTTATAATTCGTTTTCGTTCACCTAGCAATTTAGATATTCTTATCCAGTACTTGTAAAATACTAAATTCGATGATTTTGTATCAACTTCAGATATGTCAGCGCCAGCAACGACGTACCAAGCATTGCTGACTACTCAATCTCCCGCATTGCCGGTCTATATTATTACAAGTTTTACTGTATTAAGTATTTTGTTGGTGTCATACTTACACATGTAATACTTATTTTGCTTGTAGCTACCACATGGCCGGCTATGCAGTACACCAGTCAAACAACTGCTCTTATGTCGAGCCAAGCGACAACAGGCGGAATGTCTACAAGTATCATATCGACTATAATCGCAACTAGTATAATGACTACAGTTGGAACAACTACAGGTGGAATGACTACAGGTGGAATGACTACAGTGGGATCAACTACAGCCGGAATGACTACAGTTGGAACAACTACAGGTGGAATGACTACAGTGGGATCAAATACGGTCGGAATGACTACAGTTGGAACAACTACAGGTGGAATGACTACAGTGGGATCAAATACGGTCGGAATGACTACAGTTGGAACAACTACAGCCGGAATGACTACAATTGGAACAACTACGGTCGGAATGACTACAGTTGGAACAACTACAGCCGGAATGACTACAGTTGGAACAACTACGGTCGGAATGACTACAGTTGGAACAACTACGGTCGGAATGACTACAGTTGGAACAACTACAGTTGGAATAGCTATAGTTGGAACTACTATAAATAAGACATCAGCTATCACTGTAACAAATATAGTGCCTACAAGAAGTATAACTACGCGTGAGGTGATTACAAGTACGTCATTAACCATTATGACGTCAAGGAAAATTACTACGGACGGAATGACGACAGGCGAGATGACCACAGGTGAAATGAGTGCAAGCGGGATATCTACACGTTTGACATCAACTATCGTGACGACACGCGAAATTACTACAATTATGACTACAACGTTACTACCACGGCACAACTTTTCACTATGGAATCCTGATACTTGCAATAGCGCCAACTTTATTAAGCTATCTAATAATACATGTGTAGCAAAGCAGGATGCACAAGTATGATGAATATAATTTTGCCGAATCTAGTAATAATCGGTTTTGTCTCTTATGTAGGTCATTGGCTGTGGGCTCGTACACAATCGATCGTTGAGCGATGAATACATAGCCTATGGAATATCTCTATATATTAGTTCAACTACTAATTCGACTACTGTACGAAATAATACATGTGTTTTGACACCGAGTGAAATCGACGATGCACTTTATAATCGCACGTCAACAAATTTACTGATCAATTCCTATACATCATTAGTTATGATTCAGCAACCAAATCGTGATGATGGCGTATTCATTCTAGGCGCATCATTCAACCGAGGTATTGGTGGGGACATCGTCGATACAAGAAATAAAGAAAATGTCACACGGTCAAATATATCTGCGGCAGCTATTGTAAATCGAGAATCTCTGGTTGGTGTCACATCTTTACAAGTGATTATTATTGATAAACCTACGGACTATGAACATGCTGATAATAAGACAAATAAAACAGTTCTTTCATCGGTTATTATTGTTAATCTAGAACGAAGCAGATCAAGCGTAACTCCACTACAAATCTCATTATACTTTAATCCTTTAGAAGAATACCAGCACAATGGAAGTGGAACGCATCTTTGTTCATATCTTAATACAACTACTTCCACCTGGAGTGAAACTGGCTGTTCGAGTGCTCAGTTTTCGGAGGAACATAATCGCTACGAATGTACCTGCAATCACACAACATCGTTTGCTCTTGTTTGGTTACCTACATCACTAGAAACAACGAATTATACAAAAGAACTCGATGCACAAGATATTACTTCACTGATCTTTCAATTAGCCTCCATAATATGCTTTTTAATCATTCTAACACATGCTACTGCCACTCGCATTATCCAGCCAATGCGAAGTATCCCAGCACTTAATCTACTTCCGCTGATTTCAACAGCAAGTTCGACAATTTTGTTTATTTTCTTCATCGCTCTCTCACTGACTGTTTATACGCAAACAGCATCTTCAGATCAAATTGTTTGTTTTCCGACTTCCATTGTATTAATGTTTATCACATATTTCCTGCTGATATTCATGTTTTGTGCAAAAACAATAACTGGTTACTTTTATTTTCTTCGATTTGTTCGACTTTTTCCGCAACCAACTCATCGAAGATTATACCTTATGCTTCTTCTCTCTTTTCTCATTGCTTGCGTATTTGTTTCGTTCGCAATTGGCTTTTACAGTCAATTATCCTATCAAATCATACGATTATATCCATATAAATTATGCTGGTTCAATCGTCCATCGATTTATTATTTTATGACAATACCAATTGGACTTTCTCTCATCACAAATCTGGTAACAATAAGTTTCGTTGCTAAAAGTATCATCACCCATGCGCGCAATGCTGCGACATCGAAACAAATTAGTGAACGATTGAGACGTTGTGTAATTGTTCTACTATCATCCTGCATCTTCCAAGGTCTTGGGTGGATATTCGGGCCATTGATTTCGTTTGTTAATCCGATGGCTGGAAATGTATTGACATGGTTATTTATTATCATCAATGGTTTAGAAGGTGTTTGGTCGGTAATTTTATATGTGCTTATACGATTACAACGATTAGATGAACAGAAGATTGTGTCAGCTGCTATGGAGCTTCCGAAAGCAATTGCGAATGTACCGAAGAAGGTGAAAGATGGTGACAAAGCTGCACTCTCTTCAATGAAGAATTTGCGCCAACGCGAATCGAGGAATGGTTCAAGTGAAGAGAACAATTGGTTAAAATAAAGATCAATCTCTGTCACAAGCTTCTAGTCATTGAGTTTTTTCTGAATCCAATTCAATTAATCAGTCTAAAGTGCACTTTTTCTCTATCTAAGTGACATAAATAAAATATCATTTCGAAAGAAGTTATAATTGAATTTGTCTTTTGTTGAGAGAATTGTATGTCGAAGATGATTAACAGAAAAACAAAACAGTCGCTTCGAAATAGATCTAGTCGAAAGTATGTGGTGCATGATCGTTTTGTCTGCAATTGCTTTTCAATCTTTGCCGATCGTCTCCATTAATGAAACTTGTTGGCCAACTGCAAATAATTTAACGTGCGTTCTAAACGATCTACTCTTGGGATATAATAAATATCAACGGCCTAACTATACTGGTAGAAATTATGCTTCGAAAATTGCAGAAAGAAAAATCGACTATTTTAGGAGATCCGATCCGTGTAGAAGTTTACTTAATGATTATTAGTCTAGGACCAATTTTTGAATTGGATATGGTTTGTAGTCGATGAGTTTCCATTTGATCATTCTTTATTTTTTGTTATTCAAAAACCTTAGTCATTCACAATGAATCTGTTTTTTCGACAAGTATGGACTGATCAACGATTGACATTACCCAATCAAGTATCCAACGTCGCTGTTTCAACAAAACTACTCAGGTATGATGAGCCGGTTGTCTTTATTTTCTAGTAAACATACATATTTGGATCCAGTGCAATATGGAAGCCTGATACCTTTTTTATAAATTCACATTCTGCTTACCTTCATACAACGCCAACATTCAATCATCTTTTGCGCATATTAGAAAATGGTCGATTGCTTTACTCCAGTCGGTGTGTATTTTTGTTATTCTTACTTAAAAAACAAGCTTTTTATGATTGTTGTTTCAGTTTAACAATCAAAGCTTCTTGTTCGAACTTTTTAAAACGATTTCCTCTTGACGTTCAAATATGTCCACTGGTATTATCTAGCTGTAAGTCGAGTCGGAATCATTTCTTCTGATATATTCGAGTCTATAAAGATGCCTATGGGACGAAAGATATCATATACGATTGGAAACTAAATGCAAACAATGGTGTAGAATTTGAACGATTAAAATTATCCCAATTTGATCTATTCGATCATAAAATCTCTCGACGAGAAGTTCAATTGAATGACCGTTTGTTTTCTACTTCAATCTCGAATTCCTAGAAAAGATTTACTTCATAGGAAATCATTCCGTCCTTCAACTCGATCTCTTCATGCGTCGAAAAGCTGGGTATTATATTCTACAAGGTTATATCCCGGCAGGATTGTTAGTCATTCTTTCATGGATATCATTTTGGATCGATAGTGAAGCAACAGCCGATCGAGTTTATATAAGTAAGTAAATCAATAAACAAACAAAGAGAAGTGATTTGTCAAGTTCTTTTTTTTTCAGGTGTAACTTGTGTGTTGAGTTTAACAACGCTGACAATGGACATACGTTCATACATTCCAGCTGTACCGTACTTCACTGCGATCGATTACTTTTTTGTCATGTGTTATTTGTTTCTGTTTGCTTCATTAATTCAATTCACTGCTGTCCATCGTTATCTTGGCGTATGCTAAACATCTGTACAACGAAATCTTTTTGCATTATTTTTGTTGTTTTTAGTATCGTCAATCAATGAAATCTGAGGAGAATCTAAATGAACAACGAAAATCTCCTGTGTTAGAGAAAGCTATGGAGACCAATGTCATTCTGCTAAGAAATGAAGAAAGCCATTCAACATATTTCCCGCGTCGATCGACATTCAGTGTTATTGTACAAGGTTTGCATTTAATAAGACGAAAAGCGTCTCTACATAAACTTGATGAACACGCACGCATTGGATTTCCTCTTCTATTTATTCTTTGTAATGGTATTTATTGGTTTATTCTAGTAGTTTATACCGCATAAAATCAAGCATTTGTCATAAAATCAATCCCTTTCGAAATATACTTGATATATAAAACATTTTGAATTAATACCGATGCGATTGACAATATTTGTACATGCTATTCGTATGGTAAAACTCACCGGCAACATATTTATGTAGCCATTCGTATGTTGTTGATAGGAAGAAGAAAAGCTGAAAACAGATTTTTTGCCATTTTCGCTTTCGGGTGTGATAGATTGTAAAGAGAAAATTTTCTTCACGGAGCACTAGCAAGGATTTGTTTATAATGATTTCGTTGGTCGAACACAACACATATATGTTGTCAAAATTTAAAAACGTCTTTTTGTTCTGTTGCCTAATACTTTCCCTCTTTCTGTTCTGCTTATGATTCAACCGAACATCCATGATGTAAAGAAAGTCATGCTTACTTCTTTTCATAGAATTTAAAATTGAATGCCTAGATGTCAAGTAATGTCTGTCTAGCATAAACTCGGCATATTACGTATGTATGTTCTTACATTGATCTAAATACATGTAATTGGTATATCATCAAGGACCTTTCCATTTTTGTAGTTTGTATTTGAATGAATTAAAACAAACACATGAAAAATTTCATGGAGCGTTAATCCAACTTCTGAATAGCCTAAAACCAAGTATATAACAGGTTGGCATTTTTGTGTTTTGAGAAGAACATAGCTTTACTTCATTGCTAACAAATAATTTAACTTTGTACTTACGTACTTTGGTAATTATCGTTTATATGTTAATGTAGATAAATTCGCAAAGATGAACTTTGTTCAACCGAGATACTATTATATATTACTTTTGGTTATTCTTGGTAGTCGATCACAATTGACAACAGGTAAACCATGTTTGATTGTGTATTTTAAAATATCCACTAAAAAGTGCGATCTACGAAAATTCGTATCTAGTTCGATTTGCTAAATTTTGTTTCGTGATGTTGTTATTGCTGACCACATTTAAGATTGAGGAAAACTGTGCGTGTCTAAAACTCGGGATAAGCAGTTTCAGGCACCATGACTTATACACCCGACAACACAGATCGAAGAAAGCCACAAAGATTATATTCCACATATGTATCGGTATTTCACTGAACTATCACTACTTTCAACGTCACCTGTATGTCATATCATAATCAAAGATTCCTTTTTTTCTCCTGCTCTACCCTGGTCAACCAACCTCTTCGACGAATCCCCAAGACGGACTTCATCGATTTTCTCAGGCTCACATTTGAATACAACTAAAACGAAAGTTCATCAAATTTCCAACGACTGACTTGATGTTTCCAGTCAAAATCCGATGCACATCCGTCACCGGGAATTTGATTGGATTTGTCGACCTAAGTGATCCCTCCGTACCGATAAACACAACGACTATAGAATGAGTTTGTATAAAAATGTGACCAACCATGCAGGGCTACTTACAACAACATCTAATAGACTCTTCTTTTTTATGCACACTATCAATCTCTGTTTCAGACTCTGAAACCACCGCTTCCTTAAACTTAATCACCACAGAAACCACAACAACTAGCACTAGCGGTACAAGTTCTTCGATCACCTCGATCACCACTGCAACTACTACTACCACTACCACTAGCAGTAACAGTACAAGTTCTTCGACCACCACTGCAACTGCCACTATCACTACCACTAGCAGTAACAGTACAAGTTCTTCGACCACCACTGCAACTGCCACTATCACTACCACTAGCAGTAACAGTACAAGTTCTTCGACCACCACTGCAACTGCCACTATCACTACCACTAGCAGTAACAGTACAAGTTCTTCGACCACCTCGACCACCAATGCAACTACGACAACCACCAGCACGGGCACTAGCAGTATAAGCTCTTCGACTACCTCGACTACCAATGCAACTACCACTACCACGGGCACTAGCAGTGCAAGCTCCTCGACTACCAATGCAGCTACCACTATCACGAGCACTAGCATTACAAGTTATATTATAACTTCGACTAGTACCACAGCACCAACGACAACCACTCAGATGATTAGTTCACAATCAAGCACAACAACGACGACTGCGGCGGCAGGATTTTATTGTGTGAATTCAACTCATATTTTATTAGTGAATTCCAGTTGTGTGCTGAAGGCTGATGCACAGGTATCATAACAGTTTTGGTAATGGGTATATCAAAGTGTCGAGTGATTTTTTCTATTTAGCAATCAAGTTACAACATATTGTTGAATGATACGGTTAATGCCACAACAGTAGGAGCGAATTTGATTAATTACTTTGAGTCGGTAGCGAATGTAACTTCTACTAACTCGAGCTATATATTAACGTTGAACCGAGTAGATCAATTGGTCAATAATTTGAATAGTACGAGCTTCACTGTTAATGGAACCTCATCGTTTTTGTTGGTACAAACAACAAGTCAAAACCAATCCGATGACGTTCTGGTTTTAGGTGCTTCTTTCAGTCCTGACGCGTACGGTCAGGTCGTTAATACTCAAAATAGAGAAAGTATTATCAGCTCGAATATATCCAGTGCTGCTATCGTCAGTAACGATTCAATAGTGAATGTCAAGTCGATGAGTATATTTATTATTGACAACCCAAGTTTGTACAAAAATGTAGATAACTCAACGAATGACACTTTAGTTATCTCATCGTTAATTGTTGCTTCAGTGAAAAATTTTCCGAATAGATCGAGTTCGGTTAAAATTGCATTATACTTCACTCCAGCATTAGATTCTCCACAGCCGAGTAATGGAACGTTCCTGTGTTCATTTTATGATACAAGCATGTCTCGATGGAATAGTTCCGGCTGTAGTTCGCCGACATATAATTCAGATTTCAAGCGGTATGAATGTAGTTGTAACCATACAACTTCGTTTGCCCTTATTTGGTTACCATCTGGCGTATTAGCGTCTAGTGGACGTAACTTTCGATCGGCGGATACTGCCTCACTCATTTGCCAATCGTTATCTATAGCGTGCATTTTGGGCATTCTTCTTCATGCCGCTGTGAATCGAGTAATTCATCCTTCGAACCATATATCTGCAACTATCATGCTTCCCTTAATATCCTATGCAAGCACAGGCATTCTGTTTGTCTTTTATATTGCTCTCACCATGACTGTATATACTCGCACAACATCTGAAAATGAAACACAATGTTTTTTGAGCTCCCGTGTCCTAATGTTTTTCACTTACTTCTTCTTAATCTTTATGTTATGCATCAAAACAAGCATCGGCTATTTCAATTATTTGCGCTTTGTTCAACTATTCCCGCCGCCATCATATCGACGACTTTTCGTTCTACTTCTCATTTCATTGATACTGGCAGGCGGTTGGGTTGCTTTCGCAGCTGGCTTCGACTCAAATCCTTCCTACAACATTACACAATTGTACCCCTATCGATTTTGCTGGTTTACTCATACAGTCATCTATTATTTTTTAACCATACCTGTCGCAATTTTTCTTCTATTGACATTTATCAACATTATTTATGTTGGCAAGCGCATGATAGAGCATGTGCAACGAGCAACATCTCCACATCATACATATCAACGAATGAAACAATGTGTGCTAGTTTTAATAGCATCTTCAATTACTCAAGGAGTCGGATGGTTGTTCGGCCCATTTCTTTCGTTTGTGAGTCCGTCTGGTGCGTCGGTCTTAGAATGGTTTTTCATAATATTTAATGCGTTAGAAGGTGTATGGGCTGTCCTTGCTTACTTAGTTATTCGAGCACAAATAAAACAAGAACAAATACGTGTAACAACAGTAAAGAAATGGGCCAAGGAACCAGTTACGGTAAAGAGCAGACCCAAGGAATCTAACTCACCACCCGCTCAAAAAGGAACTGGTATCGAAACCAGTGAATTTGAACCTGTGCGTCGAAAGCGACAGAACGATCCGATACAGCGCTTCGATGATTTACGTGACACGAACTGACATTTTCCTTTTGTTTAATGTTCTTTTTCTTTCTTGAAATCATCCACAAAAAAAATATTCTAAGCTTTTCTTCGAAAACGACAAACTAGGTGAACTGTAGTATAAAAATCTTCCTGTAAAAGAAAACAGTCGATACTTTTTCGTATCATCAACAATACAAGTGATTTTAATTTTATGAAAACTAAGATATTTTCACAATTGATAAAATCCAAATTGATATAATTAACTATGAACTGAAGAAAAAGAACAGACAGAGAATTGGCTACACATCAATAAGTCTTCCTAATCTTTCCTACAGAAAACAAATCACATTTATGTACAATTGTATCACAGTAAAAATGAGATTGAGATTATAAGAAACAGACAGAAGAAAACAAAACAAATAAGATTTAGAGATGAATCCAAACGCTAGCAGCTGTTTTTTCCTCACCTCTCTTGAATTATCCCTCATTTTGCCGATCATTCCAAGATATTCGAGTTTCGTAGAATTGAATGATTTCACCTTCGCAGTACTTTTTCGCTACATCAGCCGGAATCAATTCCATGTTGTCTTCGATGCTCGTAGGAGATTCATAATGAACAAGATAGTGTAATTGTTGGCCTTTCGTTCGATTAATTCCCAAAACGGCTTGGACTTTGAGACCCTTTTCTAATCCGTACGTGGTCGTGTCCATTTTGGAAGGCTTTTCGGAATTGGTAGATGAAGCAACTGACTTAGGTGGATCTTCATCTTGTCCATCTTCTTCCTCGTCATCGTCATCTTGAATAACTTTCGTTCGTCGCTTTTTCCGTTGTTCAGCCCTATTAATTCGTTTTTGTACTTTTTTCGACCTAGTTTTGTCTCGTTGTGCGCGTTTACGAGTGCGTTCTTCTTCACGACGAAATTCTGCTAAACGTTCGGGACAGTTCAAACTCGTTGCAGGTATCCATTCATTGGCTGAGTCATCGTAACCGACCCACTTAATGTAATATTCGTATCCACCACCTCGGCGACGTTTTCGTTTAGCCAGGATTTTCTCCTTGACAAAAGCAATCATGAAAAATACAATGATTGATTAATTCGTTTTCATTTTCAACTTACGACTTCATATTCGCTACTGGAATTACTATCAGTATCGTCATCGTCGTCATTATTCGATTCGCTTGGTTGAGATTTTTCTTCGTCAATGTCATCGGGTTTCTCTGTGCTAGACGCGACAGTTTCGTTATCTTCGTCAGCTTGCTTTTCACTGCTCATTATTAGAAAATGAATTGAATCAAAGTCAAACTTCTCTTTATGTTCTGCAGTCACCAATCAGGGTCTGCTATGCTAGCGACATGTGAAAAATACTATTCGTCGATATTCTGGTGCCACGTCCATAACAGTAATATGGAATATGTCTCAATCAATCAGTTAGAACGTTGATCTTCTTGTTCTCACGGCACCATCATCGTCTTCATTTCCATCGAATGGCTACTTATCAGGAATATTTTGTTCAAAATGAAGAACGTGATGGTGTACGTTTCACATGGAACATGTGGCCATCAAGTCGTTTGGAAGCTACACGACTTGTAGTTCCACTTGGATGTTTATTTACGCCATTGAAAGAACGTCTTGATCTGCCAGCGATCAACTACGAGCCTGTTCTATGTACACGGGACTCGTGCCGAGCAATCTTAAACCCGTTTTGTAGTGTGGATTATCGAGCGAAGATATGGATATGTAATTTTTGTTTGCAACGAAATAACTTTCCACCGCAATATGCTGGAATAAGTGAACAATTAACACCAGCTGAACTTTCACCACAGTTTACAACCATTGAATACACATTAATCGTATGAACGATCAACATTTGCTTGGGTAATTTCAGCAAGTTTTCTTCTGTCGTATAGCGTGCACCTATTTCGCCAGCGATATTCCTGTTTGTCGTCGATACTTGTATGGATGAAGATGATCTGACAGCATTGAAAGTATGCTTATAAATTTGTTCTTTATTTTATACAAATGATCATTGACAAATTTCTGAAGGAATCGCTACAAATGGCGTTGAGTTTATTGCCGACGGACGCACTGGTTGGTCTGATTACATTTGGTCGAATGGTTCATGTTCATGAACTAAATTGCGAAAATATGGCACGAAGTTATGTTTTCCGAGGAACGAAAGATCTGACTACAAAACAAGTTCAGGTACAACATATTTAACTCAATTTCTTTGTCGAAAGGAAAGTTCATTTCTAGGATATGCTTGGCCTAGCAAAGCATCAACCAAATACAAGATCAATTTCAACAAATCCGAATGCACCACCGCAATCGAATGTGTTTTACAGCAAGTAATTCGTGTGTGATCAACTAATTCGCTCGATGACATCACTAAATCAACTGACATTATTTCTATTAAGATTTATTCAGCCAGTGTCGGTATGCGATATGTCGTTGACAGATCTTCTTGGTGAACTTCGACCTGATCCATGGCCTGTCTCACAAGCGAAACGCTCATTGCGATCAACTGGCGCCGCACTTTCAGTTGCTACTGGTTTACTCGAGGTGATTATGCTCGTAATACTATCTTGCAAATTGGTTGATTTCGTTTCCTTCTAGGCTCTCTATCCAAATACGGGTGCCCGTCTTATGCTGTTCATTGCTGGTCCATGCACACAAGGGCCAGGCATGATTATCGATGAAGAATTGAAACACACGATTCGTTCTCATCATGATATTGAAACCGATAATGCCAAATATATGAAAAAGGCAATCAAAGTAAGCTGAGTCGACTTCTCATAATATTTATGCTATACGTGTATGCGTAGTTTTATGAAAATATTGCTAGTCGAGCAGCGATCAATGGACATGTCATCGATCTATATTCAGCAGCACTAGATCAGACGGGTTTACATGAAATGAAATATTGTACGAATTACACGGGGTATGTTGTTTGGTTTGGTCTCTCAAACTGTATGATAAGAATGTGAATTTCTGTTTAGAGGTCACATGGTGATGAGTGATTCGTTTAATACTTCGTTGTTTAAACAAACTTTTCAGAAAGTCTTTGCCAAAGACAATAAGAATGATTATCGAATGAGTTTTGGTGCAACTTTAGAAGTGAAAGTAAAACAATGTTTAATATTAAAGAAAGAAATCGTTTTAGCGAGAGTTTGCTTATAGTGTAGTCGAGAAGTGAAAGTTTGTGGTGCTATTGGTTCTTGTGTTTCATTGGCACAACGTGCACCGAATGTATCCGAAACTGAATTAGGTATTGGTGGAACAAATGCTTGGAAAATCTCGGGGATCTATCCCAATTCGACTCTTTCGCTTTTCTTCGAGATAATCAACCAGGTAACGACACGATATATTATCAACCATATGTAGAGTCATTATTGTATAGCAGCAAGAAGCGACACAGTCAGTTCCAACAGATCAACGTGGCTATGTGCAATTTATTACGCACTATCAACATCTATCTGGTTATAGAAAACTTCGTGTAACAACTATTTCAAGAAAGTAAGACATGTTCGTTACGCAAATAGAATCGTTATTTTCGCAAAATATTGTGACCATGACAATTCATCGAATACTGTCTATCGTCAACACGATGACAGATGTTCTGATAATAATTTATCGCGAGTCGCGACAGATATCTTGACAATTTTTGTTTCAAAAAAGCTCAAACATCTCAAATATTGATTGGAAATTTTAGTTTGCTCGATGCTACAACACATCTGCCAGCGATAGCTGCATCATTTGATCAAGAATGTGCTAGTGTGTCCATGGCGCGTATTGCCGTTTTTCGCGCCGATACTGAAGAAGGCTCCGATGTACTTCGTTGGTTAGACAAAATGCTCATCCGATTAGTAAGGATTAATTTCTCATATTCCTAATGGCTACTATATCTTGTAATTTCAGTGTCAAAAATTTGCTGTCTATGAAAAAGACAATCCAGGTTCATTTCAATTAATTGACACGTTTACGTTGTATCCTCAATTTATGTATCATTTACGACGGTCACAACTTCTTCAAGTATTTAACAATAGTCCTGATGAGTCAGCATTTTACCGGTAACATCTTGAAAACAATTTACACGAAAAAGACACTCTTGTTCTTTGCCTCAATTAGACATTACCTACTTGGCGAAGATTTAACACAATGTTTAGTTATGATTCAACCCATTCTCTATGCTTACTCGTTCAATGGTCCACCTGAAGTAAAAGAGCTAACGATGCATGTCATGCAATCAATACATGTGTTTTTTTCTTTTAGCCTGTGCTTTTGGATAGTAGTAGTATTTTGCCAGATCGTATATTATTAATGGATACATTCTATCATATTCTCATCTATCATGGTGAAACAATAGCTCAATGGATAAAAGCAGGTTATCAAGATTTACCAGAATATGAGAATTTCAAGCAGCTCCTTCAAGCACCTGTCGGAGATGCTTCAGAAATTCTTCAAAATCGCTTTCCCATGCCACGTTACGTGGTAACAGAAGCTGGTGGATCACAAGTAGGCACACTTGCTTTTGTCAGAAGTCATTTCAAAGCTTCTTCTAGGCACGATTTCTTCTATACAAAGTCAATCCCTCTCAAACGCATACGAATTGCGTATGGGGACAAGTAAGCACGTATCGAATTTACTTCGCGTTATGAACTACATGAATTTTTCAGGCTGTTGGAGCGCCTATTCTGACTGATGATGTCAATTTGCAAACATTTATGGAACACTTAAAAAAGCTAGCTGTATCAACGTCAACTTAGATAGATCTTCGAGCTTCCTGGTTTTGTTTGCCCGTGTTATTTGTGTGTGAATGCATGAATCTCATATCTATTTTGCTGTGGTTTTTTACGTTTTTATACCAATCGTTTTTAATCTCATGTTTTGACTTTACATCTGATAAAATATTCGAACTAGTCCTTGTTATCCATTTATCTTTTCTACTCAATAAGTCATCTATCGATGATAGGAAGTTTTCGTCAAGACAATCTATCTGGTACGAGATATCTATATAGATAATCATCGATATGACAAGTTCAAGATATGTAGGAATCAGTGCTCGTCATCGAGTCGTAAAGCTGCTCTTTGATCTCTTCGTGTGTTTAATGGAGTATGACAATTGAGTCAGTGATCTTAGATCGATCGATTCTAGTCGATGTGTCGCGTTATGAGCTATAAATATGTACAATCAAGGTGAAATAAATAATTTAACTTGAAGAAACAAAACAGAAACCAAGAGAACAAATTGTCAATATTTTCTCCGTACGATTCGATAATTAGTTTGTTCGGAACTTGATCAACAAGTGACATTCTCACTTATTTTCTTCTTCTCTTCTCTATACGAGCCATAAGACATTATCTTGGAAGCGACACGTGTAAATTTAATCCTAAAAAGAGTAATTGAAAAGAAAAAGAAGGGAAACTCTGTATCTAACCAAATGGCATGACAGAAATGAACACAAATAGTAACGGAAATGAATGACGTTGATAATGATCAACGAGAATGGTGTGTTTATGAGAAGAGAAATATGTATGCACATGCTTGTCTGCTGTTTACGTTGATTATAGTGCGTGTTTTTAATAGCAAGTCGCATGTTGTAGGTTATTCTAACAATGTCACTGCACGCAGAGAATCCGATTAAAAATTGCGAATTGCAATAAACTTTCCCATTTGTTTCTTTCTAATTCATTCATGTTCGTCGTTCTATGTCAATGAATTCCTTAAGGCGATAAGAAGAAGAAGAGAAGGAGGAAGAAGAAGAAGCTTTGTATCGAAATATTCTTTTTGTGTCTGTCACTTTTGACTTCTAATAACAAATCGATTTATAGGACAGAAAACATCGATGTGAAAATGATAAACGATTAGATGTTTACAGATCTGTCGACATCTAATCAAGTGATCTAATCTGTAAAGCGATTCTTTGTTCGTGTGTTTGACATGCAATGATGGCGAGAAGACAACTTGTATAAGTCTGCTCTTTTGTGTTTCAAAGGCATCAAGCACTTTTCCTAGTCTTACAGGCAATCAAAAAGTCTGTTGTGCAGTGTATGTGAGTGTGTGCAGATAGGAAAGATAATCGAACGAGACGTTCACTATGTGTTCAAAAGGAAAATGAGAAAAGAAGCAAAGAAAAAGATCCATTAAAAGAGAAATGATGAACTTCTCTTTGAGTTTTTCCTCCTCCTCCTCCTTCTTCTTCTTTTTCCTTTATTCTTCCTTTTTTTTGCAAATCTATTTTAGTAATAAAATTATGATTCAATTGCCATTAAACTTTTGATATTATCTTGACATAAATGAATTTCTTTATATATTATTTTTCCTTATGTCTAAGATAAATATGTTTATATATATCAAGTATTCAGATCGTTTACGAGCGTTGAAATGCAGTTCAAGCGAAAGCAAGTAGACTAGAAAGATAATGCTCTAATCGGAATACAACACTTGAAGGAACGGGCATCAAGAATCTATCATATCTCCTCTCCTCTCTTCTCTTCTTTGCCTTGTTCTCGCGGGAGCAACCACGTCGCTTTCTAACAGTATTTTCTCGCTTTCCGAACTACACTTTTCTCTCCTCCTTTATTCGTCTCTATTCCTCTCATCTTGTGGAATAAGAGAACGCAGAAAAACTCCTAACAGTCAAAGCACCGCTATCAACGCACACACGCACATAAGTAGACAAACACACGCACCAACGAGATATTTGAAATTATTTTAAAACAAACTTATGCGATACAAGTAACACTACAATGTTGTGCTCATCGATTCTTTTGATAGTGTTTCTTACAGGTAATATATTCTACTATAATCGAGTTCTATCTAATTATCTTTTCCCATGAATAAATTAAAAAATAATAACATATTTATATGTAAAATAGCAATTCTACTTCTTAATGAACGATGAATGTCATATGCATACATCTGTTGATTTTTATTAGTTACTTATGCAGCGGAACAAAAGTGTAATCGACAACGTGTTGCAACATGGAATGCGGAACAACGATTAATCTGCGATCTACTTGATAATTATCAAGTGAAATGGGGACGACCGGTAAAGAATATGACTGAAGACGTCGAAGTTCAATTTGGTTTACAATTGATCCATATCAGTGACCTTGTACGTTGCACTTTTATTCGTGTTCTCGAAAATGGATTTCCTCGTTTAGGATGAGAAAAATCAAGTATTGATCACTAATCAATGGCAAATCTATGTATGTGTTTAATCGGATAGGTTCTATTTCGTATGAAATTTGATTTTCTCCTTGATAGGAATGGCAGGACGAAGCGTTAACATGGTAAGCGTAGGTTTTGATCTTTTTTTTCCTATTTATTCCATTGTATTTCAGGGATCCGGAATATTATGGTAAATGCAATCGAACGGAAAATAGATGAAAATAAAAACGAGCTTATTCTTTTAGATGATCTTCAAGATATACGTTTACCGATCAAACGTATTTGGCAACCAGATGTCACACTGTATAACTAGTAAGTCTCCTATTAATAACGAAACATCGATTCGAGAAATATCCCAAAAGACTAGTTTAACTAATCAACCATCTGTAGCTCATATTTGTTGTCGAGAGAAGAAATTTATCTTAAGGATATATTAGCGATTAATTTGCTTAACTCGATTCGGAACTGTTTATTCTAAACTTGCTTAACCTCGATCGTATGTATGTTATCTTCTAGCGCCGATACACGACTGGAAGAAAAACGTGAAGTTCTAGCTGTTGTGTATTACAATGGAACCGTTGTTTGGAAACCAATGTCAATTTTTAAATCAACATGTCAAATTGACATTCGGTAATTGATCTTTTTTCTCTTATTACCGACGTCGGGGTAATTCTTTATCATCGATCTCATTAGACGGTTTCCTTACGATCGACAGAATTGCTCAATGAAATTCGGTACATGGACGTATGATAGTTCCAAAGTGAATCTTAATTTCTATCGTGATATCCATCAATTCGACTTGAGATCGTATGTTAAATCCAACGAATGGACGATTTTAGAAAACTACGCCAAACGTAATACCGAAAAATACGGTAAGCTGAAAATGATCTTGTCGGAAGGAACTAGTTTTTCGTCGATGTTCAGATTGCTGTCCGGAAATTTATGTTGACTTGAAATTCTATATCATACTTGAACGGCGAGGTGGATTTTATAATTACATTCTTATTTTACCATGCGTACTTCTCTCCTGCTTGACATGCATACTATTTTGGCTACCTGTAAGTGAATTGATTCGAATGAAGAGCGATGTATCAGGAGTGGTGCATTTTTAGCCGGAAAGTCCGTCGAAGTTGGTCCTTGGTGAGCTGAAAATAAACTCTTTCATAACAATCTTCTTTTCCTCTGTTGCATTCAAATATAGGAATGAACATATTTACTTCATTTTTCGTCTTGTTACTTCTATTATATAAGAATATGCCTTCCAATGCTGAACATATTCCACGAATAGGTAAAGACAAAGTCGTTCTCTTCCGGCATTTAATTATTTCCTTTCATTGAAAACGGAAGTCTATGTTATTTACTTATCTAGGTGCGTACTACTGTTTAAACATGGGCATGATTGCTACATCGACATTTCTCTGTACAATCGTCGTTCATATCTATTTTCGTGGAAGTGGACCGATGCCTGTTATATTACGAAAAGTATTTCGGTTAAAAGCAAAATATTGGAGCAACAGATGAACTTTTGTTTTTGATCTAGGTTTTTCTCGAGTGTTTGGCACGACTTTTCTGTATGGTACCCCATACGGGTTCGTATCAGCAGCATGCAGTCAATGGTCTCGTTCCCCCTGTGAAAGCCACGTGCGACGGTGATAAATTCGAGAAATTTGAGTTACTCAAAGAACGCTTCAAAACATTCGGTGAAAAACGTACTATAACAACGAACGATGATTCAAATGATGAAACATTAGAAATGGTTGACGACGATCATCATCATCAACAACACGCACAGATACTAAATCAACAAATCCAACAGCAAATAACAGCGTCGATTGCATTCATGACTGTCGAGACAGATTTGAAAGAAATACGTGATTTTCTTCGAACAACACGAAAACGTATGGAAGATAAAGAAGCCAAAGCGAAAACAATTAACGATTGGAAACAAGTCGCACTTGTGCTTGATCGAACTTTCTTTTTCATCTACTTATCTGCTATAATTATCTCTCTTGCTGCGATGTTCCCTCGATAGAATAACGTGGCTGTTTGCTTTTTTTCTCTAGTCATCCCCAAATATGAGGTGATAGTCTTACGAAATGAGAACAAGTGTTCATGTTTATTTATTTGTTCGCTCAATGTACATTGAAATACAAAACATAAGTAAAAAAAACTCCTATATTGTGACATAGAAAAACAACGGAATCGCACAGGTGATTGTCCGTCTTGCATTCTCAAGTTTATCGGTCATTAGGATCAGGTGAGTAATGGTTATAGCGTTGTTGAATACGTCGACGAACTAGTAATTCAAATGGATTGACTTTCGGTTCAAAATTTTCACGGACGAGAAATTTTGCTCGTTCGGATCTTTTCTGATCTTCATCATCGTCGTCATCTTCTTCTTCTTGATTGTACTCGGCGTCATCGACAGTCGGCTTCTTACTAATCGACTTGACATATCGATGCCCTGTATGAATGGCAAATGCAGATGCAACTAATAACATAATAATACCAATCATAAACGATATCTTTATGAGACTGTGGGGTGCTTCAAATTCTTCTTCAGGCACATCCCATGGAATGTGTAAGCAACTGTTCGGTGAGCGATAGTAGAAATGCTGAGATTTATCATAGAGTAAATTCACACAGATTTCGTAACGACCCGGCGATAAATTATGGAGATCAATCGTATTGTTTTCATTCTGTGTTCGATTCAGTTCTGAGTACTGACCAATTTGTTTCTCAAAGCGTTCTTCCAAATGAAGAGCATGATCATCCATTAAGTCGAGCGTTCGTAACGTAAAGATATAATACGAAAATTGAAACTGTTCACTTTGGTTGACTTTTAAATGTAGCCATACACGAATCGATGATATATTCAATTTCTGTCGACACAGGTAAACGTCATTGGACTTCGAAGGTGTTTTTAATGAACATTTGTGCCCATAAGTCAATGTGAAATAGAAGAAATATATAAGAAAAAACATTCATCAAAGGCTGATTAAATGACAGTATTTAGAAGAAAAAACATATTTTCTTTTCTTTGGCAATTTCAAATCATCGGCCAATCGTTTGCTTGGAAGTATAATCTATCAAGCATCTAAAAATACATGCTATTATGGATGATTAAAAAAACGGAAAGGACAAAGAAGAAAAGAAAACGAAAACTTTATTTTTTTCTTTTCAATCACGGATATATTAACATATGTGTGAATGTTAAGTAAATAAGCTCGAAAACGATAAGGTTTCATCTCGGTTCTTGCGATCGAGGACAGTAATAAGTCACCCGGTCAGGTATGACTCGATTGATTGCGACAGAGTTATTCCCTCGTCTAGGATATCGACAAATGAAGTTGTTCCGTTTGAAAGATAAGAGAGAATGAAAGCTTACGTTAAACCGATCATTCGTCGTTCTGGATCGATATGTAATTTTGTACGCGCATTGAACGCCATGCATGCACTATCTGCTGAAGGAGTTTTGTATGAAAATCTTTCGACTAGAACAAAACAATTAAGATCTTTGAATGCAACCGAAATTCACTTACATTGTGTTCGGTGACTATTTTCATTGAATTGGAATTTGACATAGTTGCTGTATTTCTAGAAGAAAAGAATGAGATTATGGTAGATGCGATAAGATCGGTTACATTTGTTTCCTTTGACGTTGAAGTTAATCGGATTTCTTGATCGAAATTGGCGAGCTCAGTCAACATTAAGTACCACTGTTAATCGAAGACGTCGAGGTACTGTTTTTTTTCAATAAAAGAAAACTTTCTCTTACCAACTTTCGAAGGTATTCTTCATTCAATCGGTCTTTCTCGAGAATCCCAGCAAAAAGCATTCGCGAGTTACGCTGAATATAAAGAACTAATTCATCACGTTCGATTTCATCGTTTTTTTCCGGTACATCACCCCATGATGCATGTCCTTCTTGATGTTCCATCGCATTGTATTCACCATCATTCAAATCCGAATAACTAGTTAACGTTCTTTGTCTTGGCCGATGGAAATGCGAAGATAGAACCATCGGCGGCAAACAAATCATATCGTCTTCACAGCAACTACTTTCATGACCATCGACAGTTTCAATTGGTTCGAAAACCAGACTGTTGACATTTGTATCCATGAAACGCGATCGATCGTAATCATTCTTCAATGAATTGTCATAATCATTATCTGACATTGACGAACGAGATCGTTCGAATTTATGTCGTATCTTATCATCATCAGTTCGTGATTCTTGCGATAATAGAGGCGAGAATTTGACACTCGATTCGAGTTTAGAATGCTAAACAGAACTAAATGAGACATGAAACAAATGCATAACACAAATGTACTTGTTGTAGTACTGGGAGAGATTTTCTACCACTGAACTGTGAACCTGCACTTTGAGAAAGCAGTTTTCTACTCGACGACACATGATTTGATTGATCACGATCTAAATCTGTTGCTTCTTCGGATGAAGTATGTGATTCTTCGGTAATCACCGATTTGGAATAGAGCATTTCGCCAATAGATGAAGAACCATTCATACTATTCGACTGAAAAGTCCACGGAGATGTTGAGTTATCATTGGAAAATAAAGTGTTTAGGATATTAATCGGTTCTGATGAATGTTGTCGATGGAAGAGCGAAGAGTTATTTGTATTAACAGCGTTCAACATTGGTTGTAAACTTGGTGCTTGCCGAATATGAATTCGAATCAAAGACACGCCATTATTTAGTTTGGTTTCTGAATTCAATGGCACGTGTATTTCATCGGCCTAATAGAAACATGATATTAGTCTTTCTTTTCAAAGAATCGCCAAACTATTCTCCTTGTCAACACCTTACCGGCAAATTCTGTTCCAAATTAAGAATAACTTGTAGTAGAAATGTAGTCTCAGTGTCAAGTGATGAATACAATATTCTATGAATTTCAAAAACGGATCAGATATGAAAATGCATTTATCAGGCTTACTGTTTGTCATAAGCAAAAAATCCACCATGAACTCCATAGTTTGACTCTAAATGACTCAGGAAATGTTTGATTTGTAGCAAAAATCGTATATCATCCTTAAAGACAGATCAGCATTATGATTGAAACAGCATTTGAATTAGTATTACTTGTTTTACAGAAGCATAATCGATACCGGAGAAAAGACTTCGGATGGATCGATTTTCATTGAATACGTATTCGACAAGAGGAGTGAATGTTCGTTTGAAATAGGCTTGTACTTGATGATTCTCTCGATGTATCTAGAAAAATATCGACGTTTTAGGAAAAAAAGTTTTCTGTGAGTATCATTTTACAGATTGTATAGAATTCAATGTTCCGTATAATATATTGAACAACTGAATGATATGAGTCAGATGAACATTAGCTTCATCAAAAGTGAATCGATCTTTCGGCAAAACTAAGAACTACATGAACAGAAAAATAAATTTCAAAAGTATGCTTGACTCGGAAAAGCGTCTTACTGCTGAGTGTCTTCCAAAATGTTCGCAAATGACAAAAGATCTTTTATATGCGAATTCTTTAGGTAAACAGGCGAACAAATCATGTTTAAAGAATTGTATTAGTCCAACTATTTCTCCGCAATCCAGAAGTTTCTAAATCAGACAAATGATTAACGAATTCAACTTTCAGTCGAATAAATCTAATTCATGAGCAAAATTACATAAAGAGCAGATGATTTTCTTTCGTATAGTTTACTTGTCGTTTGAAATCGTCTTTTGTCGGATAGAAATAAACGATTGAATCGGGAACTAAGTCGTTCTCATCAGTTGAATCTTTCATATAATAAAAATCAAATATGAAGAAGTACGAGGTAGTTCTATGTGAACTCATCGTTGACATCTAAAACACGAACGAACTTTGATTTCATACTTTTCGAGGATGAGAACGAAAAAAATAACATAATGTGAAAACATGCCGAGATAACAAACTATTTTCGATGCACATCACGCTGACAATGTCTAATCTATCTCACCTGCATACATAGTCAATTTATAGGACAGTTTTACATCTTTTTTTTCAAGGTGAATATTACCATACTTAATCGTCCTGACGGATGTGATTATATCGACAACTCTTATACACAATGATTACGTCTGAAATGAAATAAACTGAGCTTGATGATATTGCTTGTTCCCATACAAAAACGAATTTGTTCTCGAAAAGGTGTATTTCTTGCTGAAGAAAAGACTTACATAAATGTAAAAGAAAATAATAACAATATATACGAACATGCCCACGAACAGAAAAGAGAATCTACATATTCGATGTAGTGAAAAATACAACTGCAATGAAACGAAATTCATGTAGAAAAACAAAAGAAAATAAATATTGAAAGTCTTTAAAAAAATGTTAAAGGATTCGTTGTGAAACTATTGTTGTTTTCACCAGCATCAGTGCTGTTGGTGGTCGAATTGTTGGTGGTATTTTTCATTGATGGAAACATATCGAATGGACTGGAGAAGAGTGCAGAAAAATCATCGATACCAGAAAAAGCATCATTTTGCCAGGGAGTCGGATTTTCGAGAGTTGATGATGAGGCAGGAATGGGGTTGGAATTTAAATCGTCGAGTAAAAGATCAATTTCGTCATTTAAATCACTGAAATCATTCGAAAAGATATTCGACGAAGCAAACGGCGTGGAATCGGATAATAACTCATCTAATAAGCTAGTTGTGGAACGAGGTGCAGGCTGTGGTTGAGGCAATTGTGGCAGCGGTGGTGGTGGTGAAGGAGCTTTTGGTGCTGGTTGAGAACTGTTCATAGACATTGATGGAGACTGGCGAATACTAAAGAATCGACCATCAGGTGTTCGAACATACGAACCCCGAGATGATTTTATTAACTGAATTTTCGCACCAGATGGAATGTATTCACGTTCAAAACTACTTATTTGCACTTGTAGTGCTACAATGAAAGCATGATTGATTTGGTTGATATGCGGAAATTTGCACTTACGATTTCGAAGTGTAACGAACTGTACGGACGCACCAGATTGCTTTGGCGGTTCTTGTTTTCTTTCCGGCAAGTGATAGTTGTTGTATTGAGAGTACCGAGATTCGAAGGATGGTAAAGGTGAGCGATGCAAACGTTGATAGTCTTGCAAAAATCGTGAACTGGTATTAAGATACGATGAGCTGCTAAAAGAAAGAATCAGTACAACGAAAACATCAATCAATGGTTCTACTTACGCTCGAGAAGCACTGAACCTCGATCGATTTCCATAGATATTCATTTGTTTTTCGTGTTGATAATGTTTCTGTGCGCGACGCTTTTCTGCAGATGTCAATTGATTTTCTTTTTTATCCAATAGGAGAGATTCGTGTGTAAAAGGAACTTTCGTTATCGATTGTGCATATTGTTTAGAAATAAATAGCAAAATCGGATCATCGGAAATTTCTTCAACTCTATTGACTAAATCAGGAACGGCTGGTTCTTCTTCAGCGGCGAAATGAAGCAATTTTTCCACTTCGTTCCGAGTAAACTGATTCTGTGGTTGCAATTCATCGACAACACGGTCCGACATGCCTTGCTTAGCTATTTGTCGATCGTAGATACGCTTCTCCATGGTAAAATCAGCGATCAAACGATATATGTAACAATGTTTACGTTGCCCATAACGGTAAATCCGACAAATAGCTTGAGCATCAAGACACGGATTCCACGACACATCCAAGACAATCACACGATTCGCAGCTGTTAGATTTATACCAAGACAACCCGCTCTAAACACCTAGATTCGCACCTCGTGGTACAGAATTGCTTTTCTTACCGTGTTGATAACAGAAACAATTGTGCACTGGAGTTGGGAGCATTGAATGCATTGATCAACCGTTCACGTTCAAGACCACTGGTACTTCCATCCAATCCTATCGAAAATAAGTGGCAGAATGAATTCATCAAAACGAGATATTTTTCATTTACGATAATAACTGATGTTTTTCTCCCAATTTTTATCTGTATTAGGTATTTGTTGTTGATTCAGAAACTTTTCCAGTTCATTCAGAGTTAGCAAGCTTTGACTGAAAGTACGAAGTAGAGCGTCTTGATTTGGATAAAAAATAAACGCTTACCTGAACAGAAGAATTTTATCTCCGAGTCGCACGGAGAAATCGATAATAGTAAGTGCTACTTGAAATTTAATCCCATTGGATAATTGTCCACACATATAAGAATTCAAGATCGAATTAGCCTACAATGTCTGTTGAAACGAGAAAATATGAGGAAGAAAGCGAAGAACTCACAAAATCATAATCAAAATCTTTCCGCTCTGTTAAAGTTTGTAATTCAAACGGACTCATCATCGTAGTCGTCTGTGGTGACGAAATGGGTGATGAACGGTTGATGATATTCAATCGATTATTTGATCGACTTTTTGTTGTTAACGGTCGATTTGTTGAATTCGAATTCTGTTCGATATCCATATCGAAATCAACATCAGCACCATCTTGACGGTCACGCACAAATTTATACAGAACATCAGCATGATTCCAAATCTATTTCCCGTAGAAAAAAGCGTTCTCATCGCGAATTCTCTCTCTCTCTCTTGCTTACTTTACAACAGATTGTGAATGCTCTTAAAGGATTTAATGCTTTTTCCGTTGTATTCGATAGAGCACCAACTGCTTCCAGAAACTTCATGTACAATTGCCGTTGGTTAGGTGACAATTTCAACAAAATGACATATTCTGTTTTGGGAGGAAGATCAGTCTGTAGAACATCGTGACCCCGCCTGTCGCAAAGGAAAAGAAAACAGTGAGTGTTGTTTAAAAGAGAGAAATCGACAAGAATACCTTTGAATAAAACCCTCGAGTAAACTGTGCAAAACATGAGCACGTGCACGCATCAGTTGTCTGTCTTCGGCCGTTGAATCAACACATTGACCATTGAGAATCGGACGTTCGAACATATTGCAAAATTCTTGTTTACTGCCGAGATAGTTTGGACGAATAAAATCAACCATACACCAATATTCTAAGCGTATTTTCGGAGTCTATTGTTTCAATTAGAATTCTGACTTACCAATAAGATTATTTTGTAAAGGATAACCGGTGAGAACAATCCGACGTCTAATAAAAGAGAGAAAAGGATCGAAATGACGTTATTCATGTTTTTACTGAGTTCGAATTGATTTTAAAGCAATGGCAACACTGGCCAGATGATTCTTTATTCGATGACCTTCATCACAAATGACAAGATCAGGATTAATCAATGTATTTGCTACATCTACACAAATAGAAAAGAAATAAACATTCGTATTCATAGATGAGCGATCTCCTTACCTTCCATCGTATCGAAATTTCTCTCCTCTTCTTCGCCATCCTGGAACACAGACGCCGTTGGACTCGGTATGTTCATAGTTTTCATTGAATTCGTAGTTTTTATTGATGTACTCATTTGCATAGGTTTCTTCGTCACCAACAAACGAAACATTTCATAACCGATAATCAGTGTTCCACCTGTTTGAGCCCAATTTTGAACAATTTTAGCACGTTGAACAAATTTCTTCGAAGCTTCATTCAATATATACAATTGATACGGACGAGTGTATCCGACATTCGGATCATCTATTGGACACCAACGATTGAACTCGTTTGCCCAATTTTGTATAGTATTTATCGGTACAACAACCAGAATTGATTTTGCTGTTGTGTGACGTAGAAAAATATCAATGAAGGTGATTACCTAAGAAGAAAGAAAACGATTCATTAAGCTTGAAGTCGATCTGATGGTTTTTACTTGTAGTGTTTTTCCACAACCCATGGAATGCGCAAGGATACAGCCGAGACCAGGTGTTGCTTGAAAACGTTGCAAAGACTCAACGATATTGTCGTACATAAAACGTATACCACCGATTTGATGAGGTTTAAGAACTGGAGAAAGGTGCCGGGTTATATACAAATCAGGATCGTCACTCGGATGATTCACATTCACCAAAATATTTCCTAGAAACACAACTTCAAATATTCAGCAGAACTTTCTAGTTTAGTTTATACCATTTTCATCGGGTATATTCACCCGATCATAGACATGTAAACGTTGCAATTTCTTGGTTACATTGTCATTTACATATTCAGTGTCACTGTCAACACATTGAACATCAGAATCATTACCATCATCAGCATTGCTTCTGTTCATATCTGAAGAAGATTTGAACATCACAGATTATGACTACGGATATAAGAAACGTATTTACCTGAAGACTTCAGCAAAGTTGAATTGTACGATTGTTCGTTATCGTCAACGTCATCATCATCACCTCCTTCATCGAGTACAATGCATTCTTGTTGATTAGGCGAATGCTTCACTTGATGAAAGTTGTTGTTTGGTAAATGAGCATGATCTGTATTGATTTCTTCTAATCTTTTCAATCTATCTTGTTCAGCTTTTAATGCTGATAGTGTATCACCTTGTAGTTTATCATTCGTAAATAAATTTCGAATATTTCTTCGCATATACGCAGGTGTTTGCTTTGACTTTTTTGTTTCAGTCGAATCTTTTTTATGTTCACGTTTACGTTTTCGTTTTTGATTATCTTCATTGTTATTCGGTAATGATAAATCTTTTTTTTCCATGCTTTGTGGCTCAGTGAATGATAACACTGGCGACGAAGAAGTAGACGAAAACGAATACGACGACAATGGGGATGATGGGGTTTCATTGACATCGGAAACTCCCATACTCTCATTAGGATTTGGAAACCATTCATCAAGTAGATTTGATAATGAAGAATCAACCATCACTAACAGTGAAAAAAAATAAAAATCAATCCATCTAAAGAAAAATTTCATTAAAAACTCCTTGCTGTTAAAATTCTATTTGTTCAAAAGTGCGATATTATCCATACGTATTTTTTATTTATTTACTACCTTCTAATGGACTTGTACTTCATATATTCTGACGGCTCACTTTGATTGGATACAACGTTTTAGCCAATGATGATACATTTCAAATGCTAGTCGATAGATGCAAGAAAGAAAACGTGTTTGTTAAAATTGTAGATAAGAGTGTCTACTTTCCATATACGTAGTGTTAATATTAACACTATTGATTTATTAAATGTATATTGAAAATAATTATACGCGACTGAGATCAGATTTCATCATCGTATTAAAATTAATATTTTCACTGTATACGGAATGAGGAAGTGTAAAACAGAACCATGAGTTAACTAATGTGTTATGACTATGTATACATGGAAGTAACGTTTGACTAAAGTGAGTTTCATATTGTAGCACAAATGGTAATATAAATGATGAATTACTACGAATACCTACGGATACGTGGATGGTTAAAGTTAATTTTTCTGCATCGTTGTGTATTAAATCTTACAGTTATTGAACTATTTATGAATACGGAGCAATATTCATGAGTTTTCTCCTCCATTTCAACACCGCATAAAATAAGAGTAGCTGAGGGGAGGCACTTAACTTATAAACAATAGAAGTCATGGACTATACTGAGAATTTCTATGTATTTGCCAATTGTTATCAGCCTCATTCGTCAGACGGTAAACCTAATGAAATAAACTGATGACAGATGGTAACTTTGTCTTGACTTATGAACTATAAAATACTACGGCACCTGTATTCGCACCAGTTGGTAGCTGTGCACGATTTGTGAGTTCAACTATCTATTCTGTTACGATTGGTTATTTTATTCAAGCCAATACTATGTTACACTTGACAAAATTCATCGCGATTCGATTCAAATGAATAATTCTTCACTATTTGTTGTATTTCTGATATTCTAGATGCAGTCATCGAATAACACGTCGCCTTTACTCAATCATGCTATGAGAGTTCGTGCAAAGAATGTTGAACTACGAAAGAAAATTGCACAGTTAGAAAGCGATGTTCAATTTGTTGAAAAGGATATCTCGACATTAACACATGCATACGATGACCTTGCTGAACAATGTCAAGTTCTACGGGAAAAACAAACAGATAAGAAAAAAGATCTTCTTTTACAACAATATCAAACTCAATTCGATCACTACATTAATGACATAGAGAATTATATACTTAACAAACAATGGACTCTTCCAGTAATCGAAAAAGCAACTGTTCTATGTAAGATTATCCTTTGTACTTTTAAAGCTTAGGATTAAACGTTCAGAAAGTCCACATCTCACCCGCATAGATAAAGCTCAAATGAAATTTTCTAATTATAAATAGAGCCGTGATTAACACCAACATAAACTTAATGCATTCAAGCCAACACGAGCATAAACTCCATTTACGTGTTGACTAGAATGATAAGATTATTTTTCTTTTCTAGCCCCAAAATTAGCATCAACGATCTCTTCCGATCATAAAACAGACGACCTGCCAGTTCAAAATCTAAACGATGTTCTCAATCAACAATTAGAATCTGTAGAAAACTGGCTGATGGAAAGTGCAGTAACAGATATCGATAAGCAATCGCCGATATTAATCGAACCTCAGCATACAGATGATGGTGCAGATGATTTATACAAAGATTTGATCTTTCCGGTAATATCTGACGATATTCCCACTCAATCCGAAGAAATTCAACTCGATGAAAATGATCGACAGGAAGATTTTGTCAAAACCATCTCACCAAAAATGTCCCAAGAGCCACATCAACGGCTCGATAAAAACCAGCGTCGATTTGCATTAATGAGACAACTAGCTGAAAAATCCAATAAAACAGTCACTCGAAAATTATTATAATCTGTCTTTCGAAGAATTTTCTTTCTTCTTCTTTTATATATCCTGAATATTCATGCAGATAAACATTCATTTCTAATGGTTACTTCGAAATAAATCATTATGAAAATAGTTTGTTTACTTCTTGTTTTTATTACAGAGGAAATTACCACAAATTGATTGGTTCTTTTCCTGAGCAAAATTTCACACTCAAAGAAATGGAGAGAAAAACATATCTAATTGCTTATTTTCTAAAATTTTCGTTAATAAAAGTTCCAGTAATTATCGAACATGATAGACATAACGATTTAACTGATAAACTAATTGCCCAGTAGTTGAACTTGGGAGGGCACGAAGACACGATGCGTATGTTTCGAGTTTCAACGAAAGTGTATAACCAACGTAGTTTGACGTTACAGTTCCATTACAAAGGTAATTTGGTTTGATCAGACTATTCTCAGATGACCATTGAAAATAATTGACGATTGGATTCGACGTAGCAAAAAAGATCGATGTCCAATTGAAAACACGTGCATTTTGAATAAGCAGATACGTCATCTGATAGTCGTATTCGATTGTTGGTAAGTTGTAGATAGATGAAAGTACTGTATACGTGCCAAAGGTTGCATTTGTTGGTAATGGAATATAGTAACAGATTCCATCGTAGAGAAAGAGATTTTCTCCAAAGCATAATTCACAAGTTGAGGTTTGACTTGACCAATATTGAGTATTAACCAATGGACAATGGCAATAGTTATTAATACAGATCAAATTGGAGTAACACTGTTGAGTATTGTTACAGAAGGAACCATTATTTAGACGTGAATGACATATTTGCCCATTCCAAAACGAATTTGGATTGCAAACGCATTTCGAATTAGTTGTATTACACATTAACAATGCTGAACTATCACAATCCGAATTAGTAATGCAGTATTGACCATGTGTAGAAGAATTGGTGCACATATTTCCATTCCAAGACTGTCCTGACAGACAAGTGCATACATTTGATCTAATAGAAGATTTTCAGATTCAACATCAATTAATATGGTTCTATGAAATTCAACTTACCTGCAAACAAGTCCGCTAACACATTGACTTGCTAAGGTACAAGGTTGTAGAGCGTTGTAGGGTAGCTTTGGATTACATGTAGTTTGATTGTAATAACTATCGAATGGGCAATCGCATTGATGTGTATTTTTTGAACAAGTTAAGTATTCCATACAAGAATCACTTTGTGAATTACACATTTGACCAAAAACGAGTCGCTCTTGGCAATGATTGTCTGTGTAATACATACCTATTGTACAATCGCAGAATGAACCATTCCAAAACATATTGTTTAAACATGCACACTGATTTGTGACTGTACTACAATACAGTCGTAATGTTCGATCGCATTCGATGATGGGAGATGTTGTGATGAAATCAGTTGAACAACTATCGTTGTACCATCGTAAATAGTTGATAGCTACAGATGGTTTTCGTAAGAATGCAATCATGAAGATAATAAATAGAATGATTAACACAAATGCATAACAATACCAAAAGATTCGCGCATCTTTTCGGGAATAACAACAGTAGAACCGAATGTTTTTCCATATTGGTTTGTTTACTATTGATCGGAGATGATTTTGAAAAGTTTGTGCACCTGCCATTGTGAGTTAACGTTAGGTGGTGCGATCGAATCGAAGAAGAACCTGTTGTGCTTTTGCTTTCGAACAGCATTATTTGATGCATGAAATCATAGAAGTCTTTCAATTGAAGTTTTCTTAAATTGAATATAAAATAAAATATCTTATTGATGAAATCTTACGAATTCGCCTGAAAGAGAACTCACATGGTCTAAGTAGAAGAAAAAATTGACAACATATCGTTCGAGCTATATGTTTCACATAAGATTTCCCTCGCACAGTACATTTCTGCATACCCTTTGTCGCTCAAATACACCGTGCGGAAACGCTGCATCTCCGTTTGTATCTCGTTCACTGATTAATACCTTCTTATATTGCCAAAACGGAAGGTAAACATCATTTTCAAGAGTGAATGAGTACATTTTTTATGTTGACCTATTATCAACAATAATTTATTATCGAAAGAAAAGGAAGCACAATTCGTACTAACGACTGAGTTCGAACCGCGTATTCACCGTACAGAAAGTGCACATTTCTTCAATCGAACGTGTTTTTATACAGACAAAATGCTTTTATTCTAAACTCCATAGAACAAGGTTTACATTATATTGTTTTCATGTTGAAAGAAAAAATTACATAACTTATGACAGTAGTTATCGACTTTCCAAAAGAACAGACACATAGTATGACATCGGGGCAAAAGTTCAACTGATTATTGATGAATTAGATTTCTCATGAATGTTCTTGCAAAGGCGCCAACATCGTTGGTTACAACTGGATTAATGCCAATCATGTTGGCGGCAGCTCGAGATGCTTCTGCAAATCCGTGCGTTGGCTGAAATTGGTGCATACCACCAAAGGCTGGTTGAAGATAGCTTGGATGAGAATGGTATGAATGATTGCCGTTGTTGACATAAGCCTGCATTTGAGCAGCAATGTTTTGGTAGTGCATGCCAGTGGCTGGACTCATTCCGGTTGGTAGACTCATTGTCCGATGATAACTGAGAAAGAAACGACGACGAAGACGGTGATTACTTTACTTTGTGTTTTGTTTCACAATCGAACGTCGTAAATATAGGCGCAAAACGCCTGACCAAATGATGCCTTCATAATGTCATGCATTCAAGCATAACGATAAAAGAGAGAGGGGAAAAAAACTAATTAACCATGAATCATATCTATTGGTAAAATACAGTGCTCTCAAAATCAGGAAGTAATGACAATGAATGACCGTATCTGGATGTATGATTTTGAAAGAAAACTATGCTTTTTTTTCTATTTGTTTGTTTCTCTTTCACTGTGTTAGAGGACGAACAAAAGCCAGAAGAGAAGGTTACACGATAGGAAATTCAACACAACAGAATTAACAGTCAATCTAAAACACATGCATTTAGATTGGACAGGGAAAACACGATTACAGTCAGTGTTACGTGGTGCCAATCTGCTCTTTCAGTTATGTCATATTTGTATTCGCTGTTCGAAATGCTTTGCCTTCAGTTGACGAATCTAATCGAGTATTCGACGACCTTCGTTGTTTCACTAGCAGGCTTTGGTTCATTTTACTATCACGAAGTCGATCTTCCAATTGATACGATGACGTTCGACTAAATTCCGACGTGCAGCATATTGATGTACCGCCTTGACAACCGAGAAGATGATTTTTTATTTGCTGAATGTCACTCTGAAAATAAACGACTCGCTTTTGTCGTTACATATCATGTACCACCAATTAACCTACCCGAAAACGATTATTAGCAAATCCATAGATAATCGGATTAATAGCTGTATTGGAAACAGTAAGAAAATGACATGCTATATATAGAAGTTGAAGTAGTGTTCCACGACTACAAAAATTTTGATAGGGTGTTCCTTGATCACACAGAAGATTAACGCATAATTGGAATACGTTCATCGGCAACCAAAGTACAGCATAGAGAATAACAACGACTACTAGCATTTTTAAGCCCTAAGAGGATGAGAAAGTACTTAATAATAGATCAACAAGACAAATTAATTTAATCAAAATTAATCATATCAATGTGTTTATCAGTGAGCCGACTATCGAAAATCTGTACGAGAAAAGTTCACTCCTGAGATTTCATTTAAGATTGCCTTCAATCATCAAGAATAATCTTTATTGTTGATGTTTGTTTAGCTCTTTTCAGCTTACACATCTGTTTTTATCCCGTAGAAGAAGAAAAACTATTTCTAGTTAGTCGTTGATCTTTATCATGAGAGACTACTAATTAAAACTCAAAAGTTTGACAATAATCCAGCTAGACAGATTTACCAAAGTCTATTTTTCTGCGAAGTGAGAACTCGCATTTTATCCCTTGATATTATCGTTGTCAGGTCAAAAGAATCTTCTGGACAAGAAAAGTATTGTTCAAGACATTAACAATAACATCTTTAACCTGAAGTCTATGTTTCCTAAATCAAATCTGCATCATTGATTGTTTCAGTTCTGATTAGCATTCATTTCTTCTACCTTGTCAATAAATAATCGAAACGTCAAAGATGAACTATGTCTTGTGGAAATCTTTCTGTCAATAGAAATTTCGCTCATTTTATGCACCTGTCAGTTTTGTTCAAGTAAGAATGCATAAAATAATAATTGAATTGCAAGCAAATACAATCACACCCTCATTATTAATCATGCATTGGTTCTTTTTCTTTTTTAAATCCATTTAAATTTCCAGGAGAGACAAGGTCTGTCCAGATTCATTACGTTGAACAGGTATGTGGGTTGTCAAGAAGCAACAATGAGAGATGCTTTGAAGAGGAAAATAGCATATCTAATTTATCTTGAGGCTATGTTTGAAATTTTCTTGCTTTTATCTTTGTGTTTCTTCGAGTGTTTAAAATAAAGAAAGTAACATCTTCGGTTTCTATTTTCTTTGCACAAAAGTGCCATATTAGTAACACATCGGTACACTTTTCGGATGTCCGTAAGAGCTTTTCATAGTGACATTTCATTATCGATCTAATGGAAATAATTAGAAACGGTGATCTAAATCATTCTTCTCTTCCTTTTGTCTCGTATACAATTCGGAAGAAGTCGGAAGGTAAGTTTGTCGATTTCCGATTAGCGTTAAATAATTGAGTCGGAAAATTAAGCTCAACGAAGAAAGGTGTTTTTAATTGAAACGATTCGCGTTTGTTTTCTTATGACAACCTTATTTTCTTATGTGTGGAGATCTTATTTAATTAAGTCTGTGAATCTCATAGTATTTACCTGTTTTAATTTTTTTTTGAATTGTACACTTTCATGCGTATTCAATATATTGTTTGCCGCGCTTCCATTCGTTTCACCTGCTCCATCTGTTGAACGATGCCACAACATCGCAGCTATGCGAAGATAAACAAAAGCAATGACAGACAGAGGAACAAAATATGTTTGTAGGAAATTGAAAATTGTACGTTGAACTTCAACGGGTGATGCACCTTTATTCGGCACGCATTGAATTGTATCCACGATTTTGTACTGAAAATCCAACCGTATTGAAGACGTATCAGATAAATATGTACCATTAATCTTGAGATAATCGATAAAACTAGCTAGTGAAGTTCGAGATGTAACCCATAAACGTTTCTCTTCCACGGGATTCGATCTTGCCGGCGATTTGATTATCGCTAGAGCGATGCTTAGAATCCAAATGATGGTTAATGCAATGACATTTCGTTTGGATCCGGAATAAATTTTCATTGTTAATGGATATCTCACAGCACAATAACGATCGATAGCGATAATTATCAAGGTTACCAAGACACCGGTTACTGAGAACGTTTTGAAGAGATCGAGAACAATGCATAATTCGCGGGCATACAACCAACGTTGAAAAATCACCGATGTTATTGTAAATGGAATACAATACGCCGTCATAATTATATTAAAAACGGATAGATTGAGCAAAAACGGGGAGAGATCAGATCGCGAGCGACGCCCAAACAGAAAAATGATCATGGCAATAAAATTTGTGAAAAACGAAAAGACAATCATGATACCATAAATGATTAAAATAATCGCCTCATATGTATACAAATCCGCGAAGGTTAGATAAGTTAACGGATGAGACGAATAGGCTTCTAAGAATTGCGTGGTATCGTTATCGGTCATAGTAAGTGGTGGATTTGATCTTGAATTAATTAAATCTAGAAATCAGATAAAAACAAAAAGAAGAGAGTGAGTCGTATTATTTTATATCGCGCATATTCACATCGGTTCTTTCTACTTTCTTCTTTTCCTCTTCTTTGGCAAAACACCAATGATATCTATAGCAAAGATTTTCTTTGATAATAAAAGTTTTTATAATAAAGTATGACAGGTCAACGTACTGTATAAAGAAGTTTAATGAAGAATGGTAATCTCTTTTGATAGAAGAAAACGGAGCAAGTATCATTTTTCTCTAGATAAAATCTATTTAGAAGCGAACAAGAAATAAAAAAATTAGAAAATAATTATCTTAGGAAAACTTCTCTCAGTTTGTTGTTTCCTCTCGAGGTATATTGCTCTCGAACGAGAAAGAAAAGAGAGAAAACAAAACACAACACAACGAGGTTTGCTGTGTATTTCCACGTCAATAGCATGTCTCTAACTCATCATCATGACCGTAGTCGTACTCACTAGTATTGCAAAAGTGAAGTACGACGGACGAGATTTTCTTGGTGAAAATCGAACAGATTCTATGAGACTAGTCAATGCTACTCAAGTACATCTGCTTAGAAACGATTTATTTGCTCATAATTCAAAAGAACATCGGCGTTTGTATTTCTAATTCAATAGAGCTCTCCATTTCTTTGCGAACGATTATCTGGCCTAGTGTGCAAAGAAAAACGAGAAAGATTTTCTTTCCGCCAATACGTAAATCTCTTTGGAATTGCAATTTGTTGATTCTTATCAGTTGGAAATTCTTCTTCTGCAAACACATTCAACCAACAAGTCCATCCATCATGTTTTTTACTGGATGAAGAAACATTCATACTCAACACATTGACGTCATATGTGAAAAAATAATGTTGTTCCCTGTAAAGGTTATTAATAGGTGTCCGAAGAAATCTCGAATAACTACGAAATAAAACTTTAATTAACAAATCTCATTGCATGATCACAAAGTTGGTCGGTAAACATTTTTATTGAATAGAATTGAGTGCGCATATGTGCACATTCGATTCAATGAATGAAGTTAACTTGTTCAAGTTCAAGAAAAAGAAACGTTTCTATCCAGACTTCCTCAGTAAGCATAGCTGCAAAGTGATATTATATTATAATCAATCTTCAATGTGCAAGTATAATCTTGCATCGCTCATTCAATCGGCTACTCATTATCAACTTGTCACGCAATAGACACCTAGGAAGCCTTTTAGTTCAAGTTAACATGTAGAAAGTCACAGGTGGGTTATTCTTTTCAGAATGATTACATCTTGAGATGTCATAAACGGATCATCACGTAGTGGTGATGGTTGTCAACCTATCTTAGTTTTCGACTCTCCTAACCGGAAAACATGCTCGACTTCTTTTCTCAACTAATTGTTTCCATTTACAAAAAAACATCGAGACGAAACGCTAAACTTTTGATTTCCCATGTCGAAATAATCTTTAAACATTCATTGCTTGCGTGATCGTCGATATTCAATGATGATTTACTTGAAATAAACATGAATTACGCAAAAATATTTTTCCACCAAATACAAAAAAGTCTACTTAACTTAACCTGAACACTTTCCAATATGATTACTTAGAAGATTCTATACCTATATTGACATTACTATTTGTTTTGGAACGCAATACACTTCATTGTTATGTAAACGAAAAAAACATGTTTTTTTCAGAGAGAACTGATCACCAAGGCAATACATCATCATGAATAGTGGAAAAACTAATTTATATCGTAGCAGACTGTTCCTTGTGAAAAGAAACAGTCATTCTTTTCTTCTTCTCTGTCGTACATCAATGTCATGCATATTATATACAATTCTGACGCAGTCTGTTCCCTTTTAATTAAGATCATCTGACCTAAAACACGAAAGCATCGTCCTATCTTCGGATATATGAATTATTTAATTATTGCCAGTACATCAGGCAAAGAAAAACATATTTGCATATGAATTTTAGACGCGATTGCTCCATGTGTCTATCTCAAAAGTGAATGTATGTACTGACAGAGTCATGAGTTCATTAAAAACTTATTTTCAGTTACTTTGATATGTACATGGTAGGCACTAGCGATGAAAGTAAATGTACAGAGGCTGCAAACAGACGGATGCATCTAGCAAAGATCTATTTTCTGATATAAATATGCAAAACTTACTTGAGATGTAATTGCAATACTGTCGGTGGATATTCGGCTTCATATATGAAATATGATTCAGCTGTCTAGCTAAACAGAAACACTTCGGACACCTTTTTACTCGAAGTGAAAATAGACGTAACGTTTGTGATGTCTAAAAGCATTGTCTGGTCGCAGCTGCACGCATCTCAGTAGTCCTTTTCAGATCTCTCTCTGCGATTGAAATCGAGATACCACCTGCTATAGCTTTTGGTTCTCTAAACTATTTCAGAGTGTCATTTTTTGGTCACAAGAAAAATAAATGCCGATCAATGATGTAGAAACGTGCCATTTTCTCGTTAGTGTTATTCAAACTATTGCGCACATATGTATTGAACTGAATCGCTAGATGAAAAAGTCAAAATTTGATCGATACTTCCATTCAAAGAGGAAAAAAAGGGAAAAATCTGGCAGATGTCAAACTCTGCGAAAAACAATGAACAGCAAACTATCAAAAAAAAGAATAACAGTCTGGACTAATGATAATAAATTCAGGCGTTTAGCTTGACATATGACTTTTTTGTTTTGTTTTGTATAGCATCACTGGAGCCATCAATGATCGCATTGTGAGTGTCAAGTACTTTATCTGGTGTCTTGCGCGAGTGAGCACTCTTGTTTGTGTTTTAATATATTATATTTATGAAAGCAATATCTATCATTTTTTTCTAATGTCGAGGGTATACGACAAAATTAGGTAGTTTCATCGTTGAACTGGAATTACAAGTACAAGAACTGATTATTCTAAGGAATTCTATTCTCAGTCGCATATGAAGAAAAACAATTACTTACTATGTTGTCACGTCAACACTCGACTTGATTGGAAAAGCAAGATTAACTATGAGATAGATTAGTGGTAACGAATATAGACTATAAAAGAGACATTCTATTCCTTTCTCTGCGCATAAACAAATAGAACAATTAGAAGAAGTTGATGGGTACAGAAAGTACCATATTCTAACCGCTGAAGACTCGGTAAGAAACAAAGGAACGGAAGAAAGCATCATTATGGAAAAGGCATCCGTTAATGACATTGGAATCAAGCGTGTAGCTGCTTATCGGCTTCGACAAGACAAGAAACTACTAGTATCAACTACATTACCTTATTATAATGTTTGATTAATATCTGGAAAACTCTTCAGACACACCCTTCAAACGCATATTTTTCAATTATATATAGGATATAAAGGTTTTCATATGCTAGGTTTTACGTTTTTCCAGAATTAATTTCGTTCGATTATGTGAAATTTATCGTGAATCCTTACTTTGCTTTGTAATCAAAGGAAAGGGAACTTGAGCAAATGTAGAACACTATTATGAGTTTCCTAATCACGATCAAAACCTAAATAGGAACAATTACTGTCGGATATAATTTCCAAGATGATGACGTCAATATACTGACAGTGCGATCAACATAATTAGAGTCAGATGTCACTAGCAATCATTGAAATTTCGAGAGTTGTCGCTTCTCTTACAACTGTACTCATTCTTGAAAGAGGATATAGCTAGGGATGTGGATTGAAAATGAAACGAAATATGGTTATAGGAGAAGAAGAAGAATGAGAACAAGAAATTTGCTGTCAATGTAAAATAAAATACACAACCAAACATCTGTACATGAGTTTTTCTTTCTCTTTGAGAGCTCTTAGGATTTTGCTATAAATCGTCGCAAATAGTTTTCTGTTTGTCTACAGATGCAAACCATTACACCAGTAGATTTACATATTGATAATGATTGGCGTGATGGTGGCATGAACGGATCAGCTGTAAGAAAATCCTCCTCAGCAACTAATCGTGGAGGACGTCAAGCCCTGCGAATGCGTACCTGTGTTATGAGTAAAGTCAAACCAAACAAGACGAAATCTGCTCAAATGACATCAGAAGTTACACAATCGAAATCAAATCTACCCGTTCGTTCCCGAAGTCCATCGCCAACCCGAGAGCCATGGTAAGAAAACAGCACATCGAACAAAAGGCTTTCTAAATTGTATATAATTACTATTATTCAAGGGTTCCACCACCAGGCCGTACAACAAAAGGGCAAAAATTTGCTCCCCAAGTAATTTAATTATATTCTTCATACAGGAAAATGATCTTTTTTCCTCTTCTAGAACGCTAAAACACGTTTAGAAACTCCAACGAATCATTTTGATATCGTTTCCGATGATGTGACAGACGAAGATGGCCAAAATCATGATCGCCAATCGGTGTCGAACAACAGTCCACTCCTAGCTGAAATTCAAACGTACGAAAAACGTATTCAAGGATTAGTAGAAGGTGTTGAAATACTTAAAGAGCGAGTAAATAGAAATCTTCGACACCTTTCGCTAATTGAATGTATTCATCCAGGTATATAATCGTCTAAATTCCGATCAAATTCGTTCAGATATTGTTTCATCATTACGTGACCTTGAACAGTCTCAACAAGCATCTTTCCAAACAACACTTAATAAACCACCATTACGATCTTCTCGCTCTTCGCCACCCTCACGTCATAATTATCGTTCGTCAAGTGCTGGTGAACAACGAAAGCATCAGATGTTACCTCGAGTTTCGTTCGAACATGACTTGCCTCATGAACGGTACAGATTTTCACAATAAACCCTTTCTTCTGTCGAAACGAATTATCTTTAGACGACGAGCTCGTAGTACAACACCTGTTCGCGGTCCGCTCTATCTAAATCCAAACCGTGAACGCTTATTAATATCTCTATCCCAATCCGAAGCGGACATTGCTCAAATAACCAAACAATTATCATCGGTCAAAGATATTCTCACGAAACTGAAATTTGTAAGTCCAATTTATCGGTTTTTTATTGCAACATTCAAATCAGAGTCTTTTATTAGTTTCTATTTGACTAAGATAGAATGTCACATCTTTTGTTACTTCATGCATATTCATACCGAAGCAAACTTTAATAAAAAAAAAAAGAAGGAAGAAAATGAAAGGCATTGTGTTCTTCTCTTTCGTCATACATCTCGATAATGAAATCGTAATCGAGATGTTTTACATTTTCTTTTTGATTAGTTCGCATAGCGATAAAGACAATATTTTGCGTATTGTTACATTTAAATCAAGTGTTTGAGACAGACATCTTAAGTCATACAATTGCAACAAACTTGACATCCTGATGACGACACACGTACGAAATTGAAACAGAGAATAGTTAAAAGAATTCTCTCTCTCTTTGCTTTTAATTTCATATGAATGGTTTCTATTTTCTTAGAATGAAGCCATTTTATGCCATATTCTTCTCTACCTGTGTAATCTTTTAGGACAACCATCCCGTTTCGTTCGAAGTTGAACAATTGTATCAACAGCGAAATCAATTACTACATTTAATCGAACAATTTGAACACTCAAATAGGAAATTAAAAGAATTCCTTCAACATCAGTATCATTTAGAAGCCGAAGACGGTGCCGTGAATGAGAAAACTGATGGTATAAACACACGTTTACATGAACTAGAACGTGAAAATGTACAGATACGACGATTACTACTCGACCGAGAAAATGACAATATTGCATTGCAGAATGAACTGGAACGTGAGAGAGCACATGTAATTGGTTATGATACAATGAAAACATCGTTAGAACATAATCGAGCTCACTTACAACGAGAATTGTACGCGAAAGAAGGTGAAATCAATCGACTGCAATGTATTATACGGGTAGATTTTCTAGAAATGTTCTTTCCCGGAGGCCTTATTCGATTTTTAGTCTTTGGAGCGTAATCGCTCTCAATGTGATACTCATCGAAGTAGCGTTAAGCGTACGCCATCGACGCCTTTACCATCTTGTTCATCTTTGCCAAGTCTCGTTGCTAAAACCAAAGCGAATACTATTGAAAAATTACAAGCTGAGCTGAATGATCGTGATCGTCACATCGTCGAACTGGAAAAGAAAATGTACGGGAATAAAAACGAACAACTCGTCGATGCCAACACAGAAATCATTCGACTACGAACAAAACTTGAACATACTGAACGTTTAGTTGCTGAATACAAAGAACAGTTACATAATCAAGCATTAAAAACATCCATTAACAATAATAAAAGTCATTTGTCTGAAATTGAATTAGACAAACTACGTTATCGATTGCAAAAACGCATCGAAGAACTTGAACCTCTACCAGAATTGTTACGTCAAGCTGAATTGAAGAATCAAGATTTACAGGCACGTTTAGCTGAACAAACAACATATATGAGCGAACTCAAAGCCAAAGTATGTTGTGGAAAGTTGATGCAAAAGATCGAGCTCGTTCTTTTTTATTTCTCTAGTCGAATGTTCAAAATCATATACTCGACCGATTGAAAGACGATCATTTTTCACCTAAGAACGAGTCTCTTCAACGGTAATGAATGATGCTAAGAATGTTCTATGAAAGGATAAATGCGATTTTTATTTAGCCATTTAAATGTATTGGAAGAAGATAATGCAACTTTGCTAAGAAATCTCAATGCTAAAGAAGACGCCTTGAGAAATGCTCAGGTAGGATGGAAAAACGAAGTGAATTTGAAGAAAATTTCCTACACGTTTGCTTATCTAGGCTCGTCTCAATGCTAAAACGCACGAATTATCAACAATGAGTAAACAAATTGACGTCACTCAATCCGATCTGAAAACTCGAGAAGATACATTTAACTCTAAAGTGAGCATTTGAAACGTGAATTTCATTGATCCATGAATCTTGCTAGGAACGTGCTCTTCAACAACGCATCAACGAACTTGAACAACAAATATCCAAACTTCGACTTGATTGTACTCAGATCAAACGAGACAAAGATGATGCTGAACGACGTTATACATCTCAATTAAGTGAATTACGTGATAAACTTGAACAATCAAATAATAATAATCGTTCCATACAAAGTTACGTGGATTCCTTGAAAACAACATATGCTACTGTGTTCAACGATAACTTTCCAGCGTCCTTAACAGGAACCCCTTTCTCACGATATACCTCAACACCTAGTGTATTCCCATAAAAAATATGTATATGCGATTCTCAACGATGTTTACTCCAGATCTGTTTCTGCATGCACAATGGAATACGATAGGAAATTCAGACAGTTAACATATGTGTATGTCTAAGATTATTTGTGATCGAATAATTCGAGTTCGTTTTTTGTTTCTTCGTTTCTATGTATTCATTTTATAGGATGTAGTCAAGATCTTTTTTTTTATTTGTCATAGAGTAGATTGTTTGAACAAGTATACATAACTTTTTCACAATAATATACGATAAAACTAACTTTTTATAATTCAGCTTCCTTCCACGTCACCAAATAATCTCTAAATAATTATTTGCCTAGTCATCTTGACTGAAATTGATAGACCTATCCAGCATGCCCGCTCTGTATATATCTCACATATTTGTTCTTAGTCAGTCGAACTGAATCAATTAAGAATGAATGTCAGGTAACTCTGACTAATCTCGTGCTTCATTACTTTCTTTCAGAAAACAATCCCGTCGCAAATAGGTTAAGCTACTTGTACACGCATCCGATTAGTGACTTGGCCTTGCTTTTAATAGCAGCAATGCAATTACAGATACAATCGAAAATGATTACGAAACCCCGAATAGGTCAAAGTACTTGTAAACACTCGAGAATCAAAATATGAGAGTAACTTTTATTTGTCAACTTCATATATTTAATCAGCTGTTTTGCTTCTCATAGCGGTATGTATCAGTACAAAAACAGTATGTTTCATCATTCTGGACGTGTGATTTACCTGAAACTACAAAGTCTATATGATCCACAATCATGCAATATATAACTTTCTTTATTTCACTTGTTAATCTATTGGAAATTCCATTTTCAACAGCTGCATGCTATGGGCCTTATGTAACTGCGTCAAGTATTGAAGCATTACATGAAGATATACATCTCGTTCAACCATTGCCTGTTGATTGTGGTAGATTATCGTGCGACTTCTATTTAAGTTCAAGCTCAGCGTTAGGTTCACATGGGCCACTAAGGTAATTTGGTGACGATTGTCAGCAGAAATCTAATCTCTTTGACGAATTTAGTGCATATGGTCCACTTGGAATGGTTGGGCCTGTTGGTCATAACACATGGAATCCAACAGCATGGCGACCAGATTCAGCGCACATAATCGAGTGGATGACTTCGAACATGTTATTTGGTCTTGAGAACAATCCGCTATCATCAGCAGGTCCTCTGTCATCAGAGTCATATCATGAAACACTTCCATCAATAAATGACTTCGGCAAACATTTACAGGCATTGGGATTATGGGGAGTTTTAGGGCCACTTGGACCTCTTGGCACTCTTGGGCCACTAGGTCCTCTCGGACCCACTGGACCATACAATACAATGAATTTGGAAGGACATCATAGTGTTTCGGTACACTTGGCTGCTACTGAAATTCATAATTTTGATTTAGTTGAAGTTCTTGACGAATCACGTGTTCACGAATCATTAGATTGCTCATTTATGATCTTAGGTACAATCAGCTTTCATCGTGAAACGGATAGCTATTTCTTCAATTGTGCTCCCAATCAATTTGTGACGATTGTTCTTGTGCCTGAACATAGTCTTGATTATTTCAATATGTCTCTTTATTCTAATGGTAGTTCTTCTGAACATATTGCATCAAGTGATTCAATGAAATACATTAATTTTATTCAATTGGGCTTGATGAAAAATACCAACGGATCGTTTCGTATCGATGTCAGTTTACATGAAATGCATCAGTTTATTTTGGCACACTCGTATCGATTGATTGTCACTGGCTCGCACGACTTACTTGATTTGGATAAAGAAGAAAATAACATCCGAGGACCACATATTATCAGTTGCTCTAAAGATGAAATCTAAACTACTTTTTATATGAAACAAAATAAAGTCTATCGAAAGACGATCATAAATCAAATGTGAAATTTGTAGACATCATCAGTACATTGGAACGTGTCTATAATGCGACGATTGACTCGAAGAAATTTATTATTTGCAAATAGAAACTAATTACACAGATACGGTCAAAGTCTTTTTCTTTGTCTACTTATGCTTCTTATGACCTTGCGGTGGATGACAACCATGTGGTCCACCAATAAAACCGTCTCTGTTGATGTCAATATGGGTTGCTCGTTCGATTTTACCAACTAATCCTACATAGAAAAGAGATGGTTTAGTGAATGTTAGTTGGAATTAAATATGTTTTGTTTACCTCCGCCAGCTGGTGGTCGATGAGCACCGACAATTCCATCGCGATTAAAATCGATATGGGTTTTCTTTTCGATGCTATCCGTCAAGCCAGGACCACCAATTCGGCCGTCTCTATTCAAATCTAAACCAACCTTCTCTTCGATTTTATTCACAATAAAGCCTATAAGAAATCCCACCGTCAATGATCTGTTTATTTAAAATTCTCACCACTTACTCATCCTGTCTTTTGATGTTCGAATTAACTTTGTGTATGTTTCGTGAAAATCGTTTCTCCTCACTTTTATACTCCGACGTAAGTTACGTCGTTGTATTGAATGAATAAATCACTCGTCATTATACAGAGAGAGAGAGAGAGAGAGAAAAAGATAGCCCATGAATCATATAGTTCGATCGAAGCGAGGCAAACAAATCGAACGACGCAAAAGCAACGACGCACATATTATTTCGACCCTAGAATCGGCTAATTGTAATTTTTTGATTTTTCAATATCATCTTTTTTTTTCTTGAATAAAAACAGCAAATCACAGATTAAAAAACTGTCAATTGACCATACTTTGGTAGGTCTTCATATGCATATGTATATAAGAAAAGAATAAAAACATACAACACTTATCAATAAGAGACAGGCAAAGAAAAAGCAACAAACAGTGAGAAGAAAATTCAGAAAAAAATGCGGATAAATTGCTTCGTTGTCTCATTCTTCATAAAAATGGTTCGTCAGGAGCATTGCAGTCTTTCAATAAAAAACATATCTGAGAAAACTTTGCTTTCTGTTTCACATTTAATCCAAACGGCGTAGATTCTTCAAAGCGCATTTTGCTGCTGCATTCTTTGCGATACGATAATTTCGTCCGACACCTTTAAAACGTCCCTTACTGATAATTTCCACGGTTACGCGTATTCGACCGTCAAGTAATCGTTCAGGCTTTTCGAATTTCACTGTTTCCGGTTCTAATTCAAGCAATTCGCGTATTGGTGACTTCGGAACTTTCGTCGTAAACTTTTCTATGAAAGGTTTTAACATTCGATAGTAGATCTTCCATACTGTATTGAATGATTTATTCGAATCGAGAAAAATGGCACCGGCAACTGATTCAAATATATCACCAAGACATTTGGGCACTTCTGTTTCTTCCCATTCGTCAGGCTCATTGATTGTCGTGTCATCGTCTTGTTCTTCATGGGAATTCGATAGATGTTCATCATCTAAGGATGATGATGTCATAGCATGACTGTACGTATCTTTGTTATTCGATGCAGATGATGTTAAGAAATCGTAATAAAAGAACTCATCATTCTCATCGTCGTCGTCACCTAAATTGCATTCATCGAAGCCACACCATGATGACTTGTCCTTTTGTGCCTGAACAAACTTATCGATTAATGAAAATAATTCATTGGAATGGCAACGGAAGTATTTATGAAAGTCGTATTTAACGGCGATATATGCAAAGATGTTATTATTGACTAGCGCGGAGCGAAGATCTGTTAATTCACCAGGTGAGTGTCGTTTAGGATGCTAGACGTGAAGAAACAACATGTCAGTCAGTAAATCAGTAGAGTATCACACTTACTTCGTATAAGTAACGAGTTATGACATAGTCAAGAACAGCGTCGCCAAGAAATTCTAAGCGTTGATAACAATCTGTAATTGTATTGTAAGAATAGGATGCATGAGTGAAGGCTTGAATGAGATAAGCACGTTGATGAAAGCGGTAGCCAATTAGCTTTTCAAATCGATCAAAGTCATACGATTGAATGGTCGATAGAACTGATGGGTTGGTGTAATCAACTGGCGAAGGCAATGGAGGAAGTTCACCGGTCATTTCCGTTCCATCCTCTAAAAACAGATGAGGGTCACAGTGTTTCATAAAGAATATATCAGTACAAACCGAGACGAAGCCTAGGAAATATTCGAACACCAAGCCATGCCATAAATCGCAACGCTGCCTTCGGACCGCTGGCGATAAGATAAGCACCAATCAATGCTTCAACTGCATCCGCAATACTTTTATCTGAGATTAAATGCTGGGTGCGTCGGTCGTACGATGGCGTCCACTGTTGTTCATTAATTGATGTTGTTGTTGGAAATATCGGTTTCGTCAGATTATTTAAAATTGTATTGAATGGCGTAGGAGCAACTGGCGATGATGATGATGATTGTGGATTTAATTTCGCTAATCTTCGTTGTTCACGGCGTTCTTGTAATTCAATCCAGTCGACATTTGTTGTTGATTCAGACTTTGTCCATAATTCGACGCCTGAACTTGATAGCAAGCCATACTCAGTCGGCGACCCTGATGTAAACAGAGGCCTAGAAAAAGAACATGAATAGAAAAGGTAAAGTTTCTTCGAAAAAAGACACTTACGGAACCCAGTTTTCGAACGGTTCAAATTTTGTACTGATGAGGTATTCACCTATTCCTTTTCGTTTGCCGAGTTTGTATAAATTGTAATTGGAAACGATTTTCGAACGAAAGAAACTTAGTTTGCCTTCATGAACTTGTGTATACGTACAATAGATATAGACTGTGACTGCTTGTTTGAGAAACGAATCTCCAACGGTTTCCAAACGTTCGAGATCGAATCCATCACCTGCATTCGATAATGTCAGCGCTTGTAAGAGTAATGCTGGCGATGGACCAGGATGAGACTCAGGGAGATATTCAAAATCTAGATTGATGTTCAATGGTTCGGAGAAATCGTCGATAATACCACTATCGTAGCCATTTTCGACGAAAATAATCTCTGATTGGGTTGATGGAAGAGGCATTGATGATTGAACTGGTTCGTGCTGTTGCTGTTGCAATGGTGGCGGCGGTTCCTCATTCTCATCGTCATGTATAACATCTTCGATGTTTAGTAGTCGTTTGACAAATGGCGTAGGTTCAAAATGAATCACCGAAGGCGAAACAGTGACTGGTGGGCATGGAACATGAGTGGGTTCTTCGATCTGTACATTTGTCAAATAATTGGATTTCTCTTCGACCAAGTTCTTCGAATTAGTTGTTGGTGTATCCAACGAAGAGAATACGTCGACTTCTTCTGATTTACAGGGATCAGTAGTTGGCTGAGTGCTAGCCATAAGTTTCGAAAGAAACTTTTTCGATTTGGTTTTTAAATCTTCATGCAAACGTGGTAAATCAATATGATAATTAGTCACCTTGGTGTCAGTGCTAAGTTTCTTCTCCTGTTTCTTATTAGTTGATGATAATGAAGGGCCAGTTGGCTTCTTCTCTTCATCATCGTATTCTTCATCCTCCTCCTCCTCATCATCGTCTAACGAAGATGATTCATTCAATTGTTTCTTTGGAGTTGTTGACCATGCTGGAATGAAATGGAAAAGATATATCAAGATTTGATTACCGAATGGAGACACTGAACTCACTTGACGTCGACTGATTATTATTTTGCAATGGGGCGGACGCAAAAGTAGGAGCAGAAGTACTATGAGGAAGATCATCCTCTTCGTCATCATCGAGATCGATGTCGTCATCAAAATCACCATCTTCGAACTAGGTTTTTTCCAAAAATATCATCTGAATTATGGAATTTAAGGAAATGACTTACATCTGCAGCATTGATCATGATACATCGATCTTTTGCTTCAAGCCATGCAGAATCGTCTGTAGAAACAAACAAAATTCTATGTTTATTCGTTCCTACCAAAGTCTTACTTGTCCAACTATGAATGTCATTTTCATTCCAAACACTGATTTCAAAATTCCAATTGGGATCTATCGGTTCATCGGTGAAAAATGCATCGTTATTATCCAATAGAGCTGAAAACTGCGCTTCTTTCTTTTCGTCCCAATCGAACGTTAACCTATCAAATTGACCATCTTCCGGCGCCCAAGCAGCTCCCACACCTGTTTCTAACGCCACTGTTCGTCTCAATTGTTCTACTAAGATCAAACAATTGATGCGGTAGAGCATACTCGGTAGCGCGATGATTCCTTGCCATAACTGTGCGTTAACTGGATGAATAATCACCAATTCGGGGATTAAGAAAACGCCCTGATGGTGGTGATGATGTGATGTTCCATTGGTTTTCGTATGCTGATTGGGCCGATTGGTGTTTCGATTGTTTGATGCTGTACTTGATTTCATCATTTTGAAATTCATGTACCGTGGGATCAGCTGATTGAGACGATGAGACGTATGTGAAACGCATAACAATGGTTGACTTTTATTCGTTAGACGCAATTCGTATTTAATTTCATAGTAAGACGAGAATGTATCATAGATCGTTGATATCGATGGAAATGGTGAGAGCGGGTTTTTGTTCGTATCAATCGAATTCACTATATAGTACTGCGGTTGTGTGGAACGACGATACGATGGTAAAACAATACATGTTTGATTGAAATCATCGGCATTGAACACGTAGGGGTTGTCTGGTGTGTATTTTTGTAAATACATCGATTGAATGAAAGAAATAATATCTTTTGTTAATTTCCAATCGATAGAATATGAGCCCGAGGAGTCTTTTTTCAATAAAATGATAATGAGATGAGATTGTGATTGTTCAGGATTGAAGTTCACTAATGGACGGTCAAAACCGAGTATGGAAGAAAATAAATAATAGTGAACTGTTTGTAACATGCGGTACTCGTCGGATGTGAAGCGAACGTTTTTCATAATTCTATCGAGATTATAAGTTTCTTCGCCGGCACGAGAAAATAATGAAAATGCTGGAATCTAAAGAGACAAAGCGTATATTCAGTCAAACACTAAATTCTTTGATTGCATTTTACTTCGAGAAGGTAATTTGCAGAGAGAACACCAATTCGATTTGAATTTGATTGGTTTGTATAGGTGTTTGTTAGCTTCTGTTGTTCATTGTGTTGAGTCAATGGCGTTGTCAATCCTCCATTGATACAATAGACAAAGAATTCAGATGACTTCTCAGTTGAGAGTGGTTCCGGCGCGATCTAATCAGTTCGAATATAGGATTTTCATGGAGAGCAGTCAGCGAGAAAAGACGTACGGCTTTATTGTAAAGTTGTTTACGCTGAACAGAACCTGGCTTGGGATTCGGATCAACATACGAACCCCATTCAGCGATATCTTCGTCATCAATAATCGAATGACGAAGATAAAATTGTTCACGAGTTTCGGGCAATAGATGTTCATTTAGTTCACCTACATATTAAGATGAAAATCAATTCAGTTCAACGAAAACAAACTAGATTTCAATTGCCTACCGGCTTGCAAAAGATGTTCACATAGACGTTTGGCCGTAGAGAGTTTTGCTTGTCGTACTGTTGAGCGTATTGGGCCCTAGAAAAAAAAAGCCAACAGCAGTTCAGATAGAACGGAGAATGGATAGTTTTTAAACGTACGGTAATCGTCGTTCTAGCTGGTGAGTTGACAGGCAAGGAAAGAATGCATTGGTATTGGTTCTCATCGTATTTCTTGATTTTACACGATGGAACCAATGTTGTCAGTGCATCACACGGAAGTCGAGCACAATATCTTCGAAGAGGACAGTTCAAAATGAAGCTGAAAAGAAAGGTGTTTGAAAAAGGAAAATACCTGTTGATAACTTCGATGGCATTGGGTGATCGCTCTCGATCGATGTTGCTCGATGGGAGTGGATTATTGATTTCATGAAATTCTTTCATTAGAACCTGAAATCAAATGAAATGGCATTAACAGTTGCAAGACAAATAGGATTTCGAATTACATACTTGTTCGATACCTTTAAATGAATTGAGATTAGTTAAGAACGTATCATACTCTTCTTGTTCAGCAAGCATAAAGAAATGCGGCGTTTGTGCTCGTGCTTTGCCCTACACAAAAATTCAACGATAGATTTTCAATATCAACAAAAAGAAAATATCGAAACTCATTTACTTTTGATTGCACGTAAGATCGATAATTTGTTGGTACATTAAATCGAATAACTAAATTGCAATCAGGAATATCTTTCAATTCTTCGAGAGAACTTAACGCAACGATAACATTATTTTCCCCAAGACGAAATTTGCGCATCACTTCTTCCTATGAACGAAAGCATTGAGCACGTCTTACTCCTCCTATTCCAAACAGAAATCCTACTTGTTTGCGACTGTCCATCGGTTGAATATGCTGACTAGTCGATGGATCATCCGTCGGTTGCATAGTGGAATATCCGACTAGAAAGTTAGGTCGAATAAATGAATACTCATCAGCAAAACGTTTTGCAGCATCTTTTAATATTGCATTTAAAACAGCGGTTTCCTGTTTGCGATCAACGAATATGAGTGCGGACCATCGACGATTTGATGTATTGGTCGCATCTGCTTGAAAGCGTTTTAGAATATCAAACAATGAACGTAACTTTGGTGTTGTATACTGTTCAATCAGTGTCTGCGAATTTAATGCTTCCAGTGCAGTTTTGATTCGCGATCGCCAAAGACGAAGTAATGTACAAATCCAATCAAGAAATAGCGAATACGCACGTGGCGATGAAAGTGACAATTGAGATGTTGCGGAAGTCGAAAAGGCCGAAATAGATGAGACAGAACTTTGTTCAACAGCAATACTTGAAAGACGTTCTAATTGAGTAATAATTGGTAATGACGAACGAAGCAATGCCCAAATGCCTAATTTATCCACGAGACGTAAACATTCAGTCAGCACTTGTCGAGGAATCGTCAACGGTGATGAATTCTCGTCGGAATGAATCGAAGAAGACACTACCGGTGCTTCTAATTTATTGATATATTCAAGAGCGGCTTGAAGTTCCTACAATCACGAATTGTGCGGCAGTCAAATAGAAAGAATTTGCTCACCTGAATGATTTCTTTGGAAATCTCCGGCTGTTGGTGATTGCCCTTTTCACACACAACAATCGTTTCCCTTGGTATTTTCGATACTCGGTTGGTTGGACGAGAAATCAGATCAGTTGCTGTAAAAACCGTTGAGCTGTTCAAAAGATGACAATGACGAATGTATTCATGGCACATTTAACGGTTCAAAAATATCCTCACCAAAAGAATTGATGTAAGTTCTCGATGCGTTCTTCCAACTGAATCGAAGTACAATGCGTTTTGAGCAATGCCACCGTAATGGAAAAGAGTCGAGGTAACTGATTCTTTGTTTCATTTCTCTCCCAAAGTGTTTTATACTGTCGTAGAATTGAACCATAGGCATGATCGCGAATAGCTTGATGACATTCGTCAAGAATCAATAGTTTGATATGTGAAAATTCTAAATCATGAAATAACTAAGTGCGAAACAAGTATAGCAATTCGACGAGTCACTCACCTATATAATTTCGATTTAATAATTCGTGGAAGACAGCCGGATGCATAACAAATACGTTCCGTATTTGCATTTCTTGTAACCATTGATCTTTTTTCCAGAGTAGTACACCATGTTCAATACCAAATGAACCGACATCGACTGGCAAATGGCGATGAATCATTTCGGCCAGTGCGACCGGATCTTGTTCTGAGTAGTAAGTACAAAATTAGTCGATTAAACTCTTTCAACATGGAATACTATACCCATTGTTAAACAAATGATACGTTGACCGCCTTCGTCAAATTTTCGTTGAATGCCGTAGGAATATTCTCGTATAACATTAATGATAAGAAAATTCTTCGATGTGTTACTATGCAAACAGGCAACTGTATTTTCATGTTTGACTTTATCGAGAATTTCAACCTAAAGAGACCAAACGATACTCAAACCATTTCGAAACTTTAATTGTTCACAGAAAAGAAACAATGTTCATAACAACGATAACATCTCTTTCGTTCTCTGTCTGTCACCCTCAAGTATGAAATTGACTTACTTCATATTTCGGTAAAGTAAAACTTTCCGATGGCACATCATCTATCCATGGTGTATTTCGTATAGTTCGTCGTCCACTTGCTGCCAATAGATAAGTTTTCACTTTGTCTATGTGATTCGCTGATGACATTAGATTACACTCCAAGATAGTATGTTATGTATGTATATGTATGTATCTGTATATTCAAACTAGAAGCAAGATAGAAAATGAAGAAAAAAAAAACAACAATAATAACATTCTAGTTCCTTCCAATTCAATTTTCTTTTAAAGAGGAAAAAAGAAAAAAATTCAAATGCTCATATAAGAATTTATACACAGAAAGAAGAAAAAAAAAGTCGATTTCGTTTTAGCAATTAAAAGTTTGATGGTGATTGATCATTGGTGAAGTTGCTTGCTGATGATGGAATGGCAAATATCTCATTCGGAATATCTTGTTGATGAACATGAACTGTCGTTGGCGGTGGTGGTGGCGCTGGTGCTGGATGTGAAGGTGGATAATGATGATGATAATGTGAAGAACTAGTTGTTGACGCTGGTTCGTAATTAAGAATTTCTCGATGCGCTTCGCGAATGTATTGGCTTTGCTTATAGTAGATTTTCGAAGTGCCTTTTAAGACAATAAAGGCAATACCACCCTATGAGAAGAACCATCACTTTTTTGTTTAAAATGTACTCAATTGACATACTAAGAGAGTGCGTTGAAAGTTTGAATGGACGCGTTGGAACAGGAATTTACCAAAGATTGTTGCAATAGTTGGTAAGATGAGACCGCCACAAATAAGTCTAGTTAAAGATGCGGGATTTGAATTGCCATTACGTTCAGTTGGTACACGGGGTAAATAGGATGTGCGATCTAAAATAGTATAAAAGAGATGACGTTTCATCGAAATTCTATTGACCGTTTGTTTACCGTTGGGAAACAAATAGTTCATTAACGGTAATTTTGCTGAATGTTTACGCCAGAATTTCAAGACCGCTTCTTCCCAGCGTATCATTCGACCAAGAATTAACACAATGGGAATTGTTGGCAAGCCAATAAGAAGAAAAAGTGGATCTGCTTTTTCCATCACACTCAAACCTTCCTTATGTCCAAGAATCTAAAATGATATGGAATTCGTTCTTTGTAAAATTATTTTCTTCTTCGGTTTTGACCAACCTGCATGATTGTTACTGCTCCATAGGTCACTGCTGTCCAATAAACAGATCCAACGAGAATACCACCGGCAAGAAACGGACAAAAACGATTTAAAATGCGCTCTATCAAATCAAGTGTGTAAACCATTGGACCTGGATACAGCAAACATCATTCTCATTGGACATCATCTTCATTGGTTTTCACTCTATAGCTTACCTTGTTTCGGATATACAATAATATACTCTGCATTACACTGTGGACACGACACTTTTACTAAACAAAGGAGAAAATATTTCCTTTGAACGCCGGAATGACTCACCACCACTCGATCCTTGTTGTTTCTCGTCTACCCATCTTTGAAGGCATTCTTGATGAACCCATTTTGCTGTCCCACGGCAACGACATGGCGATACCCAACAAGCCGAATAGTCATCTTCGTCCGTAGCAAAGCATACCCAACAATGTTTTCCTGGCAAAGCATTACGTGCTTGGGTATTATTTGAGAGTGAATTTCGGTGTCCATTCGGTGGTGGCGGCGGAGTTTGGGGAACAAATGAATGATTTGTCGTCGGTACTACAGGTATACTCATGGGTTGATTCGATAAATAAGGTAATGAAGACGGATTCATAATCAGTAATGTCTAGAAAATAATGAAATTGATTCTTTTCGAGAGAAGCTAAGTTAATATGCGTTGGGAAATGAAGTACAGAGGGGGAAAATAAACACATGAGACATGCTCTTTTTTTTCGTTGGCTATTAGTCAAACAATCCAATGTAAGACAGTTGACTGCTTCTGACAACCGCCTACTAATGCCATCTGGCTGCGACAACTGTATAAATTGTGGTTCGACATTTTATTTGATTAGTATGAATAAAACAACATGGTATTTTATCAAATTTCTAGATGTACAATCTATCAGGTGTTAAAATTCCTAACTAGTTTGCGTTATCTTTCAAATATTTGAATAGAGAAGAAGCTGATGCAAAGATAAAGCATTCACTCGATCTTCTATTACCTGCCGACACAGCACATAACAAATATGTTTGTTATCAATTTAAACGAGGACAAAACAAGAATACAAGTGAAAACCAGTGCGGAGCAAAACTCGCAATTAATTGCTGAAGGAAATGTTGCTGCTGATGTGCCCGATCACACTGTATTGATTCTATTCGATCAAATCGCTCTATTGCCCAGTGATTATCAACAGATTGATCAACTTCTCTCAACTGTGAGCTCTTACGTTAGTGCTATATATCATTCATTGATATGTATTCGCTTTCCCCGTACATTCGACAATCAAATTCCATTTGACAAACTTCAATATCGCAACGAATGTTCAGACTTTATGAGTGCAAACACGGATGATTTAAAGTATTATCCTGAAAATAATTTCCAAGGTAGACAAGATCAGTATGAATTAGTAAGCGATCGAAATATAATACTTGGTTATGCCGAACAGTTACTGCAGCTCATGACTCGAGAGGCATTTTGGTCGAAGAACTGGAATTTGCAAGAAATGAGCGATCGAATCAATTCAGCAACAAATAATGCAATGATTTTAGACAAAATCAATCACATTCCCTGTGCATTTGGACGTCTATTCTTAGTGGAATCAAGCAATGAACAGTTTGGATATATATCCGATATAGCTGTTGATAGTGCTCAACAATCGAAAGGACTCGGACGAGTTCTAGTCAATTATTTCGTTGGAGTTGTTTGCAATTCAGAAAAGCTGAACTCTACGCTGTGCTTACAATGTGCTAAAGAAGGTAGTGGAGCAATATCTGCAACAAAATTATATCGTAGGTCCGGCTTTGAATTCTTTCATATTCATGGTAATCGTATCGCTATTTTCCCGAAAAAGAAGGTGGCATCAGAACAGTCAAGCGCATAGATGTCAAAGTCAATAAAGTGATCCATTAGCAGCATTTTTCATCTTTTATTTTCTATTCAACTTCAGATAAAAGTAAAAATACACAAGATTTTAATTTGTCAAACTCAATTACATAGTTGTTCGCTGATAAAAATTGTTAAAAGAAGAGGACGAAAGACATATACACAGCATAGACAAGAACTGTATCATCATTGACAAAAGAAGAAAAAGAACACATACACATCGAAGTAAATTTTATTCATAGCAAATAGATATTTATGATTGAAATTGTTCGTGTTTGACATTGATACTTAATTGAATTAATCTTTAAGAGCAGGACGAGTAGTGCTTGTCGTTGTGCCACCACCGCCGGCAGTATTTGGAATGCCTGAACCTGAAGCTGGCTGTTTGAAATTTGCAGCAGCTTGATATTGCAATTGATATGCCATTGAATGTATTTTAAAGCCGTAGAGACGAGCAACAAATTGATTTGTTGGCCGTTTTGGTCGATACTCTGGATGAACCATGAATAGCATGTGCGGAAAACCTGTGCTAAAATATGCTCCATCCGTATGATGATGACGTGAACTTCTCGGTGTGTAAACATCCAAACATTTCGGACAATAGAGCTTGACCATCGCTTCGCCAGGTATTTCTGATAAGCCGATCTAGTATTGAAAGGAAAATGCACATGTTTTCCGATTGATACAACCGAAAGTGTCATACTGGCAACATGGGCTGATTGTCGCAGTAGATGCGAGGACAGAGACCAAAATCGCCATTTTGAAATTTTTCTAGCATTTGAGCAATCCCATTGTTAGTTAAAACGTATCGAGCATGAATAAGACCTGTGATTACAAAGCAGACTTGATTATTCTAATGCCTGAGGGAAAAGAGCATTGGAAATTACCATATAACATTTCCGCAGCTTGCTCAATTAAATCTGATTGATTGGGATTATCTTGGTTATCAAGTTCATCATCTGGTTCAAGATCAAGAATCATATCCAGTGCTTGTCGATAATGTGGAACTTGCTCATTCAGTCCTGTCTAGAAATAATCACAAGTAATTTCAAAGAATTTCATGTCTATATGAATTGACGTACTAGATTGAATTTATCTTGAATGTATTCTTCGTCGACTTCGCAGAAGAATTCATTTCCGCGCAGACCGCAAAACCAAGATATCCAAGAAACTTCTTCTGATGAACTCATGGAGCTTGATTTTGATTTGATACCTTCACCAACAGCAGGAACAGCAGCAGCAGAAGAAGACGACGAATGATCGTCTTTTAAAGCAGTTTTTGCGTCAATCGAGGCCAGAACAATGACACAAGGAAATAAACCTGAAAAGCAAATGCAAGTTTATTCCGAAAAAAGATAGGGTTCAAAACAACGAATAAACATTGACGATCAGATGATTTTACCTCTTTACTAGCAAAAAAAGCGATCGATTTCAAGCTATTTTTAGTAAGTTTTCTTAAGAAAAAAATATCTAAAAATCAAAGATATGTCAGCATAAATAAATAAATAAAGTGTATGAACAAAGAAATCTTGTTCTTTTATATTTATACGTATATATAATTCTAAATAAGTGAATCCATAAAGAAAAATCATCTGACAAACAAGAAACAAAAAAAGAAAGAAAGGCAACCGCTTTGAAAAAGAACAAGAAAAACTGATTGTTAACATTTCTATCGATTATCTGTTGTCGAAAACGATCAAAGTTACAATATATCTCCAAAATTATCATTTCAAACATTAACCGGTGGTGTCAATTGTTTATCAACAATATAGAACTTGTCCTTATCACTTAGAAGTCCCCAAATAACAGCAGTAATTTCGCAGATCACCACAAATGGAATCGTTGCTAATGTCCCCAGAATACGAAGAGCGAATTGAGCATAGCCCAAACGCACCAATGAGAACGAACGAACGGCACCGATGATGTACAGGTAAATATTGACCGCTCCAACGTAACTTATCAAGAAATTTATCGACCAATGTAATGGAATAGGACACAGTGGTGTAAGAACAACATTCATCGATGTTAATGGTAATGTTATCCAAGAATAAAGTGCAATGCCTAAGCAAATACGAACACGAATTGGTAAGCGTTTGTCATGAACGACAAGTAAGATTCCTTGTAACCATCGTTTACGTTGTTTGATGAAGTCAGCTAGTGTAAATGGACTTTTTTCCCACATTTCACCTTCAATCCAACCGAATGTCTTGTTTTTCGACATGGCCAACATGGCAAAGTATGTATCTTCAGCAATTGAACCAGCTCGTCCGTTGTCAAATGTCACTTCGAATTCGCAAGCAGCACGACAGACAACAAACGATCCTTTGAATAAGAATGGTGGCTGGTGCAATTTCTTCAAACAGAATCGTAAACATCCTAAGTCGACACCAACACGCATACTATCGGCTAATGTTGTTATGTGATTAACAATGGTTTCATTCGCATAAGTAATTAAACCTTGTCCTATATCATATTCATTCGAAGTAACGAAATTTAAAATACCACGGACCGAATTTTCTGTTAACAGCGTTTCTTCATCCAAATGAACGATGTAATCATTCGCTGATAGTTGATTCACATCAGGTTCAAGCGCGTATTGCAATGCACGTGATTTGTAGAGTGCACCTGATTTTGTTCGATAGGTACTCGGTACAACAACTTCACGGACCATATTTGCCGGCAACCCGTGAATATCGATTGGTTTATCAGTAACGATTTCGATCTGAAAGTTGTCTAGTCCAACTTTGGCACATGTATCCAGATTTCTTTTGACATTGTTATGTACTAGTTCAGGATAATCACCACGCGTAACAACACGTATCCGAATTTTTGGTCCTAATAATGGCGAATTGTGTAACTCAGGTCGTTCGGGAAAGATATTATATAAAATCAAACCACACGTATGGCAAATAACTAATGGTAAAGGTAATAAAGATAACAAACGTATAAAATAAATCACAATAGTTAACAGTAACCCATAATGTTCAATTGGATTCGATATCAATACGATTAGATTGGATGACAACTTATTAAATGGATATATATTCAATGCACCGGACATGCCTTCGAATATGGAAATAAATAGAATAAAAGAAATCACATGAGTTATGTGGCGGCGATTTGACGATGTACATATCATTATGAAGTTATCCAATAATAATCACACAAGAACAAATCTCTATAAGCAAAAGGGAATATAATAGGTATATATAGACACATGAAAATTTCGAATATATATGCGTTAGAATTCTAAGGTAACCAAAACAACTTCTTTTTGTAGTTTAAAACGCAAAAAGAAATGAAGAGAAAGAAACAGAAAGAAAGAAAAAATGTTCGTCATGAATTTTGTCATTGAAAAAAAGTCTCGCCTGACGACGCTTAAAAATATAAACAATTCCGTGTACATGAACGTACTCCACGCAGTGAATGTCGTTGCGCGAAGGGTTAATAATCAGAACTATGCGTGACAGTCATTGCGCGTACTTTCTTTTTCTATGTCGACTAATCGTATTACGAGGGACATTTATACAAAATATGCGTTTGTTTTCTTTGACACAGAAGAAATGTCCGAAGAAAAAAAAAGCATTATTTCGATGCTTTAAAATAGGTCCCTACGAAATTACAACAAGCTGTAGTATCTAATAGATGGTCAATATTTGTCATCTATCTCTTTCAAAGCTTCAAGGTTTATTTTGTAACGCAAGGTATATATTTAAATACATCCTCCGATCGAATTACACTGACACAAAAACTATTAATTTATTTTCAATGAAGACCTCATTCTTATGTATGCGCATTTTGATTGAAACTCAATCCGTAACGAATGACATGAGAAAATAATGGGGCATAAACAGCACGTGTGAAAAAAAAATGTTTCTCAAATACTTTTGTCGACTGGAAATTGTTGGAAAGGATTAAGTAGAAAAACAAAGATGATTCTTAAATAAAAACGACAAATAAACGATGTTTATCATTCAAATAGAATCAGGAGAAAAAAAGAAAAGACGCAATGCAGAATTCTTATCTATCCTTGGTTTTTTTTTACGACAAGAAAGCATCATTGACTTACCACATCTGCACTATTCTTTCTTGATTGAATCGGACATCTTCTGAGCTGTATCACCGGACTAGAAGGAAAATAATCTGCAACAAGAAAACGATTTGATGTGAAGTTATCCAGTCTTCATTCAGTTCTTGATTTGACGAGAAAAAAAACAATAGTAGAAGATGAGACTCTTTCGTTGTTTAATCAGTCAGAGCAAACAAACAGAAGAAGAAAATCAACATGGCCGAGTTTTACAGACGAACATTGTCTTTTTCGAGGAATATATTTATATACATTTACAAAAAAAGACAGTAATAATGTCAATCTCGAAAAGACGACTCTTCTCTTATCGAGGTTCGGGCTTGTACTTTGGTGGTTTGAATAGAGCTGGCCCTTTGCCTTTGACTGAATCTTTCGATTTCGCTACTGTTTGGAACGATTTCCAACTGTTGACTCGTGTCTCTCGACTTTCCTAAAAAACGATATTTTCGAACGGATCCTTTTGATTTTGTATGCGAATGAAGTCATACCTCATAGTTTTTATCCCATTCTTTACGCAGTTTTGTTCGTTCTTCGCGTTCAGTTGTTTCTTCCGCTTTGCGTTTTCGTTCTTCAGCTTTATTCGCTTCTTCTCGAACTCGTAATCGTTCGATATCGGCAAATAACTTGCATGTCACTGACCACATTGCTTTTTTATGCTAAAATCGAAGTTGAACAGTGAAAACTTCGTCTGGCCAAAACGAATGACTTACTCCTTCGGGAGTGTCCTCTTCAATCGGTTGATTTTTATATTTCACACGCTTTTCTTGAATCTAAAATATATATCGGCAAAAGAACGCATGATCAATGTGTGTTAATTACTCCCAAAACAAAGATTTACATAAATGGAAAATAGTTGACACTCACCCGATTTGCTGAATGATCGAAGAAAACAGTTCGTTGAGCAATGCATACTAGAAGGAGGGTAGAAACAGGACCTATCTACTCTGACGATGTCAAGTCTGAGTCTTGCTTATTTTACAGAGAGGAGGAATGAGTATGTGTTTTGGGAGAATACCAAACAAACGATAAGAGGGGATCTGAACGGTGAGGCAACGATTGATGAGAAACTTACCATTTTATCTACACGTTCACGAGCTTCTTCGATGACTTCAATGCACTTTTTTCGCTCTGTTTCATCTTCGAGCATTTTATATGCTTTGTTAACAGCTAAACGACAAGATCCTATTGCAGCTAGCTCCATGAAATCATAAACGCATACCTTCGAATGCAACTGAAGCACGATCAGTCATCGTCGGATTTTTATCCGGATGGACAAGCATCGATAGCTAAGTGGTAGGAGAATGGAGTTAATCAAGAAATATTTGAACAGGAAAAGCTGTGCTTACCCGTCGATAATGTTTCGCAACTTCTTCGAACGGAGTACTTGGATCGATTTGAAGTACCTGTAAGACAACACAAGAATAATTTTTGACTAGATTCAGATAGAAATGATCTACTTCGAATGGATTTAGATTGAAATATGTGGCACCGGGACGAAGAAGTCGATTGATTTGTTGTTCAGGCGTTAAAACAGCATCACGTTTTTCAATCGCCTTAACCTATATGAATGAAAAAGCAATGTTTTATGATATTTTATTGGAAATCGAATTACTTCAGAATAAAATTGCTCAAATGTTTCATCTTCTGGTTTAGTAGTGGCTTTCAAGTCTTCTTTCAAATCTGCCGTCGTCGCCGACTGTTTTGATGTCGATGGTTTTGTCAAGAATGGTTCTTGTTTGATAGTTGTTTGAGTAGACGAGGCCATCGGTTAAATCAAAGTTTTCTGAAATAAAACGAAACATGAGATCTAATTAAAATCTACACGCAAAAATAAAATTAATATACATTAAGATCAATGAAGGAACAGACTACTGCATTTGTTTATCACAATAGCAGAAGACCAATGATTAGTATGAAATTGTGTTTAGTGACATCTATTCGTCTTTCAAAATGATTGAATATATTTCGACAAGATATTTCATTACATTTTCTTAATCATAGAGCATGATGAATGATATTCAATGATGAATCAAATATAATTATGAGTAGAAGAGGGCGCTACGTGTCTGCATGAATTAAAGATATTTCAGCGCACATTTGTATTTGCATCTTGAGGATGTATTTCTGCTATTTTCAACGTTCATCCTTGAGGATTAGTGTGAGAAACGTGCCATGTTGTATTTGTTATTCCTATCATCAATTGTTTGTTATTGCAAATGATGCTCACTGTTGACATTTAAAATGTGACAAAAGAAATCTGAAGTATTTGACTGTTTACATCCACAATCACATAAACACATCTTCCAATTGCTCGAATTTTGTCATTTCTCTTTCGCTAGTTTCACTTTTATGTTACATCAGTAAGATTTGTTCGGAGTCTTTTGTCGGTAACTAGGTAAATTATTTTCCTGAATGTTCATAGCTCAAACAATCAGACTTGAATGATTAGAATGGAAAAAGCGATTGTTATTGTGTCACTTGAAACCAGTTTTGTCGTTCTCATAGAGTGACACTCATTCGCTTGCAGCTACTTTTCAAATTGAATGCTCACTCTTTTTCACACGTACAAAAGAAACTCATTTTATGAATTTAAAAGAGGACGCCACAAATATTTCTCTCGGAAAATCTTCACTCAGAATAAGTCATACGTACCGTGAGCATAGTGCCGATTGCAAACGAAGTTTATCCAGGCGACATGCTTTGCATCATGTGTTAAACGTTGCTTAGCTATCCGATCGATTTTAAATTGAAAATGGCGATTCGTCTTTGTTTTTCGTAGTAAATATTTTCAGTACAAAATATTTGATTTGATTTCATTGGAGATTCGAATATGGTGATCAAAACTTTACCTATACCTTCAGCAACAACTCCGATCAATTCTCAATTAGGATCACGCAGACCATTGTTGCATAGTCAATCTGGTATGCAATGAGTTTCATTTTCGATCATATCATTACAATTGTCTCCTAGTTTCATGTCCACCTGTGCATCGTTTGCCGGATGCCACGGCTCTTCGCGACATGTGCATTATAACAAAGAGTGACATGGATCGAATTTATGAGAATTTAAATCGACGTCAACGCGATAAAGATGCCATTCGACAGGAAATGGAACAGAAGAAAGAAATGCTCGAACGATCGATGCAAATCACTAAAGATTGGCCAAATACCTTTGCTGTCAGTAGCTCTTGAAAAATCGAGAGGAAAGTACCGGTTATTGTTTTTAGGGTGACCAAGAACGAAAATTACAGCGAAAGAAAATCCGTGAACGAGAAGAAGAAGAAAAGAAGCAATTGCTCGATCTGGAAGAAGAGAAATTAGCTGCAGAACGTCGTCGAGAGTATCTCGAAAAAGCGAAACAAACGCGATACTATGACACTGATCGTGTCCGAACATTTCATGTAAGATTGTTCTCCTGTGATATCTTATTAGGCGATTATTGCTCGATAGAGTTCTCTTTTGCTGACGGAAGTTTTAAAAGAACGTGAAATGCAAATCGAAATGAGAAAACATATGGAACAAATGCGCCAAATAAGTGATAACGACGAACTCAAACGTTTTCAAGAAGCTCAAGATCAATTTGACAAAACCGAACGGGAAAAAAATGCAAAAAGAGCGAAGTAAATTGATTTCTAGACAAAAAAGCAACAGCTAATATCACTTTTTTCAACCACAGAGATCGTGCTGATTTAGCTCAATATCATCTTACACAGTCAGTATACCGTTCTATGTCTTGTCGCTCTGCTAATAATACATTTTTTTATAGAATAAATCGCCGTAAAACTCATTATATCCAAGAAAAACAAAGAAATCAACAAGAGGGCGATGAATATCGACGTTTAGCCGACAAATCGCTTCTTGATTTCGTTGAATCTATGCGTACGCGCAAACTCAAGCAAAAACAAACGAAAGAAATGTACGATAAAGCAATGGAACAAAAACAAAAAATCAAACAAATTGAGCAAAAGCTGGATGAAGTAGAGTATCATCTTTAAGCCATTTGATCTTCAAATGTAATTCTTTTCCGTTGTATTATTAGGAAGAGGAAGACGACATTCGTACTTATGCAGAAGTCAAAATGCGAATCGCACGATTAAGACGCGAAAAAGAGATCGCTCTTGAACAGTAGGGAACACGAGTCGAATTTATGTCTAAGTGTTGATGTTTTACTTGTCAATAGACAAAAACAAAATACACGTGACGAAACAATTGGTTACTTGGGTTCGCTACTGAAACGAGCTGAGGCCGACAATGAATCTCGAATCTATCGTGCTCAAGCCGAGAAAGATGCTAAGACTTATCGGGAAGAACAAGAGAAATATGAAAAACAACAACAAATGCTTGATTCGATTGAGAAGCATCGTTTGCAATCGGTAGAAAGACTATTTTACTATTCGCACAAGTAAACGTGATTGTTTTGTAATAGTTAAAACGACGTCAGTTCGATCGTGGAATGGAGGAGCGTGAAGATGCCGAACTCCGCAGACGAAAAGCACAAGCTGATCATTTGTTCCGTTTATATCAAAAGGAAAAAGAAAAAGAACGCGAACAAAACGTTCAATTACTCGGACAAATTCAACAAAGACAAGCGGTATTGAATTAACTCTCGCACTCGGTGACTTCTTTCATGTCAGCTATTTAGAGAGATCGCAAGGAACGTGAGCGTGCTTCGAAAGAAAACGAAATACAAGAAATACAATTAGACAAACAAATGAATGAAATCGAACGACAACAATATCTCGAATATACTGGCCGGGTTATGTCATATCTGGAGGAGAATGGTCGTGATATCCATCCAATGCAACGGGTACGTTCGAAACTTTGTTTATTAGTAAGAATTCTGAATGAATGAAAATATTTAGACTGTTGCCGAAGAAATGAAACGTTTTGATAATTTCAATCACAGTTACAAGAAAACGGAAACACCACGAAACGGACAGGAGGAGAAAAAATCTAGCAGTCATGATAGGCCTTCGTTGAATGACACCAAGAAGCATTTGGGTTTTCAATGGGAAATTCCTCAAAAATAAAAAAAGCGAACTTTGACTCTCTTAATTATTTATACAATTCATAAAAATAAATATTTGTACACAAAAAAAGACACATGTTATACGGTGATCGTTAGATCATGATATGAATCACGAGTTATGTCCAAGGTAAGATCAACAGTGGGTAATAAACATTCTTCAGTAATATTTATCTTCGGATAATTGTTAAGAATCTGACTGACGAGAGCACCAGCAAATGTATAAGCAAATTTATGTCTTGCAGGACAGGAAATTGAGAAGGGTAAATAGCATCGTTTTTGTTCATCAGTTAATTCTCGTTGAAAGCGTTGTGGTCGAAAATTCAATGCATCCGCTCCCCAGACAGTTTTATTACGGTGAATGTCTAAGACGCTGATGCATACTTGTTCATCTGTTTGTACATTTGTGCGATAGATGTTTTTGGTTGGTGGATACAATCGTAGGGTCTCTTTCAATACCCATTCGAGTAAAACTGGATGGGATTTTGGTGAATCATTCAATTGAGCACGGAGTTCTTCTAGTAAATCTGGACGACGGAGTAGTTCTAATAATGAATAGAACACAACACGCCACATTGTTTCCCATCCCGGAACGATGATGTTCAAAGGATTGGAGACCTTCTCGTCGAAGTCATTCTTGGTTATTTTCAAAATATCATCCATGTGATCTGCTAGGATAGTTTGCAGATGTTGCCAGAATTCTGATTGAGAAAAATTATCCTTGTTAGCTGAAAAGAGTTCCTGCAAACGATGTCGAGCAGCCGTATCAGTACGGTTCTTCCATAGGTGAATAATCAAATCGGGCAGTTCAGTAAGTAGATCTTCATTTGCATGCACACCAAGAATAGTGCTTAGGAATGCGTCCATTGTTACTTGTTTAACCAGTTTTGATAAAGATAATTTGTTAGTGTTCGATTGTAATAATGCTAAGCGATGATCAATGCGTGTTCCTATTGTTGAAACAAGTTCTTCGTATTTGTTCTGAGTACTCCATTGGGATAATGTATTTATCACCTTGATTTTGAACGCTTTGAGAAGAGATTCACTCTCAATTGTGAATGGATTAACGATCAATAAGGTATCGATAAGCCATCGGTTGGATTTGTGTCTTTTGTAAATCGATGATTTGAGTATTTCATGTGCTTGATGAGCATCTATGATGACCTTCATTCGTTCTACTTTAGACAGATTTAGATATGCCGTGTAGCCAATGACGATTAGGCTACCGACTATAAAGATTTCAAGTATCATTTTTGTATTTTGATTATCTTAGATATTTCGTAGAATATTGTCACGATATATACCCGTATCTATTGCGAAAAAACCCAAACGATAAAGGTCACTAGTATTTACGCAATTCTTATGTATGACTTCACGAATTGATACACAGCATCTCCATTCCAAGCGCACTTGGGTTTTTTCCCACAATCCACTTACAAAAGACATGACTCATACGACACGTTGATTTTGATTTCGACATAAACACGTGGTCTGACCACTTGAGAAATGTCAATTTATAAGAATAAAGATATCTACCAACACTAGTACATTTTCATTAAATTCAGATTATCGTCGATCTTCTCACATTCTTTTTCAACGTATGATTCAAACTATCCATTTCCTGCAGCAAAAGTGACAGCGAATATATTGTATGTATTCATACTGATTGATTATCAAATTTAAGTCACTACCATGCAGCAAAATATCAACGTACGTATTTGGACCTTACAGATTAGCATACATTCCTCGGGATGTTTTTGTAACGATTTCCTTCTATCAATATGAGTGGACTGAGCCTTTAATAGCATTCAGTAATCGATTGCTCTTCGTTTTCCTCATCATAAAATTGTCGGTTTTTTTAGCAAAGTTATTTTATTTACTGTAATAGACACGAGCATTCAAGGAAAAGCAACAATAAAAATAGATCAAGCTGATTCATCCAATCGAAGACGTGGTGGTGCATTTTTGTATTTCGTCACCTCGTTCAATAGTTGTTTTAGTTCACTAGAATTAACATGTGACTTGCCCATTTGTAGAGCAGCCAATTCATTAGCAGTTGCTAATCGTTCACCGGTATCTCGTTGCGTTTGTAAACGTCGGCGATTTTGAAACCATATACGAATTTGTTCTTGACTGATACCAAGTTGTCGAGCAATGACATCTCGTTGAATAGCTAGAAGAAGGAGAAGACTAGAAATCATTTTCAGGAAGAAATAATCGTATATACCATTTGGATACGGTGTTCGTTTGAATAATTCATTCAAGATGTATCGATCTTTATTTGAATATTGCAATCGAGTGACTTTCGTTGATTTCGGTGGAGTAGAAATCTAAAGATAACGATTATTATATGATCGAAGTTGACACACTATCTGCATGATTACCTGAGTCACTGTATGCATATAAGGAGTAGTTGGTGGTGAAATAGGATGTGAATAGTAATATGATGTTGATGGATAACAACATGGGCAGTAAGACGTCGAAGGTGGTGTATTGAAATTGGTATACATGCATGGCATGGTTGCTGGTGATGATGGATAGCAGTTGAATGTATGAGCGTAAGAATCCATAACTATCAAAGCCGATATATGGTTTGAAACAAGCGAAATTTCGTGTTAATATCTAGTTGAAAAATATCTGTTCGTTTCCTTTCATTTCTGTGTCCTGATTAATAGGAATGTATTGATAAGTCTAATCAGAGATGTTCCTTTTGATGTTATGCAAATGAATAGACATTAAAGAACAAACATGTCGTTCTCTTTTAATTCTTTCGTGTATGTTTAATCGATGGTTCAGAAACAAGTCAGAATGAGCGTGGTGATGGTGATGGTTACCGAAGAGAATTAATTTATTTAACATAAATCAAAACGAATGATCTTCTCCAGAGGGATAAGTATCGATCGAAGAACAAAAGGAACTATTTAACATAGCCTTGAATATGTCTAATTTTAAACATCGTATATTATCTGATGGGTTTGATGACCATTACATGAATTCCTAAAAACAGTATGGACATGATTTCTCATTGCTATCGTTAAAGCTTGCCGATGAGCATTGGCTACGGCTTGATCGACTTCGCTGTTGGAATTTAATACTTTAAAATGTTGAGCTAAGGTTTGATCTATTGCATGGTAATGGGAATTTATATTTCGTTGATAAATATTTTGTCGATCAGCTTTCGTACTGCTTTGCGTCGATCGATGCGGATGTTTCTTCCGTTGACATCTATTGTGTGATGCTTGATTTCCCATATTTGTTCTGTTCGAACGAAGAAAGGTCTGTTTTTTTTTATTACTTATACTTTATCTTATGATTTCTCCGTATGAAAGAATAAATGATCATATAAAGTACATCCGATCGCACATTTGATTATCAAGGACATCAGACCATTAGTGAAGCCAGTGAATAGTCAATTAATATTCGGAGAGGTATTTTTTCGTTAGATTCTTGTTTTTCTGTCATTCTGTATTATGATTGATCAACTATCTCGTTTTTAATTTCTTTTTCTTAATGACTAGTTACGTTTCTCAGGGATATGTACGAAAGCGAAGAAAAAACACCCAAACAGACGTAACGCTTATCAACATCAATAGAAAAATGATCACATTCGACTGGAGTTTAATTTGCCTATTAAATATTTACGATTGATATTACATACCAATGAGTGTAGCAAATGTTCAACAATCAAGGTGAATAGATAGGAGAAAAAGGAAGAATGATTAGTACGAGATTTTAATTGAAAAAGTGAAGTTTCTCTTTTATTTCAATGTGAAAAGAAAATGAAGAAGTATTATGTATAGGAATGCAATTGAACAGGAAACATTGAAAGTTTCTGGAATACTCCATTTGAAAAACGTTCATGGTCGTCCACGCGGAGCTACAGTGGCTGGTTCACTGTCACGCGTCGGTGGTGCTACTGGTTCTGTAGCACGAGCACGATTGGAATTAGTACCACCAGTTTGCGCGGCATCATTTTGACCTGATTTTGAAGCTTGAGACGATGAACTTGACAAGTTATTTGATGGCACAGTATCGCCATTTTTACGCTGACGAAAACGGGATTTGAGATTTCCCATTATATATAATAATTGTAACTTTGAACAATCTGTAACAAACAAACAAGCAAATTACAATAGAGATTAAGCAATGTAATGGAGAAAATATTCTAGCATTTTGTCGATTTCCTCAAATGTACGAATTGACTGACACTCATATATATAAATATCAACTTCAACACTAAAGTTTGATCAATAAGTGAGAAATATATCCGTTTACGCTTGATGTATTCTCACTCTATTTTTCGTCCTTTTATTATGTTCTATGTGATCATTATTTACAATTAGTTTCATCCATTCTTATATTTTCGTTTTCACTAACGACTCCGATGTCACACGAGCAGATAAAAATGATCGCCGTTTAGCAATATCACAAATCTGTATTCATGACAAAAGAGGGACAGAAAAATAAATGAGAAAATCTAACCTTGAATGAATAACAACAACATTCTTTTTCTCCTCCTTAAGACCCGTTCGCCTGTACTTGTTTTTTGTTAAAAGCTACGTCAAGATTTTTTAGCATTACTAATCACATAGGAAGTAAATTTCACTCGTCACTGATCACTCCATATTCATTTATCTGATACTTCGATATGTGAGATTCTACTCGATCTCCCAGGTCAAAATCTCGATAGTGTAATTAAAAAAATGATCAAATAAGATAGACAAAACGCTCCGTAATTATATTACTTATCAGTTATTTTCCCGACGTGTGTCACTGCGCGTCGTCTATAAATAGCTTGAAGGAAAATGTGTAATCGTTGACTATTGACATAACATCGATCGATATGCACAGATGAACAGCGAAATTGTATATTTTTATAATTTCACCGAAGCTAACCGGATTCGAACAAGAACACAAACCTATGTGAAATAAACTCATCGAGAGATATGGTTATCGGTTGAAAAATGTCAACCTCTAGCGCCATCTTACAGATTGCTTTCATCTAACATAATCATTTGTGCCTAACATTCAATCAATGAGAAGGGAGTGTACAACAGATGCATAGAAGCAAGTATGGTTGACGTAGTAACTTTCGAGGATAATTGAATGCAACACCATCGTATCATATTCTCGAAACATTAGATAACAGAGAACTTGCTATTCTTCCAAAAATGAGGTGTCGACTAAGTCATGCACTACGATTGGTCATTGCACTTGCATTTCTTGTCTTCATGGTTCCGTTTCTTATGTCGAAGCTTGATTCAAATGGTAGTCAATCAGAGATTTCAAATCAAGATGATGTTTTATCCCATGTGAGCACACGTTACGTTGCATAGGCAGTTGTTCATGGTTGATTTTCTTTTCTAGCGACTGGCCCAAAAGATAGAACCGTCGGATAATGTTGATAAAGCGGCGGAACCACATGGTTTACAACCGAGAATGAGTAATTCTTTAGGAAATTATGAACCTAGAGATCTACCAACACGAACCGGTCCGGGCGAAGGAGGTAAAGTTTGGAATGAGCCTATAAATGACTAGTTGATCTTTCTTCCAACAGGAGTCCCCGTCATCCTATCACCAGCTGAAGAGCAGGCAGCACAAAAAACAATTAGTCAATATGGCTTTAATATGGTTGCATCTGATAAAATATCTATGGATCGAAGCATCAAAGACACAAGACCCGCCGAGTAAGCTCATTATTCGATTGGCATTGAATTGAACTTCTCGATTCACTTTAGGTGTAAAAATTGGATATATCCAGAACCACGATATTTGCCGAAAGCTTCGGTCATTCTGGTTTTCTTTGATGAAGGTTGGAGTGTTCTACTACGCACTGTACACAGTGTTATCAACACATCACCCAAAGAATTACTAAAAGATATAATTCTAATCGATGATGGCAGCAGTGATCGTATGTGGTAGTTACTTACTTGTCTAACAGAAATTTTCACATGAGATCTCTCATTTCAGCTGATTTGAAAGAACGATTAGAGAAATACATCGAACGTTGGAATGGTCTAGTCAAATTGTATCGAACAGGACAACGAGTTGGATTGATCGCAGCTCGTACACTTGGTGCAGAAAAGTCAACTGGTGATGTAATCGTCATTCTTGATGCTCATTGTGAATGTGTATGTTAATCAGATGTTATAAATCTTTTTCGAAGAATGTCTTTCTTTATCACTTCAGGTAACAAACTGGCTTCCACCATTATTAACGCGTATTGCAATGAACCGTAAAGCATTAGCTGTGCCAATCGTTGATGGTCTCGAATGGAAAACATTAGAACATACAAATATTTACGGTTCAGCCAATTTTCGAGGCATATGGGAATGGGGATTTTTATACAAAGAAACTGAAGTGCCTCCACAAGAATTGAAAAAAAGAAAACATCAATCAGAACCATATTGGTACAGTCCAATAGAATTGAATTCGTTGAAATAAATGTTAGAACCGGCTTTTCTAGGTCACCAACTCATGCAGGCGGTTTACTAGCCATCGATCGTCAATGGTTCTTTGAACTAGGTGCTTATGATCCTGGCATTCGCGTATGGGGTGCTGAGCAATATGAATTATCGTTCAAAGTCTGGCAATGTGGTGGTGTCGTCGAATGGGTGCCATGCTCTCATGTTGCACACGCCTACCGCGGCCCACGAAGTCACTCCTCACATGTACCTGGCACAAGTCCATACCAAACATCTATTAATCACATGCGTTTAGCTGAAGTTTGGATGGATGAATACGCGGAATATTATTATATTCGCGAACCGGCGATTCGCTCATTGAACTATGGCGATGTATCCGAAAGAAAGAAGTTAAGAGAAAAATTGCAATGTAAACCATTCAAATGGTTTATGGAAAATATCGCTTATGATGTTTTGCAAAAGTTTTCACCACCACCGAAAAATGTCGTTTGGGGAGAAGTAGGTCGAGGGATACTTGCTTGTCAAAATGGAAAATTTCTCTTTTAGTGTAAAAATATCAAACATTCCGTTTGTCTGAATGATCGAGGTGCTTCATTTGGTCAACCGATCGGTGTTAGTGGATGTTACCGACAAGTAAGATCTTTCTCTTCTTCTTCAACAATCAACTCATCCTATTGCTAAGCATGACGACAAAGCACTGTAGTCTATGTCTTTATATTTGATTACAGAATTCATCGAAATTTAGAAAACAAAAAGTGTCTTTAGTCGGTATTAAAGTTCCTTTCATCCCCTTCCTAAGCACAAATTTATTTGTTCTGGTGAATCGTTTATAACCAAGCGGGTATTTGTTTTTCTTTTTATTTGAAATTCTAAAGGTCTGTTTGTTAGACGGCGTACACAAATATTCTTTGAGGTTAGCCTTGTCGATATGTTGACAATTAGTTAAAGAAAAAGAAAGCTATCAATATTTGCAGAAAGATTAACTAGAAGGTAACAAGTAATTTTTGCGTCTGTTAATCTTACCGATCTGAATTAACGCACGTATTTAAATAGAGAAGTCTGAGAAAGAAATGAAAAATAATGGATGTAAACATGATTATACTTGAAAAACATCGTTATTCTGATGGAAATACGAACATAATTTCACGTTTGATTTGAATAATCTCTTTAGGGTGTATGGCGTCTGAATGAAGAAGGCGAAATTTCATCCGGTGAGCATTGTTTCATATCCGATCATGACATAATCAAGAAAAAGTTCTGTCTGGATCATAATGGCCGATGGAATCCCGTTGGCGAATGGCAATACGATAAAGTAATTGAGCAGAATTGTTGAATCCTGATTTGCAGAGTTTGATTTAGGCAACCAAACAAATTCGAAGCAATAAAGAACATCTGTGTATGGAAACAAATGGCAATGATTTAAAACTTAATAAATGTGACGAAGCGAATGAAGCACAGAAATGGATTTGGACGGAAATTCGCTATTGAGAGGTCTTTAAATTTTTTTTCTTAGAGAGACTAGTTCGATACTTGTCTTCCTTGTTATTTAATTTGTTGAGTTATTATTATTGTTTTTCTTTCTTATTCGATATATTCTTTACTAAAAAAAAGAAAAGACTTAAGTACTCGTTCGCTTCATCTTTCTATTGGTCAAGTTAAACTTACTATCGTTATCTCTCACTTTTATTCTTTTTATTTCATAGAAGAAAATGAACTCCTATCTTGGATATTCATTCAAGTCGTGTTTGTTTATTTTGACTTTTTAAGATGTCAATACTTTTCATGAATTTTCCTCGCTATAATTTTTCTATTCGCAGGGTATGTCATATAGAATTCTATGACGTTATTTCCATTCATTTTCAGATGACGTCCTTAGCGAGTTCAGTGTCAAAGAATGTCGACGGATTTCTTCAATTCATAAATAAAAGTCCAACGGCATTCCATTGTAAGTATTCTCTCGGCTGAGGGACTGGCTTTATTTGAATCAATTCATCTAATATCTTTGAGGTGTCGATCTCGTGAAGAAAACATTGACTTCATCCGGTTTCAAGGAATTGCGAGAAAGTGAACAATGGAATATTGAACCGATGGGAAAAGTAAGCGAACAGCGAGAATGAGAAGAGTCACAACGTGTTTTCTCGTAGTATTTCGTTATTAAAAATGGCTCGTGCATTGCAGCATTCGCCGTAGGTGGAAAATATCAAAATGGAAACGGATTTGCTCTAACAGCTACGCATACAGATTCGCCTCATCTACGCGTATGTTATTCGAACATCGTTTTGTTAATTAAAACTCGGGAAATACACATTATTGACACTATGTAGGTCAAACCTGTTTCGAAACGTGACGTATGTGATTATTTACAAGTTAACGTTGAATGCTATGGAGGTGGTATTTGGCATACTTGGTTTGATCGGGATTTGACACTAGCGGGACGGGTTTTCTATCGAGTTCGTTCTAAGGCGTCTTGTTGAATTATTAATGTTGATAGTTTCTTTTTTAAATTTAGAAAAGTACCGATAAAATTAGTCAACATTTGGTGCATATTAATCGGCCTATACTTCGTGTGCCAACCATCGCCATTCATCTTAAGCGTGATACAAATGAAAAATTAGAAATTAACAAACAGGATCATTTGTACGAGCATCGTTTTCTCTCACTAATCATGTGTTCGGAAATCTTTCTTTAGACAAGCTGTTCTATCGTTGAAAACTGAAGAAGAATTGAATAAATCATGTAAAAAAGAAGAACCTTGTGAAGGCAACAAAGTTTCTACTGATGAAGTATGTTCTTTACTTTGATTTATTTATCCTCGTTAAGAAAAAAAACATTTGTTTAGTCAAAAAAACATCATAGTCAATTACTGGAATTGCTTGCCGAAGAATGTCAATGTCCAGCCGGTGATATTATCAACTTCGATTTGATCCTTGCCGATACCCAACCATCATGTGTTGGCGGCTTACGAAATGAATTCATCTATTCAGGTCGATTGGATAATCAAATGAGTGCTTATTGTGCTATTCAAGTAGATTATTATTTTGATTAGATCGATATTTATCCTTCTCTCACTTTCAAGGGTCTCATTCATTCGTTGGATACACTTGCAGAAGATACTTTTATCCGTGGCGCTTTGTTATATGATAACGAAGAAGTAGATACCGTTCATGTTTTCTACTGAATGATTACTGTTCGGTAATTTTAGATTGGTTCGGAAAGTGCACAAGGTGCAATGAGTGAATTCACTCAACATACCCTACGTCGCATGACGCGTGATGAATACGAACGTTCCATTTCCAATTCATTTCTTGTTTCGGCTGATATGGCTCGTATGTCGCTGACACACTCATTCAAATTGATTGATCTGTATTTTTAGATGCCATTCATCCAAACTATAGCAGTCTCCATGATCGGGACCATCAACCATCATTAGTCAATGGTGGTGTTGTGGTCAAAACGAATTGTAATAATCGCTATGCTACAACAGCATTTACCGCAACAGTTGTGAAGGAAATCGCCCGAATCAGTAATGTTCCTGTGCAGGAGTTTTGTATGCGAAATGATATGCCGTGCGGAACAACGGTTGGTCCAATCATTTCATCACGTCTTGGAATGTATACTGTTGATGTTGGTGCGCCCCAATTGTCGATGCATTCTATCCGTGAAATGACATCAACACAAACATTGGAATACTATTTAGAGTTTTTTAAAGTAAACACATACGATTAATCGGCTTTCGTCATGTTTGCTTGAAATTTTTCTTCTAGGGATTCTACAAGAACTTTAAACGAGTTTACGATTCAATTGACCATTAGATTATCTGATGATTTCTACTCTAAAAGAGACCCGCTGTTTTTTTTTAACTAGTTGATTTAGAAAGAAATTCATTAATAAACATGAGACGGTGACATATATTGTTGGAAACATTTTAGATAAAGTCATGATGGAAGAAAATCTCATTCCACCGAGCGAACATCCAGTTCGCATACGTTGGTTAAACGCAGTTGGTAAACCTTCCTGTTGTCATTTGCAATTCCATTTATTTATTCTTTTCTCTCTTCCAAGAACAACATCCAGCAATTCCAAAACCTGTCGCACAGCATCCTCAAACACCAGCCATAAAAATGAATAAAATGACTGCTCCATCTGGAATATCCAAAGCACGTACTAAGGTTTGTTTTCAATCGACTTGATGACACTAGGCGTAGTTTTCTTTTGCAAAACAAGAAACCTTGAAACTTTTGTGAGTTGAACATGACTTGCAAACATAAATGGAAGAATTCTCTCGATTAGAAGAACTAAGACTTTTCTTTAGGTTGCAAGTGCAACAAATGTTGTTCGATTTTCTGATCAATCTGCGACAGTAAAGTCCGTCGACATGTCAATACAATCGTCGAAAGGCTTGAAAGAACTGAGCGCTGAAGATAAATTGAAAATCGCCAATTTAATTAAAGAATTAGCTCGGTAGTAACCTTCAAAGTTTCATTCAGGATTTGACCATATTTCTATCGATGTTTTAGTGTCGGTCATGAGAAAGAATTAATTGAAGATAAACTTGAACAAGAACGGAAGCAATTCGAAGTACAAATGAAAGCGTTATTAACCGATTATGACAAGCTAATGAAAGATAATCAAAGTAATCCGATTACAGCACGATTTCGACCTTATTTTCAAGCATTTGATCTAGAACTTCTCACTCGTTACAATGAAACCAAAGCAGTTTTGACTGACTTCGAAAAAAAATCTCAATTATCATCAAGAACATACGAATTTCCAAATCCTCAACGAGTACATATTTGCATGTCTTATTTCTTTTATTCCTCTTTCTCTCTCGACTTTTCTTTAGTCTTCCACGCCCATCGATATACTCTCTGTCAAAGAGCAGCCCACAACTCGTTCAGATACTGTTCCACCAACTCGCACAGCAAATGCCATCTTAACAGAACAATTTCATTTGAAACAATTGATGATGGAAAAGCAGTTGACATTGCTTCACAAACAAGTGTGCCATTATCATCATCATCTTCAGAGTAGAAATGGAATTATGCTGTTTTTTTCTGTGTTTCTTTAGCAACAAATACTTGAGAAAGAACTTCAGCAACGAAATGCAAATTCATCACTTGAACAAGCAGTAAAGCCCATCCAGACTGTAACTCGATCAACTTCACCATTGAAATACGAACCTAAAGTAGATGTGGCAGAACGCGCAACATCACCTGTTAAACAAACAAAATCAGTTGTGAAGTAATACAGCTCAGTTCTCTTTTACCTACAATTGTCATCTATTTTGTAGAGCCACTGAAAGACAAATAAGCCGTCCGATTCAAACGCAACGCGCGACTCTTGATACCAATGACGAAGATCTTTTGATTTTATCATTGAATGAGTCCTTGCATGAACAGTTACCGAAAACTGTCCCTCCGACCATGAAATCTCGTGTTCATTCCAATCCGCCAACGAACTTGTTTGCCGATTCGGAAGAACAAAATCTTCTCAAAGATATCTTTTTCATTTGTTAATATTCCGCCCATAAATATTTCCAGGTTTTGTTAATATACAATGTAGAATGAAATAAATATTCCAGTTTTTGTTTGTTTTCATCTCTTCAATATTTATCTTCGAATTCATCATTGATAAAATTGTCCTTTTCTTTTCTCGTTTTATATGCCATTTACAAGCGATGACATTACTAAAACATAATTGTACTCAAGTGCTACGCATCAACGAACACGATATGTCTATTAACTATCATTTATTCGCACTTTAAATATCAATGAAGGAAAAAGAATTGTATGTTTGTAGATACATTAACGTCATTTTCTTGCTAATTGTCTTTACATTGTATGCTAGACATTTTCTCTTTCATTAAACCGGAAGGAGGAAAACGAAGAATGAATGATGTTAATGATAAGGGTATACATTTGAGACTAGACATATTTATTTTTGAGGCCTTTTGTCCTTGATAATATAAGATAGACAATTCGAACAACGACGAAAAAAATTTGACAGCTAAAGCCTAGATCATATACATTTTTATTAAGTTGTTGATCGACGTTAGTCCGCTAATCGTTTTGATGCATACGATTCGTCGAGACGCAAATCGATGACTTAAGTAAATAAAAATCAGGTAAAAAAACACGAGGGAAAGAGAAAAAAGAGTCGTCAATGTATGTAAAAATATGAATCAACTATAACTCTGGTACTCATTTATTTCGTACATAAACGCACATTCTCCTTTTCTTTCAATCAATGCCGAAGTTTTGTTTTGTCGTTAGTTGATTATATAGATGTAATAGAGAGAAAAATCTACGCTGAATAGTAAAATACTTTCACAAATGTGCTATTGTTAAATGCAGCATATATTTTCCTTTTGATTTACCTTGGAAGAGATGAAAAATAAAATATGCCACTATAGGCTTCGATAATTTTCATTGGCAATACAATACAATCAATTGGTTATATATATATATCGGTGTGGATATTCGTACATATGTCGTTGGTAAGATGATCTATTTGCCTTTGTCGATTTTGAAAAGAGAGTAAGCTTAAGTAAAAGGTGTAATTTGTTTTTGGGTTATATAAATAAAAGAAGTCTGATTCAGGTAAGAAACGCTTTTTTTGTTTCGACACTTAACAAGATCTCTTCTGTATCAACATGTGCGCGTACAATACGTCATGTCGAGAGAAGTTGTTGTTTTTTTCCTTCTTCTTCTTCTTTCCATTTCTTTTTCTTTTCTTGTAGATTAACACGCATACAGAATGCTCCTAGTTTCATTTGTTTTTATTCAATAAAAAAGAAAAGAAAAGAAAACTTTTCATCACCAGTCACTTCGTCATTCTTCAAATCAAAAGATGCATTCTGGTGAAATATCTACGTCCAATACAAAGAAACACCATCGAATTCATCCGATCAATGATGCAAGTTCTTCGACGAATGATCATCCAAAAGCTCATACAATCTTGAATCTTTTGCCGAATGACGAAGATGTATCGTTGCCATCTCATCCCACAAATCAACGAACCTATTCGCAAACATCAAACTCATCATCGTCGATCGACATTCGAGCAACAGACGTTATCAAACGCATCACAAGTCCATCGAGCACAGTGTCAACTACGGATGAAATACTTCCTCAAACATTCTTCCGTCGTATGTCAGCTAGTTTTCACATGAACTCGTTAGTAGCAAATACAAACTCAGCATTGGGACCATCGGCAACTGTTCTACCAGCGGTACACGATGTAAATTCAACGATCAATGCCGATGAGAACTGTGCTCATTCAATGATAACGACGATTACGAATGTATATAACAACACCAACGAATGTGAAATCTGTTATTCATCAAATGAATGTGAAAATTTACAAATGTGTAAACATAGTTTCTGTTCTACATGTTTACAGACGTATTTAATCGATAAAATACGAAACGGTTGTCCAGGATTACTAGAATGTCCACATAGCGATTGTAAACAAATCGTGCATCCAAACGATATCAAAAGAATACTAAATGAAGGCCAATTGTACGAACGGTACGAATTATTTATGCTAAGACGAGTTCTACAGAAAATGCCCGATACTCGATGGTGTCCGTACGTAGAAAACTGATGATTTAATCCAATATCTCTTTCTCTCGCAAACATGTTTTAGTTATCCGAATTGTAATTTTGCTATCTTGGTTGAAAATGCACGCAAAGCAAGTAAATTCGATTGTCCAGTTTGTAAACAACCTTTTTGCCAACGTTGTTCACAAATCTGGCATCCGAACTTAACGTGTGAACTGGCTTCCGTTCAACGTGCTGCTCAAGATCCAACTCTGGAAATGTTAATGAAATCAAGTTCAACTGGCGGACACATTCGACCATGCCCACGTTGTAAGTTCTCGCTTATTACTTGTGAGAAAAGAACTTGTCGAACTCGATACACAGTAGAAATATGAATCAATTTCTTGGGTTTTTTTTGCTCAAGGATAAACTTTCACCATCGTGTATTTTGTTACTCGACAATGACAAGTTCTCAAATATTGCACAGCGCAGATTTTGACCGATGTAGATCAAAATACATTTCAATTATGAAGAGAGAAAAAGAACACATCCTGCCGAAGTCGTTCTCATCATTAATAATAAAGATATGGTAGTATATACGCATTTTTCATCTATCAGAATATGAGAGTCGAACGAGGAAAAGTAAAATGTAATAAATTATTAGTGATTAATGATGCTGATTGGAATATCGATTGAAAGCGTTGAAACTACTCTGTCAATATTTACTCGTTTTAGACAATAATTTTTAAATAGCATGTTTTTTTTTATAATTATCAAATCGTTCGAGAGCTAAAAATAGAAATTTATCTATCATCCTGTTGGACAAAAGAGAAGAAATTTTAAAATGAACTTCATCTTTGTAACACGATTGTTTTCATCTTTCTAGGTAAAAGTCCAATAGAAAAATTGAATGATGGTTCGTGTAATCATATTCGTTGTGCCATATGTACATGTGAATTTTGTTGGTTATGCATGAAAGAAGTTGATAATTTACATTTCATTACGCCAACTGGTTGTACATTTTACGGACAGAAGCGTTGGTCGAAGCGCAAATCTATCTTATTTCTAATCCTCTCATGGATTTTGACCCCAATTCTTGCAATATTATTAATCATTCTAGCTATTCCAGTCCTATTAATATTATTACCAATAGTGATGACAAGAAAATTCTATCAGCACACAGTTGATATACAAATCGGCTCCTGTCGCCGATTTATTCTCTGTACATTTGTTCTAATTAGTACGTTTATTTTAACACCGTTAATTTTACTACTCGCTTTAGTTATTGGTATCCCATTGTTGATTTTTTTTATTTATTTTTATATGCCAAAAAGATATATATCAGCGAATTTCTAGCACAAAAGGCAAATCCTTGTTTTCTTTTGTTTTGTTGTTAATATTATTTTTATTGAGTACGCATCAAATGTTAAATGTATGTGTAAGACGAGAAAAGAGAAACGAAAGAAAGATGAAAATTCTATTAATGTACATAGATTTTGTTTGATTTTAAGCGATTGTACAAGCACTTTCGGACGGTGGCATACCCTGTGGAATAGGCATTTCATGGGCTTCTTTGACATCGCGAGCATGTTTATCTTCTTTATATGCCTAGAAATAATCATGTTAACATTTTAATTATTGAAAGAAAAACGACTGTACTTTGCCAACATTTCGGCCGATGTCAAACGCGCGATAAGCATCAGCGGAGAAAAGTGAATTCAACTTCGCTGGAATGTACTCTTCAGCAGGTAGAATTCCATGCATTGGATTTCCATCCAATGGTAGTAAATCAGTTGCCGCTCTCTTGTGATGCCTGAACAGATAGAAATTATCAATAGTAGATGAGAATGTTTTGTCTAAAAGGATGACATACATGACATTGTTTTCAAATTCAATCGTTGATTGAACACGACGAATTAATGAATCTAATTGAAGAAAGAATGGATGCCGTTGTGGAGATCCAGCTCCTTTTGTTTTGGAATATTGTTCACAGAAATTAGCTGCTTGTTGTTGAACTGAGAAGATGAACGGAATGAAGAAAAAATTCACAGACGCTGCGACTCACCTTTGCTTGCTTCTTCAGCAGTTCTCAATGCATTTGGCGCGTCATTCTTTTTTAAAAATTCTAATGCTTGATATGCTCGTGCCTAACATCAGGTATATGTATGAAATTAAATCGTTTTCATTCGATTCTTACTTCGGCTAAATAGAATTTAGCTTTTAAACCAAAATACATACGCCATTGGCCAACGACTTTATCGTCGAATGATGTCAATTGTTGGCCTAGATGTATATATATATTGACATTCTATTTCACACCAATCTATTCAATTGATCTTACCTCCCATTTCAAAATATTGTGAAATTTGATTACTAATACTCGAAATCAGTGTATTATCCTGTTTTGCATTGATTGCTCGAGCTAGTGTAACTAGAAATAGGCAAACAAAGAGACTCGTTACATATGTGTTCGTAAAAGTGAAGAAAGTTTACCCTCATGAAACTCTCCTAAACAACTGTAGTAATAAGCAGCGATGATTTTCTCATTCACATCGGAGCATGCAGGCAATTTGACATTATGTAATTTTCGTATTTCAACATCCTAGTCGGTTGAAAAATAAAGTTTTAGCGGCAAATAGTAAAGAAAACGAACCATGACGTATTTGAACATTCCAGCAGCGATTCGAAGTGATTTATGAACATCCAGCGCATCTTTATCGCTTGGTCTATAACGAACAATGGATTGAAGTAGAAGATTTTCAAGTTTATCCTGTTATTGAACATACGTGCTACTTTTAGAAGCGACATATGCGGCGTGCTTTGTATACCACATGGCAACATTCAATGTCATACAACAAACTTCGAATTGTGCATCTTGAACATCTCTAAATGGAATTGATTTCTTTTGTACAACATTTTCTTTTTCTTCAATCTTGTAACATACGTAATTGTATCGAGTTTCGTTAAGGAATCAGTCCAGTAAAATTTCGTTGTATAGCGCAATTTCGAATCATCACTCGCACCATCCGGTGCAGTAAGAAAGCCAGATAATAAAGAGATATATTTGTCAAACAAATCTCGCACGGTGGGTGTTTCAAGTGTTGGATTACACAACGATTGTAACAGTTCCAAACGTATTTGTCGTAATTGACTATTACAAAGCAACAATTCATCATAATTTCCTTACAGAAATAACCTACTGGCATATTTGCATGGCATCAGTGCTCGATGGCGATGTTCGATGATCAAACGACACAGCAGCCGTTGATTTCAAAGGATTTCGGTGGAACCAGTGATTAATTGTAAACATCTGTAAACGTGAAATAACGTCAATGAGTAATAGAATTTACATTTATCACTGAACTTTAAATAGACATATTTTATTTGAAGAAGAGATAAAGAAAAGGTGAGAAAAAAGTCTTTGAGAAGTTTCTTCTCTTTTTTTTTGTTAAGAATAAGATGACAAGCAAAGTAAGCTACTGACTAATTTGCTGTTCATGAGTCATGATGTTTAGATCCGTGCTGTACCATGACAATTTATATCTACCAATGAGAATCGAGTGCGATAATCAATTGTCGTGCGTGAACTAAAAAATAAGAAGCACAAGGCGTAGTCTCAAATTACAACAAGATCAGCTAAAAGACGAGAAGTTTATGCACGTCTTCGACCATCGAAATTAGAAACATTCATGTCGCAAATGAATTATATTCAGAGATTAAGATCTTATGAGAGAATAATTCAATTTGCAAATGAATTTTTATAAAAGTTCTTTTCTGAATAAACTTGAGAGCATAGCCGTTGAAAAAGATTTTCCAATATTCTTTCATCAACACGAACACATGAAATACTATTTCGATAAATACTCAATCGATCACATGCAGTTCGACATGAATTTTCTTTTTATTTACTTTCAGATCACCTTCTTCGTTTCAGTATTGTACAACAACGTGCTTCTTGATCTTGAAGATTCTGTTATAGCTATAGTAATATTAGACGTCTATCCTATCCGAATAATATCACTTAGTATTGAGCGTTTGCGAATAGCTGTCCAATAATTGTTCGAACAATATCCAAAATAGTCCTTCGACAAAATTGATGTACATGACAGTGATGTTTCTTTTAACCACGCCGAATTTCGTTTGAAAGACGAAAGAAAATAAATTGACCTGTGATTTTCTTTCGAATGAATGTCGGGACATTTTTTTGTATTTATCCATTAGATAGCGTGCTAGTTTCAGCTCACATGCACACAATGATTTTACGCTGTTCCATCTAATCATTCTTCGACATGATCGTATTGATTCGCTTGCTCGTTTCGTTACAGTTTACTTAACGGATTCTAAGCATGAATCCATCTTTTGAATGTACATCGAACAAAATTTGTGAGCAATCGATACTCGTTACTGTAAACGAAGAAAGCAGGCTTTCTGTTCACTTTCAGTTGAATAGAAGAGAATATTAATATACAAAAGTAAAACCGGTTGTTCTTTTTTAAATGAGTCAACCATGTTCTACCTTACATTTAGAATACCGTCACAATGAATCTGAACAATACGGAATTACGCTAGTTATAAAAGAGCTTGGTTGTAGATCAATTCCGTCAGTTTCTTCCTGTTTGTATATGATTATTCAAAACCAAGCTATTCGATTATCATTGGTAGTTCAATACCTATGCTTTTATGTTCGTCTCAGACTTTTTAGTTTCAAGTTTTCTTTGTCAAGCAGATGGAAAATAATAAAATAAAATTGACGAATGAAGTCACTCGAGTCGTCAAAGTTTAGCGATTCAATTTATTAATTTTGTTAAAGTCATTTCTGCCGGTAAAGATCATCATGAAAAAACATAACTCACACAAATTCATAAGTCAATTGAAGCATCGCGCTATAAAACATGTAAATTTAAGCATTCCTAGTATCAGTAGTTTCCATTAGCTTATGAGAAGGACTGTTTTACAAATATGGCGATCGATTTCGCTGTAAGAGTTTCCCGTTACAACTATTTCAAATCGCATATCTATTGATATTTATGAAAAGTTTCATTACAAAACTTATGATGAAAAAATTCCCACTAACAGGGATTACGATTGTCAACGCGAATTTTCTTACTGTTTGGATTTTATCTGCTTGATTTATTTAACAATGAACTAAAAAGTAAAGCTGTTCACAATTAACTGATTACAGTTGAAGAACTTGAACAGTTTCCTGGCGGGAGTGTTGCAAGAAAAAGAAAGAATTCGTTTGCGTAAGTCAATGTTAGTGAGTGCCCAAAAAGAATTTTACGAAGTAAAACCATATTTTTTTATTTAGGAAGAAATGATCCTGATTGCTTTGTTGATTAATGATTTTGTTTTCTTTAATTCATCAGTTTTTCTCTTGTCCTGGATTCATTACTCTTGCATCAAAATTATCCAGATTGAAATACAAGAGATGAGTTAGCTAAACAGTCTCATGTTAGTGAAATTCCAAATTTGATTTTCTTGGAGACGGATTCAACTGATATTGTTTAAGCTGATCGTTCACAAAGAAAAGGTTTCCCGTGCAAATTTCTACCATAAACTAAACGAATTCTGGAATTTCATGGTAAAAAAGTGAACGCATGAATGCAAGCAACGAAACTAATGATCCATTCTTGGAAACAAAGCTTCCATGTTGATATTGATCGAATATTCTTACTGATATGAACTCTTTATCAGATTGACGATCATATATTTTCAACAATCGGAAAAAAATACAACGATCAGGTCTTTATCCGCAATGCGCGATACCTAAAGATGCTGCTGAAACAGGCGCCATTTTCATCCACGAGCGCATAGCATTAATTACTGGTATATCACGATGTGTACGAGTATAACCAGTGCCAGTATACGCACATGCCATTTTATCGTATGCTTTGATGTAAGGTACTGATTTACGGCATGTTTCGCATGTCGTCGTGCAAAGATCGCAGGATGATAGACCATCAGGAATACCGAGATCACCATGTGTGTGATAGTAAGATGAAAGGATAAATCGAATAGGCCAATCGTCATTATTGTTACTGGCGCCGTTTGGATTTGCAAAGAGACGAACTTCAAAATTACGATGTTCAGAGATGGGACAGTTCTTTACAAGAACGCAACCGAACTGTGCCATATCACGACTGCTTGAACCGGGATTTTGTTGATCATGATCATCATTTTGAATAACAACACGATGACGAGAAACACTTGGATTGTTGTGTGGTTCTTTTGGATATAAACCATCCCACATCTGATAAAAATGAAAATATTCGAGAAAGATCATCTCAACGCGTTGAAAAGAAGAATACGAAATTTACTTTAATTTTATTCACTTCAGCATCAGAACCAAGATCTTTCTTCAAGATGTTTTCAAACGTAGTACCATACCAAGATGGGCCTTGCCAAATAACACCAGCTTCACCGCCTTCGATTTACACAAAAATAATACTACACAGTCGATTGTCTACAGAATCTTGTTTTTCTTCTTACCTGTAAGAACTTCAAGCCAGACAAAGAAATCATCTGGTAGTTTTCCACCCATTTTAGTTTGAACTTTTTTCATGACTGCAGAAATATCTTCAGGTGACATATGTTTAGCTGCGTCAATACGAAAACCGCTAGCACCAATGCTTAACATATCAACTAAATAAGCTGCCTGTCGTTCACGGACGGTTTCTCTTGACGTATCGAGATCAGTAAGACCAACGAGCCAGCCATTATTCAATATAAACAAATCCGACCAGGAACCAAGCACACGATCACAATGAAAATCTTCAGGACCAATAGCAGCGGCTGGAAACTCGTTCGATGGTGCTTTGCCCGTATTTGGATTGTACTGATAAGTATAAGCATGTGTGTAAAAAGGTGATTGTCGTTCAGCCGGTGCACTAGTTGTTTTATTACCCCATCGTACACAGCCATTAGGGTTGCGATGTTGATTCATATCATTGCCAGCACCAGTAAAATGGTTTAGAACAGCATCGATATAGACTCGAACACCGTGTCTACGACATGTTTGAATTAAATCACGTAATTCTTCACGCGTACCCATACGACCGTCCAAATTGTATGAAACCGGTTGGTACCTAAGGGAGAGAAAAATGAAGCATCAGAATAATTGAAATAATTCGAAAGATATTACTTACATAAAATACCATGGATTCATGGCATTTTCGTATGGTTGAGTGGACATTAATTGTTCGTGAACAGGAAATAGTTTGACACCTAAGTAACCGGCTTTGCCAAGAAATTCACATTCTTCTTTCACATCTTTATGCGGCCATCCAAACATTTCTGCTACAGCACCTTTTTGTCCACCACGAAAATCACCTGAACGACTACTTATTGAATTAACATTCCAAACAAAATCAATATCGGGCAATTTCAATGTTGATCCATCACTTCCTTTGACTTCTGCCAACAGAATATCTTTGTATGCGTTGGTAAATCGTTTACATTTGGTTGTTTGCGGTATTCCATCGAACAAGTATGTTAATGTAACCGAACCAGCATTGCGATGTTTTATTTCCAAACAAACATCGGCAGCATGCCGATCGGAACCAGTATAGATAATATCAGTATAACCAACAAGAACATGATAATCTTGATAAGATGCTTGATAACCGTTAGCACCTGGCTTGGGTGTTTGCCAACGTTTCGCCTCAACACCAGCGTTCGCATGGAATTGTGAACCACCTTCACAGCTTTCTTCTCGGAAAATATTACATCCCGACAACTCATTTGGACAGTCTTGTGGACATGTCTGATAGTTTTCATTAGTCTGACAAATACTATCACCACATACAGGACATTTTCCACAATCACCTGGGCACGAATAGCATGATTCACTTTCTTCACAAATACCATCACCGCAGACAGCTGGTGGACATTCACCACAATCAGCCAAACATGTTCGACACGATTCACCCAATTCACATTGACCATTACCGCAAACAGTAGCAAGTGGACGATGCGTTAGTTGTTTAGATAGAGGTTCGAATTCCAGTTGGACTGTACCGGCTCCACTTGTTGTAAATTTACAGTTTCCTCCTGCCCCACAACCAGCACTGCCTGCCCAGGTATTATCGAACGTTACTTTCCATTCATAGACTTTGTTGGGTTTCAAACCAACAAGGATAAGGAGATAGATGCACTTGGTACTATCATAAGTCATCAGACTATTAGCTTCTGTGGCAAGCCATAGTGCAGTACTGCCTAATTCTATTTGGTAGTCACCAGATGCTCGAACAATTCGACCTTTATATGGGTTCGAACAGGTCGATGTGGGTACAGTTGTCGAACCACTTGGCGCTACTGTTGGCCCACTAGTTAATGGACTCGTTGAGAGTTGTCCATTGTATGGGTTGTAGATGAGGAGAACTGCACCCGAAGTACCACTACTGAATTGACAGTTTGCACCGTTATTACAACCTTTATTACCATCCCATTTTCCATTGAAAGCAACTTTCCATTCGTAGTTCGTATTCGATGGTAAGCCTCCAATTGATTTTTCATATCGACAGGTGTCTTGATTGAATGTCATTTGACCTTTCGTTTCCGATGGTGACCAATTAACACCTTGTTCACTACTTGCTGCCAAAAATGATCCAGCAGCTACAACTAAAACACCTTGATGTGGATTTGTGTCACACGCATAGATGCTGCTGTACAGAGAAGTAAACGTAATAAAGAAGAGAGTATGCGTAACATGCATTCCCCTGCCTGTTGTCTTAGATCGCTTTAACGATAGTACTGGAAATATATAGAGATGAAACAGATGACAATATTCCCAGTATTCAAGTGCAATTGTTAACCAGTGCTATAGTCAAATCCATTTTTCTCACACGTTGTTTTGTAATTTCAGTATATAACTGAGAAAAATATTTCGAAAACAGAATTTGCTACCACTCTATTATTAGAATATAGGCGTAATTCGTCACATATCACTGTAAATATTGAATAAAAACTTTTATTCCAAAAGATAGGTTTATCTATTTTTGGTACTCGAATACATATGATGCTTTGACCCTAGCAGACTTTGGAATTCAGTAGTCTTTCATCCTCAACGGGTCTATCGGAAGTAACTGATTTAGTCAAGATATGCGTCATTTTTTTCCATTGGAGTATATACGCTTGTTTATTAATAGCATTATATCATGAGATATTATTCGGAAAAAAAAGGTTAGAAGTTCCCGAAACGTGTCATCAGTTCATTTTATCGATTCGAGTTGGCCGTTGGCGCGGTTGTGTAGTTATCACTCTACAAGCATTTGTAATAAATCGTTCGTAAAACACATCCAGATGTATCCTTACCCTCTATCACGACCAGGACAGCAACAATCTAGTGGGATACATACAATACAATCTACTGGACCACAGTCGCAACATAACTAAATGCATATCATAGATAAAAACGAAGTGAACGAATTCATACATCAACTTGTAGTTTCTTACCGGTAAACACATTTTGTAAGTACGAAATGGTTAAATGAGTGCACTGTTTATACCACCTTTGTAGGGTGATATCTATATTAACGTCTGAATTTTATTGTCATTTATTCATTCACCCTTTGTATACCGTATATGTGTATAAATCTTTTGTATCAAATAAACCTTGACAGGACGAAGAACGATAATGCACGTGATCATATTTATACATATGCAGAGATCGAAATCGAAAGAAAAACACGCGGTTCGCACATGTACATACTGTAAACAAAAGATAACTCAAAGTATTTTCTATTTGAGCATACCCTATAAACTATCCTTTTGATTATTCTAACTTTTTCTTGCCAACAACATCATACAGAATCATCGCGTATATAATTAACACTGATGAAGGAGAAAATAAGTTTCGATCAGCAAGCAGAATGGTATAGAAATGGATTTCAACGACCATTACTGCCACATACAGATGCGTTCAAACAACGTAACATATATATTATGTAAGTCGAGTCATCGTACGAACATTTTCTTCGGCAAGTTTTTTTCATTGAGGGGACCACCTGGTAGTGGTAAAACAAATGTCGGACGTGAGCTAGCCCGACTAACGAAAAAGCCTCTTCTTGATATTGACGACGATTGGCTTGAGCCCCGGTGGAACACCAGTGTTGCATCGAAATTGTCTGAGCTTGGTGACGAACAGTTCCTTGAAGCGGAAGGTCAAGAATTATTAGCCTTAGATCTTCAAAATCATATTATATCGCTAACTGGCTCGAATCCCTTGCATAGTCAATGTATGAAACATCTTTCCCAATCCGGTATCTTCGTTTATCTCGATGTTTCTCGGGAGACAATCTTGAATCGCTGTGAAATCATGCGTGTTGATCGTATCGTTGGACAGCGAACCAAAACATTGAATGATATACTTACTTGGCGTGAGCATATTTATGAGAGATCCTATGATATTCGGATTCTTATTGGTTTGAATGAAATGTCAAAGGACATAGCAGAGAAAATCGTCAAACAATTAGACACTCAGTCTCAAATGTATGAAAGCACTCGAAGTGCTCCGCAAATGAATAATCAACAGTTTCTCGATGTTGTTCAACAAGGACTTGCACCAGATGGTGGTCTTTTCAGTAAGAATTCCTTTGAAGGAAGAGAAAACGTATACTCTATGTGATGATTTGTAGTTTCTCGTTCATTTAACTCAATGTCGCTTGGTGAATTACAACGTTTAGTTGGTCTACCTTATCCTGAAGTGGCACTACGTGTAATAGAACGATTTCCTCTCGGTACTCTTCATCCGTCTCATTTACGTACACTACTATGGCAAGCTTATTCGTCATTTCCAGAGGAAATTCTACCTGTGCGTCATCTACGAAAAAATCAGTATTTAATAGAAACGTTTCACGGGCCGACAGCATCATTTAAAGATTTAAGTCTACAATTATTACCTCGTTTAATGCGAGTTGCAACCGAATTAACATCGAAGAATGAACAAAAACGAACACGTTTAGGTCTACTGGTTGCTACATCTGGAGATACAGGTTGTGCAGCACTCGATGCTTTTGTTCGACTACCCGGTACACCTGTGATTGTTCTGTATCCAAATACCGGTGTTTCGACGGTACAAAAAGCACAAATGCAAACTGCAACCGGTGATATCTGCGTCTTGGGTGTTGACGCTGATTTTGACTATTGGTAAGTCACTTTTTCACTTCATCTTTATCTCATTGAGAATATTTGCATTTAGTCAAACAACCGTGAAGGAACTTTTCAGTGATCAAAACTTTCTCTCGGATGTGCATCGATTGATTCCCGATCTCCATCTCTCATCAGCAAATAGTATCAATTGGGCGCGATTCTTACCCCAAGTTGTATTTACAATAAATTCTTATTTACAACTTGTGGAACAGAATAGAATCAATTTCGGTGATTCTATTGACATTTGCATTCCGACAGGAAATTTTGGCAATATGCTTGGCGCTGTCTATGCTCGAAGATTAGGTTTACCTATTCGACATCTGATTACCGCATCGAATGAAAATAATGTTATTGCTGATTTCATTCGAACTGGTTCCTATGATCTTCGTCATCGTTCGTTTCAGAAAACTATTAGTCCAAGTATTGATATCTTGATTAGTTCGAATCTCGAACGTTTTCTCTATCTATTAACCGATGGAAACTATGAGTTAATTCAACAACTATTCAATAAACTTGCCCATGAACGCAATTTTCAAGTGGATGGAAGCCTGCTTCAACAAATCCAGTCGGAAATTCGAGGCGATTGGACAACGGAAAAGGAATGCCGAGATATGATCAGAAAAGTTTACTTAGAAACACAACAACTGATCGATCCTCACACAGCGGTTGGTGTACATGTTGCAGATAAATTGTTCAAAAGCAGCGACGTACCGATACTTATTTCAGCAACTGCTCACTACGGAAAATTTCCACAAACTATACTGCAAGCGGTTGGTAACAATGAACAAGCATTACTATCCAATGATATATCAGCGTTATTAGCGGATTTGCAATCCTTGAAATCAACGACACCGATGCATCAAGAACTGATGAAATTACCTAACAAACCGGTTCTGCATACAACGGCAGTTGAAGCAACAAAATCAGCTATTATCAAAGAAATTAAAACTTTTTTAGCGAACTTTTCCCAGCAACATTCATCATAGATTTTATTCATTCATTGCAACATGTGGCTATCACACCATACGTTTGTGATAATGCACACTTCGTATAACTTTAACCCCATCCATTAGATTTTTTGTTTTTGCCAAAAACTACACGACTTCTCTTCAATCTCCATATGTGAAATATTCATTGTCACTCGCATTTGAATCGTACAGCCAATCTGTTTGAATATTGAGTTCAATCGTTATTCAAAACGATCGATGTTCAACACACATATTTCTCTGCCGTAAACGATGAATAGAAAGAATGCCGATGCATTTCTTCTAGGGAATCATTTGTCAGATGTAGAATTCATCTATCTTATCGCGCTAACTAAACATAGACAATTTCAATCATGATTCAATTGACGTCAATGTTCATCTTTCATTTTTGTTCTTTACACGTCTTTATCTTGTACTTGAACAAATAAGCAAGAAGAAAGAAGAGAAGAAATATTCCATTCCATTTAGTAGAATTCAGTATTTCGCAGAGAAAAAAAAAACACGAACAAATTAATTCGTTCGCTCTTATTCATATCTAGTATTGCTTTTAGTCCACCCACTAATATGACCCTGTCCATGTGTGTGTAAAGAATATTTTAGCAGAGAAGAGAGAAAGAAGAAGAGAAGTAAACGTCAAGTGATCCAACTATTCAACAGTTGTATAAAAGAGATTTGTCGTCGACGTCGTCGGTTTCTTCTTCATCGTAATTAATAATTGAAAATCAAGAATATGTGTATTGTTGCACCTTATTGATCAGATTGATTTTGACTTGAACAGACAGCCGGAAAGATCGACATGGATCGTAAGTACTTGTTCTTGCGCTTCGATTATCTTTTTTTGTTACTACATCTATCATACGAACAATTGATTTAACCACTTTCGCAACAATTCTATAGAGACCTCTCCCATTCGCCCGTTGGCTGCTAGAATATCGAGTATGCCTATTTGATTTCTGTCACTTTAGTTAACATCTGACTGCGCATATATGTGTCTCCACCCTATTTCGCCGTCATCATCATCAACATCAGTAACACAATGCTCTCTAACTTCTTTTCTTCTTTTTCTCCCTCTTTTTCTTCTCATTTTCTTAGCAGCAATTGAAATAATGTTGTTAGAAGTTGTTCTCGCTTATGTTCTCTCGTCAATTCTTTTCAATCAAAGATGCATTCTCATTGGCAGTAGTTAGTCGTTTCTTTTCCCTATAACAATGAATCAAAAAAAAGAGGGAAAAAGTCTCTGCTAACAATGCAGCAATAGTTAGCATGAAAAAAAAAGAAGAAAAAAAAACGAGAGAAGAGATGGCTGTTCAACATATAGGCATTGCTTGAAACATTTAAAAGCAGGAAAAAAAGAAAAGAGTTAAAGAGGCCATTCATGGAGTCCAACGACCCGACACTATCAAACAAGACCTCAACACTATTACCATCGCCCTCGACTTGGCCAGCCTTGTATAGATCATATTTTGGTATGAATTGATTATATAACGAGATCTATCCGCATGCGTGTGTATATTGATTGTCCTGAATTGAGTACATCGAATAGCAGACAGAAATCAGAGCGAGAAAGAAAGAAATGATGAAAACGAGAAAAGAAAACGAAAATATTTTATTAATTCCTTTTTTTTTCATCTTTGAGCTTAAATTGAACACACATTAGACAAATTCTTATCACATGCTATGAAGGAATGAATGAATTCTGGCAACGAGAGAGCGAGATAGACATATATTTTGTTTTGTTTCTCAAACGAAATAATGTCCTGTCTGGAATGTAGTTCAGGTCATTGTGGTAATAAGTGTATGGTATAAGAGATGATGATGATGATGACGACGACGTCGATCATTGAAGCCCTTTCTTACTTCTCTTCCTCGTGATATAAGAAAAAGAAAAGAGTTCAAAAACGAGATAAAGGTCTTGTTGTCAATACACCTTGAAAAAAATCTTTAAAAAAAAGCGAAGACGCGTCGCGAAGGTTACACACACACATTTCGGTGTCTTCTTCATCATTCATTGTCTCGACGAATACAGACCTTTTTTCTCTCTGTGTTCTTTTCCTTCATTGTTGTTGTCACGTTTGCTTAACCTTTTCCTTTCGATTTTTTTCTCCCTCATCATGTATCCCATAGCTTCATACTATCTTGTCATTCTTTTCCTTGTTATCTTTTCTTTTTGTCATCGAAAATTTCGTCTTGAGTAAGTAGATTTTCTCTATCTTGAAAGAAAATATTCTTTTTATATGTTTATTACATTAATAATGACCAACAAAAAGGTCGTATCTAAACCATGTCCGTTTATTGTGAATACCAAATATCCGTTCTGATACAAGGTCATATGAAGCTATATAGTTAACGAGACTCAAATGTTCTCGATGTGTACGTATTTGATAACCGAATATATTGAAGAGAAATGCGAGGAGAGGAAGAGAAAGAGCGAAAGAAATTCTTCCTCTCATTCTATTTTGACCATCGGCTATTGCATGATCTGTCCGAGTATGAATACACTCACATCATAGGAATGGATTGTAAGTAGACGGAAATCTTCTTCTTCATGCGAACTCTATACCAACAAGGATCTGTAAGATTAAATAGGTAGATCTATATCTTCCCTTCCACCTGAAAGCATTTGACTCTATTGCTCCACTTGACATATGCTTGTTTGAGTTAGACATGAACAGATATGTATGTATGCATATTCGTTCATGTATATTTGAGTATCTATTATTATCCTGATAGAAAAATTCGAATAAGTTGACATGTGTTTTGAAAATGATCAGCATGATAGACTTAATTGTGCATATGTGATATTATTCTTCTTTTCTTTTCCCATATTTCATTCGCTCTATTTCTTTTTCCTGCGCACGTAAATGTACTGGATTGGTCATTTTTTTTACACATCCGCTAACGACATACTCTACCGATTGGAGAAAATTTTCTGAAAGTGATCATGATTTTCTTCTTCTTATCATATTCCAGCGTTTGCATTTGGTTCACCGATGACATTAATGAATCATCATCATCATCATCAACAGCAGTATATTCCTCCATCATGGTCAACAACAGATAATAATAATACACGTTTTCTTTCCATCGATTCTCAACAACAAGTCCAACACCACTGTCGTCCAACATTTTCCAATGAAACAAATGATAATCAATATAATTTATCATCACATATCCAACCTAAGATCGAACCGAACAATGTCATTATCAATGGGAATAATGATACAATTATTGATGATCAACGTCCAGATACACATTCGTCAATGATGAACGACAAACAAATGGTCGAATGTGTTGTTTGCGGAGATAAATCAAGTGGAAAACATTACGGACAATATACATGTGAAGGATGTAAATCATTTTTTAAACGTTCAGTTAGACGTAATCTTAACTATACATGTCGCGGAAAGTAAGTCGAAGTCTTGGATAGCCGTTGCTTTTCCTTACGAAGAGTTTCTTTCTAGTCGAAAGTGTCCGATCGATACTCATCATCGTAACCAATGTCAATATTGTCGATTTTCTCGTTGTTTAAAAATGGGCATGAGACGTGAAGGTAAGCAACTTTTCTTGCAGTAAAAAAAAACTAATCAAAATCTCCTGTTTCTTGTACATTAAGCTGTTCAGCGCGGTCGTGTTCCATCCGTTTCCAATACATACGGCCATTTTACCTTTCCACCCGATGCACATAACTATTTAAACAACTATATCTCGCACTTAGTTCGTGCGGAATCCTATTCATTCATATCCAATCGCTTGCAATCGTCTTCATCATCGACTCCAGCTGCAGGCAGTTCATCCAATTCAAATTCGTCAACATCTTCAGAAAATCCCAATCCCAATATGATTACTATGGACAATGCATGTGAATTAGCGGCTAGTCTTCTATTCGGTGCCGTTGAATGGGCACGAAACATTCCGTTTTTTCGAGAATTAACTCTCAATGATCAATCCTTGTTATTACAAGTCACATGGAATGAATTATTTCTGTTGAATGCCAGTCAATGTAATATGCCGATACAAGCGACACAATTATTAATCTTAAATGGTATTCATAATAATACTATTGATTCAGATAAAGTACAAACTTATCTGGATCAAACACGAAAATTTCAAGAACAAGTAGAGAAGTTCAAACTGATGCACTTAGACCATGCGGAATATTCATGTTTAAAGGCAATTATTCTATTTACACCAGGTAAGATAGGAAGCTCAGGAGACAAACGATCTAACGTTGTTGTTCAATTTCAGATACATTGGGCTTATCCGATCCTGGACATGTTGATAGTTTACAGGAAAAATCTGTTCTTGCTCTCGAAGAATATATTAAAAGTCAATATCCATCGCATATGAATCGTTTTGGTAAACTATTACTTCGTTTACCCTCATTGAAATTAGTTAGTTCACAAGTGATCAAAGAGATCTTTTTCGTTCGTCTGGTTGGCAAAACACCTATTGAATCGTTAATTCGAGATATGTTATTAACTAATAATACGTTTCCGAATGGAACAATTCCAACCACTGCATCCTCATCGTCGTCATCAAGTGTAACCAATACATCTGCCTTTAATCTTAATTCAACACAAGTATCAAATCAATATTCAGCTTTTCCACAGTAATAGAACAAAGCAAACTGAAAGAAACGATACTATTTTTATTTTGACTAAAGCAGAGGTTTGCTTTTATAAAGCGAATGAAAGTATTCTCAGAAAAAAAAAGAAAGATTCAATTGGTAGACCTCTTCGTCGTTTCCTTCATTTCTTTTCCTCTTTCTTTCTTTTCTTTTCTTTTCTTTTCTTCTCTCCTCTTTTGTTTTGTCATATAAGAAATAAAAGTCTATCTAACTACATATGCATGTCTGTTAACAATATGGCATCTGCCGTATTTTGAAGTATAGGAGTTAAAGAATTGTCAGAAGGCGTTCACCCGGAAGTTATCCTTTTCTTTTTCTTCGATGAAAATTAACAGGAAAAATCGATATAATTATGTTTGATCCGGTTTTTATATTAATAATTGATTCGATCTTTAAGAAGAAGAAGACGACCGCCACTATTGAATGAATAGACTCAATCAAGATTAACAGTTACGAATAAGTCGAAATAAATGATTAGAAGAAAAGAATACAAGATAAAAAAAAGAGAGTCAATGATGCAAAATGATGTGAATTCAACAGAACACACATAGATGTACAGTCTTAATTGCTTTTTAAACAATTGATCCATTCTAAGTGGAAAATCAGCCTACCCTATCACGCGCGCCATCTATGACATGACCAAATGAGTCCGGTAACGTCTTAGCCGGGAAAGATTCCAAAATAGTTTTAAATTTGTTTTCGTATGAATTAATTAGTTGATTTTTTGCCTAAAAGTTCAATTTGATAGAGGCAACTCGTCCTCACACCAATCAAAACAGTTTCGTAGCATTCGTTCATTTCGTATCTTTTGTCTACTACTTGCGCAAAACGTAAACTCTCACAAGTCTACAATTAAAATCGTTCGGTTTATTTTTCTATAGATGAAGTTATACAATTTAACTTTACAACGTCCCGGTGGTATAACTCATGTCATCCATGGAAATTTCTCCGGTCCAAAACAACAAGAGATCATTGTTTCACGTGGTTGTGTACTAGAAGTTCTAAAACCAGATCCAAGCACCGGTAAAATCCATACATTATTAAGCTATAATGTATTTGGCATTATTCGGTCACTTCATCCTATCCGATTGTCGGGTAGTAATCGAGGTAAACAGCGTGACTTGGATGCGTCCAAAGAATTTCATTTGTATCGATTTTTAGATTATATTGTTGTCGGCAGTGATTCCGGTCGGATACTTATTCTTGAATATAATGGACAAAAAAATGTCATAGAAAAGGCAAGAAACGTTGATTTTATTCAAATTTGTAAGAGACTTTTCTTCAGTTAGGTACATCAAGAAACGTTCGGAAAATCCGGTTGTAGAAGAATCGTTCCCGGTCAATACTTAGCTGTCGATCCAAAAGGACGTGCAGTACTTATTGGTAAGGGATAACAATTTACATTCTGTTTGAACAATTTTTTCGTTATTTTCAGGCGCACTCGAAAAACAGAAGTTAGTTTATATACTGAACCGTGATTCTCAAGCACGACTAACCATTTCATCGCCATTAGAAGCACACAAAGCAAATACAATAACATATTGCATTGTTGGTGTTGATGTTGGCTTCGAAAATCCCGTTTTTGCCTGTTTGGAAGTTGACTATGAGGTAATATTCTTCGTATTACGGAAAAATATTCATTTCTATCTGATGATAAGGAATGTGACAATGATCCTACTGGCCAAGCAGCAAATGAGATTAAACAATCTTTAACATTCTACGAACTTGACTTGGGTCTTAACCATGTCGTGAGAAAATATTCTGAGCCGTTAGAGAAATTCGCTAATTTACTTATTACTGTACCGGGTGGAAACGAGGGACCAAGTGGTGTACTTGTTTGCTCGGAAAATTATATTACATTTAAAAACTTTGGTGATCAACCAGATATTCGTTGTCCAATCCCAAGACGTCGAGTAAATATATATATATTCTATGAAAATCATTACAATGATTTCTTTTTGTCTGTCTCTTAGAACGAAATCGACGACCGAGAACGAACGATGATTATTGTTGCAGCAGCCACGCATAAAACGAAAAATATATTGTTCTTTCTTGTCCAAACTGAGCAAGGCGATATTTTCAAAATTACTCTGACTCATGATGCCGATATGGTAAGAAACTCTCTTTATTACGAATTTGAAATTGTCGATCGAGAAAGCAATATAGGATGATTTTCCTATTGAACGTGTTGCCATATGAAACAATTGATTAGAATATTCTTGTTCAATTCTGATTCTGCTTTCCTATCAATAATTTATAGAGACTCAGTTCACTGGGATAATCGTTGTTCAACTAATAATAGTGCCTTCTTTCTCCTTGCGATAGGTTACAGAAATTCGTTTGAAATACTTCGATACTGTACCTGTAGCTGCTGCTATGTGTGTTCTACGAAATGGTTTTCTTTTTCTGGCTTCTGAATTTGGCAATCAGTAAGTAACAGATTCCATTCTGTGATGATAAACTAATTCTGATAATTGAATAGTTATTTATATCAAATAACTCAATTGGGTGATGCCGATGATGAACCAGAGTTTAGTTCATCGGAACGACTTGAAGAAGAAGACACATTCTTTTTTGTACCACGTAAACTAAAAAATTTAATCCTAGTCGATGAAATGGACAGTTTATCACCTATCACCGCTTGTCACATTGCTGATCTTGCTAATGAAGATACACCACAACTGTATGTTACTTGTGGCCGTGGACCTCATTCAACGCTTCGTATTCTTCGTCACGGTTTAGAAGTACGTCGAGCGAGATGTTTGAAAACCAAAGCTAAAATTCGAGATTTCTTTTTGGTTATTTTAGGTAACAGAGATGGCCGTCTCAGAATTACCTGGTAATCCCAATGCAGTATGGACTGTGAAGAAAAGAATTGATGGTAGTTTCGAAACTTTTCTCACTTCAGATACTTATTCTTATATTTTACTTAGATCCGTATGATTCATACATTGTTGTCTCATTTTCCAATGCTACTCTAGTACTATCTATCGGTGAAACCGTTGAAGAAGTAGCTGATTCTGGCTTTTTGGGTACGACGCCAACCTTGTCATGTAGCCAATTGGGTGATGATGGATTACTTCAGGTTCGTCATTGCTTTTCATGTGACCTATTTGATCGGAAAGAATTTGTTTGCTTTAGATTTATCGTGAAGGTATTCGACATATACGAGCTGATAAACGTGTGAATGAATGGCGAGCACCAGGAAAGAAAGCCATTACACGTGCCGCTGTGAATCAACGACAGGTTGTTATTGGTTTAACTGGTGGCGAACTTGTTTATTTCGAAATGGATACAGTGAGTTTCCAGCATATAGATTTCGTATGTTCAATATTTTGTTCAAAATTTTTTAGACCGGTCAATTGAATGAATACACTGAAAGAAAAGAAATGCCCGGTGATATCGTCTGTATGGCATTGGGTTCAATACCCGAAGGTGAACAACGGTCACGTTTTCTTGCCGTTGGCCTTTCAGATAGTACTGTGAGAATTATTTCACTGGATCCACAGGTATTTTCCAAAAAGTATTCGAATGATATTTAATTAAATTCGATCATTTATAGGATTGTTTGAGCCGGCTGAGTATGCAAGCCTTACCAGCTCCGGCTGAAACCTTATGTATTGTTGATATGAAGACAACCGAAGGTGGCGTTGTAGTTGATTCCAGTAGCGGTCGCGAACAACAAATTGGACCGACTACGACTTCATTCTTAAATATTGGTTTACAGGTAGAATGAGTGAATCTTTATGTTTGTTTCAAACAAGAGAAAATAACTGATCTTTTTTTCTCGTGTAGAATGGTGTACTCCTAAGAAGTGTACTGGATTCCGTTACAGGCGATATGTCAGATACTCGAACACGATATCTTGGTTCGAAACCAGTGAAATTATTTCGAATTTTAATGCAAGGAAATGAAGCTGTGAGTACAATCATTAATATCTGCTTTCTTCAAATGTTTCGCTGTTCTTTCTCTAGGTTTTAGCAATGTCCAGTCGCACATGGCTTAGCTATACGTATCAAGGTCGTTTTCACTTAACTCCCTTATCATACGAATCTCTTGAATATGCTTCGGGTTTCGCGTCGGAACAATGTCCTGAAGGTATTGTTGCTATCGCTGGCAATACTCTTCGGTAATTTTCGATTTTATTACAAAGATATCTGTGACTAATCTATGCGTGCTTTTCTTTTGTACAGAATTTTAACGTTGGAAAAGCTTGGTGCGATATTCAATCAAGCTATTCATAAGTTAAAACTAACACCACGTCGTTTCATCATCTATCCCGAAGTGTATCGACTGTACTTGATCGAATCCGATCATCTCGCTTATACAGAAGCAAGTAAACAGCAGAAACGTGAACAAATTAGCAAGGTTTGTTGAAATAATCATTTGTTAGAATGGAAAAGAAAGAAACTATGCATTACTTTAATTTAAGGAGATGATCGATGCAGCTGACAGCGAAAATCGAGAATCTGTACAAGAAATAGCCAATGCTATGCTAGCTGAAAGAATTCCCGAAGAAACGTTTGGCGCACCAAAGGCAGCCAACGGCATGTGGGCTTCACAGTTACGTGTTATGGATACAATCAGTGGTGAAACGAAATTCCTCCGTGAATTTGAACAAAATGAATCAGCTGTTTGGTAAAGAGAAATAATCATCTATTGTTATTTCTTATTCTTTGTCGTATATTTTAGTTTAAGTTTAATGCGATTTGATACACGTCCAACGGATGTATTTTTATTAGTCGGTGTTGCACGAGATCTTGTTCTCTCGCCTCGTTCACATTCTGGCGGAATGATTTACTGCTTTCTCGTATTGGAAAATGGTGATAAACTTCATTTTATTCATAGAACGGTTGTTGACGAAGTTCCATGTATGTAAAACGATAAACTATTCTCTGTCGAAATTAAAGCGTTTGTTTTTGTTTATTTCAAATAGCTGCTATATGTCCATTTATGGGCCGTGCTTTGATTGGTGTTGGATCAAGTTTACGTATTTATGAAATTGGAAAGAAGAAATTATTGAAAAAATGTGAAAATAGAGTAAGTCGAATGGATTTATTTCCCAGTTAATATCTTCTGTCGAATGAAATTCAATATTTCCTCGAATGAAATATCGAAATCGTACAGAAGAAGATTAATCGGAATGATTTTAGCTCGTTAATTGTTTTCTTTCATACATATTGACGTGTATAAATCACTCACAAGCTTATCGGTCGTTTTCGACAGAAGTTCATCATCATTTTTCTTTAAATATTTAGAATATTCCCAACCACATAGCGACGATACATGCCGTCGGTAATCGAGCATTTGTGACAGATATTCAAGAAAGTATACATATACTTCGTTATAAAACAATGGAAAATCAATTAGTGACATTTGCTGATGATACTTGTGCGCGTTTTACTGTTGCATGTTGTTTATTAGATTATAGTACTGTCTGTGTAACGGACAAGTTTGGTAATATAGCTATTGTAAGTCACTGATGAATTCTTACGAAAGAAACAGTTTAAGTTTTTTTCGCTATTCAGTTACGTGTTCCTGTCGATGCTAACGATGATATCGAAATCGACCCAACAGGAAGTAAGGGTTTATGGGATCGTGGTCTCTTGAATGGTGCACCGAATAAAGTAATTACTGAACGAAATGCACAACTTCGGTTCTAATATATAGACTTATTTTAGTGTGATATACTCGCTCATTTCTATGTGGGAGAAATGGTTACATCTGTCCAACGAGCAACATTGATTCCAGGTGGATCTGAATCTCTTGTCTACACAACATTATCAGGCTCCATTGGAGTACTAATACCTTTTGCATCAAATGAGGTAAAATCAAACGAAATGAAAGAAAAAAGACAGCAAATGTGTGAAATGATGACCAAAACATAGTCGTTTACAATTCGGATGACTAATGACGACAATTATCATGTTGATATCTGATCACTCATTTGCTGTTGTAATATACATTTGATAATGACCAGAAGTATGTCTGTTTTTTTAGGATTATGACTTCTTTCAACACTTGGAAATGTATATGCGAGCTGAGTATCAAACGCTAGTTGGTCGAGAACATCTGGCTTTTCGATCTTATTACTATCCTGTTAAGGTAAGCAATCAGATAACAAGTTAATTAAATGCTTAAAAAAGTCGAAAAATGAAACATTTTCTGTACTTTTAACGTCGCATTCGACTAGTCTCGATTGTGATAAGCATCTATTGACATGCGTCTATTCATATTCAGAAATAACTGTATGATTGACGTTATCTATCATTATGTCCATGACCTATTCAAAAACTTAAAGTTTTCCGTACTTTAGAACGTTCTCGATGGCGATCTCTGCGAACAATACAATCATTTGGACATAAACAAACAGAAATCCATCGCCGAAGGTCTTGATCGTACGGCAAACGAAGTGGCTAAGAAACTGGAAGATATTCGTACACGCTATGCTTTCTAATCGAACGCAACATTGTGTAAAACAAGAAAACAAATTGGACTAGTTAAACATTTGTGTCTTTTTCTTGTCGTGTTTTTTCGTCTCATTCTGTATTAATGTTTGTATTCATAAATGTTGTTCATATAGGTAATCTTTACTCGAATAATTGATTTAAAACAAAAAACTACATACACATACATACAACTGACTTATAGCATATTATCATAGAGAGAAAAAAAATGAAGCAAAAAGGACAAAATTTTGCAAAAGTTAATAGATTGCATGCGTATCCATCATATAGCCAAGTTTATAGCCAAAGTTCACCACTGATTGAGGCATTCGAAGTGCATATAAACCATAGGCAAGCAGGTTACCGACGCCAGCGGTCATCAATGTTGGTTGTTGATATGCTGTTAGGAAGTTGCGTCGATCGCGAAGAAACGAATAGGTTTGAGTTCGATAATAGTTGTGTGCTGAGAAAGCAACATAATTATTCATTTCTTGTGCCACTCTCAAATAATGGTTCATCATACGGGGATTCATGCCTGTGCCGTACATTGTAATAGACGAATTGATTGGACTTCGATCAGGGACGAGTATTGATGTATATATGAAAAGCAACAGCTGCTTTGTGTGTATATATATATATATGGTTGGATGTCACGTAGATGATCAATCGGGTGGAGAGAAAATATCGCTAACAAGACAAAAACATCAGATATCAGGTGCTCGCTTGACACTTGTATGTGAATCAATTCATCCGTGTCCGACCGCATCGTGCGATGCGAATGTCCTTTTCTTCCAAACTCTGTCACGCATTTACCATTAAATGATAAATAAAACGATATATTGGGCTTGTCAACGAATGAATGACTGTTCCTAATAAGAGAAAACAAAATAAAGACAAGCGGTGTGCATAGTACCCGAACGTCTAAAACGCGTGTTTATGCATATGTGCACTTTTATGCAATAGAAATTAGAAATGGCTATTTTTCAGTTAATTGCATGAAAATTGGGCAGGTTGTATGTCAGGTATCGAGGGAGCGGCGATTATTAAAGTTAATCTATTAATAAAAACTTAAATACGAAATTTGGAAGAAGAAAACAAGAAAAGATCAAGATGTTTTTGATCGATCCATGTTGAATATTATATTTTATTCAAACTGTTTTTCTTATTTCTATTGATGTCGATTAAGCAAACTATTTTTTCATCGACGAAATAAAAGTCATCGATGTCTACGAATAATATGACATTCGAGAAAACATACGAACAGTCATACGGACGAATATGATCGACCAATTCATAAAGTAATAAAAGATGAAATAAACACACAGAAAAAACAATCTATATGTCAATAATGACCATGCTAATCGGAGGCGATTAATTTTGACAAGTATTCGAGTCAAAAAAATCTTCTTGTCTGGCTACTGTTCTACTTAATATTTAGCCATATATTTTTATTAGATTACTAATACCATACAAAGAAAAATCTTTTATCTCGTTTGATTCTTTTCCCCAATATGCACCATATGTGTCAAATGATTATGTAAACTTTAATGAAAAAAAGATGAAACCTATGAAATGAACTTCGTATTTTGATCTAATTGAAGATATTTCTAACTTGGCTCTATGATGAGGTTTTGTTTGTCTTTGAGCTGGATTGTCGTCATTTTTCATAAGCCGAGAATATCAATGCTATTGCAATTCGACTGATTTCTTTCGGATCAACTTTCTTTCCATGCAGTTGTTGCTCTCCTCCTCAAATATTTTCCCCCTTTCTCGTTGTAACGACTACAGCATAGTTCCATATCTACACTGCTTCCCTCACCGTGGCTTATCGCTGTTCGATAAAGTTGTGTTTCTATTCAGAGATGTGATAGTCTAGATAAAGTATGTGAGACTAAACGAAGGATTGACATTAGTTGTATAACGACAGAAATAGTGAGAATGAGAGGAGCACGGAAGGGACAACAGGAACAAAAAAGTAATTTTTTGTATCTTCTCTCGATCTGGTCTTCGTCTCATTTGCCACATTTACGTTGTCGTTTTGAAAATTACTCTCAGAGAGCAGTAAGTTGGTCTATGTAGATGTTAATCTTACGAACAGCGTACGTGCCTTCGATTACTATACTTAAAACTATGAGTAATCCATGAAATTTACCGTACAAATATCAGTGTGAAATATCCGAAAATAAGTTTATCCTTCTAAATTCTCAACAGATCGTGATTAAACTGCATGCAAGAGAATAAAAATGAGAAAAAAAGATCAGAAATACCTTTCCCCTACGTCATCTTTCTTTCTTTCTTTTCCCCTTCTTCCATCAATGACAGAAACAGCCACATTCATACTCTCTATCATGCCATGCGAACAGAAGATATTTACTTCATTAAACCAATAAATTGCTTTTCTTTTAGATGCTCTGAACTGTGTTGATTAAATGAATACAAACTCCTTCGCACCAAACCAACAAATCACTATGTTCGTACTCAAACTGAAGTATGTGACACCTGATGAAGAGACTTCGTCTAAGAAAAACGATTTGAACCCGAGACTTTGACATCAATCATGAATAGTCTCTTATACCTACGAAAAATCGATTAATACACATCTTAGATCATTCTCATCGATTCTTCTTTGGAATTTCCTTTTTTTTCTCTCTTTCATTCTCTTATACAAATGAATAATTACTTCTTCTGAGGACATAATAAACATATAACAATCTATCGAAGATTATTAAACAAACACAAAACTGAAACATCACATTAATCATTCCTTTTTCTGCTGATCTATTTAGAACTATCAATAGTCTACGATGGCCGTTGATTTTTATGAGTAAGTGTTTCTGTTTCCTTGTTAGATAAAAGGCGTTCATGATCATCTAATATGTTACTTTAGTTGTTTTTTTAATTGTTTATATATCAATAACTCAATTATCACGAGCAAGTTTGTATGGCGTCGTCAACATTTTCACAGTCGACTTCAATGATGCGACGAACAATCAGATTCAAGTAGATGAAAATCATCTTTTGCTAGAAGATCTTTCCCAACGAGAATTTGAGTTAATCAATAGCCGATCGAAAATTTTCTTTGTGCAAACATCTGAGAATGATGATCTACTCTCTCGACATGCTTGTTCAATTGAATCAGCTGCACGTTTACATCTGACTAGTCTCGTCTTTGTTCTCATGCGCAGCAAAACTATTCATTTGAAGAAAGGTTCATTCAATCGTTTGCAGTCATATACAAACATACGTTTCGTTCATTTCAATGAACATGATATTTACTCAGGTACCACGCTAGCTCGTCTAAATCAAACTAAACGCACGCAGTTCATTCGTTATTTTGCCATATCACATATGAGTGATTTTATACGTACTGCACTGCTATACAAATACGGTGGAATTTATTTTGATCTCGATGTTATTCCATTGAAAAATTTTCGGTCATTGGCGAACGCAGTTGCATTGGAATCAAGCGACGGCGTCAATGTTGCTGTTTTAACATTTGAAAAACAACATCTACTATTGGATATACAAATGGACATTCAAATCATGTTTGTTAATCAGCAATTTAACAGTTTATGTTGGAATTGTGTTGGACCATTGGCTCTATCTGATGCGTTGAAACGCGTTTGTGATGACAATATTTTGCATGTGCATTCGAAAGACAAATGCCATGACATTGATATTCAACCATCGTTCGTTTTCTATCCAATCACATATCATGTAAGATGACGATGTCCATGAGCGAAAGGTTTTGACTTTACTTTGGTTTGTTTAGCAAATACCACAGTTTTTTCGCCGCACAGAATCATCAAATGGTATTAATGATTTAATCAGAAATTCGAGTGTTTATTCTGTGCATTATTTTCATCATATGACAATGAACTTACCGATTGAATATCTTTCGCCATTTGCTCGCATCGCGCAGGTTTATTGTCCACATGTATACGAACATCTCATTGATTATCATGAATTTCAATTCAAACAAAGCAATTCAGTATTTCATAGATTTCGTCTTTATCTTCTATTTTGTCTATGTGTTATCCTTCTGTTAGCCGGTGCTTTTTCATCGCATTTCACTTCTATACGTGTTGTTATGTTATCATTGCGACACAAAATCTCCTATGCTTGATTGGTAATTCTTAGAATGGACTGAATGTCAGATGTTTTTCTCTCCATGTCTTAGGGCATACAGATTTATTCACTTGTTTATTTATGTAAAAACCAGTGACATTGTGTTCAGTCGTTTTCGTATTGAAATACATATTCACATTCTTTGTATAGAATGCCTTATAGACAATGCTATTCATCTAGCTAGAACTATTTTATTTGATTTCTAATTCGGGCAACACGCATTTTAAAAAATCATGTGGTCGTTCTGAATGAACCCAATGTCCAGCATTTGGAATACGAATCAAGCGATGTGATGGGAAGAGACGTTTCATTTTCGGAATTGATTGATCACTGAAATGCACATATATAGAGAATAGTTAGACATCATCAAAACGAAAATCGAGTTTATATTACGTTATGTAATTTGATTTGCCACCAGCAATAAATAGCGTGTCCACATTAGTCTTTGCATTATCGAATTCAGTTGGAAAAAGCATGATATCCTCCATGTGTTCTTCTAAAACTTCTAAATTCGCTCGCCAAACAAACTGCCCACTTGATTCATCAGAAGCAATAAGCATGAGAAGAAAATCACGAATGCTTTTGTTCTACAAAAGGTATTGCAATCAATTGATATCACTTGATCGTGTCTAGTACGAACCTGTCGTAATGATTCAGCTGATTCTTGAAGTATTTTATCCATTGCACGTCGTGCCGCTACGATATCTTTTTCATGTTGAATTTTTTGTATATTATTCAATAGAATGCGAGCATACTTCGGAATTTCTCCTACTGATGCGCTGATTGTTGGTGCAATATCAACGATGATCAATTTTCGTATTAGTGCAGGCTAAACCTAACAGGAGAAACAAACAAATTCACTTATTTCCCAAGAGACTTACTTCTTGCAAAGCAACGAGCATGGCTGCTTTGCCACCCATACTGTGACCCATCAAGATTGTTTTCGGCATATTATGTTTTCGAATTGTTTGCATCAAATCTGCAGCCATGTCATCATAAGTCATCGTTGTCGTGTACGGAGAATCACCATGATTGCGCATATCAACGGATACTACCTGAAAAAGCATTCAATTAGATAAATGGAAGAGGATAGATAAGTTTCGGATATTTACTTTAATATTTGCACGTTCACTGAAGGCTTTCGCTAATGATCTCCAATTCGTGCGAAAACCAAACAAGCCATGTCTAAATAAGGAAAAGTTGATTGAGAGCAATAGTTTATAGAAAATGTACGTACGCTATAATCAAGCATCGCTCTGGATCGGCTTTACCATTTGGTGGATTGTATACATCTTCGGCTAAAGTAACCGGTTTAGCCGTTCTAAAGGAAGTAATCTGTGAATGGAAATTTGTCTTCCTCAGTTAAAAACCTACGATGTATGCTGAAATCTGGATAGAAGAATTGAACTTTTTCCATTGTACGAAATAATAGAGGAACAAATCTTCAAGTATCTATTCATCTGCAATCAGAATTAGGCATGGTTGCTTCTTATCTTTGTTTTTCTGAAACACATAGTTTTCTTCATGCTTTGCTTTTATTTAAATAAAACGTAAACTCAGCAAATCCAAGACCACAGAAAGAAAAAGAAAATAACCAAGAAAAAAGGAGAAGGATGTTTCAAGTCGCTTTCGCACGTGTTGCAGCACGTTTGCCAACTTGAGCTTGAAAACCAGTCTTGATACCGGAAACGAAGTAGCGCGAACGACAATTATTACACAAAAGTACGGATAGACGTTCTTCCTTCTGCAACAAAGTATCAGGCGATCGACACGTTTTACAAATAACGTATTCCTCTGTAAAAAAAGAAAGGGCTGGAGTAGACGAGAATTCAAAATCAATCGGTTCTTACTGATATATGATCGAAGGACACTTTCGATTTGTTTCTGTTGAAAACGTCCTTTGATGATCAATGCATTGTTGGCATCGATGGAACCACTAAAAATTATGAGAATAGATTATACAAGAAATCAACTCGATTGAAATCACTCACTTTGTACCCAATTCAGCAAGTAGGTATTGATGTAAATGTTTCTCTTGTCGTTTAAGTCTATATAAATTCGATTTCATTTAGTTTAGAATATCTCGTAAGAAAAGAAAGTACTCACGATTTGCAGATTTCACCGAAATTGGAGAATGAGGTACGTTTTGTGCCGATACGTGCTACTTGTGGTGGTTTCAAAGTTAATTTGATTTTTTCACCTTCGATGACATTAGGATTCTTTTCACGAATGATATTGAATACCCGAGTTAGTAACTAAATAGATAACGAAAAAGAAGAGACCATTCATATGTTTCTTCAGTGCCATTGTCAAGTTCTATTGCCCTTACATCATCATAGGTGTATTCCCCTTGTACGGATGTCGTATCGATTGCTGTTTCATCACCAGCTGTTCCGGTTGTCGTTTCTTTCTAGAAGAAAGAGAACATCGTTACTATTCATTGGAAAAGTTCGTTTATCTTTACTTGAAGATCGCCTTCGCCAGTTGCGTCCGTTTTCACTGATTTCTTCTTCTTTTTCTTACGAGTAGCAAGAACGTCATCATCATCGTCATCGTCTCCAGCCGCACCACCGGCTGCTGGTTCAGTATTTTGATTTTCTTGATTCTAAAGATCGAAAGCGTTCGAATAACCAAAAGATGAAACATTCTTTTCAAGCCATACTTCCGATGCTTCAGCAGCGAAAGCAACGCTCTTGCTCTTCTTTTCTTTCGTTGCTGTTTGCTGTTCGGTGGGAGTATTCTCATCGCCCTCTTTTTCAGCGCCTGCAGCATCATCTTTTGGCTTCTTCTTCTTCTTCTTTTTGCTCAAATCGAATATCGACTAGAAAAATTTCATACATACATTTTCCTCATTTGATCACCAAAAAACTGCCTACTTACATCGTCTGGTGCATCACCTCCATCAGCCATGTTTAATGTTTATGTCTTCAACAATAAAGTCGTTCGAATTGTGTCAATTTGGTAATATATATGTGAAAAACTAATTTCTGATGTAATCCCAAACTCGTGTTCCTATTGGTCGATAGACAAAAACCATTGATCAAAAGTCGTGACCTCTATAATATCGAAATATCTTCGTCCAAAAACGAATTTTTATTTCATCTTAGAAAAGAATCGATTAATCGCCAAAAAGATACACAAAAAACAATTCTATTCTCAGCTGTGAACATAACTTTTTTTCTGGAAGACAAAGTATTAGCGACGTGTGTAAATCTCGACGAAAAAATTCTTTGAAAAATCAAATAAAATATAAAAATTATTTTCATTTCTAGATTAATAAAGAATCGACATGAGAATAAACGAATAAAAAAAAATTTGTTTATTTTTAATTTGTTGACATCTTGTTTTTTTTCAACGTTCTTTCTCCGATTTGTTTGTTTGCTTCATCTTCTTCTGTATTTCACTCTTCAACACAAAAAAATCAGTTCATCAACAGAAAAAAAAGAACGATATTTCTCCTGGTTTTTCTTTCTTTTTTTCTACACGATACTGTTGTTTTGTACATTTTATTAAGTATTTTTTTTCCAGTCAAGTATATCGAAACATACAGGTACAGACATGACTTATATCTATGCAAGACAACATGAAATTTTCTATGATTTTTGTTCTGTTTAGTTACAAATTCATTTCATGTGATCATCTTTTTGTATTTCTTCCATACACATCGTGTTGATGGTGCTTGCATAAATTATATACTTTAATATAATAATATTTATTAAAAAAAACTCGAAGAATTTTGTTTTTTTCCCGTTTCGAATGGCTGAATTTGGTGATTCATGTTGTGTGCCATCAACAATGGTAGTACAATTAACAAAACCTGATAAAAATAATAATACAACGGCTAATGTTGATGATGGTTAGCGAACGTCTCCTCTCCTCCCCTTCCCGAAAAGAAATGTGTTGTTTTTTTTTATCTCAAATTTGTTTTGTAGGTATCATTCTACCATCTGAACAATGTGATGGTATTGAGGATGGAGTAGATGAGAAATCTGAATGTGTAAGTGATTTTATACTTAAGAAAACAGAAACGAATACTCGTTTATTTCTTAGACTGGTGATAGCGACGATCGTCGTCTTTCCTCCGGTGCTGATGACGATGGAGTGAATCCTACTAATTCTAAAACTAATCATGCAATTGAGATAATAACAGTTGCCTCTTCGACATCATCATCGTCAAATAACGAAAGTGAAGTGACCATAAATCATGATGCAACTACTAATAATACCAATACATCTACGAATAATATTTGTACAACTGATCCATATAAAGATTTTTCCGGTGTCGATACTGAATCTTTCATTGCAACAACATTAAGAAATAATCCCAAAGATCGAACATTACTTTTGCAACTCGAAACAGTTCTTCAACAATTCATTCAAAATGACGAACAAACATCGCATCAATTTCAAGCAATGAATTCATGTAGACATCATTCATCTTTTGTCTCACAGAAAATAATCACCTTTCTAACCCATAGATGAACGCATGATTGTTCACCGCGTAGCAGCATTCTTTGGCCTCGATCATAATGTTGATAAAAATGGACAAGCTGTTGTTGTGACAAAAACATCGAACACTCGAATGTATGATACAAAAGTTCATTACATAAAGCATATACATATTTGCCTTTTTGTCTACCATCTAGCCCTAATTTTTCATTTCAAAAATGCATTCCAGAGGATGAAGCGATCGATGCAACAAATGGTGCTTCAGCAACAGAGAATTCTACATCGGCAACAAATGCAGCAGAGATTCCTGCGCGTCGCATTTTACGTCGACACGAAAAGCATCCCAATCATGAACATTCGCAGCGTAATGATCTGAATGATGATTATACGAATTCACAGATAACAACATCGACGACGACAAATAAAACTCAACCATTATCAAAGCCATATTTAGAACGCGTTAACAATTATGCTGAGACGCGCGCCAGAATTTTCAATGATTCCAATGAACAATCGAACGCATTAATAACAAATAAAAATGCTAAAATAAATCAAAAGCAACATTCGAATTATGCACGACCTTCGTACCGTAAACAGCAACATCAGAATAGTTCTCATCAACATCGTTCCTATTCGTATCAACATTCACAACAAGCAACTAATAATCACATACAACAGTATCCAACGGGAAAAACTATGGATCCATCTAGTCATGTGCTCAATGCCTCAGCAAATAGAAGTAAGTACCCAAACACTTTTGAATGTAAAGCTATTCACTTCCTACATTGCCACTGGTTTTAGCTCCATCTATTTATTCAACACAACAACCGCCGTCAATAAATTTAGGTATGCCCCAGCCATCCATGTATGCTACAATGATAGCATCGAATCCCAATGCAGCAACATTACGTCCACCAACTGGCACTTCGTTTTATACTCAATCACAGCAGCCACCTGTTGACTATGATTATAAACATCAGACAGGTGGAGCCCATATGTATAGTTATGTACCTATGATACCTCCGACAGCATCTAATTTTATTCCTCAACAGCAACCACCTCCGCCTGGAGCAGGCGGCGTAGCATCAAATGGTCCGAATCAAGTGCCATCACAGCATGCCCCTGGTATACGAGTACCGATCATCTTTCATCAACAACACGGTGGACAAATACAATATTTGTTTCCTGCGCATGCTTTGCAACAGCAACAACAGCAACAACCTCCACCAGCAAATTCTTACCCATTAACACCTGATGGACAATATGTTCAGGTAAATATCAGACACGGCAACTCTCATCATATAAGACAAACAGAGAGATATTATTTCTTTCAAATAGATTTATCGACCAGATACATTATCTATGCCATCGGGCCCCCAAACAGTGCCACCGCCATCAGTTGTTGACAGTAATAATTCCCATCATCATCAATTTTCTCAAAATCAACCTTATCATCATCTTCCTCCTCATCATCAAATCTCTCAACAACAACAACAACAACAATCGCAACAGCAGCCGCCGCCACCACCGCCGCAACAAGTTCCATCATCTCAGTCTAATCCTGCACCGCAACCTCCACCTCCACCTTTTGTACGACTTTTCCCTCCAGGACAACCAGGTAATATGTCACATTCATTTGCTCAAACAACTTATCCACCACCTCCACAAACAGCATTTGTTCCGCCAGGTTAGTTTGCGATTGGATCATGTTTCAGAATGCTTGAAAAAAATCTTTCATTCGTTTAGGAAACATATCAGCAACACCGTTTATGATTCCTCCACCGCAATCGCAAACTGCAGGTGGTTTACAATCTTATCCATCATTTGATAATAATATCCCATATAATGCATATGCTCCAACGACTACAACGGCAGGAAAGACTAATGCTGCTAATAACGGAACAGCAGTACAATATGCGACAAGTCATCTATCAACGCTAAACTTACAAGGTCATCACGATGATTATCAACCACGTTTTATCAATAATCAACAAACGCGTTTTCCTCATTCAAATGGTTCAACATTAAATAATCAACAAAGAAATTTTATAGGTCGACCTCTAGTTCAGTCACCAAACAGTACAACAGTTACACCACGCATGGCTGTTTATTCAACATCAAATCAACAATATCGTCCAAGCCGTCCATATAACAATTCAACAACTGATAAACAATTAACATCAATCGAGAATGATCCGAAAACTTTAGTATCCACACAGCAACAAACGAATTCCGATAATATTTCGCTGGCCGGTCCAGCACAGGGTAAGAAACGAGCTTTCTTCCTTACTTTCGATCATCATTAGTATGATTATTCATTTAGAGTGATCAAAATAATGGCTCTTTCTTCAATGCACATTTACACACATACGTACACACACGAAATATAAACGAGTCGATAAAGTCTTTCTTCTCACCAAAATCAACAGCGGACGACCCGGCCACAATTCACTAGTCAATGATATCTCGCTCTCTTTTCTTCTGCATATCTCAGGGTCCGAAAGCTGTGTGTGATGTGTGTGTTTCCTAATGTGCCTTTTGTGTGCGATAACTCTGTGAGAATAGTCTCGGATCTCGATTGCGTATATATGTGTGTATGTGTAGATTGTTGACTGATGGGCAATGGCATAGACCGATTACTTATATCTTCCTCTACACTCTTTCTTTCGCTTTTTTCTATCTCTTTCATTTCTTCATCGCTCTTTCTCTCTTTTCTACTCTATTTTCTTTCTCTTTTTTTTTGTTGTTCTACAACGACGATCACACATTCGAACGGCAGAAAAAAAAGAAAAAAAAAGACATCACAAAAAAACCAAAAAGTCAAACATCAATCTTCTTGTAAACTAAGTGTAATTTGTTTGTCTACTTTTTACATATATACGAAAGGTTCGAAAGAAAAAGCAATGATGCTAGAAACACAAAAAGCAAACAACTGAACATATCTTGTCTCATGTCAAGCATTTGAAAACGTAGTATTGTTTACCGAACGAATAATTCTAATGGATCATTAGGTTTTGGGTAATATGAGCAGATAGAAAACAAAAGATGATTTGATTAAGAGGGCAAATGCTAGGGCGATGATTTGGCTTTTCTCTTCAGTCGACATATCATCTATTCCAGCTGTCTGTACGAGAGAAAAGATCGGCACAACTTTGTTTTTCTCTCTAGCAAAGGAAAATATGTACTTCTACACATCGGGTTCTTGTCGTCTTATTTTCTTGTTTTTCATCTGACAACATTCTGTAATAATCAACGACGAACGATGCCGTTTTCTCAACGTTATCTCGCTCGAAAGGTTTTACATGCATATCTTGTGAGAATTTATTTTGAATTTAAATTTCTCCTCACTAGGTTAACAACAGTGTTCGAGCAATAAATATGAGCGGAGAAATGTCACTGGTTTTGCCACATCTCTATTTGGGTTCACTGAAAGATCGAACGAACACATCATTAATGATGAAAAATGAAATAAAACGTGTTCTATGTGTCATTGATCTTCCAGACATCATCATTGATAAAGGTGAATATAAACCAACACATGTAATGAATATACAAGCAGCTGATGCCGAAGAACAAGATCTTGCACAATATTTCGAGAAATGTATTGAATTTATCCATCAGGCCAGAACCGACCACGAAAACATCCTTGTACATTGGTAATAAAGATGAGAAGGAATGGAAGAATTGGAAAAAGCCAGCATTGTTTGTATTTGTAGTCAAGCAGGTATATCGAGAAGTGCGACCATAGTCTTAGCCTATTTGATGACAATTGGCGATTACGATGTGGAAAAAGCTCTTCAGATTGTCAAAGGTGCACGCGGTTTCATTCATCCAAATCCGGGTTTTCTATCACAATTAAAACGATATCACAGCAATGACGTTAAAAAGGTAAGCGACAGATGTGTTATATTTGTAATCATCTACTCGTGACTCGTTCAATTAGAATTGGTACCGTTTAACACGACGTTATCAAACTTATTCGTTTGATGACAATGATCAACATTTTGTTAAAGGTTCCTTAGATGTATATTGGCAACAATTTGAACCAGCTTTTATTGCTGAGCCGGTATTTTGGCCAACGTAAACCTTTTTTTTCAAGTTCTGTTGAGGGGATCATTATTTTTCTTTCTCTTAGACGCAAAGAAGATTCAAAGGAAATTTCGGGAGTTCCTTGCGAACGGAAAATGATCTGCTCATGTGTGAAGAAAACGAATGGAGCGATATAGAAAACATTGATTTAATCGAACAAAATGCACTATCGAGTATTTTGTTTTCTTTCATGCTTCTTTTTTTTTCTTCTTCTTGATTTTTATACATAAATGTACATTAACTGTTATCCTTTCATAGTCGATGAAGAGAAAAATGAGCACGAACGAAATTAATCAGTGATGGTGAAGAAGACATCCAGTATATCTTCATCAATAAGTCGTTTCGATTTGTCGTATGTTTGATAAAATAAAACAAAATGACGACTCAACTCTTAAAAGACAATGTTTTCGTTGTTGTCTTCCTGCTCTCTCTCTCTCGCTTTCTGTCTGTTTCGTTTTTTTTCGCGTTTATGTCAATATAAGATACCTTTATGATACCAAATTGTCATCAGTAGAGTCGTTCGTTTTGTCGTTTGAAAAAAAAGAAAAAGAAACAAAGAAATAGACGTCGGATAGAAAAAAGACTTCAAGTTCGAATATCAACTACGAGGCACATTTATCATGCATTTATTACATCAACAACAAAACTTGTTCTTCTTCTTCGGGTTGCTTTTCGTTTTTATTGTAATAACTGCGTCAGCCCCAACACAAGGAAATCTTCAAAATATTCGATGTAATCTTCTACATCAAAATTGTACATTTGCGCCACATAATATATCATCTGATTCGTTAACAGCTTCAACAACATATTTTCAAAATAATTCATCAAGGACAACGCCTCGCACACGTACATCTTCGCGACCATTTTTATCAACAACTCGTCAACGTTACACTACAAAATCTGACTCACTGTCAGATTTTGATGCATTTAGTGATAATTTAAAACGTGCGGCGTTAATCTTAGCTGGTATTGCACTCGGCCTTGGCGTTCTTCGCGTATGTTTGATGTTGTGCAAATCTCGTTCTCCCAATCATACGTTTTCGAGTCGACATTCAGCTACCGTTCGACCTGATATTGCCACAATTGAGCATCATCAATGTAAACCAGACTTACCACCAGAATATGCCGAAGCTATAGCAAATAGCGAACGTAGCAACGGTGGTAAATTGCCATCATATGATGAATTGCCACATGAGCAAATACAAGAACAATATGTATATAATAATGGTGGATTTGTTTCAACCCAAATGTAAAGTTATCTTTCTACTACTATTTTGCTTCGCTCAAAATTTTTTTTGTTAAATGTGATTTTGCACAAACATAAATAATGAGAATACTATCCATTATTGAAAATGAAAATTAATTAATACCATTATATATTTTGTCTTTGTTTTACATGTCATTCAGCTCTAGTCTAAATCTAGAAGGTACTTATGGATTCAATGCGTCGAGTAAAGTTGTTATATCTATGACTCATTTATTTGTTGACAGTAATATCTTGAATGAGATGCATAGATTGTACATTGATATTTAGATGGATTCGCCAGCTGTTTCTTCGACTTTCAATCGAGTAGCAAGTGGATCGTGGTCTACATGTGAATAGTAGACAGAATTTCTATGAGACAAATCGTATTGGTTAGTCGAGGGTGAGGGTGTGGGTGTGGGTATTTTCTTTTAACCACATTCACATCTTCGCCATACTTTTTTCTGATGAACATCTAACTGCAATACGCAGAGAATATCTATTTCTAAACATTCTGACTTGGACTCGATGAATTGACATTCGAACTCGCACCTTACGGATCTCTAAACAAAAGAATCGCAAAATAGTATCAATGTATGAATAATATTCTTTTGTGTAAAAGTAAAATATGTTGAGTGTGTTCTATTGCTCCCTTACGTTTTGGTCGATCTATACAAACTGTTCGACGGAATATAAATACATTTTATAAAAAGACTTTATTGACTCCCAATATAGCTCTTCTACCAATAATTCTACTTGTGATATTCATTACTCTGCTAACTTATTACATATCATTGCTCCAAAAACGTTATCAATACTTTAGCCAACGGAATATACCTACACTACCGTTGCCATTTTTTTTCGGGCATTTAAACACAATATGGAATGTTTCATCATATCATCGTCAACTTACAAATTGGACAGAACAATATGGAAAAATTTATGGGTTATATGAAGGAAATAATCCTCTGTTCATAGTTAGTGAACCAGATTTTCTGCAAGAAGGTTTTATCAAACAATTTACCATTTTTCATGCACAAAAGAAAACTGTATTAGATAATATGAGTCATGATAGTGTTTTTAGCTCAGGTACAAAATGAAAACGGCAACGTTATGTTATGAACCCAACATTTTCTGGAGCAAAGTTAAAAACAATGAGTTCTCTAATAAATGGATGTATTACTGACTTGATGAGTAAATTAACTACGCATGTAAAAAGTAATGAAGAATTCAACATTTATTCGTATTACAAGCGAATGACAATGGATGTAATTTGTGAGTATATTTCGTCATCTTAATTGTTTTTTTTTCTATTCGAAAATCCCTTTCTGTTTTGGGCTAAGTCGTTGTGCAGTTGGTATTAATACTGATTTACAAAATAATCCTGAAAATATCTATTTTGAGAAAATTCGAGAATTATTTGATAGTCAGTCTTGGTAAAAATTGGTTATACACATCTGCTCAACTTCTACCTCAAATTCTCAATATCCTTGCTAATCTCTTTGACCTCAACAATAGTGTACGTCTATTTCTTAATACTCGAATTTTACCATTGATATCATTAAAATTACAAGTGAGAGAATTACCAATGCCATGGCTCACCAATCGGTTACATACTATTGTTGAACATCGTCAACAAATAACTACTTCTCGATTTGACCTTCTTCAACTTATGTTTCAGGTAATGAGCAAAGAACCGGTCAAAGTAAGCTAATTCTTGATCACAAATTGAAAAACTTCGAAGTCGACCATTATATTATAGGACATAGCAAATGACAGTAAAGCAAACTATCGGTTAACTGAAAAGGAAGTTACTGGTAATATCTTTGCTTTTATGGCAGTAGGATATGAAACAACAGCGACTGCTTTAGCATGTGCCACATACGTATTTGCTACACATCCTGACATTCTCGAAAAAATTCAAGTAGAAATTAGTCAACTGCTATTGAGTACTGATGACAGTGATGATGAAATGAAGAAATATCCAGATTATGATGTTGTGGCACAAATGCATTATATGGACATGTTCATTTCTGAAGTGTTAAGGATGTATCATATCGTTCCTAGAATCATTCAAAAACGTGCTACAGAAGATACAATTGTACAAGGAATTAAGATCGACAAAGGTGATTTTATGTTTATTATGTTAAAGGAAACTGCTGTGTTGCCTTTTGTTTAAGATTCTATAATTCAGACTGATGTTTATTCAATTCATTACGATCTTGAATTTTGGAGCCCGGATGATCCATATGTATTTGTACTAGAACGGCACGAGAAAAAACACCATCCAATGGCTTATTTATCATTTGGAGCAGGTCCACAGCATTCTGTTGATATGCGTTTTGCATGAACTGAAATCAAAATTTTATGAATAAGAATTCTTCGTAGTTATATTATTCTAACTGGTGAACATCTCGAAAGCAAATTTCAGATTAGTGATCAATCAGTTATTGCACCACACGAAGTTTGGATAAAATTAATGAAGCGAAATACGTAATTTTTTTTGTAAATCTGCTTGAAATAAAAATTATATACGGTTGCGTATTCAATGAATCAGATTATAAACTATATCTATAGGACTTATCGATTCCAAACCACAAGTGCCTGTCATTCAATTACTTACTTGCCCTTGTTGTGAAGCTATTACTTTAATTGTAGATCTTGGCCGAGCATATTGAATATTCTATGAAAGAAATCTTTAATAGGACGAGGGTATTTGTGGATATCGACAGATAAAAGATACTCATCCATACCCTCTGGCTTTTGAGTTAATTTTATCTTTTAATTCGATGACTGAAAGTTGGTTGATAGTTAGTGCGTGCGCATACTCCGTTGGCTCAGACGAAATAGCATCCATAGCTAAATTTGTTTCACATCAACCTAATCAAAAGGGAAATTTAATGTAAGGTTCTTTTTTGACTTCACCTTTTGTATTCACGAGTTTTACATCGAAAAAGAACAGTCGATGGAAGCATATCGTTAGACAAACCGTGACTTTCGGACATTAAAACAAGAGCATGTGTAATAAGTATTAAACCTAATACTGACATTGTTCATTCAAATATACTAATCACAATTTTCATGCTTGGCAAATTGTAATCGGACCCGTTCGGCATAGTGTTTACCGTATCTTTGACGCAGCTCTAGAGATATTTGAGTCTCATGAGAAGACTTGTTTTGCAATATTTCCAGTTTGCTTTGAAGGAATTCCTTCTGACTTTGTCGAACTGTAACATTCTCTATCAATTTCTTTCGTGGTAGTTATTGAATAATTTTATTTCTTGAATTAGGATTCGCATTACTATGAACAACAAATGATTCGATTACTTTTTCTAAATCCAAACACTGGGCCTTATAGCGCATACCAATTTCACCGGTGAAAACAGCAGCAGCAGCATCTGCGAAAAAATAATTCGAACAAGAAGAGAAATGTTCATTCATATCTCGATAATAAATAAAATTGAAGTTAAAGCACCTCCTCTGAGTCCTCCTTTTTGAAAGACATTTTTAGTTTCATTCTATAACATGGCATGGTATTATGACAGCAAAATACGTGTTTAGATGGTATATCTATATATGCGTAGTGAAATTTAAAAAACACAAGGCACAGATCAATGAAAAAAAGCGTTGTTTTCGCTAGCGAATCTTGATTTTTAGGATATCACCAACTCAAACAAGAAGAAAATCGTATTTTCAAATACGATGAAACTTGTAGACAAGCGAAAATTCATCTATATTCATGTTTCGAAAGCAACTAAAACAAGAGATCACATGTTTATTTTGCGTACAGGTATATGGAACATACGAAACATGTTCCACAAACAAATCCGACACTTCCAATTTCGAGACACTGAATTTACCGTTTTCTTTGTTTGCACTTATATAACTATATAATGGAACAATCTTTATCTCACCACAGATGTCGTTAGTATACAATTACCGATTCCCAAATGTCACACGATATTTTGATAAATTTTACAAAGCTATACATTTCTATGCTGATAACCTCTACAAAAATGTCACCGTAAAAAATGAATCGATCATTCAAGTTTCAGCGCTAATACAATCGTTTTCATTTGCTTACATCATCGGATGACCTGACCAATCCTATATCAATAGGGTCATATTATTCCATCAGCGTCTTTCTACAGCAAAAAAAACAGAAATTCATTGATCGATATGTAAAATCAATTACTTGATATGGCTTCATCTCCTGGTTTAAATTTTCTCATTGCCAAATATCTTCGCGAACTACCCAATCCAACTCTTGCCAATGTGAGGAAATCTACTAGAAAAACAAGTTTCTTTCTTATTGAAATATTTTAGGAATTCATACAAACGCTCGAGAAAAATAACGTAAGTTTAACCAAACTGACTTTAGAATAATCATGAAGTTAATGTTTATTAAGCTGTTGCCGTCGACACGCAACTGGAATGGTGTACAACGTCAAATATCCTTTCAAGAACTAGTAAGTTGACGTATATGTACATGCTCTTTCATCAACTTGCAATCATGCTTTTAGGAACAACAGTACAATCATGTTCCTGATAATCATCTACCGCAATTATTAGAAAATGTTATGTCTTATGTGGAACAAGGTATTGGAAAACGTTTTGGTTCACTATCAACGTTTCTTCTACAATTGGATCCGACGTGTTTTCTTGAAAACAAACAGAAAACCTCATCAAGTATGCCTATTCAACACGAACAATCCAAATCTGATAGAAAATCTCCGCATAAATTTTAGGTCGGCAATATAATGTGTTTAGAACAGCATATCATCCATGTAAATATCTATCCAATCCAACCAATCGTAATATGCGTAAGAAGAAAGATTATTTGTATCTGTTGGAATCTACATTTGGTTTCTTCTCATATGTATAGAATTGATTTTACGTGAACGAGAATATTTCGGAAGAACTGTCTCAGTTCAAAAGTTGCCATCAAGTGATTTATATCAACGAATGAACATGAGATTAAAAGTCGTTGCACATAAAGCATCCGTCTACTGTATTGCTTTCGACCGTACTGGAACATATGCGTTATCAGTAAGATTGGTTCAATAGATTAACAGAATCATAGTTTGATATATTCAGGGTGCTGATGATTTTCTTTTAAAAATGTGGCATGTTCACACAGGTCGTTTAATGGCAACATTTCGTGGTCATTCAAAAGAAATCTGTGATATTGATGTTAATTTCGAGAACACACTTGTGGCCAGTGCAAGTTTAGATAAGAAAGTGCGCATTTGGAATTTAAATACAACTAAAATGGAATGTGTGTTACATGGACATCAGAGTGGAATTAATGCTACAAAGGTAGATTCTGCTGACTGCTTTCATTTGAATATTCACCGAGAAAAATGTATGTTTTAGTTTTCACCATTTTGTAAAACCGATGACCGATGGTTAGCATCAGTGGGAAGCGAAGGAAGTATTTGCTTCTGGAAATATCATGTTGGTGAAACAGAATTTGAGTAAGATATTTACAAACGCCTCGAGATGTTCATGACAACTGAATTTATGTGAATATCTAGATCTCGTCCAATTAAATTTGTGGAGAAAAGTCGTGCCGGTGCACAAATGCTTTGTTTATCATTTAGTCCAGGTTTGTCCCGTCTACCTGAATCAGAACATTTTCAGAAAAGATCATTATGGATTTCAGGTGGTTATTTCGTCGCCGCCGGTAGCAGTGATTCTGTTATTCGCGTTTATTCCTTTCATACCTACTCACCGTTGAAAATCTGCGAACTGGACCGACATACAGTACGTGGAGATTTACCTGATTGATCTCGAAACTTGAGCTTTATTTTCAGAACGTTGTAGAAACAATTTGTTATTCGCACTTAAGTAATTCCTTCATTTCTGGCAGCAAAGATGGAACGGCGCGTATTTGGCGCTATGAACAACAGTCATGGCGAGCTATCGTGCTCAACTATAACAATGATGCAGATAAAACGTAAGTTGATTTTATCGATAAATATGTGAAATCACTTGAATCGTTTTCGAATTTAGTAATCATGATTCTAGCAATCACGTTAGTACTGTAAACAACAAATTAATACCTGTAACGATTGTTTCCTGGTCGTGTACTGATCAACGTGTTGCTACTGCGTATGAAAACGGATTGATTAAAATTTGGGAACCTAATAATGGAACATTAGTCAACGAACTTAAAGTAAATATCATTGACTACAATACACTCAATTCAGTCAACATTCTATTTGTAGAAACATGAAAAAACTGTTTTTGTCCTTGAATGTCATCCAACCAATGAACGTATTTTATGCTCTGCAGGACACGATGGGCTGTTAATAATTTGGGATATGGTTGATGGTCGAGCAATAAAATACTTTCTCAATGATGTACGTTATTTTATTGCTTTCTTTAACATTTAAATATATATTATTCTTTGTCCACAGCAATACATTGATATACCTAATTCAATACCATACTCAGAAGCAAAATGGTCTCCTAATTGTGATGTTATTTGTACAACCGATCTGTGCGGTCAAATATGTTTCTTTGGTTTGGGTACTGATACACGATATAATAAAACACAAATCGAACAATACTTTCACAATGATTTACGTCCGCTTCTTCGTGATAGTAATGATAATGTTCTTGATGAACAACAGCAAGTTCCACCACATCTTTTGCCGCCACCATTTCTTATCGATGATCATGGTCACGCTTATTCGCCTGATATACAAAGATTTGTACCAGGAAGAGAAAATTATTCGCAAAATGATAACACAGCTACAGTTGTGAATCATGAGTATTTAGAAGGTAAAATAATATTGTTAGTGTTGAATATGTTACATATGAAAGTCCTTGTTTAGATCTGATCATCGCCGAACCGCTTACGACGCCTGCCATGACTAGTGCATATATGACGCGTAAATTTGGTAGGAAAGATGTCTGTAAATCAAATGATATACTATTAGAATATGTTTAGAAACTATCGATCTATCCACGTTTCGTTTGAATATTGATAAAAAACAAACATTTGTTTATCATCGAAATTTCATTCCACCTATGAGTAGAGCTGAATTAGAGTAAGAATAAACTTTAATACTCCGAACTTTTATATCTGTTAACATTTATATCTAGACGCAGTGGAGCTGTTCGTGAGGCAAGATATGACGAAGAACGAGCTGCATATGAACGCGAATATTTGAAAAAAGCTGATCACGGAGATTCGGTATGACTCGAACATTGTTGAACCAATATCTCAATGAAACGAATATTTCTATTTAATAGTATGAATCATCACCAGTTAAAAAACGTACAACACGCAATGTGATCAAAATGCGTCAAGAAGAACTTCTCAAACGCGTACCACACAATGTTGAAGTAGCCATCAATCGTCTGACGACTCGAGCATTATACGATTCTGATAAAGAAGACAAAACGGATCTCTCCGATGACCAATACTCACCAAATGCAACTGTGCCTTTTGGTGATAGGTAAAGATACATGAAATATTTTCGAATAGAAATACATACTTTATTTTCTAGTGGGATGAGTGGTGGCGATGATGATAGTGTTTCAACAGATGAAGAATTAGTCGTTAGTACATCACGAATAACAGGTATAATGACCCGTACAGGGCAACAGAGACGCGTACAACGACATCGAAATTTATCTCCGGATGAAGATGACGACGACGACGATGACGACGATGAGGATAGACATGAACATGAAAAACGTCGGGTACAAGAAGCGAAAACACAACATCGTCGAAGAAACAAGTGGAAACGCTTGAAAAAACGTCGTGAACAAGTGAAAACGAAGAAAGAAGAATTCGAAAATAAAGACGATCTCGAATTGAATTATTCACCTGACTTTAAACCACCCGATTGGTTGACGCGCACAACAGCTCAATGTTCGCCGTATATTCCACAAATCGGTGATACTGTTATGTATTTTGTACAAGGACATGAATTGTACATAAATGAAGTTAAAGATAAGAAAATGTACGAGATCGACGAAAAAACCTTACCGTGGAATAAATCGGAATCTCTTGACGTAAATATTTCAAAACAGCAGCCGTTAGGTAATAATATCTTTCTTGTTTTTCTTACAGGCTGTCGAGTGTGCGACGGTTATCGGTGTATCCATTAGTTTTTCTGATAAACAACCACCACGTGTGATCAATGTTCGATTGCAATTATTAGATCCAAATACTCTCGAAGCTACATCGCAAAGACTAAGTGTGAAGTAAGTTGACAATCAACCCTTTCACGTCGTTTATTAAGCGCATAACTCCTGCCAATCCTTTTTAGATTTCATGATGTTGATGGCATTGCAGATTTTATTATTTTAAAGCAACATTATGACCATGCATTACAACGAGATTGGGAAGCAGGTAGGTTCTTCCCAGTACGACGAACACGTAAAAAATTTTTATTCACAGGTGATCGTTTTCGATGTTTCATCGATGATACTTGGTGGCCAGGAACGATTGTCAAACGCGAACCCTTTGATCAAATTCGTGAAAATAGTCCTTTTCAATGCTATATTATTCGATGGGATAATGGTGAAAATGAGGAAAGACTCAGCCCGTGGGATATTTTCGAATTCGACGATACTTGTATGCATAAAACTAATGGCACAGCCCATCTCGTTCATTTCGACCTGCTTTCTATTTAGCTTCTGAATCGCCTATAACGAAAATGCCCGCCTATCAACCGACAGCTGACGATTGGCCAGTTCATGATGTCGATGGTGAACGTGAACGTTTGTTGAGCGGAATCGATACATTGATGCAAATGGATGTATCTGAACAATTTCGAGCGCCAGGTAAATGTTTTGCCAGAGAAAAAAAACAGGTCTCTATAATGTAAGAAACTATTTGTAGTTCAACTCGCATGGTATCCTGTGGTCATTGCGTATCCCATCGATCTTGGCACAATACGAGAACGCATTTCGAATGGTTATTATCGTCGATCGAATGCTTTAAAATGGGATGTGAAAAAGATGGAAGAAAATGCGAAGAATTTCAATGAAAAAGGAAGTCAGATTATTGAAAAAGTTAAAATTGTCACAAAGATATTGCTGAAATATATCGAGTAATGATTCCATGTGTTCTTCTACTCATTGAAAATATATCTATCTATTTTAGTGACTACAACTGTACCGATATCAGTGTTATCTATCACAGATCATTACATTCAGAACAAACTCCATTACCTCTATCCACATCATGCGTATGTACCTTGTTTGGCTTTGTAGAAAGTAACGGTGAGCGAAACGTTTGTAAATTTAGAATGAAGACTGGTTAGATGATTGTCAAATGATTCTCAACGATATTCTGTCACAGCCTGGAAGTGATCTGTTACGTTATCCCATCGATGAAAATGAATATCCAGTACGTATACATCAGTTTACAATTTGTGTTTTGTTGAGCTAGTTTTTTTAATTGTCTAGGATTATGAACGAATCATAAAAACACCGATTTGTTTTGACGATGTACAAGCTAAACTAAGTCAAACACCATGTGGGTATCGACATTCAAGAGAGTTTATTGCCGATTGCCATTTGATATTTCAAAATGCATTAACATATGCAGATCCGGAGGTAAGTTGAAGTGAATCAAACCGTCAGATTATGATCAAATTTGAAACTCGTTTTATTTCTAGATGATCAATGTCGTTCGACATCTGGGACCATGGTTCGATCGTCGTGTAGCTATATTTGATCGTCGACAACGTCGATCAAACAGTCAATATACTTCCGAAATGACTACTCGACAAAGGCAACTTCCTTCTATCTAATGAAATCTTTGCTAATGTTCGAATTTTGTAGGGAATTACGAAATTCATCGACGGATGAGAACAATCTTGATAATACTGGCGAAACATTGGCAGCTATCACCACAGCTGAAAGTTCCAGTAGTCGACAGAATCGACGAACGCAATGTAATTTCTTTTCATATCTCGATTTTATTCACTGCAAATTTCTTCATTTCTTTAGTTCCACCAGCAGGCCTCACAACAGATCGTCGTCATTCTCATTTCAATCGGCTATCGTCTGCAAATAACCATTCAACAACAGCAACAACAGCAGCACAAGAGCAAAACTCCGATGATGACGATGACAACGAGTCCGTATCCACACAGAGTACTCAACCAATGTCCTTAACTTCATTCGTTCACACGACAACGAGCCATGATATAAATTTATCCTTACGACAAACACGGCAACGCATGAATACTAATGAAAACAATACGAATAATTCATGGCAATCACGTACACGATACAGTACGAGATCGAGCGCTTCAAATCGCAATCTCAACGAAGATTCTGATGATCGTCATCAACAGCCGACAACTTCATCACGAATGTTATCCGCGTCCGATGAAGACGACGATGATAATGATATTTCATCGAATAGTAAAAGAAACCGTATCGAACGTGGTGATAGAAGAATATCGTCCGTTAATCGACCAAACTATAAAATTGATAGTGACGAACATGAAGACGATGACGACAATCAGCAGAAAGCGAATACAACGAATAACACGATAGAAGACATGGAACAAGCAGAAAAAGATCATGATAAGAGCAAAGGTATGTCGATGGATATTCTGTTTAATAAAAGCTCTATATTTTCTGCAGATAAAAACGATGATGAAGATTATGAGCCACCAACAGCGCTGGCAGATGAAGAAGAGGAGGACGAGGAAGAAGATGATGATCAAAATGGTGTAGGATCTCCTCAACAGAAGGATGACGATTCCGATTCGGACTTTCAATTGGATGAACCAAGTCAGCACCGTCGTGCAAATACAAACGGTAATCGTGTGAGGAAATTGCGAAGTACAACCAATCGACCATCGCCTCCCTTGCCCAACCAAAATAATAAACGCAAGCGTTCTGCTGTTCGTACACGCTCATCAACAGACACAGATTCGACCGATTCCAATGTCAATCAAGGTTATAAAACGCGAACTCGTTCACGGCGGCGCGCAACAACGAGTAAGAAATCTACGCATGCAGAAGATTTTTCGGATGAAGATGAAGATGAAGAAGATGAAAATCGCCGACGGCCACGAACAACTCAACCGACTCGTGTATCTAAACGTGGCCGAGTTCTAAAACAGCGTTTACTAAGCGAATAATTAATGAAAAGACTCATCATTCAAAATTATTTGTTCAGATCTAGTCTTCTGCAGCTTTTCTTTTGTGATGATTGTTGTTTCAAAGTGAAACACGTAATAGAAGAAACAAAATAGACAACAGTGACTAATATTCAATATGTACTATCATTTTGATAGATTTGCTTCTTTTGTTTGTTGTACAAATACACTATATAATGTTCTTATTTTGTTGTTGTTGTTTGTATGATTGACAATCTGTTCAGTTTTCTCTCTTTTTTGTTCTTTCATTTGGGCAAATAAAAAATTTATACATTGTGTGCTTATTTAACTCAAATTTTATTCATTTAATTAAAAAGTAAAAGACGAAAGAAAGAGAAATACTGTAATCAATCATCATCTAATGTAAATGTAAACATTTGAACACCATCATATGAAGTAAAATTGGTTTTTCTCTTCTCATTCGATGTTGCCATTCCTTCATTAGTCATCGGCACTAGATAATCGCCATCGTCACTTGATTTCGACGAGCCTAATTCAGAAATAGGAAGATATAACTCGAATAGAATGAAATGTCACAAAACATACGATTGGATTGTGCGGGTGGTACAATAGCAAGTGATTGACGCGATTTTTTCTTAGAAATAGTTCCTGTGTTTACAGGAGCTATTTTACTAATTCCATCACCAGTAGTGAAATCAATTTTTTGACCAGTTCCTTTGGAAACAAATGCATACTTTTCAGGTTTCGGCGACTCAGGTTTTTGTATGAATGTTTCTGAAGAAGGTTGCGGTGGAGATACTTCTTTGGCAGTATAGACAGGGACTGACTTTTGGGGAGAATCAGGCTTCTGAACGAATATATTTGTTGAACGTTGTGCTTTGAGAATCTCTTTGGCAACCAATGCCATTTGTTGTTTCGGGGATGGATTGGGTTGAGCAACATTATTTATTGGGGTTGATGTACAAACCGGAACTGTATTTGATGGACGAATTGGCGATGGACTTTGTCGGGAACAATTGACATAGATTCGAGTGATATGAGCGCCAGTAGGGTCACACATAGTGATAACGAATGTAATAGAAGATGATGGAAAGTATCTGACAATGAATATGTTCTAGTTCGATGACTACATATATATATATGTGTGTGTGCCTGTCTACATCCTCGCACGAAGAAAATGAATATCCAGGGATGAAGAGAGAACGATCAAATTTGTTTTCATATGTCACTCTCTAGTTAGTTTTCTTCGTTTCGTTATTTTTCAAAGTAAATATTTCTTTTTATGCTCGTTCTGTCGCACTCTATGATTCATCTTCTGCGATTTTATATCTCCGACCTATTCTTTTTTGCAAAAGAGAAGTGAAATTTGTTGAATTTGTCGATTGGTAGTCGCCGATTACCCTGAATAAAGTACAATGTTTACAACAATTACTCGTACAATATTTCCGATGATTTTCGGTCGTCGTCACCCGGAAAAGTTGAGTGATGGAACAACAACACCCTTACAACTTATTCGTTTACAAATTGAACAAAAAGTCAATGCAAATTTTCCACTCATTCATCAGGTAGCAACAACAATGACATTCAAAAATACACACAATATCGTTTTGGAAGGTGCATTTGAATTTACCTTACCAGAAAACGCAACAATATGTGGTTATGGTAAACTATTCTAGTTTTACTTATTTGTGTTTTGTTATTTTCAAATTTGTTCAGGTCTCGACGTAGATGGTGTTATTGTAGATGGAGTCATTGTTGAGAAACAAGCCTCACGGATTATTTTCGAGAAAGAAGTTCGAAAACGAATCGATCCTGGCTTTGTGGAGCTAGTGACAGGAAATGTATTTCGTACTCGAGTGTATCCAATTAATCCCCAACAGACTCGAACAGTTCGTGTTATCTATCAAGATCAAGGTCTTCCGAATATGAACGATTTCCATTATCACATACCTCTACAGTTTCAAACCACTTTGGAAAGTCTTGATGTTGTTCTGACATGTTTCGAACAAGGATCAGTAGAACCATATGTTCTTACCAATCCGAATCATATGATGTCAAACTCTTCTAAATTCAGTCATCAAGGCAATGGAAAACATGTTGCCGAATGGCATCTAACCAATGTTCAACCATCTGGTAATGGCGAACAAACATTGGTATATGTTTTGCCTAATTCTCTAAAACCAGTTATCAGTGCAATAGAAAAAAATGTAAACCTCGGTGCCTATTTTGCTGTTAGTTGTACACTACCAAAGCCGACTGAGCGACGTAAAGACCAACTCGATATTCCGACCAAAACGATTTGTCTTCTTTGGGATGCAAGTTTAAGTCGTTCGAATTCGAAAGAAAGTCGACTCTTGGAGTTGTACGCATTGAAGAAGATCTTCGATGTTTGGTTAACTCGCTTTCCCCGAATTGAGATCATTTGGATCATTTTTCGAAACGATATGAAACAACCGGAATTGTATCAACTTCAATTTCATAATTGGAATCATTTTATGCAAACTTTTGAAAACTTATCATACGATGGTGCCACGAATCTCTCGCAAATTTCAACAGTTAACCTCACTCAGACAGTAGACTACTACTTTTTATTTAGTGATTGCATCTCTACCATCGGGGATGAATCTTCATCTGAACATCTATGGGCGAATTTGAAAGCACCTATTTGGATCTTTAATGGGAATCAACCTCATGAACCATATGATGTTGATTTCGTTCGTTATTTAACACAATATCATTCTCATGGTGGTGGCTACTTTAATCGAGATAAACTACTATTAAATTCCAATGATTTGATCAATATTATCGAAACTGTTCAAATCAAATATGTTAAACTTCATTCTGAAACTACGGTACAGCAGATATATCCAAGTGATTCAATAAATATCTCCTTAGATTCAGATCGATTTCTTCTTGTTGGACAAATTCCAAAGCCATTACTGAATTCACTTGAATTTGAACTTGAATTTGCCATGAACAATCAAACAACCCGTTTGCCTATTTCTCTCGATATATCCACAGATCAATTGAATTTCTTTGGACTTATCCGCCGACTATGGGCACAACAAAAGCTAAATCAATTAAACGCATTTAAAGATAAATATCGCACAGAAATATTGTTACTTGGAATGAATTACTCCTTAGTTACTCAATTCACTTCCTTGTTAGTTCTTGAGACATTACAGCAACATCTCCAATATCGCGTATGTCCAGCAAAAACACGTACAGTTCTTTACAACGAATACATGCAACAACAAACTAAAGAAACTCAAAAGAAGGAAAGCAATCAAGCGAATGTACTTCAACAATGGAATACGAAATGCCAATGGTTTGATCGAACTATCACCGATGCCGATCGACATCGAGCTTACTTACGAAAATCTGTACATATGCCAATTACTGATGAAACTCCTAACGAACGATTACGAGGAACATATTTCGCCTTCGGTTCTCATAATTTACACTCTTCAGTAGCTAACCAGTTCAGTTTACCTCCTAGTCAAAGTAATTCATATACTTCAAGCTCTTTCGCTGCCCCATCGTTCTCGTCAACATTTACTTTTGGAGGAACACAAAATCAATTGAATTCTGCAAATTCTTCCAATGATTCTTTAGTAACAGGCGAATCGACAACAATTAATCTACCCGATTATAATTCACAATCATCTTCTGTGACACGCCTATCCTCAGCGAGTGATAGACACAGTGCATATTTAATCTATCTCAACGAACGAACATCAAATCGTCAACCGCCATCATTCTATTTCGACATGGCCTCGTTTTTTCTCTCACCAACATCAGCTTCATCGACCTTGGATCAATTCAACCAACAGCAGGAACCAACCGTTCAAAAACTAGACGTGATATCACTCGAATATGGCTTGCGCATTTTAACAAATATTCTAGAATTAGAGTTCGAAGCACCACAACTATATCGAACGGTTGGATATAAACTAATCGAATTAAAACAATGGAATCTTGCACTGAATATCTTTCAAAAGGTTTATTCGCTACGTCCAGACGAACCACACTCGTTGTATGATTTAGCTACAGTTTCGATCGAGCTTGGCCAGTACGAACAAGCATATGAATATTTCAAACAAATCCTTACTCAAACATGGGATGCACGATTTCGAACGATACCTGTCGTGGTTCTGTCAGATCTCAATCGATTACTGGTTCTAATGAACCGAACCACAGGCACAGATATTGATTTTCGTTTTGTCCGTCATTTACCTACAGATATTCGAATTGTCGTTCAATGGGATACAGCTGACACAGTTATTCAACTTTCTGTTGACGAACCAACTGGACAAATTTGTAGTAATTATTCTGGTTCATCACAAACGGATATTGGCGGTTTCATCGTTAATTCACCGTTTCAAGTTGACCAACCAGTTGAATATCTACTGCGTACAGCAATCACTGGTAGATACTCGATTCATTTGACGTATGTTAGTAATGCTCAACATGCCTTAACTGGTGTAACAACCGTTCTATTAACGATTTATAAGCATTTCGGTTCGATCAATGAAGAAAAACAAACTCGAACACTGCGATTAACCAGTTTGAATCAAACAATCAATGCTGGCTATTTAGAATTCAGTGATATGAGCTTAGAAAAACTTAAAGAGGAGTTAGCCATAGCCAGAGATGAATGTCGTCGCCTTCAAGATCGATTAATTACGAGTAAGAATCACTCGTCGATTCAGCATCTGAACATTACATGTGACGGGTGTTCGAAAACGCCCATAGTTGGTGATCGTTATAAATGTCTCTTTTGTCCGAATGTTGACATCTGTGACAATTGTCACTCATCTGCGAATCATCAGCATGATTCGACACATCCATTCATATGTATTCGGGATTCAACTCTCTATGCGTCATCTATTTACACCCAGAATATGAGTCAACTTGTACATATGAATGTACAATGCGCGTCATGTTCTGTTTCGCCCATTACCGGAATACGTTATCATTGTGTACAATGTCAAATCAATGTGTGTGAAAAGTGTGAGTTTTTGGGGTTACATAACATGATGCATCAACGTTTAAAAATCATTTATCCATAATCATGCGATAATATTTCTCCCCTGCTTTGCTTGTTTTTTTTCCGATACGCTTCAGTGATTGTTCCTATGAATCATTTTTGTATCGAACGATGCATTACCAAATAGAAATAAACTTGATCGTATAACATTTCTTATCTAATGGAATATATACATGTAATCTACATGAAGTAGGCGGCAAACGCGTCGATGTATACACAGAAAAAAGACGTAAAGTGAATCTTTCATGAACATTTCAAACAGATCACAAGTATCATCAAATAGAAACATGTTTTATGAGAAACGGTATTGGTTTCGATGACGATAGATGAGTGATCGATAAAACTGGAACGGAAATATTAATCTAGCACAAATGAAATCGATGCTGACGAATCGATACAGTCATATTAAAAATAGAATACAACAGGCAATTTGCATTTCTATATGTTGCCGATATCTAACAAATTGAAAGAATATTTTTTGTTTATTTACTAATAATGACGCAGTAATTTCATACGCTTCGAAAATATTAGTGCACGTCATGAGCACGCCTGCAATGTCAGTTAAGTACGAGAGGATCGTTCGTACAGGCCGTACTTTGAGTGTAGAAAGAACAAAATAGCATTTATATAGTATGACTGAGGGTTTTTATCATCGTTGCCAAATTGAATGTCTGAATTTCTTTTAAAGTGTGTTAGAAATGTTGCTTGTGACGCTGTTATTTAAAAAAAGGAAGTATGATCCTTGCGGGTGAGAGAGCGTTTCACTGACCGTATACCTTTTAAAGAAAGAAAAGTCACGTAAACGATTACCTAGGCTTTTACTAAACGTGCAAGCCTACATTGATAGATTTGACAAGGAGAGTGATTGATCGTTGTTCTTGCGAAGAGCTGAGTTTCTTTATTTTAGATTTGTGTGCTGACTTCAAATGACTAAACACTTGTCTAAGCCGATCGGACCATACTCACCCCACCCGTTAATAACTGTACGTTGGATGAACATTCGAGTGCTTTCATTAATCGGATGTTTAATTATTCTTCTATTCATTTTGCGGTATAATTTTATAACATGCTTTTATATTATTCAAACATATCTAACATGGTTTCGATTTTATTCCGGTGTAATTACTGCGAATGATAACTTTGATACATCCATGTTAAGTTACCCGTCAAATCAAACATCAGCACAACCAATTTATGCGGATATTGTTCCAGCTATTTTACATCATATTGTCATTGGTAATCTCGATTTAGCTCAACGGCCAACATGGGTGGCTGCACGAGATGCTTGCTTGAAATGGCATCCCAACTATGAATACCGGTTTTGGAATGATTCATCTGCCAAAGACTTCATTAGAAAGGAATATCCATGGTTTTTACAAACATGGGAAACTTATCCGTATTCAATACAACGTGCCGATAGTTTACGGTATCTGGTTTTATACCATTATGGTGGTATTTTTCTCGATATGGATCTCCATTGTCGTCGATCATTAGGACCACTTCGTCGCTTCGAATTCATCTCACCATTAGCCAATCCTGTTGGTATATCCAATGGATTTCTTATGGTTTCTGCTCGTCATCCATTTTTTAAAGTTCTTGTTGAACAGTTGCCCTTATTCAATCGGAATTTTATTCTACCTTATGCTACAGTCATGTTCTCTACTGGTTGTATGTATCTATCAACACAGTATTCGTTGTTTAATGAACGATGTCGATTAAAACTGTTGAATTATGAACAGCATCGTTTAAGTGGAAATATTTCTACACCACTGTTTCATCATCAGGGCAGTAGTAGTTGGCATTCGACTGATGCAACGTTCATCAAGAATATTTATCATGTTCTCCGTCATCTAGTTTATCATCGAAATTTTCTTTTTATTAGTCTATTTTTGATTATCATTGTTGTTTTAGTAATATCATATCGACGAAGAATCAAATCTCAGGAAAGTCATAAGAACGTTTTACACTTTTAAATGAGTGTTTCTCTTTTGCATATGTTTGTTTAAACACTACTGCGATCCGTCCATTTTTAATCTCGAAATAAAACGAAATTCGATGTTTGTCTAATGTTGTTTCTATTTTGCAGATCGAATAGTTCATGGCTCAATTAAAAGAATATGTACGAAAACTTTGGCCTCCGAAACAAACTTACATTCGTATTCCATTAGATGAAGTATTATTATCACACATCGATGTACATAATCATACCCTACGATTAACAAAGACCGGATTTCTTTTTCAAACTTATCTATGGATTTGTAGACACAAATGCCTATTTACTTTCATTATTTTCATTGGTATACCAGTCTTACTCTATACATTTCTATTACTTTTATCAACGACTCAAGTATTACTACCAAAAGATATCCGATCAAATAATATTCGTCGACTTCTATTAGTTGTTGCTCACCCTGACGACGAATGTTTATTTTTTTCGCCTACATTACGTGCTTTTCAAGCCCAGCATAATATCGAATTAAGTTTATTAGTTTTCTCACGTGGTAACCATGTCGGCCTAGGCAACACTCGTGCTCGTGAACTACTTGGATCATGCCAAGCATTAAACATTCCCAGAGAACGTTGTCTATCATTAGATTTGCCAAACATACAAGATAATCCAAAAATTTGGTGGTCACAACAAGAGCTGATTCCTATCATCACTCGATACATTGATTTATGGTCCATCGATTTATTGATATCGTTCGATCGGCAAGGTGTATCGGGCCATATAAATCACCGCGCTGTTGGATTGGCTGTTCGTGAAATAATAACAAGTGGCAATCATACAAAAGTAAAAATAGCTTATGAATTACAATCAGTTTCATTACTTCGTAAATATTCATCGATCATTGATGTATATTTTGTCTTTATCTCGTTTCTCCCACGTATATTACGTGCGCTGTTCTCTTCAATAATTCCTTTCAATCTAATTTCATCACCAAACTCATCTCGAGTGCTGCTACTTAGTACTCCGCATGATTATATGACTTCGCGTACGGCTTTTGCTAGCCATCTAAGCCAATACAGTTGGGATCGCCATATATATCTAATTGCAAGTCGTTACATGTTTATTAATGAACTGAACTATATAGAAAAGAAAATAGTAGGACAATGAATGTTTTATTTGTATAAAAATAATAAAGAAAAGTGTTGTCAAGCAATTTCATTTCTAATACTATTCAATCACAATGACCACGTGGATAATGCAAAAGGACACCGTCTTGTAATAATCTCTCTTGTAAACGATTGATATTCACTGATTGTACATCGATGTAGCCATCTAAGATAGAATACGCAGCTGCATATCCTGCTGCACCACCTAACATCATAAAATGTGGTTCAACACGCAGCGCTGAATAAGCCACATGTGACGCAGCATGACAGACGGGAACAAGTAAATTTGTTACTTCACTTCTCTTTGGTAACAGTATGGAATACGGGATTTCGAAAACACCTTCGCTCTGCGATCCATTCACACGGGCTATTTCTTTGAACATCGCTCCTTCATTATTCACGTAGGAACCGTTAGCTGTACGTGTTACAACATGAATATCATGTACCCAACTACCTAATGCAACCGTGTCATTTCGACATAGACCACTAACGACATGATTTTGTGTGAAGACATTCTCATTGACTAGACGAAGACCTTCACGAACGTAGAGTTGTGGCGGAATGTGCTGATTTTCTGGCCATTGATCATTGCATAGGCCATAGTTCTCTAATGATTTTCGTGTTGCTTCTGGTACAAGTGGTGATGTTAGAATATACCAAAGCATCCCGAGCACATAATCAGATACCTTTTGTGCGATGTCGAGACGATCCTCAGTTGTTCCATTCACATAATTTCGATTTATATTAATCGCGTCACTGGTAAAAGCACTTCCGAAACTATCACACATATCGAATTTGTCACCATCAGGATAACCTCGAAAGATTAATATGTCGACTAGTTTACCAAATGGTGGTCCCTGTGGATAATGTCCTGTTGCCATTAGAGATTGAATATATCTTTGTAGAATAATAAAACTATTTGGATCGTAATTGTTCGGTTTGACAAATGGTGCCTGTTTCGCTTTGGTTGGTGTCAAACATAAACGATAGGAATATCCCATCATGTTCGAATCAGCAGAGCCGACTGGACCTAGTTTTTCTCGTGAAACATACGGGGCCATTGTTCCATTATCTAACGTGGCGTTCACAGGATAGTTAGGAATGAAATTTGCAAATGTTGTGTATGGTTGAACACCAGCCAGTGATTCATTATATTGCACATGTGACTCTCTACCCCAGGTGAATGATGCACTAGAGAACCGAACGAGATCACCTTCATAGCTAGCATCAATCCATACATCTGCATTCCAAACACGTTGTTTAGTGTTTGTAGTTATTTGAACGATACGTGTACCATTCATGACGACACTCTTACCAATCACCGGACCCGTGTTCGTAATTAGTTGAATATTAGAATGCACGGAGAGTAAATCAAGAAAACTTTGCCGACTGATATTCATATCTGGTTGATAGATTGGATGTGACACGTTTTTGTAATATTTATAATTATTATTTACCCAATCTTGTGCAACAGATCCAACAACTACAAAATAACAAAGCGAAAATGTACTATGTATGTACAGAGAAGCCACTTACTCGTAGCCTCCGTGCCAAGATCACGCAAACCAATACCCCCCGCTGTAGACATGCCACCGATGTAAACTGTTGGTTCAATGACAACGATTGAAAACGATGGTGCTAACCGAGCTGCTGTAATAGCCGCAGCAATTCCTCCTGGTGTTGCTCCATAAATAGCAATATCATATGCACTGTTGACTGTACAAAGAGTCAGTAGAAAACCGATTACGCTCAGATGTAAACTTAATTTAAACATCATCACCATAAAATTCGCACCAAGATTAGATAAATCGCACACATTGTTATTCAAGTACTCCCTTATCTTGCCTGTTCATGATTGGTCAAGAATGCCTAAAAAAAATTATAGTACCTGCGCATCTCCTAGGTTAGAAAGCAACATTGGTTAGAATGTTATCTTATGCGATGGTTCTCTTAATCGTAGATATGGAGTGTCGATTGATATCTTTATTAAAGTTTTTCTTACTAATAAATGATCGAATCATAAAAGCTCTTCGTTGCGCATCGTCGCGTTCTCATTCTACAAAAGGAACATATAAAAGAAAAGGGAAAAGAACGGAAAAGTAAATGAATGAACTTCAATGAAAATTAAGTACATTATATCAAAAAAGAACAATAAAAAGAGTATAATAAATTAAAAGCGAAACAGGGGAAAATGATCGAAGAAGTTTATCCCATGCATTTTCCAGTTTCCATATCCAACTGAAAAATAGAAAATGCATGCGATAAACTTAAAGCAGGGTAAAGAATAAAAAGCTATACCAAGAAACTCTTGGAAACACCGTCGCCCCCTACTCATATAATATACACAATGAGTTTTGGTTGTTGTCTTATATACATATAACAAGGTATGTTAAATAAAAGCCCAAAAGAAGTATAAATGAAAAGAAAGAATTAATCACACGTTCTAATTGAATTAAACGAGTACGGAGACGATGCACAAGACGTCACTGTTGAAAACACATGTACGTGTAGAAATAAGAGAAGAAATGTAATGTTGTTCATCGTTTGGTAGGAATTCAATTATGTGCAGCATTGGCAGCATCCTGAAAAAAGAGAGAGAATGCTTGAAAAACGTTCATTCATAATCAAGACAGAACTCTCGTGCTTTAGGCAAATAAAAACTAGCGTAAAATGCAAAACTTCTCCGTTGTTAGTCAAGTTAGGGGGAAAAGACAGCAAAGAGCAAGCTTTCGGTTACCAAATTGGTGATTGCCTACAAATAATAATCAGCGTAAAATATTTAGTCGATTGATTATTTCTACATCTACGATACAAATGAGAAAGAAAAGCAGAATAACTTACATTTTGATCCCAGCCAGCTTCTTCGCCAGCCATTTGATAATGCTGTTTGCGTAATTTATATAATTGTTGTTTAGCTTGTTCTAACGCCTTTTCCAATTCAAGAACTTTCACTTGAGCATCCATTTCTTTACGTTTAGTTTGATGTAAACTCAATGAGCTGAAGTCCATTGTACCTCAAATGTTAAATGACAGTCAGATGTGAAAGAAAAGTATGTGTAAAAAGCATTTACTCTTCTCTTCAATAATTGAAGCACAGTTTTTGGCTGTTGCAACAACTTGAGCAGTTGATGCATTGACTGCTTTGGATGCTTGGGAAAGTGCTTCACGATTTTTTGACTCGCGATCAGCTTTGACCTAGTGAGAGAAACAATCCTATCTAACTATCGAACTCGTTGATGAACCATTCTCTTACATTCGATGCTGCAACTAATTGCGCTGTTGATGCGGCAATTTCTTGTGAACAAGCGATGATTTCTTCGAATTTGCCACTACCACCCAACAGATGATCAGCTGATTCACTAGAAGAGAGAAAAAAAAGACTTTCACTATTCTGCACAAGTTAATTTTTGATATTTCAATTGAAAACGAGGAATAATGATGAACATGCTCATGCAAACAATATTGAAATAATTTCGATGTTCGTTTGAAAAATCAAAGCTCCCAAGAAAAAAGGAAAAGAGGGACAGAATATATTCTCTAGAGCATGCGATAATCTCACACACTCTAAATCGACTAGAAAACACAGCAGATCCTTTGAACGCACAGATCATTGTTATTATTGTCAAGAAAATGAGATGTTTTTACTCTATTTATATAGACAAAGAGAATCTAGAATTGATTTTTCTACGAAGAAAACAACGTCTACAGTGTCGTCTACTTACATTAAAACCTTCGCATTGACACCAACATTTTTCGCTGCCGAAACAAGACCTTCGGTCCACTTATGATTCTTTGTATAGAATTCACGTGCACTTGCTGTACCCTATATAGTTCAATCAACGATAGACTTTTTTTTGTGAACGATCGAAGAAAGTATTTTCTTTACTCGTCCTTGTCCAACAATTTCCTTTTGAAGATCTCGTGCTTTGATGATTAAAGCTTTGATGGTTTGCATTAGTTTACCACATGAATCAAGAATCTGTCCGTTGACTTCACATTTGATTCCAGTATCTTGCTCACGTGATTTTGCCATCATCGCCTAATCAACGGAGAGAGAGAAAGACACTCATTGTGTACAGATTGACAGGGAATTCAATTTGTTTTACTTCTAGTTGTCGAACAGCCTCGTCTATCGTTTCATGGGTTAATTGCAACTCTTTTTCTACGAGATCACCCAATTCTTCCTTGCTGATATCTGATACCTTTAATTACAAGAAAGTAGACATGATATCAATAGATAAATAAATATTCAAAACTAACCTTGGGCAAAAGTGTTGTTGTCTTGTCAATAAGGGAATTCAATCGACGAATTAATTCACTCGATTGTTTATCAAAATCAATATTTGTCGCGGCTAAACAAAATCCATTTTGAATAACATTTTTCAAACTTCTCGCACTACATACGTGTTTGATAGTTCGTATAAAGATCAATACATTGCAACGTCACATCCCGACAATTATCAGCTAATACAACACTTTGATCGACATCTTGCACGAGATTAGATGTAGCTTTGCCATGAACAACAATGTCGACCATACAGCTCGACAGTAAAATACATTCATTTAGAAATGGGAATGTTGCGGCTAGAAAAAATTGTTTTCTATTTGAATGGTGCCGAAATGTTGAGACTCACCTTCTTCTTCAGTGACCTGTTTTTTCCACAAATCCTGCGTGGTCTTTGCACTAGATACAGCCGTTCGAAGTTTTGATAGGAGATATTCTGCGCCACTTTTACAATTCAACAATTCTACATCTTTCGCACGTTCAATTCCATCATGCATTTGGTTGATGCAAAACGTTAAAATTGAATCTAAATAGAACAGAACCAGCTGAAAAGTCATCATTCATTTTCAGGAAGAGTGAGTTTACATTTATATTGTTGTTTTAAGTTATTCATCATGTTGGCATGATTTGTTTGCATCAATTTTTGGCTGTCAGTTGTAGTTACATACTTTTGTGCCCATTCACGGGTTAATGCTTCCATGTCAGCAAGTTTGTTTTCTAATTCTTCTTTTTCATGAATTAAATCGATTAAATTCTCTTCATGTTCCTATGTAAAGCCGAATTAGTTGTACTTTTCCAATACAAATTTGATTTACCTGATTTTTTGATAACAAGTCGCCACGATCACTTTCAGCTTCTTGTAGTTTTCTTTCAAATTCCAATTTGTCATTTTCCAGTCGACCATGAATCATCGCCTTTTCACTTTCTAACTCTCGATAACGATTTTCGACACTCTAAAGAAATTATCATCGTATTTGAATTCTGCACAATATTCAAAGCCTTACTTGTTTAGCATTTTCAATTTCTTTGATACGTTCTGTTGTTATGACTGTTGTTGTTTGATAATCATTACGTTCATTTGTTAATGCCGCTATTCGACTTTGCAATTCCTACATAAACAACAACGTTCCCATAAAAACTTTTGAAACTTCATTCAATACGCTTACAGTCTCGCGGTCTTCCATCAATCGTTTTAACTCATCTACATCTTTTCGAAATTGTTCTCTTTCTCGATTGGATGTATCTAACTGATTTTTAAGATGCTAACAATAGAGACATGAAAACAATGTGCGGAAAAGGTTAGCAGAAGCAAGTACTTCGTTTTCATGCTGTAGATCGGTTACGATACCATTCGATTCGGTTAACTTAGCATTGAGATTAGAATTTTCGGATTTCAATTCCTGAATTGTAGTTAAATGTTCCTTGAATAGAGGATCGGAAGTATATTTCACTGGAAAACAATCGATTTATACTTTCATTTCTTGTTCATGATCATGCTGAATAGTGTTTAGTTTATTAGTAAACTCGTTAGACTTATTTTGTAGATCATCTTTCAATGTTTTATTTGTCAACTGACATTCTTCGATCATTTTCTGACTCTCCTATAAATACCGAAAGCAATGTGTCGAATATTTCGATGAACCTATACATCTAAATAGGTACTTTCACACTTGTCTCATAGTTATTGATAATTTCAGTCAGACGAATAAGTTTTTCTTCACGTTCGACGAGTGCCTTAGTAAACAGAAATAGAAAAGAAGAGATTTCGTCAAGTTGTCTACATTCGTCTGATTTTCAAAATTGCTCAATTCACGTTGAAGAGCTTGTGTCTTCTCATCGAGTTCGAGCGTCAACGTGTCGATTCGTTTGGTCTGTTCGTGAATGGTTTTTTCTTGGTTCTAGATATGAGAATGATCATGCGTTCCGTGAATATTCAACATCGACTTTACTTGACGTTGATTTTCATTCTCATTCAATCGAACAGTCTGTTCTTCGAATTCATTTTCGAATAATTCGCGTTGTGATCTCAATGTATTCATCTCGAAAAAGATTTGCTAAGTGTAGACGAAGAGATAAAATGCAAACTAATTGTCATCATCACTCAAGCACACTCACATCATTTGTTTGTCGTAATTGAAGAATCTCTTCGTTGAGTTCTTCTTGATTATGTTGTCTCAGCTGTTCATACTCGGTTTTCATGCGATTAAATTCCTCGCCCATTTTCTAAAATGAATTCACAAAGTTGTTCATGTATGATTAAAATGGAAGATTTTACTTTATGAGCTTCTTTTAATTGTGCATGCTCTTGGTGAAAGTTTGCTAATTGCTTCTTTATTTCACCTTCCTAATTCGGAAGAAGTCATTGATGTATGCAACAAGAGACAAATCTAATAAATACGTACTCGACGTAAAACGACGATATGTTCTTCGCGGAGTTTATTGTAAGCTTCAAGTAACTTATTGAATTTTTCATCTGAATTCGATTTTTCTAGATACAAAGGATTTGCGAATCGTTTCATGTCGGGAAGGTTCATATCTACTTTCGAGTGCATGCATTTCTTCCACACGACGTTGGTTATCCAATTGCTGACGAATTTGTTCTTCTAGTTGTAACCGATGCTGTAAAAGAGAAAAAACATCTAATGATAGTAATGATTCACATCTGATTATCAATTACATTTCTTTCTGATGTTAGTTCAGAATCTTTAGCCGCGATCAGTCGATGTAACTCATCAGTTTCCGAACGATTCTCTCGTAGCATTAGATCACACTAGAAATAGAGAACTGAGAAACGTTTCAATTAAATCATTTTTTTTACCTTTAATAATCGTTGTTCTAAATCGGCAATTTCTTTTGATCTACGACAACGATGTAAGTCAGAGTTGAACACGATTTAATCAAAGTATGTATACAAACCGATCCGGTGCATGTCCATTGGGTGGCCAATCATCATTCATCGCAAAACTTGCAGTGGATTGAGTCTAAATACAAATTATGCTCGTAAACATGAAGATAGAAACGTTCATGAAATCTTACATCGTCACTTGTATCAATCAGAATGTCATCAATAGCTTGGGTAGGTTCCGGTGGTGGTGTATGAATAATGGCAATAGGTGCTTGGTAGTTCTTGATATCATCTTTCAATTTGAAATTTGGTGGATTCTATGAGAAATAAGTCAAAACGATGAATGAGCTCTCGAGTAAAGCAAACATTCGCATACATCAGGTAAAATTGGTACTTTAATTAAATCTCGAAAGTATTGTAATGTTGACGATTGTTCATAAAAACGTTTCAATCTTCGAAATTGTTCAATTAATCGTTGTCGATGTCCTTGTAACGTTTCACCAGGTAAATCTAATTATTTCAATAGGAATCAATCGAACATACCAAAACATTCTTACTATCATGTAATTTGAAAAGAACTTTGACAATATAATCATACAGAATACTTGAATCTTGAATGCAGAGAATTAATGGGTGAAGACGACATTGACCAGCTGTTGTCATTGAATTTGCACGTGATTGATCCAGTGATGTGAAGACAATTTCGACAAGGCCTAAGATTTCTTCCATGTAATCGAGCAACTCAATACATAATTGAAAGTATGCGTCCAGATTATCATTGAATATTCGTCGAATATCATTATGTTCGCCAATCGATAGATTTCCAGCAAATGTCGGATTGCGCTCGTGAAATGTCAATTTCGATACCATTAATCGACAATATCGATATGTCATCATACCATAGCTTTGTCGGAGTGCACTCTAGATTGGCAAATAGAAACATTTGATAGATTTCAAAGTGCTTAGATATGAACATATGAATGTGCAAATGAGCGAGCAGATCAATCAATCTTTCTTACAAACCAGTTGACTTCCTCCGCGTAATGGTGCTTCCGAGAAAGGAGACTGAATGGATGTTAGTGAGATAATTCCCGTTGTTAGTAGATATTTACGCATGAAACTTACCCAGAATTTGCCTAACTGTTCAAAATAGGGTGCTAATTGAACAGAATCATGTACAACCTATATGAACAAAATAATATCGTTGAATCAGTTGTTTTGTTTACCAAAAGTTCTTACATGTTTATGCCCGTCGCGCAGAACTCGATGCATAACATAACAGAATTTCCAGCAAATAATCGGATGTGATTCTAACTGAAGTCTCGTCATCATTGACCAAAATAGACGCGCACCTTCCAATCGAAAGGTACCAAGAATAAGATCTAGACGAAAAGTTCAGCATGACCTTTATCATGTTCTATAAACTCACTTCGAACATGTTTTTCTTTTGCTGGTGATTCAGCAGTATTGATTGCCTTGCTTGCACTTTGCCACTAAAAGCAAACAAAGTAGCTCATAGACAAGAAAATAACCAACAAGGAAGTCGTCTTCTACCTGACTCCATTCGAACTTATCTCGTTCAACTTGATCGGCTGCTTTTCGCCGAATAGGAATACTTGTTACCAATTGATTCAAATTTACAGTGCTCGGACGATGATTATAAACACTCATCTTCAATAAATACAAAAACAAAATATCATTTGACTCATAATGTCAAACATTAACAGAAACGCTATCAGTATTTTTATTTGCACTCCTTTTTCTTTCACCGATAAAAATGTAAAAAAAAATTAAAAAAAACGGACGTAGAATTGACTCATGCAAAAACAGTGTTAGATAACGGTTTCTTTTCTTTTGCTCCGTGCTATTCTCAATATATTGTTTTATCTACATAAACCTTTTGTTATCGATTACTAACGCATACATTGATATTCCCGACAGCAATCGATGCAAATCAAGAAGAAAAACGAATCAGACATATATCAGATAAGAGTGAATTGACAATGTGGAGTTAAGAAAGAATCTAGTTGTATCACGTTCAAGGATGTCGAGAAGGTTAAAATGAGTTTAAGACCCAAATCTTGATGAATTCACATTTGTAAATAAAGAAAAGTATCGATCGATCAAAATGAGTCAAAGATAGAGGAAGACGAGATGTGACGCCCAAATATCGGCAAACAACTGGGTGAAGGTTGTCCATTGATTCTGTTTTCTTTCATTTTGTATATATATATATTCTATCATAATCTGTAGAGGGCGTAGACTGTCAATAAGATAAGTAATAATCCCTTGATGAATTTTTACTCAAATTCAACGCACAAAACCACATGAAACATGTTAGCCGATGGCTTCATTAATAAATTAGAAAACAAGCCAGTGGCAATGTCATTTATGTCAACTGGAGTTTTATTCAGAAACGTCTTGTCACTAGGGTTCTACTGAACGAAAAGTGTTTTGGGATAGTTAAACATTATCAGTCGAGTCCTGGAAAAATTCTATATGTTTACAACTATACGGTTTCCGAAAGCAACGATGATTGCAAAACGTTAATAACAGGAAAAAGCAAAACGCATCTTTACTAATGGATTCGATCAAAAATCAATTTGATTGACAAAATAAGAACAAATGATTACCCTTTCTACTCCTATGTAGTTTTTCGCAAATAAAAGCACATACAAATCACGATGAGTAACATTTGCGATACACAAATACAAGCAAAAAAAAGTACAAAACTCTAAAAATAACTGCAGATAGCGATTGTTCACTGTACTTCCGACAATTAACTTTTACTTTCGACAAGATTGATCTTTTCGATTCTCGTCGATTAAGCAATTCTTTTTCACTTAGAAATGTTCAACCGCTTTAGACCTCGACGACGCTCAGTCGTGATTATATAACATGCGAATAATGGAATCGAATAAAGAAGAGTTTTCTACGATTTCTTCTCATCGATATCCACCGATTTCAGCATGCTTATAGAAATAAATTATGTTCAATCAATTCAAAAAGAAAAATCATTTTATTCTCGTATTTATAAAGAATAATTCTTATATACATACAAACACACTTATTCAAGATTTAACATCTGCTATAAACAAACATTTCGCATTTGTTAATACTTAAATTTGACATGCGCGCATACTGTATATTTTTCTAGAATGGACAAAATGTGATTTGACACTGGAAGGAAAGAATTAGATAAATAAATATATATATGTGAATATATGGATATAGAGAGAAAGGAGAGAGAGAGAGAGAAGACTGTATACATTCAGCGTAAAGAATATACAGACGCTACATGTCAAATGAAAAAAAAATGACCTTTCAACGTATATCAGCTGGTCCTCGACTTGCAATGGACATTTTTCGTCCCATAGACATGGTCATCGAATGACAAGATGGGTTGAATACTTGGGAACGATGTGAAGTAATGACTTTCCGACAAGTCAGAATGTTAAAAAAAGCTCGACGAAAAGTTCGACTAAATATGGTATAAATAATTGGATTTGCACCTGAGGAACAGTAACCAAGCCATGTCGCAACAGATATAAAGATTGGATGCATATCGGCGATGAAACATGAAAGAAGATTGATAACAAAAAAGGGTGTCCACAAGATGACAAAGATAGAAAAGATAATTAGTAGAACACGCATGGCTTTGCGTTCATTACTAGCTGATGTTTTTGTTAAATTTCGAAATGTTGGATGTTTCTTGGGAGCGGATACGGCAGGTGGTGCGTTTGTTCCAGCAATGGCTGCTTTGACATTCGCTGATTGATGTGTAAGACTTGATGAGCCAGATGATGAATCTTCAGTATCGAGAGAAACCATCTGAAAACTGGCTTGAGATAGAACATCGTTCAGACGTGGTGGCCGCCTTCGCAGACCTTTCTGTGACGTTGAACCAATCGATGATGAAGTACTTGGACGATGAGCGCGCATAAGACGAGCAGCTAACATTGTTGATGTTATTGAACTTACACTACTTCGTTGCATGGCAGCGAAACTGTGTACAGATGCAACGTGATCATCGACGAGTAGAAGTTGTTGAGGCTGATGGTGATGGTATGAAAAGGATGCTTGGTAGGAGCGAGGAATGGCATTCGGAGCTGCTGCTTGTCCATATAAATGTTCCATACGAGGGAAATAACGTTTAAGATTTGACAATGGAGAATTATGCAGTTGTGATTTTTGTCCGGCTAACATGGGCGTATTTTCTGTTACGTTGACAGCTGACACACAACGTGATCGAATATTTGAATGTAGGTCAAGAGTTGTTGATGAAGTTGTTACTGTAATCCAATCTTTGATACGTTGACATGTTGTATCAAATTTGGAGGGTGATGTTAGACGACGTGTCATCGGTTCGAGTTTGTGAAGAATATTTAAACTATTTGAATTCTTGTTATTGTGACTAATATTATGAGCATCATCATTGTTATTATTGTTGTTGTTGGTATTTAACGGTAAATTTTGTGTACTATCATGTGTAACAAGAAGATTTGGAACATGTATCCCATTACTCATCATAGCCTTGTCATCCGTGGAATCAAATGATGCTAATCGAGTATCTGCACTATGTCTGAAAGAATGCATAGACTATGTTATGTAATAATTCAATTTCGAAAATACTCACGACCGTCCTAATTGAAGATGAAAATTATTGTGAGTAGGGGGAGACATATTCTGATCGACTAGAAGATATGAACTTGGAATAATAATAGGTTGATTGATCGCAGTTTCAGCAAGTAATTGATCTATTGTTGGTGTTTCATTTGCTGTAGTATCGGGCGCACCTGGAACGGAGAGAGACAAACGTTTTCCCGATGTACCGTCATTATTCATTGCTGCAGATAATTGTGCTGTTAGTCTTTCTAATTCTTCGCGAATCTTTGCTGAATCGCGTCGAATTTGAAGTATTGTGTGGGCAGACGAACTTCGTCGTCGACGACTTTTCCGACCATCTTCAACATCAAGCAATGGCGTACAGGAATGAGAGCGTTTTGCATGTGTATTATGATTATTTGGTGATTCAGGAACGAGATGTCGAATGGATGATGGCGACGCTTGTTCAGCTAGAAGTACAAGAATTTATTTAACTGAAATAGTCTTTTTTCGCCTCTTACTCGACTTTTCGTCTAGCGGTTGGAGCACTTTTTCCTTTCGTTTATGCCAAGTAATCGGTGCCCGTGGTTCATTGAGGCGATAATTCGATGTAAATATTCGTTCAACTAAACCCTTCTTTCCTGATGCATATTGACTAGGTTCAAGTAACGATGTTGCACGTTTTCGTTGACAATGACTTGATTCTGACGTTGAACTTATCGTTTGATTTTTCTCGTCAGATTTGACTGCTACCGACTCATTGGAAGTCTTCTGTTCATCAGCTGTATCGTTATTGACAGCTCGTTTCCATCTCATTGCCATCGTTGCTAAATTAATAACAGCATGCATCTTTTGTCGCCTTGTATAACGATTCTTCTTTGTCGTATGCGCTTGTTGCAATGCACTCATTGTCAATGCATATGTAACGACCATAATAACCAATGGAATAAAAAAAGCAACAAATGAACCATAAATTTTAAAAGTTCGGTGAGATGGAAAACATGCACGTGTCGCCTCGTTATATACATTCGTTGGATCAACTAATCCGAGAATAAATAGTGGCAGACAGATACCAAATGAAATTAACCTATAAACATATCGAACTGGCATTGATAAAATATCTCATTAAAATACTTCTCCTACCATATTGTAATGATTTTATAAGCCATCAGACTTCGTCGTTTGTTTCGTCCATATTTTAGCGGATATCGCAATGTGAGATATCGATCGAGTGACATAACACTAAGATATTTAGAATTGAATTCGAGTGTGTTTTTATGACGAATTTTTCATTTACCTCATGTGCCATATCGACGATGTACTACAGCAAACGTCGAATGTTAACCAGACGTTGCACGCTAAGGCATTGAACGGAAAATGTCCAATGAGTTCGATCGTCACAGCAATTGGCATAACGAGACATGCCACAAGACAATCGGTAAATGCCAATGATGTCAAGAAGTAATTCGTTGTATTTCGTAGATGTCTTTCACGTATAACGGCTATGCATACAAGACTATTACCACATACAGTAAATAGGATGACTAAAAAAAGAAAGATTTCATAAATATGCGTTTAATTATAGATTTCATGTAACCAAATCTATCACTTATCGTTGTCGTTTTTAGAAACCAAGAAATGTCTTCGTTCTACTTCCGCAATTAGAATAGTTTCGTTTGCATGGCTATTTTTACCAGTTACTATTAGTTTGTCGAGCAGTTTTGTTTCAGACGAAGAAAAGAGATTTCAACCGTCGTTTTTTAATTGTTTAACTATACTTTGATCATACTCAATGTTTCAATTTCTAATAATGGCGATGATAGATTAAGTAAAAATAGGTCTGATTAAGATTATTTTCTTGCTAATATGAAAGAAAACATCGCTTGGACTAATAATAATAACGAACGACACGCAATCTAAGAGAATAGTAAGAAACTAAAAATAAGTTTCTCTGACGTCGAAGTGAACATTTGTAACTTTTCCTAGATCAATAAGATTAATGTCTACTCACTCGTAATCAATGATAAACTAGCCCAGGTCGGTTCAATAGATAACGAATATTGTGAATTGTTGTGATTATCAATCGATGAATGAAACTCATTTCGTGTTCCATTCATCATTGTAGATGAAAGCCACTGTTTTGTCGTTACTAACATGAGTTATTCTTTTCTATAATAAAACGAATAAGTACATATAAAAGAGACAATAATATGAACGGATGTAAGCACAACAAGTCTAGTTGTGAGACTTGACTATGTCCGGATGTCCGTGTCAATACCGAACGTTGCTTTTGACAAAAGGAAGTAAAGAGACGATAAAAAAGAAAGTCAAATAAAAGAGTATTTTCCTACGATATTCCCAAGGATAGTGACTGAAAAAGCCTGTGTTTATATAAGTGGAAACTTTTCTTTTGATCATACAGCGACAAGCAAGGTATATAAGAAAAACTATCATCTAAACAAACTTCATCTAATGATAATTTTTGTCTGAACTGAATGCGTAATAGTTAATGATCTCGGATTAGAATTGAATATATGAATCTGTTCGTCTTCAATACAAGGAATCTCTCTCTCTCTCTCTAGCCGAGAATTTGGACTTACGTTCAAGAGAAACAGTGATAATAGCAAAGGTTTTTTGATGATGTTTCGCTAACGTCAAGGACGGTAGCCGCCAGCAATATCTCCATCGAAACATCGGCAAATTATCTGCTATCTCCTTCCGTTTACCCTTCTCTCTTTCATTCCAATGGAAAATGAGAGCGTGACAAGCACAACGGGTGATCCATTCTTGACAAGAGAGAGAGAAGGAGACAAGGACCGCTAGAACGAAGACACAGACTAAGTGTGTGAAAGAGAGAGAGAGAATAGCTTGAAAAATGAGATTTCATCAATGACACTCGCTAACTAAATGAAAGCGTTAGTCAAACCAGACAGAAACATAAGCATTTGCGCGATAATCTTATTTCTAAGTTCATCACTAAGAAACTTACATAGATATGAACGAAGAAAGACAACTCAAATACTATTACGTCGTATCCACAGCACCATCATCGACACTTGGAAATGAAGATAGAAAAGAATGCTTATGTGTATACATACATATATACGCGCAATTCTATCAGTTGTCTTGCGTAACTAGCCACCCGTAGCGTACGAGAAATCGGACGCTACTGAATTGTAACATCCGATCACAGAGTAAAGAAAATCAGAGACGAAGAAGAGCGAGGAGAAGAGAAGAAGAAGAAGAAGACTATTGATAAATTCACTTATCACGACTAGTAGTGTTGGTTCGGGGTCGTCGCGTCGTCTCCTAACAATTTATTTCTATGTTTCATCATTGTTTATAATATCGAGCATAATGCCTAAAGGACACAATGCGAAAGTGACAAATGATAGGCCTTCTCTGTGGCTATAATTCATAGACATCGATGTCTAGCGATATCGACTTTGAAAATTAGGATATCGTGCCATATTGTTCGCAGAACATGCCACATGTAACGCCATGATACAAGCCAAAGCACCTAAACCTGTCAAAATAGCATGGATAACAATAACAGCAACAAGATTTCGATTGAGATCATCTTTCATTTTATCTTCACATAATAATTTCGTTTGATTTCGATCTCGACAAGCTTCGATATCATCGAAGATTTTCTCCGGTTCATTTCTTTGTTTGAAGCCACAGCATTTTAATTTAGCGAAACTAAAATACATAGATATCACTCGAATAATAGAAAGTTGAAACGATTGCCTTGTCAAACGACTTACAAATCACGTGTTACTTTAACCATTTTGTCATCGTTAAGTAATTTTGGATTGTTAACGTACTGTTCATAATTCTTAATTGCATTCGTGATTATCCAGTTCTCTCTAGTACAAAGTAAGATAAGTATCGTTAACAGTACCAATGTGATAAGACCGACAAGAATTATATAGATAGTTAATGCTTAAATAAAGATATATAGATGATAATACAGTTACCGTTGATACAATACTAACCGCATTTGGATTGTCGAAGTGTGCCGATTAGTCCCAACAGGCTGATGAATGTAACGAAAAACGCGAGTACAATAACACCGATGATCACCTGAATCGACTCGTATTTATTATAGATATAGAAGCTCAATACGATCAAGGCGATGCCGAATATGATTAGGAGGCTGTTGAGCAAGGATAAGAATGTTTTTGAACATCCAGCAGCCATTTACTTAATACATAGAGTAAAAAGCGCCAATTATATATCATTTTCTCTAATGTAGTCTACTTAGCTACACTATCTTACAATCAAATAGCCGAACAAGAAAGAGAGAAGACAAGTAGCGCTCTCCAAGACCCTTTCTCGTCTGAACCTTGACTCGGACTTATCGTACTAGACTTATTATAATAAAAGCGATATCTAATTTGCGTTTGTTTACTATGTGGAATGATGACATTGTTTGTATACATCATTCCGAAGGACAAACATGTAACTAAAGCAAGACGGAAGCAGAAAAAATTGGCCGATTTGTCTAATAGAAAAAGTCTATTACTAATGAACACTCTTTGCGTCTATCTGGGAAGAGAGAGAAAAGAAATCTCGTCATAACACAATTCTAGTTGACAGTACACTTGTCCTGTTCAATGACAGTTCGGGTAGTGATGAAAAGTAAACGAACGAAGAAAAAGAAAGCAAGAGAAAAAAAACGATCATGGATAACTAAACCACTCAATATATATATATGTGTATGTGTGTATAGGCAGAGATAGATAGTAATGATAGCTATATTACCGAAATCTATCTTGATTATTATGTAGAATACAAGAGTAAATGAGAGTCAGAAAGTGACATTGATAATAATCATAAGACATAGCAGAAGTGATAAGAAGGCGATCGTTTGTGTCTTCTTCTCCTGAATAATGTTCAAAAGTCGACTATGAATCCAGATATTCTCATTAAACACGAAGAAAGAAGAGAACATATCAAATATTCATGTGATCATATTATTCATAGCTTCACTTGATTAGCAGAATGTACTTATCAAGCGAGTGAGACTAGGATTTCCGACGACGCAAGACTAATGAATGGAACTCAACGCTACTAAATTGACACTCGTGAATTATCATGGTTTAAGGATCAAACTTTTGTCTTAACATCCTGTAGACAAGACGAGAAAATGAAGCTCATCAACATCGAGGAACGAGAGAACATAAAGAGGAAAAACGTAATAGACACGGCACATTAACCAGAGAAAACAGAATAATTCTGATTGTGCGCAATGCTCAAATGCACATGCGAAGGTGAATGAGCATAAGCGGTAACGTACATAGATATGAAAAGAATAATATTTATGCCTGCTATTTTGTCTTAGCTTCCTTTTGATTTTGCTTTCGTTGATCCATCATTCTGAAATATACACTTTCTCGCGAGAAGGAAGAAAACCTAGATTAATAAGTGAAGTTTTCATTTCCTTTGCTCGATTTTTATTATTATTTTTTGAGGACATATACGTTATTTATTCTATTTTCTAAACGAGTCAATTTGATTATCTTACGTGTTTTTCTTTTCTTTCTGCCATGAATTCTCATCGAATGATCGTATACATCTGTAACTCAAAGATGTTGTCAGAAGAACGCGAGGGTCAGCTGTGCGTATGATAGTTGATAATTAGTCGATCGACGAGAAAAAGAAAAAGTGTGTGTTGAAATATTGAGCGATATCTTTGTCCTTATATAGATAAATATACCTTTGATGAGCCTTTTTTCTCTCTGTCACGCTTCTCGACTGAATTGAAAAGAGAGAAAGCGATAACTTCTTGTTCAATATTATATAACGAACGATCGTAAAATGAAGTAAGGAGGCTATTATGTATATGTATATGTGTTCATATCTATCGTTCTATCCATCAGCAAGAAATAAAAACAGAGAGAAAGATTTCAAGGTCTATAGTTCATGTTCAATATTAAATGTAGACGAGTAGACTTGAAAAATGCATGTGATGAAAGCTAGACGTGCTTTTCTTTTCACGCATGAAAAACAATAATCTGCTATTTCGACGAAGAACAAAGAATTAATGATGAACTTGAAATTATTTGCTTCCGTTCCCCGCTTTAGTGCTACTTAACAAAATATATACTATTGACGCTTTAATACAAATACACTGAGAACACACACACACATATACACGCATGATCTAAAACGAGTTCACATAGACAAAAGCCAACAAATGAATATAGATCAATTATTTGTTCCTGAGCCATCTTTGTTGTCGAAATTGTTAAGCTGATCGTACAGCGGGACCAACAATTGGTCTTCCGGTGAGATTTATGATAGGTGCACCCACTGATTGAGCAGCCGAAGCTACTTTGTAATACGCGGGGGTTACATAAGATGGAGCGCCAACAACGCCAACCACTGAAGGTTGAGGGAGTGCAGCAACAGCCGTACGGCGTACGACTGGTCCACCGTAAGATCGAGGCATACGTTGAGCGATGTACTGCGAAAGTAAAGACGGCTGTGGTGCGCCAACGACTGGATATGGATATGGAGCTGTCGGCATTGGATACATTCCATACGGAGGTCGAGCATATCCATACGGTGGTTGTGCATATCCATACGGTGGCCTATTAATGACATTGTAACCACCAAGCTGTTGTTGACCGACACGAATCTTGCTTCGTGATGCGATATTACCGAATCCAAAACGTTGATAAAGAAAACCAGCTATAAGAAATAGAAGCATGGAAACAAATGATAACACAATTGTTGCAATCATAAGTCCGAAACCGTAACGTTTTCCATAGCTAACATCACCTCTTGAGGAGGAAAGATTATTTGATTGTGTACCGAATATTGGTACTCCAATAACAATAAAAAGAAATCCTAGAAACATTAAAATACCAGCTAAGTAACATAGTAACGGAAGAATTAGGGAGAACAATCCTGCAACAAGTCCGAGAGAAAGCATTATCATGCCAGTAGTAACAAGACCTTCGCTCGTAGAGATAAAGCTTGGTCGACTGCCATTAAACAGTTGATCAGCGGCATCTGACCAACGTCTGCAAACAGTGCCCGTCGTTTGATCTTGACAATATGCCCAAAGCCCGTAGTATTCTGTAACTGATGATGTATTTGAGCGTTGGAGCGTTTGCCATTGAGGTACACCGAAGCCAATCCAACCTTTTAGGTAATAAATGTGTAAATCATTAAGTTTAATTAGAAATATATCTACCTAGAATGAAAGCAACCAATGCAAGGAAAATAGCAGCTAGTAGAAAGATTTTCCAAAGTCCAGGTCTCGACGCCAAACCACCCGTTTTCGCTGCCATTGTTAACTAATCACACGACCGAACTACTAGACTATCTAAATCATAGAACACCACACGGTAATGTATTGGTGCTTTTCTTGCGTACGCTGTTTCTTTTGCGTCTATGCAATTATGGACAAAAAAACAACAGAAAATAGAAAAACAGTGGTTCGAGTCGCCAATCGAACGAATCAAATATCATATCGTTACGAAAACAACATTGCAACATATGACACATAGATGCTACATGTGAAACTGTTCGTGCGTATCGAATGTAGCAAAACATCAAAACAAATATTGTATAAGATTTAAGACGACGGAAAAGTGATTGATAGTCATTCGGAACATCCCCGTACCGTAGATAGATATGCTTAAAGTATAAACAGTACGTGCGCGTGTGTTAATGTTGGTGTGGAACACATTTTTGAACTTAGGTTTGGTAAAAGTTTAAAATGTCACATCAGTGAATTAATTGCATCATTTACCTACCATCTATCTATGACATCGGTAGATCATAACCTTGAATCTGACAAAACAGTTTTAATTAGAAACATACTGATACTTTTTCCTACCAATTGTCGGTAGTGATTTTGGAACATTCTTTTGAGGGATTATCACTGAATATGACTCATTCGTAGTGATAAGATGTCTATTACAACCTCATTCAGTCAACATTACTCTACACAGGAGGGAAGAAACAGCGAGATAAAACTAAATAATCTGTTTGTGGACTTCATCAACCGACCAGATCGTTCATTCCTTCAACTGTAAATGCTGCTATTTCGATACGAAGTGTGATTAATGTATTCTCATTAATCACGGTTGTTTCTTGACTAGAATAACTTGAATAGACGAAGTAAATTAGATGAAAAATTCGTATTACATGATTTTATTTTCAGTACTAATTGATTACCTATTCGCTTCTCCTACCTACTTTCATAAATATTCTAATTACAGTGAGTGCTTTTTCGATGATTACAGCACAAGGTATTCTAGAAAACAAAACTTTTTTTTGCGGCCGGTCAACTTTAGTCATTTTTTTATTGTGATTTCTTCGCATCATTAGCAGAATGATGAAGCATACAATCAAACGTGTGACACAGCTATGTAATAAGTGATGAGTGAGCAAATCTAAATGTGTTTTTTTTACACTGCTGTAGTACATCATTGCCATTACCTTGCCTTCTTGCGGGCTGGTTTTCAACGCCCTCTACAGTTTCATGTCAGTATGTGCTTATATTGTTTTAGTTTTTGAAATGACCAATACCAGAAGAGTCAGTTTTATTATTGATGTGAGATAGACAGAAGGAAAAAAAGATCATTTTTTAAGATTATTTACAATGGAAGCTCGTCGACAACCCGCTCGTATTCATAGGTAGATTAAATTTCTTGAATAGATTGTTTTGATGTTGTGAACTTGTTGAAGATTTCGACCTGCATTGATCACTCAGACTGATGATGCTTTACCGGAATACATGAATTTAATTGGTATGATTTGCTCAATGTGTGCATTGATGCTCAAAGTAAGAGTAAAAACGAGAGAAGATTTTATCGTCTAACGATCGATTTCAGATTAAATGGTGTGCTTGGATCGCCCTCTTCGCTGGTATGAACTCTTTTTTTTCAACGCAATGTATCGTCTAGAAACGATATTCATTTAGCTATTGTTGGATTCGCCAATGCTCGAGCAACCGAAGATACAAAACAAGTGCTTAGTAGTTTGATGTATGTATTTCTTTAAAAAAATCCTTCCATTGCGTGAAAGTTTCTTTTTAGGCTTTCAATATCTGCCGTTGTTATCACCTACATGCAAAATCCTACACCAATGACGATTCCATTTTTCCAATAGTTGAACGAATGAAAAACATTGATCAGTAATCACTCCTCTTTTTCGTAATTGATTGGTTCACCTAGGAATATTGTTGATGATAAGATGTTGGTTAAAGCGTTTTGAAGTTCACGTTGTAGGATTTCGTTGGTTGAACGTAATATGCTGACATTCTTTTTTAATAAACGTTGTTCAGCGCTTTGTTCGTGTTCATTATCATTGACTAACGCTTGACTCAATTTTTCAAACCGAACCGATTCGATTTCGAGTTCATCTTGTAACTGTCGACAATCACTTTCCAATTCTTTAATTGCATATCCATAGTTTTGTTTTTCTTCTGTTTTACATAGACATTGTCGTAGACCGTACGCCATACCGCTGGAATAGACTTCTTCATAAGTATTCATCCATTGCAGGAATTCGTTTTTGATACGTGATAGTAGAAGGCCACGTTCCGAACATTGCAGTGTGATTGTGCGTATCAATTCATCGAATAGATCGTTGTAAATTCGTCGACGCTTAGGACATACACCGATTTCCAGCGCTTCTTCTCTATATAGCATCACGTCGAAATGTTCTTGTAATTGAATGAGATCATACTGTGTACTTGGAATCGTCGACGGAAGGAAGATTTCTTCATCCTGTTGACCCATAGTTGACTGTTTCTTACGATTCATATCTGCATAGATCGGAAATAAGCAGAGGAAAGTTGAGTCGTTATCTATTTTCGATGTAAAGAGATCATTCTTGATTTGTTGATAGATGCTATCAGAAACATAGAATGATGTCGGTTGCCAAAGTGTATCGTTATTTTTTAAAGGCAATTTACATTGTTGACCGAAGATATCATATTCTAGGACAATATCTTAGAAAAAAAGGCATGTTAGAGAATCGCATTTTTCTTTTCTTCTATTTGAAAATCTATACCTTCGTCATTTTCTCCTCGATCTTGTAAAGAATAAATTATTGGTGGTAATCGATGATATCTTTTTCGTATTCGTAGGAGTGTTTGCAATGTTTGACGGGAAATTTTCGAACCTTTCGCATATTTCAAAAGACGATTTTTGGGATGATTTTCTTGTTGAACATTCCAATAATACGATTGTTCCATCGTGGTGATGATGTTGTTGAAGGAGAGCAGAATAATAAATAGTACTAACAATCAAAAATCATTTCTCTTTCTGTACGGCGAGAGTTTCTTTCGATCGTATGCGACATGTTCAATTAACTTTTTCTTTCACCGTTTAAGAGCTTGTCAATCTAATATTAATGAGAGTTTCACCAGGTAGAAGGAAAGCTTTCGATTTCTTTTCTTTTTCTTTCTAGATGACGACAACAAATGATACCGAAAAGAAGGATAAATATGCTCGTGAATTAGAGGAATTGAATCAACTGTTTGCCAATCGCTATACCAAAGACGATAAAGAATACGTTGAAATGACTCAGCGTCCATCAAGCCCACCGATTGTGGACGATTGGGGCTATGAGGGCAATTTTCGTCGAACAAATGATAATCATCAGAGAGGTCCCTCAAACTTCGCCAGAGGGCAACGAAATTATTCAGATGATCGACGACAACGACAACAACAACAACAACGAGGTTATTCGAACCATGATAATCGTTATCATCATCGAGATCGAAGTCGAAGTCCTCAATATCACTAGTCACAGCGATAAAGTCTTGTCCACTGCTGGATGAATATCTCACAGTGAAGCTCATCAAAAGTATTGTGTTGACTCTGTTAAACAAATCATTTTGTACAAAAATATAATTGCTAGTTTATTTTTTCTGCTAAGATGAATACAAATAAAAGTAGATCAAATCGACTACGATTTACTATAGATAATGTCGACTCACGACACCGGGCCAAAGACTAGTACAGAACATAACTGGCGAAATATCTTTATCTCGTTTGTAAAGATGTGGTAGCCACAGGTCATGAATTTCACCGACTCTCTTCTTCCATTCATCGCTAGCTTTGCCGTTAACCTGTACACCAATCGTTGTGCCGAATTCTCGAAATGCTAATCGCCGATTTAATGGTTCACGAAAATCACCTTCTTTCCACAGTTCTTCCAACGCTTGTAATGATTTCGAAGCCATGGTCTGTGCCCACTGTTCATCTGGATACCAATGTGTAATCCACAGTGCTTCACCTAAATCTAACGGATCCGATGAACGATAGCGTGCATATTTGGCGTCGACCATTGCTTTCATATCCGCAATTTCATTTTCCAATTCTCGTTCTGCGGCCATTTCGTCTATCAATCGATAAGTTATATAACCATCGTACGGATCGAGATTGCCTTCCGAAGGTACCGATGGATACGATAAATCAATGCTCATCTTCCAATACATATGAAGTTGATTATTACGATCACGGTAGACGAAATTTGGATGAACTGCTTTGATAAGATCAATAGCCCAACGAACGTAACGTTGGTCATTTTTTACTTTGGCCATACGACTTAAAGCAAATGCCCATTTGGTTAAGTAATGGAAATATTCTAAAGTTTAATATAGTTCTTTCTTCTTTTCTCAACCTGCAATTTGTTAGCAACTTACGCCCATCACCGTCGTACGATGTTTCATCATCGACTTTTCCAATCCGTAATCCTCCACGTGTTGGGTGTTCATCTGTTGCTGTTCCTAGGCGCTTGCTTCCATCTCGTTCTCTTCCAAGAATATCATGTACATTATTAACGAGCGCATCAGCTTGTTCGAGGTATTGACCATCATTCGTTTCTCGATATAATGTCAGAAAATTGCAAACACCGTACGCATCCGTCCATAAGTAACGACTTTTATTATCCGCATACGGTTTAGGTATCCAATTACCTTTGACATATCTACCATATAGAGTTTCAACTATTTTTAAAATTTGTTCAAGTACAGATTTATCCATTGTTGAGATTCTTGAATAAATCGAGAAAATATTCTTATTTGATATAGACTATCGTGCCAACAAACTAAAACGACGTTATCGACTTCTCCCACTATTTCCCCTACTGAAAACTGATTGGATACTGTAAGTAGACCAACAAGAAACTGAGTCAATAAATGAATATTATTTTTCGATAAAATAAAATTCTTATAATTTTGTATAAATAGATAAAATATGTCGAACAGTGAATATCGACAAATTACGGGTATTATCGTCGGTTGCGGTAATCGTGGCCAAAACTATGCTGAATATGCTCGGCATTTCCCAGAACGTTTTCGTGTGGTAGCCGTCGCTGATCCACGCCAAGTTGTACGTGAAAAAATGCAAAAACTGTTTTCACTCGAAGACAAACATGTCTCTAATGATTGGCGTCAATTCGCTGACCCGAGCATAGAACGCCTTGCTGAGTGTGCTCTAATAACATTACCTGATCGGGAACATTATGAAGCAGCAATACAACTGGCAAAGAAAGGGTATCATATCCTATTAGAAAAGCCGATGGCCACCAAACCTGAACACTGCAAAGAAATTGTTCAAGTTTGTCGAGATAATAATGTCCTACTAGGCGTTTGTCACGTACTGCGATATTTGCCAGTAGTGAAGAAAATCAAAGAATTAATCGATAAGAATGTCATCGGTAAATTAATTTCCATACAACACATTGAACCAGTTGGTAAGAAATTAAGAAAAAACTCATTGAATTGCAAAATTTCATCTTGACGTTTGATTTGCATAGGATATTTTCATTTTGCTCACTCATTCGTCCGTGGAAATTGGCACAATGAAAATGAAAGTTGCTTTTCTTTGTTGGCCAAATGCTGTCATGATCTTGATTTGATTCAGTATTGGATGCAACCGCGACAATGTGTAAATATTTCCAGTTTTGGCAAATTGATGCACTTCACCCGTGACAATAAACCTCAAGGTGCAAGTGATCGATGTCTCACTTGTGCTGTAGAATCGACATGTCCGTATTCAGCAAAAAAGATCTATCTCGAAAAACCCAACCGTCGATGGCCAGTTTCGGTTGTTGTTCCAGACATTGAAGAACACGAAGGTTGGGATGAGATTAAAGTTAAAGTTAAGCATGCGTTGGAAACCGGACCGTATGGGAAATGTGTTTACGGCGATTGTGATAACGATGTTGTTGATCAACAAGTTGTTATACTGAACTTCGATGACGGTAAAGAGAAAAGGGTGTGTTGTAAGATAATTTCGAACTATTGCTATAGGAGCGACAGCTACAATGCAAATGGTTGCTTTTACCGAACAAGTCTGTCAACGAACATCGCGTATATTTGGTAGTCATGGTGAATTAACGTGGACTGGCGAAGATACATTAGTTCATTATGATTTTTTAACACAGAAACGAACGATTTACGATGAAGCGGATCTTACGAGTGCTGGCATCATGGGTGGTCATGGCGGAGCAGACTTTTTCGCAATGGATTCATTTATACGTGCACTATCGTTGAATAAGCCTGAATTAATTGGCACAGGACCAGAAGACTCATTAGCTAGTCATCTGATTGCTTTCGCAGCTGAAACTGCTCGAAAAGAGAATCGTGTTTGTCAAATCAATGAATTCGCTTAATTGCAACAGAAAAAACAACCATTTTCTTTGATTAAACAAAAGTTTTATTTTATTCGAGAGAAATAAAAATTTCGATGATTAATTAGTAATTAGAAATTCGCTTAAATTTGATGTCGTAGAAAAACTTTCAAATTGTTCGAGATCAATTGATGATGAAATATTTGACGGGATCGTTATATCAAGATTAGATATCGACGAATGATGTGAAATCTTTTGTTGATTTTGATTTCGATCTGTTTTAATTGTTTGACTATCAATACTTGTTAAATCTGATTCAATTACAGCTAGTCTATAGCAAAAGACACTGACGAGATCGTTTACAATTGCGATGAAGTTACTTGTTTTCTAATGGATTATTTTCGAATTTTTCAATTAAATTCCGAACACATATTGCTTGATCACCAAATGAAAGTGAATCCGTCTGATCGTATTCCGAACTATTTTCAATGTTTGTCAATGAAGAATTTATTTTCTCAGACTGCATCTCTTCATCGTTCGGAAACTTCCATTGAATCCCATATTTAACAGAAGATAACGACGTTTTATCTACCTGAATCACATTGACTATCGAACGTTTGCGAGTCAGACTCGTACTTGACGAAGTAACTTTGACTGCAACTTGACTGCGAGAAAGAAAACAAAACATAGTCCGACACTATGCGTTATCCAAACTCTCCTAGCGGAAATAACATTCTCACGTGCTTTGTTCGAACGGTAAACTCGCTTCTTCTCGTAGATGATTCATTTTCATTTGTGATCGATCGATCTCATGAATGTAACTGACATCATTTTGATTCTTTCTCGCATGAATAATGGTCAGTATCATAAGACTAACAAAACCAATTGCTATTGAAAGACTACCAATCAATTCGATGATCATTGTTCATACTATGACAAAATTTACTTGATATCTGCCTCTATTAAATTAAAATAAGATTGTTTATTTCATTTTGTATTGCTGTTGCCTAAGCAATTTCATATCTTTGAAAACGAAACAAAAAGAACGAATAGAATAGCCAGTACGAATGTATGGTCATGGTTCATTGAGTTGCTCGTTCAAGTGTTCTATAAGTTCAATTACTTCTCTTTTTGTCATACATGCATATATCTACAACAAAACTAAATCAAATTTCTCAAACGATCATCAAACAAGTGTCTCACTTTTCTTTTCACTAGTGACACGTACAGGTGAATCGAAAAATCAAGAAAAAAAAACAAACCATATCAATAATTATCATTTGTTTACTCATTCTATCAATCAGAACTAATTCACAATGAATGATACTGTGGACAGTGTTTACCGTTTCGTTACCGATCAATCGTCAACAGCATACAGCAAAATGAATTCCTTCGTTTCGTCGTTACGTCGCCGTCTGGATAAGGTACTTACAGTTACCGCGCCTCCTAACTCCTTGCCGACGCATTCTTCGTCTGTAGCATCAAGAGATGGTGAGATTCTTTTGCTTAAAGATACTATAACAGACGCTTACCTTATGCTTGCTATGATCGATAACGATAACAAAAATAGTATAAACGCTCATTATGAATTAAAAGAATGCTTGCATGCTGCTGAAAATTTACAAAGGCAATCATGCTCGCCGACGACTGCACGTCGTTTTATTACTGAAATTCGCTCATTGATGTCTTTATCTCATTCAGATGAATACTATTCATCCAATCCCAAGTACGATCAGAATAGAAGACCGGAGAAAAATCTCAATGTTTATGATACATTGAGTAAGCACCGTCCGCTCGCAAGATCCAACCCCAATGTACAAGATGTCAGCAAACCTGTTGAGACGGGTAAGCCCGCTCATATCCAAAGACATTCGCTTCGTAGCTCTATGCGTAATTTACTAAAACGTCGTACAATAAAAATTCCATCTAAAAAATTTCTAGGCCCATCTACTGATTCTCAAACGCCACACATATACGAATCACTTGATACACCGTCGCCCGATCTCACTCCACCACTCGATACGTCATCGTCAGCACCTGAACCGTCGTTCGCTGCGTCGCCAATAATCAAATCATCGTACTTACTCCCATCATCCATCGTGGTTCTCGATCATTTTACGACAAATCTCTATTTAGTGGTGAATTCAACGTTAAATCAGCTATTAGTCGTGTTTGGATCAACGAAAATTCATACTATTAAATTATATGACACTAACGGAAGAAAAATTCACAATAATGATCTAATTCTACAATACAGATTCGAGGATCTACATGGATATAAATTACTATCGTCAGCACTAAACAATAACTCGGAAAATCGTCTGATCGTCAATGAAATACGTGTGTACGTGACAGAATCATTAGATGAAACATCGTCAAATCAAACGCTCAAACAACGCTTATTATTTTTTGATCAAAATGGTCATTATATGTCAGCATCAAAACGTTTACCGATAACTAATGAATTGCTCTTTGTTGATGTCGATCGTTTATCGCCATCGATCTTTGCCTATGATGGTTTGAATCTTATAAATTTAGATCGAAATTGGTCGACGAATGTTGAGCACATCGATAGTATCGCTGCTGGTTCGAATTTTCTCGTTTGTTTACATACAAAAACGAATCAAATAAGTATTTACAATAGTCAAACAGGTTCATTTATATATCGCTGGTTAATATCAACAAAAAACATTCACCATCTCCAAACAGTTTCTTTGTGTGTATCTCGTCAAGATTTAATCTATGCTCTTGTATGGAATTGTGATGTTCATCCTGTAAATAATCTTGTTCTTGTGTTTGATCAAGAAGGACAATTACGCCGAGAATATTATGTGCCAAATCGTATCATGCCAAATATGCATGGCTCATATACGTACGATATGACACTTGGTGGTGGTGGTGGCGGTGCTGCGGCGGCGGCGGTAGCCGCTCATCAAGCACCCAATCCATTTGCTAATTTGATCCGTCGTTCAACAACTAAACCAACTCCGCAAACATTGGCATGGATGCAACAACAAGCTATGTGGAATCCAAATGGTCAACACCATCCACATATGTGGCCAGCAAATAGTTCAGGCCATCAAAGATCGCCGATGCAGCCGATCTACCATCGAGGTATGGGAAGATCTTATGAAATGTACCATCATTCTCAACAACAGCAACAGCACGACGATAATACTTTGTTTCATGCACGTTTTATTGCTATTACGGACGATGATACATTGATTCTTTCGAATATTATCGATCTTGGTCTAGACGAAGAAACACAAGAAACAGCGGTTGTTAACGTTAGTCGAAAGATTTTATTTTTTCATATTGAGCCCTGAATTGATGTATATGCTTTCTTTTATCAATATTGCATGTAAAGATAAAACATAAAGAAAGGAAAACAAACAGCATGTTCGATCTGTCATCTGTACACTTCCTTACAAAAGGAAATCTAAGAAGTACTCATTTTGAGTTCTGATTGTGATAGTTCTTACCCATGTACGAATATGTTCCTACAGGATCCAAAATATTCTAGAGTATTGATAGCATCATTATAATTAATGAAATATCTATCAACGAAAAGTGTTCGATTGATTTCTTACGAACCCAAACTTGTCTCGTGATTCACGATAATAGAAAAATATCGTAAGAAGATCAACTGTTTAGTTCTTTGAATCTAATTTCGAAAGAAACGTTGATCTCATTGGGGAGATATTTAGTACAGGGAAAAGTTCGAGCATGTTGAAGTTTTCGCAATCATCAAAACGACAAATCTCGTGTGAGTGATTGTTAGTTTGATGAGCATCACCGTTGAATGCTACGCAAGTTTAACACACAGATCAAAAGACATCGATTTAATCTGAATTGTGTGAAACGTATGGCATTACTGTGATTATTGTCACATATTCACCTGTTTTCTTTTCTTTTTCAATTGAATCATAGTTCAAAACATTTCTTTTCGCACTCTCCTCTGACACCTAAATGCTCACATATTCAATAAATACCAATCTTTACTACTACGACGACATTTTCTCGTCAGAATTGAAAGTCAATCGATTGTGAACTCGAATAGAACGCTCATTCTGCTTGTCTCTACGAAAAGTTCATTTCCGCTTGGTCAACGATCCGATGTCTTCACTGCACAACTAATATGCTCATTGTCGAAAGCAATAAAGTTAGGATATTCTTGTTTATATGATGGTAAAATGAGCTATGTTTGGGTCACAGATGGGTGTTATTCGTTCTGAAGGACATTAAAAGGCTATCTGACACCTTCGCATTTTTTGACACCTTTCTCTTGGTTGATCACCGGCTCAGCACATTCTGATTTTTATGTTTAACATTTATGACCAAGAGAAAAGGAGGGAGAGAGAGAGGAAAATGTAAGAAATTCATTCTTATTGATCAGTAAAAGAAGAAAGAGAAAACGAAAACAATCGTTTGATTTAAAAGGAGCATGTATGTGACATACTCAGGTCAAATGAATAACATGTCAACATTGATTATCTTCTTCTCGTTGATCGTTCTTATCCAAGCAAAAACATTACCAAGTGATTTTATGTAAGTAATCATCCATGATATTCTACTCCAAACATATGAGACGTCGTTTCTACAGGTTATTGGGTCTAACGCCAATTACTCCATTAATCAATGGTCTGCCATGTCAAGCATATCGTCCGTTTCTTGGAGAGAATACTGATTATCTATGTTCAAAAGTTCCTCATTTACATCAGATCCTTTACCAATCGAATCTTGAAAGTCGCGAACGATGTCGATACCATTTTCGCGACCATCCATGGGGTTGTCAACTGAGTTCAAAACTTGTCCCATTAAGAAGATTTCTACGGCAAGGTAAGCGTTATCTTTCTAATTTTCTTCTCATTAATAATCTTTCGTTGAAAATAGCATCAAAAGAAGCGTCATTTTACACGACATTAACCAGTGCAACGCTAACATTAAACTTAATCAATGCATGTATTAGAGGTCAAATTAATGATACCGATTGTTTATGTTCGAAACCCGGACAATTATGTCAAATAGATTCAAAGATTGCTTTTCAACTATCTCATTTAATCACTGATGGAATGAACATGACGAAAACTTTCCAGCAGAAGTTTCTGTTTCAATTAAATCAAGCTAACAAAGAACTCGGCCGAAAAGTAAATAACCTTTTGCTTGTATGAATGTTTCAGACGAAATTCTTGGTTTAGATCGTGCAATCACTGATGAAAAAAGAATGTCGTTGCCATGGTGTCAGTGGCTCATGTGAATTACAAATCTGTCGATTACATCCAGCGAAATTAGATGACATGAGTAGTGAAATCTATTTGAATGCATATCAAAATGCTCGTTACATGGAATCGAGTGAATTTCTGGCATTGAACGAAAGAACTCAACTATTTTATGCACGGAAATCAATAAACTACTGTCGTTCCAACTCATTTATTGATTATCAAGGTATAACACAAGGACGAGAATGTTTTAGTAATGACGGATGTGAACAAGTGTGCTGTCACCACGGCTATGAAGTCATCACTGAAATGAAATCGATTGCAAATTGCCATTGCTACTTTTCATGGAACATCGTCAATGTTCAATGTCAACCATGTGAGAAAAAGATAACGAAAATGATCTGTACTTAACGAATGTTTGTTTTCATGTAAATAAGTCTTATTAGTTCGAGGAATCTTCGCATTGTTTTCTTTTAGAAATAAATATCTATTATTTCATCTGACATCAGATAGATTATCGACATATAAAAGATGTCTTTCCCTCTAAGATTTTTATCGGTTATTGCTCGAAAGACGTCATCTTGAGACATTAGGTAATCATCAGAAACATATTGCGAGATTATAAACTAATAATCCGAGTGTTTCACGCATATATTAATGAAAGATTTGTACTCACCGAGATACGTTTCATCTTCTGACGAAAATATCAAATCTATTCAAAGCCAACGAAGCGGTTAAACGTTTTAACAATATGACTAATTTATTAACTATAAATACAAGTGCATCTGTCTGGCAATCAAATAAATATCTCTCAATAAATAAAACCTGATGTTTTACCAATTCGACAGGAAAAACAACAATCGCATTCAGATTGGATCGCTTTGCAAAAAAAAGAAAATTTTATTTGTTAAACTAATCAATAACCCAAATGCAATCATCTTCAGGCGAGAAAATGTAATCAAACCCATATCCATAATCAATTTATTTGCTGTTTTCAATCATTGTTCAAACAACAATTCAATGCCCGTTAGACAAATAGTTCTTCTATAATAGGAAAAAAAACGATCCCTTTATTCTTTTCATCGCATCATATATACTTTCTCTTGAACAAAGGCGAAATCTATTTCTGTATACACATCAATGGGACAAAATGAAAGAGATTTTTTCAAGATGAATTCAATTTGACGAAATCGTCAGAAAAAAAAACACTTCAATTGTCGATTATAAGATATAATAAAAAAAAACAAAAGAATCATCTTGACTTTCATAGTAAATACATATTCTTACATCCTGACATATTTTCCTTTCTCCGATTCAAGTCATTTCTCATAATGCCCCATCTGCAGTGCGAAATTCAAACAGAAAAAACTTCATGTATAACGAGTTATTCTTTTCTTCTGCAGATATTTCCTTTGAATCCGCTCATTTAATATCCAATTTCCATAATTAATAAGCCTGATGAATATGAGAGAGAAAGAGAAACACAGGAGAATGAGTACGAACAACTGATGTCAGTCGTCAGCTTTTCTCGAACAAATTTTTCTAGTAAAAAAACGATTATAGAATTCAAAAGTTGCTTTTTTTCTTTTGCTTAATAAACAATTTAAAACAAAAGATAAATAATGATCAGAAAGGCTTAAAAAGAGAAGAAAAGACAAGACCTCGAAAAATGAAATGAATTATATGTTAGATATGAATAAATTGCGCATGTCTGATAGCGATTATTAACTACTCTATGATCGGTAAATTACATACTAAACAACCGAGGCGGCGTCAGTTAGAACGGTAATATAAGCATGATTAGTGAGGATGAGTTACTCAAGTATCTCATTTGCTTACCAATAACAGAACACAGATAAAAGTAAAGAGATCGTATTATTTCTGCTGAATTTTCTCACTTTTTTCCTCGTTCTTTTTTAGATTTTTGTTTGGTCTTGGTTTTGTTCCTCTTCTTTTCTCTTCCTCTTCTCCTTCGTGGTTCTTACACGTCTATGTGCGCGACCAAGCGAGTGTGATTGTTGTGCTCATGCAGAACAACGACGGACGAGAAAGAAAAAGAAGAAGAGATGAGAGAGAGAGAGAGAGAGAGAGAAGGAGAGAGAAAGTCGATCGCCGTCTCTTATTATCATCATTGCCGCTCGTTTGACTGTCTCTAGCATCGAGAAGTTTACTCATTTCTCTTGTTTAGCAGACCAATATGCATCTCATCATCAATGCTGGGAACGATTTTCTCACAAAGATCTTCTAACTAGGCTCATTTGACTTGAAACGTGATTGTAGAAGTAACACCGTAAGCGAGAACGAGTGAGAGTGAGAGAGCGAGCTAGCGAACGACACCGAGCATATGTGTGTGTATATATGTTTACGCGAGTTGCCAATCGTCGATGCTCGTCGTCTCATTGTCACGTATAGTGTTGTTATTAATCGTTCTGATATTGATTACATTTCTAACTGACAATGGCAATTGTAATCACGATGATCATAGTCGAACGTATATTCATCACTATTATCCACCACAATTTCGCGCTTCACATAGTCCATCTTACGATTTTATCTATATCCCAGGTGGGTGTAAATCAAACTTTGAATTTTATTTGCTCAATCTATTCAATTCTAGGTGACATTATTCTTGGCGGTTTTTTTCCTATTCATCAACCACCGTCGAATGAATTCGGTAGTAATCAATGTGCTGCCATTAAACGTGAACGCGGAATCCAACGTCTTGAAGCAATGATGTTTGCATTAGATGTGATCAATAACCGATCAGGCTATTTAATGTCGTCAATATTGAATAAGTATCAGATTCGATTCGGTGCACTGATTTATGATTCATGTGACTATGAATCGTATGCTGTTGAACGTGCACTCAACATGCTATTACCTTCACTTGATCATTGCATGCCAATAGCTGCACAGAATCCATCGGCATTTGTGGCTGGTGTTATCGGCAGTGCATCAAGTATTGTGTCGATGGCTATAGCAGATATTCTTCGTTTAGCAGAAGTATGCTATTTTAGTTGCTTTTTTTCTAACACGAAAGAAAGAAGAAAAACGACGTTCTTTTACAGTCAATTAAACAAAGATACAAAAATCCTTAGAAAATTTTTCCTGCTTGAAATATTCTAATACAAACTCGAACGTGATAATCCTCGTAGATATAAGCATGAAAATGACACGTTCCCTATTGAACAAATGAGTTGCCTTTGTATCGAACTTCTTTTATGTCGAAAGATTCTGATCATTAAAAAACTTGCATCTGTATCTTTTCTTCTATTCAATAGATTCCACAAATATCGTATGCATCAACAAGTACAGATCTAAGTCAAAAGCCCCGTTTTCAATATTTCTCGCGCGTTGTTCCACCTGATACGTATCAAGCTGAAGCTGTTAGTAATCTGAAAAGATCTTTTTCTCTTTCTCATTTCCATCTCATGACATTTTTTTTGTCGTACACTCTAGGTGGTTAGCATTATTCAGTTTCTCAATTGGACGTACGTTGCAGTTGTTAAAGAATCGGGCTCCTACGGCGAACGTCTAACGGATGACTTTAAGTCAAAATTAAAGAATAAAAGTAGCCAGGTTTTTCGTTAATTCCATCGTAAAACGTCTCTGTCGTCTTGTTCCTAGCTATTTGTATCGCTGGTGAATTGTCAGTAAATAACAAAGATCTGAATTCCTATGTTCGCGTAATTCGAGAACTGTATGAAGATGAAAAGTATCGTTCGGTGGTTGGTGTCATTGTTTTTGCACAAGAAGATTCTGTTAGGTGAGAATAAAGAGAGAACGTCGACTCAAGTTTCATTCCGTTGATATGCTTTAGACAAATTCTCAATCAAACATCATCGAGAGATGAATTATATGGCCGATGGGTTTTTCTCGGCACCGATGGGTGGGGAAAGAAGAGATATCCGGTGGAAAATTTCGGCATTGCTGCTATTAATTCCATTACAATTGCACCAAAACTGTATTTGATACCAGGTATAAAGAAGAAAACGCGAAGGCGTAATTGAAATTGAATTTTTCCTCAATCAATAGAGTTTGATGCATATTTTACCAATCTGATTCCGTCTAAAAACACACGAAATCCCTGGTTTCAAGAATATTGGGAAGAAACATACAAATGTAAATTTCCTGACACGCCGAGAACACTATTTAATCGAAATTTTACTCGACTATGCACAGGTTGATTCTCATCATTCATGAATGTATTTTTCCATGATTAAATTTTAGATACTGATCATACGCATGCGAATCTATCGGTTCCATACACCCAAGAAGGTTATGTTCATTATGTTGTTGACTCTGTTTTCACACTTGTCATTGCGATACAAAAATTAATCGAAGACAAATGTCTGCATTCGTTGCACGATAAACTATTATGTGACGAATTCTTTCCTTTCGATGGTACGAAACTGCTGATTTTGCTGCGAAATACAACCTTTCGAAATGGTAAGCAATAACCCGTTCATTGGGAATTTGCTGCACAATGAATTTGTACTTAGAATTATCGAAGCGTATTATCAAGTTCACGACCGATGGAGATGGTATTGGTACCTATGATATATTTCAATATCAAATGCTTGATTCATCTGATCGACATGATTATTTAACTATTGGAGAATTCACTGATAGTGATCAAAGTAACGAGAGGTAAAATGCATAGAATAGCATGACAAACTGATTAGAGATATCTCCGTCATTGTCAATTCTCTGCGGAAGTCTGTTTACATTGACGAAGAATATCATAGTTCAAGGAAAGCTAATCATAAACATAGTATATTTGAAAACATGCAATCACATACCCATAATCAGCTAACGAAAAAAGAAAGAACGGATTGTAATACAATCTGTAGATTTGTCATTTGAAACAAACAAACAAAGATGTTAATTATCTTGTCAAGAAACGAGGAACATTTTTGAAATCCGGCTTTGTTCTAGAGAAAAGCCGCGCTTTTTTCCAAGTTTAATAGATCGGATAAGTTATTTCCTTTGCTATGAGTGTTCCTATGAGTACACCTTGTGACAATGTTCTATTAATTACTAAATTCATTCACATTGCATGTTATGTATGAAGAATCTAATAAAAATTTGTTCTTTATCTCGGAATAAATCTGATTATATCTGCAAATTAGATATTTAGAAAAAATGTGACTTAATCATTTTCACGCAAAGTTAATTGATACTCAGCGAAGCGGAGACAAATCAATGTAGGAAGGTACCTGGTCATCAAACGACAAATGAATTGTGCAACTGTTCAGATGATAGCATTTCGGACTGACTATTGGCCAAAAGAAGAAACGCATTAAACACCTTCTTTTTTTTCCCTTTTCATAGAGTGCGCATCAATGTTCAGTCATTAAAATGGGTTGAATATGACCATGGATCATCCCAATGGACAGATATTTCTGTTACACCACGATCGTTTTGTAGTAAACCTTGTCATCCTGGTGAAATTCGTACGAATATAGATTCACAGCAATGTTGCTGGACATGTCGAGCATGTGAAACGTTTAGTATAGCCATAAATGAAACAGCATGTCAAGCTTGTCCAGAAAAAGAAGTGCCCAATGTCGACTCGACGAAATGTATAGTCATACCCGAAGAATATTTATCACCGCGTGATATTATTGCATGGCCAGCATTGGTTCTTAGTTGTATTGGCCTATTAATGGCCATTTATACTGTTGTTATTTTCATACGGTTTGCTCAAACACCAGTTATAAAAGCATCCTCACGTGAATTAAGTTTTTTTCTTTTATTTGGTATCTGTTGCTGTCACCTTTGTACATGGCCTTTGATTCTCAAACCACATGCTATTACATGTCTTTTCATACGTCTTGGCGTTGGATTAAGTTTAACTATATGTCTAGCTGCACTACTGACGAAAACCAATCGTTTAGCACGAATATTTAATAACAGTCAACGTTTAACTCAACCATCCTGTTTATCACCTCGATCACAACTAGGTATTTGCGGTGGTATAGTTAGTGCACAATTAATAAGTGTACTACTATGGATAATCATATCTCGGCCATACACACGTATTAAATCCGAACAGAAACATAATCAAAAACGTTCGATTTTAGTATGTCAAACTAATAATGAATATATTGTATGTTCATTGATTTATAATATGATCTTGGGTATATATTGTACATTATATGCGATTAAAACACGACATATTCCAGAAAATTTCAATGAAGCAAAACATATTGGTTTTGCCATGTACTCCGTTTGTATCATATGGTTAGCATTCATAGCAATCTTCTTTGGTCTTCGAAGTAGTGACAATTGGTTTCGGGTAAGTGTGAGATTTTGATTCATCTACGTGAGTTTTATTTCATTCGTTTAGATTCAATTGGTAACTCTGGCTATTTGTCTTAGTTTATCCGCGACTGTCATACTTTTATGTTTATTTGCACCAAAATTATATATTGTTTTATTCAATCCGTCCAAGAATATTCACGTGAAATTTAAGACAACACTATCCACTCCACAAACATCGATTGAACGTCCGAGCACAAGTAATAATCAAGAAGAACTTTCGACCACAGCTGCAATGAACCATCGTCGTCGTCGACACACATCATCTGACTACACAACCGAAGTGTCATTATTTAATTCGAAATCAGATAGTTGGGCACTAAATTTAAATGACGAGACAACGCAAACAGCAAGTATTAGTGGCGGTAGTTCATTTCTAAACGATGCATGTACAGATGCTGAACGACAACAACAACGTCATTATACATCTACACACGATAATGAAACAACTGATCTTTTGTCAACATCTAAACAACGAACTAATTCCAATTATTTACAACATACTCCATTGAAGCCGACATCGTCAAATTTAGTATCGGCAGCTGAAAATCCATGGAAGAAATTGAGTAATGTCCGATACAAACTTGATGGAAATGATGTTAGTCAACAGAACTCACATTACCATCATGTTCATGCGCAGCATATCAGTTTTGTTTGAATCGGTTCTTCTTTTGTTCGAATATTAGATGTTTTTATTTTGTCATTAAAAAATAAATAAATTATATACACATATAGATTTACATATTTTCGTTTCTTCTCTATCGCATCCATGACTTAAAGAACATTTTATTCAAGTTTAATACCTATCGATCTTATTCCACTATCACTGAGAAAGATAGTTTTCTATTGGCGACTTCGAGCGACATCTATTTACCATATTTATATATTTCGCATAGCATTCATTGTTGAAAAGCAAGTTTTAGACGTCTTATTTGTTTTTTTTTATTTTTCAAGTAATAAATCAAGACTATAGGCTGTTACTTTTCAGAATAATAAACATATATTTTACTCGAATACGATTGGAGAATCGAGTTCACACTTGATTTATTTCTTCACAAACTATATTTGTCAATTGAATGCCCGAAAGTCTTGCACGCAAACGCTTGACTTCTATTGCTAAAAACGTTGCCACGTGTTCAACTCAAGTAAGATTTCTTATCTAAAATCCATTCGACATCATCTTTATTTTTTGCTATTTTCCTCCATAAAGGCCTCGGTATACGCCGCTTGTGTGATTAATCATACTGACTTGAAAAAAGATTCTTGTCTGAAAGAATTTCTTGCGTTAAAAGATTGTGTACAAAAAGCAGTAAGATTGTTGTTTGATATGTTAGCGACTCATAACATCGTTCGTTTAGGCATTGAAAAATGGTTAAATATATTCTCTCTATCTTGTTCTGTTCAATACTCGTACTGTTTATTAATGCATCTCAAGATTCCGTTGCAATCAACCCGTCAAATGAAAGTGTTGGATCATATAAAATCGAAGGGAAAATCATTGTCCCACCTGGTGACAATGCACTTCAAAACACAAGAATTTTAGTGGATGAAGGCCTCTATGTTGGTATTCCACAAGTTGATGGAACATTCACCATTTGCGGTAAGCATCGATATCATCGAACTGACATATGCACAATTGATTTACTTTAGGTGTACCAAGTGGTTCATATATTGTTTCTGTTGTCTCACCAATGCATGTTTTTGAGCCTGTTCGTGTTGATATCAATGCTAAAGGTAAAATTCGTGCTCGTAAAGTCAATTTCATTCAACCAGGCGAAGTTGTGACAATGAAATATCCATTGAATTTCGAAACTCATGGTATACCAAACTATTTTCAAAAACGTGAAGTCTATCGTCTCACCGATGTGATTATGAATCCCATGTTTCTAACATTACTTGTCCCATTAGCTCTGCTACTCATTCTACCTAAAATAGCATCACAGGATCCTGAAATGCAACGGGATTTACAACAAGCAAGTAATTTCCTCCAGCCGAATTTGAATACGCCTGATATTGGTGATATGTTCGCTAATATTTTTGGTGGTCCTAAGAAGCAAAAGCCTACACAGCAACAAATTCAAAATGGTGCGAGTGGTGGCGCATCAGGTCCACAACAGAGACGAAGAAACGAACCAGCGGTTAGACGTCGAAATTAACAGCATTTGCTTTTGTAAAGCTCATTTTTCTTTTCTTATTTCGAATAAAAATCCCACACAAAACAACATCTTCTTGTTTGTTTTCATCTCTTTTCTCTCTCACTAGGAATTTACTCGACATAATCCATACTCAGCCAATAACGAGGCCATGTCGTTATCGATAGATATTGAACAATTAAAGAGTGCAGTGATCGATCTCGCTTGTGCATCTTCGCCTATTTTCCTATACGTCCCACGAAAGACAAGTTCATTTTCTATGGATGGTATCTGTAATTCTAGAATGCAATGTTTGCCAGTTATAGTTAATAGAAGGAAATGATCAGTTGATGACGGCATCGGTGCAAACGATATCACAACCGATGATTGCATAACCTCCTGTTTGACATAGCGTGTCAGTGGTAGTCGTTTTCGTCTATGTATTTCAATAATATTCGCATCGAGTTTTGTCTGATTAGGTTTGAGAAATAATCGTAATTCATTCAGATTCCGTTGCCAATACATCCTTAATGGATTACGATTGTTTATAGTTAAGCTTGTTTGTTCGAGTGCATTCGTCCAGAGTGTTTCACTTGGTGAACAGTCGATACGTAGTGGAAGGTTGAGAAGAGAAATTAATTTCTGCTGACAGAGATTATAATTCGTTCGTTGTAAATCATCTAGTGGCAAGGCAACTAACCAATGATCAATATTCATTTGAGTTTTTTGTTCAAGAAAAATAAAAATATGTTGTCTTGGAAATTTCTTCTTCTTATTTTGTTCTAGATGAATCAATTCTCATTAAAACATTTTATCGTTCGCTCGCAAGCTTTGGCACTGTATCGAGACGTAATGAGAACTGTGATGAAAATCGAAGATCAGGATTATCGAAAAGAAAGTGCGTAGAACACTACTCATGTTGATGCAACTTCATCTTTTGCATTCTAGTTCGAGAATGGGCAAGAAGTGAATTTCATCGAAATCGATCATTGAGAGATCTAGGAGAAATTCGAACACAAGTAGCACTAGGACGACGAAGTTTAAATGAATTGAAATTAGCGATGCAAATGGCTTCTTGATCTAGACAAAAATATATGTATTTGCTCGATTTTCTATTCTGCCCTTTGTCATATTTTAGATGGCTACTGAAGGTAAAGGAGACGCTGCAACAACAGGAGCAGGAACTTCAACAACCATTCCTTTACATCGACAAGTAACAGATGAATTCGGTAAAACGTTTCCCATCGAAAATTTTCTTTTAGGAATTGTTAAAATGGCAAGGATGGGGTTATCGTGATTCACGATTTTTCATCAATTCAAATGGTTTAATTGAATTTTCTGGTTCGCGATACTTATTAAGTGGTCACGTTCTTCCGCGCTTGAAAGATTGGATGTTCAGTAAACTACATGCAAGTATCGACAACTATTCGCCGAGTGTTCAAGAACCAAATCCTGATTACATTCCCGAACCCATCCTTAACAGTTCATTCATTAATGATTTTCAATCATCACTTGGTTCAACGGTTCAATACTCATCCGATATGAATGATCGTCTCTTCCATGGACACGGTCATACATTGGAAGAAATCTGGAAGCTACGACATGGTGGAAAGTTCGATCGATTACCAGATTGGGTTGTTTGGCCGCGTAACCATAGTGACGTTGAAAAAATCGTTCGCCTAGCCACTAAACATAATGTTTGTTTGATTCCATTTGGTGGAGGAACATCAGTTACATGGGCATTACTCTGTCCAGCTAATGAAAAACGCATGATTGTCAGTGTTGATACATCACAAATGAATAAAATCCTTTATTTGGATGAGAAAAATTTAACTGCACGAATTCAATCAGGTATTATCGGACAAGATTTGGAACGTGAATTAGCCAAAAAGGGTACGAAGATGGAAAGATTCATCGAATGTACATGTTTTGTTTTTGTATATCTAGGCTACTGTACGGGACACGAACCTGACAGTATGGAATTCAGTTCATTAGGTGGTTGGGTAGCTACACGTGCATCAGGTATGAAAAAGAATGTCTACGGAAATATTGAAGATTTGGTCGTTCATGTTACAATGGTTACGCCGAAGGGAACCATAGAGAAAAGTTGTCTCGGTCCCCGACAATCGATTGGACCAGATATTAACCATGTCATTATGGGTTCTGAAGGAACATTAGGTATTGTCACGGAAGTAACCATGAAAATTCGACCACTGCCAGCCTGTAAGAAATATGGTTCAATCGTATTTCCAGATTTCGAATCGGGTGTTGCATGCTTACGCGAAATAGCACGCTTACGAAGCGCACCGGCGTCGATACGTTTACTTGATAATGAACAATTTCTTTTCGGACAAGCTTTAGCCACTGATAACAAAGGAATGTTGCATTCATTAGTTGACAATATGAAAAAATTATATATTACTAAGATAAAAGGCTTCGACGTGAATCGAATGTGTGCAGCAACACTATTATTCGAAGGAACAACAAACGAAGTTAATCAAAGAGAAAAGTTTGTTTATGACATCGCACAAAAATACAATGGAATGCCTGCAGGAGAAGAAAATGGTCTCAAGGGATATACATTAACCTTCATGATAGCCTACTTACGAGATGTTGGACTTGATTATCGAATTGTTGCTGAATCATTTGAAACATCCGTTCCCTGGGATCGTGTCATAGGTATATCGATGAAAAGACTTTCCTTCCGTTCAATCATACTCTATTTTCTTCAGATTTATGTCGCAATGTTAAAAAACGTATCATCACCGAATGTGAGAAGAATGGTGTAAAATATCCTCCATTTTCTTCATGCCGTGTAACACAAACCTATGATGCAGGTGCTTGTGTTTACTTCTATTTCGTTATGAATTACAACGACATGCGTGCTGGCAACGATCCTGTTCACGTCTACGAACTCGTTGAACAAGCAGCACGTGAAGAAGTCTTGGCGAATGGTGGAAGTCTCTCGCATCACCATGGTGTCGGTAAAATTCGAACAAAATGGATTAAACAAGCCGTGAGTGACTTGGGTGTTGGCACGATGAAATCAATTAAAGAATATCTTGATCCAACGAATATATTTGGTTCGCAAAATCTTATACCTGATTCAGAAGAACCCAAAGAACAACATCTTAAAGCTAAACTTTAACGCCCGCAAAAAAAACTGCTAACAAATACACAACAGTGTTATTGCTTCAACGCACATATAGAAAAATTTCTTTAAAGAAACTTCATCGTTGTTGTAATTTACATGTCTTTTTAAGACTGATTTCCTTCGTTTTTTAAATTTGATTGATTCTTAAAACAATATCGATGAGTTCGTTTAACAAAACAAACACAAAAGAACAGATTTACTTTTTCAGATCACAATGACTTCTATTCGACAATTTAGACTAACTGACCTGCTAAGAATCAACAATGTGTAAGTAGACATCTGGTCGTTATTTGCAACGGGAATACATTGATTTGTGTTTTTCCTTGTAGAAATTTGGATATTTTCACAGAAAACGTAAGCTAGAACAAAAATACTTTACCAGATGCAAATGATCATAATTTACATTTAGTATGGCCTTTCATTCTACCTACATTACTTAGCTCGTTGGCCAGAATGTTTTTTTGTTGCTGTCAATCCTGCTCAGCGGTTGATGGGCTATAGTAAGTCTATTTATTCATTCGAATAATACGTGCTAATTATTCTTCTTCAAATGCAGTTATGGGAAAGATTGAAGGTAAGTTGAACGACGCACTTTTCATTTATGTGTCTTTTCTCGTGCATAAAGGTAAACAAGAGAACTATCATGGTCATGTTACGGCTCTATCGGTCGCGCCTGAATTTCGTCGTATCGGCGTCTCATCACAGTTGATGGCGTTGTTAGAAAATGTTTCTGAACAGTAATATAACTTTGCTTGCAGAAGCCGTCATAATTGAAAATGAACAAATGTTTAGAAAGAAAACGTATTTCGTCGATTTATTTGTACGCGTTTCCAATAAACGTGCAGTTGATATGTATCATAAATTAAACTATGTGGTTTATCGGCGAATCATTGGTTATTACTCAGGAGAACGAGATGAAGATGCATTCGGTAATCTATTTCTAAATAGATATAGAACAAGGACGAAGAGATTGTGATTCGATTTTTAGATATGCGCAAGGCTCTGTCGCGTGATGTCGACAAAAAGTCATTGATACCAATTCCGCATCCCGTCCGACCTGAAGATCTCGTTGATGATTAATCTGTATGACACATTTTTCTTTTTAAATACTTGTTCAGTTATTTATTCGTCAAAAGAGATCAATAAAATCGTAACGATGAAGAAAAAAAACGAGTCTGTATTCGTATCCATCAATCTGGCAACCGGCATTCATTGCTCGTCGATAGACAATTGTCATATTCCTTGAAACGGCCATCCTGTTTGTCACTGTTTTGTACACAAACGCATCGCTCCGTTTTCAAGGAACTATCGAAATATCGTCGAGGAAAGCCGATCCATGTTCGTTGAACTCCACCACTAGATCAAATTTGTTGAACATATCTTTCGATTGAATTACTTTACTTACCTCTTATCGGTGCACCACACTCGTCGACCAGTATCATGTGACCATTCACTATTACATGGTGGCCATTTTTGTTCAAAGGTCGCCTTTTCTTCTTCTTTCTATAGAAACAGATCAGATCAACTAACAATAATTGACTTGAATAGTAACCTTTTTCATATGATCGACAGAAACGAGAACGTTTTGAAAATGTTTTGTTGGCGCTCCATTAGCATCGAAATACCGCCCGATTAATTTGCCTAGACATTCACATGTGATGATTCCTGCGTTTCGTACACATCCTACCTATTTGTGGGTATTGCTTCTGATAGAATGCTAACCAATCATAAACGCTCGCAACTGCTTCGTCATTCAATCCAGTTAGATCATCCGTTAGATCCTCTTCAGTTGATTTACCCGTATGAAAACTTCGTGAAGCATCTCGACCTAGGTTAAACGTTGGTCGAATGCCATTAATTAACATATCGATAGGAAATTTTTGACATTTTCGCTCTACCTGTATAGAATTTATAACCGCCAGTAGAAGAATAAAATCGAGGCGCCGATGAAACATTGAAAACATGTCCTAAATTAATCAAATATGATTTTCGATGCTTATTTGCCCAGCATGTATGGATTCGATTACCTAGAATAGCTAAATACAATTCATCTTTTGTATATGTTCGCAGTTCATCCGAAGTGAATAAACGTTCTTTTTCCGTTGCTGTTTTATTAGTCTTGTCAATTGTTTGACGTTGTATGGCAAAAGAAATAACTACGATTATTAAGCAAGACGCCAACCAGAATTTATAACTATAGAAGAACAACAAAAACCAATCTGTTCATTAATTCTATTCAATGTAGAGATAACAGAATCGCGTTTTGACTACACATATGAATAAATTTCAGCGTGAGTATGTGGGAATGTTTATTAGTATTGTTTTTTCGCCTTTGCTCGCGTGTAAAGAGACAAAAAAAAACATCGTGCGTACTTTGATAAGAGCGAAGGCGTTGTCGCTGGCGAGGACGATTGATTCACGGATCTTTTCTGACCTTTGTTAGTTTTGTTTGTTGTCGACTAAAAATAAAGAGTGAATAAGCATGGATCAGCTATTATTTATCCACATAAACATCATGTGTTATTTTTCTGTTGAGTCTTAGATATTCATCGTATTATTTCTCTACATCTTTTTCTACTCGGAGTAATTTATGACATCTATGCAGAAATTTATTTTTTATTCTCTTTTTCATAAGAAAAGCGCATGAGATTGTCTATTGACTGTAGACAAAATTAAGCGTATATAACCTGGAAATTAAAGTAATAGTAAAATGTGTAATGAAGCGAAGGTTAAGTTTTTACTGTCGCCTACCATAATAATTGTCGTATTTCTTTCGTTTTGTCGAGAAGAACACGAAGAGAAAGAAAAGGTATGTTTTAGTTGCTTGTAACTTATCTTCTACCTACAATAAGATGCTTTTGTAAAATAAGAACACATCAACGAACCGACATACACCAACTTAATGTATTTTGTGTCGCTTGCTGTTCTCTTTCTTTTCTTATTGCATACACATACATTTACATAGTGGAAAATGAATTTCAAACATCATAAACTTTTCATTACAACCAACACCCTCACATTCTCTGATCCAACTGTGTAAAGAATGTGAATCAAACCTGAAAGACTCCTGTATACACATCGATATCAGAATGGTATTCGGCCGACTGGATTACGCAGCTTTTTCTCTTTCTTTCTCTTACTTTCTCTCGTGTTGTTTTTTATTCTATACGCATTTGCATGCCTTTGACGTCCATGATTCTTTCACAGTTTTTATTTCTCCTGTTTTCTCTTTCTCTCCCTCTCTCTCTCATTTTGCCTCCCTCCTGACTATAAGTATCTCTTGCTTATGCATCGACACTAGATCATTCGACATTCAACTAAAAGACGAAAAAAAAAGCAGACTATACTTGCACATATTCACCGTAATGGTCATTTTATTTTCTAGATTAGTATTCGTTTCTACTGTTAAATAATTCAACATGGGTGGCAAAGGATCCAAAAAAGCTCGAGCATCTCTTGAACTAACACCAAAAGGTTTGCTATTTATGAGACTATTATCTCCAACATTTTGTTGTTATCAATCTTGTAGAGATTGCCATGCTTAAAGCCAATACTAAATTTAGCGAAAAGGGTAAGACTACGTCAATAGAACCGCATTCATTTTAATCATTCTTTTCTATTTAGAAATTCGTGAATGGCACGCTGTAAGTTATTTGAATTGGTCTACTTTCTAGTCATATTAGTATGCTAATAGGGCTTTTTACGCGATTGTCCAAATGGTAAACTCGACAAGAAGAAATTCGTTGACGTTTACAAACAATTCTATCCACAAGGCAAGGCTGATTCGTTTTGCAAGTAGGACGATCGATTTCGATGAAATTTATCAGAAAAATCTTTCTGGTGGACTTTAGATATGCATTTAATACTTTCGATGCTAACAACGATGGTACAATTGATTTCGATGAATTTCTTTTGGCTATCGCAGCAACAAGTCAAGGTGATTTAGATGATCGTCTCGAAGTTGCCTTCGAAATGTAAGTTATTTTCAAGTGAATTCAATTTCGAATCGGTCGCTCTCGTAGGTACGACGTTTCAGGCGATGGACAAATCGATCAGAAGGAATTAGCTAATTTGATTTCTGCTATGGTAAGAAAGAAAAAGCCTCCAATCTATTTGATGCACATCCTGGTTTATTCTAGTACGATCTTGTTGGTGAAAGTGATCGTAAAGGTGATCGGGATCCCAAGAAACGCGCTGTTGAAATCATCACTAAACTCGATGTTGGTGGTGATAAGAAACTAAATAAGCAAGAGTTCATTGCTGGGTATGTTTCAATAGACTGCTGTTTTTATTTCATCATTCTCGCTTATCTAGATGCAAAAATGATCCAGTTATTCGTCGTATGCTTGCACCAAATGTTTAAAAAATCACTACGTTTGTTTGGATTTTTTACAAGACACATAGACTAAAACAGTTTTTATCACATTTCATTCTTTTCTTTCGCTTTTCTTTTATAATAAACAACTGTCAGTGTATAACCACGTCTAATTATACGAAATACCCAGTGAAACCGCCTAGTTTCAATAGCTATGCAGATAAAAGCACATGTGGTGAGGATTTTTCCCTTTGGTTAGAAAAAAAGAAGCACCTCATTCGAGTCGAAAGGTGTTGACGTACTAGAACGGTTTTATTATGGTAATAAACATGTTTTGGTATAGAATGAGTTCTGAAGAATCTGTTTTTTTTAAATATTGTATATTCAAGGTGAAAGCAAAATAATGTCAAAAACTTTACATACTTCAAGGATAATTTTCATTATTTATCGGAATTTTTACGACAAATGATTCGTCTGGTTTTTCATCAACAAAGAGAGAAAAAAAGAACAAACATGACAGTATGTTCGCGGAGTTTTTTCCTCACTTAAAAGTAGAGGAATGGTCCTGACAGAAAAGAAATTCTCCAAATGAGTTTTTAATACATTAACAACGATAAATTCTTCAAAGTATGAAGTTCTGTGGTGCGTATTTCCTCTATTACTTTGTTTAAGTATAGACAAGAGAGAAACGATCGCATTCTAGAATGCTTTCTGAGAAGCTCGATATGAGTTCGTTTAACGTATGAAATGAATGTAAAGAAATGAAATAAAGGATATCATATTACCATATTGATTAACGTACTACTCTTGTAATTTAAGAATCAATTTGGAATGAACGTGACATACGTTTTATATTAATATTAATACTGCCTAAGTGACGAACATAGCTTGAATATTTTGGTGTCAAGACTTTTCACACTGTACGGATGAATTTGTGCTTGTGAAAGTCGTTGATTAGATTATACAAATAGATACAGGCGCCAAGAATATTTCTAAAATAGATTATTACTGAGATGAACTCACCGGAGATTTCTTTTCAAATCGACAAATTATTCCATTCTGATTTCAATGATCGTATCGAGTCGCTGCAAACTGCAGTTCAGGCTCAACTTGAATTGGTTTCGAAAAACAGTGCATCTTTGCAACAAATAGTCCATTCGATTCCAATTATCTTTCGTTGTCTTAGAAATAACCTGCAGTCTCAGCAAAAACTCTTCGCTGAATACAATGAGCTAACGCACATTAGCCAGAAAGTAATCGCCATTTGCACTCAGTATATTCATGATCGTCACGACCATGAGAATAGACTTCTTTTCATCAAAGATAAAATTTCTCAAACGATTGGACGCATTGGTTATGGTCAATATTGTTTAGAACAACATTGGACGATGATTCATAGTTTAGAACAAGAAATCGAACGTTTACAACTGTTACTCAGCAATCCTCAATTGCTACAAGACAACCGAGAACGAGTGCGAACTTTTCAAGAAAATCAGAAGATTAAACTGGATCGACTTATCAAAGAAAATGAACATCTGAAAAATCTAATCCATCAACGGAAAGATTCGATACGATCGATGCAACTACAAATTGAAATAGACATTCAAGAATTGCGAACATTGCAGTCAGTTTTACACAAGAAAAAATTCGAGCAAAAACATGTTCAGAAACATTTACTACAACTAGGTTAGTTTTCCCAGAACCTGATTGCATCGAACGACTCTTTCTAGACAACCAAAGTTCTCATCTAAAGAACGTTATGAAACAAACGCACAACATGGAAAATGAATATTACGATCGCATGAAACAGACGACGTACCAGCACGACCTTATGCAAAAACAACTGGATTCTTTGAGTGACACCTATGAGCAAACGAATCAAAAACTATCTACGATCGAAACTAATGAAACCAATGTAAACTCATTTGATCTATATCTATTCAAGCAGTATTCTTTTGAATTAGATCAAACACGAAATTGAGAATGTGGAAAAGAAGATAAACACAGGTTTGTCAAAGGAATTTCTTTGATTTTATACTCGATGATAACTAGAGCAAATAAATTTGATGATCTATCGTGAACAAATCACCAATCTGCGACAGGAATCATTGCAACTTACTGACCATTACCTTCATCTTCGTCATCTTGTCAAATCGAAAAAGCACACGAACTCTGTTCTGGATCGCAAGTGTCAATCGCTCGAACATAATCAACGTAAATTAGCAGATCGTGTAAGAAACTTAGCGAATCGACTCATGCAAACAGTTGAACACAATCAGCAATACGAACATCTCATTCAAATAAATCTTTCGCACATGGAAGATCATCAATATAGAACAACGAAAATGCAAATGAGTTTGAAGAAAATCACACATGTCAATAATAATCTCGAAAAAATTCTGCGTGAAAATCGATTGATTCGTTCGAGTGAACAAGATAAACTACATTCAATGAAGCAACTTTCATATCAAAAACACAAGCAGCTGATTCAACATACCAAACATCTTCATATTTTATTCATTGATCAGCACCGATTGACAAATAATATTATTCGCAATTCTCTCGATATCGTTCGGTTCAATTCAATTTGTCATGAGTTTATTAAGACTGAAAAGGTATTTTCTTTTAATTTTAACAAAGATGAAAACGTAACTTGTTGATGTAGTACTTCGAACAAAACATACGAACGAAGAAAACTGAACTGATGAAGTAAATTTTACATGAGTGAAATTTTGTTAATATTGAAGAAGATTTGTTCGTGTAGCCATGAGAAACACCGTGCATCACTAAGTCGTGATCTTCATGATAATGTCAATAGAATTCATTTTCTAACGAAAAAGAATCAGTTAATTGAAAATGAACTTCAGAGTAAAATTGATCAGTTTAAATCACTACAACATTATGATCTTCAACAAAAGCATCATCGACTGGTACTTTTCAATAAAAAACAACTAGCAATGTACTCTTCCCAACAGAAAGCAATGAGAGTCGATGAATTGCACAAAAAGTATGATCAATTAGAAAAATTATCTGATACTGAAATAAATCGGATAAGAAAGAAAGAGCAAGAGAATGAGCAGTTAAAATCTGATATTCAACGACTTAAACAACAGATAGCCAATATGATCAGTAGAAATAAACGTCAGATCGATGAATCGTCGTTGTTGCATGAAAAAATTCGTTTGTACACTCAAATTAATGATGGCATAAACCAACAAGAGCAGCAATATTCATGCCATGTTCATCGAATGACAAGACGCATTATAGATTTACAACAGAAAAACAAACGATCATCAGATACAGTTGGGAATCTACAGAGAAAATCGTTAGATATAGTGACCTCTCACTATAATCAAGTTCAACAAAAAGTGAACATCCATCGTATGAATCAAATTATATCGGATCGATCTATAAGCGTTCGAAATCAATCAGTACAGATGAATGCTGAGAAAATTCTCAATGCCTATTCAACATCTGTAAATCAATTAGTCAAGATCATTTATCAAGTTGTTCAATGGCGAGAAAAATTAGTTTGGATAACTCAACTATATTTTGTAATACATTATTCAACGGGTATTAAAACTAATCTCTATTGTTTCCTTTTATTTTTAGACAAAAATGACAAAAGTACAGCAGCAAATGAAATTATTAGCAGGAAACAATGAAATGATCTTACGAAATAGAATCAATTCCGAAATCCGACAATGCAAAGCAATGAAAGCTGAATTTTATATGCAGACATTGTCATTGTCTGCTCAAAGCGATGGAACCTATTTATAATGCTTCGTTTAATTTGATTCAATCTGGTGTGTTACAGTGCACTTTCTTTCTAATCGGCGTATTGTGCGTCAAACGGAGAGAATGGGCACAGAGTTTTTTTTGACAATCAGTGTACAGTCAGCGAAGCTCGATAGTGACATTCGCTTACGGCCATACCACGTTGAATACACCAGTTCTCGTCCGATCACTGAAGTTAAGCAACGTCGGGCTCGGTTAGTACTTGGATGGGTGACCGCCTGGGAATACCGAGTGTCGTAAGCTTTTTTGTTCAATTTTTTTCACTTTTGACTCCTTAAAAACAAACTGTTTTTTGTATGAATAAGATACCGCTCGATTCGTTCAGTTAGTAGATCACAAAATGTACTAAGAGTATACTCTTGTATCGAATACATCTAATCTTTGCTATTGTCATTTAATAATCATCATGACCTTTCATTTATTTACAATATTCATATCATAATATGATGCCACTGAAAGAAAAATCTAAGTTCTTCTTATCATGTTTTGGTATCTTTAATTATTGAAAGTTTCCTCCTTTCTAATGGCGTCACTTTTTTTAGGTGTACGCGTGTTATTGGATTTCTTCTATCCTATTCATCATTCTTTGAAGTTTAGAGCAATCACAGCTCGACGTTTTTAATAATATGACTAATATATATATTAGTGTATACGTCGCCTAGATATGATTTTCAATGGCATATGAATAAAAAGATAAGTAAAAGGCAACATTGCGATTCAAAGTATCTTCATTTCATGTGTGTATACTTCCTCATTACTCATATGTCTAGATGATTACTAAAGATACTCGATACTTTTCCCATCCAATTGCATAAAGTACCGAAAATATTAATTACATTGTCATTGGATTTGCATTATAAGGTAAAATGAATACTCATGAATATAAATATATACGCCTTCATAGATATAAGCAATCTTACATAGCTTGGTTAGTCTGTAGAATGCGTGTCATAGCATCGTTTTTATGGATTAGACGTTTAAACCTTTTGAAGTGTCATACGGTGCCACCTACGTGGGAAATTAAATTCTGAGGATTCTGTCTAGAATCTGAAAGGGAAACATGTTAAAAGCCGATGCTGTGGGAGAAATTTTCATGTTCCCAGGTCTTCAATGTGCTCTGTACGTGCACATATACATACAGAATGATTGACCTTTCTTCCGATTCGTTTTCTCGTTTTTTACTTGTTCTTATCAATTATTTTTTGTTTTGAAATATGCTCTATAGCTTCACTTGCGATGGTGCGATGGTAAGATACTTCATATTCAATAGATAAATAACTCTATTGTATTACAAGGTATAGCAGTACATGTCTTTTATATATTTAGTTTCTTCTAGATTTTCACTCTAAGTATGGGTTGCACAAGCTCAAAAAGCCCAAGAAGCTCAAAAGTTTATACAGAACTTACCATAGAAGGTCTCGTATTCAACTTCATATATCTTGCACATCAATAGAATGCTCTATCCGTATTGTAGATATCGTTTTGCTTAAAGAGAAAACAAAACTTTCCGAAAAAGGTACGATAATATTGTTTCGAAAGTTGTTCTTTATTGTCCTTGTTTTTCATATGTTGCTTTAGAAATTCGGGAGTGGCATGCCGTAAGTACTGACTTCAATGAATGTATTCAATTAGATCTGGATATCTATAGGGATTTTTGAATGATTGTCCAACTGGTAAACTGAACAAAAAACAACTCATTAACGTTTACAGACACTTCTATCCACTAGGAAACGTAGAACCGTTTTGCAAGTAAGCGTAGATTGAAATAAATTGTCACTTTCTGATTGACATATACGCAGATATGTATTTACCGCTGTTGATACCAATCGTGATGGGAAGATCGATTTTGTCGAATACCTTTTGCAGATTGCCGCAATTAGTCACGGTGATTTAAACAAACGACTGTCAGCTGCGTTTGATTTGTAAGATTCATGATATATAAAGCGACGCGTATTTATTTCGCATGTTTTGTAGATACGATATATCTGGCGATGGACAAATCGATCGAAAAGAACTCACCATGCTAATTTCTGCGTTGGTAAGTGAGACACGTATTACTCTATTTTAATACCTGAAACGATTTTCTTATAGTATGAACTTGTTGGGGAAAATTATCGAAAAGGTAATCGTGATCCGAAGAGTCGTGCTAATGAAATTATTGCTCGACTCGATAAGAACGGCGACAAGAAGTTGAATAAAGAAGAATTTATTGCCGGGTACATGATATTTACATCATTATATTGTTATTCTTTCTGTTTCACTTAGATGCCAAAATGATTCCATATTACGACGCATACTTGCACCAACTGTTTAATTACACTTTCTTTCAAATAACATTCTTTGCCGATATGTTAAAAATAGTATTACCATTTCTTTTATACACTCATTTGTTTTTTATTCGCACTACTCCTTTTCTTCAACGTAAAATTTTTAAATAATATTCGAATTAAAACTCTGCTAATCTTAACTGAAAGATCTTCACACCGTTTTAAAAACGCTTACTCGTGCTTTGTTGAGTATTGCGCTTGTTATTACTGTGAAAATTTAGCGTACAATATGACAAGCATAATAGTAACGAATGCTTACGGCCATACCACGTTGAATACACCAGTTCTCGTCCGATCACTGAAGTTAAGCAACGTCGGGCTCGGTTAGTACTTGGATGGGTGACCGCCTGGGAATACCGAGTGTCGTAAGCTTTTTTGTTCAAATTTTTTCAATATACTTTTATCAATGAAGTCAAATACATGCCGAGCGTATTTCGTTTTCTTTTATTTAACACATCCAAACCTCAAATTTTAGAATTGTCATAGCTAATTTTTTTACTCATAAGACTGATTCATCGATTAATCATACATAGATTGTCATCTGTGTTTCTTGTTAATACATATCTATATGCGTATATTAGATTTACGATGAACGACGATAATATCAATCCATTTCTATCTAACTTTTATGTGTGAAGAATTCTTTTGTGGACTTGCAGTGTCCTACTTCTTAAGGCTCGCTGTGGTCATTTAGCGCCATCTATGCAGAAGCTTCTGACGCTTCTCATAAATCAACTATTATACAGATTGAATCGATTTCAACAGATAAGTTTTAATTTGCACTAAATATAGTTAAGGTACTATATGAACAATTCTCGTTTGTGATTGGTGAAATAAGTTGGTAGCAATGTTGTAGATGGATGCGAACATCGATCTATTTTTAGATATTCCTTTTAAGCAGGAATTCTTTCGAATATTCAAAATATTTATTCTTCTCCTCTTGAAGTCTATTATGTCTAGCACTATTCCATGTTTTTCCCCTTTTTTCACATCACTTAGTCATGTGTATTTGTTTCCCTTGCACTTGCACAACGTCTGTTTTTCATATCATTAGCGAACGAAATCTATTTAATGAAACCAGTTTTTTTTAATTAAATAGAAATTTTCGTATTCTATATTCTCCCTGTCTTGTCTTTTCTGTTATTCTCTTTCGTAATCGTCTATATGCATGAAATAGAAATGATATGATGACATTTCCGACCGATTGCATCATCCATGTTGTCATCGGAAATATCTTAAAGCCCGACCGGTATTTATAAATAAGCTCGATGCCCAATTTAGTTCATTTTCAGACAGAATCAAATGACGGATAGTGCAACAGCTAGTAGTAGCGTCTCGCAAAAAACAGCAATGAAAGACGAAGGTAAATTTGTCGATTTACCAAATGCAAAAGAAGGCGAAGTCGTTGTACGATTTCCACCGGAAGCTAGCGGGTTTGTACAAAAATAAATGCTTGCTTTTCGATATAACTAAACTCGATTCCCTTTCATATCTTAGCTATTTACATATTGGTCATGCTAAAGCTGCCCTTCTCAACCAATATTATCAAAAAACATTCAAAGGTACATTAATTATGCGTTTTGATGATACAAATCCAGCAAAGGAAAATGCGGAATTTGAAAAGGTAACGTGAATGAATCGATTTTCGCAAAAATTATCTGATGAACCCATATATTCAGGTTATCCTCGAAGATTTGAAAATGTTGGGTGTCACATATGATCGCTTCTCGCATAGTTCCGATCATTTTGACACGTTAATGGATTATTGCAAGAAACTAATTGAAAAAGGTATTGCTTATTGCGATGACACAGAACCTGAAGAAATGAAAGCTCAACGCGAACTACGTCAAGAATCGGCCAATCGCAATAATAGCGTAGAGAAAAATCTAAAGATGTGGGAAGATATGATTGCTGGAAATGAGAACGGTACAAAATGCTGCGTTCGATTGAAAATCGACATGCAAGCTAACAATGGTTGTATGCGTGACCCAACTATTTACCGATGTAAACCGGAGGAACATGTACGAACAGGGAATAAATATAAGTAAGAAGGATAGAGGATCGAATTCCATCCATTAACCATCGTATGTTTTTCTCTTGATAGGGTTTATCCAACTTACGATTTCGCTTGTCCAATTGTTGATAGCGTTGAAGGAGGTTAGTAAAAGTACGTTCAGGAATTATTTTTCAACTTATCAGTATCTATTTAGTTACTCATGCACTTCGAACAACTGAATACCATGATCGAGATGAGCAATACTATTGGATTCTTGATGCTCTTGGTAAATAGTTCACAACCGACATATATTTGCCGCTTAGTTTAAAGAAATTTCTGTTAAGGTCTTCGCAAACCATTTATTTATGAATATGCACGTTTGAACATGCAATACACAGTGCTATCAAAACGTAAATTAACATGGTTTGTCAATGAGAAAATTGTCGATGGTTGGAATGATCCGCGTTTGCCAACCGTGCGCGGTATTCTTCGCCGCGGTATGACTGTTGAAGGCCTTCGACAATTTATCATCGCTCAAGGTTCATCACGATCGGTCGTTTTAATGGACTGGGATAAGATCTGGGCATTCAATAAGAAACAAATCGATCCTGTAGCACCACGTTATACTGCTTTATTGAAAAATCAACTAGTCAACTTACATTTGAAGAATGTTACGAAGGAAGAGTGTAATCAACATCAAAAGCATCCAAAAGATCCAAGCATTGGCATGAAGAATGTCTATTCTGGTCCAACAGTACTGATTGAAAAGGACGATGCTGTACAAATCACTGACGGACAGATTGTTACATTGATGAATTGGGGTAACATCAAGATTAATCATGTTAAAAAGTGAGTTCACATAAAAAAGAAAAACAATGAACAACATAACGTCTCTTTTGTTCAGGAACAATGCCGGTGAAATCGAATTGATCGAAGGTGAAACTCAACTGGATAATAAAGATTTTAAAAATACTCTCAAATTAACCTGGCTTGCTGAAACAAGTCAAGCACCATTGACACCGGTGACCTGCATTCATTATGATAATATCATGACAAAAGCAAAACTCGATGAAGGCGATACATTCGAGAACTTCGTTAACTATGGATCAAAAGTATAGGAAACATCTTTCTTTCTGTTTTGTTTTTATTCTCTGTTTCTTCTCTTTAGTCTGAATATGACATCATCGGTGAACCAGACATGGCTCAATTGAAGAAAGGAGACATTATTCAAATCCTTCGCAAAGGTTATTATATCTGCGACAGTCCATACAATGCTGCTAGTAAACAACCATGTATTCTTCTGAATATTCCGGACGGAGGTACTAAAGAAAAGCCAACATCATTGAAATCGACTGATCCAAATGCTTCTGGAGATAAATCAAAAGCTGCAACAGGAGCAACTGCAGCAGCCGTAGTATCAAGTCCTGAAGCCGATAAATTAGTCGAACAGATTACTCAGCAAGGTGAAAAAGTTCGAAATTTGAAAGGCAATAAATCGTCACCAAAAGTAAATATACTTTGTATAGTGAAATCAGAAGAAGAAACGAACTTTTCTCATTAGGACGAAGTGGATGGTGCAGTCAAAGAACTTTTAGCCTTAAAAGAGAAGTACAAAAAATTAACTGGTGTTGATTATAAGCCAGCGAGTGCATCAGCATCATCATCATCAAATTCAGCGCAAAAGGAAAATAAGAAACCAGCATCGGCTCCTGCCACCGCTGCTGCTGGTGCTACGGCAACATCGACAACGACATCTGCAGAAGCTGAACAGCTTCTCGAAAAAATATCAAAACAAGGAGATAAAGTGCGCGAACTCAAAGCAAATAAATCGGCATCAAAAGTAAGTTCAAATACTTAGTCGTTGTAGCATCCGAGAAGTAGCGATCTCTAGCGATAGTGTAAAAATGGAAAAAGATTCAAAAATAAAAGTTTCGAATACGAAAGAGAAAACGACAGATTGGTTCGTATTCATATATACACGTCACTGATCACGTATACGATTTCACATATTCTTCATTCGACGCATTCGAGAGAAAGATGAGTTCGAACGAAAATGTTGATGCCGAAAAGCTAAAGTCTCGTATCGACGTACAAGCGAATCTTGTTCGTCAACTGAAAGGTGATCCTAAGCAGAATAAAGTACGTTGATCAGATTGCTGTTCTCATCGTCATTTCTGTTTCTTTTAAGGATGAGGTCACAGCTGCTGTGCAAGAATTATTGAAATTAAAAGAGCAATACAAAAGCCTAACAGGTACTGATGTTCCATCGACTGGTGCAGCTCCGGCACGTAAAGAAAAAGAAAAGAAGCCTGCTGCTACTGCCGCTAAGTCGGCCGATAATGAACAAGCGGCTGGATCGGGCTCATCAGACGTGAAAAAACAAACGAAGTATGTACTGATAATTACTTAAAATAGTTGAGATAAACTGTCTGTTTAGACTTGGCATTGAAGTCAAAAAAGAAGAAAATCTTGCCGAATGGTACGGACAGGTGAGTTGTGTGATTACCGGAATATGTTCTCAGGATAACTGTCATGATTATTTCAGGTTGTCCGTAAGGGCGAATTGATTGAAAACTATGATGTATCTGGATGTTATATTCTTCGTCCATGGGCTTATTTTCTTTGGGAACAGATAAAAGCTTTTGTCGATGAAGAAATCACGGCTATGGGAGTGCAAAATTGCTATTTTCCACTGTTTGTTTCACATAGTGCACTTCATCGTGAACAAACCCACATTGCTGACTTTTCACCAGAAGTATGAAGATGATGAAAGAGTCAACGAAATTTCACATTGATCGATCTTTCAGGTTGCTTGGGTAACCAAATCAGGTGACAGTGAATTGGCTCAACCAATTGCTGTACGTCCAACAAGTGAAACAATCATGTATCCAGCGTATGCTAAATGGATTCGTTCGCATCGAGATCTTCCATTGAAATTGAATCAATGGAACAATGTTGTGGTATGCAGAAGAATCGAAATCATTCATTGAACAAAGTGAAATTCTTCTAGAGATGGGAATTCAAAAATCCACAACCATTTCTTCGTACGCGAGAATTTCTCTGGCAAGAAGGTCATACAGCATGGGCAACAGAGAAAGAAGCTTCCGAAGAAGTTTACCAAATTCTCGACTTGTACGCTCGAGTGTATTCAGATTTATTAGCCATACCGGTAATTAAAGGACGTAAAACAGAAAAAGAAAAATTTGCTGGTGCTGACTGGACAACAACCATCGAAGGTTACATTGCTGCCAGTGGACGTGGTATTCAAGTAAGTCAAATCGATCAACAATCCTTCCGCTAATACTTTGCTTTTCAGGCTGCAACATCACACCATTTAGGCCAAAACTTCTCGAAAATGTTTGAAATCACGTTCGAAGATCCACAAACACAAGCTAAAACATATGCGTACCAAAATTCATGGGGTTTGACTACACGAACCATCGGTGTAATGACCATGACCCATGGTGACAACAAAGGTTTAGTTTTACCGCCACGCATCGCTAAATATCAGGTACACATGAACTCATCATATTCGATCGTCCAACTCGAGTTTATTTTTTAGATCGTTATCGTTCCATGTGGTATTACAGCATCACTATCGAAAGAAGACGAAGATGCCTTAATAAATACATTGAAAGAAATTGAAGCTAAATTGAAAAAAGCCGGTCTTCGTGTTTACGGAGATTATCGAGATAATTATGCACCAGGTTGGAAATTTAATCAATGGGAAATGAAAGGTGAGGAGAAATTAATTTGTATCCAAAATAAATGTCTCGTTTATTGTATTTTCTAGGTGTTCCAATTCGTGTTGAATTCGGTCCAAATGATAAATCTCGTTCACAATTAACTGTAGTACTCCGTCATACAGGAGCGAAATCAACAATTCCCATTGAAAACTGTGAAACTAAACTACGTGAAATCCTCGAACAAATTCACAGCGATCTATACGCTAAGTACGAGCAGAAGTTTATTTATAAAAACATTTTCTATCTCAATCTTCGCTTTTTTTCATAGGGCTAAAGCCGAACTCGATAGTCACATTGTCGTTGTTAAAGATTGGGCTGGTTTCTTGAAAGGTCTTGACAATTCCTGTATCATGTTAACACCATTCTGCGGTGAACCATCATGTGAAGATAATATCAAACAAGATAGTGCTCGGTATGACGAAAGAATGTCGACAAATACGATCTACTCAACTTTCGTTTGTTTTTCTCTAGAGATGCTGTCGTTGAAGAAGGTGCACCAGCTATGGGCGCTAAAGGTCTCTGTATTCCATTTGAACAACCAGAGAAACTTGCCGACAATCAACAATGTTGTCATCCGGCATGTAAAAACAAAGCGAAATATTTTACATTGTTTGGTCGAAGCTACTAAACAATCGACAAGAAACGAAAGAGAAGAGAAAGAAACAAGTTTTTTTTTGTTATCCTTCATCGAATCATTCTCCGTTTTCACACGTTTATGTCTGATCTTGTTGCTCCGGCTTCAAGTGTTTGTTTTACATTTTAAGCAACAAAATATAAGACAATAAAAAAAAAACGATATTTCCGACTTTTCACACTCAACCGAATATTTCATGTGCACATATGATAATAATTAATTTTTCTTCTAAACACATCTAATCAAATTCATATTTTTCTTCTCTCTGCCAAACAAAACATCGATATCAAAACTAACACCAACCATTTACTCTTTGTAATCAACAATTATACTCATGTAGCTTCTGCGCTTGATATTCCAGGTAAAAAATAGCATCAGATTTAAATAGTCAACTTCCTTCCGAACCATCTCATTAACTATTTAACCATGTTAATTATTCACGCGTCTACACATGAAAATATCTTCGAATGGAAAAAAATTAGGCCCCATGTTTTGTCGTATTCTAATGAACAAAACGAATTAAATTACTCTCTATCCTTCTGCTCCATTATATTGTGATAATGACGAAGCATATAAAGATTTCGGCATGGTTTTGTGTCAGTAGAAAGCTGCCGTGTACTCCTAATCAGAATGTGCATCCATTCGCCTTCAATGAACAAAACATACTCTAATTCCATCTGAAAGAACGACAAGAAAAAGAGAAAATGACAATGTTCATTACTCTTATACTCAAATATAATCTCTCGTTCTTTTCATCTACAAATATCCGATTATATCTTTTTCATTTAATACATCCCACATAAGTGCTCTTGGATAAATGGATAATAAACCATCTGTAGACATATTGTTCTAATTAGCTGCGAAGAAAAATACAAACATACACATTTTTAGATTTATTTCTCTATAAACATACATGATATCTTTTTTGTTTCTACTAATGATGATCTGATAGTGACTTAAAATGAGAGAGAAGAAGAGAAAGATGAATCTCTAGTGAGCAATTTTTATATAGCACTTTAACTTCAGAAAGAAGGAATATAAACAGAAAGAGAAAATTGATCAGATGTGTGTTAAAAAGCAAGACGAAAAGTATCAATTAAATGCATGATGACGAAGATGATGATGATGGCAATTGACAAGAGGAATCAATAGGAGGTCGTTGATAATGATGTATATTGAAATTTGAATTCGTTGAATGTTGTTGTTGTTGATGATGATGCTGCTGATGATATCCGACTGTCGGAGTTGGATATGATGAAAGAGGCGGTGTTGCAAATGCACTTGGTGCTTGCTGATGTACGACAGGCCAAGAGGAATTCAACGAAGGACTAGTGCTACGATCAGTAAAGCATTCCAAATGTGATAAAAGACGAAGACGAAGCGGATGTTGAATATCAAAGCCTTCAACTGAGATTAAATAGCGAGAAATTTCATCAACACATTCCCGAAAGCCGCTCGCATGAGCATCGAAGATTGGCCACGATGAATACGACTGATTAGAATCTGAAACAAAAAAATTGGTCATTTCCAGTGATGTCATATTGATAGGAAAAGAATACCTTGATCGAGATGTTGCAATGACCGAAGATGATCAACAGTCATTTGTAAGATTTCTGCTTTTTCTAATTTAGTCGAACCTTCTTTTGATATGGCTTGTGGTACCAGTCGACGTAATTCCATTAAACAATGATTAATTCGATCACGTCGACGTTTTTCAATAACACCACGTCGTTTTTTACGACTTGTGACATTTTCATATTCATAGTCTCGTGGACTTAAACTTGAACTAAAGAAAACAAAATCAAAAGTCTTTTCTAGCTGACAAATATTGTCCTTTTTCATATTGACAGACACATTATTTCCCTTTTCCTCTTTCCCCAGTCAACATCAGTTGTCACTCTTGCGTTCATATGCGACACTTTCGAGACACCTATTTGTTTGCTAAAAAGAAACCGATAACATACTCGATAAATTCGTCTTCGGAATCACCCGCACTTTCATACGTATTAACTCGTTTCATGGCTCGACTTTGACAGAAGCAGAAAAGATTGATTAATGTTGGCACGAGGGTCATCTCTTCCCTTTTTTCTTCTTCTTCTC